TCGAGGGGAGTTGTAGACGGAAATTTTTGAAGAGACGGAAATTACAGATTCTATGTAATGCTCACTCGCAAAGTTCAGACTTGGAAGTTTCTTCAATTCGCACTTATATACAGTAAAGTTTGGCAGTAAAATGAAATTGATTGCACATTTTTGATTTGTCAGAATCGCGGATGCGGCAAACATGGGAAGCCTGCTGGACATCAAATAAATGTGAAAACTTTTTTTTCCAATTTGTGATTCTAGATTTTTGCACCTCTGCTTCATACATACTTACTTTGGAAATTTCGCAAAACCCTCCAAAATGTGAATTACTTATATACTGTAAAGTGGTCGAATAAGCACAAGTGGTACGAGATATATGTGCATATGCACAAACATGGCACTATTAAATGCTGCAAGTCCAATGCGAGCAAAGTAATAAAGTTGTGGTGGTGGGAGGCAAGCAGGTAGAAACGAGAGAGAGAAACTTTGTGGGAGAAAGTCTTTGATTTTATTTGATCTTGCGGACTTTCTCTTCTTTTCGTGTTTGGTTTGGCCAGTCTAATGTAATTGCATATAGCTCAGGATTTCCCAAATCGACGTTCCTACAAACATATGAAGTACATATGTATATACAAATTCGCATTTTCATAGTCTCCACCCTCGAAAATTTAAACCTCTAAAAATGTGTACATATACGTAGGTGTTTTATTATTAATTTTCAAAAGGTATGTTCCGCACTGTTTCTGACCAAAATTGTGATGAAATAACAAACTTCAAATACATTTAGGAGGCTGTGATTTTTTTCAACTCTGTGGGTTAACATAAACACTAGCAATAAATCGGCAAACTTTACCTCGACGGAAAAAATGCTAGATTTGCAAATTAAATATCGTAGTGTGATTTAATTTTTAATGCTGGATGGGCAATACGTGTCGCAGATTTATGGTTGAATGCTTAAAATGTACAATGAAAACTGCCCAACACAAAACACAAATTCAATTGGGTCAATAATTTTTAATGATGGCGAAACGAGGTCTCGGGCAAAAAGTCGCAAGGACGCTCAAAATCCGCTTCTTCCACAGAAAGGCTCCGGAAACTAGAGGAACCAATAATGAGAGATCCGCGATTGAAACTGTCCTATATAGCAGATGAGATGGGTGTTCCAAAACCAGCAATTTGTTCCATGTTAACTGAAGACTTAGGTATGAAAATGGTTTCCGTCCGTTGGGTACCAAAATTGCTTTCGGCATCTCACAAACAGGATCGAGTCGACTTTTGCAATGCAAATTTTAACCTATTAAATGAAAACTGGAACCTGCTCAATATTTTATTAGCTGCATATGGTACTTGGGTTTACTATTATGACCCGGTGACCAAATAATAATTCCCTCATTGGAAGCACGAGGGGTTGCCACCGCCCGTGAATTGAAAAGTGCAAAAATCTGACAAAAAAATTGATGATGACCATTTTCAAGGATACCAAAGGTCCCCTCCTTATAAAATTTATTGCTGGTAATACTGCAATAAATGGGGCCGTGTATGCAGGAACCCCGAAGGAGCTGCGTCCTCCGGTTGAAAAGAAACGTGGGGTCAAAATAAAGAGTTGGCCTTTTTTTAGACGACAACGCGCCACCTAATACCTGGCTTTTTGCGAGGGTTAGTGCAGACGAAAATCGCTTTACCTGCACAAACCACGCCCCGTGCAGTCCAGACTTGTCCCTTAGTGATTATTATTCGTTTCGAAACTTAAAGAAAAACATCAGGGGAAAACGGTTTTCTGATGATAATGAAATCAAGTCGTAAATTTTGGCATATTTTCGAGGTAAATTTTAATGAGTTATTGCTAGTGTTAATGTTAACCTACAGAACTGAAAAAAATCACAGCATCCTAAAAGTATTTGAAGTTTGTTATTTCATCAAAAGTTTGGTCAGAAACAGTGCGGAACATACCTTTTGAAAATTAATAATAAAACACCCACGTATGTATGCAATGCACCAAATAATTCCCTGTATATCTCCAATCAGTGAGTTAGGGGTATAAATGGAGAAGAAGAGGTCAAATGAGTCAGCCACATGTAATGGCGATTGCTTGATTTGTTAAGAGTTTGATTGGACGCATTGAAGGAGAAAGGAGTTGCAACTTGGAAAAAACGTGCTTCAAGAGTCTGAATTCGGATTCAGTTTCATCCGAGCAACAATTCAGTACCCACACACACATGGGGACCACCACATTGTATACGTAGCTGCTGAATGTCTGTTACGTAGTATTTGCACTATAGTCCGCCAATTCGCGGTCCAAGTATTCCTCTGAATTGAAGCATTCAACTCAAATTCTCTTGAAATCTGCAATGAATGCAGAGAACAGAGAAACATTAAAGAAGGGAGATTAGAATCAGTAAAAGTATCAAGCTCACTTAAACTGAAAACCAGTTCAAGACGAATTTCTTGGTACAACAAAGCAATTTCTAAACTTTGATGGAGATGTCTTACATACAATTTCATAGAAAATTATATAACATTGTAAGTTGAAGCATTTTAGACGTGAATTTTCCGCACGTTTGAAGGAAGTGGGATACATACGAGTGAGATATTCGATTCTTGTTGGAGTATGTAAGTAGTTGTGGCACACATTCTGAAATAAGTGGCATAGTTGAATTTTACTGGGCAGAACTATCGAGTGCTGTTATGTATGGACATTGCATACACACAACTCCTCTTCTAGTGGACACAGACCCAGCAGCCCATATGCACTCGTCACTTTCTCTCTGTCTTCCCCGTCCGTTCCCATATTTCACTCGAATCTCTTTCACTGGGTGGCCTGCTCCCATTTCCATCCAGCCCTTGTCCTCGCCTGGCTTGCTTATCTTGGTTTGCGATAGGCGAGACCCACTCACTCACTGCATTGGATGGCGAGATGGATGACTTGTGTGAACTGCTTGTGTCTGACTTGACTGACTGGATGGAGATAAATGGGGAGTGGTGAGGATTGGAGGATGCACATTGACTTTCACTTTCACTCGCCTCCTGCTTCTATTATCACCCAACCACCACCACCCACCTACGTATATCATCTGTATGCACATATATGGGCAAGTGGGGTGCAAGTCTCGGCGCTGGACTAGCAAGGAATAATGAGGCTATACATGGAGACCCATGTGTACATACCACTCACTTGCTGAACGCGGTGAGAGCAAAGAAGCTCGACCAACGAACAACAACCACCTGCGTTTCTTTCAACCAAAATCCAGTTCAATTTCCCAAATATGGTTGGTCACACTCATCACACACTTTCACTCGCCAAAACTCAATTTCCCAGAGAAACTGAGGAAAAAATAATGTAATTATTTACTGAATGTTGACGCTAATATGAACAACACGCAAAGCTATCTTGTTTATGCTATCTTGTGTCGTTTACTATATTTCATATATGATATGCAGCTACATATCTTGCCACCCACGCAAACGATTCACAATAATGATGCATTCATACACGGAAACACTGCTTCTGAAATGATGCAGAGATGGCCGTGAGGATAAAACTGATATCATTTTGATGCCAGCACTATATTTTCAATGCAGAAGTGTGCATCATAGCTTTTTCCGGGTGGAACATAAAATGTATATGTCTATCAGTAGACAACTTCTGACAAAAATGAGCACACATCGTCCATTCATTCGTCGGCTTTTAGGCGACACAATGTTGTCTACATAAAGTACCGTCTGGTTGATCATTTAGATTGCAAGGAAGTAGACATGACTTGACTCATAATTACGAACTTTCTCTTCCCAACGTAGGCAGTCATACTACAGATATTTCATGACATTTGGGCATAGAGACGCATATTGAAAGTCGGATAGTATTTTGTATCAGCGTACAAATACCTACCACCACTACCACCACCACGACCCACCATGACCATATCAATACAGAAATGACATGTATTATTTGAAGATGTATCGCACAAACGAATAAGTGTGCCACTGCCGTCTGTCGTGAGCAGGGGTTTTATTCGTCCCTTGTGGTGAGCTCTGGTTTTTATACCGTGTCGACCGGTCCGATGGTGAAGAATGGACAAAGGAAATCTCTCTCTCGGTAAGAAAAATGAGGGAAATTCGGGAAATGTGACATTTACTCGACAGTTGGATAGCAGCATGTAGAGAAATATTGTAACAGTGATGCATGCTTATTACCATGCATGAGAAATGTACATACACATGTGCAGGAAATACATGCATGCATCACATTACATCAAATTCTAACAATTCGTAAACTAGTGGTCATATTGATCTTGATTCTTTTAAAATTCCAGTGGGATCCAGTCGAAATAGGAATTTATGTGGCTGCTGTGCCGTGCCATTTGGATGAAAGAAGAGAAAGCAGGAGAAAAAATGGGATCGTATGCTATGGGCTGATTCAAATCCCTCCGGAGCGTGTAAATACATGTCCTATCATTCTGACCGCATAATGTACTGGCCATTATTGTACTCGTCCCAGGCCTCTACCGTATTTATTCCAAGAAAGTTCAACTTTCACTGGCTTGGGTATTCACGAACATTCTCACCCCATGCGTACGTAAATGTATGAACGATAGTACTTATAAGATGAGATTTATAGCAAAGTCTCGATCAGTCCAGCTTTGCACAGCTCAAACCTTGATGTATAAAAGTAGTATGGCGATTTATTTTAGTTGTTTATTTTCTAAGAAATTTGTCAATCACATGGTAAACACTAATAATCTGATTAGAGAACAATTTTCTCCAATTCTTTACATTTGCGATTGTGCTAAGTTAAATTAACATTCAACGTTTTATAAAATCAGTCGAGATTATCTTCCTGGTCATTTCCTTTAATAAGTTTTTATATGAATGTTTGTTGAGCATCCGTCATTTGCAGTCACAACTACATTGTCAGATTTGTGTTAAAATCTGGCAATGCCTTGTAGAGTTATTATCAGAAGGACAGATAAACAGAGAAGGTAAAAATGTAAAAATTAGGGCATACAGGAAATCTAACTCACCCAAGTACAAATTTTCTTCAACCAAATCACAGTTGGCAGGAACGTCGTCGTCGTCGTCTACCACAACAACGTTTTGAAGCTTCTTGGTCACAGCACCAACTTGAACACGAATAATTTCCTCCGATAGAGCAACACCGTCGCGTCCACCGTTCACTTCTGGCTCCCGGACATCGTGGTTACTTTCACCCCCACAGCCAACAACTCCGCTGCCATTCTTGTTGGAAGAAAGTTCGTCGCTGGAGGAAAGTTTTGCTGGAGGACCAGGTGCGTCCTCGGAGACGGGAGACAAAGTATCCTCCTCTGGGGTCACGATAGTCGCCATTGTTACCTGAAGTAAGGATGAAATCAACTTACAACTCTATGCATAGTTAACGAAGCGACACACAGTAAAAACATTTTCCTTTCAATACGTATAATCGACAGAGAAAGTCCTTGTCTGGTAGCGTAACTATATAGAAGTCGGTGGTATGTATGCATATGGTCGAGAATTGATTGGTTTATTTTCGTCATAAACCCTCTCGGTATAATTACCCATAGAGTTTCAGGATATTTAAGTATCATTATACACTTACAGTAAATAATTAAAATGAGTCCTTAAAATTATTGGATGATCAGTGAAATTGGTTAGCTATGTACTTATTTTTAATAAATAACTACCTTGTAATTCGTATAAATTTGACATGCATTACTTTATGGCAACAATTATATGGTAAAAGTGGCTACTCCTCCAAAATAATTCTAGGATGGGTCACCTTTTTTATACATATATATTTATGCATTAGAGTTACTGACTTTGCATATTTCTCTAGTGCTTGCTGTCATACTATTGTTCGTTATTTCCCAATACTAACACTACTCCTGCCTCTGATAAATTGTTTATGACTTCATTAATAATGCCGTCGCTACCGAGATTTTTTTAAATTTATGCAACCAGCTAAGCTCTTCCATTGAGATTTCCTTCTCTACCTCACTCCCCGCATTCCTTATTATTAGATAATCCCGTTGGACGGAAATATATGTTATCAAACGAGTGAGTTAGTGTATGATATTCGACTTTACATCAATAAATGCAGAGTAAAGAAGCACTGGTGCTATACTCGTGTAAGTAAGACATACAATCCGTCTTTATAATCCACAGGGTATTATCGATCCACTTACACCACACAACCATGCAATTACCAATCATCAACATAATACTGGCAACGTTCTGATACTCATAGCAAAGAACTCCACCACAGCACAAATACACAATATGTACCAAACTAAACAATGCAATGCAATACCATAATCTCACAAAAGCAAAAGATGACGCGTTATCTCATATCTGGCCAAAATTACAGAGCTGCTGTTTGCTTTGTCAAATCAAGTCCTTCGTTCACTCATATTTTCGAACGTACACTGGTAAGGGGAAAGGAGTGGTAAATAAGCAAACCACAGCGTGTATGTTATGTACCACACACTGTGGTGCCCCACTACCACCACCCGGAAAGTGTATACCTTCAGCATCGTCCATACCCTAATAACTCATCTTCCTTTCAAGTTCTAATCAACTTGCTTTATTATTTACTCATCCCCCGTCGTCGTACTTCTTCTCTTCAGACAAAGTATCATCAAGAATAATAAAGCTCTTTTCGTACTGAGAAAGTCGCATGTCGCTCCAGCTCATCTTTAGATCCTTGAAACTTTAATAACCAAAACGCTCCCAAAAACCATATCATACGTGCTTAACAGCAAAACAAACATATTGCGCAAGGTTAATAAGTAAATCATTCATTTGAGTATATATATAATGTATATATTCACATTCAGAGATTAACTCAACTGCCGAAGGACAGGCTTATAATACAAGAAAATATTGCAAGTCCACCTTAAATTTGAGAAAATGTTCCCTTTTCGCAAGCGTCTTGGTCGTCTTCGTATCTCATTAAAACCAAGGAAAGTTGGGAAGGGACGCATATACATAATAATTCTGGTAGTCTTGTCTCTATTGCGGGGTTGCTTCTGCTGCTTAATCCCAAATTGAAAATGTAGATTGAGTCGGTTTTCATGGCTAGCCAAGCAGTGAAAGCAGTAGTGGAGAAAGTGCTATACGGAAAGCTATGGCAAATCCTGAGGCAAACTTGGTTTACTCAATTTTATGCCACTCCAGAACCATGATTTCATCCTCTTACCTGCCCATTTTACTCCGTGTTGTATACAAACCGTTCTTATTCAATTCAAAAGAAAGCAGTCCTTTCTATTCTTTGTTGGGTATGTGGCATTTGTACCACGGTGAAGAATGCATGAAAAGAAAAACCATAAATAATCGGATTTGCCTTCTTCGCCAAATTGCAAATTGAAATACGACGCAAATTGTGGGGAGAGGTTTTATTTTACCTTATTTACTACTACATAAATTGTACCGAGCACCAAATCCCAATTCTACCAATGCCACAAGACACCACTGGCTTGAATAGTTCTCATATACATACAGGAAAAGTCTCGAGATACGTATTTTCAAATTATTATTAGAAAATGTAACTTGTAGGAATGAAGTGTTTATTTTAGCAACTACTGAGGATGAGTCAGTGTTAAAATCCTCAGGATTCAGAGCAATAAGGAATTGCTGAAATAAATTCCTCGGGACCATTAAAACAACCGGATACATCCGATTGGTATAAAAACGTACTGCTGAATGGATTCACCACTCTCCGTCCTCCTCATCCTTGAAAATATTCGTTTTCTTTTATCTCTTTTAAATAAGGTTTCGCTTTCTTCTTTGTTATCACAAAGTTTCCTTTCACAAGATAGCGTCCATTCTAAAACGGCTCCTTATGAAATACCCATCAGCCAAAGTGAATAAACGACGAGTCTCATATTTATTTTTGTATAACCGGAGCTTTCTCTTGCTGGAACCAAGATGAGATTCCTTGCAAGACGTGGTCTATTCTATGCGGGTGTATGTAAAGTGGTTATTTTTATCTTTACAATTTGTATTGAAATTTCTTTGAAATCTTAGCACCGCCGCTGCTTGCTGTTCTTATATAAGTGTGGAAGAACCGTTTATCCTCACTCCCTCCGAATGCATAAACTGGCAAACATATTCAATCACAGTATCCATGCAGCGTATGCAAATTCTGCTTACAAGAAGCACTGAGATAAAATAACGTTTTTGTACTCAGTCAGGACCAAATTGCATCAAGACAATAAAAATTGAATAGAAATTGCGAATTTTTTTGGTGACAAACTAGAGTCTCGCGAGAGATTTTACTTCAAATCGAATCTGCCATTGACTACTCCATTCGAGGCAGTAAATTTTATTTTAAACTGAACAAATAAAGTGAAGTCCACTCACCAGAGCTAAATTTCGCCAAAGACGAGCCAATAACCATAAAATTTTTACTCTTTTTCATGTACCTACTGATCACATACATATACGATGATATAGAGAAAGGGAACCTTGGCTTGTCCAACAAATAATACCGAGTAGACACCTACATGCATGCAGAGAGATAACACAATTTAGTTTTCTGGTTAAGGCAGTGGGGACATAAAATTGTACATTTATTTCGGATTACGATTAGTAGGTAATCATTTTGTGAGGTTGGGGGCATAATACTGCGTTTTGGTTTCAAGGCTCCCTGAGGATAGATTTCACAAGCCGTGAAAAAGTGTGGATGGTTCTCTAAGAGTTTATGGACGACAATAAAGCCAGGAGCAGTAGGTCAGAAAATGCACATGTACAAAAAAGAGCACATGATATCTTTCAAATGGACCTGACTAGAATTTTTCTGATTTTTTTCATCAAATTCGCTCAAGTAGATATTACTAAGGACTCTGAAACAGTATTTAAACAAAGATTTCTAGAGATTGGGGGCTTATTCTACAGAGAAAAAAACGGTTGTATTGTATTATTGTAAGTAAATTGCCTACCTATTTTAAATTCAAGTGATGAATCAATTTGCCTCCGGCTGCACTTTCTCTGCTGCCAACTTTTCTCTCCTCAAGTTATCTTCTCTCATGAGTAATGATCTGACGTACACAAAAACTATAACTAAACTCTTCTTGTCAAATTTTAGGATAAAGACAGTATTGAACAAAGTCTGGCTAAGTTTTGCATATTTTGATGGAAGTAGCGAATCCTTGAATAGAGAACAAACTATACCGTTAAATATTTTGTTCTTGTTTCAACTTGGGCTTCAACGGGAAACAGTGTATCAGAACCTTTGAAACCCAAGAAAATATTCTGTGTGCTACTTGGTGAGAGTTTGAGAATTATATAATCCGCAAAACAGATATCCCGTAAATTCTCTATTATTTACGACAACCTCTCGCAATAACCGGCATATGAACACGATACAGCTGTTGTATTGTACTACTCTACTACTAAAGTGGTGAACAAAGTGGGCCGTGAAACTTTGAACTTTCTTCACACGAAACAACAACAACTTTTAGCCAAACATGAAACGAAACATGCAACTAAATTAATACAGATAAAACGAAGTAACGAAAACAAAAGCAGTATGATGATCTAATCATGAATTAAGCAGGGTTACCCAAATATTGTAGCAAGTTAACCAACCCGTGTAAATTGATTTGATAAATACTGATTAGTCTTACAAAATCATACATCTGTGCGAATGTGTATAGTAGTGTATACATGTTCTAACTAACATATCATACACAATAATTTAGCATGCAAATAATAAATTGTAAAGTGTAATGATCATGATGGTAAACATTTGTTGAATAAATGTGGAAACCATGTACTCATGAGAAGTGAGTTTTGGGAAATATTTCATGGATACAATAGTTGTGCATGGAATTGCAAAAGTTTGAGCTAAGCTGCTACACGTGCTTATTATTCGAGGTGAGAGAGGTGAAAGCAAAAGTTTTGCAGTTGGGGCTTGTCTTATTGTAACCACAAGCATGACATGACAAATGACATTTGAGAGCCCAACATCCAACACAAAGTGTATGACACACAAGTCCTTGAAACAAATAACGGTGTACAATGGCAATGAGAAGTGAGGCAATTAATAATTATGAAGTGGATGAATCTATTTTTGCTCTAAAGTGCAATTATTTTGCCAATATTTACCCACATATGGTGAGGAATAACATCGTCGCCTTAACCGTTAACGACTTGCACAGAGGGCCTTTGTCTCATAAGCAAGCTTGTCTTACCTCGCATTGTTAGCATATTTAATTATCATTGCTTCACGTCACATTATTCTCATTTACGTTTGACACAAATCGAACACATCGAATTGAAATGTATGTAGATGCGATGATGGCAGAACTTTGATATTCCAAGCTTTCAAAGAAAACTTTTCAGTAATATAACTTTTCATATTTCTTCGTCATTGTCATTCAACCATAAATTTACCTTGTACAATAAAACTAATCAAAGAAAGAGTGAAAAAAGTTTTGAAATAGCGTTTTAAGAAATAATAGCAAAAGATATTTCAAAGAAAAATGTATAAGTTCCCGATAACAATAAGTAGTTTTGGAGTGAAGAAAGCAAGGATTTTCTTAGGTAATGTTGTATGGTTTACAAACGCAATAAAGACACGGAGGTACGAAAACATCGACCATTTTGTGCAGTTAAACGCAAAAATATTGTCAAAATGATAACTTCTGCAGCTATCTACATGCTACTAGACAAATCTATTGGGCATTCAATAAATTTTAATCTTAGATGTTTCGAGAACGGGGCAGATCTAGTAAGAAGTATAATAAAAATTTGATGTCCTTCAATTTTGACCACGCTTTTATCAAAGCTTCAACCAGTAATGCAATTTTTAACCATCTCATTTTGCATACTTAACAAGTTGAGGATTTTAATCACAGATTACATGTTAAATGCGCCACTGTTCTTCCTTTGCACTGAATGGAATAAAACTCTTCCGGTATGAGTTCAGAGATGTCTATTACTAGTCTGTGGGTATTATTGGCATTAATAGGTGGAGAAAGTTGACGTCTATTCAGCCATTCTTCAAAACATTGATCGATTTGACGTACGTAAAGAACCGGTGGGGTTGGACGTTATGAGACCTCTGGTTGTCTTTGAGTGGTTGGAAAATGAAGATGCATGCTTTCACCACTCGAGTAAAATTACAAAATGGGTTTACTCCCTAATAAACGCAATAAATTGGGAAAAGTGGAAGAGAAAATTTTAGACGTTGTATTTCAGTAAATATAACGATATTTGGCCCCAATAAATTTAAAATGCATAAACTGGTCCGAATTTCCCCACCTCTTCAAATAAACGACAACATCTTGACTATAATTGCATTCGAACACGATTTACGGTTGACACTTTAAATATGCACTATAATTTGTATACAGAAATATAAATGAGCTACTAACCCAAAAAGATGTGAAAAAGTCAGCTGCTCAAGATATGTAGAACTCGCCGGACATGATGATGATGATGAGCACTTGACGATGATGTTATTCCTTTTTCTATGTGAATGCTTTCTTGGTTAACTTGCAAAAGAAAAATGAGCCCATTTGTGCCCCTGACAGAGCAGGCAAGAAGAAGAAGCTTTTTAGTCTGGATTTTGCTGCTCCTCAGAGATTCAATTCACTATAATGTACACGTAGTCGTATGAACCAGAAGTCGGACTAATTTGCTGGGGCATTCCAAAGAGAAAGTGAGTCGAAAGATCTGTTCTGATTTCATTCACTTTCTTCACCAGAGTGTGTACAAGACGAGACTAATGTGTGATTTGGCTTCAAACCACCCGTTTGTACATACACAGTTATGTACGACCAACAAACGGGTCAAGCTGTGTAGTTGGATTGTAAGACAAAGGTGGTAGTCGTTCTTTGCAGCAGCTTTTAGACCGTTTGACGACTTTAAGATGCAGTAAGTAGCACCAAAGTGATGTTCTTAAAGTTTTATCGAGGTACACAATTGGTAATTTTGTAAACGCTTGTTGGACCAAGTAGCAGTCCAAGAGAGGTTTACGATAAGTGCTCCAAATCTCTTCCAGTGTGGCTCCGTTATTGGAGAAAGGCGAGAAAGCTGTTTCTCGACCGACTGCTCCGGAAGGACTGAGTCTCACCATGAGAACATTCAGCTTTTCCTCTTCTACCATCACCATTCTCATTCGGGGACATGAAAAAGCCTGAACAACGACCCCACGACATCCTCCCCGCCTGCTGCTCCTGTTATAATCTGATTGAAAAGAAAGGAGGGAGGAGAAGAAGAAGAACGCTTCTCGCGAGTCAAAGGGATTGCTGGTCTCTCGTCTTGTTCTACTGTCCTCTCAAAGAGTTTGGATTATATGGTGGAAATCGTTAAATTCTTGAAAGAAGTACATCTGGTGTATGTATCTTTGGTGAGAATGAAAGTAGTTTTCTTATAAAGAAAATAAGACAAGCAAGATGGGGAATTTTTATTGCAACTTTTTTGAAATTTTTTGACATTGGGATAAGTCAAAGAAGCCATTCACCATAATATGTTCTCCAGATTTATGAAATGCGGCAATGGTTAAAGGGACGGAAAATGACATCTTGTACATGGGTATTTCAACGAATCAAATGGCAGTTTAAATTTGTTAATGTGTCAATATTCTCTAAAATGGCACACAAAATGATAGTGATTCCCATCATAGGTAGTCATTATCATCAGCACAAAATTCGCCTCCCATGTTCCACTTTTAGTCCGATGAAGGGCTTATGGAACCGGCAAGTCCGTGTGTGCGATTTTTTTGCCAAATAATAGAAATTATTTTTTCGACCATCCCCACAATGGGGGGTAGTCTGATCAATTCGGACAAAAATTTAGTAGCGAACGCTGTCTCTGACTCGGGCTAAATGAAGTCTGCACTGTAGGTTGTATACATATGTATGTACGGAGTATAGTATATCTAAAATTCTACGGTATGGAGAGTATTTCTTAATATGAAAAGTGATGAGACGTGATAGGACCCCCGTAAAAAAATATGGGCATGTACGCAATTTTTTCGAAAGGAAGACGTGGCCGGGAATTCTTGAGAAATGTCCGTCCCCGGCAGCATTCATGCGGATGGAATTTCCTGATAGATACATCGACTGAAGAAACGAATATCCTTAATGTCCGATAACTTGTTATATGTTATGTACCCTCAACCATAATAGTCCACACCATATTGCAAAGCAGATGGATATATGTAGTTGAGAAAATAGTGGAATTTCTCGACTCAACTGTGTGCCACATAATTCGGTTCTCTCACTCATAAGCTGCGGAAGCAGTGGGGGCATTAACGTTGCAATAGCAGTGGGAGGGGCTTGGAAAGAGTTGAAGGATTCTCGATGCGCCCACGGTTCACGCTCCTGTTTTCGCACAGAGTCTCGCCAAATAGTTTTGTCATCCAAAAACACGCAGATTTGAGCCAAACGCGAATACACACATATTTTGCTGTTTTGGAAATAGACAAGGAAGGATGACGGATGGGATGAGGATGGAATGGACATTATTCGTTAGGTTTTCCCATTCCTTTCTTCCACGCCGCCCACCCGTTCTTACGTAGGCATAAGAAACCCTTTCTCGAGAAGGTCATGAAAGACCAGTTGCGATTGCATGCACGTTAATAGCTTTCACCGGATTACAAGAAAGGAGAAACTGACTCCTGCCTGCCTGCGGTTTGCTGGTGGCAGTTCGCTCAAAATAATTTATATCTAATCCATCAACGAAAGTCCAGCGGCTCGAAATATGATTCCTGTGGTTCGGCAACTAAAGCCCTCTGAGACGGTTGACGGTCAGCCATCTGTGACGAACTCGAGATCAAAGCAAAATTAATATTGGGTCGATGATGGAAAACATAATGAAAAGCATTTTAGGCCAATCATATTTTAATCATGACTGAAGGGAATTATTGTATGTAATATGTATACCTAATAGCCTATGGTATACCTTATTCTACTAACATGAGCTGATGGGCAGGGACATGCATTTTACATTTACTAATATTTGATGATGATAAAAAAATCAGTATAAAATTCATGTTTGATGTGCGTAGGCCGAACGTGGATAGGAGTGGGAGGGTCATGGAATTAATAAGATCCCCAATTTTTAGGCAAATTGTCCTTACGAGATATCTGGTATTCTTAGGGAAGATGAGATGTACTATGTTTCCCTTATTTATGACATACGGCTAATCTGGCATAGATGCTTCAGGTGGGTGGGATTGCGGTGACAATATTTCTATCTCAGGTCGACATGTGAATTTGCCTTAGGTTACTTTTTCTGAGTTATGGTCAGATATGAGCATGTAATTAAAGCTTTTGGTTTATAATATTCATTCATTCTGCACAGTAATTCCATGGAAGAAGTTGCATAATACGTACGAGTAGTTGGCGAAGTTGATGCGCCCCAGCGAACCTGCAAAATCTTGCGGGATCCAAATCCAAGGAAAGTAAAAATGAGTTTGCATAAAAGCTGATCCTCGTCATAATTTTCCTTCGATCGATTTCATTCAACTGAAAATTTGCTGTCCTTCATTTATTTATCTGTCTCATCACTCTTTGGGGGTTAATTTTCCGTAAGTGACCATTTTTCTAACAAAAAAGATTGACACATTGTCATTTTCTACTTAGAAAATAATAATCTGGAACTTTTTTTTAGTTATTACCTCTGAAAAGTTCATAAATTATTTAGTTCAGTTTAAGTAGGTTACCTCCTTTATTGATACTGTGTTTACTTCTGCCACGAATTGAAATTGTCCCTTTAATCAAGTTATAATCAAGTTATAGTATAATGTGTAATGCATATTATTAATTATTAAATAGGGGCAGGAGAGCGAGGTGCAGAATGTCTCACGGTCACTGTGGGAGTGGGGGTTGCAATGGGGACCACAACCATGAGCACGACTCACCCGAGATGGGGGTGGAGTACTCCCTCTACACAAAGATTGACAAAGAAAACCTCACCTGTCTCAATGAAGCCGTGGATGGATCCTGCAAAACTATCTTCAAACCTTGGGATCAGCGACTTAACTTTGAAACGGTAACCTTTACTCGTGACCATGCATAATTTGGAGTCAAGAATTAATACTATTTTCTTTTGCAGATGGTCGACAGTGATGTAGATGAGGAGCTCTTAATCAATATTCCGTAAGAAGAATTTTGTTAGTACAATTAAAAAATCGAACGTTTAGCTTGGATGTAGCCCGAGTCAATTATTTAATTCGACTAAAGTTTAATTTGGGTGTCACCATGTTGGGTCCCCCTGACAAAACACGTGGTTTGAAAATAAAGTTGGATAAGCTGCTCATCCGCTAGGGTACCAAAGACATTACGATTCGTAATGTCTTTGGTACTCGTAATTTACGAGTACTAATTCCTGTATGGCAAAACCATGACTCGGGTTAAACCCAGATTAGACAATTAGTAAATTTGAATTGGTTCGGTTTATTTAGATTCACAGGCAATGTAAAATTGAAGGGGATTATAATTTGCGCTCCAGACGACGAAAGTCATCCTAACTGTGTCCGTTTGTACGTATAAAATTAACATTGTGAAGGTATATCATCCAATTTTGTCAACTTTGTGATATATATATATAGGTTTAAAAACAGACCACACATGACATTTGATGATACAACGACAGAACCGGTGCAGGAATTTCATCTGAATCGTGACCCAACTGGATTGTTAGAGTATCCTCTCAAGTACTAAAGATTCTTGAACTATGCACGTATAGTATGGGGGCATATTTAACATAGAAAATTATTACAAGTTTGCTGTTTTATTTTAGGGCTGTAAGTTTTTCATCCGTCAATCACTTATCGATTCATGTTCCGTCTAATTTTGGGAACGACACGACAAAGTTGTGCTACATTGGACTACGCGGAGAGTGGACGGCAGCTCAACGCTCAGAAATTCTCATTACAAATTATGAACTTCGACCAAATGTTGCGGATCATCCAAATCGAGTTTGGGAGCAGGCTTCGCACGAAATTCAGTAACCGATTGTGATCACTTCGATTCATATAAATATCGTTATACATATGTACATGTACGTACATGTCTTTTACTTTATGTTTGTCGTCAAAAGATGAGCGTTTACTTATGCCTATTATAATATAAAATTTTAAAATTAAAACATTTATAATATTGCAGTATTTGTAAGCCACTAAATATCGTCGATTATATAACAAATTTAATTTTAATTAATTGTGTATATAATTTTATGAAAAATTGCATGCTGTAATATGTATATGTAACGTAATTTATCATGTGAATCAAAAAATAAACTTACTACTTTACTTTAGCGTTCACAATCATTAATTATATTTCAATTTTTTATGTAACCTGCAAGACGATTCCTTGGCTGGAATCAGGAAATCCATTTTGAGTAGATGAAGAGCATTTCGAAACGATGGGTGTGGATTTATGCCATTTGTGCAGACAGTTGATAGTAATAGTTTTTTATGAAATCTCAATCTGTCTTGCATTCATTTCGTCCCTCCTCTTTTCTGACTCAAATCTATTGTACCTGTGACCAAATCTATTTAAATTCTACTCAAATTCAGAACTCATCGTCAAACCAAAAATTTACCATTTACCAAGTCATATTTGAATTTTTAAAAATAAAATCTAATAAGTACACGACTTACAATGCAAGTCTTTTACGTGTACAACTCCTATCTGGTTGGGACCAATTTTATTTTGTTCATCACAAAAAACAAGCATACCCGTATTTTTTCATTTTTCATAATGCGCTAATTTGAGCGCGGGGCGCGAATTTTAAATCATTTTTCAGCCAAAACCTCGGTTTTTAAAAATTCTGTAAATTTTCGAATTTTAGCCCGAATCCAAAAAATCGAAAACATGTCTCCTCAGAATGACTTACCTGACTTATGAAAAATCCACATGTATTATTTTTTGAAAACTTAAAAATTTGAAAGAGTTTATAATTTTAATTTTCAAAAACTGGAAAAAATTTTGAAAATCAAATTTCGAGACAATTGCATTTTTCATAAGTCAGCTAAGTCATTCTGAGGAGACATGTTTTCGATTTTTTGGATTCGGGCTAAAATTCGAAAATTTACAGTATTTTTAAAAACCGAGGTTTTGGCTGAAAAATGTTTTAAAATTCGCGCCCCGCGCTCAAATTAGCGCATTATGAAAAATGCAAAAATACGGGTATGCTTATTTTTTGTGGTGAACAAAATAAAATTGGTCCCAACCAGATCGGAGTTGTACACGTAAAAGACTTGCATTGTTAGCCCAATCACGAATTAATTAATTAATTAATTCTATACATTACACTCCTCTTGTTTTGCACCCCCAATGAGTAATGAGCTACTGTAATTATCATGTCATCGATAAGTTATCATATAAAAACAACTTTATAATAATTAGATAGCTGTGTGAGACCAATGATTAACAATATATCTAGTTTATCCGATGCTCAATGCATTGAACTTATTGGATTTAGAGCTTGCCGATGTGCATATATGTATGTAGAAAAACGTAGCATGTCTCGGTCTCTTGATCACCTCTGACTAATTACTTGACTACTAGCGAAAAACCACAATATTATAATTATGCATATTCTCATTATATAATCATCTTATCAAACATGAGTATTATCATCGGAAGGATCGTATTTGGTTTAATGTTTGAGGTCTGCACACTTGAGGAATTCATAATTGATTTAACAGTGTATTTTAGCTAGTTGTTAAATCTACATTTAAAATTATTTGTAAATATATAAATCAAAGTATTTAAGTAATCCACTGCAAGGCTTTCGAATGAAACTGCAGTTAGTATGTAGCTATCTGACAGAAGTTGTACATGACTTCTAGTAAATAATTGGACGCACATATGTACATACGCACATATGTATATGGATGCACGTATTTTTTGCCTGCCAGGTAACATTTTCTAATTTAAAGGGCACCAATCAATTGCTAATTGCTTATTCGTTATGGTTGTGGCCTTGTCAGTTCTTTATTTCCTCGCTTTTTACTTAGTTTATTAATAACTTTGGTGAGAAACTTTTTTGTGGCGTTTTCTGTGGTGTGCAGCAAAAAATAAGTCTACACAAATTAAATTGAATTAAGTTCCCAGAAAGATGGGATTATCTGGATCTGTCACAAAATGGGTAATTACATATGTACATTTACACGAGCTATTATGTAGTTTGATGTATATCACTGCGACATCTTTTTCAAATTCTTGAAGATTTAAATAAATCTAAAGTTTGCCGTTTTTTGTTCAGATAATTGCGATAGTTGTTCTTACGACGAGCATTGTGGACGCTTGCAACTCGTACGGGCACTACGGGAGCTCGGTCGTGGATTTTTCCCATCTTGACAATTTGGACGCTTCCCATCATCCCACGTTGAGCGAAAAGATTCGGAGTGTGGTGAGGTCACATTACGGGAAAGGGTGGGGCTGGTCCCCTCCAAAGTCATCTTACCAAGGTCACTCTGGAGGGGGTGACAGCTACAGTCACTCTGCTGGCGGTGGTGGTGGTGAAAGCGATGGCCATCATCATCTCTCATCAATATCTTCACATTCTGTAAGTTTACAAAAATTGTGTCAATTATTTGTTGTCGATACACTCAATTCTGACAGCTTATAATGCATACTCTCTTTTTCAGTCACATCATAAACCAGGATACGAATTTGCGGCTCATAATCACCAGAAACCAGTCATCGTGGGTCCTCCAAAGTCCAAAAATGCGGAAGGAATGTCAAGAAAATATCGAAAAGTTAAGGTGGTACAAGTCAAGAAATTAAACGAATAATGCAATGTTTGTATCCATTATTAGCGTTAATAGTATTATTATTCATTGAGTTGTTGCAGTGAGCATGTTTGACAGAAAAAGTGTGTATGATTGATTAACTCTTAAGAGGTATTAAAACCATCTTTTTGTTTTCAAAATTATTCTTGTTGAGTTTTTCCCATTTCATTGCTTGTTCTGTAAAACAACAAAATTAGATAATAGATTTTCAGAGCTGTACATATACTGATTCACAAAAAATGGAGGTCTATTGAGCTCATTGTAACTTTGTTTGATACCTGCTAAATCCGTTGCACCTTGGCTGGGCCCGTACGCAGAAACGAACTCCCTTCGGTTTCTACTTTCATGTTCCAGCGAAGAATGCTCAACTGCAATAAAGTGGACATTGTACAAACGAAGCTGTTCAAAGAATGATTAAAGTTAGTTAAATATAGGTCACATTTACTGGGGGTAGAGGTTGATAATACAATGAACGTTAGGCAGCAGGCACCAATGAGAAGAATATTTATACAGCTAACTTTGTGCATTATGATGAAATACGTCGTCGTTATTATAATAATTTGAAATTAGCTTAAATTTAAGCAGTAAATTAAGTTTTTGTTTAACAAGAGTCGAGAGGAACTTGTCTCATGAAAGATTTGTAGAATAGTGACAATTTTTCTAGTCTGTTTTCATTAAATACTCCTGACCTATGCTTCACGGTATTAGTAAATGCAATTGGCTCAATTAGTAATTCATTTAACAAGTTTAGTTTAAAGCTGATGAATCATTCCATCTCGTGTGATTCGTTAGTAAGCTAATTATTATTTGAAGATGATATAATCTTAAATTCATTTTTTACTCATTACTATATAAATATATACATACATAATACATCAAGCACGCAATATGTCAATTATGCAATTTAATGAGCTTTCTTAATATATTCCCTTAATAATTTACCTGCATATACTATGTGTTATAAAGTATCTGTAATAATCATACCATATACTATACGTGGATTTGACATAAGGAAATTCTGTCGTACAATGGTTTGAAATATTAATTTTCTTTGTCTGAAATTCGAACTTGTAACAAACTTTGTCAAGTATGAATTTTAATTCCACACAAACACATCCTCATAGAGTTATATTAATATAAGCAAATCCTACATATTTCTTAATGGATTCGTGTTATTGTTTTCTTTACTACAGCAATTTTTTTAAAAAACAGAATGTACAAGGTTTCTAGATTTCTTCATTTTTGGACTTGGTTTTTTGAGTGGATTTTTTAAGATGAGCTTAAATTTAAAGTATAGAGCCCAAGCCAACAAGCGCCCCTTTCGTGTGCAGACTTTCCAAACTTCAGAAAAGAAAAGGACAGCGGAACACGCTAGAAGCATTCCATACAACATGAACAGGATTTGAATTGAAGATTCCAACGTCAAGGGTTCCCATTCTGTTCCAAAAAGTTGGTTTCTGCTGTTGCCTCGCATGAAGCTCAGAAATGATTTATGTAATCGAGCCATCCCCCAATGAAAGGGGATTCCGGAGGATTGCAAAATTGCACGATAATGCAGAACTGCTGTGGATCTAGAAAGTCTCAATATCCAGTCTACAGTAATGTCCGACACCTTTTCTTCCGTGAGAGAACATGTAACTTGACCAATGCGGAATGAGAACTTTCCAGATGCGATGGTTCTCAACAAGGAGATCGCATTTGGGATAACCGTGAATCCTCCGTTTTCACCAAGAGTTCGGAAAGTCTCGAATGGTTGTGTTAGTACATTCTGGAAATGAAATCCTTTCACCTCCTTGTAATAACTTGCCTTCACTTTTCCTCTGTACTTGGGGTTACTCTCCATCACTGCCATCATGAATGGAATTTCACTCTTGTTTCCTACAAGGAATTTGTATTGTTTAACATGGATTAGTTCGTGTAGGTCGAGGATTTGCTTCTCTCCGAGCGGTCTTGTGAGCCCAGTTGTGACCATGCCGAGGTATGCGTTTGTGAGTACGATCAATACCAGCAGTGACGATGACAGCCCTGGACTCCAAGACCGTTGCAATGACTGAGCTAAAAGAGTACCAAATATGTCGAAACCGTAGTCGGGGTCGCGATGGAACAACGCCATCGCCACGGCAGAAACAATAATCATCACCCAAGTGTAGACATCGAATGGACTTGTGAGACTGCTCCAACTAACGGTTTGATATTGGAGCACCTTTGGAAAGTAGCAGTAGATAAAGTTGAGAGTTTGGACATGACTCTTGAATACTTTGGGGTTGTACCACTTCATCTTTTCGTCCCCGTCTTGCTCAGAGGTATTGCAGAGGAGGCAAATGTGCAAGCCGGGGACAGTCGGAGAAAGCCAGTGCTCCTCACCGTCTCTTGCCGGGGTAAGAGTGAGGTTGAAGTGCTTTGCAATAATGCCTAAAATTACGTGGGTTGGTTGACATCTGGACGGTTTTTCCTGATAGTTCTCCGATGTGCAGTTGGGATTGTTCACGTTATCCATTTCACCTGGGGTGTTACTCATAATGTAGGCAGTCCCACCTTGAGGAGGTGAAGAAGTGCTCGTTTTCTCTTGTAATATTGACGATGCTAGAAATGGACCTCTATGCCAAGCGATTTTCAACCCCGGTGGACACAAGTTGCAGTACATGGCCCACTCTGACGTGACCATGTTGAGCAAAATGAGAGGTGCGTGAAAAAGATGAGGTAAAGGTTCTTCTTCTGACGATGAATCCTCTTCTTCTTCGTTAGGGTATTGTTGCAACGATTTGAACAATCGTTCATTACTGCTACCATTTCGAATATGGAGAATAAAAATCGCTGCGTCCGAGTACGCAAAATTAGTGTTGGTGATGATTTTTGATAAAACTTTGAATGGTTGAGTGGCAGAGGCGTCGTCTAGTTTGTCAATCAGTAGGAAAACTGAAAATATGATACAGAAAGATTTTAAACGACTAAATATTGGCTGAGATTTTACTTCTTTGTGTAGTGCATTTGTTTCTGTAAAGTATATTGTTGCAGGTTTCTGAGGGAAAAAATATTTGGTGACTTCCCAATCATTCCAGACACTAATTGTTTCTTTGTGATGTTGGTCAAATAGATAAACTAGATCACACTCCCCAACACCAAGATTTGTATTGATCTCAAAACAAGAACAATAACGTAAAATAACTTGCATGAAAATGATGATATCTAATCCTGGAAATTGTGATTTTTTACGCATATTACGTATGTAGATATGTACATAATTTGTTAGTATGAAATGGCAAGTATAAACGCTGTCAAGAAATAAGATAAGCAATGTTGTAATGTAAGGAAGGCAGGCACAATTCGTACTGGCGTATAGCTTGAGCAAACACAAATTAAAACCAAGGCCTTTCTCCGAAGTGTTCCATATTATTGAGTATATTTATTAATGAGAAAAAATAAATACTTTGTAGTTCGATTGTTTTTGTCATTTTAACAGTTTTTATATGAGGTTATGTATCAATACTAATTATCTTTTCCTTGTGTTATGTATTCCTTTCATGGAAATCTGTAATTATATATATTAACTTGGTGTCGTTGAAGCTTTCATAAGGGCCATTTCCTATTCTACGACATTGAATTACTCTTGTTTGGAAGCTTCAAAAGCGTTGTATAACAATCTGCAGCTACGTAAGTATTTTATTGTACTTCTGATAATTAACAAAAAATAAATTCAGTGTTGAAAATTAACTTTTTCCGCTTAAAATGCTTACACACATGCAATTGATATGCAATTTAGAATCATGCGGCTTGGCTATAAAATTAAGGAGCCTTGATGAAGAGTCGTCCTTTGGAGTCCGCGGGTGTGACCATCACTCTCGTCAAAGAGACGTCTCTCGGAGCAAAAATGTTGACAACTTCAATGACATCGTCTTCCAACCCAAGTGAAGAGTCGGCTGTGTTCAGCTTTTCCTTGAGGAGTTTAATCCCGCTCTCCCTGACGCTAATCACCAAGATGGAATTGTATCTCTTCTCTACAACGATTTTCGTCGGGTCGACATCTTTAATACGCACCTCAATCTCCACGCCCCGCTCGTTAGAGGAGACGCTTGGACGAACGGAGGTGCTCATTTGTGGAGGAAGCCCCTTTTCAATATTGATAATGTAGCCACCGATGGTGATAAGCTTGTCAGGTTCGTCAGGTGCAAAAATATCTCGTAGTTTGTTCTGCGATAAATACAAAAATAAGCATGCGGATGCATAAGAATTGTTTTTTTTTCTGAATGAGAGGCCTCTGCAACATCAATAACAATATTACCGATGTCGCTGGAGAATGTGCAAATTTTGAATTTCGAGTCTGACTTAAGGATCTCTTGCTTGAGGCTGCTTGACCCTCTCGAAGCCATTTCAAAGGTTGTGTGGAAGACGTGGTGTTGTTGTCATTTGGTTGAAGTGATTTTGTCTTGAATTTAATATCATAACGATTCAAATATAGTTTTATCAAAGCAAAAAGAGTTGTTCAAGTCAATATTGCAGTTGTTACCGTATTTCCAATGGTGGCTTTTCCTAAGGGTCTCATCGCCCGATTCTCATTGCCTCTCCTCCCATGATTTTTGTGAGTGTTGGACATGGCCTTGATCTTCTCCTCTGCCATGGAGAGCAGTGTGGCGGTCGAGTGGGGGACGGGGGGATGAAAGTCCTGCTCGTAAGTGCTCTCTTCAGGATCGTACAAGGGCTGCTCGCGTTCCGTTCCGTACGCAGAAAAATTTGGAGTGAGGATAAGCCCGTTCAAAATGGTTTTCGTAGAGTCCAGCTTGTAAGATGATGGAGCTGGGTTTGTTTTCGTGGCACCGGATTTCGTGGTCTTGGCGCTGTTAGCTTTCAACGTGGCTGTGGGCATGATTGTTTATTTGGATTTATAAAACATGCAATCCAAAAATGCAACAAAACTTGAAAAAAATTGGAGGAATTTGAATGATTATAGTTATTGCTATAAATGGTTTTCAATTTTTACTGTGTAGATAGATGTGACTGATTTTCAAATTGGAATAATGCGTTGCCTGGAAAATAGGCCGATGAAACATTCATCAATTCACTTTATGTTACTTGACGCTGTAAAAATTTTAAATGGACCCCAACTTATGTCCACTGGTATGTGTAAATGCTCATGATATTTTACTATTTACCTGATTGGACTAATAATGCAAACCTGATATTCCCCATATGTAAATGATATTTATGAAGGCTATTCTCCCAATACCCTGTCACATTTCCAATGATAACACAATTACATAACACAATTGCAAGGAGGCAATCAAATCAGCAAACTGCAATCACAGACGGCGACAGCTTCAAGAACGACAGTCCGATTAATTATTTAATTCAAATTGACTAAATTCCGTTAAATTAATGTGCACGTTCAGTTTAGACGCATTAACTGTATAAGTACTTTACTGATATGTAGTTTCATCATTTCATCACTTTCATCTCTCGTAGTCCAGCATTTTCGACCGACTGAACAAAACATAAAGGTAGAATATGCATATTCATTACATTACACGTTCATTACTATTTAATTACGCCAACACTTTGCTAATGCGACCAACGAAACTGGCTCGGTTCTACTAACGAGAGTTGTGTCTTGAGACTCTCAAGTTAAAAGTTGTTCGTATGTAGAACCGAGCACAAAATGCTCGGTTGGTCGCACCAACAAACAAGCCAACACTTTGGATGAGCAATTTTTCCAATTAATATAATCATATTTAAATCAAGATGGGCTCGTTGTCTCAAATCGCCATCCTCATCAAAACAACCAACTTTGCTGCAACCAAGCATCGTAACCAGAGAAGGAAGGACCCCTCGAAAACGCCATACATTAACCATCCAATAGGTATAGATAGACTTAAGAATTACGGCAATAATTGCCAACAAGGCTCGCAAATGTTAATTTCATGAATATTTATTGTCTGGTTTGCATCCTATTCGTCGTAGGAGTAGCCAACATTTTAGTCGAAGAAGGCGGAATTGAAGACCTAGCAGTTATACAAGCAGCTCTTCTTCACGACACGGTTGAAGACACAGATACCACGCTGGCAGAGTTGGAACAACATTTCGGCTCCAAGGTAAGACAAGCCCTCGTGTTATGCATTTTTAAATAGGTCTGTCTGTATCTTCTTGGGCACGCACGGCAGGTTTCAAGCATCGTGGCCGAAGTCACAGACGACAAGCTTAAGCCAAAAGAAGAACGGAAACGACTCCAAATAGAACATGCAGCCCACGCGTCAACTGAGGCCAAATTGGTGAAGATGGCGGACAAGATTTACAACTTGCGTGACCTGGAGAAAGCCCTCCCTCTCGGGTGGGATGATGCCAGAAGACGAGAATACTTCGTTTGGGCAAAACAAGTTGTAGTTCATTGCTATGAGGCGAATCCAGCGCTGGCAAATATTCTCAAAGAGATTTTTACACGAAGCATCAATTTTTAAGGTGCTGGTGGGTGGAGACTATTTATAATGTGTGTACCAGTATTCACTATTAATAGTTTTTACACATTCCCATATCCACCATTTTTTTTATATAAATGGTATCTAGTAAACAAACATAAAACATCACAATTACAGCATTATGGCATTACAAACAGATTGTATGAAGTAGTAGGACAATAAAATACATATTTGCATAGTTATTGTATTAGTAACTACTATTTAAATAACTTCCTTATAAATTGGGCAGCAATCTACTTGGGCCCTTCGTGTTAATGAAAGAGTACTCGTTATATATTGGATTAAGTCTCGCCCGAACGCAGGGCCAGTGATTTATCTCATTCTTGAACGGTCTCAGTCCTTTATCCTCAAAACTTTCCCACATTTTGTACACCTTTGGAAAAAGTTCACCTTTTTCATCCCCATGAATTTCAATGTGCAACTGGCCCCATGGGAGTATCTGGAATTCATTCAGGATTTGCTCCATGACGTCAAATTCTCCAGATTCAATATCCATCTTGAGAAAATCAATCCACTGATGACCGTTCTGCAATCAAGCCACAACACGTTACTATTTATATGATAAAAAAATATCGTGATTTGCGATGCAACCGTAACCTGTTTCATGAGAGAACCCAATGTAGCATTTCCTTTGGGTTGTATGTACACTTTATTAAAGTGAACCCTTGGGTGTGGAGTGGTCACTTGATTTCCCATTCTATCCACGGACGCATCATACGCCCATATTTCACAGTCTGTCCTCTCTAAAAATTCTGCTTCGAAGCTTGACTCTGTAGCCACTCCGAATGAATAAATGATGCACGGACGATCTTTGTTAGGGAACGATTCTTCTGGTTTTTCCTAAATTAGTGAAGGAAACTCTAAATGCAGGCATTTTTTATATAATGACCGCTTCATCACTACCAAGATTATAACTTGATATTTGATAGTATGGATAGTTGCACATGTACATCTGTTGTTTTCACGGTGTCAAAGAGTTCCATTCCGCAGACCCATTTACCCCCATCGCCAAGGGCTCCAATCCTCTGGATCGTGTATGGACAGGAAAAAGCGGGTAGAAAGTAATCCCAGAAATACATGACCCTTGCAGGTGGCCATGGGTTCACTTTTGCAGGATCAGCACCCACAAACTCTCTTCGGCGACGCCGATATTCCTACAACATAGGAAATGACGAGTAAAAATTTCTGCAAAAATATGCTTTATTATTCCAACACATGTGATTGTAAATTGTATAAAGTTTGTGACTATAACGTCAGACCCGAAGGAAAGTATATAACAAACCTGATAGCTTTTTTCCGACGCATCAAATTGTTTCCGAAGAAAACGGCGATAATTGTTTTCTTCTTCATTGTTCTGACTTCTTTGAGCAAGAGAGGGTTGTGACTCCTCTTCAATCCAATGATGCTGACCTCCGGGCGATGGTGTCGAAGGACGTGACCCGGCAGAGGACTTTGTGATGACATTTATATAGAAAAGGGTCCAAATGAGGAAGATCAATATTACCAATCCTGTCAACCTTGGGTTCATTATTGCTTGCGGAAAAATCTATAGCTCAATTTCACTTTGAAAGTGATGATGACGAAAAACAACTCCAGTTAATTTATCCAGCTAATTTATAACGAAGACAGAGTGCCAAATATAGGATATTTGAATACCAATCCTAAGCCATATAGGATAGCAATGAACTTGTATTAAATATTTCTCTGGTGACCTGCTGGCCAAGAAGAAAGTGAGAAATTTATTGCACCTCACACAGCGGTTCCACCTCCACGTAGTTCACTCAACCATGCAAATATTTGGCCAACTGTTACAATTTGCAAATAGTATTAATTGTATTGAAAGTTTTTGTTTAACAAAACAATGCACGAATTGAATTATGCATCAAGTTCCAGCAACACAAGAGCCCACTTTTTATCATAGCATTGCTATTTTAACATGAATGGCGTGAAATTATGCAATGTATTTTCCTCGTAAGACATCCATCTGTGGTTTTGAGATATCCTGCTTAAAATTGATAGCATGCTAATAACTAATCAGGCCTAACGTCAAAATTACTTGTTTAAGTACTTGATTGAGTTCATTATTCAAGTAAAATGTGCAGATAAGTAGTATGTATTGACCGATGCAATAAATACATTAATTAAGCATATTATTATAAAAATGTTTACCTTGTGATAATTATTTTCATCGTAAGGACTCTTTACTAGGGAGGAAGGAGAGGTTGCAAGGATGTCAGAGTTGAGAATTTCGTAGGATCTTAATCTTACATACACGTAGTAATTCATGCATCATCAATGATGTCATCATTCATCATATCATAAATATGAGTTTGAAAAAGCGTGGTTAAGCTCCATGAGCCCTATTACACTCCTGTCATACCCCTCAAATTCGAGGAAACCCCCTCTGCATACAAACCTTGCAGCAAACCGTGAGCGAAACTGGACGAATGCTAAATTTTGACATCGACAATGTAAAAATGCCAGCATTTCTCAAAATAATCGTCCTAAAATTCGAAATTCTGCAGATCTTAATAAATTATATTAATATAATTTAATGTGCCAACAATTCTCTCTCTATCTAATATAGTGCTATACTTCAGCAATACCATTTGGTTTTAATTTTGCAATATATGTAATTTTAATTAATTAATTAAATTATACACTACACCCCCCACAGCTGGGTCGTTGGTTATTACTAATGCATCTCAAGATACTTACACACACACGTAGGTACAGTAATGGTAAAAGTTAAATTTATTTTCAAATATTATCAGTCGTATTAATTATATGAAAAACTTGTCCACACGTCCATCAGCATATCAGCAATGCGAAATGTGAGATTCTTCATGGGTTTAGCTCGATTGAGACGAGACAAAATTCTCACCTTTCATTGCATGGCGGGCAGTAGTATCTACTAGTAAACGTCACACCGCTGGATGCAGGCCACGACCACGACCAGATTATTTCTCAAACTACAAGTTTTGAATTTTACATTTTATCTCACTTGACGTGACCAGTGGTCACTGATCACCCTTGTAGTTTCAAGCATTTTCGATATTCCAAAAAGAAATAAACAAGCACTTCAAGTAAGTAATTAATTACTTTTATTATTTGTTACATTGTGAATATGGAGCAACATTTGATTGCTGGCTTTAAAATGTTTAGCGTTTAAAAAACGTTAAAATAATTAGCATTTATACCAATTGTGTTTTTGAAATTAACAGGAAATTACTAATTAATGCTGATGATGACATCCAAGCCTTGCGAGTGGCCTTGGTGGACCGAGGAATTGCGGAACACTTTGGAGGAGATTCTGGGAGAACGGGAGGGCGACGACGTCACGGAGAATGTTTTCGAAGAGGGGAGGATTAGTGCTGACGGCAAGGATAAGTTGGAGAGAGCTGTTCGGCTGGAGTGTACAAATCCGAGCCTTCGTTTTGCATATATTCGGGCATTAGCGGACGAGTTGAACGGGTATGAGGACATAGTGGACAAGAGGTTTTTGGTAGTCTCATTTGGAACAAAAAGAATTTTGGGCAGCGTCCAACACCTAAGGGATTATATTTATGGCCAGTGCATGTATGTACAATACGGATTATTTTCATAAGTGGTTTTCATTTGGTATCTTATTATTTCATGAATTTTATATAGGAAATTGTTCGACCTGGACCCAATTTCTCTCGAGTATAATTTAGGGGTTGCACGTTTGTGCACTTTGACTCTTCCACCCTGGGCAAGGAATCTGCAATTTGCTAAACTATGTTTGGATCGTGCTGTGATCTTTCACCACGAATCATCCAAAGCACTAAAGCGTATGGCGTCTTATCTGTTGAATGTTGTAAGTTTTTAAAGTCTATATACTCTTGTTTTTATTAAATATAGTAAGACCTGCGTGATATAACTATATGAATTCAAACAAGTTGAATTTTGCAAATAATAGGAAAAAGATATTGCTTCCGCTAGATCGTATTTTCAAAAAGCCATCAGTTATGATCCGGAGGACTTTCAGACTGCAATCTCAATCTTGTACTCATTGTTTGCTGATATTGGAACATTCAAAGGACAAGTCAGCACCCTTTTGAAAGCAGAATTCCAGAAACCTTTTTGGACAGATAAGCAAATAGCGGAACTCTATTTTGTCCGTGGACTTTTTCAGTTCTTTTACAACGGATATGAAAAAGATGTTGCTATTTCTTGGACACTTGCATTTTCCAAGAGTGAACAAGAGTTTCAAAGTTGCATTGAGGTATGATTAAGTTAGATTTATGAATGTTTCAAATTTTTTGTTTTATTAATTATGGAATTATACATCAAATTTTTCTGACAGCGCTTCACGAGAACCAAAATGATTTATCAATTCAGCTGGAAACATGACGAAGTTTTCACGTTCTCCAATTTCTGTGATGTTCTGAAGGAAGGCTTCGCATTCCCAGAAGTTGACGCGAAAAAACTTAAAGCTATTCGATCATTGATCAAGATTGTAGGACGAAAGGAATTTAAAGAAAAAAATGAAAAAGCAGCTCGAGCAGCCTCTTCTGACGTAAAGTCATCTCATTTCGGTAGAAAGGGTCCCGAGGTGCCCCCTACCATTTTGGATAATATTCTTGTGGGATCTGAAGGTGACGTAACGGAAGCATTCAAACTGTTTAGGATTCCGGAAACATCTCCAAAGTTTATAATGGAGGATAAGTATAGAAAAGCGTGCCGTGAGCTCCAATGCATTAAAAAGCAACCCCAGTGTGATCACGAAGAAATAGCGCACAAAACTTTTGAACTCAACTCGGCGTTTGCTACGTTGCATCATCATTTCCATCGAAAACGAGATTCTGCTGCTGCTGCTACTACGGAAATTCGAAAACCCAAGGAAGAAATCATGGTGGACGAACACTTGTATGAAATTGATTAATCCAATGGGTTAAAGTTAATATTAATAAGAAAATAACGTATGCACATGTTATCTCGGTCTTGTTAAGTAATGTGAAGTGACAATAATTTATGCTGCACACTAGAGTAACTTATTTTACAGAATGTAAAAAAAGTACTTGTTAAACAATGGGTTTATTAATTAAATGAAAATAAAATAGTAAATAATATTTTGGAATTTAAATAATGCAACAATGTAAAGTAACTAACTCCATTAATAAGTTGTTATTAAAGCAAGTAGTGCATCTATTTCAGTAATTACTATACTCAAATACTGAATCCAAAAGACGTCAAATTAGTAATTATCATATGGGTTTCCATACTGAGAGATATTACTTGCTGGAAAGACTTTTGATAGTAGAAAAGAAATGTCCACTTTGTGTGACAGTCTGTGTAAACTGCAGACTGTAATGATTGTCGATGCATTCAGGAGGACAATTGTCAATATATAGAACATTTGAGTTTAACACAATGCTTTTGGGTTTAATGCATTATTATATTACATGGTCTTAAATCTAGATTCAAAATTTCAGTCAGGAGCAGACTTGTCACTCATGACAAATGTCAATTTTGAAAATCAATCGTATCGAAATAATATTTTAAATATTATACATGAATAATCCAATATTCGGCACGTTTGGTACTTAATTATCAGAGGAAACAAAAAATCTAGTGAGCATACATTGTTCCAAAACTTTCTTCTAATTAGCGGTATCCCTATAACTAATTTATTGAAATTGACGATTTATCCTCATCACCACATCATCATCTCTATTTACTTTTCACTACAAGGAAAACCAGGTTGCAAAAATTTGTAGGCAATTGTGCCACATTTGTTGTGGGAGTGATTGTTAGAGCAGCGTATGGGCAATGGGCATTATTTCAAATCCTCGGCAACCAACCTCCCAAATCTCCAACTTCCTCCTTGGTTAATCCTAAAAGGATGGACTATAGTATGCGCAAAAATGAATGAATGAATGAAATAGCATTAGCAACTATGTATACTGTTTGCTTCGATTTACTACAACATAGAAAAACTAGTGGCACTGCAGACTTGGAGTGCTAAATGCAAGATCGTGATGTCAATGTCGGCACTACATAGTACAAAACACTACTAAACTGAACCAATCGTGATGTTATTTGGTTGCAGAGAATGGAAAGTAGATTTGCAATTTTTTTATTTCCTTCTTCTTCGTTGGGTTGATTTAATCAACTTGATTATAAACTGCGGTTACAGAAAAGTCAAGCAATGTCAGTAACTCAATATATACATGTATATATAAGATTACATATACAGTATCATATTTACATACGTATTAGTATGAGAGCCTGGGATTTATTTAACCCTTTTCACAGTAAATAATATGGTTATCCAGAACAATTATATTTAGCATCAGGGTTATCGAATCCATGAGCAGAACATAAGTCGAAAGTCAGGGTCAGTCAGGGCTTGTCCACCAAAAGATGTAGACAAAACTCACAGCGACCCTCAGCATAATATAAATTAGATGCATATGACCAACTCGATTGTCAACTGTAAAATTAAACAGGAAGTTGCAACTTAAAAATACGAATGAATAAGCATTCGTAAATGAAATTACTTACCTATATCTGCATATACGTACGTATGTATGCACCAGTCACCAGTGCAGTGAACCATGAATCACCCTCATAATAATAAGCATATTAATACGTCATTATCATCCATAGAATGATAACGTGTCAAATTACATTGCGACTTTTCTCTTGTTGTATGGACATAAACCCCGAGACGAAGTTTTCTTATTAGCGAACGGCTGCTAACCAAATCCATTCCGTTCAAATGAATTTCTAACAAGCTGACGACGACAATATTGCTTAGATTCTATTAAATACTAGTCATTCCGTCGTTCTTTCAACAATTAAAAATACTTTATAGTTGGCTGGTTGACATCACCATCTCACTCCGACCGAGGGCTTGACAGACTCGCCCTATGAAATGAGACGAGATGATGATGACCAAAAACTTAAAGCAACTGTACATGACTTGGGCAGAACAGAATACCAAATAACAATTCATTGTTACAACAATACTTGCATACGCCAAAGTCATTATGTTTTTAAACACATACAATGCATGCACAACACAACACAACACAATCTCATCGATGGAGTCCGCTGCGTCGTCATTTACCCGTTAAAAACACGACTGCAGGGTCTTGTAATAAGAAAGAAAAGAAATGCACAGTGAAATTTGTTGCTCATATTCTTCCCCGATATTTATTTGCATGAGGAGGTGAATGTGATGGTAAAAAACAAATCCAACCACGCCAAACCAATCTCTTCGTGGCACCACCGAATTTCTTGAGCAGGAGCCAAAAGAATGAGAAGGCATTGCAAAGTCCGGTCGGATTATTGCTACCTGGTTCGCATAATGGAAAGCATTTATGTATGTGTCTACTGTGCACATTCTTGCAACAGGCAGTAATAGAGAAAAGATGAAATAAATAAATTGGATCTACTTGATATTCTCAAGAAGAAAAACTGCTTATGCTCTTCCCTGACAAGATGCACGAGGTGTTTCTGCTCAGGTTCATCAGCATGATTTCCAAGCGGTCAACTGTCAGATGCATAATGTGCATAAGTTGAAAGAGACATGTAGTAGAAATTTCGAACACATGGTTAAAAGTTAACACTTGGTATTGTATTATCGAAAACGATTCTATTTAGAAAACTTTAGCAATTTGTGACTTTCCTTAGTAAATACTTAATAGCAAGAAATATGGAATCAAGATCAGGAAATCTCACCGTTCGCAGTGAGACTGAGATACGCACGATGGTAAAAGGTGAGAATGAGAAAAAGGGATTCATTTTATATACAAAGTAGTTGGACGAGGTGAGCATAATCGCCAAACCATCGTCGTCATCATCGGTTGTTTGAAAGAAGGGAGAAGAAAGGATAATATGCAAGTGGCAGGTATCAGGTAGTGATTGTTGTTGGTTGCTTGGTCGTTTCTGCCGTATAGGTGGGTGACTACTCTTTAAATTATTCTGCCCCAGGGGAGGATAGGAGGAGGAATGCAGACTTAACTGTTCACAGGTGTGCTCTCAAGGAACCTGTCTTCAATCAACTAGCACCGTACTACGAAGATTAACCTGGATGCATGATCCACAAATCATGTCCCCCACGAAATGTGGGGCCAATGTCGATGACAGAGGAAAATTTCTGCACAAAACCTGGACAAGCATTTGCATTTCATACAGATAAAAGTTCAAGTATGCATTTTTCCGGTACGAAATGCAAGACTCAGCAGCAGCGTTTCAGATCTTGGTCGTTTTGTTACATGGATGGGTAGCGAATACTCTTGACGTTTCGGCGTCACAAAATGCTTGCAATCTCTGTTTCTTCGGTTAAATGGACGTAACTTTACAATTTGAATAAAGGAGGACAACGAGTAGACTGAGACTTGGATTAACTTTAGAAAGGAGGACAACTCACCTCTCCTCATCTTGTACGTACACCACCTTAAAACTTATTGGATGTAATTGTTGTAACCATCTTTTAAAGAAATTCTCAACCATTTTTCAGTTTCATAAATTCTAAATAAAATGAGTAAAATGTGACTTGTCCTGTAACTTGTAAGAGAAAATAGTAAAAATGTGAGCAGTGTTTTGAAACTGTGTTGTTGTTTACAGTGCCATATGTCGTCGTCGTCTTTACAAATAATACTTGGAGACAATGACGATACAGTGTTAACCATACCAAAGAAATAATAAAATAAGCTTTTGAGATAAACAGTGTCCAAGAAGGGGGCGAGAAAGGGCCGACTTATTAATTGGAAAGCAAAAATGGAGACTTTTGAGCCGGTAATGAGAAAATGAGACGTTTTATAAGTAATTTTATAGTGCTTGCATATTATTACTATTTGTTGCAGTTATGAGTACGTAATTCGTACCTACTTACTAATGAATGACATTGCTTTTGTGTTGGTAATTAAATAATGGAAAGAAGATGCATTAAATTTAAAATAATAGTTATGTATGTACACAAGGTTAGGTATTTATGAGTACAACTAATGACTTATTAACAATAATTATTTTACGAGCTCATGCTCAACGTGAAAGCATGTTTTATCGGATATGTTGCAAAAGTCATCAAAAGTGATATAATACGCAGCACTGCTCGTATTCACAAGCTTTTGTTCATATACATACATACATATTTGCTGCAATAATCACTATTTTTCTTAATGCTGAACTATACAACAAAGCCCATCATATTCAGATAGACATTTCTTTCTAGATTAACAAACCGTGGAATAAAGTTCATCTTCAGGGAACTGAGATGAAAATGAACCGATTTTCAGCGAAACAGATTAACCTTAATTTTGACATGTTCATATATTGTGTGCCTGAACATATCACAAATATGTCCATTTGTCCATTTACTTGTTCTATGTGCATACTAATTTTTGCGGACGTTGGATAATTTTTTGTTTTCAATGTCCTTAAATTTTGCATCTGAAAATGTAAAGTGAAAAATCTGAGGAGATTTTCACCACGTGATGCACTAGCCCCCCACACTCCTTGCTGATGATGAGAGCAGTGATTAGCCCGTTGCAGTTGACAACTCAAGCGTTGTTGCCGTAAAATTGCCGAATAAGCACAAGGTTAGGCTAGGTTTGCTTGTGTACATGATATGTACGGTGGAAGTGCTATGAAATGAATGCGCTGAATAAAATAATGCATCAAAACCAAAAATTACTTATTTAACGCTTATAACCTTCTTAAGTGGAGTCCTACTAAAATCGGAGGGCTCGTATTGTTGTGCTTACTGCACTGCAAATAGATAAACCTTATTCAATGCCTTCAAAGACCCATCCATTCTTGATGTTTATTTATTTACAGTATTACGTACCTTAGCTCTGTAGGATAAAATTAATATCTGGGTTGCTGGCAGAGTGCAAGATCCTCTCGCTTCATGATTACACTTTTTTCTGGGTGTCAGTGTTTCCGTAAAAATGTTTTCTGTGCAATATGGTCCGTTTGTGCAAAAGTTAATTGTTCAGAACATATGGCGGATCTGATACATTTGATACCAAAGATTTCTAGAAGAAAGTGGAAATATTCCTACTGGTTTATAAATAGTTGACTTGACATAATCATCGTAAATTGAACATGTGATACTCGTTTAGCTGTGATTTACTAAAAAAAATTAGCTAGTGTTAGTTTGAGATATTTTTGGCAATATGGAATCCCACGGAATTTGCAAAATGTATCCCTCCCACATCCCAAAGCAACCTTCCGTACTTTTTGATCCAATAAGAAACGTGCTCGTGACCTCGGATACTTTTAACCAATTTTCTTCCCTGCCACTTTCCATCGCCATAAATAATTCAGTCCGACGGCTTCGACTGTCCAGGCAGTACAGTAAAAGGGTCTCTTCTGGAAATGATGTTCAGCAGCATAATAATAATGGCCAGCTCCAACAGATTCTATTCAGTTCGGAGCGAAAGAGAAGGAACACTGTGGACAATTCGAGTGTTGCATATTATCCACAATTTGAGAACATTGTTCAGAGAGATGCAACGTGTGGGGGTGCGAACAATAGCAGTGGGGCGAGTAAATCACGAAAAAGCACGGACAAACCAATGCGATCAATGTCGCTCTGTGTTAGAAAATGTCATCCTCAACACAGAGAAATTCCAAGGATCCCTGCCAAAGTCAAACACGTACTTACATGCACGCATTATATATCACAAGATTAGCATTATTCTTTTAAAATCCGTGTGAAATAATCAGAATAGAAGTTGGTTCAAATCATAGAAATGACTGGAAATGTTTGATGCTTTCAGGGTGACTTGGTCTGGTTTCTGGTGCCTGGGGGCGCGGGGAGTGGGACGGCGAAAACCGAGCCATCGCTATTCTACCCAGGACTGGTCACTGAATATCATGTGAAAGGAAACGTCGTGACGATAAAACCGGATCCCGTCGTCGTGGACAATGTAGAAATGAAGGAACAAACACATTTTGTTGTCGAGAACAATGGGACGTACGTGAGGAAGCGGAGCTTGGTGACCACGTCGCCCGGTTGTGTCATGGACATGATTACTATGAAGTGAGATTTGCGAGTTTTACATAAAGAAATAGTTTATTTGTAGTCACACAAAAGTAGGCGTCTAAAATATGTACTGAATTTTTTAGCGATCTAAGTGAACCTGCTCTACTATGGAATACACGACAGCGATATAAGAACGGAAATATTTATGTATGCAAATAAGCAAAAATCAATTGAACTTTGAACTATATTTAACACTAACGTAATTAGAAATTTAATTTCTGATGAATATTTGCATTGGATAGACTTATGTTGGATCTATGCTCATATCCGTGAATCCATACACAACACACAACATTTATGGACTTCCGGTTGTGAAAAAGGTAAGTAATTGCTTATTTTAATCAGAAATGAGCAACAAAATTGACTAATTATAATTCTACAACTCTCGCAATCCCCTTATTTTGGAAATTTGTTCATTGTAGTATGAAGGCCGAGTATTAGGAGATTTGCCACCGTAAGAATAGTCTACATTTTATATCAACTTCATATGTACATAGATAATTAGCAAATGGATATGATTATTTTTGCAATAATATTTTTAATTTGTATGTTCTTCCAGCCACTTATTCGCTTTAGCCTCGGCATCATACACAAGAATGTGCAAAGACCGTGAACCTCAAGTCGTCATAATTTCGGGAGAATCTGGTTCCGGAAAAACCGAGTGCACAAAGCTCATTCTGGGATATTTAGCTTTAGGTAAAATCACGTCAATTATCATTAATACGTTTGGCCAACATATAATTCTAATCCTTTGTCGTTTATTGTTTAGTTAATAAATCCCCATCCAACCTTATCACAGGTAAATAGAATTTCCCAATTTATACTTATTTCTTACATCTCAATTTCTGATCCGTTCTCCGAAATTATATATTTATTACATTTTATAAAATTACAGAGCAAATTTTGGAAGCGAGGTACATAAGTTCATTAAGAGATTCTCCACCATTAATCATGCCAACACTATATAATAAAACATTTATTCAATCAGCCCACTTTTGGAATCATTTGGGAACGCCAAGACAAAATTGAATGACAACTCGAGTAGATTTGGCAAATATCTGCAAGTATTCTTTGATGAGTAAGTCGTAATAGTGAGATAGTTTGAATTGAGAAATCTTCTAACAGAATTTTAAAATATTTTAAAATTGTATTATTACAGATCCACAGACACCAGCATAATTACTGGGTGTCGGGTTACTGAATATTTGTTGGAAAAATCTCGAATCGTCACTCAAAACACGTGCGAAAGAAATTATCACGTATTTTATGAACTCCTGGAAGGATTGGGTAAAGCTTTTTTTGAATACTAATCAGTTTATTATAGTAAAATACAGCCTAAAGTGTAGATCTAACTAATCTAAATCTAAACTAAACCTGGATCTGCGATATACTTGCACCTTAATTTCAAAATCTAACTACTTTCATCCAATTTCAAAAACCAGTGTGGGTCACTCAATTAGGACTCTGGCGAAAATAATTTTGAATTTGACTTTCAAATTCTAAGAATGCTATTTAAATACAACCTGATTTTTTACTTCAACTGATGCGCAACCATTTTTTTTGAATGAGCGGAGATGCTTCCGATGGAAAAAATCCTATGCATTCGACTTATTTCTGCAACAGTGCTTGCCTTCCTAGTTTCCAGATTTCATTTGAACTAAATAAATAAATGGTTAATAATTTACTTGATTTCAGAAAAAGAGCAGAAGGAAAAATATGGTCTACTGTCAGCGGACAAGTATTTCTATTTGAACCAAGGGTCCACACCTAACGCTGAAAATCCATTAGCAATTCCAGGCAAAAACGATGCCAATGATTTTCAAGCCCTAGTTAGTGCAATGCAAATTTTGGGATTTTCAAGCCCTGAAATTGATTGTGTTTTCCGTGTTCTGGCTTCTGGTACGTTCTTTAAATAAAACGAGAGCTCTTATATTTTTTCGACTTTTGAGTTTGCTGAAAAAATTGTTAATTTTTTTAAACTAGTGTTACACTTGGGAAACGTATATTTCCATCGAAAAGCTCTGAAACAAGGTACGAAATGGTATAACAAGTAAATTGACGCTCAGAATTATTAACGTGTATGATATATTATGTTTCAAGGGATGGAAGGAGTTGAAATTGGGTCAGATGCAGAAATTCAATGGATTGCTCATTTGCTCGAAGTGAGTCCGGATGGTCTGCGCAAAGTGCTAACAAGTCGTACGACAGAAACACCTCGTGGTGAAAAAATGACGACGCCATTGACCATTGATCAGAGTTTGGACTGCAGGTACATAGATAATACAGAACGTTTCCACATTACCTCCAGTGTAAAATCTCGTTTTGTAAAACTAAATCACAAATTTTTTCCAGGGACGCCATTGCCAAAATATTATACAGCAATTTGTTCACTTGGCTAGTTCAAAGGGTCAACAGAATTGTGCATAACGGGAACAACAATGGGGGCTCCTCCATGACGTTGGAGAAGCAGAGAAAACCCCAGCGGACCTGTATCAATATTTTGGATATTTTTGGGTACGCCTATATTCCTATTTTACTCGGGCATACGTTTCTACTGTACAAGGAGAAACTTACTTAGAAATTTGACTAAATAAAATATTATTTACAATATTTTAGGTTTGAAAATTTTAAGGACAACAGTTTCGAACAACTTTGCATAAACTATGCAAACGAATCCATCCATCATTTCTTGATCCGACACGTTTTTAAGCTGGAGCAAGCCGAGTACGCCAAAGAGAAAATAGATTGGATAAATATCGAGTTTGAGGATAATATGCCAATCATTTCGCTGCTCATTAAGAAACCTGTAGGCATTCTTCATCTCCTTGATGACGAGTCCAACTTCCCAAAAGGAACAGGTTAGAATTACAAATGTTCATTCATCACCCATTAGTCTCAAGTGACTATACATAATTGTCACTAGTTTTCCTTTAAAAAAAATCTGAGTCAATGTCACTTTTTATTACAGATTCGTCGTTTTTGGAAAAGTGTCATTATAACCACATCAATGAAAATTACTTGAGACAAAGAATGAGCTCAAAAGAATTTGGGATTAAACATTATGCGGGCAATGTGTGGTATAACACGGAAGGATTTCTAGAAAAGAACAGAGGAGATTTTGCATCCAGTTCACAGCAAGATTTTGCTCTTAGGAAATTATTATGCTCTTCAAAAGAGAAGGTACATGTGTAATTCTTACTTTGCGTGATTTAAGCGTCTATAATAACACAATTTGTTTTGCTTCTGATTAATTTGCACAGATCTTAGCAAGAATGTTCATCCTCGGCACCCAGACAGACCATCAACACCCATCTTCGTCAAACTCACCAGGGGGAGGTCAGCTGTCGCCGGCTAATCAAGGTCACGGCCACCACCGACGAGGTGGTCCCCGCTCGCGACACCATCAAAATCAGCAACAAGCCAACAATCAGAATTCAAACGTACGCCTCTTTGTGACCATGAAACCACGAGGTATGTCAAAAATAATTAGTCACATTACAGCCAATATACCTTATGACTAATATTCCAATATTTAAAAACCCAAACCAGCCCCCACAGTCTCGGCCCGGTTCACTTCCTCTCTAAACTCCCTGCTCGAATCCATGTCGCGTTGTTCGCCATGGTTTATTCGCTGTATCAAACCCAACAATGAAAAGAAGGTAATGCGGTAGTCTCGATGTTTGTTATGCACTAAAATAACGCACTCTCATCAGATTATGTGGGTGAAAAATTAAAAGAATGTGAACAACAAGACATTGATTTGTGCATTATCTTGCAGCCAAATTTATTTGACACTGCGCTGGTTCTGGATCAACTTCGCTACTCTGGAATCCTCGAAACAATCAAAATAAGAAAATTGGGCTACCCAATTCGATATAGTTTTAATAATTTTGTCTATCGCTACAAGTGCATCGTTCCCCATCCAGCAGCTTCCGGAAACCATCAGCAGTCTACACGGGACTTGACCAGGTTAATACTCACCAGTTCATACTCTCAACAAGTGAATAGCAGTGGGAGCAGCAGCGGTGCTTCTGCTCATGGCGGAGACGATTTCCAAATTGGTAGCAGTAAAGTATTCCTCAGAGAAGTGCTAGAGCAGCGGCTAGAAAAAGCGAGGTATGATTTGCTCAACAAGGCTGCCAAAGTGATCCAAGCTTCAGTTCGGGGGCACGTCCAGCATAAAAAATTCCTCAGTCAAAGGAGGTCAGCCATACGTATTCAGTCGTACTACCGGTAAGTTGTGTATATAAGTTGTAGATCATGCACAAGCTCCTCGAAATGGGTATATACAAGTAATAATTCATAATCTGGACATTTCTAAAATAGGATGTACACTGCACGTCGTGATTTTGTCCGAGTAAAACAGGGTATCACCCGACTTCAAGCGACTATCAAAATGCGCCGAGATCAAAAGCGGTATCAAGCAGTGAGAGATGAAATCGTTAAAAGAAACCAAAAGCGAAAACTTATTGAAACGGCAGAAAAGACTGCTGCCAAAAATCAGACATGCAATTACGGACTAACTGGTGTAAATCATTTAGAAGGTACATCCTCACTTATTTATTTTTCAACACTAATTGTAAGCTTGGAATACTAATCGTGTGAATAATTTTTACGTGTAAAGTTCCAGCAGAGTTAGCTTTTATACTGAGCCGATTAGACGGAGGACTTTCTTCTTCTTCTTCGGGCCTGGAAAAATCACCCCGAGCTGGAATTCACAGCAATTTTAGAAAAATTCAGCAAAGCAATGACATTTCCTCTCCAAGTTGGGCCTCACTGGTCGACAATTTTGGGAGTAAACCCTCCGCGTATAAACTTGCATTTCAAAAAGGTGGTCAAGAGCAATTGAAGATGCGTCGCGAGGTAATATGCTGAACAAAACATTATGATTTAACTCCATGTATGTATTAGCATTCGATATGGGGCTGCATTATCCGCTTGGTTAAATTTGACGCCTAATTTAAAACTACTCGAATTACTTTTCCAGCCAATTGTGTCACCATTTTTGAAAACCAGCCCCAAAGAAGAAGCTCTCATTATTTTCAAGCTGATTCTTCGCTACATGAATGACTCAAGCTTGGGTTCTCCATCAGGTAGGGAGAGAGAATTACTCCTGCAAAACTACATTGTGAACAAAGGCATCAAGGCAAGTTAATTTTTTTACCCTACGTATGTACATATTTTTATATATGTAAACGTACTGGAGTAGTAGAACAAGACTACAAATATGTAAACTGAATACTAAATTTCCTGGCCTTCTTTTGCCTATTTAGAACGAGTTAATTCGTGACGAGATCCTCATCCAAATTTTAAATCAAACAAGGCAAAATCCCAATCGGATGAATTGTGAGAGGGGGTGGTTACTCTTGGCATCATGTTTGTCATCATTTCAACCGAGGGACGAAAACTTATTAGCGTATTTGATAACCCACTTTTCCGAGCTGAAAGAAGGAGACGAGTTGGTGGAAAAGAGCTACAAAGTCATTTGCCAATTAAAAACGTTGCAAATGGCAGAAGAAGGGAAGCGTGGAAGGGTTCGAGTGATGCCACCATTTGGACAGATGGAATTGAGAACCATTGACAGAAAACAGCATGGGCAGGTAATTCGATAGAATATTTATAATTGTGATAATTTCTATTTAAACGGATTCGTAATTAGCACTAACGCATGATTTATTTTCTATTATAGGTATTTGTAGAAATTGACGGAATAAATGAACGCATCGAGAGCTGGACGCAAATTGGGGAAGTCGCTGGTCGTGTAGGCTCTAAAAAGTTTGGGAAATTTGGAAAAAACTACAACTATGAAGGGTTACCATTTTGGACGCTGGACTTTTTGGGATCAGATGATCAAGTCGAGGACGATAGCGTTCAAAGTGCCGAGAACAATAGCTGGGAACTAGATTCCAACGCCTTCATCTTTGACACCAATTTTGAGTCTGTCGACTATTCTCAATTTGGAAAGGTTTTTGGATCCGACCTTCAAACTCAACCAATGCCCACCTCACTGACCCTACTTTTTGTGAAAATGATGTATGCTTCCCACTCACCCCCGCAGAAGCAGCGACAGCAACAACATATTCCAATGCATAAAGTAAAACCAATGGAAAATTTAAACAAAATTGCAGCTCTGAGCAGTAAATCTAGACTGAACGAGAGATACTTTAAGGCAGAGAGCTCAATGCCTGGTACGAATTAACACCGCATTGTATTAACATCATTGTATTATATTATTGAGTAATAGATTTTTATATTATACCGAAAATACATATTTTGAAAAATATACTATATTTTCGGTCGCCTGCAATAAAGATAAATGATTAATTTCTTTTGTTTGAAAAATTACCAGGTCCACCCAATAATACACGGACAAAATCTCTTGGTACGCGAATGACTTCTGCATAATTACAAAATGCCTGTTAGTGTTAACTCTGTATTCCTATTATTCCTTTATAGATAACTTGCTTGATGATCCCGTGGAGCTTTCTAAAGCGGCTCTGCAAAGGAAAAAGATGTTGGGTTTATCAGACTCCAAGCTGAACCAAAGATACAACTCGTCGATTGAAAATTTGGGTCAACTGCCGTCACGAAGGAAGAATTCCGAAAACTATTTTGAAGAGTTTGAAGAGGAAGAGATGGAAGCCGTAGACTTCAATTCTGAAGACGACGATGACGACGACGATGATGAAGACTATGAACCTGAACTAGTAGCAGCTACGACAAACAATAATGGGCCAAATATGGGAGGAGGCAAGCACAATTTGTCAGTCCTACCAAATGGAAATGGTAGTCGGACAGGACCTCCACGCTATATTAAAGCTATATCGGGCTCCAGTAAGAAAGCACCATCTTCGGTGGGATCCAAAAATTTTGGCTACTACGGGAAATCCAGTGCAATGTCAGGTAATTACATTGCGATTTAATCAATCTCTTGAACAAAATGCATGGACTCTAGTCGTGAGAGTCGTGAGAATATTTATGAAGGACAAAATCTGAACATTGCCATTTTTTCTGTAATTTGTGACACATTTAGATACGAGTGAAGCCCCATCATTGGCCAGCCATGTTCGTCGGGTCAGAGTTCCTAGCCAAGCTAGCGATGTTGACCAATTTCTGGATGACTTGTTCAGCCCCGTTCTCGAGGGAAGTAACATGCTGGACGATTTGAGCGACGTTCGAAGTTTGGTTAGCAATTTGAAAGGTAAAATAATAATTCAGTCAAAGTGATTAATAAGAAAGTGCGATAATTATTGAAAAACCATTTATTTGTAATGCTTATTTCTTTATGGTCAGGTGGTGGTGGCGTTTTTGATGAGCACCCAAGTTCTAGTTCAAACCTCAACAACAAGAAACCTGGACTAAATAAGCCGGCAAACCCCACAGATTTTATTCAGTCAGCCATGGAACAAAATATTCAAATTCAACAGCAACTTATTGAACAAAATCAAGCGTTGCAAGAACTCCTCCGGCGGAGTTCGGTCGAGAAACTTTCAGATGGTGGTGCTCCAATGAACGGAAAAATCAATGGGGCTAAAATTGGGAGTGGAAATATTCCAATCCCGCCACCCCTCCCACCAACCTTACTCGGCGAGCTGAACGGACACCATCCATTCATGGACCACTATGGTCGAGCAAAAACGGTCCGTATTGGCAAATGGCGTTGGCCTCCTATTGTGAATGAAGCAGGTGGTGACGACGATTTCAATGAGTTTAAAGCCAGGTTGGAGGAAAAAAGGAAACTCGACCAGGTAATTAACTAGTTAATGTAATCAAAAATACATTAAATTTGTACCATAATTTATTTTCATGTCGATTAATAATTCTTCCAGGACGAAGATATGCACAACAATGATGACGATGATGATTGGTTGCAAAATCAACCTCCAAAACTGCGCAATGGATTAGGACACCATCACCAAAGGGATCACGTCCCACCCACAAAGAAGCACTCTGCTCCATCCCTCGGTGCAGCTAATAATTCAATCAATCCCACTCCGATTCGCAACCCTTTTAGCGACATGGTTGTCGGCAAGGTATGTTCAATTTTTGTTGTTGTCGGGACTTGTCAATTGACCAAATAATTCTCGAGCAGAGTTGCGTGTTAGAAATAAGACTTTTTGTAGTTGAGATTGGTTGGATAGATTATACCATTATTTAAAAATATGTTGGCGTCTGTAGACTAATTCGTTTTTTTTCATTTTCAAGCTAAAACTGAGTCATGAGATGCGAGCCAAGCTGGAACAAGTGACAAGTCTTCGTGTGGCAAATGGTGGAGCGCAAAAGAAAAGCGCAGGACCCAATCTGTTTGAAACTCAAGTGGATTCTCATCATCAGCCCAAAAAATTGGATGAAAATAGGCGAAATGTGCTTCAGGAAAAACTTATGGGAAGTAGCAGCAACAACAACAACCATCATCATCACCACCACCATCACCATTCAAACGGGGTCAATACTCGTGTCCACCAAGCACAGTTACACCCACCACCCCCGCCACCCATGCCAATCACACAGGGAAAGCATTCCGAACTTCATGTCCACACTGAAATGACGCTCACCATGGACGAGAATTACGATACTTTGAGCCAAGTTTATAACCAAGTGACCTCTCCAAAAGCTGAAGGAAAGGGTGGTAACATTATGCCAGCAGCATCTAAAGGATTTGACCATCATCATCAAGTTATACGTGGTCGTGATCGGGATGAGAGAATCATTGAACCACCAGATTATTCTGACGAATATTCAGACTATGAGCCATCCACATTAAAAAAGAAACTGAAATTGCACTCCACCAGGTTTCAGAATTCCTACGGTTATATGATCAAGAGGTTCGTACCTACTCGTTGAAGTGGCGCCTTTAAAATATTTATTGATGGATATATTTATACATGAATTGTAAATTAATTTTTCTCAAGGTTTCGGTTGAGGAAGGACTTGGTGACAGAAGAAGAGCTTAAAGATCACGAACTCGTCGACTTTCTTAGAGAACAGATTCTAAGGGATTTGAGAACTAAAAGCCCCAGAATAATGGAGGCCGAGAGACGAAGTTGTGCCAACATAATGGAGGGTGGGAGTGCCAACATTATCACCATTGCGAGGAGTTGGTCGCTCTACTTTTGGAGATTTTTTAAAGTGGAACAACAGGTGAGTTATTTTTTCGTTCGACAAATAAAAATGCAAAATACATATGTACATGTCTGCATAACTATGTAAAATAAATAATTCGCATGCTTTATGTAGATTGTGGGAAGTCGCACTGAGGACACTGTACGATATGTTGCAGTCAACGACAAAGGACTCAAACTTGTTGGATTAAGACAGAGCAAGCTCCATGTTTTTGAGTTTTACAGGTAAATGTTTGCACATGCCAGCACCGCAGCATCTCATGCATCTCCACATCATCGATTCAGCCCACTCTAATGCTGAGTAAGGATTGTAGAAAGTATTCGATACGATTATTGTCGTTATTATTTCAGCTGGTCCAAAATCGTTTCCGTCCTTGCATCCAAACGTCCCTCCACTACCACGACAGATGTGATAACAGTCACACTTGGAAACGGTCAGAAGCTATGCCTTCACTGTGACTGTGCCGTGAATCTCCAACGAACGTGTGACACATTTTTCATGAATGATGCCAAATCCTCGAAACGAGGCAGCAACGATGCCACAATTATGCCAGGACAAGACAGAGATCAAACAAGTGGCAGCAACAATAACAACAACATGAACCACCATCGAGGTCATCTGCCCCCAAATCATGCCCATGGTCACATCAACATGATGAAGTCCGCCACGAGTTCAATGATGAATATGAACAACTCGTCCCGGGCAATGAGTATGGGGATGACGCATCACCAAATTCAGTCGTCGGGGGGTGGTTCCTTCGGGGATGAGATGGACTCTACAATTGGCCTCGAGTTTTCAGATGATTTGGATGGAGGACAAAGTCACACCCATTTTTCGAGAAAGGTGGCTGCCAGCTATTACGATCAACATCATCAGCATCACATGGGTGTGGATGAGGACGATCACATGATGGACTTCCAGGTGAAATATGGAACTTTAATTGAAACCAAAAATTTTGTATCAGCAAGAGCAACTTTCTTAGTTGTAATGCTATAAAAATAGATGATAAATTTTGATATCTTGAGGATTCTCAAGTAGATTAGGAAAGCCTCAAGTTGTTCGCAATCTATAATCATGCCCATGAATCCATTCATCCACTGCCCACACTATATCATCCCATTGTTTAAGTGTCTGTCTTAAAAATTACAAACCAGATCAGTTTTCTCTTCAAAGCAGTTAACGAACAATGCAGTGAGGGCAAATCGTCTATGTCCATTGTTTTGTTAAGTTCCTTCGTATTATAAGTGCATATGTTTGCCTCGTACTTCACTGTAGACCATCGGCCAAGTAATGTGATATGATATGATAAACATCTTGGTTATCATTATCATTTCAAAAATTATTACATAAAATTGCCTACAAAAGTTGTTGAAATGCAAGCATTAATGTATGTAGGAAGCGAGAAAGAAAACAGATTTGTATTTAAACTTGTAGTTAAATCAGTCAAAATTTCCTTTAAAATGAGCGTATTTGAATTTGAGCAAGTTCTTGTGTAGCTGTTTGTTGGCGTTAAGCCTGGTTTATGTTTGTGAATGGATGAGTGACCACTGCCACCACCTTCCCCCGATGGTTACCACACCAAGGAAGAAACGGCCACTGACTGCTTTAATACTGCGTTCAATGGGTCTCTCTTTTGTCTTTAAAACTTAACCTCGCAATGCCATATAACACACAACATGTTTATGTTCACCACGCACCAACCAAACAACAACCGTGATAAAATAGAACACGCTCTACTTCACGCATAAAAACGTACATGCATTAAGAGCAAGAAGGCAATAAGTACACAAATCAGAATGAAATGATAAGATTTTATTGGGCACTCTCACTTTTGGTGAAAAAGTGTGATCAAACTAATTTGTAGAAACAAATGACTCTTTGTTCTTGTTACTAAAGTTGGTGATTTTATTTTTTGGGGGATTTTACGGAATATCATAAAAATGCCTACAAGCCTCAAAAAACGGGAGGAACCTGTTTCTGTTCCATCCACGTGTCCTCGTGTTAGCGTTTGTGTTCAGACTGATCTCTTGGAAATTTTGAATAACACAAAAGTTCAGGATTCTGCCTCAAATAATAATAGTGACAAAAGTACACCTGCTGGTTCCACTTTAAATTCGAATTGTAATCCAGCGTCTTCCAAACTGCCCCCAAGTTCATTGGCGTCATCGAGAAACGCGACGTTGAAAACGGATGAGAAGCAAAAGTCGCTTCGATGTTCTCTGAAGCAGTGGCACAAAGACATTGTGAGCTCGTGCTCCAACTCCAAGTTCAATTTTCGAACACCGCTCCTCTCCCTCTACTTGCAGAACGTTGTGGGGAGGAAGCGGTCGGAAGGGGTGGAAAGCACCGATTCGGTTAGAGCCCTTCGTTACATCCACCAGAACAGCAGTTTCGTGAGTGTGGATAGCACTGGTGTTAGTGGCAGCGTCGGAGGGGGTGTGAGCAGGGTGGATTCATTCGTCAGGGATTCCAGTAGGTTTGTCCATGTCGGGGAAGGCGAAGGGCTCGAGGTGGACAATGCAGACTTTAACAATAATAATTGTAGTAACACTGGAATAATTGAGAGCAACAGAAATGAAAGTTGTAATAATAATACCAATAACAAGGTATTTATATAAAATGTCTAAGACATGCAACTATATACCCAACTCTATAATTAGTAGTCTCACTGCGATTATTACAAAAATTATGAAGTATGCTAACGAATTTTAAATATTTTTGTTTCAGTCCACACAAAACTATGGCATGGGGAAGGTTTCCGGAGGAGGGACGGGGTACGGTCGGGGGGAACAAGCTCCGAGCGGAGGGGAGCCCTCACCACCCTTGATGACGGCGTCGGAGGAGGAGGAAAGGGAGAGCAGGCTGCTCATGGGGGCGCAGTTCGAAAACGACGGGAAACATTCGCTTCTCCAATTTGCGCTCAAGTACTTTAGGCAAAAGGACAAGTTCCAGCATGTTGGGGTGAGTATATATATAGTTGTGCAGCGATTAAAATGTCCAACTTTTTAGTTGTTTTTAGAGGTACTAAAGTTTGAAATTGATTAGTCCGAGAAGGATGTTGGACAAGGGTGTTGGACATGGAGGGAGCAGGTCTCTTGCGTCAAGTACAGTCCGAAAATGATACAGCAGAGTCTTTTGCCTCTCCCATCGGAACAAATGAACAAGTTGGCGTTGGAATGCTTCGCATCGATATTAAAATATATGGGGGATTTCCCTGAGCAGTCGCAAGCTAAAGATAAGAAGCATAAAAATAACAATGATAGTCCTCCCCCTGCACCGCTGCTTACGGAGGTTGAAGCTGTTTACACGCTCCTCAGGGTAAGAAAATTCTAGATTACTGAATTGAAATATGCTGAGATTTTATAATTTTATTAAATCCATCGTATTTTATTTAATTTTTGTAGAATTGTCACATGGCCTCAACTAACCCACACATTAGCTCATCCCCATCTGGTTCTTCCCCTGATTCGGGTTCACATCCGCAAATGATGGGTCGTCCACCTATTCTTGGTCTGGCGGATGAAGTTTATTGCCAAATCATGAAACAAACAACGAACAATACGAATCAAAAATCTGCTCAGCGAGCTTGGCGTCTTGGCGTTATTTTGGTATATGGCTGACTGTATTTTTGTATTAGAGTTTTGTAAAAAAAAATGAGTGTACGTTGAAGCATACATGTTTGTTTTTTATTAAAGTCTGCCTACTTCACCTGTTCTGACACTCTTCGACCCTACCTCTTTAAATACTTGGAAACCAATGCTTACGACAAACGGAGGGTATGTTTAAGACACAACCAAGCATTAGGACCTGATGGAATAGAAGAAACTAACTAATACTATTTAATTTAAGGCGTTTCACGGGACAGCATTGGTCACACTGCAAAATCTGAGAAAGACTTTTAAATATGGAGGACGACGAAATGTGCCAAGTGTGGAGGAAATTACTGCAATCACTGCTGGGAGAAATGCAAAGCGACAAATTTTCAGACTTCCGGGCGGAGCACAGGTTAGCTGTTGGCCTCATTGGTCTAAAATAAAATAACTACAAGAGTCAATGGTTCGTGTTTATAATTACAGAGAGTAGTGAACGTAAAGGCTACAACCGTTGTACAGGTAGGTACACACAATTTTTAACATGCTTGTAGAATTTCAAGAGATGGATTTTACTTTATTTTCTTGTTACCATTTGAAGGATGTTTTAGAGGAGCTTTGCGCAACTTGTCTTCACATGGAAGGCTCATCTCTAGAGGAGAGAGGAGAATGGTCCGTGTACTGCATAGTAGAGGTAAAAATGTTTTTAAAATTTTTTGGAATGTTTCTTGTTGTATGATTGTGCGAATATGTAATAAAGATAAATAGATAGAGACAACATGCAAAGAGATAACTAGTAATTTTATTTTGCAGGGTGACACAACGATGCCACTTCAAAGGGAAGAATATTTACTCGATGTGTCGACAGAGTTGCAAAAGAATGCTCAAGTTTACTAGTAAGTGATAGGGGAAAATATGAAATAGTCAAAACAGTGTAATTTTAAGCTAACAAATCTTTATAAACGTTTATCTTAGCCTTATCTTTTGCCGGTCAGTGTGGTTCTTTCCCTTAAGATTGGACGCTCCAAATAATGACACATACATTGACCTCATCTTCAACCAGATTGCACCCGACTACCTCGAAGGTAAGCAGTAGTAAGCACCACTACTGATTTAAATAATATTCAAAAGTAGCGTCTTCTGCTGAAATCACCCAGATTTTAGAAAATAATTTTATCTGAAAAAACATTATTTTAAAGGGCTCTTACTCACCATGCCGGGTCAAGCGTTGAATCAGTCACTTGTGGTAAGTATATTTGGCCAGTGATCCATCAAAAGTTTTCTATATACGCGTATACATCACCTCCCTTCTTGTTGTATTTAGTACGACATTGCCAGAATTGCAGCCCTGCTACATCGATCTGCCGACTTGAGAACTCCACCCACTTTAAAGGTAATGATATGTTTATTTACGTTTATTTACAATCATCATCTTCCAAAGCGATGCAGTACACAGACCGTGTTTTTCAATTTTTTACTACTTATATTTAGGAATGCAAATATCTGTTGCCAAAACCTGCCTTGGCCGCAAGAGATATGAGACCAAATCAGTGGGTCAGTTTGGTGAACAAGTATTGGGCAGAAGAGAAAATGGGAGACGACCTCATGCGACCAATCCAAGCCAAAGCCATAGTTTTAGGTAAGATAAATCTTAATAAATTGTCAACCAGAATCCGTAGGATAAGCACATGCACAAGAATTTTAACTTAAGAAATAATAAATATTTCTACTGTAGATATTCTTCAAAAGTGGGACCTTTTCGGCTCCAGCTTCTTTTCTGTCAAAAGAATGGCGGATCCCAGTCCTCCCGAGGTAACATCATTCAATTTTCGACTAAATAATTTGTCTGATATTTTAAAAGTTTAGTGCTTAATTAGAGTGATATGGGATGGCGCTTCTGCTATTCAAGAAGTGGTTTATTTCAAAGTTTGCTACAGATTAATTAATGCATGCGTTTCTTTATTTAGGAGTATATTCTAGCCCTGAACAAAAATGGAGTTCACTTTCTCGACATTATTACTCACGTAAGGCTTTTTTAAACATTTTACAATTTAAAGTATTTGTAATTTCAATTGTAAGTTGTTTGCATTGTTGTTTAACAGGAGACTTTGAACTGGTGGAGCTACAACGAAATCCTATCTACTCGGAAAGTAAAGAATGAGGACTCGCTTTTATACCTCGACCTTAAGGTTGGAAACCTAATGCAACAAAGGATTACTCGTTTGCAAACAGAGCACGCTCACGAGATTAGTCGGCTAATTAGACAATACATCCATATTCAGAAGTATGCAAATGTTAACAACAATACAAATACTTCACAAAATTCCCCAATGTCTGCTAAATGAAGTTGAAAATGCAAGTTCTTAAATCGACATATGAAATTTATTATATTATCCTAATTAAAGTATATTAATACATTAAACTAGACTATCTATTTTACTATAACTTTGCAATGAATGTGCATACATTGGATCACTATGCACCTTCACTGCAATAAACTCGAACCGTGCAATATATACGTATACAGGACTAAAGAAATATTTACATGTAACGAAAACTACATACATATTAGATACACTTTCACATTGTTTTTATAGGTCTGCAAAGTATCTAGTTGTAATTATCGGTATACAACTGACTGCTGTGATGCAGACATTATTTATATAATTTTATACACACGACTAAATGGAATTATTATATAATTTTTTATATGTTTTTGATGATATAGCGAGAATTTTAATACAATATAATTTACGTTTAAAAACACATTAAATTGTACAACCTTCGCATTATTTCGTCCTCGGACATTTGGCATCCCATATAAAAGTGATATTAGGAGTGTGCATATTCACTATTTTATAACACTGCGCCGAGTATTGGTCCGGTGTTCGAATTTGCACATAATACTGTGTCCCGTAATCGGTGGCTTCGATGAAAATAGAACCATTGATGGGAAAGGTGACGCTAAAAATTGTAGTAATTAACTCTACTGCAGTTAAGGTTCTTTTACATTAAATGAGGTAATAAAAACCTTATTGCATCCTTTTTGTTGAGGGTCGTGTCGAAATGGATTTCGCTGGGGTGACCATTCGGCATGGGGTTGCCAAACCAAATATGTCCTCTAGCTTTGGTCACAGCATTCGTCACGGCGCTAAAAGTATACAAACGAACTTTGTTTTTTAATCCAGGCATCGTGGTTTGATTGATATTCGACTCGCACCTTGTTCTCCAACTATACATTGATCATTCATTCATGAAGTTTAGATTTGCATACATGTTTATTAGACAAATCTACGGCTACAAACTAAAAAATCCTGCCAGATATTAATCCGTAACTTATACCTTTTTCGAACTTGGTAATTCAGCTTTCCAGCCAGACAGGCTTTGTGAGCTTCTTTTATCCAGGGGTCCCACGCCATAGATGCACCCACGAAAATGCCCAGAATGAGAATATGTGAGACATGACTTTTTGGATGTGACATGGAACAAGGCTGTTAACGCCGATGTTTTATCTGAATTTCCTTTCGCTATATTTTTTTATACCAATAAGACAATGTAATAAGACTTTTGTAGCACTGACAAAAAATTTACGTATACACTAAAATGCAAGTGCAATTGTTAAACTGCTCAGTCAGTCCGATTAAGTGGTTAAGATAATTAAAATAAAGTAACAAATAAAAGGTCAAATAATGAATACTATGGGTCCATTGTAAAAATTAGGCCCATGATTAACGTTCTACGTTACTGCATGTACCTTAGGATGTGATACATGCATTGTACGCCAATGTGTACATATATTTAGACCACAAGTTTTCAAGTTGGGTCCACAAATATTCGAATCCTGTGTGCAAGTGGTGCTACAACTGGTTAGAGTCAGAAAATTTCAACCGGTATAATTATTGGGAACAATGAAGTGCAAGGCGCACGTATGCAAAATGAAGTCATAAATTAAGTAAATGTGCACAATAGTATATTATGTTATTAGAGGTTATACTCTATAAAAGTGCAAAAAAAATAATATAAATAGTGTGGTTTTGAATGGAATGATCTGATGGCATTTTTTTAAATGAACTCTTTTTTTTATTTCTCAAGCTTTCAGATTCTAACTGCTTCCTTTTTTATTAAGATAGATGAGAAAATATAAATTTCAATATATGCTATGTGTTATGTGTTACACATCTAAATAGCCCTTGAATTTCTTTTAGACACATTTCAGCCTCTAATTTTATTCAATTGTTGATAAGAAATTAACCGATGCTTTAAATTTTTGAGGTCCTGTCCGTCGTATGCATAATTTTTAGCCTGAGATGTCTTAGTTCGTTGTGACTTATAGAACTGTCATTCTGTATGTATTACGATATATAAAGGGGTAAAATTCATCCGATTGTAATTCACCTGATTATGATATACAGTATAATTTAGATGCTTGACGAATCAAGTTGACTATGCTAACAATTAGTTGATTGGGTGCACGAAGTTTTACAAATTACAGTAGATAAGCATAAGTGCTTCATTCATGGAATGATCTATATCCTCTTTATTTTTATACGTATGTACTGTCAACTGTGCAGCAGATTAAATTAATACAAGCATATCAACATTTCCAAAACAGTCTTGCAATAATAATCTTGCACAGTTCTTTTTGTACTTATGTATGTAACACCGGAAAATGTCTTGTCTTGCATTTTCATGTAAAATTTTATAGTCTGAGCTGAGGGGGTGACAGAATTATTACGAAGATGAGATATGATGGGGACAGAAGACACTCCGCATACGAATCTGTGGACCATCAGCAGTTATTTGTTGAGCTAAAGAGCGTCCATATCCCATGTAATCCTTATACACGTAGCGAGTAACCTGAGCCCGACACCTCCCACATCGTTTGGCTCGATAGAGATATTCCGTTAGAGACAGTGGCATCACACCTTGTGGCCAGTTGCCAAAACTCCATTCCTGCCTAGGTATTAAAATAAACAGATTAGGAGGGTCAATTTACATCCGACACTATTGCATAATTTTTGCGTTTTTCCTATATAGTATATATCCCCTCACCGGTTTGGCACATCGGCTAGCACCACGGCTGCACATAATTCCATAAGACTTGGAACGTTGTCATTCGTCGAACCCCAACCAGTTGAAATGACGTTGGCTGGTGGAGAAATGACCATCTTTGGATTATTCGAGAGATCAACTTTCTCCAGTGAAACAATCCCACTGCTCATGGGATCTGGAGCAAATTGAAGCTGATTGTCATTTGCCAGCAGAGTTCTAGCGAGGAACGTAAATTATATGAACTATTACCTAGAATACAATTTTTGACAGTCTAGCATGTATAAAGATAGCCATCATAATACCTCAACCCCCGGAGTAGATGAATGTTGAATGGCAGGACGAGCAAACTGTTGTGGGAAACATCTAGCATCCGAAGCTGATTTAAAAATACGAATGAGTCTGGCAACATCTTGAGCTGTACGAAAAGAACAAGCAAAGCAAGTATGAAAAGTGTTGAGTTTCATCATTAATTGCAAAGATATTCTTCTCTATAGTTTGGTTAAAAATAACAATCAAATAACTACGATATTATGGGAGAGATCCAGGATCGTTAACTTGCTCCAAGAAAAACGAAGTCGAGGGTCCAACGTCGAAATTTGGTTGTGCGATAGTTTGAGAGAATCCAGAGTAGAATTGAGCTGTCGAAGCTAGATAAAGTAAAACGACAAAAATATTGTGACGATTAATAGTAAACGAGGGAGTGACTCTGTCTGAATGAAAATCTTACCGGATCCACATTTGTTAAACTATTATTAGCAAGGTCGAGATGACGGAGATGTTGGAGGGCCAAGAGTCGCGAGTCCAATTTTTTCATGGATATATTATTAATGGAGAGATTGGTTGTAAATTCAGAAAAACCTTGAAGATATTTTATTTTGGAATCGATCTTGTAAACAAACTTAATCCCCTTCGTGGACAATGCCTTCTTTAGAGTAGCCTTCTTCTCTTTGCTTGGAGGACTAGGAGATCGAACTCTCTTAACAGCCGGGTTTACACTCAATGTCGACCTTCTTTGATCTGCGGCCTCTTTCTGCTCAGGAGTGAGAGATTGGAAATTGAGAATAGATTGTCGGAGTGGACCAGCTACCCTGCCGCTGGTGTCACTGGTGACCGAGCTGGGAGGAGACATGGATTTCTTTGTATTCGAGTATTTGTCGAGTATTTTTTTTGGAATGATACTCAGTCCTCTACACCTTTCGACTCCAACTCCAGTGGGAGTTGAAATAGTTGCACTCTTCCTTCCGACCTTGTCTGACTGTGGTGACATATTGTTTTGACACCGGGACAATGGTATTGAGATCTCTGAGGAACGTGGACGTGATGATCCACATGCTGTCTGGTCATTTTTGTCTTTTGTTGATAATGATGTGTTGTTTGCAGATGTGCTGTTGGTTTGTTGTGATTTAGCCAAATTAATAGCACTTAAGAGGCTCTGTAATTCCTGTGGTTTTCCGTCCTTAACCAGTATACTCATCTGATTTGTCTCAATAGTGATCATCCCTTGTTCCAAAAGAGTTGACCGGATGTTTCGAATAGAGTCAACCTATATACATATATACAATTTTGATTGTGAATTGATATCAGTGTAGTAATTATAATATAATGAGTTATCCAGTGTGGTCACTCACGTCGAACTTTGGGCAGAGGGTGTCTTTGCGGGTGGAGACTTGGAGGAAGGAGGCCCGTCCTTGGGACCGATTGCGGAATTTGAGCATGGCCTGCAAGGGTTTGGGCGTGAGGCGACCGTTGAGACCCGCAGACTCGGCCACATGATTCACCAACTGCACCGTCGCCACCACAATCTGCTCAACGGGGCGTGGAGGCTGTGCATCCCCTTCCTCCATTACACCGCTGCAACAAGAACGTCCTTGCAAATCTGAACGAGAATTAATGAGAAGAAGTTCAAACACGCTCGATAAGATAAATACGACTATTTTACCGAAAAAAATTGGTTCCAGCTAAACACTTTGCCACCCACTACCGGCCCATAACCCACCCAAACGTAATACATAAAATTAAACAAGGCACTAGCTTGATAAGCTTGTTTTCTATCAAAACTGCAAACTGCATGTGATTGATGAAAGAACAAAGTCAGTTTAGCTCCCGGTGGAAATCTGAAAACTGAAGGAGCGCAATCGTGTCTCAAAAATCTCAAACGTACTTCCCGACATTGTGCCTCTTTTCATGCAAAACCCAATAGTGCTTTCAGGTAATGTCTAAATTACTTTTGTTTGCCTATCAAATTTGTTGACATGCATGAAAGGTTAAGAATAGTTGAAAGAAAAATAGCCAAGTGTATTTGAAGAGGGGTGAGGAAACCATTCTGGAAACTCTCGAGAAGAAAAATGCTTTGCAGGTCATAGAATTGCCAATTATGTCAATTATTGCCATATATAAACTATCATAAACAATCTCAAAGGCTCGCTTTGCATCATCATGTATACAAAGATATATTTATTTATGTATATCAAAGTTCAATCACTGGTTTACATGCAATATATTAAGATACATGTATCAATTCCTATAATAATTTATAGTTAGTTGCCAATTTGTATTATATTTTCTAAGAACTGAAGCTGCTCTGCAAATATTCTGCAAATTATCGAATTGCTTGTGCCATGTGTAAAGGATTGATCATCAACTCTAAAGCACAATCCTTTAAGTTTGCCCCACGAAGATCTACAGAAATTAAGATCGTTACATTTCAATATAGCAGCATGATTTCTTGTTTTGAATATTTGTGATCAGTAGTGATGTCTTACTTGCTTCGTGCAAATCGCTGCCAGTCAAATCAGAATTGGCTAGATCGGCCCCTAATTTCGTTTTAATAGAAATTACTCAACATAAGCTTTAGAAGTTATAGATAAACCCATACAAAAAACGTGGGTTTTTACCTGCCAGAATTGCTCCTCTGAAAAAATTGTTTTAAATTATTTTATTTTCAAGTTGACGTATCCAAAATAATTAATATTAATCACCTGAGAATCGTCGACTTTAAATTGGCACCTTTGAGATTGGCAACACGCAAATTTGCTCCCGTCAAGTCAGAATCTTCTAATATTGCGTTACGTAAGTTTACCCCTTCCATGTTTGCATTACGGCCCGATGGGTCCTAAAAAGAGCATATACGATAGAACATCAAACGCATAAGGCTTATCAGCAGGTTTCGTAGAGTGGCGTTTAAAGGTAACCTGGAAATTGCAGTTGACACAGTGAGCACCCTCCATTATGGCACACGCCATCCGAACTCTTGAAAATTTATTTAATAAAACCATCAATAATTGAGCGAGCCTTAAAACATTGGTTCAAACATACCCACTAAGAATGGCACAATCCATAGTCACTCCTGTCAAATCAGCCCTTTCAAAATTGCAACACGATAAGTTGCAGTACGAGAGCTTTGCATGACGAAGTTTGGCATATCTAGATACATACACAAAGTAATCATTTTCTTATGAATTGTGTGAATTTCCAAAGTTTTAGTGTCAAATGGATTTGTCATTGTATACTTAAAGTTTATATTTCGAAGATCTAGATATGATAGGTCGGCACCTACAAATTTAATAGAAATTATTCCAATATATAAGCATTCAAAATTGTAGTTCTATTTGTAAATAAATAAATAAAATCCAAATTACCCGTCATGTTAACCCCTTGAAAACGTAAATTCGACTCGTTGGATGTAGTTATCACTGCAGGGATACACAAATGCATACAATGAAACATCATCATCAAAATGATCATTTCAGGAAGAGCGTGGTTTTGTAAAGCCACGTTTCACCGGTATTCGCGAGGGCAATTTTACAAGACCTACTATTCACCGAACATTGCTCTTCTTCCGATGGTACGTTTTCAATTAATGCCTCATCTTGATAAATGATTTGGAACGTCAACCAATAATGACTTTTTTTCCTACTCAAGAAAGCAAACTAGTTCCACCTCCGAAAATATTGGTGGCTTAATTGTAGATGTGCAATTTGGTTTGAAAAAAAACTAATTTGATTCTCTATTTTTTGTAACCCATCCATAGTATTAGAATAAAGTAATTTTGTCTTGTATCCTGCCAATCTTATGAATTCTCACATGCTGGTTACAGTGTCGGAAGACCACACCATTAAAGTGACTGAAGCGTAGTCATTTATTAAGGTCGCATTATCACTGACATTTCAATAAATACAATTTAAATTAAAAATTACCTGCGTTAATAACGTCTCTACGAGTGAGTGGTATTTCATCCTTAGATATTGCCATTTGCTCCAGAAGTGGAACGCAGGATTGAAGGTCAAAGAATTGAGCTTCTTCAAGAACGCCTACATGTATTTACAAGAAGAAAAATAGTGCATGCATCAGTACAAGTTGAAAACGAACACACATTTATGCACCATACAAAAGCCCCTGCACTATATGCATTTTAATTCAAACCCACCATCATTTACCTTGAATGTTCAAGTCTGGATCAATAATAAGCCTACCCGTTCTCAAGTAATTGATCAATGGCGAAAAATATTTGGCTTCCCGATCTATCAAGTATGCTCCACTGGGGTCGAAACAACTCGGCTGGATTTGGGAGTCAGGGTCAAACATTCTCGAAAAAAATGAATCTGGTTCACGGTTCAGCAAGGTTGTTTTTGACACTTGGAAAACTTGGCCCCCGACGTTCAGGCGCACCCATTCTGAAGAAATTTGGTTTTCGAAAGATCCAAAATTGCGAGAAATGACGGGTAGAAATCGATCCCCTTCCTTCGATACGTATAGGATCTCATCATCTCTGCACACACATTTGTAACGGAATGTTATGGATAAGCACAAACAGTTTCATGATTCACATTCACCTGTATATGTACGCACATATTGACATCGTCGACACTCACCTAATTACGTCCACATTATAAATGCGCCCTCCTTTGGATGTGTACACAACAGACAACTGGGTGTTGTCAAAAGCTGCTCGAATGCTAGCAATAAATTCTGAGAATGTTGCAGAGATCGGAAGGACTTTGCCATTGGTGGAGCTGCCATTTTCAAACACAGTTGCACGTAACATAATGATATCTTTGACCTTTTTAATTAGTTGGTGCGGCTTGAGAGTCGGTAGAAGTGAGAAAGTGGAGTAAATACTGTACTGATTTTATGTGATGCATCAACATTTATAAAATTATTGAGATTGGGCTAGAGTGAAGCAGCAGCAGTATTCAACTTGGCCAACAGATATGTAAAGTTTTCTTCATCAGTGCGAAATGATAATGGCGACTGAAAAGGGTCAAAAGAGACGGATTCTTGAACTGGAATGGAAAGATGAGATTTGAAGATGTTGGTCCTGAAATGTAAACAAGTTGGATGATAAGTTAATTTCATGTGTATCATAATATTATTAAGTCTATGTGGATCGTTAAAAAATTAAAAATCTTTCTTGAGGTAGACGTGCATTTCGGGTTAGAAGTATGCAATTATGCAGTGATATTATGCAACTGATCAGAGAAAATGTATGTACTTGCATGCATATGTAAAGAGAAGATTTAAAGTAGATTGGAAATATTTTTAACCTGATTTATTGCTTCAAAGTGAAAATACTTTGAATTAATCATACAATTAATCGAATTGTGAAGAGAATCAAATATGTTTCAACAAATGTAATCCAATCATATATGACTTTTAAACTTTTAAACGTATTTATCTAAACATCTTCTTGAATGCATAAAAAGTAGTTCAATGTAAATGCTGATGTAAATACAGATGTTTGAGAGGATATATCATATCCTAAACTAATGACTCAGTAAAAATATAGTACCTTCGTCAATATTACAATTACGTAATCAATAGTCCAATAACAAAACTATGTAATAATATAGTTAAATTTAAGGCAAGGTTGCAATCAGTTATTTCTGGATACCGACGGAATGAAGTAGTCTTATATAGTATAGATTAATTAATAAATAATCAATAAATATTAGCAACTGCATAGCTCCTTATAAATAGTTTTATAGGTGTTCATGTCCTTTGTTCTGTCAAGGGTTGGTCATCACGTTCATCACCTTCACTTTCCGTGTCATCACTTTCCTCAGAGTCCGTGTTGTACAGCCCGTTGGTGTAAATAGACATTATTGTTTCCTTAAAGTGATTCTTATCCACGACCTCGTCACCAACCAGATGCTCCAATTCCTTTTCAGCGTAGTCATCTCCATTTTCATCCTCCCCATCTTCAGATCCTTCTTCTTCCGTTTCATTGTCGCTCAACGAGGTCTCTTCATTATTCTCTTGCATTATTATTTTGTCAATTTCCTCCTCAATTTTAGGTTTCCTGTTCTCCTTGAGAGTGTGAGGAGGATCCTTGGGTGGCATGGGCAGGGCATGGAGTGGACAGCCGTATTTTTCCAATTCCGTGAGTACCGGTGTTTGACAAATATCGTCCGGATCAGGGCCGTATTTGAAGAGACAAGGCTTAAACAATTTTTGATTTGGGTCTTGAACGATATGTGTCACACAGAAACGTGACAAGGGCATCGCGGTTTGAGTGCACCTGACGAGACCAGCATGGCCTCCGGAACCAGCAGAGCAGGCAAACGTGGGATATCTTGGCCTGGAATTGATTATGGCTTCTTCCTTTGACTCATGCCTAGCCCTCATGTCCGGGTCTGCTTCAAAAATGCGTTGACGTTTCTTCAATATCTGGCGACGAAGCAGAGCACGAGGACCTCTGTCAACGCGGTGGTTCATAATAGCCTTTGTCTCATTATTGATTTTAATTTCATCCTTAATGAAATTTTGAAATGCTGCTCGGGATTTGATGTTCATTGGTCCTTGCAAATTAGAGGTTGAGATAAATTTGGGATCTGTTGTAAAGTTAATATTTTGTTTTTTCAGTTCAAGTTTCTGACGGTTGTATTGACGCCACCCGTGTTTGAATTTGAGCTTATCAATTTCCATTAATCGGAGTAAGATTTGTTTCTTCTGCAAGAGCTTTTGTTGGTAAATTTTAGCGATTTCATCTACAGTAAAATAGCCGGCATTTCGAAGGCAGTCGTAATTAATTGCAGATGGGTCGTCCATGAGATGTTCTCCAAATTGCAAATCATCCACATCCGTATTATCATCATCTTCTTGTTGAGCAGTGGTCAATATTTTGCTGGCATCAATGTCTTCGTCATCAGAATCACTTCCAGAGGAATCATTCAAAGTTTCGTAATTATCCTCTACAAGTTCCTTTTCCACTCTGAAATGTTCATACTCATCACTACTCGTCTCCATAATCGCCCCCTTGGTTCTCGCGACATTATTACTGAGCTGTGTTAATAGAATGTCATCATTCTCGAGTTTGATCCTTGCCTTTTCCTGTTTGTGCTGCTTCTTCTTAGCATTGGCCACAATGGTTGCGTGCATCTCACAAAAAATTTGAATCGAACGTAAGTTTGATCTAGGAATATACCGTAAACACATCCCATCCTCTTTGACATAGTTACACCTCTCAAAATGAAGAGTGGCCCCTTCATCCACGTGCGAAATGCAGAAACGCGAGTTCGGGGCCCTGGGATGAGGGCAGTGATTAATAGCGAAGGAGCAGTGGTTGTTGTCAAAAGGGGGATATAGTGAAGAATGGTGTTGCCTAGAGTAGCGGACTTTATTGGGCTGACTTTGTTGATGTGATGACGAGAGTAACTTTGAACTGCTTGAGTATGAAGGAGTGTGTGAGGTACCATTTGAAGAAATGTCGGGTGACGATGTAAATAGATTACGTTTGAATCCATGTTCTTGGGCTGATTGTGGCAGTAGTGGTGGAGGAGTCGAGACCACAGAGTGAGGATGATATGAGATTGATGACGATGACGACGAGCTGGAAGCGTTGATAGATGGTAATGATTGTATCATGCATTTATCGGAAGTAACAGTACAAGTTAAAGATGCATTTCCTTTCTGTAAGAAAAAATAATTACCCTTCTTTAACCGAACAAAACCAAATTTTACTAGAACTATTTGAATAATTTACAGCTTAATACCTTTGTACATACCAACGATTTCAAATCTTTTCCATCATCATCAGTTACAGCACGACCTTGTGCAGAACTTGTCATCTTTGATCCTTGTCCATACTCGTACTCGTACCTGCCATCTCGTAGCCTCTTCATATTGGCATCCACTCGCTTGGAATAGTCATCATGAATTCTGTCCGCATTCCAATGCCTGATCTCACTTTCAAATAGCTCAGGTTTTACTTCCACTTTGAAACATGGTTCTTCACGGAAAATATCCAATGGTTTCCTGTCATGTCGCAGCTCCTTCCCATCCCTTAGCCGTGTAACCGGTTCTTCATTGATGATCGTAGAATCAGCAGTGACCTCCATTTGGTGAGGTGGTGGAAAAGTTAAAGGGTAAGTTTGGGTTTCAGTCTTTTTAGGATTAGTGGAAGGTGTTTTATTTTTTATTATAGCTGCATCCTTATTACTCAAATCAATCAATCTTGAATCAAAGGGAACACTTTTGCCATTTCTAAGTTTTTGAGTTTTCAGTTCTTGTAATGAATCGGATTGACTTTTCAAAACTTTGTCGGCAACTTCCTCCTTTGACAATATCACTCCAGGAAGTGCGGCTCTAACTCGCAATCTCTGCTCTGCGGAAGAGAATTTTACTGGAATCATATAAGCATCCACAATTTTTCTTCTTTGATTAACCAAGTCGGATTGATTTTCTGGATTCTTCAGCATTGAGGTCGTTCTACTCATGTGCTTCTGATCCTCCTTAAACGCATTGAGTTCAGATCTGATTAGCTCAATATACAGTTTTATAGTTTCAATTTCGTCCTCCCGTAGATCAAAATCATCATCCGGAGTCAACAGTTCTTTGAGCACTTCCAGCTCCTCCGTTCGAATTCGAGGAAGCCGAGGAAAGGGAGTTTGTCGCATGAAGCTGGAACCCGCAGGAAATAGGGGGTTGAATGATGGTGAGTGCACATTACGATCTTCACCTCCAGCTGCATCTAGATTCGTTTTCGCTTCCATCAGTACCTTCAGTTCCTTAATTGTTCCCTTGTTTCTGATTAAATTTTTTGCATGGTGTACATAAGGATGTTCAATATTTTCTTCGTTTTCATCTTCTTCATCATCAGACGAAGTAGGGAATTCGGATGCCACTTTGCCCAATTTCGCAACAGCTTCGGCACAAATTTGGGGAATTGTTACTCCTTCCATTTTCATTTGATTGGGACTAATATTTTTGACCAGATCTTGGAGCATTCCTATCCCCCGGGAGAGTGTGAGTGCATCCAATTCACAAGATATATCTTGGAGCATATCTGGATTGCTCAAACAACGGGGTGCAATGTTATTTTTGGGACTGTTTGCTTGTTGGGTGTTGGCAGAATCGGATTTCTTTGTGACGAAGGATGACTTCCTCAGAAGTTTTTTGGGTGATAGAGATGACTTTTTCTTTCTAAGGATTGGTTGAGGTAATGTAAACAAAGGAACCTTGCTGAATTTTCTCAGTCTTTCATTCAAGACACTATATTTCACTAATTTGCTTTGCAATTCAGGAAGTACTCGGATTGTCTCGTGAGTAAATATTGATCGTCGCTTTGTAGCAGGAGGATAAGCGACAGAAGAACATGATGAAACTGTGGCTGGCTTTGGTAATGCAAAGCTCATAGCACACCTTGGGGATTTAATAAGGAAAGGCGAGGATGATGATGAAGCTGAGAAGGATGGTGATGACGACGGACCAGCAGTAGACGAGTTAAGTGGCGAACAAATTTCCGTATTGGGAGAGGAAGATTGTTTTACCTCTTCTGCAGGGAACTTAAGGACTTTAGGTAACCGTTTCTTTGAAAGTTTTTTTGCAGAACTTGCGATAGAGGTGGAGGTCTTCTCAGATTTCAGACTCAATATACGTTTCAATTTTCGATCAACTTTTGGACGTTTTTCAGGTTTCGGCAATTTTGATTTTTTCGTTCTTGTGGAGGATGACGACTTTTCCTTCATGTTGAAACCCGAATTTGTTTTCTTTTTGTATTTTCTTGGTCTTGACTTGGTTTTTGATTTTTCAGGGCTGCCTGTACCACCCTCGTCTTCATTATTACACAGATTTTCTTTCTTTGGGGAAGGAAATGATTCGCCCAATATGTTGGCAGTAAGTAGGGTTTCTGGACTTTTTACCTTTGGTGGTGATGAAGGTGGTGAGGAGTCACGAGATCCATTATTCGGAATTGGTGAATCACTCTCTGTTTTGTATTTTTTCTTTTTTTCTCTTAGAAATTCTTCCCTTGTGAGAATGTGAGGCTCCATTAGTTCCTTATCTGATTCATTAGACTCCGTTGAGAAACTTCGTACGACCAACTTTTCCTTGCGGGATCGATGACTCGATGATTTATGAGTACTCGTTGTGGCTTCTAGAAGTGAAGATAGTTGCTCTGTAGCAGCAGGGGAATTTGGCCGTGATATTTCTAACGCTTTTTGTTCTGACATGTTGTCTTCGTCCGGCCAGTCTTTTGAGAAAGATCTGGGTTCTTCCACTAGTTTTAAAGTCTGTTATGAAGGAAATGAAGACGTGGTTTCAGTTTGGTCTTTGTACTGATTACTAATTAATCAAGACCACCTACACCTATATCTACACACTTATTGCACTCAATCATATGTTGATTCATAAATGTGTATTCCGTCAGTCACGAGTCAGGTTTAAGTACTATGTGACTGCTGTCGTAGCTGTCATATAAACTACTTAAGTCACTTTATAAGTAACCCAAATCGAAGGCATAAACGATCTCTTTTACGCCTAATAAAAATAAAAAAAAACAGTTATGATCTATTGCCTTTCAAGATTTATCTACAATTTTCCGACCCAAAAGGACAAGCTCTTAAAGTGAAAGATCATAAACCAAATCGAACCAACGAACCGAAAAGTTGAAAATACAAAAAGAACTATGTCTACCTCAATTCATGACTACAAATTGTTCAAATTCATACTTTAAATTTTAACTCACTTGAGCTTCAGAAACGTGAGAATGGATCTACAATCTTCGTAAGACAAAGCAGTAGCACCAGATAATGAAATGACGCCTCGTTTCCTCTCTTCAAACTTGTTTCGAATGGTATCAAACAGAGTTTGTAATTCACTAATAGTTGCATCAATTTCTTCCCTGATAAAAGTTCAACATAAAAGCTTTACATCAACATGTGACATGCATACCGAACTGTGTCTTTCATTCAAGTTTTCAACTTACAAAATGAGTTTCCCGTTTTCGACCTGCTCCGTGAAAATGTCTGCAATGTTACTTGTCAATTTTTGTTGGTAGTCTGGTTCAATATCTGCTAAAACAGTGGAGGCCTCGTCTCTGAAAATAAAACTTCCTGATTTCACCACATAAAACCATAATCAAAACCAATCAAATCATCGCCAATGACTCAACGGGACTTACGTTTCGAGCACGTGTAACTTGCCTCTGCAAATTTTCAAGGTTTCGCAAATTTCTTCAAGTTTCACAAACTTTTCTGCAATAGTTGATGATTCGCAAACCAATTCGGCAAATTTCTTGACTAACTTTTCAATTCCTCCTTCTTTTACAAGAGACGAACCGCTGCTTCGCCGCTTACCGGCTCCACCAGCTGAACTCATTTACTTCCCAAATCAATCCAAATTTTCAAGTTGTGCTAGTAGTTTTGGAAGCAAATTAATTTTTTGAAATTCCAAAAATGCGTGCACGACACAGGCAGAGAAGTGGCTGGAAAATAGAATTTCAAGGTTCCCGTCTTCTGAAAAAGTGCGTGAGAGAGGAGTTCCTTTGCCCCGTGAACAGCAAGAAATCAGATTTGGGCGCTCTCTCCAGCAGCGAAAAAACACGACAGGAAGAAACCGGCTAATTATTTCATTTCTAATTCATAATTAATTGATTGGATAAAATAGTTTTAAAAAATTGTGTCAAGTTTTAAATTCGAATTCAAATAAAAAAAGTAAGTTTAACGAAACTCAAAATGCTTATAGACATATAGGCTTGTCTCTTCTCAATTCAACTCTACCCAAAGTAAAAAGAATGTTTACAGAGAGCAAGTGTAGAGATTACTACTAGTAATCTCTTGCACTCTTGTATTGTATTGTAGTCTACAATACAATTGCAATTGTCGTTGAATATTGATTATTTTTCATTTAATTGCTGTCTTGTCTTTGTATGAGTTTATACATAATATATGGTCCTGTTCTATGTTGTAGGAAGATTTACAATGGACAATGAGAAGGATAATAACCGAACTCGTCAGCTAGCTGATTCTTCGGCAACTGCATCCCCCTCAAATCCTGAGGGTTCGACCTCAAGTACGGCCAACACTCGAGATACGGATGCAGAAAATGTAGGAGATGATACTGAGAGTTTGGTTAGCAAAAATGATGACAGCACCAGCAGTAATAATGAGGATGAAAACAATATTATTACCCTGGATGACGACGATGATGAAAATGGTATCATGCAGAGCAATGCTAGAATCGATCCCGTTGGTGGGATCTTAACCGTGTCAGATGTGCTGATTGAACTGGACGATAACCTTAAATCCAAACTTGTTATCGACCTTATGCAGATATGTGAAGTTGATGAAGATACGGCCAAAAGTACGTTGGAAAGTTATCGATGGAGCATGCAGGTACAAAAGAGGACAAGTATTAAATGATTTGACAGGACAAAGACCAGCAAAAATGCGCTTTCAGGATAATCTATTCGATGATCTATTTGATCATTTATGTTTTATGAACATTTTTATGGTAGGATTCGATTGACTTTCTTCTCTATGCGAACAACTCAATGAGTAGTAACGAAGAAGAGGGAGGTGATAAAATGGCCATAGACACTGATGACGAAAAAGATAAACCTCAGACTTCGTCATTTCCTAATGAGGGTGCTTCTACCTCAGCTATTGCATCATCCTCGTCAGTCTTGCATCAATTATGCAGTCCTGGTGAAGATGGGAAAAAGGAGAAACTTGTTGAACGGTACGAGAAAGAAACGAACGTTCTCTCAAATATTAGGTCTTTTCAGTTCTTTTGGGATGTAAGTACTATGCTCATTTTGTATGTGTTTGATGGTTTTATTTAGTGAAATCCAAGTGGTCACAACGCCAGGAGGAAGCTTCTCTAATTGGGCCCCTGAAAAATTTTCTGTCCTAAGCTGGAACTTGGATGGTTTAGACGACAAGAATTTAGAAAAACGAACTGATTATGTAATTAACCTAGTGGAAAGGTAATTGTGATATTGCAAACGCTATATACTTCACAATAAACAAATTCCCGATTCTACATTTATCGTTGACTTTTTCTTGTCCGCTGTAGAGAAAAGCATGACGTTCTTTTCTTTCAAGAACTACTTCCGTACACCTTTGATTATATAGCTCGTCGTCTACTCCCTCAGTACAAACCTATTCCTGGTATTCTTATAAACTAAAAATAAAATTTTAACATTGAACGTTAAAAAAGGCTGTTCTAATAGAATACAAATACATGTGCTTGTAGGTACAGACGACTCATCTTGTCAATATTTGACAGCCACGTTCCTTAGAAAGAACTCTGTGTACTACGAGGATCATTATCTGCTTCCGTTTCCAAATTCCTGTAAGTAATTATGCGTAACAACCAATTTGTCAAATTATCAACTGAATTGTGGAGTAAAACAAAATTTATATAGTAATGGGCCGAACTCTTCTGGTCACAAAAGCCTTCATTGGCCGAGCAAAACTAGCATTGCTGAACACTCATTTGGAAAGCACTGCTGAGTATCAAAGTCAACGGAAAGTACAATTACAGACGTGCTTCGAAATGGCGTCTACCTTTGATAAAGAGTATAATGTAATATTTGGAGGGGATCTGAATCTCAGAGATCGAGAGGTAATACGTAGTATGCTTGATAGAAGAAATCTGATCATACATAACTAATAATGGGTAAACGTCATATTCAGGTGGACAACACGTTACCTAGCTCTATGGTTGACCTCTGGATACGTTGTGGCTCTCGTCCAACGTGTCAATATACTTGGGATCTAACCAGAAATACGAATAAACAGATGCCTTCTAAATTTCAGCCTCGATGTCGTTTCGATCGTTTCTATTTTCGAAATTCGGATCCTGAAACTCTTAATCCAGAGTAATAACTTATAACTTTTATGTATACTATTATAAATAATCTGCTAGCCACCATTTATAATTATTGATTGTCTAGATTCTTTGGTGTTACCGGAATAGAAAGAGTTCCAGGTTAGTGCAATGACACACGTCCTCGTCGATTCCCTTTGTACTCAGGTGTTCTAATTAAAAATTCTGAAACTAATTGTTCCAAAATCTAGGAACTCAGTCATTTCCGTCGGACCATTGGGCTATCATCACCTACCTTGGATTGACCAAAGAAGCTCGGAAACCTCCTCCACGAAAACGACGTGCTGAAATTGACGGTTTGCCTGATGATGATTGACGTAAAAATGTTACATTGGGATAGGAGTGTTTTAAAAATAAGTTCAAATATGCGTGACGGGATCTCTTGAAGTTGACCGTTTTAATGAAACTGGTGCAGCTTAATTTATAAATATATTGTAATTAATTTAATTTAAGTAATATCAAGTAATTTGTGCTGTGATACAGTGAGGAGTTTTGTTCGACTTGATTCGCGAAATCTGCGTACTGATCTTTCTTGAGATTTATTATCATTATTGTGTTAAAGAAGTACAAAATGCTATAAATCAGACTACGTTTACTGGTTCAGGTTTGCCATTAATTACTAGTTTTCCTTAATACATTGAATTTTGTGATACAAATAAGCTTCGAATTGTTCTTAAGCTCAAATAAAGTCCAACTGAATTATCGATATGTGAGTTTAACTCGAAGTCGAATTTGCTGTTTGTCCATTTAATTCATTCGAGCCCACAAGAAACATATTTACACAAAGTCAAATATAAAGTCAAGGGTTGAAAGTTGTTATGTATGTGTACTATGTACATATTGGGTTGAGATTTGGTACATCGGCCATGAAGCATATGACAGATTAGTAATCTATATATTATTAATATGATAACTCACAACATAAGTCATTTCATTTCTCATATAGGCAGTTGACAAACCTACTTTTTAATTTCCGTAAATTTTCCTGTCTTGCGTTGGGCTAAAATTTCCGGAGCCGACCTTGAAATCACTCAAACTGTCCTTTTGTATCAAGGGATAGGGAAAGTTATGGAAATTTTAAAAACGTAGGTCTCCTAAATGCCCAATTTGTTAACTTTCCTGTATTCTGTATGCAGAAAAAATATAAAACTTTTCGAGATATCATCATGAGTTTTCATGAACCTTACGCATAGCCATACGAGCACCTATTATATAGCATTACTCACCCACCAACACTTGCATATGCATGCTGATTACTTCATATGGATTTCATTCAATCATATCATACAATTGAAACATTAAGCATTGAATTAGCGACTGGGAGCCTGTTGAAAACTCTACAAGATCGTTGTGTCCGTCCGTCCGTCCGTAGGTTGCGCCGATAACTCGTGAACGAAAAGACATATAAACTTGAATCTTGCAACATAGACCATAAGCTTAAAGCACAGGGCAAGTTCGAGGATGGGTACTACACAGTCACAAGGTCATGATAAAAAAATTAAAATGTCATGTGAGAACTCAACTGCGGTGACCGTGCGTGGACGATGTTAAAGGCACAAAAATGTATTTAAAACACACTTTGGATGTGTCAATTTGAACAGATTTTAAACGGACAGCAGTAATATGACAATCGTTTGAACAACGTTTCACTCTTTGGTTACATGCGTTCTAACCGTTTATTATTTCATCAAAACGTATTTTTGCAATTGTTGTTGTAACAGTTAACCAAAGCGGTATACAGTAAGTGCATTATAACAGGGGCAATTTTTCACTTGAACTCGTAGACTTAGCTTCACACAACGAATTGATCGAATGAACGAATCATTGAAGCCAGGTTTTCCGAGAACAATTGTGCTATTATAGAGTATATGGGGTTCGATACTGCCAATTTAATTGTTGACTTGGGGAGTACAGGGAAAAACCGATGTTGGTAGGTGGCTACTTAATAATTACGTTAATACATACATATCCCTCTTAAGAGTAATATTTAGAACATTTACCAAAACGTTTCTCTCGTTTAGGCTGATAAGTTATGAAATTGGAACGTTTTACACACGTATTTATTTATACACAGCTTAGCATGACATGATGCAATTTCCGTGTAAAATGACAATCAAGACATTTTGGTAGCATTTCACTTATTTATGGGAAATGAAAACGTATTCTCTCTCACTCAACTTGGAAATCGCTTCATGTATCAACTCATGGAAGTAGTGCACAGCACATGCACAATATTGCGTTGCTTTGCCTAAGGCGACGTACTCGATATTGGGCGTATAAAAGAAATCCATAAACGCATTATACGTATCGCAGTGTAATGTGATGAGCACAAGTGACCAGCAACTTTCTGCACACGTTATCGGTTAAAATAAAAATATGGAGACTAATAACGCTGCGGTTGCAGCTGAGGTAATATGGATTTTTTTCACCATGTGCATTCGTATTGCGCCATATGTTAGCAGGGTGTGAGATTATATTTTGTGGAATTATAGGAGCCCACAGCGGCTGCTCCAATCCCAATTTTCGCCTGGGACTTGTCTGGGTCCACTTCTGGCGTGACGCATTATCACGCCGTGGGAGCCAAGTATCTGACCAAATTTCTAGCCGAGCACAGTCCAAAGACTTCCAAGGACCCAGCCCCCATTTTCCTCACGTGGGAGGACCATGCCCACCAAGTGACTCTGGATCGGCTGCGACAAATTATTGGCAGCGAGTATGGCTGCGGGGGCAACACCACGTCCTGCATCATCACCTGGATACAAAAGAATCTGGGCTGCTCCACCCCCATTTCCCTCTGGCTGGTCACTGATGGTGAACTCATGGCTTCCGACTTGGCAATCTGCTCTCGACTCAATCACGAGCTGAATATGAACTATGTTGCTTTCAACTTTATCATAATTTCACGTTGGAAAATTAACATGTCAGTGGGAGCAGCGTTTTTCTCAGGGAGCAAGATCAAGATTTTCATGAATGAGGACCTTCTAAAGGAAATTGACACTTCAGAACCGTTCGATTACGACAAGGTTCATGCAGCCAATTTTGATACAGCTGTCCCCGAGTTGAGCGATTACATTCAGGCCAAGTTTATGGGAACAGAGCTGCAGGGGTTGGCGGAGGCGGATAAGCTGCACAAGTTGAGGTTGAGATTGTTTGCTGAAATTGATAAGCAGGAGGAGCACACAGAAGCGCAGATAAAGGATGCAAACAAGTCAGACCATACTGACTGGACGAATAAGGAAATGATGGAGTGGTTGAGGAGTACGAAATATTACAGGAACTTAAAGGACTTTGATGTCGCAAGCTTTAGGACAAAAGTGGATTCTGCAATTTCTACGCTGGTTAGTAGTTAATCAAAATAACTCATTATTATCTACTTACTTGCCTATTACCAGCCTTGGAATTCATAATCCTGCAATAAGTCATATTTGATATGTGCACATTTAGGTCAATTACATACACAATAAGAACAAGAGTTGTCAATTTTTCGACATTTTAAAGATGGACTATAAACAGGACAAGGTTGGTTTTGCACAACCTGTGAAACCAGACCTTGATATCGACCTCGAGTCGTTGGAAGATTTGCCTGAAAAGTGCAGCTTTTTTGACGCTGTCACACTGGAGGTGGAACAATCCACACCCGTACTCCTCCTTCAAATAACGGACCTCATCGATAAGTTCTGGGTGAATGGAAATTATACCAAATTCCGAAGGGTAGCCGACTGTCCCCTTTTTGGACAATTTGAGGAGTGCATGGGGCACGTTTTTTCGATTGAGACGGTCAAACAACTCTTCCATAATGGGTGAGTAAGCCTATATGTATTTATCTTAAATAAATACATATATATGACATGCATAAATTGGGGAAGCTGTGGGGGCAATAACTTATTAACGATGTTTCCTAATTTATTATGGAGGAAATTATTATCCTGATGCCCTTACGGTTCTGCAGACCCTGAAGTAACAAATATAAGATATTAATAAATAATGTTTTCATTACTTGACAGATATTCTAAATTCCGCAACCCAATGACTAATAAACCTTGCTATGGAGGTCTGATTCCCCACCCTTCCTTTGACGACTGGAATGACTATTTGCTAATGATCACCTTCTTTCGAGGCAAGAACATCCGCACTTGTCCTGCGCTCTTCTACTACAGGATTTGGAAGTATGCCACAGGTTGTGAGTGGCTTGACGACGGAGTGGTCACTCTGCTAGAGCAGTACGCCCTACGGAGAATATCTGTGGCCAGGACGCGACTTGCATTCGGATCATTGGCCATGGACCCCGTCGAAGTGGTCCCACTGCCACTGACCCTTTTTTACTGTGCTGAAGGCTCTTCTCTGTTGTTTGCACAAGATTCTCAACTATTTTTGAACGATCGACTTCGGCAGTACTATCCCGTGTCTCGTGATTTAATCCACATCATGGAGAAACTTGGGGTTTCTTGTGACCCTGAATTTATATCAGGAAGGGCTGTCCTCTTTACCGCTGTGTCCTTATTAAAGACTGCAGGAAATCAGATGTCACAAAAATATGCCCTCCTTTCACGCATTTTTCGGAAGCAGGGAAAATTTATAACTTACGAGGTTAACGATTATGTTGATGGCGATCCCTCAGTTTTTCCAATCAAGTTTCTTGCTCTTCTCAACTACTCTCACAAATCTTTGATTCCATTCAGTCTTCCCAAAGTCGACCTTTACGACCACGTGCACATTGCATATGATGCCAAACTTCCCCTCGTTCCCATCTTCCCAGAAACCTTAAGGCCCAAATTTATTATCCAAGATCAACGGAAAGGCAAGGTCATTCCAAATTATAAAGAGATTCTGGCTTGCGTAACCCAAGTCTCGTTGAAGTCGTCATCAGGGAAAAGGGTATCATCATCATCTAACCGTATCGCCCCCACTAAACTTGATCAGACAAAGTTACTTTCTCTCAACAAGCTTTACATCAACTGTGTTTGCGCAAATAACAGATATCCAAGTTTAGCAGAATTTGAGGATTTCGTGTGGAAGGAGAAGCGCTTTTACGGGGACAAGGTTTATTTATTTCCTCCCCAGGTACAGGAATTCATTCGACAGGTTTTTGACAATTATCAGGACTTTGCAAAGGAGCTTGGGGTTGACGAATTTATCAAGAGAGGCACTGCTGGGGTCAGTATTATACAAAGGTTAGAACTTGAGGGCGTTACGAATGCGGCTGTGAAGAATGCGACGTTCATTGAAAAATGTAGAAAGAAATGGTTGGTGTAAGAGTTAACATTGACATGTATTGTATTGCCAACCTATAATAGCAGACTAATTGGTATAGTGCCAAATTATAATTATCTTGATCTCTGTGTCAATTTTCTACTTTAAAATTATTATTCAACAATTATTTTCAATAAATTATTACTGCACATCTGGTAAAGGACTTGCGATGACTATATAATTTATTGCTTTTATTTTACAAAATGTCTAAAATCTAATACATAGGTAAAACAAAAAGAGACTAAATATCTACTCATCGGAAATTGCATAGTTTCATTAACGTCAATGGATTTCTAGTTGATAAATATTCAAGTTCAATTCTTCCAAACTCAGAACCTGCTTGGGGATGTTGCAGCCATTTCCTATCCAAGAAATAATCTATCGTGGTTTGAACTTCTTGTGACGTGTAATTCTCTACTCGTACGGGGATGAAAGGATCGAAATGTTCCCACCCCTAAAACACAGATAAGTTATAAATTTATTCCATTTCATTTCATTGTTCACATCATCTTTTGTCAGCTTACATCCTTTGTCAATAAGTATCTTGGCAAATCGGATTCTCTAATCTCATTTTGTCCAGCAAGTTTATCTACAGTGCTCACAACGACCCCTCCGGACTGCAAAACAAGTTATGTATTTCATATCCCTGTGAACTTGAAATTAAATTTAAATTAAATTAAAGTGTGCAAATTTTGTGATTTCTTGCCCAATCTGGTTTTATGGCTTCTTTAAATGCTTCAAATGCTGTTATCATATTTGGTGGGACAAGAGTCCTGTCGGGTCGTTTAATTTTGATGCACTCGTAATATAAAGCGTTGATTCCATCAATTAGCACCATCGTTTTACATCTATTGGAAATAAAATTTCAATACATTACCAACCACAAATATCAGACATACTCTTATCAGATATTCAATATATTATTGTCACATATAGGTAATATACTTTTGATTTGAGGATAAGCTCTTAAGATCCGAGAGAAGTGCATAAATACACTCTGAAGCATGAGCGGGTCGAGCGATACCATGCTCTACGATATCAAGCAAATTGGATCCTTCAGAAGTTTCTTCTCTTTTACTCCATTCATACCTCTTTTGTGTTTTTAACTAAATACAAAAATAAGCATATTTTCTGGTGTAAAACCATTATATAATTCTAATTCACACTCACATCAAGCTGTGTAAGCAACTTAGCATTTTGGATTTTGAAGTGGGTAAGCCATGTCACGGCATTGATCGTATGATCAAAGAAACCAGGCCTTGTAGGGCTCTGCACAATTTCTTTGTTGAAACGAGTCCATAATGGGGCTGCAAAAATAATTTCATCAAATTGGAATAAAAACGCCCAAAGTTAGTAATAAATTATTCACTAATTGCTAGTAATGTTTACCCCACGGCACATTAACTAAAATGTATTCCTGGACAAATCCGTAATGAGCAAGACAGCACATTGTCATTGTTTTACCACTTCCAGGAGGACCATCTGAAAGAAAGGGTGACGTTCGAATCTTAATTTCTATAACTCTTAATAAAATTAACGCATTAATATTATTCTTATCCTTTATCCGCCGTACATATGATGTATCGAATCACGGGCTTCTTCATGTCGGAGGCTTCAATGCAACTCTTGATATCCACAAATGGTTTTCGTATCATGACACACACTTCTCCAAATGTGCTACAATTTTGTCGAAATTCCGGTGGGTAGCATTGTATGGGATTCATGACGCCCTTGTAGAACTCATTATCTACCGTGTAAAACCTGCCGAGGTGTGATTTGTCCAGTTTTGCCTGCACACATAATGATATTAATTTCGATAACTATATGAATACACTTTGTTGGGATGATAACCATCCCTCAATTTAATCATTAATGACATGTTTTACTAATTAGAATATTAATATTCTACGTTGTCTAAGGGGAGCTTACCGGGTCGGTTTGGGAGGTTCTAAACGCGGAGAGGGGAGGGAAATACGAGGACGTTGAGCCACCAGCCCCTCCCTCCGTCACTGCCGAGTACTGGTCGGGATTGACGGTGATGGGGGGTGGCAGCAAGGGCTGTGCCACTCTCTTCCGGAAACGTCGCTCTTCTCGGAGACAGGGCAAGGTCCTCAGCCGAAGCGCTGATGTCGTCGACAAAATTAACCTGGTTTGCAACATTTCCTACACAAATCTGTTTGTCACAAGCATTTAATCAAATAACTGAACAATTATCGCTCAATAGACAATTAAATGTCTTTATTCACGAAGAATTACAAATTAAGTAAGAGTAATATGAGTACAAAAATGAAAATGAGCCGGTGGTGCGTGCGGGTATATTCTGATCAATCTGAGACACAGAGTATGATATAACAATCTGAGACGACTTTATTTACGAATCTCGTATCGGGGGTTGTCCTCAATCTTCGAACGCACACGACCATACCTTTCAATAGACACCCTACATGAAAAATGTCATTGTTTCGACATTCGACACCGCTCACACGATAATGGAGTCGTCGCACGTCGAGACGATTTCTTAAATCCTCGCCTACGTCTAAAACAGACTAAAAATTTGACAACTTTGACCGTAGGCGTCATCACCGTGGCGCCGTGACCTTACGACCTACAACGCCCATCTTCGAAATCCGTACTTTAAAAATTAGAAACTCGTGTGCGAAAACCGCATGTCGAAATTCGAATCTGTTCTATAGTTATCGTGGATAAGGGCATACGGACGGACGGACAATACATTTCCATAAAGATATACAATATTTGCGAGTTTATGCTTGCATATTTCGCACAACGGTGGTCAAATTGCATGGCACAAATAACTAAAAAATAAAATTACTGTGTTTGATTAAGGTGCTCATTTCCATTAAATTAAATATGCATGCGTCACGTTGTATGAGAAAAATTGAGAACTGCAGACTCAATCGTATACAGAGAATTCCTCGGGTTTTGTGACAACAATGTGATGATGATTAACAATGAGTGTGAGCATTTATTGGCTGGTAAATAAATAAATATGTATAATAGGCAGCAATATTGGACGATGCACAATTCTTTAATACATCTGTATTCTTAAAAGTTGCATTTTACAGAACCTGTACATAAGATTGTTAGTCTTTACAAGTTAGTTCCCTGAATGGTCTTTGTTATACCGCCGTCAACGGGAATTGCGACCCCATTGACATATGAGGCCGCATCCGAAGCAAGGAAAATGACCATGTTCACAATGTCTTCAATTCTTCCATTTCTCCCGAGTGGGTTTCCTTTTTTAAATGCAATTCCAACCTCGGGACCATAACCGGCCTTATCATGCCACGCCTGATTCTCAATAAATCCAGGATTAATCGTGTTGACTCGAATCCCTTTCGGGCCCAGTTCCAACGCAAGGGCTTCCGACACCATAATCACGGCCCATTTTGATACACTGTATCCTATTGCCCCCGGAAACTATAAAAGATTTATGGGTAATAATAAATTAGCACAATTAACACATGGGTACTAGCACAGCTTTGTACAACTTACAGCCCTCATTCCAATTCCACTGGAAATGTTGACAATGTTTCCTCTAGTTCTCATGAGATGTGGTGTCACCAGTGAAGAGAGGAAGACAGGCGCACGGACATTAATCTTGATCTGTTCGTCAAATTTTTTCATGAGGTCGGGATCATCGATGGGGCTCATGGCGATTATTCCAGCATTGTTTACAAGAACGTCGAGCTGGCCGTATTCTCGAATAACGGAATCTACCAAGTGTTGAAGGTCAGCGTCGGACCCCACATCCGCCTTGACCTGCAAGGGAGTGTAGTGTTTGGGCGATACAGCAGCCACTTGCGAGGCTGCGGCTGCCATCTTGTTCGAATCCCGTCCTTGGATCACCACTTTCGCCCCTAGCTTTGCAAACGCCAAGGTCATTTGATATCCCATCCCGGAGCTGGATCCGGTGACAAGTACGACCTTGTCGGCAAAGGAAATGTTCCCTGTGGACATGTTGAGACAGTTGTGCACGTAATGAGATTAATGAGAGTTCTGCTGTAAAATCCCTCTTTTATACTTTTACATAGTGGCTGGGAAGTTAGCTTATGGTTAGCTTTTTGTTGCATTGGCAAATATGGTCCAGCTAAAAAGACGAGAGAGATGGTTGATGTTTTTGTTTAAAAATCATGTGGGTAATTGAAGAAAGATGCGTTAAGATGAAATCATCTTCGATCCGACCCCAGAGCATGATTTCACCACATGAATCTCGACAAGTTTTTGGGTCCATCCGACTTCTCAAGTGCAGTCAGTCAATAATGTTGGGAGTTTGGAGTGACGAGATGATATGTGGAGGTGAACCAAAGTCCAATGGCAATTACTACCTGCCTTGATTTAACGTGCTGTGCAGCGTAGGAACAACATCACGGCCATCGCAAGTTCTCATAAAATGACAAATTACCAAAAACCGAAAGTAAATAGCATGTCCCTGACATGACTCAACTCAAAACAAAATTGCACAAAAAGTGCAGTTTGGTTTTTTCTCCTGTCTGCATACTCTTTCTCTTCTCTCTCTCCGCTTGTATGTAAATATGTACATACAAGCGGATACTTGTATGTACTAGTATGTACTATGTACAATGTACATAGTACATAAAATATCGTAAATATGTACTATATAGTATGTATGCACATTGTACATACATACTATATAGTACATATTTACGAGGTCTATGCTAACTGATGAGATGATAAATGTGTTCATTAATTTTCCAGCAGAAATATGATTTAAAATGAGGACTAGTGCATGTAAAGTTTACATTGTAAACTAATATACATAGGATTAGTTGACCAGATCTGCTCAATTTGATACACGTGTATGATATTTCTGCTCAACAATTCATACATAAGCCTCCCAATCAAATAAATTTGGCAGTTTAACATTATGTTCATGAGCCGGTAATAAAAGTCTATTAATCCCAAGAAATTAATTATTTAAGATATATATACGATATATATATATTTATATTTAAGATATATATATATATTTACCTTACCCTCATTATTAGATATGGAAATTCTATGAAGCTGTATGATTGATGAATCATATTATTTCCACAAATGTATTTAGAGCTTACCTTCTAAAAAATTAAACCGCAAGAAATGGTTACATTTTCTATTTAAAAAAGCTTAATGCTTAATATAGCCCGAGTCAGTTTTCTCGTCTTTTATTTAATTTCGAGAACCAATGTGGCTTACCATTTCCGAGACCCTCAGACCAATATTTTACTCAAGTTATTATATACATCAATCTTCCCCTATCCTAACATGAAAACTTTTTTCCAACAAAGCGTAAAAAAAACAGTGTGGATTACCCTTTTGCGTCCCTCTGGCAAAATATTCCTGAAACGACTTCATAATTTGTCAATTATTAAAATCAAAATGGAAGGAAGTATACCAAACAATTCATTTCATTCCCCCTAACTCGTCAGACCGACAGAGATAGAGATGACGAGTCCATTAGCTCTAGCTCGGGCCACAAATTAGGAAGCCGCAATTTCCTGAATGTGTTTGACTAATTAAGTTGAACCCATTCTTGCAGATAGTCTCGCTAGTCGAGCAATTTATCATGCTTGATAAATACACGTCCAAAGAAGATTTTGTAATTTTCAACAATTTTGCAAATGGTACGCATTTTAAGTTCCAAGTTATATATCTATCTAATAATTCTCCCGTCCAAAAATAATAGTGTGACCACCTTCTTTGCTTCTACACTTAGGCTTGTATTCCAAATTGCGGAAGGTGCAATTATACGAAGGCCCCATATTGTTGTGGTGATCACTGTGAACAGCATGACCTGGGGATTCTTGGGCATTGTCAGCCCTCAAAAGGTCCTCTCGACTATTGCGTGACCTCCTCAAGTTCCTCAACTGCCAGTGTCTCTGGTGGAGATGGTCGAACCAACAACAATGCATTCGGTCCGACATCCATCGCTATCCTAGTCATTTGTCTCACAGCATTTGCATGTGCCCTTGTGGGAGCTGCATTTTTTCTCCGAAGGAATCGAAAAGTATGTGCTCGAGATATTTTCAGGCAATGTATTTATGCACATATGTATTATTCCTTAACCTGTAGCACTAACTTATTAAATAGTAAATAGTAACTTATTTTGTTGCCACTTTCAATGTATAAGATTCGAAAAATAAATCAAGGAGGATTGTCGGCTTTGGAAATAAAACAATTTCTTGAAGGATCTCTGTCCCATCAGAATTATCCTAAATTAACCGAGACCACGCCGCTGACCTCAGTCCAAGATAATATTGGAGCGCAATTGAAGGCCGACGATGACACTCAAAACCAACAGACAATTTTGAAAAATGTCGAGGAAATTCCATATGATAAAAAGTATGAGATCCCTGAAAAAGGCTTCAAATTGCGTGAGTAAAAATCATGAAGAATTGTATTTATTATTACTTTGTTACTGCTAATTTTACGTGAATGTTTATTTTATATAGTAAACTGTCAAGTTGCATAATCATGTTAAATATTATTAAATTCTGCAGACGAGGGTGACATTATTGGCTCAGGTGCGTACGGTCTGGTGTATAAAGGTGAGCTTTGGGGTCAAATTGTTGCAGCAAAGACAGTCAAACCACACTCGGAAAAAATTTATTTGAAAGCACTTCTTTCCGAGATAAAAGTTTTGATCCATCTTGGAAAACATGACAATATTGTGAGGCTGGAAATATTGGAAGGCTGGATCCTCGGGGCCTTCACCTCATATCTGAATTCTGGAGTTATCTATCTCTTCCTTGAATATTGTGAGGCTGGAAATCTTTTAAATTACTTGAGGGCAAATAAATCTACAACAATGTCCCAAAATGGGTAAGAAAACTCTCGGTGGACCTCTAAATGTGAAATAATACTCCCACGCTATATCCAAATGATAATAATTAATACTTTTCATTTTAAATTAACAGCAATGTTGAAGGCTCTTCTGAAAATTATAAAGCAAAGGAAACTGACGAACAAGACTCTGCACTAAATGTGGATGATTTTATTATTTGGTCCATTCAGATTGCTAATGCCCTCAGATTTCTGACTGACAAGAAGGTTAATCCTGAAATGGATTGTGTATTTATTTTTCTAACGATATGTACATCAACCACTGCCAACTGAAAAATACATGTATTTAAAAGGTAATTCACGGAGATATTGCGGCAAGAAATATCCTTTTGTACACAAGGGACTTGGCTAAACTCACCGATTTCGGTCTAAGCCGAAGACTGTACGAGTACACGAATTATATTAAACAAGGACAAGTATGATTTTCAATCACAATATCTACCAACATTATGTAGGAATGTTGTAGTATTCATAACAAGGCTCAATAATATGCATTTTAAAAGACGCCACTTCCATGGCGTTGGATTAGTTTAGAGGGCCTGCGTGACATGCAATTCTCAACTCAGTCGGATGTCTGGTCATTTGGGTACGCTTAGAAAATCGTCGTAATTATGTACATGACGTCTTGTTCATTTTACATGTTCTATTTTCAGTGTTACAATTTGGGAGATATTTACATTGGGAGACGTCCCGTACACAGGACTCAACTGGTCACAAGAATTTGTTTATCAAGTCATGGATGGCCTTCGATTGCCAAAACCTAGAGGATGCGATGATACGACGTAAATATGGTTATGTTATGTTAAATGGTTATGTTTAATTATGTATAATATAAATAAAACTGCGATTGTACTGATTATTTCAGTTATACGTTAATGAAAAGCTGTTGGAACAATGACCCACAACTTCGTCCAACCTTTGTGGAACTTCATAAGAAACTACTTGATTTAAGAAACTTGAGGAATTACAGCAACATTTGATTGATAAAGTTCTTTTTCAGATATACGTAAATGCATTCGAATGTAAATTTCAGAGAATGTCATTCACATTCAGAAACACTTTTTTCCAAATGCTAATAAAAAGTGTATAAAATTGTACTAGTAGATATATAAATGCGAATTTACTGATTTTATATCAATTTATGTATATGATATAAAATAAGGTTGCCTATCATATGAGTGACTGTTTCATTTATTTTGTCATCCCATGCTGAGTATGAAAATGAAATGTACCAAATGTATGCAGCATGTGTACATTATATTTTTAGCCCGAGTCAGGGCTTATGGAACCGTCATGTCCGTCCGTCCGTCCGTCCGTCTGTCCGGCACGATAGAGCCGAAACGGCTGAACCGATTGACTTGAAATTTTTACCATATGCATATTGGACAAAGTTAGGAAACGAGTTCGAAGATGGGCGATTTCGGTCAAATGGTTGACCGGTGGGGGTCATCTAGGTGGGTGGGGTATTATGCACCAAAATTTCAAAATTGTCGTAGAAGGCTGAAATTGGGTACAGAGGTTGCTAATGGCTCCTAATAGATAAAAATGACTTCAAGTTGGAAAAATTTTCATCTTGAGGGACCCTATAGGATGACCCACACTGATTTTTCAAAATCGTCATAACAAGCTGAAATTTGGTAGAGAGGTTGCTAATGGGTCTTAATAGGAGAATATGACATGAAATTGGTAAAATTCTTAACTGGAGCGACCCTATGGGGTGATCCATACCGATTTTTAGAAATCACTTTAAAAACATTAAATCCGGCACGATCATACCTAATGGCTTCCCATGAAAGGATATGAAGCTAAAAGTGAGCAAATTTTAACCAGAGTGACTCTGGAGGGTGACCCATACCATTTTTTAATTTTGATTTTTTCCATTTGAAATTTGGTACGAAGGCTAATAACCACTTCTTGATAGCAAATATAGCTTTGGAAGTTCAAAATGGTAATATTATGTCGGTCAATTCGGAGAAAAATTTAGAAACAGCTAGGACTCACGGAGTCAGGGACTCTGCCCCTGACTCGGGCTATATGGAGTCTGCACTGTAGGTTTTATACAATACAATAGTATTTGTCGGTAAAATAAAAATAATGCAATAACACGCAAACCAGATTCACGTGGAGCACATTAATTCAAACAAACTTTATTACTCAATTCTGCTCATATTAATAATACATTGAATAATACTCTGTAAGCTCGAAGTAAAATTCAGTGAAAATTTGAATGCATTTACTAGAATTTTAAATTTAGTGAACTAATACATAAGTGTGAACGTCTAGTATTATTATATTAATTAAGCCTTAAAGAAAATTTTGCAATACATGAAAAAATCAGCAAGAGTTCTCCAATAACGTGTAACATATAGAAATATTCAAATTCCATTTCACATTTTCATGGGCTGTGAAGTAACGGCTTGTAGCTGAATGGCGTTGTACGGACTTCCAGGGGCTCCAGGTTCGTCGACGAACTTGCAGGCGTGACAAACGTTAACGCAGCAAACCCCAAACAACGCCCCAAGAACGACGTTGCAACAACAGGCCGAACCTGTCCCCTCCTTCAGCCACACTAAACCACAGGGGAAACAACACGCCATCATCTTCTCCCATGTCCCCAAATCCTCTGCAGCCGACATCTGCAATAATTCAGTAATACATAATAGTTACAAATTTATATTAAAAGCTGACAGGTAAAAAAATCACTGTAAAAGCAGTAGTGACAATATAGCACATACTTGGAAATTTGCACGGTTGACAATTGTAGTATTAACAACGAGATGCGGCCTGCAATTGGCAACGCTCTAAAGTGATCTGAAGTTGGCGTTGTTGGCTCGCCTGGAAAACGCACATAAAATATGGCATGATTGCTCCGCGTCGTGCTGCATAATTTCCGTCGCTTTCTTTTCGTGTTTATTTTTCATACTCAGTCAGAACTAAATACACACAATCTTTTTTGTATTCACTTCGAGGGGTTGTTTCCATTGTGGTGGCATTAGTTGAGGGAATAAAGTTGTGTATATTCATGGTTTGCTGGCAAAGAGTTCCAGAGTGGTTCCAGTATCAAAACAGAATAACATGGAGCTGAATGACTACTGTGTGTAAATGGATTTGATATACGTTTGAATTTTGCATGCAGAGGAGTTTATTTTATCACGCCAAGTTTCTTATTACACGTGTATTGGATCAATAATAAATTTGACACAAAACATACATACATACAAACAAAGAAGAAAGGAGCAACTTTGTGACATGCCTGTTTATCTCATAGAGAAATTAGAACAACACCAAGAAATGTATGTATTACTCAAATCAATTTGGTAAAGGACCGTGTTTCCAAATAGGCAGTATTTTTTATCCATTATGAATAATAATGATGTATGGATATGGACGGATAAACTATCATAAATGAACCGAGCTGTTGCATACACGCACAATAGTAGTCGTATTTTGCATATACATATTGTTGCTATATAGTACAGGAACAAAAAATATAACTTGAATCGAAATTGAACGAGCTGCATATGCGCACATAACTATTTGCATATATGTACACAACTACGATAGGTGATAGGCATTGATTGAAGAAAATCAAGGACAAAAATGAAATGTCGCACACGAAAACGTACTTGGATTATGCACTTTACAATCTGATGTTCAATGTGCTTATAAATATTTAGAGTTTTGGCACATGCAATTCTCGAAACAAATATTAGAGTTGAGATGGTAAATATATAGGCAATGTGCATGGGTATTGTGGTAATTAAAAAAGAATCGATCCCAATCTGTTTTTTAGAGAAAAAGCAGCTTATTTCGTTTACAGGTTGTTTTACATCATCGATATGACCAACTGTTGAGGATCGTATGTCAAATGATGGCCTTGATATTCTAATATTCATTACCACAACATTCAGGGAGGGTACATTAGAAAATGGGTTCAGTGTAGTTGTAAATGGATCGTAAAATTCAGCGGGTGGTTCTGGTTTGTGGTGCATTAGTATTTGCAAAAACGTGCTGCTTTTCTTGGGAATTGCTACGGATAATGTATGCGTACGAGAAACGGACTTGTGAATTAATGTGAATAACATTATACATTGTGTCCAGTCTTCGACTAGTGGGGGCCAAAGGGCGAAATCGGAATCAAGCTATTACCTTTGTCAAAGTATTTTTCCTGAATCTGGTCGTATTGCAAAAAAGAGTATATATTTGAATGTGTTTGACACTAGAGTATTTAATAATAATATCATTATTATTATTATTAAATACTCTAAGGTTTGACATGAGTTATAGGCTATAACTTATAGCCTATTTTGCTTCCAAAAAATCATGCTTTCAAAAATTGTTATATGCATTTGATAATTTTAATTTGATAATTGCGAAATTGATGGTTAACAGTTACTTCCACTAAATATGCAACAAAAGACCTGACCTAAACAGCTAAATTCTGACTCTGTGTGCGATGTTCAGAAGGTGTGGCATAGATAGACCCACTCTTGCCCTCTTTGGAGAACATTTACAGTTTGTACAAATTTATAAAATGTTGACAAATTACATCGGTACTACCACTATCGCTAGTTTAGAATATAAATATATACATATACTAACATATCACGTATTTCTGAAGATTGAATGCATTTGTAAATAAATAAATCTCATTACATGGTGAATTGATTGCGAAACTGAGAATATATATTATGTATTAGTTGCGAGCATTTTCATTTTTTGGAGTATGTATGTAGAGCATTTTATAAGACAATGTAAATATTTATTGATATACTTTTGTATGTAATATTTCTTATCAGCATCTCGAAAAAAATTATACTGATCAATTCTACAAGTACATTGTAATTTTAAGTTCTAATAATACCTTATTCTCTGATTAATACAGCCATTGTCTAACCAGTAAAATAAGGACTTTCGCTTTCAGAACTATCAGACACAGACTATCACACTATTACAGTCGATTCAACACAATCAACTAGCACCGGCAATATTGTACATAGAATACGCTGATATTGATTGCCATGAACGTTTGAATTCAAAGGAAGTAACTTGAACTATGGGTTTAAATTATTAAATAATATATGTATTCCAATGTACTATATTAAAAGTGAAAAAATACACCGGAAAGTTTCCGTTTTGTTTTAAGTAAAAAAAATAAACCGAAATCCAATTAGATTTTTTGGGACAATTTTGCTTTCTTTTTAAGTTCACCAATTTTAGCCTTGCTCTCAGCCCAGCTGTCTTTGACATAAAATCTCCACAATCTATTTCTTGCTTCAGGTGGAGCAGATTCAATTCCAATTCGCTTATCTAGAGCAACTTCAAAGTCCCTGTTCTTAAATTTCAAGTCCCGACTTGTCTCAATCCATAATTCATCGCTCGTGACCATGTCAATCTTGTCGCACTTATCGCGACTGATATCAAATGCAATACAGAGTTTCGAAGGTCCGTTAGCCAGTTGATGAGTGTCCAGTTTCTTTTTTTCTTTGTTCGATTGTTCATCGTTACCGGAGTCGACCTTTTTCTTTGTCGTGGGTATGCTTCGAAGGTGATGCATTGTTTCGTAGCCTTCGAGAGGTTCAATTCCCCTAATTAAGCAGGCAGATCCATCACCTACAACATATGAACATAGACTGTCATAAATAAATACCACTTAAATGAATATCATACAATTTTCGAAGAATTTTTAAGTTTCAAGTACCCCTGGATGACACGTTGAAACAGAAATACATTCCGTAAGTAAAGTATACGTAGGCTGTTCCTGGTTGCATGTACATGGCTTCGTTCCTGGCAGTTCTCTTCCCACCGAAGGACTGCGACGCCTTATCCTCTTTCCCAGGATAAGCTTCCATTTCAACAATTGTACCGCGAAGTATTTCCCCGGTGGAAGCAATTTTCCTACAAAGCACGGTGCCTAGGTATAAAGATAAATTCTAATTGATTACACATCCTTATATTGAAATATACACACCAAATCGAAATTAAAATCAAACTATTCTCTTACCGAGTAAGGCTGTACATAATGGGACAGCATCCTGATCAAAAAACTCTCGTTCAAGTCTGAGTGGATTTTTAACAACTTTTTGTGTACTATCGTTGGTTAATATTGCTTCAGATTTCTTTGTCTGCGGAAAGAATTTAGATAATGGAGCTGTTGCTGGTGGAAAATAAGGAGATGCATCCTCCTCAACAACAGCACGGGATGTCGTTGCAGCTTTTGTGGCGTCTTTGTTAATTTCCGATGTGGTTGTTGAATTAGCCTTTTTAGTACTGGCTTTGATTTGTGACTTATTTTGTGATTGCTTTGGCTTAACAATCTTCGTCGGAGATGGTTCATACAATTCTTGTACTGCTGCCCGTGCAGCCGTCGCAGCGACTCGAGCAGATCGTTTCATATTGGATATTCAGTTACGGACTGGCGAGGATGATGTCAAATTCACCTTTTAATAGTGAACAAAAGAACACAGAACGAAATCTGCACGTATTAGTACTTTTGACTCAAGCAACCTGAAAAATGAAAAAGGTAAACCTGCGAGTTAAAAATAAAGTATGATGAAGTAGACAGGTTTGCAAAAAAATATAAACGCCACCCAAAGCTATTACCTTTTTGTGGGTGTGGTCGATTAATTAATTACAAATTACGATAGAGAGAGAAGTTGTCGAGTCGAGATCTCGAGACTCGAGATGCTTGTTGACGAAAAATCAACGTTGTTTGAGACAACAAAACCCAGCCGGTGGTTTTATGAACGCATCGCATTACACATTTTTGGGGCACACTGCGCTGTGTCAAGTTATTTGCAACCTTTTTCACTTTCCCTCATTTAGGATAATTGTCTGCTTTAGTGCTTTCTCCTCATTTTTCTCACTAAATCTCGGAAAATTCTATTCAAGAAGTAACGATAAAGTATCCTCAAAATGAGGATTGAATTGTATCAAAAGCTCTATTAGTTGAACTCTGAAATATGAAGCACGGATACTTGATAAAGTTGATATATTTAAGCCAAAGTGATTTCTATTACGAGAAGAAAAATCTACTTCCTATCTCTCTTTGTAGACCTTAAAGGAGCAAATAGATCTAGAACTTCTATCTATCGTTCAAACTAAAAATTATGATGTATTATAAGTAAATATTCGACAATTATCTCATGCATTTGGATAACATACGCACAAAAAAAATATTTTACCCAGTTAATATAACAAAACAATTGCATGTGTCAATAAATCACAATTTCAAATTCATTCGCCTGTGTACATGCACTCCAATTCTGCGTAAAAAAAGTGCCACATGGACTACAAAAAAGTCTAGAATTTTAATTTCCTTCCAGCCTCGTTTATGTAGTACTTTCCAAGTTATGCTCGTTGCTTTAGACTTTGTCCCCTAATACATTTTGCGAGTCTAGTGACTAGTGAGTTTTGTTCTCCGTCATTCTTTCCACTTTAATAATAGGAAAGGTACATAATAATATGAGAAAGGATGGTATATTATGTCTGTAATAACTTTGGGAATAAAAATAAAATGGGTCATGTAGCAACATATAAACTCTAAAATTGGTCCAGGCTTATACTCTCTCTCTGCTCGTCATTTGTGCATTATTATTATTACCTTACATATATTTATTTTATGGGATGCCGTGCTCGGATGTGAGTTAGAGAGAGAAAGAGCCCAGCAGCAGCACTGTGTGAGAAACCAACAACTTTCTCCGTTATGGGATATTGGCCATTACGGCAGCAGCGAGCAGCACATTGCCAACAAATAACACTTTCTCTTTACGGCTACAATTTAACTACAAATTTATATTATTTTATTTTATTATTACTTCACTTCATCCACCACCATACAAAATGAGATCGTTACTCGCCAATCCGTACATACATGACATACACCCCCTGATATTCCTACTTTATATCCTCCCTACTTATACATATTACAAACTCTGTTCCGGGGTGGGTGAAAGTAAAAGGATAACCTGCAATGTATGCATAAGGTGAAATGTGACCAATAACATATTTAGCACGAGTGTAAAAAAAATTCTTTTGGAACAAAATTATTTATTTAGTTAAAAAAATCATGGATATATTTTTTTAAAAGTATTATGCTGTATCAATTTGAGAACTGCAGTGTACAGGTTGGCATGTCACATCGGTTTGACGAGTTGTTCACCCTGTAGGCAAAAAATACCCGGACTTTATATTTTATTTTAAGTTTGGAGAGGGCAACGGAATACGCAGCATGGACGTATATATACAGATAAGTACGTACGTAGGCAAGGTTCTGATGGCCTTTATATTCATCATCATCATTGTTTCTCCCATTATATTCCCAATCCAGCACGACCAACTTCAACTGTTATTTCTCTCTCCTATCACCCTCGCTCAACTTTCTCCAAATTGCGTTATTATTGCCAACAAAGATATTCTAAACTTGGTGTGACACATTTAATACGGCGTTTCACGCAGTCAGCACGAATTCCTCCTCAGTTCTCAGACAAAGAGAAAGCAATGTGAATCGAGACCTTAAAATTTGTAAACCTTAAAAAATTCAGGGGAAATATGAACACTTTGAGAGGATATGGAGGGAGGGAGAAAGTGCTGGATGACCATATTAAACGTTACATATATATATGTTATATAATGTATAAAGAATATTATTATTACAGTGGATGGATGGAAGGAGGGAGAGAGCAGGCTGCTGGCCGGAGCGACTATTACTTTTATTATTATTATTACCAGTCCACTATTACTATTGTAGTTACTATTAACATTAACGGAGCGGAATGACATGGCATGGCTGCCGTTTTCTATAAAATAAAATTGCTTTTAATGTCTCTTCCGCACCAAAGTAATATAACATTAACCTGGTCGCTCTCCGCTGAAATGAATGCAACTTTAAGCAACAATAATATCCGACATAACATCCCGGCTAGGGTTGTTTTGCCCTCACATTATGCCACGTTCAAGTACCGGGCTGAATGGTACATTAGACTCCGAAATAGTTTTCATCTCGTGTTTCTTTCTCTCTCTCTCTCCTGTAATATAAATGGATATAAAATAAATGGCGCCCGGGTGGATGAAGAATGTAAAAGTTGCATTAAACAAAACAAAACCAATTGTTTTTAGCTTCAGAGAGAGAGAGAGAAAGACGTGCATGAATGTGCACAGCAAATTGGGGGCGGGTCACAAGAGATTTTTTTAATCAATTTTGAATCAAAATCTGACGGATTATGTTATACGTACACACACAACAAAATATGCACAAAGTAACAACACAAAATGTAAAATATGTTACTTTTAAGGATTATACAAGTAAAAGTATATTGATGCTTCAGAGGTTCCAAAAAATATGTCAATCTCAAAATAATAAGACCGTCTACCATAAGTTGAAGCCTAATCCAACAACATGTATGTAACCACGTGCCATCACACTTGTAAGTTGGTGGTACGGCGAACCAGTTGGTACGGAAAATATACGTACCGAACCGAACCCCGTACCGAACCAGGTTCGGTACGGGTTCGGTACGGTCGAACTTTTTAATTTTTACTGGTTCGGTACGGTTCGGTACGGGTGAACTTTTCAATTTTTACTGGTTCGGTACGGTTCGGTACGGGCGAACTTTTGATTTGTATTGGTTCGGTACGGTTCGGTACGGGAAATTTTTTTAATGTTAATGGTTCGGTTCGGTTCGGTACGGTATGGGGTCTTTTGAGATATTTATACATCAACTTTTCAATTAAGTACATTTTGTAAGGGAAAATGGTTAAATCTAAGTGGTTCGGTACGGCTTTGGTACGGTTCGGTACGGAAATTTTTGTAAATTGGTTCGGTACGGTTCGGTACGGCAACTTTTTTAATTTTTACTGGTTCGGTACGGTTCGGTACGGCATTCTTTAAAAAAAATTGCTGGTTCGGTACGGTTCGGTACGGCATTTTCTCAAAAAAATTAGTGGTTCGGTACGGTTCGGTATGGCGAACTTTGAATTTTTATTGGTTCGGTACGGTTCGGTACGGCAAGTTTTTTAAATTTTACTGGTTCGGTTCGGTTCGGTACGGCAAACTCAACTTACAAGTGTGCGTGCCATGCATATCTTATTAATCTGTACACATTTCTATTACTTCATCAAAGCAAACCCCGAAGGTATAAGCATCAGCGTAATCATTGAGTTTAAGAGATTTTACCAATATTATAAATAAAAATTGAAATCTGTTCATTCCATGGCAGACTGAATCCAAAAGTCAGTTCCGGATGAGACTCCTCTCTGATTTCTTTTTATACATATATAAAATTGCTCCCCGATCAATAAACACTTTCACCTCCAGCTAGCTCCACGACTACTCCGTCCCCTATTTTGCTAATGAGAAAATAATTTTTCTACACTTTATTGTCACTTTAGCATGTTGAAATTCTTCCACCTTTTCACCCTAACCAGTTCAACAAATTACTTCAAGTATTCCGTCCTCTACTTATGGCTGGCATGACATGGCATTTTCACCCCATCATTTTGTTGCATTAGTTTTTCATCCCATTTCAACTCGATCCAAATGAGTGGAAGCTACAAGGTTGTGAGTTTGTTGAGAGAGAGAGAGAGAAAGTTCGATTTTACTTTAGTTTAGAGGGCGATGCACTAATAAATATAGAATAAAGTGGGGCATAAATTTATATTTATTATATAGTTGGTAGTCCTCTCCTTGATGTGCCTTATTATATGAGGAGAAGATAAGGGCGAGTGAGTGGGGAGAGCCATTAATTTATATTTTATTATAGAAAATGGACCTGCTCCTGCTGCCAGAGAGAGAGCGGGTTGGTGGTGGTGGAGGGGGGAGACCCAACACTCCAGCAAGCCCAGTAATTGCAGAGTTAAATTGCATTAGCTATTTGCTCCCGTAAATGAGTTCCTCTGGCGTGGACCAGAGAAAGCAGAGGGAAAGCCTCACCTCTCTCTCATCCCATTTCTACATATCCGCCACATCTGCACACCATTTTTGTTCATCAACCGGCTAAAATGCTCACAAAAATAGGCTCACTCACACACCCAACATAAAGATTTTGCCCACTTGCACATTATATTTTTTCAAGAAGAGAGCCAACATTCAGCGAGTCACATATGCATGCATTGCGCATATTATTCACATGTACATACGTACGTAGATATGTGCATATAGTTGTTCCGTTTTCATAATTAATTAACTTTTCAAGCCAATCCATAAGTGTCCGTACTTGTTTTGACTCTGGCTCTTTACGTATTCCTTTGGAACATGAAGTTATCAAGGAATTAATAATTAACCGAGTGGAAAAATGGGATAATTGCATTTCTTTCTTGTTTCTCTACTTTTTTAATATTTGATTCAGAGTGAATGTAAAACTTGATGCTTTGTACGGTGCACGTATGCAAAGGTTCACTCATTTGTCCTACGCTTCAGCAAATCTCAACAGATTTAGAGAAAGTTTGGAGCTGTTACTGACTGCTCCTAATTTAATAAACTGATTTATTCATTATGAGTAAATTAAGGGTAGTGTAAGGGCAATTAGACACACAAGAGCAAGGAGAGGACGATGTAGAGAACGTAATTGTTTGTAAAATTCCGCGGAAATGGTACAATTCCTAATTGACTGCTCCTGGGTTATGAAGTTGAAAATCCGAAAATATAGAAAAAGAGTTTAGAATATTTCTAGGACTGGAAACTTTTATTGTAATAAAATCTGAATTGGAAAAGTTTCAAGAATTAGAGGAAGAAAAACCAATTAACTCTTAAAATTCACTTTTGTCATTATTAAGGTCTGAAGAAAAATCAATTAAAGTTAATGAATTTCTCAAAAATTGTCTCGCTTAAAAGTAAAAAAAATGAAAAAATTAACAACTTTATCTCATCATCACTTCACACTTGTCGTCAGCACTTTTCTCAAATTATATTCAGTAATCAAATTACAATGGCATACAGGAATTTTTTGATGGAAACTGACTAACACAGTATGAAACAAATGCATTTCAGAGGAATTCAATTTTTACAATTAATGTTCTCTCGCTTTTCTTAATCGAGTTTATAAGTTGATTAAAACGCCATGCCATGGAAAATAAAATAAAAACGACTCTAAGGAGATTTATTGAATACTGATAAACTGTCAAGTATGATGATTACTACGTAAATATATTTCCTAGTTTTACTAATAAACATGCATGAGGTATGTCCCATCATTACGTAAAATCAGTCCCGTCACATCATTTTCAATACGATGCATGCATGTTAACTAAAACGAGTATTTTTACACTATTTTTCATAGGTATGAGAAACATATTATTTATAAACAGGATTCTTGATTTGAATACACTGGGAAAGTTTCTGAGCCTTATAAAATTTCTCCCCCGGAAACATTTCGCATTGGAGGAGTACCGGGAAGAGGGTACAGTTAAAAGTTGAGATACTTTAGTTAGTAGTTACTTGCTCACTAAATAATAAATATGTTCACGTGCTCCTGTTTCCACTCTCAATAAATAATTTATTTCCAGCCAACCAAAGGCTGCCCTGACCTTATACGTATATGCCCGCCGATCGTGGAAGAGGAGAACCTTTTCTATTTATTTCAGGTCCAAGTTTTTGGGTGGACTCAACTACATTAAATATTTAAGGTCGAATGTAGAATTCTAGAATTTGTGAATCCTATTGTACCGCAAAGAGGAGAAAGTAGAGAGACTTGTTTCCTCGCCCGTTGAATCTTTGTTATTTACGGAACATTAAAATAACCGTAGCATTTCTGCCACATTTTACTTGAAATTTAAAATTTGGTAGTGAACGAGCTCCTTTGAGTACAAATAAACACGTTGGGCAAAAAATGTATGGATGCTGCCACTCAAAGATCGCAGCTTTGACAACAAGTCTCTAAATAATTGATGTGGAGAACATTGAACATTTTAAAAAATTCATTTGTGCCTCTGCTCTTTCGACGTTAATAAAAGATGTGACCAGAAATATAAGTAAAGCCGACCGTAACCACACCACGCCGTCCCACCCAATGGCTCGATAAATCGATTGAACCCATTCAAATTTTAAAATAAATACCTTTTATTTATCAATTATGCATGTTTCGGTTACTCATTTTCATACTACTCACTTTTTTCTCGACAGAATGAAATTGACAAACGGATGGATGACATGACTCGCATATAGCAAGCTAAAAATAATCAAGTACAGATTTCACCTTTCATCTTCAAGATTTGAATTTGTAACGACATAAGCTTGGGGTATAGTCTATTTCATTAATTTGCAAATGCATAATTAAACGGAATATGTAATAGTATTGCATAAGATAGGATTGACTTTACATATGCAATTGTGTAATGGTGATTAATGTAAATAGTATTTATTTGTTTTGTTGGATAAATTAAATATTCTACAATTTATTCATCGTCGTAGCCCTGTGGTTGAGTGTGCATTCTGCTGATTATCAACCAAAGACGAAATAAATGTACGAATAATTAATACAGAGCACGACCAAGGCATGTCCTTGTCCAGAGGGCAGGGCAGATATTATGCAATTAAATATGGACTAAATTTAGTCATAATGTGGGCATGATGTGGACTGGGTTTCCTCGGGTTTAGAATTCCTAGAAACAAAATGCTGTAAAATGAATAAAACCATAATTTGCCTATCTCGGTGAATATACAAACTTTATTTGACATCAGTTTGAAATTTTACAATTTAATTTGACAGGTGTTCCGGCCCCTGTTTACACATTACACCGATAAGACCGGCCCTACAGTGTATCGTGCATACATACATGGACCTCTCCGACGGCCTACCAACCAACCAGCCGACCGTCCTACTCTATCTATTTATTACTTATTTATACGCAGAGTTGAGCAACAAATTCTGCAAAACAAAACAATTTCAACTAAACTAACCACGTTTATTATTTTAAAGGATAAAGTTTTAAAGTAAAGTTTGGGTGGCAATTACTCATCGATTACAGTGAACTGGCAAATATTATTCTAGCTGACAAAGACAAAGAATAAATTATTGAGCAAATTTGGACATATAAATACTTGTACATAGACGTAACTGATGGAGGCACAAATAAAACCACGTAATCATAAGGATGATGTATGTATGTATGTAGTAAGTAATTGTGGGTAATTTTCAATATATATTTTGTCATGTACATAGACTTGTGTATGGGTTATGCATGCTACAATAAATGACCAAGAATTTTGACATTCTTTTGAGACATGACATTCCCCATCTGTGTGAAAGCAAGAAAGGTAAATTTAGCTCACGGTGTATGTATGCATTTACACGACAGTTTTCGCAAAAACAGAGAGATCTGTGTCACAAAACCAATTAGATTAGAAACAGAAAATAATAATGTATATTTTCGGGGACAGTTTTATATGCATGAATATGTATAATGGAAAACGAGAGACACCAACTCGATCTTGAATATTTAAATAAGTAAATAAATATTATAACTGAATTCTTTATCTTTTGGAACTTTCAAACTTGAAACAGGGGACAGAACATTTTCCCTAATGTGCAAAAAGCAAGCTATGATCATGAGAAAATTGCGTTATACAAAAACAAATATACAAGACAAATGCTGCCTAGGTAAAGTTGTGTCCACCCGAAATCCTCGATACATCCATCCATATTATTTACTGCATACATAAGAAAATCACATCTCAACCCAATCTGATATGTTTCATAATAGTGATGGTAACCCTTTCCCCACCACCTTGTAAATATGCACGAGTGAAAGCTTACGTGGTTGCACAGCCTTCGCGAGTATCTTAATCAGGGGCAAGGAAAGTGAAAGCGAGGAAAGTGAGAAAGAGTGTGGTGAGTTTGTTATCTCGTTGGATATGCTCCCAAGAATTAGCGAATTATTACAACGTGCAATAAACCACTGAGACTGAAAGTTCAACGCGATCCGTGCCGTGGTTGGAAGAATCCTCCTCGTAACATCACATCACACACACAAACACACAAAGGGCGAATGTGCCACGATGGTGTTACACGACATAACGCACCAGAGGCAGACCAGAAGTATTGAGGGTATTATTATATAAGACCTGACGGGAAGCAAAGCAAAACGCGACTCCAGCAGCAAATTCATCGCGAGGAGTGAGTGAGCTGGAGTAGCACGTTGTAGGCAACTCGCCTCAGTCTTGCGTTGGAGCTGGCTTCGAGTATTCGTCTCAATCCGTCGTCTCACCATAATCATCAATGTCATCGCATTTTGTTCTCATATTTACGAAATCCAGTGATCCAAGGCGTATTAAAAAATCTTGACAAGGTGGCCAAGATAACCTGGTGACGTAGTGGGTCATCATCACATTTGTTCTGTAACAAATAAAAATATACTAAAGAGAGAAAGAGAGAGAGAGAAAGTAAGAAAAAAACTGATTGGGGAAATTGAGACAGGTTGTGGTGTCATTCATTACTCGTGTAATGATGGGGTCCACGGACCAACAGCACCAGCCCCAGCAGCAGTACTGTCTCCGTTGGAACAATTGGAAAAGTAAGCTCAAATACAATTAGAATATTTAGTTCAGATATTTTCGGAAAGAAATTCATAATCTCAACGTCAAAACGTTTCAAAATATTTAAACATATTTATAGCAATAATAACACTTTTTTTGTCTTTATTAATTTTCTAGACAATCTAACCAACGTATTTGACCAGCTCCTGCAAGCAGAGGCATTTGTTGATGTGACCCTTTCAGCTGAGGGTCACTCTCTCAAAGCGCACAAGGTCGTTTTATGCGCCTGTTCCCCCTACTTCCAGGCCCTCTTTTTTGACAACCCGTGCAAACATCCCATCGTCATTCTGGGTCCAGGTAGGTGCTCCACCCCCTCGTAAACTCCCCTTATCTATTGCTTTTCATATCTAACTACTTTAAATATGACTAATCGAATCACCATACGATTCTACGTCTGTTTAAAAAATTAGCATTGTTAATATTTATTTTAAACAAATGTGAGACTACTTACAAGACTACTTGTTAGTCAATCAAACTCGCCTGAGTCTGCTAGTAAAATCATCAGTATTCTTACGCATGTGATTAAAATTTTTCCAGGGGTCAAATGGATGCAACTCAAAGCTCTAACAGAGTTCATGTACCGGGGAGAAATCAATGTAGCCCACGATCAGCTCGCTCCGTTACTGAAGGTACGCAAAATTCCATCCTTTGTTCTCATACGCATATGCACACAACACCCACAACCAAATATGTTTTTGTGGTATGATTGATTTTGCTCATAATAAATGTAGGTTGCGGAGCTCTTAAAGATTCGAGGTCTTGCTGATGTCTCGCACTCTCGGAACACAGCCCTCACCAACACTTCCCAAGGTCAAGGAAACGGCGGCAGTGAGGGGACAACCCCACTCACCACCCTCGGCGACTCGCATGACAAGCGGCCCAACCCGGCCGATTTTCTCTCAAACTCCAACCACTCCCACTCGGGCTCAGAATCCATTTCTCTGAATGGACATGGTCGACGGAAGCGTAGGAAAATGTCCACCCCAGAACGAACGCCAAGTCCGGGGGGAGGAGGGGGCGATGGTGCGGGAGGAGATGACAACTCTCTGTCCGGTCAGGAAGATGGTGACCGTGACCTCGAGGACAATGATCGTGACCTCGCAATATCCATGTCTGTCAATCCCATCCTTTCCGCCACTCCCACTGCAGCAGACTTGCAGCGCGTCCTGGGGTCCAACCAGTGCGGTTCGGCGCTGCTGAATTTGCATGCGGCTGCAGCAGCGGCCGCCGCCGTGGCTGGATCTGGTGGTGGGAGCAACAATGGGTCGTCATCAGGAGGAGGAGGAGGAGGACCTTCCCCCTCGACGACTGGGGACATGGACATCAAACCTGGGATTGTGGAGATGATTCGAGAGGAGGAAAGGGTGAGGATTTGCGTTCCTATGCAATTTACTTTTCTCTTTATTATTATCATTATAAAATCCATCCCTACAGTTTATTGTAGAAATCACCTTGAGGTTCATTCAACATCTCTTATTTAAAAATTCCATTACCACCACCAGCACCAGCACCATCATCACAATCACCTAAATTATTAGTCCAACAAAAAATTACATGGAAAGAAATATTAACCGCCTCTCAGTATGTACACATACAAGTTCATGCGTTACTTACATACATGTAAAAGGGGAGAATATAATAATAATAGTAATAATAATGCATACAAGAATATTACAATGGCATTTCTTGTAACTTTTTCATGTTGTTCCACTCGACTCACAATAATAAAAATAATAACGATTATTATTTTTATTATTAAATAAAATACCAAATGAACCAAGAAACGAGGCAAAAAGCAGGGAAGACAAGGCTATGGTAGGCAATGCCAAGTTCGTTAGCGAGGTGGATGGGAGAGACACAAAAAACTTTATTCAAAAGTTAATAGATGTGGGGTCGTCCATGCATCAAATTAAAATATTTAAAATTTAATGCACTTTTTCACCATTTAAAACCATGGCCGTATTTTTCCTCTGGGTTCGAAATCCCATGATTTATGGTCAGTCCTCTCCACCATCCACCAATTTTGGAGAGAGAACTGCTAGAGAATTTCCATTTATCCGTTAATTAATATTAATAATACTGGAGCTTAATGACTATAATCTATAAAATATTCATGCAGCTCTCGCATTCATATTATACAACCAACAACTCGTTCACAAACCCTTCTTCTTCATTCCACCACCACCAACTTATATTTTACTCTCTGCTGCCAGAGCCATGTACACGTTCATATGCACTGCAGTCTTCATCATCATCATTTTATTTATAAATGATGAGGGGATTTGTTGTAACGAAGCAAAACAAAAACTAAACTGACTCCAAGAGAGGAGTTGCTCTGCGTTGTCGTCGTCGTCGTCGTCGTTGCTGGTCGTGTACGTATGCCGACATTATTCTATGCATTATTATTATTATTATTATTATCATCATTATTGTACGTCGTGTATGTGTGCATTGCAAACATTGCTTACCATTAATTTTAAGTAATAATTTTTATCGCTCTGTCGAGGTCGAATCGTTTTAATATTTATTATTCTCTTGTCTATTATATTCATCTGAATAAATATTCCCCCTTTTATTACGTGCTTGAAGCATCATGTAAATATTTTTACGTTAAATTATATACCTTATTAAGTAGTGTATAATATGGCGTTGTTGGTTGTGCGAGTAGAAAAAAAATCAGTACGAACGAACGAGTTGAAATGATTCTGCAAAAACTGATAAAAACTACAATTTTTCCTTTAATAGAAAATAAACTCAATTTTATTTATCTCAAGTCAGAAATCTCACAATTCTCTGGGTCCTGGTGGAAAGGAGTGTTTGTATTTTGGATGAGAGTAATTTAGAAAATGAGATTTTTAGAGGTAGAAATTAGAGTGAGTATTAAGATTAAAAGGTGGATGTGGAGGAAAATAGGATGCAAACAGGCAATAATTCAGGATTTGAATTTATCTCATCCTTTGGGAAATTAGTCAAATTCTTAAGAAACGGAGCAGTGCAATTTATACTAAACAGCATTCGGGAAAGTAATTCCATAATACGGAAAAGGTGCACTCAAAATGTAAGAAATTGGAGAGAAGAATATTTTCCAAAATATTGTTATTTATGCTTCCATTTAATTTCACCATTTCAATTCCCAATTGAATCGAGTTTTCTTGGGAGCAAACTTTCTCCGACAAACCATACGTACATAGCTGCACACATAGCGTCTTACCCATCATACCCGCACATGCAAGTCAGCTTCCTCCTCTCGTGTTGATTTCATGCACCTTCATTATTACACACATCTTCTCTTAGAATAAACAGGATTCAAATTCAGAAATGCATCCTTATGTATTTCATGCCAAAATCAATGAGACATAAAAAGCTGCAGATTCAAAAGTGTGTGTAACAAAAGTGACATAAAACTTGCATAATTAATACTACGTACGTATCATCTCTCCTGCACGATTTTGTCTCCTTTGAGCCATGAATCTCTCATTTTGGTCGAGATAAATGTGCGTATAGAATTTGTGTTACAGTATTATTAGTTATTCTGGATTGGATCAAACACGGTGTGGTTGGTGACTGCCTATGTAACTGCAACAAACTGCCGCCCGCCTGCCTGCTACATAGATTCATTCCTATTTATTTTTGATGTTAACATAAACATTTCCCTTGTTTATTTTACTTTACTTTCTGCCTCGATTTGCTGAAGCTACATTATTATTACTTGTACACGATATTCTCTTGCCTTCCTCTCTCTCGTTCCTTCCCTTACCTTCAAAACTAGTTGGCTTTTCCTTGGCATTTACCATATATACTTGTTTTATTATTTTATACATGAAAGTTACCAGCAATGAGTCATGTATTTGGAAAACTTGTAGTTCCATGCATCCCTCAATTCCATAAGCAAAAGCAGCAGCAGCAGCGTGAGTCGTCGGTGTAAATGTAAATATGAATGGCTGTAATTTGTCTGACTGTTGCTGCATTAGTTTGATATGAAAAACATCATGTTGTATCCGAATGTATTATAAATATTATATGAGTAGAATATAACCCAGTCGATATTCGGATTATCGGGACATGAGATATTAGATAGTCAGTCAGTCGTAGATGGATATGCAAGCGACACGGGAGGAGAAGTGGTAGTAAAATTCAGTGTCTCATGTTTGCGGGGTGAATGCCACACTCTCTCCCACTCATTTATTTATTAACAGCCTCAATTTTAGCCAGGCTGACAAGTATTAAAAATATTTCACTATTTTAGATCTAAGTGTGATTTGTTGGACGCACGAGGAGATGGTCGGGTAGCAGGCAGATGGAATATTATTTAGAAATATTATAAATGTGTGGATTTTCCGGCTGGGAGCTTGGCTGGGAAAGAGAGGTAAATATGTAGGATGGGGAGACTGGATACAATAAAATAATAAATATTGATTAGAATATTCTCCTCCTCGTCGAAATTACCATCTGGATGGAGTAGTCGAGGTGGTGGTGGAGGAGGAAAGCCTGGTAAAAGTAAGCACAAGAGGAGAGAACTCGGCAGAGAGAAAGAGAGGGCTTTAATTTATTTTATTTTATTATTACTGCGTCCATTAACCATTCTCTCTCCTCTTCTTCCTCTCTCCAGAAAATTATGCGTTTACACTCCGCCTGCCCAACGCCACGCTACGCAGAAGTGGCGAAAAATGCCATTTATTTTATTTTATTCTTGATTCGAAATTTCCAAAGTTTTTGCTATTTTATTGTGAAAGTATATTGTGGGGTTGATGGAAAGTGAATAATTTATACATGCAGTTGCACAGGCTGGCTGGAGAAACAAATTGGTGATCACTGTATTTGTTACCGTGTGTTGGTCATGTCATACACGACGAGGAGAATGGCTTGTTAACATTTTATGAATACTCGCTCCTACATATTTCTTCCACATTGTGATATTCAGCTCCAATAATAATATGAGCAAATTATACTTGTCCTACGAGGAAGAGGTAGGAGCGGGCTACACCCAAATAAGCAGAGAGGGAGGCCTGGAATGAATATATATATATTAATAGAGCCAGTATAAAATTAAATTATAGAAAATGAAGGAGGGGAGAGAGGAACGGGTGGGTTGTTAATATTTGATGGATATTTTGTTGATGAGGGCACATATTCACGGGAAAGCTGAGGCTAAACCAGGCATAGTTTGATGGGAAAGCATATAATATGCATGACTTGTATTTCCTTCGTTCTGAGACGCAATATATATATTTTTTTTGGCGTGTAAGAAGTTTTTGAACTGATATGCATAATTTTTTAAGAAAATTCTCAAATCTCACAAATTTGCTATCCAGTGATAATTTCCAAACTTGATGATGCACTTTGTGAAACCAACTTTTGCCATAACTTTTCCTCTCTTTTAGTAAATACTTACTCTGTGCTCAAGTTGTGCGAGGCAGTTGTACGAGAAATATAAGAAATCCCCGTTTCACTTCACCCTCTATTTTTGGTTCTGGTTTATTTTAGTAATAAAAATAAATATTTTATTTTTATGCGCTGCCCATCTTCCAAGAAATATAACGGGGAAATGAATGAGCAAGTAAAAATGAAAGGAATTTAGAAGCGAGTGTAAAATAAATAAATTATGGGATAAGATGGGCACGGATATCATGCATATACACAAACTGACAAACCTTATATATCTGAACGTATCTAGTAGTTTACAGAAGGAGCGAAATACCCAACCAAACTTTGTTTTTTTATACTACTTGAAAAAGAAGAATTTGTGTTAATTTTTTATCCGATTTTTCTACATCAAGACACAAGTCTTGTATATCGAGCTAAAATTATGCTCCATCTCAATGTAACTATAACTGTATAAATAAATTAGATAGATTGCTTACTTTACTTTTTTGAGGAAAGTGGAGAGATTGCATTTTGTTGTTGCGTTCCCCTGTATGCACATTGCGTAATAAAATGAAAGAGTAGAGTAATTGTTTAGCATTATTTGTATGCGAATGTAAAAAGTGTATGCAAATAAAATAAGTTTGAGTAGGGTGTCATTAATATTTATATCAAAACCCTTGCAGGAATTATATAATGGTATATCAAAGTCGTGTACTAAACAGACAAGAAATTCACTTTTTGGTGTATTTATAGTTTTATTTAGATTTAGTTTACTCAAATCCCATTTACTTACTCCAAACATCGCCACAAAAAAACGTCATGTTTATAAGTTGCTCCATATACATACATTTCTTCCCTGGATGTAAATCCCATGAAAAATTGATACAATATTTATATCTTATTCAGTATTTAAGATTTCTACGAAACGAATCCTTTCTCAAGTCTGGCTTGACATTAAGGAATCATACGTACCATCCTCCCTCATCCGTGCAGTTTGGTTTGTTTGTGAGAAAGGGGGCATTTAAATTGCATCAAGGTTTATATTATGTCACATCTTTTTTTGCCTTGGTTAAAATTCTTTTTGCCTTCACTTTTTTATTACTCTTCTTAAACTGGGTCCGATTTATAATAAAAAGTCGTTTTCTATTTTTACCCATTTATTTTTACAACCGGCACGAGGCAGCTCGGCAGCATGGGCAGAGCGAGGGAGCGAGAGTGGGGGTGGGGCTGCTTATGTAGTCCCACATATTTCTGATGAGTCGGATTGAAAGAATTTATTTAAAGATCTCTCCCTTCTTCTAAATATTCCTTCGTCTCGTCAATTGGGAGATATGGATGACTTGATTTAATTAATGCTCGAGCATTTACTCTTGGCGTGTGCTTCAAGACATTTCTACATCTTTCATGTATTGACAAACTCATTTTATTAGTACTTTTAACATATGTATGTGTGCATATGTATGTACATACGTATAGGAATATCATCATGTTATCCATGAGATTTTATGGACTCATTTTATTGCTCGATTTTAATCTAATTAAATGCTTTAATTAAATTAAATCGAGTTTAACTAATTTAATTGGGTACAAAAAAGAACTTATGTACGTGGTGCAATGGTTGGGCGAGGAGGAAATGTAATATTTAGTTGATGCTTTAGTTTTTTAGTACAAATACACGATACCATAATATTTATCAGTGTTATGTACTAAACGTTGCGTTATGTAAGTTTGAATTCATTATTGTGACGAATTTTGAAATGTTTTGTTATTTTAATTGCAGGCAAAAATGCTGGAATCAGCTCATGGATGGCTAGGCCCTGGAAGTTCCACTTTGTCAGGTGAGAATAAGGGTTCGACACTTGATCTAAATTGCAAAAGGCATTGCAAAGAATTTTTAAGTTTACAATTTAGATAAATGTATTCGATTTGCATTAAAGAGCAGGTTTAGCCATCGAGCTGTACATAATATGCATTAGCTTTGTCTGTGTTTCATGTCAACCCGACATTAAGTTACATTAAGTTATATTGACATGTGTCCATGAACGCTGAGCTACTGCTGGCCTGCTGGTTTGCTTTACTGGCGAGCCTGTTCTCCCTGCTAAATAATTAATTGAAGTGATGCGAGTTGTGCAGGTGTAAATTAAAAACGCATTTGGTTCATTGTTCATTAGAAACGGGGTGTATGGCACTGGGCGCCGACCGGGCATGAAAAAAAGCTTGTGAAATAATTGTGAGCAATCTATAGAACACATAAAAGAAATAAAAAATAAAAGCACGAGAATCGATCGAGCTTACATCACTCTTCACAATTCTCGATTGTTGAGATTTTATTGTTTCTGAAATGTATCGCATTAATTTCAACAATTCTGTGTGTCGTGCATACCCGAATTATTGTACAGAAATCTTTGAAATGCAAATATTTTGTCCCCCTGTTCCGATCCGATATTTTCTACGGTGTGGCTAAATTACCTCCATTACTTTACTTTTATTCAAATTATAATTCCTTTCTGCTGCAAACTAAACCAAAGAATATTTATGGCTGTAATACACGCATACGATGATAAGTGTGGAGCATGGTAGAAAATAAGTAAAGTAAAAAAAACTTTGTCTACTTTTTTATTATTACGTACGTACGCAAACTATGCTCCCTCGAGCAGAGAGGTTTTAATTTCGCAGTAGCATTTCCTGAAAATATGTGTTTCAGATTAATTTTAGGTCGTTCTCTCGCTCTCTTTTATGTATGGATCCAATTTTGCTTAATACATTTTCCCAGCATTCATATTTTTTTCGAGGACGGGTTTATTAGTTAATTAGTAAATTAGATGAATGGTTTTTGTCTAATCAACACACAACGAACAAAACCGATAAATTTTGTGGTCAGATATATTTGGATTGTGGATCGTCTCAAAAAGATTTTGTCAAATTGTTATGTGCAGAACGGGCCAAAGAGAACGATGAGCTAAAAGATTTACAAAAAAAACCACGATCAACGAATTTACCTTAAAGTAGAATTCTTTTTATGTCCATTTTTAAATTCATTGAATTGAATTTTACACCTTAAAATCTAATCAAACATTTTTGGTTTCCTCTGCATTTAGACAACAGGACATGGACAGGAGAACAAAGTGAGTTTTATTGCACCCCCAAATACACGATAATATAATAATAATGAAGCCGAGTTTTTACCTGTCTCTTCCTTTCTCCAAAAAAGAGTGTAACTTACATATCGCGAGCACAAATGGATATTTTGGTTGCTTCAAATGGGGGCTAAATAATGAATTTGCCTGGCATTCTATATACATACGTGTGTCTAGCATTTGGTTTTGATGAAATGAAATGTATGCATGTTTGGGCTGATTGGTTGGATTGAATAATTAATGCGAATTTTTCTTGTCTGATTCCAAATAATGTGAGACTCTGTGGTGCTATTACGAGCAGCAGGAGGAGCAGCAGCAGTCGTGGTGAACGGGTTGGCTGGTTGGTTAGGATATGGCATGAATTATTCACTAAAAGAAATTGACGAGGACAAGACTCGATCAAATTCACTTTCAAATTCACTAAACCACGCCACACTAATAAAATATTGGGAGGAGGAGAGAAAGGAATGAATGCATAGTATCAACCAATATCCAACTAATTTAATTTGTTGCGAGGTATAAGACATGATGTTTCTCCTCCTTGTTTGTCCACCTGCTAACTCCTGTACCCACTACTCAATAAGCCGAATAATGCAGAAAGAAAGAGAATATTTCCTTCCCAGAAAACTGAGACTTTTTGATATCATTTATATTTGTAATAAACTTTCACGACTCGAAAACAAACTGCCTTCATGTTTTTATTTCATTTTTCCCTGTATTGTTTGTTCTCTCAAATAAGGTTTTATCGTCGACATTTTTATTTTTATTAAGTTTTGCATATAAAAAGAAGGGAATGAACATTGCGTGTCTGTCGTGCTAAACTTTTGTCACTCTTAATGAACCTTTTTCTTCCCTGTTTTGTTTAATTATTAATTACCACCTGGACTCGATATATGCATGTTCTCCAAACATGAATATATATACGCACACACAAAGGACAAGACATATAAGCAGACGACATTTATTCCTGGGTAAAAAAAACACAAACAAAACTTATTTGATTTAGTTGGTTACAAAAAAATGCTGCTCCTATAGTTTTGGTTGGTTAGTTTAGTAATACGTAATTACTGTCGAGTTTCTTTTTTCCACCAATCAAATATTGAATTGCTGTCGTTCGTGTCAAGTCAATCACCAAAATGGAATCAATAATTCGCTTTATTAGCTCTTTATTTCATCCAATCAATTTAGATTTGGAGATTGAAAGCAGAAAAAATAAGAGACAAAAATGGGCAAGAGACTGAAATTTTAATGCGACTTAATTATGGAGGGCGACGTATTGTCTTTGTGTACTTACCGAAAATAAAATTCAAAAAGGGTACCTACGGAAGTATGAATGTACATACGTACGTTGTGCAAAGGGGTGGAAATGCACAAGTTTTTAATTATAGTTTTAATTGATCTGCATATAAATCCCCTCAGTACAAAAGTTTCAATATTTGTAGTTCGTATTTCCTTCATAGTCTCACATATAATTATTAGTAAAACAATACGAGTTAATTTAGAAAATTTACTAAATTACAAAGAGATTAATTATTTATTAGTCTTAACGAAGCTAAGGAACTTATGGTCTGACAGTTACTGGGGTCTTAGTGGTCGAGGGTGGCACCGGGGTACGCGTGACCTCCACGGTTGCTGGTGGTTGTGCAATTGACGGCACTGGAAGCTGAATGTCAGTTCGACCTTTGTTACTAGGAGTTTGCACAGGAGTAGTTGGAATTTTGCTCATTTGTCTCTTTGCATTAACATCATGGTAAAAGCGATGTCTAAAAAATTGCGAGTTGCGACGCAAGTTTTGGAAACTAAAGGGAAGGCCTGAAATCAAATAATGAGATAATTTTTTAAACGATTTGGTTTCTAGACAAGTGTTATAATTTTAAGTATTTTTCACTTACTTTGAGCAAATAGGAGTGAGTTTGTTCCAGTTTTTATAGCACCACGAACCAATTTGTTAATTGTCCGGAAAGGCGAAGTGAGCAAGTTGTCGATGGGGTTCAGTCGAAAGACGAAATCCACAATGCCCGGGTGCATGTATTTAAACCCGTGGGCCTGCAAAAATTATACCAGCACTCGTTTAATAAATTGTAATACATACATGTTAACATTTGTCGCAAATTATACTGATGGGAGTGTAGGAAGTCCAGCAACGCTCAAGGGATTCGCATCCTTGTCGTAGTTAATCAAAACAGAATAAGCAATGGTCGCTGCTTGTTGATCCTCCCTGTACGCGTCCTTCATCAAAGTTTTCCCCAAGTAAATGTCACCCCCGTCGTCTTGCTTTCCAAGGAATCTGAATACTTCGACCATCTGAGAGGGAAAAATGATACGCAATGATAACGGCAATAAATTACTGTTAAGCTCATGAACTAAAATTTGTTCAAATCATCTCGTGCATAAATATTGTCGTTTTCGGTCATCTGTATCTACTTACATGTGTTGTGGGTAAGAAAGTACTGGCACTCAGACTTGCACCTCGAAGGATCGCTCTCCCGTGGTTTTGGAGAAGCTGAGCTCTGTACTCTGGACATGCTTGGGGAATATCAATCCCATATTCGAACACTAAAGCTGACCGACCATTGTCATATTCGCCGGGTGCCAGATTGAGTTGTGGGTGGACCAAATAAGCAACAAATGGTGCAACTGGGTTGCCTCTGACATTATTCCAACCTACGTACGCAGTATTTCCATTGCATTGAGTTCTGTTGATGGACTTCCCTTTCCATAATTGTCCTACGAGTTGATTAAATAGCCGCGTATTAATTGCAGATAGCACCGTTCCGTAGAGTGCGCCTTCTGGAATTTTCGCTGGGGAGACACCCGTGTTGTAAAGACATTCTAATTCCGCCTGGTAATTTAGTATGTCTTCTGGGCGTTTAATTGAATAGATTTTTCCAGCCTGTGGATAAAATTAAGTTGTCTTTCATAGTACTGAGCGAGCGAGCAAAGAAAATTAACAAGTGCAAAAATAATCTTCTACGTATTACAAATATACCTCACAATATCCCGAAACTGTGAAAGGCAGCATCCGACCAAATGTTGTGCCGAGATCAAAAGGGAACCCGTAGAAAGGTCCGTTCGGATTTGGGAATATTGAGTTGACCTGTGATGGTAGCAACGAATCTTGTCCGTCGCCAACAGGATCTTGACTCCCTTCATCTTCTCGAAGGTGTTGCTGGGCATTATCTGGATCAATGTTAGTGGAGGGCGGCTCTCCAGAAACTAAGATGGCAGCCATTGCAACGACCAATATTTGCTTGAAAAACATTGTGCAAAATGTGAGACTCTTTCTTTGAAATGGGTCCTTTCTTCTTCGATGGAGATACAGAACTGAAGTTTCTGAAGGTGAAAACCGGGCATAAATTCTTGATCCGCAGTAGATTGCATAGCCATAAAATCTGACATTCGCCTCCTAAATTCCCACACAATTATTGCAGCGGTATCATTGTCTGCAAGCGTGCATTGATGAGATTCAAATTGTGACTCATTCGTTCACAGTTTTTTGTGTGGCAATGTATTGGCTGACAACAATCGTATACCGAACATGTTGTTGACTTCTTTCTTCTCCGAATGGTACATGCAGAAGGAGTGTACATATGTACATAATTTAGCCGTACAGGTCATTTAACTGACCTGCACGTCACCATTATATAACAACATCTATAAGAATCGACGAGAAGAAATAAGAACATTTTCCGTAGAGTTGTGCAATCTAGGATAATTTGCACAGATTTTAGATTAGAGACAATTTGTTGTTTTATGCCAACCTAACAAATTGGATAAACTTATGCAAGTTTAAGGTACCTGTATATGTATCTCTAGTTCTGAGAAAAGAAATCCAGAGATAGTTTTACATCATAAATTTCGCATACAAGTATTAATGATATACATTATTATCTGTCTTTCCAAATCGGCCTTAATTATGTTTCAGTACTAATAGTTTTGTTGTAATAATTGGTCTTGATAATAAAATAGGGTCCAACTGCGAACGCAACTGTTCCACAATTCGTGATAATTACATAAATCTGACCAAATATGGAGGCTGTATAGACAGATAAATACATAAATATGTACGTACATATGTAAATACTTATGCACATGAGTCATTTCCTCGCAAAGTTGACTCGGGAAATCAACGGAACTTGGCTGGCAGATTTAATTAAGTAAAAGTGCTGGATGCATGCGAATTGCGAAGAATACGTGGGAACCTTTTGGGGGAATTACACATATGTTTTGTGAAAACACATGCAGAGTTCATTAACCGATTTTGCAAGTTTTGCAAAATTCCAATGTCTTCCGCAAATTTTTTAGAAAAATACGGGATCCATATGCGACTATCATAATCATTATCTTCACACGCTAAGAATCGAAATCCTATGTTGTTAGTGATGTACTCGTACCAGTAATTTGCTCAGGAGGAGAGTACGCCAACCTGATAATGACAGATCTTGATGTCCTTTGGATATATGGTAGTACCCCCTCTGAAAGCAAAAAGTGTGAAGCGGTTTGATGCCATGGCCCAATTTACGCCCGTCACGCCCCTTTGAAGGCGCGCCCGATGCCAAACTAGCTGCACTAAAAAATTCGCCAAAAATCCAATTTTGTTCGGATTTTCATAATAATTATGTATTTGTGATCCCAGATAGTCCCTTTATCATATTCAGTTGCAAAATTAACTTTTCAGAAATTTTCAATATTTTCGAATATTTCCTGAAAAGGGCATGGCTTGAAAAAATTCAAAATTCCAAAAAAATTCAGATTGATATCTGATATGATAAAGCAACTATGTGGGATCATAAATATGTAACTATTATGAAAATCCGAACAAAATTGGATTTTTGGCGAATTTTTTAGTGCAGCTAGTTTGGCATCGGGCGCGCCTTCAAAGGGGTGTGACGGGCGTAAATTGGGCCATGGCATCAAACCGCTTCACACTTTTTGCTTTCAGAGGGGGTACTACCATATATCCAAAGGACATCAAGATCTGTCATTATCAGGTTGGCGTACTCTCCTCCTCAGTTAATATCGTGCAATTCATAAAATAATCCACAAAATAATCCAGGCGGACACGGAAACAATATTTTGGGTTTAAACTTTTATTATATTTTTTATGTGTGCAGCAACTGATAAGAAGGCTTCATGTATATAATTAGTAATCATTTAAGATAGCTGTAGTTATAACATGGGGAACAAAATTCAATCGTTTAACCTTGCATTTTTCTCCCCAGGAAAGGCTTATGTACCCAGCGATTGTTCTTGTTAGACTTATCAGATAAAGTCGAAATTTATTAAATAATTAGATGATGAGTCGAATTCTTAAAGAGTCAAACCAAGTAAAATATTTGGCTGGTGGTATGTAGTGAAATGTCCCAAATTTAAAATTGTCACACAAAGCTGAAGTTTTGCATACACAATGGCTTTACCTGAAAGTCAGTTTATCCAATTTTTTGCTTGACGGGAAATGCTAGACACCATTACTAGCTATTTCAAATTTAAGATACATAATGCGCAACGTGGGGCAGATGGGAAAGTTGTACTAGAAGTTCAGTTGTATACATTTTTGTCGATGTTTGGAATTGGTTGAGTGTATGTGGTTACATAATTCGGTATACGTATTTGTACTGCTGAATTGTACTTGAACTGTAAATTTTTAAGTCTAACAGACATCTCGCAATATCTTTGATTTTGAAAACCATAATGATTGGCAATAAACTGTCTGAGGAGGTTTACAAACACGAGCAGGATTATTTGCAATGTACAAAGTAAATGTTTGATTCGCTTGACCATGTGTCGTTCGTGTAGACGTGTAGACATATTCCGAGATAAGTGGTTTGATATCGAACGACAAAAATGCCAATTATTTCTATTACTACATTGACAGTTACGTGAATAATTAGCTTTAATGGGGAAGATCTTGATAAAATAAAGTCATTACCAAACGACTGACAATATGTAAGTCATTGAATCTTTTAATCTTTCAAGTTTTTATCGTTTGTGTTTGCAGAGAGCTATCAATATCAAATCCAAAATTTGTGGCAAAAATGCTGGAATCAAAACCAGGGTGGGATGATGCATGCACTCCGATTCAGAGAACGAGGGCCCTTGAAATCGTGGAGACCAGAGACAATGAGTCGTAAGTAATTACTTTATAAAAATATGCCCAACCACTTTAATTGGTTGTTCATTTCTCAAAAAATCGCTTCCATCACATGATTCTGCGAGCAAAATGCAAATAATTTGGTTTCTTCTGTGTTTTTTCAGAAGCCATATTTGCGGTCTTGAGGGAGGGACTTTCCTTGTCACAAGCAGCGAGGAAGTTTGATATTCCTTACCCGACCTTTGTTCTCTATGCTAACAGGGTTCACAACATGCTTGGACCTTCGGTGGATGGGTCTTCTAGTTCTGGTGAGTTAAAAAGTAAAGACCGAGAATATTTTTCAATAATTTCCTCGACAGAGAATATGTATGCAAGCCGAGAATTTTTAAACTGTAAATGGACGGTAAAAAATGGAGAGAAAATGATTGTACATAATTGGGAGTTTGGTGTGTGTATTCATTTAGTCTCTGAATTGGATAATTCATATAACCACAAAACAAAACGTGAAGAAGGTGGGGGTAGAATATGTTGATGTGGTGTCCATTGTCATCTAGTTAATTATTCAGTGACACAAAACTCCTCATTTCTACACCATTAAAACCAACTGAATTCTTTAAACGAGTTTAATTACGTAGAAAAGCTCTCAATTTTTTCGATTAGTGTGTGAATTAGTCAGGAGTTGCGGTGTCTGAATTTTTCATTTGTTTTTACCTTCGCCTTACCTAATAAATGCAATCGATGGGGTGGATGATTGTTTCCTACTTTATTTTATACTTGGCATGCATGAAAACGGTCGTATGTAGTATGAGACAATTTCTATTTCTTGGTTATAATAGTTAGATTTATATCAGCCCTTCTTTCCCGTGATGTGATGTTTGCTTGACATTTTTTCTGCTTGTGTCCCATTAAATATTCCAAATGAGTCCAAATGTCTACTTCATTATTTACCAATTTCCATTTCCATCAGCCACATTTTTTATTGATTGTGTATTGATCAGTGATTGCGAGAAAATAAATGTTGTAATGGGTGGATGCTTATCGTAATAGTATCCTCGATTCCATTTAAATTACACTTTATCACGAAATGCGATTATGCATTCCAAAAAATAGATTATGATATTGCACAAAAATAGCTTGTTTTAAAGCTTATGTATTCCCTTTTTGTGCATTTCTAGATTTGATGTCGGATATCCGACCCAAAGGTCGAGGAAGACCTCAGCGTATTCTACTTGGTGAGATACCCATCAATTATTTTGTATATTAATTTAGGATCCACTAAAGAAACTGAATCTGTGTATGCAGGGACATGGGAAGAGGGTCACATCAGGGCGGTCATCCGTGCCGTTGTTTTTAGAGACACGCAAACGAAGGACGACATCCCGACTTCATTTGTTTTCAATCGGGTAAGATGATGCATACTTTGTACTTATTTAGTTGTACATGTCTCTTAAAAATTCCATCCACCAGAATGAAATATTCCCAACGCCAATGTGTGTGGCTGGTTTGGTGTGCATACCGAGATTTACTTGTTTATACTCGTTTTGCCAAAGAATCGTTAAAAGTTTAACTGGATGGTGGAAAAGGAATCGTTAGTATTTATAAATATTTCCAGCGTTTTTGCTGTACACGGCTCCTTCAACTTTCGACGAAAAAAATGAAAGACACCAAAGGGTAAAATCCGGACTTCAATTAAATCTCATACACATACTACTTACTTATTACACGTACTTTGTTAGTATCACTACTCGCAGTACTTGCCTCCTCTCTCTAAAGATTATGGACGATGATGATTGTTGGAAGTCAAAAATAGAGTCGAGTTTTTATCTCGACAACTAAACATTAAACTAAAAAAGAAGAAATGTAAATGAGATGTGATTCCTCCCTTCGTAGATAGTTTTTTATGGATTGAGAAATATACAATCTGAATAGGAATGCCGATTTGCATGAGTTTTGTTTTAAAAAATATTTAATTTCTTAAATTCCCCCACAGGACGGGACACTGTGTCTTCCTCAGTCGAACAGTTCCACTCCTGCGACGGCCCCAAGGACTCCAACTCCATCAGCGTGCAACACACCCACTCCAAATTCGAACGGGGTGGACATGAGTCTTCACCCCCACTTTGCCTTCTCTTCCCCTGCATCGTCTGCGCCACCACCCGCGACCACGTCGATCACTACGGACGGCCATTCGTCCTCCTCCGCCCCCCAGCACCACCACCAGCAACAATCTCGACACAACTCGTCATCTTCCTCCTCCAACAGCAGCTCGCCCCTCCAGGCGGCCCTCACGAGCGCCACGGCCGCTGCTGCCAACTTCAACTTGAATCTCCAGGCAGCAGCCCAGTCTCAACTTTTAGCTTTCCAACAAGCACAAACACATTTTCAAAAGGTGCAACAACAACTGCAACACAGTCAGGGACGGAGGGGAAGCATTTCCTCCAACAACTCTGACACTTCGATTAACATATTGGGTGGCAAGCAAAAGTCGTCTTCTTCTTCTTCAATATCAAACTTCCAACTTGCAAATCTCGCAGGATTCTTGACCCCTGGGATGAAAGGATTCGAAGGAATGAAGGACATCTTCCAGATTAAAACAGAACTTGGCGCCTACGACGACAACAATGACGAGGATGGAGTAGGAGCAGGTAATAGCGAGGAGAATGACTTGGATCTCAAGGGCTTGCAATCTGCGAATGGTTCAGTCACAATTCAGCAAAGCGTGGCGACAGACTTGAGTCGCAATTCTCCAGAGAATGTGAACAACAATGAGAAGGATGGTTTATTTGGGGAGGAGGATGATGAGGACGACGACGAAGATGGCGGTGATCTTGGTCCCGTTGCAGTTGTACAGATTCAGATGGATCCGGGGGCAAAGTCAGTGGCATCGCCTACCAGCGGTTCTGTGATAGTTGGAACCCCTGCTTCTTCTTCGGGGGGAGTGGACCAAACAAGTTCACCTCCCAGGTAGGTAGGTAGCTATTTGCATATGAGGGACGATGACAAAGGGGTAGATTGATCACTTGACAGTATGTGAGTTGTTTTCGCCGTAGTTAATAAATACGAGACAGATTGGAGGAGTGAAAGATTTTTCTGGCTCCAGATGCAGTAATCCACTCATCATCAGGTAGAACTTTGTACAGTATTAAAAGATTCACAAAACTTAGAGTGCATATGCATACAAAATATAATAATCATTAGATTTTACGTGTACAACTAGTCAGGCTGCTTTACAACATATTTACATAAATAAGTGCAATAAAAAATAATGCTTCAAAATCTCATTTTAGTTAATTTACTATTTTGGCACTTGGACATACTTGCTAGTCTTGGATGCAATTGCAATGACCAAAGTCGTCACATAAATGAATGTACATGAAACCACACAACAATCACGCTTTGTCATGAGGTTACTTAATTTCGTAAACTGACCTTTAGCCTAAAGTTATAATATTTCACTCGTTCGGTAAATTACTCTGACACAGGAAGTTTATATCACATGATAGAAATAAGTAGCGGATGATATGCATTATTAATGAAGAGAGTTGATTAATGCATTAGTAATCCCAATTAAAGTTGACCAGCCCCATGAATATTTTAACTCGGGGTGGTTTGCTTTCCCCTTAGTGTAACTTTCTGGGGTGTGTATTTGCATGTATTTAGATGGATATGCTTCAACAATAACAACAGCTAAAATAAAATAAATGAGGATTATTAAGACCAAATTATTCAAATTATACAAGTAAGTTGAACATGCATAACTTCCATATTATAGTGAGTCAACTCATTTCCACCACCATTTTAATTATTAATTTGCTCATTAATCTCATTCGTTTTAATTTTTGGTTTGGTAATGAATACGTCCTTTTAATAATGTGACCACAGCCAAAAGCATGTAGAACCAAATCAATAGTTGGTCTTTTATAGCGTAATTTATTTTAATTATGGAACAGCCTTCTGCTTTAATTAAGAATGAACCAGCATTCTATGGAGTAGCATCAGTTCAAACGGAGTTACATACATATATCGTACGTACGTATTTATATTAATATATGTAGTTCATCTCCACCCTGTTATAATAATGATTATTATTATTATCAAGAGTATTATTATTGTTATGTTTTTGTTGTTGTTGTTCTTCAGACCTCGATTAATGGTAACGAATGAATTGTGTATGTATTAATTAATGCAGTATTCTTCTTTTCCACTACAACATATTTAATACAATACTTTTAGAGGATTACCCATTTTTTGGAAAAGTTTGCTTCACGATGGGATATGCAAGTCTGGCTGGAGTGGTTTATGCAAATTATTTAATGTTGTTATCAATTTTGTTACTTGAAAATATAATTAAAGTACAATGTGAAGAATAATTTTTTCTCGACATTTATTAGTAATTCATTATGCAGCGTCTTGTCTTTTTATTCTCATAAAGTGATATACATACATTTGTAAGCGTGCATATTATGTGTTAGCAGACGGATCTGTGCAGACATATCTATTTACATGCTCCGTCAAATGGAATTTAGTAATTTTGACTTTGAGATAATCTAAATACATCATATCACGTGTATCGTACATAAATATCATTCATTTGATTTAAATTTAATTTTAATTTATTAAATACTCCACCTTTGAGTGTGTCATCTTAATGTCACCTCAATTTCTGTGTGTTTCGTCCATGTACATATGTATGCATGCTCAAAGCACATGTATGTACATACATTGCAATAATTGCATATACTCCAGTTTAAGTTTAATGATTTCTCGCCCTTGGACATAATGCAAACAGTTAATAAATTAAGTCGCTTCTAAATATTCTAAGTGTATTATACAACATGCATAAACTCCATGCTCTGTATATGTACATATTTGACGTACTTACGTAATACACGTTGACTCAGGTTTACATTCACCCAGCTGCTTTTGCTGAGATTATTCTCAAACACACTGTGTAAGAGAGATAGCTCTAGATTGTAGGCATTTATAAGAAAAAATAATTTATTAATTCATATAACCAGCAAAGGAAATTAGCTAAGGTTTATTTTTCATACCAAGTTTATTAAGATTTGTTAAAGTTCGTGCAAAATAGTAATTAAAGATCAAGACTACAATGGACTTCAAAGAGTGGATCATTCCTTTCCTGGACTTGACGACAATTGGTCTCTGCATTGTATGCAAACTTCCTCAAATTGTGGCCATCCTTAAAAGCAAGAGTTCGATAGGACTTTCAGTTAACTCTGTCATGGTGGAGTTGTTCGGGTAAGTCACCCTGATGACGTTTAAAACATTGTAGTATTTGCATATAAATGTGCATGAAATAGTGGATGAAAAAAATCGGTATTAAGTAGGAACGAAAAGCTGGATAGAAAGAAAGTATGACAAGGGGTGACAGATGCTCACCCTTGCTTTCATTGCATTAGTCAACAAAAATCTAAATCGTCAAAACGTTAATTGGATTACACCACCGCACATCACATCGGAGATCAATCACAACATTTTACCCTATCTCATCCCGCACTCTGCTTTATTCATTCACAGATTTCTCCTAGTCGATAACAATAGGACACTAAATGAAAATTAAAAGTTTTGCCCAGTACAAATGGAAATACTAACGTCGTTGAGAACAATTATGGTAGATCCAATTATAGATTGGATTTGTTGCAAGTTTTTTTAAAATCTGAACCAAAAATTAGACACAACGAATGCGTCCTGCAAATGCATAGGACTTGATGGGACAGATGCTTCATTCATTAATGCATAATATTGAGTAGCAGTTTATGTTATTGTAGAATTTATGTTTTTTATCGAACAATTTATTGGTACAGGTACAGCATAGTTCTCGGATATAATTGGGTGCAGGGTTACCCAATCTCATCTTTTATGGAGTACTTCTTCCTGGTATCCGGGGACATTGTGCTTATCTTTGTCATCTTTTACTATATGGGAACCCTGGACGTGATGAAAGTGGGTGGGGCTGGCGTCTATATCACTGTCCTTGTTGGATTCACGCAAGGCGTCCCACACCCGCAGATACTTCCAGTGCTCATGGTAAAAATAAATGGTTGATGGATTCAAATTATTAAACTGTATGGATTTTAATCCACATAATTTCTTTGTTTCCGTTTGACATTTCATTAGAAATTTGCAACTCCGTGCTCCGCTTCCAGCAAAATCCTCCAGGTAAATTATATTTAGCACTTTTGTAACATTTGAAATTAGGATATTTTCAAATGCGAACAGCAAAGCGTGTTAAATAAATACTTCTTTTTATACTTTTTTGCAGCTAAAGGAAATGTGGCGAATTGGAAACTCGGATTCGGTCTCTACTTTAACCTGGCTTATTGCTGCATACACCTGCGTCAGTGAGTTATTTTTCAAATCACTTTGAACATATTAAAATCTTGACAAGCAGAAAGACTGTTACGTTGCAAGGGGGAAAAATAGTATGCTATTTTATGCTACAGTCGAGTGGAATGAATCAGAATAACAGAGGGATGAATAGTAGAGCTACTCCGAATGTACATTTGTCTAATAAAAACAAAAGTTTATGTGTTAATTTTACATAGCAGAAAGAATTTGTCATGTGCAAATGCGAGTGTGTTGTACAAGTTTTGCGCAGAATGTCAATCGTCAGTTTTTATTTAAAGAAGGAAGGTTTTTACATAAATTTTGCGTATTTGTTTGTAGCCCGGATAGTCACAAATCTTATGCTCACTGGTGATCTCCCACTGCTCATCAACTACGGCGTTGCTCTAACTCTCAACGTCGGGATCATCTTGTCTGCCCTCTACTTACGGAAAAATCCTGCGACTGCAATTAATCCACTTAAATCTCAAGACGACGTAGGGAGTTCTCAATCTTCGTCCAAGTTGAAGTAGAAATTAAATTGAAAAAGTATTTTCTGTTCTATTGTTCGCTGGACACCCAGATTGATGGAATTGACTGGACATGCAATCATTCGTCGCTTATAAAATAATTAAGCTAACGAATGTTTAATTGGTTTATTCTCACAAAGTGGATTTAGCCAGCTATTAGTAAATGTTGTTCAGGATTGTATTTCTTGGCACCATATTATGCAAGGGTATTACCAACTGCAATTGTGTTGCTTCATAATTCTGTATAAGACAATTCAAAAATATCCGAACCATCAAATATTCCGAAAGTGCTAAATGTGATTTACTTGGAAATTTTAGACACTCTGTATGTGTTTGATTCATGATAAAGTATTCTGTGATTACATAACGTCTCATAAAATGTAACGATTTGAATTTTTCAAGCCTTGGTACTTTCCAGATATTCCTATGTAGTGTAATTAATTCAAACCTCTATTAATTATCAAAGACTGATTGATGTTATCACTTTAAATTAAGTTTATATGACATCATTTTTTGTAATTAATTATAGTGAAGATTGTTCGTATTTATCTAGTTCAAAATAAATTATTACCATAAAACGTTCGAGCGTGATCATCGACAAGGTCAACGAACGACAGGCCTGTACGTACTTGTGTACAGTTATTGCGATTAATCTATTTCATATTGTTTTATTTATAGGTTTTGGTTTGGTTTTATATGCTAATATTTTCCTAGAATTGTCGATTAGGGTTTATTAAGGGGTGAAACCCCTTTATGGTTTCGCAATGTCTGTCTGCACTATGATATCTCGAGAACGGGTACGAATTTCGATATGCGGTTTGTATTTTTAATTCGGCCGGACGGTGCAAGTCTGAAGATGGTGGTCGTGGGGTACACCCTCTTGGCTGGAACTTGGTAGTCTAAATTAGAATTTTTTATGTTATTCATTGGGGTCTACTTCCATTAGACTATTTTGACCTAGGTGAACACCAGAAGTTCCTGCACACAATTAAAACTTTTGGGAATGTGACACAATACTCGAAATAACGGGAGACTTTTTTTGGGGTGTGGCGACCCATAAAATTTCGATATGGTGTCGCCCCTTTTTTGCATTTCACTCGTAAAATTTATTTATCATGCGGTTCCTCCAGAAATACGCAAGTCAGATATTATCAAGCTTATGTGCATCATGTTTGATACACTTACATATGAATTAAGCAGCCGATGACGAGTTTTTTAGTAAAAAAAATAATGCATTTTTAAATACGTACTCGTGTTATAAAACCCATGCGACATGCAAATGCAAGGTTTAAATATTTCTGTTTTTAGAATGTTATCCATTTGATAAACGTCATAGGTTTTATATCCTCTTCATCACCTTATTATTGAATTAGTATGAGCAATTAACCCGTCCAATTAGAAGGCACCGCTCGGATATCGGATTAGGATTATTGGCCATATCATTTTAATAAGTTGCTTAATTTATGTGAGATACTTGGAATGCTAAATATCCTTTTATTGCCTTAGTCGGATCGAAAATGATTCTCAGGTCATTATTTACCTTAGTGGCAAAACCTTGTTTCATTCACCCAACTCATATGCAACACTTGTAATGTATAAAAAAATCTGTAAGTAACATGAACACTGGGAAAATATTGAAATCCATTGTTTGGGTGGTTCTGGTAAGATTTTGTAATTATATTGGCGAGACTTTGTAATTCATCGCATCGTTACTAATGCATATTCAACTCTGGTCGCAGATTCTTGGCGAAGTGATTGCAGGAGAAACTCCATTGGATGACTACTATTGTCAAAATGAAGGCTTGTTCTTGGACCCGAGTGGGGACCTGTGTCATGATTACTACCAATGCATAAATCTACTGGACACCTGGTTCTATGTCCTTGGCTCATGCGAAAACGACACGGTCCTCGACCTGACAGAAAATCAATGTTCTTTTGGACAATGCGAACCCAGCAAGAACACACATTTTTACCGTTATGGGTAATCAGCATTTAAAAATGCATTTCGATTTTTTATTTCTAGATGACTGGAAGACAACACGTGTTACAGAACAAGACACCACCACGCCTGCCCTAAATTTCCCAACTGAAGAAGAAACGAACACAAGATATGCTTCGACAATTACTACAAGACCAACCACAACTACCTCCACAACAACAACGCTGACTACAACTACAACCACGCCCGAAATAACTACGCCGACGCCGACTACAACCACGCCCGAAATAACTACGCCGACGCCGACTACAACCACGCCCGAAATAACTACGCCGACGCCGACTACAACCACGCCCGAAATAACTACGCCGACGCTGACTACAACTACAACCACGCCCGAAACAACTACGCCGACGCCGACTACAACCACGCCCGAAATAACTACGCCGACGCCGACTACAACCACGCCCGAAATAACTACGCCGACGCCGACTACAACCACGCCCGAAATAACTACGCCGACGCTGACTACAACTACAACCACGCCCGAAACAACTACGCCGACGCCGACTACAACTGCCCCCACAACAACTACGCCTACCACAACTACAACTACCCCCACAACAACTACGCCTACCACAACTACAACTACCCCTACAACAACTACAACTACCCCCACAACAACTACAACTACCCCCACAACTACTACGCCTACCACAACTACAACTACCCCTACAACAACTACAACTACTACTACGCCTACCACAACTACAACTACTCCCACAACAACTACGCCTACCACAACTACAACTACGCCTACCACAACTACAACTACGCCTACCACAACTACAACTACGCCTACCACAACTACAACTACAACTACCCCCACAACAACTACAACTACCCCCACAACAACTACAACTACCCCTACAACAACTACGCCTACCACAACTACAACCACACCCAGAACAACTACGCAGACCACAACTACAACCACACCCAGAACAACTACGCCGACCACAACAACAACTACACCAACCACAACTACTAAACGAACCACAACTACGAAACCAACTACAACAACTACAAGAACCACAACTACGAAACCAACTACAACAACTACAAGAACCACAACTACGAAACCAACTACAACTACTAAGCGAATCACAACAACTACGAAACCAACTACAACTACTAAGCGAATCACAACAACTACGAAACCAACTACAACCACTAGAAGAACCACAACTACGAAACCAACTACAACCACTAAACGAACCACAACTGCGAAACCAACTACAACAACCAAAACGACAACTAAACTTACTACAGCAACTACCCCACGGTCAACGGAGTTCTCGTGCAATTCTGCTGGCTACTTTGGCGATCCTTCCAACTGTGGAATTTATCACGCATGTATCGAAAATTGGGGAAGCTGGGTTCATTATATAATGCCATGTCCGGAAAGTCTAGTTTATTGCACAGGACGCGAAACAAGCTCTGGTGGCTACTGTGGTTATCTTTCCGATTGTCCATGGATTCCTTGTTTGCAAAAGTGAATAGTACATGCACGCTGTTTCAACACTTAACAAAGTTCACAAACAAAAATTCTAAACAGCAAATTTGTATTTCTCGTTTAATGTTAATTTATTATTATGTATGATAATTGTTTAACATAATTGTCATAATCAGTGCATTAAATTAATGAATAAGAACCCGATATAAATTTTAGTTGAAAATTGGATCTAGTTTTGGGACCCTGCAGGAGGCACATCAATGCTTGGGTTTTCTTTAAAAAAATTGAACGGTTTGAGCCAGAATCCAGTTGTTCTACAAATATATGTACATAGATTTATATTCATACTCATTAAATATAATCAAATATTTTCTGTCACTTACTCTACTGGCATGATTGGGTAATCTATCCAAAAACATGAATCAATTCATCATTCACTGTGCATATAAATATATTCTAAACATATGCTTCTTACCTTCTACCCTTGTAATGTGAGTCAAGCCAAAATTGTGCCAAAGAACAATGTCCTTATTTTCAATGGTTTCTCCTAGCTTATCACGAACCCACTCTGGGAGACCGCTATTATTTAAGTAGAAGCCGCCAGGATACAATTGATCGTCATTTTGAAGCGTGACCCACATGTCGTAGGCCATGAATCCGGCATTCTTTCTCATTGGGCTGTCCGCCTTCATGAGGACAGGCGGATAACTGTGCGGCATCAGCTTCCACCCGACAGGTTTGTTGGTCACTTTATGTGGACTGTTTGGATTCGTGACTACCCAGGTGCGACCTTTGAGAGGATCGATGGTTGTCCTGCCTTCTCCCACAGTTTGCAGTACCGTTTGGGAAGTTGTGAACCCTTGACCGTATGGATTGGTGGCTGAACCTGAATTTCCCTGAACGGGTTTAATATCCAGCGTTGACACGGAGTTGGCGTCTCCGTCTACATCCATGTCGAGACGGGCGGTGAAGAAATGTTGGTGGTACTGGGCATTGACCTGTGGCGCCATCGTAGTACCATGTCCTGCAGGAGTTGCATTTACCGCCATCATATTCGTGCTAACAATTCCTGTGAGCTGTGCCACGAATTGAATTGAACCGTCCTGGTAAAATTCCCAGTTAAACCCGTAGTCATAATTTCCCACGGTGGCGATTGTGGATAGGACTAGCCGATGAGAGCGAACGACAAAGCCCTCCTTCGTCCTGAAGTCGACATGCTTCCACAAAATCCCGGCTTCTTCTTCCCTTACGCTGAACACGTTTTTGTATCTCATCGGGTTCCCATACGCGTCGTGAAGGATGCTGTCAAAGAAAGCCGCCGACCCCAGAACATCTTCGCCATTTCTTTGTTCTGCCGCAGTGTAACCAACGCCGTATTTCCCTATATCAAACCACTGAAAGCATTTTAGTAAAGGATGTAATTCAAGGATGTGGATAGTATAAATGCTAAATGTTCGTATTTAGTTAATTGGTCGTGCATAGGTAAATCCAGACTTACAACTTTGACGTGATAGGGAGGTCTTCATACCGGAAAAAAGTCAAAATAGTGTGTGCAATTAACTGTTTGCTTAAAGTGCAAATATTAATTTATTAAGCACCTAGGATCGCCGTAAGGAACAAACATTTCAGCCAAACTGGCGCGGTATAAAATTGGCCTTCGCGTACCGCCATCATTATAATTTACAGTGTAAAGTATTAGTCCTTCTCGTCCATTGAATCTACATACGTATTGTAAAGAGATTAAGTAGGACGAATGAATTGGATGATGAAAACAATTGTAAACGGTGCATTTTGCAATTGGCATTATTACCCAACACGCATTTTCCATTTTTGCCATTGAATTTCGTTGCCTCTTATTTTGTAGGAAACGCCTTCAGGAGAACTGACCAAGATTGGTTTGTCATCATGACGAAGGAATGCTTTTCCGCCTCTCAGAGTGTAATCATAGTTGCCTTCCATTTTGGGCGCAGTATTTCCTTCGTTGTTTACACTAAAATCGTCATGTGTGGGCAAATCTTGAATCTTGAGTATCGATTTAGTGGTTAAGTCATACGCAACAAAGAAATCCAGGGGATGAGCTACATTGTATAAGGGTCAAATTCTGGTATATATTTACATTACTTCCAAATGTGTCATACCGTATGGATTATCCATTTTGAAATTCAGACCATTCAAAAGGAAGAAAGATAACTTGTCTCCGCGATTATCAGTGACAATGTCGTAAGCTTGAGAAACTACTACCAATGTCATATTCGGATATCCTAATTTTGCGCATTTTTCTTGGACTCGAGCGTCAGATTTTATGCTTTCCTATATGTATTTGCAGAGATATTTTTAACATTTTCAGGGATCTTCTGAGAATTTGTGTGTAAATATTGTCAGCATAGAATTTGAAACGTACGGTAGGTAGAGGAACCCCACCTATGTAAAACATTGGCCTAACGCCGTAAACTCTAATTTTGCTTTCAATGCGGTTTGCATTTAAATTCACGACAACCTCGTGAACATTGTATGTCGAATTTTCTATCAGCATGAGGAAAGCCTTGCGTGGATACACGTGTGTAGGTGGCTCGGTGTCACTTCGAAAATACGAGAGCATCAACGCCTTTGGTGGCTCCTTAAGTGCAATATAGTTGTAAATGTAGCTGATATCAGGACTTTCTTTAGACTTCTCGGTTAGACTGACAGCCTTTTGGATTTCCTCTGAGGTCAATGGGTCGAGAGGATGGGCAACTGTGTGTATACATACATTTTGGTAAACAATGACAATGGTTTGGCAGGTCTCACTGATTTTACAAACTTTGTGAGGCCAATATGATATTTATGTATTTATACGTCATACCAATCAGCAAACTATTGCTTAACATGAGCATATACCAGATGCTTATGAGAACGGAGAAATAAAGAATTCCTCCTCTGAGTTTCACCATTTTAAATGTTGAACTATGTAAGTGGACACTTTTGTCGTTCAGATCAGAAGGAATTGTGCCTGCGTCGTCATGCAGCGAACCCCTTAACTTTAATCAGTGCACTAAGGTCGTGTCGATATTATTGCGTATGTAAATATACACATATGTACATACATACATCCGGCCTTGACTTTAAAAGTTGCTAAATAAATAAGTTGCACAAAAATGCATACGCAACGCATGCATTTTTGCATGTCTCCATTACATATTAATTAAGTACGAGTAAGGCAGATGTTTGAGGTGTGTTATGATGAATATTTATTTGTATGTCAACAGTATAATGCTTGACAATTAACGACAAGTCTGAACAAATCGGTTTGAACTCAATGCATTATTTTTATCTTTTGTATAATTATAATACTGACAATGAGAAAAGTGACTTTTAACCAAAAACTCATTAAATACCGAAAGACTTGTTTACATATATGGCTGGTGAAATATATAAGGTTTAGATGAGACAGAGACTCAAATTATGTTTTTCATAAATGAGCAAATAGATATGTATGAGATAAGGAAAGGAAAACTAGCTACGTATTTATATAATTTATTTTTATTTAAAAATCTGTTCAAAACAAAGTAGATGAGAAATTACTTAATGTGCAGCAGTTATTTGATTACATAAAATAGATGTGCATCGTAAGCGGTGGCTGTACTGTAAGTAAATATGTATATTTTGAATGAGCAGGATCAATAGGTTGAAAATAAATAAATCATGCAATTTTTAAGGGCCATCCAATTTTGGCATCAACTCTCCTGTAAGCCAGAGCTTGAGCAGACCCGTTTTCCAGGATTTGCTGAATTAGGTCATTCTCTTGACAAATCCTCTCTGCAGAAGAACAACATTGTTGCGGTTTAGGTACAAAAGGCATAGAAATGGACAATGAAACTTCTGGTTGCATTTGCATTACCTTCACCACCACGAATAGTGACTAAAACATAGTCAGGCGTGTTGGTAATGCCCAATTTGCAAGAGAGGAGCTTGGCAACGTCTTTGACTGTGGTCACAGATTCGCGAATAGGGACAACTTTCCTACAAACACGCACAATATACTTAATTATGCACCACCATTTATCAACACGAGATAACAGCAACAAATAATGGTACAATATTTCTTAGCCTGTGTACTTAAACCTGCACGCACCTGATCAGTGTCCCACTCCTTTCATCCGGAATGATAACTTTAACAGAAGTCAACTTATTTTGTATCCTAGTCGTCCCACAACCGGGGGTTACAACAACGCGCTGGTTTCCAATACCACCCAAGGTATCGGGGTCGGACCCACCGGAGACATTGCCCTTGAGGGCTGAGACTGCCGACTGGAGGAGAGACAGCGAGTAACTGTTCCGCTCTGATATGCAGGGAGGCAGGAGTCCAACCACAAACTAAATTCAAAATTATGTAATTTACATGAGCGACTTACAATCAATGTGGATTATTTTTAGTTAATGGGAATATGTGTGTATGTACATCAGCGTGAGACTCGACATCAACTGAGCAGACCTCTCCAAGGGTGGAGGTCAACAGTGAGAAGAATTCAGTAGGGGTCGAATCCAATTCTTGTACCTGCGAGTCAACGTTGTACGATTAGGAAAGTTGGAAAAAATGTACGAGATTAGGTTTGCTTGTGACATTTTTAAAAAATAAACCTCGCAAACAAACTCGTTCCATCGATCGAGTTTGGCAATGGGGGATATGTTTTCTTGAAAAGAATCATAAATTCTGTGGAGCCTTTGGTTCTCATCGTGCCTTCCATTGTTACACATAATGAGTGAGCTTTGGTTCTCCTTTCGCAAAAGTGTCATTACATGAAGGTACAGTGGTTTGATAACTAGGTCCACTAGAATATTTTCTAGAATGAGATCGACGTTGAGAAACTCGGATGATCTGAAACCAATTCAAAAATACCAATTTGTAAATTAAAACCAATGCAACCTTTGCCATATTCTCATGCATAATGCTTCACAGGATACAGGGCTAAATACTCTGCTAGATAGATACATATGGAAGTCACCAATGGTGCTGTTATTCTGCTACGAATTGAGAAAATCGTTTTTCATACAGACACCGATTTCGACTTTTGCTGCAACAATTCACTAAAATATAAATAAATAGGTATTTTCTTTTTCCGAGTGATAGTGCATCCTGAGCGTGAGTCAAATATCGACAAAGGATTTTCTCAATTTCCCCAATACATGACTTCTTGCAGAATACCTGCACCATGGGAGAGCACGAGGTGAACATGGTACCTTAGAGTGCATGGGAATATCATTGAAAGGAAAGACCAGGTCACGTGTACTATTAGAGCATCATACCTTAATTTTACAGATTGGTTTTTGATCTCTTGGTGAATCATTTCGCTCTCCGGACTCACACCCACCAAGTAGTTTTTGAGACCAGAAATAAATTGCCGAATGTTGCGGAGAACTTTAAACGGATCTTGAAGTTTTCCCGAGAGAGTGCACGAAATGAAACTGTTCAGCATTGGACCAAACACGCCATTCTGCTTTTTGGACAAGCCCTCGACAATTTTTCGGATTGATGATTCACCACTTTCAATAGCATGTGTAGCCATATACGGCTGTGGGGACTCCTCGGATTCCTAAAATTTAAGAAGCCAAAAGTTGAGTATTTTGTCATGAACTGTAAATCGGAAATATGATAAAGTGAGAAATACTGTAATTTTTCATACGGCTTCATTTAACTGGAGTGACTCTAATTGCACGAGTCGGAGTAAGTTGTCCCAGTTCTCGGGCGAAGGGGACAGTGGTTGTTGTTGAAACTCAATTTTACTATTCAAATTATTGCCACTGCAAATTCCCAATTTGATTCTGAGATTGTTCAAGTTGTTGTTATTCTTTTCCTTTTGAGAGCGTTTGTCTTCTTGCTTTTGTTGTTGATGATCAGTCTTTTGGTTGCAGCAGAATTTCCAAGAATTATCCACCTGCCAGGAGGACGAGGATGGTTGAATCCTTGTTGATTGATAATTCACTGGAAAATGGGATACAATAACTTTCATTTCATTTCCAATTTCTTTATCACACTGTTTAAAAATCTTACGTGTCACATTCGAATCGCAAACTTCGTCTTTTTCCCTAATTCCTAAGCCATTCAGATTGTCGCTGCTCTTACTCCCACAACAACTGTATCTTTTTTGTCGCAAATTATTAATGTTATTATTCTGTCGTTGACTACTTTGTGAGGGGGCAACGAGCGAGAGTGCAGGTTGAGACCATCGATTGTGGATAAGTTTTGGCTGTTGCCTTTGCTCACCACAGTTGTTATTTTTTGCAGTGTTTATGGAATCAAGTGGTTCAGAATAGATTCCTTTGCTCTTATCCATCATCATTTTATTATCCAAACACTCGTGTTCTGTCATGGAATTGATATTGATGTTTTTGAGACTCAAACGATTGTTGATATTGGTTGAAAATCCTCTGCTTTTGAATATTTCTTCAGGAGTCGAAATGTTTCCGTTTGTAGGAGTGACACAGAGGCTGAGAGATTTGCTCTGATTTAGGTGTCGGTGACTGGATTGCGGACAATCTGGAGTGTTCAAGGGAATTACGTCGGGTTTGAAGGTGAAAAGTCTTCGGGAAGTGGTGGGGGTGCTGGGGGTGTGTGGATTTGAAGCTGGCCATACGTCATCATAGTCACTGGCTTTGTCGTCAAACACGGTTTGTGTCTGTTTGAGGGTAATAAATCAAATTTAATTGCTTTACACACTGCTTATTTAGCATGCATGCAAGATGGTTCTAATTGCCATCAATTTCTTACGCCTTTGAACAAGTCGATGATTTCTGTATCCTTGTAATGGATTGACTTCCCACCAGAATTTTTCTTTGCCCGTCGATGAGGATGATGACCTCCTTTTGTGCGAAGGTTGATTCGGTCACTCACGGATGACAACTGTTCTGATGGCGTCGACTGAACGGAAGATGGTTGAGATAACCCCATGCTGTTATTGCTGGTGGTTGTTGTCGGAGTGACCAACCAACGGTTGGTTTGAGGTATGATTGGAACAGAGAGTGGGGTCAGCAGTGTCCGACTTTGGCCTAGTTGCAGAGTCGTGGGTCGACATGGTCTGAAATGAATATTCATTAGTTGGCTGCGTTTTGAGTATGCTTTACCCTTGTGTTCAATAGTATTTAATTCTAACTTTTTTCCCAGATCACAAAGACTATTTTGACTAGAGCTTGATTGACTCCCAATTCCGGATGATTTCGAGGGCAAAGGATGACTATGACTTTGACTAGAGTCCGCATCGGATGGAGATCCATCGATAGTCTGCTGCTCGTTAATTACGACTATATCATTTCGATGTACGGGAGGCGGAGATGATGAGATTGTCCAAAATTCTGCATGAAATAGCAGAGAAATGTTTAGCTAAATATGTGTAAAGTGTTGACAGAAAGAAAATAGTTTTATTTGTTACCTTGACCTAAGAGTGCCAAAGATCTGAGCTGTTGTCTCGTTGTGGCCTCTGCAGTTTAAAATTGATTTGTAATACCAAATATTGAAATATGTTAGTAACATAAATATAGAATTATCTACCTGCAATTGCAGAAGGTACACGGAGACACACTGGAATTTCATCGCTGAAAAAAATGTAGTTTAATCACAAATTAAAATACCATATATCTGTGCTTTAAATTGGTTTGAGACAATTTAAATACCTCTGATTGCAGTAATGAGCAACAAATTGGTGGACTGTTGGAAAGGAATGTTCCGAGTCCTGTAAAGATATCCGGTTTTCCTCGTTGGCCTTTAAGAGATAGTGCTCAACCTGGTTTCCAGGAAGCTTCACAGAGACGGCCATTGTGTCTGGCTCACGCGAACTTCGAACAATGAAATTACCAACTTCTCTGCCCTGAGAGTTCAAAAATGGAAATTTCAATTGTAGAAAGTCTCACTTTTTTAGGGGAAATATATGTATGCTCATACGTACCTGTAGGAGATGCAAGGCTCCCGATCTTTGCAGAGAGGGTAGAAACCATAGCGGATGAGCTGAAGGGTAAAATGAAACAATTTAAAGCAAACCACACCTTAAAAGCTTGCCAGTGCATATTTTATTTCACGTACTGCGGATTAGTCGTTCTAACAGCGATATTTCACAGCGTGGAGGAGATGGGGATCCTGACCCTCCGGAAGTGGAGGGACTTGAAGCATACGACGAGTCCGGAGATGGGACCCACTCGGAAAGCATCTTTTGACAAAACAACGTGGTCAATTATATGAGGGTCTGTCATTTAATGGTTTAAAGTTACGTATATATGGTCATAAATACCATTGCCACTTATGAATCCTCATAAAAATCCTCATAAACACTTTCTCCTTGAAAATGATGTTGCTCACTTGAATGGAAATTGCACAGTTGGTGGATCTCACTCTCTGAAACAATGGAAAGATTGCATTCATTAAAAGTTATTTCTTATACAAATTGATGTTTACTCATCGATAAGTGTATGCTAGTGGAGTGGAAGAAGTTTCTCGAGTTGCTGGACTTGTTGACCCGAGAAACAAGACAAATCGACCCTAAAGCGGAGTAAATCCCATTTGATCAGTGTCATTTGTCTCTTTCCTCCTTCTGCATCTGAACCTAGCCATTTATTTCCTTGACCACTTCATCAGACTTGGCATCAGACTTGCAATGGAGTAACGACACAACGTACTTGTATGAACACTGCACAAACGCATCTACACCTGCGACAGAAAGTCATGGTCAAAAAGTCATGGAAAGAAAGTCATGGCCAACCTAGAGATTAATGTTTCTACGCCTTTCCTTTAAATCAACACTAAATCAATTAAATGCTGCTTTAAATCAACTTGTTTTCTTAACAAAACTTTGAAAATCATTCAAAATTGTAGCTTTTTATCTATTATTGCTTTCAACTATTTATAATTTTGTCTGAACAGTGGGGAAACGCGCACAGGATTTACTTAAGCACGGAGGAACCAACACTTTCCACTAATTTAATAGAAGAGGAACCAATTTGCCTAATTGTACCTGTCCTCCCCTCCCCACGTTTTGTTTCTCTCTTTAGTGTTCTCCTGCGTAGAGTAAAGATTACCATTACACGTTTGTTACCTAATGATTTCTTTATTACTTAAGACAACGCAACGTGGATCCTGCATATCGTCATTATCAAGTTAAGGTAACAAGGATCCAAGTCGTAAGCACCAGCAGATGCTAATAAAGTTATGATGAGAAATGCTAAATTGCGGAGGAGGATGATAAGGCGATGAGATGAAAATGCCCGTGGTTCTCATCCCTTCATCACCTCCTCCCTATTTACTGGAGCCCAATGAAGAAGTCGGGGAGAGATGTTCACACTTTCCCTCGATCTTGTACACGGTCTCCCCATTCATTCTTTTAAATATTTGATTGATAATTTGTAAGCCGTCTGCGTTCATCTAGAGTTCAACATTTGAATCGTTCATTCAGAGGTTTTTCCATATAGAATTTTCTCGTATTTGGGTTTTTCTCTCCCCACATAATTCACCCCGAATTGCAAGCGATGAAACATAGCCGTCATCAGGGCGTCTGAAATAATTTACAATTTCCTTCGCCGTCCCCACACACAATTTAAGTTTGTGGGGAGTTTAAAAATTCATTGGAGACAAAGTTGGGGAAAGTGGGCAAGAAGTTGTAAGCTGGGCACATCTCAGAAGCCAAGCCAATCTAGGAAAGAGCTTCCCTTTCCTCCCACGTATTCAATTTTTTCGCAGGAGGAGGGTTGATATCTGGTTGCTTGGGCTGGCTTGTGGTGGTTCTTGATCTTGGCTTTGCAGGTCCTCCGGGTCCAATAAAACGGACTCGGATATTTTTAACCAGAAACTGGCTAGAAAGCAATAAGTGAAATGCACCGGGATGGAAGAAATGATTTGGAGTGCGTGGGCACATTATATGCACATACACAGACGAGGATACATGGCAAATATCCCCCTCTCAACCCATCCACCTCTATCCAGCACAAAAAGAATTGAAAATTTTTAATGAAAATATTTCAGCCCGACAATACTCAAAATTATTTGAAGACGTCTAATCGGGTTCTGAAAATGATGATGCCATAAAGTTCAAAGACGTTAAATAAAATACATATAATTAGATTGCTTGTGCGAATGAGAGTATCATAAAAGGGTTATATTCGCAATAAATCGTCCTGCTCTCCCCTCTCTTAACTTTTATCACATGAAGCCCTTAAATAGTAAAACCTTTAAAAAAGACATGTCTCATGTCTCAAGAAATGAAGATGGTGCCAATATCTAAAATTATTTGGAAACGTCATCCCCGTGAAGCATTTCGTGTATATCTGATCATCTTGAGTGGCATGTCGTAGTATTTGGAATGAAGTTGCAGGTGGTCATTAGTCTGTCCCGAAATGCAATTGCTGCCTCCCGTTCTTTCCCACTTTTGGCCGATGCAGAATGTATGAGGAGGAGAAAGCTCTGGGGATGTGATCTCAGGTGCTAAACGAATCCAAATTACACCTTCATCCCTCTGCCTTTCTCGAGTCATTTACGTCTTCCTCGCCTCCCCCTCGCCTCCGAAAGTGGCGGAAGCAGAGATAATGGAAACAAATGGAAAGCACGCATACATAGCTTGCTTGCTTACATGCACCTCGCCAGCATGCCACCCCCACCCACCGCACGTAAATACGCACGTTTCCTCTTTCCAGGACGATATGTACACATTGAGAGAAGTGTAAGACTGTAGAAATAAATGTTTTATTTCAAAAAATAAAATTGAATTTGGAGATTGGACGCTGAGAGGTACCCATGCGTATAAAATAAGAAGGAAAACAACGGAAATTACACGATAAAATAAAATCACAATAAAGTTGAACACCTGAGCACAAATTTATATGTGCAACATATAGGATTCATTTTCAGAATGTAAACTTTGATTTTTCAATTTCGTTGGTGAAAGTGATCAGAATTCAATTTGCATTGCTTCCTAGAACAAGTCACCTTGCTATTATTACCTGAAAGATAAGAAGCAGGGATGATTTAGTTCGAAAAAGCAATAAAGGGACACCCCATCGTCATTTGAATGCATAATCAAAACTCAATTCCATGTTGCTTCGTTGTGATCACGGACCCATTAGTTCGGGAAGGGTGACAGAAATCCATGTAAACCGAATAAATGGATGTTGCTTTCTCCTGGAATGGTTGTAAACATCTCCATTACAACTGAACCGAGGGGACAAGAGATAGCAGCAACGAAATGTATTTACATGTACAACATTACTATCTCCACCACAAAATTGCATTATGTTTGGTTTCGGTCCATTAAACAAATGCAAAACAGAGGGTAATGCATAATGCTATTTATGTACGTATGTACCTAGCAAGGTCTGTGTATTATAGATATTCCTGAAATTTTCAACTTACATATTTCAGGTCAACATACTGCAATGTGAAGTGATATTTGATAGAATGTACTAAATCTTCTAAATACAATAGTTTTAGGTAATTCGGTTATTTGGAATTACTGATATTTAAATATGCTGGCTAGCAATTATTTAATATTTAATTTAGACGACAATAATGCTTTTAACTGCCTAAGTTTAACAAATACCGTATTTCTCAAACAAAGTAGGATAATTTCCATTGGTATCAATGGAAGTTGAAACGCTATTGTTTTGGATGCCATTTAAAATCTTAATGTCATCTGGCCTGGGTCGATAAGAACAGTTCCGATTGTCCTGCCTATTATGACAATATCCCAATCCAGAGAACGGGTATTCAGCATAATTATCAATACGACATAGACCTTGATATCATAATTAGATCAATAAATCACAATGAGGGAGACAGTGAAGAGAAATGTAGCCAAAAAGTCAAAAATTCCTAAGCTATTAGTCACCAGATAACTTTTGTTTGGTAGCGACCAATACAATACAGGGATTTCCTCTAGCAATGCAAGTGCTTCGATGTAGAAAAGGTTGTTCAAGTAGAAAAGTGTATTTTGTGCTCCTCTTATTAAGGAAAAGCAATAAATCCCGGATTTAATCAGAGTGTCTTCGTTCCTTTCCCTTCATTTTCGGAAGATCAGAGAACTGCTACTGCACAGCGAGTTCCTAACAAACAACATGAAAATGGACATGTAGACATGACATGATAATAAAACACGCACATTTGCACATAAAAGTAACGCACAATTACAGCAGCCAGTTGCCTTCTTGACTTTCTAAGGGCATACATGGAAGGATTGCTGCCACGACGCACTTGGAATTAGGAGTTGGCCACACCACACTAAATGTCACATTTTTCTCGTTTACTACTTGTTTAACTGCCGACTTCAATCGGGTGAGCAGTTGTCAATTGCTCGCAATGGCCCACTCATAATGAAGCTGAGCTCAAGTGGAGAAAGTCAAGGGCTTAAATCAGTCAGGCAGGAGGCGCACGAGGAGGCGCAGATAATAATAAGAGACATCTCAATCAAGATGAGAATCGTCTCTTTCAATTTGAAATGCCCGTCTTCCACTAAATCCTTTGTGGTCTCTGTGTCACGTGTCAATCCTTGTCAAACTCATCAGAAGAAGGGCAGCGATAAAATTTGTCGTCTGTCAATATTGGTTGTGATTGAGATGTCTGGCTGCGTGTGCCAGTATTGGACCGTGTGCAAGACCATTTCGATTTATAGAGAAGAGTAGTGTACGTAGCATGTCGAAATAAAGGTTTGATGATCAGCAGCGGAGAAGGCCAGTAATCAGAAAGTTATTTCATCCAGCATTTTTTTATTTCTCAATGGGTGAGATTTTTGATCGCGATAAACACCGCCCATGCAATCGTCAACGATCTGTACGTACGAAGTTCTGTGCTATTTGCTATTTGAAGGTTGGGAAGAATTCATGATGCTGCCATACGTTCTTGTCCGCGTAAAAGCGGTCAAGCATTTGCACCAGAGACTTTCTCATTAATTTACTCACTCTACGTTGGCATTGTATTGCATCGGTTCAGACAAGGTCTAGAATTTTGCTGGTTCTTTTCTGCTGCAACGATCCAGCGTTGTTTTACCAAGCTTCCTTCCCGACACAGAGCTTGAGTTGGACGGAGGAAGAAAGGAGAAAGGGAAAAATATGTACAGATAATGTACACTTCTTGCGTTGGCCACACTTTCTTCCATCCTCCTCTGCCAAAGATCGGGTAAAGAAATGATGCAGCAAACCACTGCCAGCAAAGTTTGGACGTAAAATAAATCTCTTAATTTCTCTCCTTCACGAGTAATCAACCAAGTACTAAACTAGTGTAAACTGCAAGAACAAAGTATACAGATAGGAGCAAACTTGGAGCGATAACTGGTCAACGTATATACTAAAATATGTGCTAACCTCATCGTTGCATGTAATTCAAGCTCCCGATCTCCGATTGGTGGAATGAGTCCACCAATTAAAAAAATAACCTATCTATTATTCTACATAATAAAATTGCTATACGACACTTTCCATTTGAAGCACTCACTATTCTCCAAAAGTCATCATCCAATTCAATAAAACAATTATGTTACAACTTCCATTTCAGCTTTATTTGCCATCCAACAGCTCAGAATTGAATTCTTGCTGGTTTAAGATGGATGATTATGACGGCAATAAACCCAATTTCCTTCGCACCCCGTCTCATCTTTGATTTCCCTTCCGGTCGTTTTAGTCGAAATGAGTTAAACGAAACTTTTGTTTCATTGAATGAAGGGCTCTGGAATGACTAACGGCGTGGATCCGAGTGCGCATTACGTATGATTATTGGTCATTACTACGTTCAAAAGTCATCCAAATATTTTCATGTCGTATTAAAAAAACTTGGTCGTTTCGGATGTGAAGGCGTCAAGTTTAATTTTGCTTCCACAAGTAAATAGCATAAAAGTAAGAGTAAGTGGGGTAGCTTACGACATTTATGATGCCACTTTTTCCCACGAAGCATTAGCCAGTGGAGAATACGGAGGAAGGCGTAGGCGTGTGTGGCGTGGTAAAGTGGAGGAATAAGTGATTTAAATGATGGGTTTTGTGAGAAAATGAGACTTACTACTTTCGTCCAGGAGAGAGATTTAGAGGCAAGTGGCCCACGAAAGTAGAGAAAAAAGTAGATTCAGTTTCAGTTAGGCAGACACCACACGAGGAAAAATGGTTGAGTGGATGCGGAAGAAATTCTGGAAAGTATGAGGAATGAGGGCAATTCTCTCAAGGAAAAAGTGATATTCCCACCGGACAAGAATGCCGTGTTCGCTTAAATATTACTTTAGTCCTAGGCCTACATACCTGCTGCATCGAAAAAATGCAATAAAAGCAACTCTGAGAGGAACCATGTTATCCTGTTTTTGATTATTACAAATACAAGATCGCTGTGATCCACAGCAGGAAATAAACCGTCGCAAACGCGCATACGGAAGTAGCTTCAGACGTACTTCACCCCAAACGGTCCCACCACAACTCGGGAACACTTAATTTCACTCTATTTCACCTATAGATTAATTTTTTGTAAAAATCTCATTTTGCTCCGACCACACCCCCTGGCGACGAGGGGGTGTGGAACAACTCGGGAACACTTAATTTCACTCTATTTCATCTATAGATTAATTTTTTATAAAAATCTCATTTTGCCCCAACCACACCCCTGGCGCCTAGGGGGTGTGGCACAACTCCGGAACACATAATTTTACTCTATTTCACCTATAGATTAAATTGCACTAAAAATCTCATTTTGCCCCAACCACACCCGCTGGCGCCGAAGGGGTGCGGCAAAATCGGGGAAACACTCAATTTCACTTAATTTCACTTAATTTCATTTAATTTCACTCAATTTCACTTAATTTTACCCATAGAATAAATTGCACTAAAAATCTCATTTTGCCCCAACCACACCCCCTGGCGCCGAGGGGGTGTGGCACAACTCCGGAACACATAATTTTACTCTATTTCACCTATAGATTAAATTGCACTAAAAATCTCATTTTGCCCCGACCACACCCCCTGTCGCCAAAGGGGGTGTGGTCCGGTTGCCCCCAAAAGTTGATAGGATCCTCCCCCTGGGGTCCTATGTATGATGGCGAAAACCGATTTCGATTATCTCGATCCGTTCTCCTGATATCCTGCTGACAGACAGACGGACAGACAGACAGACGGACAGACAGACAGACAGACAGACAGACAGACAGACAGACAAAGTCTTCACATAAAGTAGCTGAAGCTACTTAATAAGTATGGATAGCAAATCCAAATATTCGTTAAAAAATTGCTAAAAGTTGCACGGATTATACATAAAAATATGGATGTAACTTCTCATCAAGTCACAAATATTTTGAGAATGTCTCCAACTTTCGCCCGTGATGGTTCAGAGAGTTCTTTGTTCTTTTACTTTTCGGAGTCGGTGAGAAAATTCATAATTGACTCATAAATCATGAGAGTGCAGTGCACCCACACAACCATTATGATTATGAGCATACTTTCCTCTGCTCCCCTAGAAGGAGGCAAATTTATGTATTTTCTTTAGATTCGGGCGCACCCCAACCAACACGTGATTCAATGTAAGCACCATGTTAACACGGGTAAGTAAAAGTCCCCGTGGTACAAGGGCTGCGGGATATTATCCCAATAAATCTTACCTGTCCGCAAGGGGACATTAAGACGTAAAAATGTATAGAAATATGAAATACCTTCTTAAATCATGGCCTTAAATTGTGTTAAATTACGGTAAAATGTAAGTGTATGAAGATGAGTTGTTGCGGTTCGTATATTACGTCTTATGGTGAAAGTTTCACTTTAAAATCGAGAGGAAAACTGCTCATGAATACAGTGGCGGTTGAAAATATTGTTTCTGTTGCTCCGCTTATCCTCTTTCGCCTCGAAGTCGAGGGAAGACAGGAAGGAGACGTTATTCAATGTACCACGTCGTTCTGAATTGACTGACTTTCTCGAGAACAAGTTATGATCACAATGACACAAAATAATAAATAGACATCATTTGGCTGATGGTCATTCATGCACCACCATGTTCGGTCGTTTTGTGAGAATAAGCCTCAAATTGTGACGGAAAGCACGTTTCACTCTCCGATTGACAAATACTGCAGAATTATATGAATTTATCTGAACAGAGAGGCAAAATTGTCAGTCCATACTTTATTCCACTAGGTGTTTCGAATTTCAAAAAGTCGCATTCATAATAATTTTGACATAATTTGCATGATTTCTTTCAGTCTTCAAATTTTTAGCTTTTGTGAGCCATTAAACCTTTTGGTTTCTAACTGAATATGGTGAAAATGAGCATAGTCTTAAATGCCTGTCTGAAATGAGCAGTTTCGCTCTTCTTTATTGCATTGTCTGAGAAAGGAAAAAAAGAGAACCCGCACAGCAAGTGCCTTAACTGTTTGTAAATGAATGAATTGAAATCTTGCCTGGATTGAATTGAGACGGGAAGGAGAAAATCTGGTTGATTCATAAATCCGGCAAAATCCCTCTGCTCTCAGTATTTAATGCCCTTGAGAAGAAGTGTTGAGCTAGGATTGCATTGTGTTGGTAATGAAAATTTGCAAGTCAATGAGCACAAGGATTACTAGTCCCTTCCGCACCTCGCCCCCGTACCCATCACATTAGAATAGGGCTTAGCCCTCCTTGGCCCTCCCTTTACGAAGGTGGTCATTATTATTATTATCATCATCCTCTCAAGTAAGTATTTATGCAAGGACTGGACGAATTAATCCCTCAGTTTATGAAAGCTGTGAGAAAAAATAAGACTTTGCGGTACATAACTGCGTCTAGGTTAGCGTCTTGTTCAACTGCCTTCGGCTTCTGGATTGTAAAATAACAATAGTTTTAATCTTTAATGAAGAATTCGTATGCAGTATTTAAAAATGGCCAATCGATTACAATTCAAGATAACTAACTTACTAAACCTGCTCACTTCAACTTATGCCAACCCAATGGCAACTCAAGATGCATTAACTCCATGTGGTGAGACGACGACTTTCTCAGGACGATGAGTTACACCCGGTAAATTCTCAAGGAATTAATGAAAATTCAAATCACCTTATTTCATGTAAGGTATCGTTCTGATTATGTCCTAACCTTCATCCATTTGAGATATATGAATAGTATACGACGATGTTTGTAAATTGAGCATTTATCGCCCAGTCCAGATAATAGCATTCTGTGCGTACCAGTATTCAGTATAGCTTATAAAATGTGAGACTTTTTAAATGATTTGCAAAAATAGAATTGGCTGACCTTTTCAATTGATTGATGGGCATGATATTTCAACCGAGTCCTAAAGACAGATAAATGACGTCAATTGTACTATCTCACAAAGGACAAGAGTTTGATCAATATTTGAGCAGAACGAAAGTTTCTAAATAAATGACACAAAAAGAGTACAATAACCTCCTCATTTCGCAGGAAGGTCCACCTAACTAAACTTGCAACTTGTAGGCAACTTTCTGGAAAATAATGACGATTCCAACTAAAGTCTGCTGAGAAATATCTGAGAACTATGTATGTACATACACGTACGTACACTTTGTAACACGACAGAAGAGAAAAAGCTGCAGGCTAAATAAAGTTTGTCATTAAAAGGGTTCATATCTTGTTAATGAAACTTTAATTATTTTGTTGAGAGAGAAATGGAACAAATGAGTGGTCGGAAGTAATTTGACAGTAAGCGAGAATGTCACGGGTGGTTAAACAGTTTTCTCATTTTGAAACTGTTGCCCAGTCCTGATATGCGTGTATGCACATCAACTCAAACTCAGCAGTGCTTTGAGGTTGTGACAGTAGAAAAGAAGAGGGTTTTATGGCGAACCACGACAATCTTGAATCATGCATAAGGAAGAATACAAAGAAAATTAGATTTTGCCAAAAATAATGATGTGACCTCATGCAGAGACTCCCCAAATTACAGCACCATGCCAAAAATTATATATCTAGGAAAAATGCTGTAAAATCGTACCGTTCATTGTGTACCATTCTGTAATTTGCACTGATGGAACGCAGTTGACAAAATTTGCCCAACATTGTGCTCATCCAATCTAAGGAAGTAAGTAGAGTACATGCATGGTATGTATGTACATCCGTACGTATATGTACGTATATATATCTGTGTTGTGCCAGGAAAATATCAAGAGTGTGTCATATAATAATTTATAGAATCCCTTATCCCCCCAAGTAATTTCAGAAACCGTACGTAATCCTTCCTTCAGCAGATTCCATTTTACAAATTACGCATGCCAAACGGGTTATTCCAGTTACTTTTACATACTACACATACGTTGGCGAATCTCACTACTAACCTCGTATGAGCTCACTGGATTTGCAATAATGGACGAGAATCTGCTTGCTGAGCTATGAAGATGTACTATCCAAATATGTATGGATGATTTTTATTGCGTCTCCGTTCATATGAAATTCACAATCGCATACCAAACCACATGTGCACGTCCTACGCTGTGATGTACATATTTGCAAATAAATTGACTTTTGACTTACTTTGTCTGCTTTCTCAATCAGTCCCTTTTTTGAAGATGTTTGTCGAGTTGTGTGGAAATATGTAGGGCAACGACGACAACGGTGGCATTCGACTATGTGCAGTATTGTTGAGGGTAAGTTGGAATTGGGAAACTTTTTACGGTTTGGTGGATGAGACTCACTGTTTATCCCAGTTTTTCCAAAAATGTCACTCACAAAATACGACCAATGTGCTCTTTTAGAGTTTGCATGAATATATCCGTTACGTTAAACTCGCACAAGTCCAGACAGGATTGATTCCTTGACTGACATGGCTCTGTGTACCCACTGCCAATGCATTTAATTACTGTTTACAGGAATACAGAGTTGTTTGTAACAAGTGAGTGTTGAATGAAAGTTGGACTGCTTCCGTGCCCAGCGATAAGACCTTATCTGCTGCTCTCCACTTGTGTGTGTGTAGAGGATGCACTTATCGCTGGGAATACAATGCACAACAGCTCCTGGAATTGGATGAACAAATTTAAGCAAATCAAGCAGTTTGTGGAATTTATAAATTACTGTAAACGCCCATATACACCAATAAAATGACGTACTCTTGAATACCTGAACCTCGTTTCCTGTCGTATCAAATGATTATGGTGCAGTTGCAAATGTTGCAATCTTTTGTGTACCTTTTTAGCACTATGGCAACAGAATTTCCCCCGGAATGCAATATCACCCGGCGCTCTACTCTTTCTTCTTGGCCCACCACCATTCTCCGTTTCAAGGAATGGACTGAAACGGAGAATGGTGAGGCAAACAGATTTTACCCGGATTCGGGAACATGGAATCAGGTTCAGAAATGCCAGAATTCTCCCCATGTGCCCCAATAGAAATATTCTATTGAACTGGATGCAGCAGAAGCTCAAGATTCAGAAGTTGAATTCCGATGAGGAATTCCGATGGATGAGAGAATAATTCCGTAATTGCTTAATTCCTCTTAGCACCAGAATCGAGTATTACATACACAAATGCAGTGAAAGTACTTTAGAGTTTTTATGCAAAAGCAGCAGCATGAACGCATTGAAATGAAAGCCAATTAAGTGAAAGAACAGAAAATGTCAGGAAGAAAGTTGTTGAGAAATTGGCTTCGTTTGAATAAATCTTTGTAAGGAGGGATTTCATAAAGGGCATTATTATTAGATATACGAGGAGTTTGACGGCAAGAGTTGGGCGAATAGTGCAGCACTTATTGAGATCCGAAATCAATTCTAACGACCCTCAATTCAAGGTACGAATAAAGTTGAACAATGCTCACTCTGGGATTCAGCCATATCATGGTTTTGTTGAACTTACTTATGCCGAAACAAAGAACGGGCAACCGTAATGTTATGATCATGATGGCTCATAAAACTTGCATATCAAATAAAGCCATAATTTTCATTCACTACAAATTGATGATCAGAATTAGTTATTAATTCGGTTCGCTTTTGTCATTAACATCGAGAATAATAATTATATTTGATATTATGTTTTTTAAATAGATAATACATATTTATTTGAGAGTATGTACGACTGGAAGTGAGCGAGGTACACATGGGAGACCAAAATCATACGTTTATCACAAACTTAAATACAGCACCGTCCCTCGCCCACTCTTCAATTTCAATTCAACTGTATTCAGCGAAACTTTCGTTAGGAAAGGAATATGGATTGATCGTATCGTTTCAACTGATTGATTGAAAAATGTCACTTGCGTCAACATCAGAATTCCAAATAGCTCAAAGCCCGAACCGGGTGCGACAGTTGGCGAAGAACGAGAGAGAGAGAAAGGAGACGACTTAGATTTTGTCAATTTTCTAAAACAAAAATGCATCCTGGAAACTTTTCAGGAGTTTGGACTTTTTAAATCGAAAATGTCAATCACTACGAGCAAGTTTCACAAACGTGAGAAAATGCGAAACAACAAAGTACTAACAATATCCAATAAAATAATCGCTTACATATAGAAAAAAATACGAAAATCAATGTCAACAGGAGCAAAAGTTAGCCAAAGTCTAAACAAAATTCAGTGTCATGCATGTATTGCTGTTGCACCGATTTAGAATTTTTATGGAAAGTGTAAATTGAGGCTGATTTTCCATTCTGAGCACATTTCACTCATGCGTTGCAACTTGAATTGGTTTCGTCTGTTATCATGGAATGGTGATGCACTTTGTATGATTGAATCCTATCTTCACATCGATCCTAAAAATTTGAATATGTGAATGAAATCATTGCCAAGTGCGCAATAAAAAGTCCAATTGTCTTGAACGGAGCAAGTTTGGTAATACGGAGCTGATTCATGTGAATGGCGAATACATACATTCTGAAAGTCAACTTTGAGTCGATTTTGATAATTTGCTAATATTTGTGGCTACACGATTTAGAATATTAGCTAATTCATAACAGTAATTTCCTATATGCAAAAATAAATAGTGAGTTGAATTGAAAATCAACCGAGTTGAAGAAAAAAGTGATTTTGTTGATTGATACTCCGCAGCTACACCATTATTCAAATTAATTACAAACTTGTAATGAGAATAACTCATTCCTGCCTGCGCCATAAATATTTAGCGATGAGATGATTATTTGGTGGGAGAAAGCAAGATGAGACGAAATCCAGTCTTCCCTGGAAAAGAATGAGGTGGATGGCTTGGCTTTGGCTTGGGTGTCTCATTGTATCGCTCGCTCGTTCCATTGCCTCAAGTCAAGGTCTCAACTCAGCCCCACATCAAAATCACACTTTTTAACACTTTCTTCGCCACTTTACTCTTCTTTACTGCCTCCAGCAGAATGATCTCATATGCATCCGCTTTACTTGCTTCGGAGGAAGCATGCATTCTGTGCTCGCACTATTTGAGATGCAAAACTACGGGTAATGTATTTCTCTCCACGTTATGCATCATACCAGCTCAACGGAAACTGGGTGTTGATGACACAACGGGGTTTGTATCTTTCGCACCTTCTCCGCGTAGAATTTGGAGGGGTGGTGGTGGTGGAAGCCGTCCAAGTGAAAGTGAGTGAATATGAGGATGCTGAGAATCCTGATGGAATATTTAGCTCCAAGCGTCCACATTAGCATTTTAACTGCCACGCTACAGCTCGCCACTTTTTCTCATATTGTTTTACTCCAATTTTTGGGAAATTCGGGGACCTTCCATAAATTCCGCCTTCAGAGATTTTCCCCTTCCAGATACGCAGTAAGGTTCTGGTATGGATCATGAATGAGCCGCATCTTGTTTCACAAAGAATTACTTTTACTTGCTTCTGTGAAATTGGGCGCACCCCAACGAATTTAGGATTTTACATTTGTGTCTCGTTGAGAGAAAGTCTGAAATTTCCTGTTCGGCATCTATGCATTTTCGTAGTGCGTTGCACTTTTCTCATTTTATATTTTATTTTATTTCGTGCTCATTCATTTTTATTCTTATCCTGGATAAAATATGGGAAATAAAGCGGAGGGATTGGACCGGACAGGGTGGGATATGTGTGGTTGGGATGGAGAATAAGACCAAAAGAGAGACGCAGAAGAGGATGAATGTGGAATGGAACAAAGGAGAGGAGCAGAGTGCGTAATATGTGTGAGAAAGATGTACGAGATGAGATATATGGACGAGATTATGATAAATGCAGAATATGAGCCAAGGAATGAAAATTCCGTTCAGTCCCGTAACGCCAATGTCTAAATCAAAGCTATGCTACTCATAGGCAGACAAGAATGGGGAATAAAAGCCGCAACCAAGGCCAGCCTCACAGTACATCATTTTTGTTTTCTGCATAGAAAAGAATGAAACGACGTTATGAAAAATGGAAATTCTTGTGTTTATGCAAAAACTTTCTTTCATTCAAAGGGCACACTGACGGAAAGGGCGAATGAAAAAACATGTGTGCACCTTGTTTTGTGTGAATTTTCTGCAAAAACATGTGAACTACAGAAAGAAACGTGCAAAAAAGTTAGTTGGTTGGAGTTTCTTTTGTTCGCAGAATGTAGTTGGAAGTTGGTTGGATGTGATGACGTGACCGTGGGAAGAAGAAATGAGACGATGTAACTTCAAAGAGAAAGTGAAGTAAATTAAGCGAGTGGGCCGTTGTTGCGGTTGTTGTTAACGGAAATATATCGTGGGATATAAAAGCGATGCAGATCTCAAGAGTTCCGAAACTACGCCAGGACTAACAAAGCATTTACATATACAGTGCTGTGTATGGGGGCGACTGAGTGAAGATGAGCCTGATCCTTGGTTTCCTCCTCATATTTAATTCTATTAATTTGGCTTGGCTAGAGTGCATTCTAAAGAAGGGAAATTGGGCCAAGGTTCACCTACAAACGTATCTGCCCAAGAGTGTCCTTATTAATGGGTGTTTAATAAAATAAGGAAATGTTGAAGCACAGCCCACAAAAGACGTCCGCCTTGACTTGACCTCTAACTTTCATTGTATTTTCAAACACAAAACTTAAATTTCAAGATGCTATTAATATCCTGAACATCTTATCGATTTGCCTCCTCCTCCAAGACCAAGACACGAGGCGTTGATGACTATGACGTTAGTAGCGCAGTTCAAACAAGGAAGCATTAGCACCACCCTCATTCAAAGTCTTCCTTTCACCGCACCGCAACAGATGCTCGTTTTCCACCAGCCACTCACTTTCTCTCTCTTGACAACTGGCAAAAAGTACACAAGATGAAACATTTAGAGCTTGATGATGATGATGATGACTTGCATCGAAACACCACATTTCAAGGATGAACGCTATCCACGATACGTAATTTAGGCACGATAAAAATGCATCGAGTAAATGAGTTTTTAATGCTTAATAAGATTTTTTCCCTGGTGCAACAACTTCAAAAATATTAGAATAACAGCCATCTGACAATTTGACTACTTCTACAGAAATCCTCATCTCCTTGTGTACTGAGCAGTAACAAACTAAACTCTGCTTCACAGTGTCTTGGCGAGTAGTGTTACGTATCGGCCTTTCACACAATTACGCCGCATATTATCATTCCATCCTTTAATGCATTAATTCTCGTTTGCCTAATAAAATAATGCTACGCTCTTTTCGAACTGGTTCAAGTTTAAGTACCCAAGTGCACAGGGAGGTAGCGAGGGAGGTTATATCAGAATATCACGAAAACACAATTAACACCCCATTTAACTAAGCCCTGAAATCTTGAACGAGTGAGAATGCGACACACGCAGCAAATTCCGTTTCAAAACTTCAAACATGGCATAATAAATGCAAATGCAATTTGTTTCTGGATGAAATAAATGCAATGGTGCAATCCCAAGCTACACATTAAAATGAGTTATACGAACTCTGGCCATACAATCTCTGTCGTCAGCATAGCAGCAGCAACACCAGCCAAACAACCAACAACCACAGTAAAACAAAACAGTTTTGCTTCTCGCTTTCTCCTAGATGCGTATCGAGAGAAGGATTGGACAACCAGAGGCGATTCCTTCTTGGAGAAGTGCAGAACAGGCAGGACTCTACTAAAGTATAAAATAAAAGGCTGCATGTATCGTGCTCGTGGGTTGCGTAAAGACCTTAGGGCTCTTCTTCTTTTTGACTATGCAATGGGTCATTTATTCAGCACCGAGCAGCGACGACGACGTAGGAAGAAGAAGAGATAGAAGCCAAGGCCAAACCAAATGTCATCATTATTATCTTGGATGAGAGGGGGCTGTAAATTCATTAGAGAGAGAAAGAGCAATGAAAGTGATGCAAATGTGTGTATGTTTATATAGAGGAGAAAGTTCGGTCTCATTTTGCCTCAAATACTTCATACGCAAATTCAACATTTAGTTAATGACACGGAGCTAGAATGACAAGCTGTTGGTTAATTGTGATTATTCTTTCACAAAATTAGCGACAATATTCACAACAATAATGTCGTTAATGTCTCAGTGTCCTCCGGTATGAGAAATTATGGTCAGAACAGAACACTCGTTGGATGGAAAGTGAGACGACGACGACCTGGTAGTAAATCGCAAAGCGCCCCGTAACTCTCCAGGAATCTGTGAGAACTCGAGACGACTTGTTTGTAAATAAACAAGACAGAACGAAGAATATAAAAGTTTGAAGTTTTGTTAGTTGATTTGGTTAATTTTTTCAATAATCTTTCTTGGGGGAGGATTTAGTAATTTAGTTTGTAAAAGCTTACACAGTTGATTTAGTTTGTAGTAAAGATTGAGATTTTAATATGATTGATAAGTAATCAATATATGGGGCGTTTTTAAGCTACTAGTTGTGTTTGTTGCAGAACTTTTAAAATGGGAGAATTGTCCAGAATAGTGAATTTAATGAGATTAAAGTCTCTGACACCATATCTGGAACGTGTCCCAGGATGGAATTTCAAATTGGCTGAATTAGTTCGGCCCCCGTTGGCCTGCAATTATTTGTATAAACATTTAAGTACTTATGTTGACGATACCGTCAATCTCAACAACAATAGGAGATCAAATTGGGCACGATATGCAGCGGCTGGTAAGCACAAAACAGAACGACGGGAGGATTGTGACCGTGAAAAGAATAGGACCAGCAGCACCGCAGTAGTTGCGACAGGAGCAGGTATTTTGTATTGCGAGGGATTGATTGATTGATTAAATAAATGAATAATTTATTTCCGAAGGACTTTTGCTGATGTTATGGTCAAATTCTCAGTGGGACACGGTAGAAGCAGCAAAACCAATTTATAACGATGAAAATCAACAGGATCGTAGGGATACAGATGATCATTACAGGGCTGGAGGAAAATCAAAAGGATTTCAAAAAAGCAATCGAGAACGATTCAATTTCATTGCAGATGTTGTTGATAAGGTCAAGGATACAGTGGTAAGATAAAGCATTAAAGATGTGTTGAAGAGACAGGAACGTAAATGAATTGTGTCGTCATTTATATATTTAGGTTTCGATTGAAGTAAAGGATCATGCCCACGTAGATTTCTTCACTGGAGTCCCCCATACCGCGTCCAATGGATCGGGTTTTATTATTAGTGACGATGGTTTGATTTTGACCAATGCTCACGTTGTTGCCAGTCGTCCAAGATCTTCGTTTTCTGTAAGTTATTTATTTAATAAACGTAACAATATACTACTCTTCACTGCAATACCCGATTAAACTGCTCAATATCATATTGACAATATGTAAATGTGAGCTTATGTGTTCGTTTATTTTTATTAAAGGTTCGTCTGGCTGATGGCAGAACTTTTTCAGCAGTTATAGAAGACATTGACTATGAATCTGATCTAGCTACTATTCGGGTTCACGCTGTATGTTGGCTATTTTATAGTTCGTAAGCTGTACAAAGTTTACTAACAAGTTTTTACACATCGCAGAAGGACTTGCGCACACTCTCGCTTGGTAATTCAGCAGATACAAAAATTGGTGAATGGGTCATAGCGCTTGGAGCTCCATTGACGCTAACAAATACGGTCACAGCCGGTGTTGTTAGTAGTACAAGTCGAGGCGCTAGCGAATTGGGTATCCAAACCAATGATATAAACTATATACAAACGGATGCTAGCATTACGGTATGTAATTACTGATCCTAGAATACAAATAAGTCTTTTCTTATAAAATACTCTTTATTTAGTTTGGAAATTCTGGTGGGCCGCTTATCAACTTGGACGGAGAGGCGATAGGAATTAATTCGATGAAAGTCACTGCTGGGTATGTGTGTGGTGTCACATATATGACCTTTCTTGTAGGTTTAAATATAGACCTTTAGTAAAATAGTTAACATTTATAGGATTTCATTCGCTATTCCGATTGACCACGCCAAGAAGTTTCTAGCGAGATCCGAAGCGCGAAGATGTAATGAAAGTATAAATTAAGTAGCTTTTTTACGTTTTAGATTATTGCCCGGTTAAGCTAATATTATTAATGACATCGATCACTAGTAAAAACCGGTTTGCTTCAACTTTCAAATAAGTGCCTTTAGTAGATATGTACGCATAATTCCACAACGTCTTGTTTGTGTTGTAGCAAGCGGATTGATGAAACCAACTCGGAAATATATGGGGCTTACGATTTTAACAGTAACTGACCAAATTAAACGAGAATTGGAATCTCGCGGGTATAAAAAAGTCTCCAAAGGAGTTTTAGTATGGCAGGTACGAAGTTCAAAGTCAAAAGTGCATTTGAGTGTTTGATTTGGTTTTTTCAATTTTGTCATAGGTCGTGGTCGGCTCTCCAGCATACCTGTACGTAATAAAATAAACAATATACCATTTGCCATCACGTGACGTATGTAAATTGACAAATTATGTGTTTGCGTATTTAGTGCTGGTGTCAAGCCTGGTGATATTATTGTGAGAATTAATGGTACCGAAATCGCATCATCAGCTGACCTGTACGAACTGACCAAGGTGTCTGACAAACTGAATATTCATATTCAGCGAGGTGATAAATTATACGCTTGTACCGTAACCCCGGAACTTGTTGAAGACTGAGTGAAATTACTATTGTATTCATTCATAAAAAATTGTACCAGAAAACCGAACCAGAAAAATAAATACTTGTAATAAAAATATATAGTTCAACAGGTAGTCAAAAACGATTCATTTTTTTCAACTATATGCATAAATGCGTACATGTTTCAATAGCCTTAATTGACCCATTTTGTAAAATCTTGATCCGTTGCAGTGGAACTGGTTTCTGACTTGTTAATCCTGTCTTGAAGAAAGCAGGTTTGCAGCTTTATTATTATAGAAGTATTAACCGTTTTAGTGTTCAAGACCCGTTATTATCCCAAGTCCAACCGGTCAATCGATATAATCAGATAAAAGTCGGGATTGGAGAGAAATTGAAGAGGTAAAAATACATGGGTTCATGATAAAACTGACATATTTCGTCCGCGAGATGCATGCAGGGTCCTCAGTCCCAGTTGAACCATCAACCGAAAGATATCACAAAACATCCTTCAGTCATACAAGGTCTCTGGCACTGAAGTGAACTGCAAATTTAATCCACTCAGAAATCCAAAATGAAGTACAATTCCGTAAGTTTTTATTATCTATAAGACCAAGAAAAACCGATAGTTCGTTCTAGAAATTCCTTAATTAATTGAAATATTTGTGGTTTCAGATTTTGGTAGCTTTTCTTGTGTCAGTTTGTATACACAAGACAATAGCCCTCAGCATCTCCGATGCATATGCAAACTCTGGTCGAAATATCAACGTTGATCAAGAACACTTTCTGCCTGAAAAGGACGAATCTGAACTAGAGCCGGAGTTAGATCCAGAATTAGATCCAGAGTTTGACCATGATGCCGAGTATGGAGATGAAGAAGGTGACGCTTCCTCGATAATCTCAACTCCTAGTCCCACAACATCAACGACCATATCAACCACCAGCACAACAACAGTCAGACCTGGGCCCGTTAATAAATCAAAGTGGAACAATAAACGTATGCACATTTAAATAGTCATGATACGTATAATCTAGCAATTAAATATTACATTACTGTCTAAATGAAGGTATTTCTAAGCCACACAAGAAGCCCCTCACGATGACCTCAACCGGTGTAAAGCACCTGGAAAAACAAGTTATGTCTAAAACGAAAGAGCATGAAAAGCAAATTATCTCGTCTGGTTTAGCACCACCTTCTCCAGTTTATGAGCCAGGCAACGTACCAACTTCTTCTGAAGAAAAATCCACTGGGGGCGACGAGAAAAATAAGGATTCTGACCGTAAACTAACTGAATTCAATGATGATGCCTCAGAGAAAGATAATTCTCCAACTGGCTGGCCCCAAGATGGCAAGTTAACAGTAAGTTAACATAGTTTAATATCTCCAAAAATATATAGCACTAACAAAATTTCAAGAACTTTATAATTTTGATTGGATTATTTTCTGGATAGAAAGAAGAAGCTCTAAGCGTCAATAGGATTGGTCAAGCTGCTGCAAGCGGGCCTTTTGGCAACAATCGTCCCTCGTTTAATCCATCCGGTCTTAGCAATCAGCTTCCATGGGGGATTGCTAATTTCAAGCTTGCAGGGGCAAATGATAACAATAACTATGATGGATTTCCTTCTCTGGCAGCAAAAATGGCAGCTTATCCACATCTTGTCGAACATTCAGAAACATCTCCCACTCCTGAACATCAGGAATCGGACACAAAATCTGGTTTTGACGGAAGCTCTCCTTTTGGCGAAAATAATAATCAGTCCCCATACGGATACCCTCCATATGGTTACAACCCATCAGCTAATCCTGCATCATCATATCCACCATACAACAGGATGACCTCATATCCACCACCCCCATTTCCTACCACAAGTAGTAGTGGACCATCAACGTGGGGCGGACCACCAGCATCGTCTCTTGAGATGGTGGAATCCTTACTCAAAAAATTAGGAAATACTAATTCGCCATGGAGTGGTGGGGCATCAGCAGGAGGAGGATACGGATCTTATCCTCCTTATAACAACTATCCCCCCTCATCACCACCACCAGATTATAATGCAGCTTATCCAAGCCAAAATTCCTACTCAAATAATATGTATGGAGCAACAATTAATTTCCCATGGGGTGGGGAAAATTCACAAGCATGGGGTCAGGAAGATCCTCAGAGCGCGTACAAATCTTGGGGTGGATATAATCCACAAAGGACTGGTCCCTTCGGAAATGGTGGATCATTATCCTCTTACAATAACGCATTGGCCATCCAACAACTCTTGGGGGGAGGAGGAGGTATGACCGGTGGAAACGTTGATGGCAATAATGCAAGCAACAATCCTGGCGCAACAGGGTCGGCACCTACAGGAGAAGCCTTTGGAACGAAAAGTGAATCACCATCGACTGCATCTTCACCAACATTTGGTCCAGGATATAAAAATATGTACAACAATAAACAATCTCACGGAGGAAACTCGGGATACTATTTGCCCTCCTTCGGATCCGGGTTTAATTCTCGCCAAGGCATCTACTCAGGACAAGACCCTTCAGCCTATGATGGTGGCTTCCCGTCGTATGGTGGTGACAGTGGTCTGGGCGGTTGGGGAGGAGGAAAAGGATACAACCCGTATTTAGAGTACATAAAGCAGGCCGTAGCATATGCCGCTCAGAATCGACGCAAGTCCAATCCGTATGCACAGACGATGGGAATGTGGGGTGGTGACAATTCACGCGGCTACAGTGGTTATCCTAGCTTAGGTTATCCTCCATCCTCCTCTTACCAGCAACCGCAAATGCCCTGGTGGGCTTCACAGACCAATTATGGCAACTATCGATGATAGATTTATTCAATGATCTCATTTTCCATTGGTTGTGGGTAAAATATTGTAAGAATGTTCCCACATCTTGATGACTTTTGTTGTTATTCTGTTAAGGTATTGTTCAGTCTTTGGGGTACTAATTTATTTTTGTATATTTATTTGTAATGAGGTGATAGAAACACAAGTAAATCCAATCAGTCAAACTCTATTTATTTCACATGCATACATTAGCATTATACAGTCTTATAGTTTAGTTATTCATGTAAACGACGAATAACCATTTAAACATACCCGTTGACATTATTATGGATTAACAAATAATATGGATGGAAATCCCAATGACCAATTACTGGTCAACAAGAGCTGTCGCAGGGCTAAATTGTACAGGTCCAGCATTTTTAGTAATAGGCGAAGTTGAGTCGTCTGCAGACCTTCTCACTCCAAAGTTCTCACTGCCACTGTCAAGAATGCTTTGTTTTTTACCCTGTGGTGAAATCAAATCAGCGTCCTGGACCATTTTCCTTGCTGGTGGAACAGGAGGTAAGCTATCTCGGCCAGAATTAGTTCTTGAAGAATTAGTTCCCCCATTGGACTCTGAGGATGCGGACAATTTCCTTTTCTTGACGGTTGAGGAGATGTTTACACTCGCCTAAAAACAAAATACAGAGAAAATTCGAAAATATGATGAGAGGTCGAATAAGAAGACAAAACTCTTTATGTTGGAGGTACATTTGTCGTTCCAAGTGATGATGTAGACGTTTTCTTCAGCCAAGTATTAAGGCGTACGGGAAGCAACCTGTACAAAACGGAACATAGATTTTGATAGCTGAATGATAAAGGCTTAATAGCAATAATATGTGATAATAACAATAATATGCAACCTTCCATACTGCCGGTGGATTCCTTGACGCACTTTTTCATTCAGGAAGCAATCAAAAATAAATATGAATATACCCTGAAATTAACATTGACCAATTATTGCTAATTTCATAAAGATCATTGAAGAAATATGCATAAATTATATTTATATTTATATAGCGTATATCGTATAAATTACCTGAGATGCATTCAAAATTGTGAACAAATATGCAGCAGCAATGCCAGGAATTTGTGGGGTCAACATTAGAAATCCAATTATCCAAGTGATTCCCAGAAGTACGGTCAACGCAAAACTTCCCTTGATCCATGTTCTAAATACAATACAACTTCCTTATATATTTGAGACGTTAAAATTATCCGTGTTCTTACCTGAGTGAACTGACACGACGACTAAAAATGGAGGCGTCTGAGCGGATTCGAATACGGTGGCTTTTCCATAAGCTCAAGGATAAAATAACAGTGTTCAACTGTAATTAAAAAATTCGGTAATTTCTAATCTGGAATATTTAGTAATATAATTTTGAGAGGACGATTTCTTACAATAATAATTATCAAGACGGGTCCCATAAATCCCCACATGTAGCCTCCATTTAGCCAGCATCTGTAATATTCCAAGGTGGATAATATTTCAACGTATCATGATGGGGGACACCTCTTAACACTCACACAACTTCTCCCCCATACGGCTCATCCCCGGACAAGTAACCAGCCATCGTAGTGATTGCAATAATCACTAAAGGTCCTCCGTACGAAAGCAGTCTGAACATTAAGAAGGAGCTTTTCACGTTGAAGATATCGACCACCATGCGGTACAAATATATCCCTTGAACTCCCATCCACCCAAAAGCAGCAAGAAAACTGTAGTGGATAAGAATTCCCGAAGCAACGCACAAACCCTGTATAAATATAATTTTCACTTAAATCTATGTACATAGATTTGTGCAATGTCAAACCTACCTGACTCAAATTGAAATAAGTCTTGTCCAGAACGAGCAGAACTAACAGGTTTCCAACTGCGAGACATACTGCAAGATTACGCGTGATCATCGTACGTTGGCTACGAGCTTTTCTTATCCCGTAGAACATTGCTATTGTGAAGATTAAACAGAGGATGGAAATTGGAACCAGGATAAGCGTCACAATTTCAAGACCAGCGTTTTTACCCTGAGTTATTACAAAGGATAAACAACTTGTTCAGATTAGACATATTTCGCACTGTTTTAATTATCATACCACATAATTGTGAACATCCATCAAAATTGCAAAAGAGGTCAAATGGTTGCACTCACAAATTGTTTCTGATTTAGTGCTGGAGACAATTTTACATCCTTTTTGGGACCACTCTCTGCAGTTTTTTAAAGATATGGGCTGAAAATTTGTCACTTTCAATTTTTTAGTAAACGTATTTACAAATAATTTACAATTTATTGGTGTCCCAATAAACACATTGTGCAGTTCCTTGAACAGCTTTGGGCTTTTCTCCGGAATAAAGTTTTCTTGGTATGTCGAACGCTTCATTCCCCCAGGCTTCAAAGTCATGGTGAAAGACTATTTGGACTCCTTGATCTGTTGTGAGTTTAGAACTTGTAGGAAACTATTACATGCATATTCTTTATTGACATTTAAAAAATTTAATGTGCACCTTTGAATTCAAACTCAACTTTCTCTGATGTGCCATTCTCTCCATTCGAAAGCTTATCATTGGACGGCGAACTGGATGCTACTGTGAAGGACATGACTTTTCCATTTAAAATTTTCTTGTATCCCAGGTCAGTATCGAGTCCAAGCCTAAATGAAATAATATTAATCTATTTATAACAAAAGTACAAGTATTTTGTTCCCAAAAAAAGCTACTAATTTCTTACTTTTCATACTGACCAGGCATAATTAGACTGGCGTAATTTGCATCCATGAACATTCCAACGCATTCAATTTTTTGTCCAGCAACTAACTCAGTCCAACGCGGAGGTAACTTTATCACAGAATTTGGATTGCCAATAAATGGATATTTCAGGTTGTCTAATCCAGGAAATATTTTCGAATAGGCGAGAGATGTGACTGTGAATTGGGGCTCATTCAAAATGTCCTTGTAAAAAAACGATGTGTAATCTAAAATATTCTCAGCATCCAAAGTTTGAGGTCCAGTCATCGTCACTTTCACTTTTGATGTTAACAGAAACGACGTCTCTTCAATCGTGATGGTCAAGCTTGTTGCAAGGTGGGATCGATTTTTCTAAAATCACGTATCTATATTGAATGGCTTATTGGTTGATAAATGTGATTCATCAGAAAAGAGTCAAATCATAGTAATCAGTAAACATTTACCAATGCCAGATGATGCCAGGGCTTGGGAGTTTTAATAATTCTTTGTGCAATTCTCACAGTCCAATTGGCAACTTGGAGAAATGCATCAGAGTCCGTTGTCGAGCTACTCACTGTTTTGGTTACGTTTGTTAGAATGTCGTTGAGCGTTCCTATTTCATGACCAAAGTAATTGGGATCATTCGAGGAAGAATCTAGGGACACTTTCTCCTGCAGTTTCTTCAAATACTCCACCGCTGTGGTCTGAGTTAACGAGCAAACAACTATTATTGCATTAATGAATATATGACATTTACATAATGTACATTTATGATACATTTCCTTAGGATTAATAAGAAGGTTGCGATAAATATTGTATTTTTCTCACTGTGTTCGTAACTTGACCAGATTCTTTCAAAAAATCGTCCACCCAACTTGTCGTGCATTTTGAGGAATCTGGTTGTTCAGTGGCGAACTTGCCATTAGGTAAGCACTCCCAAGTGATCTGTCCTGTTGAATTTGCGACGACTCTGTTGCAACTTTCCGTCCCCATTATTTCACCACATACCGACCAATAAAACCCATCCGAATCGGTTTTGGTGCATTTTATCGGACAACCTCGAGGAGGTGGGCTAGTGGTTGTGGCAATGGAGGTTGTTGGCATCACAGTAGTCGTAATCGTTGGAAATGTTGAGGTTACAGAACCTGTAGTTAATCCTGGCGTAGTTGGTTCTGGGATCGTTGGCTCTGGCGTAGTTCGTCCTGCCGTAGTCGTACTTGTTGGTGGTTCCGGAGTAGTTGGTTCCGGCGTAGTTGTTGGTTCCGGAGTAGTTGGTTCCGGCGTAGTTGTTGGTTCCGGAGTAGTTGGTTCCGGCGTAGTTGTTGGTTCCGGAGTAGTTGGTTCCGGCGTAGTTGTTGGTTCCGGAGTAGTTGGTTCCGGCGTAGTTGTTGGTTCCGGAGTAGTTGGTTCCGGCGTAGTTGTTGGTTCCGGCGTAGTTGTTGGTTCCGGAGCAGTTGTGTTTGTAGTTGGTTCTAGCGTAGTTGCATTTGTATTTGACTCCGGCGTAGTTGGTTCTGGCTTGGTTGGTTCCAGCGTGGTAGTTGTATTTGTGGTTGGTTCTGGTGTTGTAGGTTCCGTTGTATTAGTGGGGTCACTTATGTAACCTTTTGACAATAATAACTCAAACTTGCCAGTTTCATCATCTCTGTTATATTGATCATAGAGTCCAGATTCTGAGGATATAATTGCATTGGCAAAATTGTTTTCCAAGCCTAAAGATGTGTTAGAACAGAAAACAATTGCATCCACTCTGTCGTCAAATATTTGCTTGAGCGTGTGCTAAAGTTATGCATGACTTACAAGTTTTTTCGAGACTTAGCAGAAATGCCACCAATACGATAAATCGAATTCCTCTAATCCAGAAATACGCCATTATTTAACGAACATGTCAAAAGTAAATATTTATACAATTCGATAATATTCACAAAGATTGTAGCAGTTTCGCAGTTTTAGAATGCATGCAAAAACCTTGTGTGCAGCAGATGTACATCCAAATTGGCTAAAATTAAAATATTTCAATTGCTAGTAATGGGAATGACAGATTTTTTGACAGTATTGTTAGTTTAATGATTGAATTATTAAATGCATGACTAAGCTTAGGTTATTCTCAAGGTTGGTTAAGATAATATTGGTTATCTTGTTATATATGAATGATAAGCCATATTGAACAACCAAGTGCACGGACATTTGAGACATGTTTCCGCACAATAACTAAAATCAATCACTGCACAAGAGTGACGAATGTGACGATAATGATTAAATTCAAGTTTTGATTGCAGATTAGAATATAAAATTAAAATCTCAGGGCGATACGTGCATTATCACAATGACGTCGATTATTAATTGAACACATATCATGTTTATACATACTTATTTCAAATAAATAAGGCTCTCGACGTGCGTGCATCATACGAGTATGTATGTAATTTTTGACATAAAGTAGATTACATAAATTGCATATTGGCTAGTCAAGGTTAATTGTACTGTGGAGTTAGGATGGTTATAAAAAGCAAATGATTATATAAAACTTTGCCAGGTAAGCGCTTATCGAAAACCCACAAAACCAATGAAACCGCATACAATATAATACTCTGATATTGTGATGTGGATGAGTTGTATGTAGAGGTGAATGGATGTATCGTATTTTCGTTAAAAAATGAAATATCTAGTCTAATGTGATTAGAAAATTAAAATTTTTGAGCCAGTGGGAAAAACCGCGTGAACATGAATTCACATAAGTATTTAAAAAAGGCAGGAGAGCATATGAAGAGAGCGACTTTATCGAAGCACATGAAAATTTATTTGACTGAGGACATTGTTTAATGTAAATATGGCGAACTTTCTGAATACTTTATCATGCCTATGTACATGTAAGTATTTCGTTGAAAAGAAAATAAATTATGCAATGTGGGTGTATGGACATATTTTTTAGAGCGGCTTTGGTCTTTTACTTGTATCATATTTTGTGTGCAATACAAAATGATGCTCCTTCTTCGTTTAACTACGAGGCGTAGGTGTCATATATTTAGAATTTTTGGTAGGTTTTACCCTTGGGCTTCTACAATTACGCTGTTACAGCATTGCATATGCATACGTATGCACATATTATACAAATACTCTATAACATATCCTTTACCAAGAAATGTTTCGTTGTTCTCCAAGTAAATATAAAACCGGTTTATGGCTTGCAAAAAATGCATCGCAAATTCCTATTTTAATAACAAGCGCACACTGCTAATACAGGTGCTATCAATTTTAAAGAGAGTAAATCATCCCATAACACGCATTTAGAAAATTTGGAAAGAATATTCATATTATTGTACGAGAAGTATTTTAAAAATTTCAATGGCGTTTTTCTGCTGTTCTTCTGCCACAGGGGCGAAAGTGATTGCAATCATATCACTGGTAAGGTCCTCGTTTTATTCAAATTTTGTAAACTTCATTTCAATCCCAAGCACATGGGATTTGACTTCATTCGCCAAACCATCTCTTTCCAAAGTATTTCATATTTGACAACTTATTCTCGTATATTTATAGATTAGTTCAGTCGTAATTTTGGTCGGATTTGGAGGACTTTGCATTCTTAGCGCAGTAAGAATCGAGCGAATGAATACCACTGAAGAGGTGGTTTTTATGGCCAATGCACTTTATGGCAGAAATACCGTCTTGAACTCAATGGTAATTCAGCCCAAAAATATCACGGTGGATGAGGAGACGTACTACAGGAAGGACTTTGTGGACTTTCTCCATAAAACTATCGGTATGAAAATCGTATTATTTTATTTATTAAAAGTTAGTTGAAAATTGTTACCCCCACTTTTGAATTTTTTCAATAGATTACTTGGGATACAACTTTCTTGCAGTTTATACCTTCGTTGCCGTCTACAACTTGATTGCATCAATCGAACTACTGCAAGGAGTGCGAAATGTACAAACTTATTCTTTATTAGCGTGCAATTGAATCAAATCATTTTATAGGAAATTTTGATGATGATTTTTGCTAACAATATTTTGTGCCCCTTAGAAAAACTATTGGAGGTGTAACATTTGGCTCAAGTGGTTCTTGGGATCATTAATTGCCAGCACCTTATCTTCGCTCCTGCTTGTGATTTTCATATCAAACAACGTATTCACCAAATTAATCCAATTTTCCATTGGATGGGCAATCTCCTTGTATTTTATGTACGTTGTGTACGAATTTATGCAAGAGATAAGTCGCGAGGATGAGAAAGATGATCAGAAGAAGTGAAAAAATACTATTTAAAAATTAAGATAAAACTAAAATCGTGTATTCATAAACTTGTAAAATGTATGTGTCCAATAAAACAAGCATTTATCATACTAAAAACTCAAAACACAACTTGGAGATGCAGAATTTTTTGTACGTAATATTGAACCAAGGGCTCCTCTCACACAAGTTGGTGTTGTTGTGCAGTCGACAGAGATCGGTTGAAGTGGAGATGTGTTTACAAGCAACCCTGCACCTTACAATTCAGTTAATGAATGGACTGAAACCGAAACAAATTGCATCTTCTCATACAATCCCTGCAGGCCAAACCCTTGAAAACACAGTCCTGGAAGGAATACAAAGTCTCCAGTATTGTTGAAGAGGAACATTTATAAATGTTGTCAAGTTCACCACGAATTCGGTAGAACTCAAACTTATGATTTGGAGGCTCTCTGAAGTACATATTATGTCCTGTTGGTTATTAATGCTAAATCCCCCCAAGTAATTTCATGCATTACACATGGCATTAAGGCAACATGGATGGACGAACGTACTCCCAAATAAATACTAATAATATTGGAATGAATGGTCGGGTCGAACAAGTCCAGCAGAAGACTTGAGATTTCTTCTTCTCATGGTGAGATTTGATATGTTGAGAGGAAGAGTGTTTATTTGTTGGACATTATTATCGCATCTTCCTCTGCTTCCCAAGAAGTGCTCGTGAGATGAGGCAAATGTTTTATGTTGGCCCAACGTCTTTGTGCATGGAATGACTCCTGGAGGAAATGGATGAGAGATTACATACATTTTTTGGAGCTTCTCTCTCTCTGCATCGTCTTCTTCTTCATCTTGGTCCATTCAGTCGAAGATCAACATTTGTCCAGGAGTAGTCTCTCCCAAGCCCTTTGTCCCTTTACTCAACTAACAGTGTATTTACTGGGCCCAGTAAATACTCGTAGTTGACAAAGTGCGTAATTCCCTAAACAACTTTTCAAAACTTCACAATTTCAACGTACACAACATAAACAAACTTTGCATGCATACACTCATGTAACCAAGTTTTAAGCAATTAAATCAAATAAGTAGTGCTCGTTAAAGTGACTGCGTTAAAAATTAAAGATTTAATCATTTTTATTACCGCCGGCAAAACGAATTTTTGTGCAATCCATCCAATAATTAGATAAATTAGTTGGTTTCATTTTGTGTTTAAAATTTTAATTTTTTTTATAAATCATCGCAACATTTATATATATTCAACAAGTAGCATGTAGTTCACCAAAGTTCTTACAAAAGTACAAATTTTTACCTGGATATTTTGTAAATAAATGCAAATATTGGTAGATACTAGGCACAAGGTACATAGTACTAGATAGCAATTAATTCAGAATGGTGAAGAAAAGACTGAAGGGCCACAATGTGGACAAGTGGCCTCCGTTTTATCCCGTAACCTGTAAAACCTTAGATAGTTGTAAATTTAGTACTCGAAGATATAGCTTTAGAACAAGTTTAAGTGTGACCACGGTTCTACTTTTCGCATGGCTGAATATTTCGTTGGCCGAAGTGCTAACGCCACCATACTTCAACTTGGCCCAGGGGAGACGAATTTACGCCTCGGCGACGTGTGGGGAATCTCCAGATGGACTTCCGCAACACGAAATGTATTGCAATCTGGTGGGTGCCACGACAGATGCGGATGATGCTCACAATGTCATCGGTGGTCAGGTCTGTCGTTGTAATTTGATTCATACTGGAATAATATATGGTCATTTAGCACTCTGATTTTTGCATGATTTTTGGAGCCCTTTGTGGATGACAATTTCAACATGAATGAAGTTTATAATAAAAACTGCCTCACTTGGGTTATGAAATTTATTGCATGAAACAGAATTAATATAAATACATCGACACGTATGTCTGGCTGAAGTCGAAAGAGTCGCTGCATATTCTATAATGTGCTTACGTGATAACCTTCTAACCTACACCAACCTCTTATTAAGGCAAACGATATATAGCTATATATTTATGCATCACATATGTATATTTACATAAATGAGACGAGATCGCCTCGAAACCCATTTTAAAAAGTCTCAACTTTGTGCCTAAGTAAACACCACAAAGGGAGAAGAAAATTATATAATTTCAAACATGGTGATAATGATGTTCATAAAATTATGATTTTTTAATAGTACTGCGGAGAATGCGAGAAGGGACTTGAGGGACATTGGCACCCAGCAGAGTATGCAATCGACGGATCCGAGTAAGTTGGACATACGAGAGATCGTAGTAGTAATTAATGCAAAGATTAGTGCTATGTTACTCTAGTTAGTTTTATGACAGGTACTTATCGGTTTAGTGAAATGTTTGACCCTTTATTATTTTTTTAACGATAATTATCTTTTAATTATAGGCGTTGGTGGCAATCACCACCACTCTCCCGTGGAGTCAAGTACAATGAAGTTAACCTCACCATTGATCTCGGCCAGGTAATTTTTCCCATTTTTCTATCGTATTTTATAAAATGATGTAAACATCCATTTATGCACAGCATTTGTACTCGATTATTATTGATCAGATGCGAATATGAAATTTTGTAGATAGAAAAAATAGAAATATGTAAAGAATAATCAGTCAGACCGGCATCATTCATTGCCGGTCGGCATTCAAACAGTGAAAAGTTCCCTTTAAATTCACGTTACGAAAACTCTAAATAAATTACACTTTAAAATTGCTCCTTTTCCATTACTGCCAGAATTTACTTCCCCTAAATAAACTATTTAACTTTAGGATTTTGTGCAAATTTTTTGGAGCATCTGCTTCGGCGGACTTGGGCGTTAAAATCTTGTATCATCATATCTCGTCATCACAATGTGAAATATGCAGCAGAAAGCGAGAGTCTCAACTTCATTTTCATGATCTCATGCACTCATCTTACAAACTTAGGATTAGTCAGTAAAATCCAATTATTTATTTTATTTTGGTCTCTGAAAGGAAGGAGTGTTGAACATGAGATGTTTTACTTTTATCACTGTATTTTATTTCGTTCATTGATTTCCACTCTCTCAAATTACACTGGACTTGATTAGGTGGTCGTCCATGTTGTGCCGCAGTCGTTGGTAGACGATTATCTCATTCCATGTTATGTATTTATTTAACTGAAGCACAGGAAACTCATTCAATATTTGATGAGATTGCTTGGCTTGCTGAGTTGTGAGAACGAAAGTGAATTCATGTGGCCAAGATGAGAATGAGAGAATTGCTGAAGACTTTGATAGTATTATCACCATTATAAGCAAAGCAAATATATAAATACATATATGTATAGACGAATATACTTGCTTTGACTCTGACTTTGACTCCTCTCACATAATTTTCGCTCAACTGTCAAATTATTAACTGGTGACTGGAGTAAAATATTGAAATGCAATGCAAATGAGTGACTATTGTGGATGATTCGTTTCCAAAAAATACTAGTTGGAAAAAATTGTAAGACTGAAAATATTCTTGTTCTCGCAGGAATTTCATGTTGCGTATATAAATTTACAAATGGCAAACTCTCCAAGACCCGGCGTCTGGATTCTGGAAAGATCATCCGACAACGGAGTTACGTATCATCCCTGGCAATTTTTTGCAGAGAATCCCATGTATTTTTCATCAATGTTTTGAAGTATTCGAAACAAAACGAATAAATAGTAATGAATAAATGCTTTAATCGTCGCAGTGAATGTGCCCGATTCTTTGGAAGAGATAGCATTCTCCCACTCACGGCAGATGACGGTGTAATTTGTGACACGTCAAATTCTAAAGTTGTGCCATTGGAGAATGGAGAGGTGATGGATAATGCTTGCTTAAATATGCCTGTGGCTGGTCGACATATGATAAGGACGTATAATTTAAATACCTTATTCTCCAGATCTTCATTAAGCTTCTTGAAAATCGACCATCAGCCAAAAACTTTTTTTCTTCTGAAGCGTTGCAGCAATGGACACGTGCCACTCATGTCCGATTACGATTTCTCAGGACAAAGACACTTTTGGGTAACTCCTAACTAACTAACTTTTAGTTTACTTTGAGATAATTATGCAGAATGGAGACTAATTTCATAACAAAGTCGTCAGACGTTACTAGAATAGTGGTACTTGTATATTAATCCGAAGCGAATTTTCATTCAAACTATTTTCTCTTAGGACATCTGATGTCTTTGAGTAGGCAGGACTCCTCCGTGACAAGACGGGTAACCAAAAATGTTGAAACATACGTTCTTTAATTGAAAACAAGCCTACAAATTTATGGATATTTTGGTGCAGTACTTTTACTCCATCAAAGGAATCGAAATCGGTGGTCGTTGTCGTTGCAATGGTCATGCTGACATTTGCCCCCCGGCCAATGACGGGTAATGTTGGTTTTTTTTTAAATAAGCGATCCACGTGGTCATAAATACTCAACTTATAATAAGTATTAAAATATTTTTTTAATACCTAACAGGGACCCGTACAAACTACTCTGCTCGTGTCAGCATAATACGTGCGGCTCGCAATGTGAAATCTGTTGTCCGGGCTTCGTCCAAAAGGTATTGCCCATTTTTCGCATTTGAACTCAATCACTGCTGCAGCAGCACAAGAACGGAAAGATTAAACAGAGTACAGTGATAATTGTCCGGTACATGTATTTATTTGAGGGTGAACCATGTTCAAAAGAATATAAATGGATGTGATTGTGACTATACTTTTGTGTGTTTTGTGTATCGAAAGGCGTGGCGTGTCTCTACAAATTCGTCTCCTTTTGTCTGCGAAGGTATTTATTTTATTGAAATATACAATAATTGAGAACTTGCTGCGAAGTCTGTTTTTGGTTTCAGCTTGCAACTGCTTCGGGCACAGCAATGAGTGTGAATACGACGAAAATGTGGACAATCAGAAGCTGTCGTTGGATATTGCTGGGAACTTTGATGGAGGTGGCGTCTGTAAGAATTGTCGGCATCACACGGAAGGCATTAATTGCAACAAGTGCCAAAGTGGATTCTTCAGACCTTACGGGAAACAGCCGGATGCAATTGATGCTTGTCAATGTAAGGCAACGAAATAAGTACAAAATTTTGAAAAAAGGTTTCTTGCTAGATGGAGTTTCATGATTGTTGTGGTGTATACAAACATTTAGCGTGTAACTGCAACTACCACTATTCCACTGGCAACTGTGAAGATGGTTCTGGTCGTTGCGAATGTTCTCCAGCATTTTTAGCACCAAATTGCGACGCTTGTAGCGTAGGCTATTATGACTACCCAGAGTGCAAAGTTTGCGACTGTCACCACAACGGGACGCGCGACAGCGTTTGTGAAGTGGGAGGGGGTCAGGTAATCAATTTATATACGTACATATCTGTACTTATCTGTTGATATTAATATAAATGGTTCCGTAATTCAATAATGTGTTCGCTTCAGTGTCCCTGCCTACCGAACTACACAGACAAGAACTGTGACAGGTGTGGAGATGGGTACTATAATTTCCCAGACTGCTTACGTAAGAACGTGTTCATTACAATATCATTACTTTCAAATTTTAAGTATTTTAAGATGAATTAATAATATGCAAATTCAGCTTGCCAATGTGAAGACTTTGGATCTCTGTCACCAGTGTGTGACCCGGAAAATGGTCAGTGCGAATGTGTCAACAATTTCGGTGGCAGAAACTGCGACCAGTGTGAGGATGGCTATTATAACTTTCCAACTTGCACATGTAAGGGATAATTTTTTAAATATGTAATGCCAATAATTTGTGAAGAATTACGGAATGATTAATCCAACAACATATAATTACCTGATATTTCCAGACTGCAAGTGCGACGTGCAAGGAACTCGTGAGGGCAGGTGTGACAAGATTTCTGGCGAATGCTTGTGTCGTGAAGGGTACGGAGGGGCTCGATGCGACCAGTGCCTTCAAGGTACTTAATTCGAGGGTCTACAAAACTCTAATTGTGATCTGATAAATCAGCAGCCATTGGGAGGAGCTAGTTAGGCAGACTGCTTCATACAGCGTAACATTTGACTTATCTTACAGGTTTTTACGGCTACCCGGAATGCAAAACTTGTAATTGCAGCTCAGTTGGAAGTGCAAGCACGGTTTGCGACACAACCGGAAAATGTCCATGTCTCCCTAATTTTTCCGGCCGTACTTGTGATCAGTGCACTCCTGGTTATTATCAGTATCCAGAATGTTTACGTATGTCCGATTAAATGATGAGAATTATTTTGAGTATCTAGTAATGTCTTCATGCAATGCATTTTATAGCGTGTAGTTGTAATGATGAGGGGGCGCGTGGCGTGTCGTGTGATGATGAAGGAAAATGTCAGTGTAAAAGGTGTGAAAATAACCAGAAAAACCGTAAAAATATCAGACTTCTAAAAAATTTATTATTATTCATAGCAATTTTGATGGACTGCGTTGTGAAGAGTGTCGAGGTGGATTTTATAACTGGCCTGCTTGCGAAGGTTTGTTATGAAATGCATGTTAGTCACTAATTATAAATAGTAAAAAATCATCACTTGTGCAGAATGCAACTGCGATCCTGCTGGAGTCACCGAATCTTTTCGAGGTTGTGGGGATTCGCCCCCGGGAGAACTCTGTCAGTGCAAGGAAAAGGTGGAAGGTAGGGTCGTGCCAATTCAAAGCCATTATTAGAGTAAGAAGTCGTGGTATTTAATATCAATCGTGTCATGCACCTATGCAGGTAGAATCTGTAACCAATGCAAACCGTTATATTGGAATCTTCAGCAATGGAACCCTGTGGGATGTGAAGGTAGGTCTGCATCACATATAATGCTCGGGTGTTTATGTCCAACTAAAATTAATTATTTTTCTACTACAGATTGTGACTGCCATGGTCCTGGAATTTTGGGTGGAGTGAGAGTCTGTGAGGGCAAAGATGGGCAATGTCCTTGCAAAAATAATGTAGGAAGCAGAAGATGTGAGCATTGTCTTGATGGATTCTACAACATGACCTCCAGAGATATTTTCGGATGCCAAGGTACGAGGGGAACTACGTTTAATATGCTGTTAGGAGGATGTTGTAACTACGTATTTAATCTGTGAGGGTTGTTTATTCTGTACAGATTGTGGATGTGATGTTGGTGGGAGTGTGAACAGCTTTTGTGACAAAAGCACCGGGCAATGTCCATGTCGGCCGAGGTAACGATTAATGCCAATTAATTTATGAAGTCGCATAAACTATTGAATAGTAATAATATGCGCTGTAATACCCTAGAATCACTGGACAACAGTGTACAGCGCCCTTGGTAGCCCACTTCTATCCAACCCTCTACCAGTACCAATATGAAGCAGAGGATGGGACGACGCCGAGCGGGGGTCAGGTCAGATTTGGGTACGATGAAAACCTATTTCCCGACTTTTCATGGAGAGGATATGCCGTTTACTCACAACTGCAGGTCAGTTTCTCAATGAGACGTTATTTTAGCTATTTAGAATATTAGTAAACGAAGTAAATAGTAAGAAAATTTATTTTCAGCCGGAAACAAACCATGAAATCTTCATTGACAAGTCATCTCTGTACTTTGTCATTATTCGGTATCACAATCCCAGCTCAGAAACAATTGTGGGAGAGATCAAAGCCGTGCCTGACAACCCTTCTGGTGAGCCGATTGTAAACCATTTCAAATTACTGAGAATAAAATGATCCACATATTTACTTAAAATGTATAAAAAACAATGAGCAGACAGGTTTATACGCAACATGAGTCGCAACTATTATTTCCTGCGTACACATGTGCAACAAAGAATCTTAACATGTCAATGTTTTGTCTTTTTATCAGATGAAATGCAAGGATACAAAGTGAGATTTGAGCCAAAATCTGGCTTTATCACAGTATCCATCGGAAATAGTCCTACGCCCTTCGTTCTAAATCCTGGTCGATGGCAGTTTTCAATCAAGAGTGACCAGTACTTGCTAGTGGTAAATGAACAGCCCCTAGAATAAAATATTTAGTGTACAGAGCGATTAATGTACATATTTATAAGAACTGTTTTCTTATTCTCAGGATTACTTCACCATTTTGCCTGAGCCGTACTACGAGGGCAGCGTTCTGTCACATTCTTCAAATGTTCCTTGCACTCTCAACACCACGGCTCGTAGTCGAACAAATACCAACACCATCATCATTCCAGACTCTTGTGCCAAATATAAGTTCCCGTCCATCGACAAATTCGAGTCGGTAACGGCGGCACAAGGATATTCTCTCACGGAAACAGGCGACAGAGCCGACCTGACCAAGTTCTATTCCGACAAGAGGGTTATTGACGCCTTGGACATTACTGAGGAGCGGATGGCACTGTTATCGAGTCAGCAGCCTCAAATTCACATGGACTTACCACTCAGCAATGGGGGGCGCTATGCATTGTTGCTAGAATATTTCACACCCATTGGAGCAAATCTTACCGAAGTTCAAGTTCAGACAACGTCAAACAAAGGCTCCAGCACTGGCATAGCTCTCATCCACAATTGCAAATATGGATTTCTTTGTCGCCAAGTTGTGACAACTGAAGATGGAGAGATTGCAGTTTTTAGGTTCAATTATACTCATTAAGACAATTAGTTTTGAATTGTTATTAATTATTGCAATTACTTTTAGAAGTGACAAGAGTTCCATGAAGATTGCTCTCAAGTTAGGAAACGGAGAGGATGGAAAATCTGTTGACAGAATTGCTATTAACAAAGTGACTGCGATTCCACTTGGAAGATGGTCGTTGGATCACATAACACCGAGAGAGTATTGCGTAGTGAAAAATGGGACTTGTGTCGTCTCTGGGTATGAATTACCTCCAGGAGGCATCAGGGTAAGCATGCACGTATAATTATTTGATAAAATGAAGCATAATTTTAAAGGAAATGCTACTTTGTCCAAAACGTTTGCTAGATTGAAGCCGAGTCCGCAGACAAGGACCGTGTCGTTGGGGAGGATAATTTGCCTGACGGTGTCTCGGGAAAGAATCTGGTGTTGTTGGATTCCCAAAATCGTACCGTACAAATGGGAGGAAGGGTCCCCATTTCGGGATATTACAACATTATAGTTCACTATTATCAGCCAGAAAATCCAAAGTTTGATGCTGGAGTAATAATTCAGGATGGCCAGCATTATCAAGCCAAAGTGCCAATGGTGCATTGCCCATCCATTGCTGGGTGTAGAGCAGAAGTTGCTCAGGATGATAAAAACACCAAATTTTACATCCAGGACAACTTTTTGGTAAGATTCAGAGTGGGCTTAATTTATATAAAAACTAACAAATAAGAAATAAAATAAGTAGTCCCTTCAAGTTTCACTGGTGTATGAATAATTGTAGTTTTGTGTTATTATTTTCAGGTGACTTTAAAATCTCCAAAGAATGTCTGGATTGATTACATCCTTCTAGTTCCTGAAGAGTCTCAGTCACAACGGGAAAATGGGAATCAACTCAAGAAATATTTGGTGAGGACTTCAAAATGAAATTGTTGCATAAATACATATGTAGATTATGTATAGCGCGATATTTTCATAATTATTTTTTCTACTTCGTCCTTTAAAACTAGTCACAAAGTCCTCTGGACGATACAAGGAAGTTTATCGCCGAGTGTGGAAAGAGTCATTTTCATCTCGCACCACACAACGTGTCACAATTTTGCAAAGACGCTGTGTTCTCCATTACTGCGGACTACAACAATGGTGCACTTCCATGTCAATGTGATTACTATGGCTCAACAGCTTTCGCGTGTTTGTAAGCAAATCGAAATACATTTCTTTTTACGAACGGTGTGGGGCTGACAAAATATGGTCTTAATTATTTACTACGTATAATGTTTTCAGGGAATTTGGTGGCCAATGTCCCTGTAAAGATAATGTGATTGGACGACAATGTTCAAGGTGTCGCACTGGATATTTTGGGTTCCCTGAATGCAAGCCATGCGATTGTCCATCTACTGCTTTGTGTGATGAAAATTCGGGTGAGTTAGAATTTTCGGGGTTGAGAGCTAATTAACAATACTTATTCTTGATGTGTCAAGGGGCTTGTATTTGTCCACCTCGAGTAACTGGCGAGAAATGTGACACTTGTTCTCCACTCACGTACGGCTTTGACGCACTCATTGGTTGCGAGGAATGCAATTGTTCCCCTCTCGGAGTGGAAAACGGAAACCAACAATGCGATCTTGATAACGGGAGTTGCTCGTAAGAAATTCAGTCAGTTATTTTTTTATGAAATGATCATTTGTGAAAATCTGTAGGTGTAAACCAAACGTTGTGGGGCGACAATGTGACAAATGTAAACCTGGATTTTGGGCCTTCCCATATTGCCAAATGTGGTACGTGTAACTACAATATTATATCTCTTAGTTCTATGATGAAAGTTTCGAAAATTGTTTCATTTTGCCAAAATTTACAAAAAATGCAGTGATTGTGACATTCGTGGAACTACAGAGGATATTTGTAGCCAGGTCAGTCATGTGGAAATCTGAATTAGAATAAATCAAAACCTATCAGTACAGCTTTGCTTAGCCCGAACCAGGAATGATTAGTAAACCCATGTTTGTCAGTAGTTTTCTATGAAATTATGTGCTACTATTTTGCACTAATTCTTCCATCAATCCTTCGTATTACTCTTAGAGTATTTAATAATAATATTATTAAAATATTAGTATTAATAATCCAATTTGATATTATTATTAAATACTCTAAGGTATTACTAGGCTCCAAATTCTAAAAATATTTACTATCCCTTCCCTTGACTATTCCTAGTGGAGGTCGTCTCTATAGCCCCCCTGGTTAATTTTTGTTCATATTTAACTTCATGTTATTTCGTGAAAAAGCAGTATGGATCTCTGGTTCAAATTTCAGCTTTCTATGTTAATTTCTGAAAATCGGTGGGGGTCACCCCATAGGGTCCCTCTAGATGAAAATTTTACCAATTTCACTTCATATTCTTCCATTAGGGGCCATTAGCAGCCTTTATACCAAATTTCAGCTCGATTGGATGATTTTGAAAAATCGGTATGGGTCACCCCCTCGGGTACCTCCGGTTGACAAATTTTCCAATTTCACTTCATATTCTTTCATTAGGAGCCATTAGCAACCTTTGTACCAAATTTGAGCTTTCTATGATGATTTTGAAATTTTGGTGCATAATACCCCACCCACTCCGATGACCCCCACCGGTCAACCACTGGACCAATGTCACCCATCTTCGAACTCGTTTCCTAACTTTGTCCAATATGCATATGGTAAAAATTTCAAGTCAATCGGTCAACTCGTTCGAGAGTTATCGAAAGACAGACGGACAGACAGACAGACAGACAGACAGACAGACGGACATGACAATTACATAAGCCCTGGTTCGGGCTAAAAATGCTAATAACTCATCACATTTTGCATGCACCCACAGGATACGTCAGCTTGCAATTGTAAAGTGAATGTAGAAGGTCGAAGTTGCGAACAGTGCAAGCCTGGAAGTTTTAATCTGCAAGAGGACAATCCTTCAGGTTTGGTTCTACATATTCAATATTGAGAAAAGTGCGGCGTTAATATTTTTCCCCTCTTATCAGGATGCACGAGTTGCTTCTGTTTTGGAAAGACGACACGTTGGTTAGTATGCTCTAAGTTATGCATTTCAAAATATCTACAAGTTTAGTCCAGCTTAGACTGACTAAAACCTACGAAATTGCACATTGACTTATCCTTAGCAGTAGTGAGACACAGAATTATATTTAATCTCAACGAAATTTCTCTTTCAAATTCTGTCGCCACACCTCAGAATTTCAACAATAATTAAAAACTCATTGTTTTCCTAGCACAACTTCCTACATGTTTTGGACTCAGATATCATTTGGAAAATCTCACTGGACGGCAGTGGCTCTGAATCCACACTCGAAGGACTCTAGCAATCTAGAAACAGGTTGGCATCCAAAAAATGAATTAAATACAAAATAACCGACACACATCATACTTCTGCTTAAAGGCATAATATCAATTTCGTAATATATGTACAAGTATTTCCAATTTCAACAGACTATCCCACAGAATTTGAACACAATGACCTTTCTGGCGAAGATGAAAACTCTTTCGCTCCTGTGTACGTACCCGACGATTCCGTACCAGAGCAGGATGAGAACCATCTCATCTATTTCCGTACAGAAGTGGACGCTAACCATTTGGCCAGTTTGGGGGGAACGCTGAGCTACACCCTAATTTCGGAGCCGGATAATGCCCATCCTCGCGAGACGTTTGCTGGCCCTGAAGTAATCTTGGAAGGGAACGAGTTGGCTCCTTCATCAGGAACTATACGGCTCATGCACTTTTCAATCGCACATCTCGATGGTGATCACACGATGCGGATGAATTTACGTTTAAGCGAGGACAGTTTTGTGGTGGCCAGCCATTCCAGCAGTGGAGGCCTCATCCCCGCCACGAGAGGTGCACTAGTTACTTGTTTAATAGTAGCTTAAAAATGATTCAGTTGATGGAGTTTGTAATTTTATTGTATCAATTTCAGATCAGCTCATGGTCGTGATGAAAGGCTTAAAAGCAATTTACATCCGAGGTGGATACTGGGAACATTCGAAAGAATTGCGATTAAGTAATTTTGGCATTGATGTGGCCACTGAGGACTACAACAATCAGTACGCCCAACCAGAAGATCGTGCCGTGACGGTGGAGCAGTGTCATTGTCCTCCAAACTATCAGGGCCTCTGTAAGTTATTGCCCAATAATAAGTTATTCGTATTTGCAGCAATTTTATATGCTTAATAATATGATGCACATATTTCAGCATGTGAAGAATGTGCTCCTGGGTATTACCGTTCCCCTTCCGGACCATTTGGTGGATTTTGTGTCCCATGCCAGGTTGGTATATGTAGTTTCCAAATTCTGTAGTCGGTATATGTATGCGTCAAGGACACTTGACGAAGAAATACATAATCTCATAGTCATACAGTGGCATACTTTTTACCAATTTTAGTGTAACGGACATTCAGACCTGTGTGACCCTGTTTCTGGAGTCTGCCTGGATTGCAAACACAACACGACGGGAGATCACTGCGACATGTGCGAGGAAGGGTTTCATGGGGACGCACATGGTGGAACGCCATATGACTGTCTGATCTGCGCTTGTCCCATTCCAATCGCCTCCAACAAGTGAGGAAACGTTTTATCCACATTTTGAATGCCAATTGACTTTCGAATGTTTTTTTATTTCTGGCACTAATGAATTTCAAATGAAAATTATAGCTTTGCTACCCAGTGCGAACTATCTCAAGATGGAAGAGCCATAAGTTGTACGTGCAAGGACGGCTATATCGGGCCTCGTTGTGAAGGATGCGGTCCTGGATTTTTTGGAAGGCATGTGCAAAAAATTAATAAAATAAGCTAGACTAGGATACAATTTCTAAATACCTAAATATTTCATCCTTATTGTCTAGGCCGGAGGTTCCAGGTAAGCAGTGACATATGTACAAGTATCATTGCATGTATGATTTTATTTACAACAACACTGTTCAATATTTTAGGCGATTTATGTAAACCATGCAACTGTTCGGGCAATATTGACCCCACCGATCCATATTCATGTGACAGTAAGTTATCACTTATCAAAATGGTTGGTGCATTACAAAGATAGATTCACAATGAAAGCCAAGCATTGTAACGAGCGTCGGGACGGTCGTACTTTGACCAATCCATAACGACCGATCGAATCGATAGCAAATCTTCTTTCTATTTTTAGCCGTGACTGGAGCTTGTCTGCGCTGCATGAACAACACGGGAGGCCCTGCGGTAAAATTCATTATTAGAATTTTTGGTCATTAAATAATTTGTAGTACAGTATTGCAATATTTTCAAAATACTGCAAACTACAATGTATAGTGTAGTGTTATAGTTTAAAGGAAATGCTTTTTTATTTATAATACAGTGTGCCCTTTGTGCTTCTGGCTTTTATGGGGACGCCTTACTCAACAAAAACTGTCGACAATGGTATGTCTCTTCTACTGGTTGCATGCATACATTTCTTAAATGTTCACGGAAACTAAATCCAACCATATATTATTAACTTAATTAGCGCTTGCAACAAATGCGGAACTGCAGAGTGCGATAACCAGCGCGGTGAATGTCAATGTTTGCACAATTTGGAGGGTTTTCTATGTGACCGATGTAAACCAGATCATTACGGATTGTCGAGGTGTGTGTTGTTTTCTCCTTGTGCAGAGATCTGACCCCAGTTCTAATCATTCTAAAGTATGACTAAACGTAACCTTTTATTTTTTATGCTTCAACAGGTGTGACGGACTCGGTTGTCAATACTGTGACTGTGCTATAGCTTCAAAATCCACACAATGTGACGATCTCACTGGCCAGTGCGAGTGCCGAGATGGAACTACGGGTCAAAGATGTGAGCGTTGTTCCCCCGGCTACTGGAATTACACTCAGGACGGATGTCAAGGTAAGGTTTTTCAAGATTTCTTGTCACTAATTGTCAGTATAATGAGTGTTATGTATGTTTCGATACATATGATCACAGCTTGTGAGTGTAACTCTGAGTACGCGATTGGAGTTGGATGTGACCCAGAGACAGGTCAATGTTCGTGCCTGCCTGGCGTCGTCGGAGAAAAGTGCGACCGTTGTCCATGGCGCTGGGTTCTTATCGAAGATCGTGGATGTCAAAACTGCGACTCTTGTCAACACCAACTTCTTGACGTTACGGATCATCTCGCAGCCGAATTGGACCCTGTGAAGGATGAATTCGAAAATGTGGCAGTTTCTTACTTCACTACTCAAAAATTGGCATATTTCAATGACACGGTGACTAAGTTGAAACCAAATGTTCAACTCATGGATCCATCAAAGGCAGACTTGAGCGAATATTACCGGGCAGTGGATGACCTAGAAACTGATGCTGCAACGCAAAGACAAAAAGTATCTATCCAAATTCTTAGGTTTCATATTTAATTTCATAAATTGTTGGAAATAATACTGTGAAAAATTACATTTCAGGCCGAAGTAAATGAAGACAGTCTGGTAAAGAAAGCCAAACAGAGCGCAAAATTGAGGGAAAAGTCATTTGAGGTGGAGTCCAATGTATTACAAGCGGTTGGAAAGGCAAGAGTTACCGTGTTTGAGGCGAAGGATTTGATGGAAGGACTCCTCAAAGAAGACAAACGTACATACATAACCCCTGAAATTCTATTCTGTAACATTTTATGAGTTCTATATCCTGTGAATTTCTATTTTATATAGCATCATCCAGTCCTCAAACAGACGCTGCAAAGGCAGAAGCAGAAGCAATTATTGCCTCCATGCAATCTGTAAAATTCGACCATAAACCTGCTATCGAAGAAAATGCAACAGTGACAACAGTGCTCAAAGACATGAAAAAGTTTGTTCGCCCACTGGACAAATTAAATAAGGATTTGGGCGCTGTTTCAAAGAACATTGCTGAAGCCAAGGACAAATTACGAGACCTGCGGAACCAAAGTGACTATTCCATCTCTACTTCCAGAAAAGCAAATGAAATTGGCAATAAAATCAAAGATGCGAAGTTTTCAGGTATTTTCTCATGTCAACAATAGTACGAGACCAATTGTAAAACATGTCTGCCTTGGATTAAATCCTGAGTATTCATATATTTAAGAGTGAAATATTTATATTTTTAAAGTGAAACTGGGGCTTCTGGAAGAGAAAGCGTCAAATATGTTGGAATCTGCAGCGATTGCAACTGAACTCAACCTGGAAACTCCAAAAATTCGCCAAGCACTTGAAACAAGCTATGATGAATTAGGTATATGTTAAGTTTACGCTGATGAAGGTATGATTAACTGACTAGAATTGTTTGTGCGCCCTGTATTAGATACCACGGTTGGTAATGTGATTGGAAATCGTGGCCAATTGGACGAGACTGTGAACGCCTTGGTTGCGGAGCTGGAACAAAATGAGAACACGGTGACAAAATCCCAAAGCCATGCAGCCCAATTAGCATACGAAGCCGATGAATTAGACGCAATGTTAGCTGGGACAAAAGCTCATGCCGAGTAAGGAAATATTTATATAATTAGCAAATCAATGTTGATGAATTTAAGCAAATTATTTAATTAGACAATAATGTTCTTAAAAAATAATTTATTAAAATACATGCGTTGTGGCTACTCGTAGTGTTGCAGTGGGTGCGGCGACTGCCTATAAGACCATTGCGGACTCCTTAAACGAGGCATTGAAGGGAGCTGACATGTCGAAGGGGGCGGCAGAAAATGCGACCGACGTTGTAAGTTATAATATAATTTTGCAAATCACATCCGATTTATTTGCAATGTTTTTCATGTGTAACAAAATGTTCCCAAAAGATCAACAGCTTGGATAGTGCTGAGGAATTTACGGCGGAACCTTCCCGAAATCTGTTGGTCATGGCTGCGACGTCTCAACGACAGGTGGAGAACGACCTAAAAATTCCATTACGGGATGCACAGAGCACATTGGCAAATGTTGAAGGTGCCAATAACATCACGGCCTACACAATCTCCAACTTTGCAAAGTGAAATTTCTTAATTAATGCACGCTTATTTTAATATTTAAGATACAATTTCATGACATGCATAACATGACGATACATACTGTTCTGTAGAGAATTGGACAAACTTTCACTGCCAAGAGATACCTCAGATATTACACGCTCGGTTCGGACTTCCGACGAAGCTCTGAATAAGGCACAGGATGTTGAAGATGAAGTTCACGCAATTGTGGAAGCGTTGCCCGACCATTCAAATAGCATGAAAAGACTTCGAGTAACAGTGAACGAATTGAATTCAGGAACGGGGATTTCAGACTCACAACGTGAGTTTGGAATATTTTTAGTACGATGCACTTTGAGTGCTGTAATTAATCCGAATTAATTGGTATTTCAGTGAACCAGGCCAAAGACTCAATTCCTCTCTCGAACGCCATCAGAGGGAATCTAGAAAACTTGAAACCAGGTTTTGAAGACAAAAAGAGTGACGTGGGTGCCAAGATTTCAGATCTGAAGGCTCAAATTGCTGCTGCAAGGGAGCAAGCTAACCGTGTCCCCGTAGGAATGAATTTACAAGATTCGTCTACCCTCCTGCTCGCCAATCCTCAGTCCCTCGAGTCTCAACAAGCGCAGACAAAAGTGTCATTCTACTTTAAAACGCAGGACGATGGCCTAATTTTCTACAGTAAGAAGCTGCATATATGACATGCAAGCGATGATTCCTAAATTATAATATTCACTGCAATTTAGTTGGAAATGAACCTGGAAAGAAGGAGGAAGATTTCATGTCTGTCGAGGTTGACCGTGGTTATGCTGTGCTAACCCTGGACTTGGGATCTGGGCCTCAGAGGATAACAAACGAGAAGTATGTTGCGGACAACCAATGGTACAAGGCCACAGTGGACCGATCCGGAAAAACAGTGCGGTTCACAATCGCTCAAGATCATAACGGGCGATTAGAAGAAACTGTCAAGGAAGATTATCTTACAGGTAAACGATTTAACAGAACATACATCAACTTGAGTTTACCACGTAAATCGAATTATTCAAATTGAATACCACGCAATGTCTAAGCATTTGCTGGATTTACTTTTCTGTTTTTCTAGATGCTTCTGCCAAATTTGCCATTTAATTAAGAAATTATTTTTTATTTGTGCTTTGCAGGCTCAAAATCACTATTCAATGTAGATAGCAACTCTTCCAAGCTTTTCATTGGTGGGTTGCCTCCAGGCGTGGGTGAGTGATTGTAATGCGGTTTTATTTTATTTAACCGCTCATATATGCACAATATTAAAATATGTAAGTTTTAGTTTAATATACTATTCTGTTGTTTTAGTGCGCAGCCCGGTTCGGTACTCCACATATCGTGGTGCCATAGAAGAATTAATGATTGGAGATGAAAAAGTCGGATTATGGAACTTCAAAAATGCCCAAAACGTCGCTCCCGCAATGGAACGAGATAGATTCATCGACCTTCACACTGAAACCGGACTTCGATTCCAGGGCAATGGATATGCTATTCTAGATAGGAAACAATTCCCCTTGAGAGAACGATCAGCAATTACGTTCAGATTCAAAACACGCTCTAAAAATGGTCTAATATTCCTCGTTGGGAAAGGAAGGAAGTATATGGCCATCTACATGGGTAAAGTATTCATTAAGAATTAGTCTCTAAATTCATCAAGTTACATAACGTGTGAATACATATTTATAATTGGGAAACAAGATTTTAATCCTCGTTAATTTTTCAGCCAACGGAAATGTGGTATTCCAATATGATCTTGGTGGAGGTGCGGCCTCCTCACGAACTGGTCAAGTTTACAACGATGGCCAATGGCACACCGTGGAAAGCGTGAGGTACCGACAGAGAAGTCATTTGACCGTTGATGGAGAGAGAATCGGAGGGGAAAGCCCGGGTCTTCAGACTACTTTGGGGGTGGGCGACTACATGTATTGGGGCGGGTATCCTGGCGAACATGGTTATCCAGACGTCAGTAATAGAGCCTTTGAGGGCTGTCTGGAACAAGTTGCGATTGATCAAGCACCAGTGGACTTGACACAAGCTGTGGAGTCAAGATATACTGTTGTAGGCTGTCCATCGTCACAATTTGCTCCGACAGTGGCCACTTTCTTCGGTCAGGGATATGTTCAAGTTTCTTCAGCGGATTCGCCCGTATCTGGTATTTCAAGTTTTCATTTGCTGAATATCATATACTTGGTTGGCGAACAAACTGTTGATAAATCTGTTATTCTGTCCTAATTAGGTCCCGTTGTAGTTACGAAGGATGATGCATTTGAAGTCAACTTCCGTATGCGGTCCAATGATACCAACGGTCTCGTATTTTACGGAACAGACGCTGACCAGTCCAACTACCTCTCAGTGTCCTTGAGTGATGGTTCCCTGGTTGTGAAGACTGATCCGGGTGGCTCAGAAATTACGACCGATGCATTGAACGATGCTGAATGGCATGTCGTCACTGTAACGAGAGACAATGGCAAACTCGTTGTTAATGTGGATGACGATCATGAATATGTGTAAGTTGTTTAAAAAACATTGCTGATTGATTGTTTATTTTGAAATTATTTAGGATTAAAAGTAATATCTAATTTAATTTAAATTAAAGTGAGAGTGCACCAGGCGGTCCCATCCAACTCGGTACGCCTGGTTCTATTTTGCTCTTTGGAGGTCGACCGGACGATTACGATATTCGTTCAGGAGCTGCAGAGTCGGATCGTCCTTATTCTGGTTGCTTGGCGGACATTAGCATAAACGGAAAGCGGCTGGATTTCACCGAGTCCGATGTCAAGGAAGCTTCGATTGGTCAGAAATGCTTCACTGAGCAGGAGAAAGCAGCCATGGCTTTGGAAATGAGTGCACCAGAAGCTGCCGGACGAACTATTTCTAGCCAGGATGAAGATGAGGAGGATGACGACAGCATTTTTGGTAATATAAAATACGTATAAATATTTACATAGCTATGCACTTGCACTACATATGCATGTGAGGACATGAAACTGGTTGTTATTCAACAAATTGGTTCATGCATTTTCTAGGTTCACGTCCTTCCGCCACCCCCTCACCAACCAGAGTGCCGGAACATCATCATCACCACCCAGCTCCGGAAGAACCAAACTACGATGCTGTAGACAAGCTAACCGGAGGGGAAGTAGGAAAGGGTGACGACGATTTTGATTTCCCAGAGTCAGAGGAAGAGGACGAGAAACCAAAAAAGAAATTGGACGATGAAGTGAAACCTACGCCATGGTAATTTTTCCTTTGCTCATCAGTGGACGCCAAACTATGTTATCAGTTGCCGGTGTCCCATGGGGGAGGCCGGGATTGTTGTATTTATGTGAATGAAAGCTACATGGTAAACATTGGCTCACTTTGTTGCAGGATGAAATGCGCTTTACCATTTAGAGAAGTCCCGAAGGCTGATATGACTGAGGATGTCGACATGGACGATGGTATGAAACTGTGTGCATGTTATATAAGACATGAGTATACACTGTGTATAATATATTATTGAGCATTGTTTGTGAAAGTGAGTTATTGAGCGAGAGATTTTTCAGGGGTCATGTTTGGAAGCATGGATAAAACCTCGCGACTCGAGTACTTTCAACCAAAAGAGGATGGTTCGAGATCGGAATATCAAATCCAGTTTAAGACGAGCTATGGGAGTGGGCTCATCTTCATGTGGACCGTTGTTGAGAAGCCGGATTACATTGCACTCTTTTTGAGAAAGGGATTCCTCCACTTTGCTTTTGATTCTGGAGCAGGTCCCGCATTCCTCAATTCCACAGTGATGTACAACGACACCCAGTGGCACAACGTTAGCGTCTCCAGGTGCTGCAACCTCAATCATCTCAATAAACTTATACGCTGAGAAATAGCACAAAATAAAGCAAAAATAATAAATAACTAAATATGTGCGTACAATAATACGAACTCTATAATGTACAGATTCGAGAAGCAGGGAACCCTTGAGGTGGATGGAGCCGTCATTGCAACAGGAATGTCAGCCGGAAGCACCACGGCAGTTAACGGTGGAACTACGATTTTTGTCGGGGGTCTTCCTCAAGACGCGTGGACCAGGATCCTCACCTCGAGAAAACTGTTGAATGTTAACACTCCTTTCCGCGGATGTCTTCGAAAGTTCAAAGTAAGAAGTAAAGCTCCACCTGCCCCCAGAGTAGCTCATTCAGTGCACGCATGTCGGGATCAGGTAGAGCAGGGCATGTTTTTCTACCCGAATGCTGGATACTTAAAACTGGGTATGATCCAGATAAAATGTTAAAACATACAATTGATCTGTACCTTTAACTGCACATGAGTAATATTGCCTGGTGATTATTCTCTCATAGCGGATGAATTCAAGGTGGGTCGTCACATAAAGTTGTCGATGAACATCAAACCTCGTCATCCGTCTGGAATATTGGTGGCGGTTCATGGCGAAAAAGACTTTATGGTTCTCCAGCTGGTCAACGGAACGGTCAAGTTTAGCGTCGACAGTGGGAAGGGCGTGCAGTCATCCTCCTTCCAGAAAGAAACGTATGACCTTTGCGATGGAAATTGGCACACGATCCGAGGTAACGATAACTTTTAATTTGCAGATAGCACATCGTCAGTCTTGGTACGATAAACATAATGTGAGCTTTTCTTACTATTAATGTGTTTGTAATTTCAGTAACAAAATCCAAGAACGTTGTCACGCTGGCCTTGGACAAATTCCACTCCAACCCAGGGATTGGACCTGCTGGAAGACTGATCACAGGTAAGTAAACCAAATGCCTGCAGATACATATGTTGCATATTATGCGCTATTTATTAACCATGTCGTCGTTTGTATCCAGACACAAATGGTCCACTCTATGTTGGTGGACATCCAGACCCCACAAGTTTCAAAGGGATAGAGACCACTGACCAGTTTGTGGGTAAGTGCGTCATGAAACGTCCCCTTTTATATATTATTTAGTAACTGCGCAATTCTAATGCAAACTATTTTTCAGGTTGTATGAAAGATTTCATGATTGAAGGAAGACAATACAAGCTTGATTATGAATCGATTGTGGGAACAGTTGGACTCCACGGCTGTCCTTCCGATTAATCTTCAACTGCATCGATCGCAATATTCTAGTTGATTTATTTGTTACTCTTCGCTATTTTTTACTGGATGAAACCTTAAACTCCGTTGATTTTTTTATAATTTATGATTTATAATTTAGTGTAATTTATTATTTATGATATTTATCCCTTTGTTTGGTTACCAGTTAGTGATGTTTCCCAAAGCTGCAAGAAATAAGCTACTAAACTGCCGTTATGATGTAACATACATATAAATAAAGTATATGCTACATACATATAGTATAGATACGTAGTAAATAAATCTTGTAAATCTCGTAAAATTCAACGTTTTTAAATGTTTAAGCGGTTGGGAATAAATACATTACCATAATATACGTACAAATGATTTAATCGTTTGTCCTAATAATGACTCTCGCTTAATTGGCGTGCATAGGAAGTGATTTTTTATTTTGGTGGAGTTTGCGAATATGTACAAGATTTATGCTTTGATACCTTTAAATAAGCATCTTCAAAGTGCAAAAATATATTTATTTTTAATGCATTTTATTACAGTATTCTACAAAAAGACATTATATAGTTAGACCCATTGTGCTGAGCAAAGTACATAAATTTCGATTCAGTAATATGAAAAATAAACCGTAAAAACCAATTTTATAATCCGTTCCGTTAGTGAAGAAAACTTGTCCAGAAACATGCAAAAACTAGATACTGAGACCCCTGAAGCCCATCAGATATGGGTCTCTGGGACGATAAGGATTTGTGTGGAGTTGTCATTTCTTGTGACAAAATGACCCGCTTTTGTCTGTCCTAGTTCTAGTTGAGGCGATTCACGTCCAAAATCAATTCTCGATCTGCCAACAACTTTATTCGAGTCGTCCTGTCCCTGCAGCTGCATTTGAACTCTTCTCAAGTTGCTGCAATTATTGTTGTTACCGTCTTGAGCGTGGGAAGGTCGAGACTCGCAGTATCTCCTCGACTTTCTGTGCTGATAAGCTAAATCGCGCATTTCTCTGAGGAATGATTCGTCATTGAACTCTGACCCTAAAAATGTAATACAATGTATGATATATTAATAAAAATTAATCATTGTTTTTTAAACAAAACCAAATTTTTATGTTCCTGGTTGTATATTTGAAAATAAATATGGGAATGAAGATATACCATAATAGGCAGAGTCCAAATCTGACGATAGGTGCAGAGAAGCCGAAGTTGTCTCATCAGTTGTGGGGGGAGGAGGTAGTTGAGGGGACCCAGCTTTCCACCTCGTCGGAAATGATCCTCCCTTGCTTCCACCACCTCCGATCATGCCAAGACCTTGCTTCCCATCTTTGTACAGAGAACTGAGACGACGTCGAATCCCTTTCACCACCTTTTGTGATTTCTGGTTACGATGGTGGCTACTTCGACTCTTGACATTCCGTACCGTTTTTCGTCCCGAAAATCCTACACATTTTCCCACCCTGTCACCACCCAAGCTGCTCTCGCTGCCAGAAGACTCGTGGGAGAAATCATCAGATTCTTCTGTTGGGTCCTCAGTTTGGGATGGAGTTTCAGAATTCGAGTCGAAAATTTCCGTGACAGCCTTTTTCTTAGATTTGTCCTTGTGCTTTCGATTTTTTCCTCGAAGAGATGGTGGTGCACTTCTGGGACGGTGGGATTTGTTTTTGTTGCTGTCGACATAGACGATGTAAACGCCGTCTGACTTTTTTCGCTGGAGTTTATTTTTGCCTCCCGTCCCACCCCCGTCTCTTCCAGAGGACGTGTCAAATGAATTTTTACCAATCGATTCGTACGTTGTATGCTCTGATCCATTGCTTTGATTATTTTTGTCTGCAAAGTGTTGGAGAATTTTGGCGACATTTGTTATGTCCGATTTCGATAACACTTCATTTTCTGTAGTCACCTGTGTGGTGGGCAGTGGGGGAAGGGGTTTGTTGTTGTTTGGTGGATTGAGTCCGTTTGTTCTTGAAAATCCCATCGGTGGGTTAGATCTTGAAGTGAAATTTTGGTTTGCAGCATGAATATTATGTTGCTGTCCATGTTCCAGATAAGGAGGAGACGTTGACATGGGTGGCACGCCTTTGCTTGATCTTCCCTTCACAACAAATGCATAAAGTGCCATCCCAATCCCGCAGAGGAGGAGGACGATGAGCCCACCCCCTAAACCCGCAGTTGCCATTTTCTCCGCACAGCTCATCGGGCTAGAAATTGAACGGCCTTGGTTTCCATTAAATTCTGCATTAAAACAAAATATTTGTAGTATTTGGTTGGTTGGTGGTCACAAATTTTATAAAAATATGTACATACCAGTTGAGAAATCTTCTTCTGTCAATGATGAAGACTGATCTTTGAGCCCAACTACACGAATTGCCATCCTTGAATCCCAGTCATGGATGATGGCACTGGCATTGGTTATTTCCACGGGGGACCGCTTAGATCTTGATATGCCGCAACTTTTCTAAAAATATTAATATAGATAAGCACATACACAGGGATATTATTTTAACTTATATATGCACGTTATTTTTTAAGCCAGGTATGTGTATGTATTTACAGGGAGACAGTCGACGTCATCTTGGCAAGCGTGTACTTTTGCAGTCACAACTAATGGCTCGTTTGCTCTTTGACCCCTGAGAATAAATTCATAGGAAAATACAAACCAACAGCGACAATAAAGTAAGTTTTTGAACAACTAACCGGAACAAGAAAGCTTTAAAGTTGAAATGGTTAATGAGGTCGTTTCTCGTGTCTTTGAGTGGGTGTCGATCTGCAATAACCTGTAATCGTAGAAGACATATATTAAGTGTTAGTAATATACAAAGTCTCAAATTGCCTCAACTACTTTCACTGCCAAAAAGCTACTGTTGAGATATGTACATATAACCAGTCTCACCTTGTACTCATCATTTCGACATCCTTGACTATCAACAAGTGTAATTACTTCAGACGCGTCGTTAGGATCCAAATTGTCAATATTTCCTCCTGGAGTATCTCGCATTCGCCAAACTTTTACGTCGGATAACTTTGAGTGCTTCCAACCTTTGCGCATTTCCAATATATGTCAGCCTTCTTCATTTACAAATATTCGCATACATGGATAAGATCAGGAACCAAAATTGCTACCTTACCATCTCCTCCCCTAACAATGCTTCGCATTTGAAGAGGTTCTCCAAGCTGAACTACGCCCCCAGAGTTGACACGTTTCACAAACAGGCCGTTGGCGGAACCTGGGTTTTGTCGAAAGACGCCCACCTCTGCAGCAAAATCGTTCCCACCTCCTTCCACAGTGGAGGAAGATCGACGCTGATCCCTATTTACACGCATATAGTTTACTTTTATTATATAATTTCCATATTGCTTCAATATTCCAAACGCTGGTAAAAAGATCGTGTTTTTACGTACAAAGAGTCTCCAGCAAAACTAATGGTCCTCGTGTCTGCCATTGTGCTTTTCTGTGGGAGACACTTTATTGTAGTGACCTCATCATCTGCCAGTGCTAACGCAGGGACTCGAGGGAATACCATTGTCAAACACATGTACTGGAAATTAACAATAATTTTAAAATTGATTTATACGCATCATATCATCCGCATCGCATAATGATCGCATGCAATAGAACAAGATTCTCTAATTTAGCTCACATCTCCACACGTCTCTACTCCACACCCTCGAAGGTCCGTAACGGTCATATGAAAGACGTCATCCGAGCCAGGGACATTTTCCATGTGACACTCATTTGATGTGAGGGGATCTTGAGGACGGTCCCTAATAACAATTTTAATAATAATAAGTAATTGGCGGATAATTATAATTAGCATATTCCTTTAGGGTATGGATAATACGGTTTATTCCAATTCCAATATGCCAACTACATTACAATTATATGTACAACATACCTCACGTATGGTTGGTGGTAGCCACTCTTCATATGGATTGTTGCACCTGAAACATATAGCTTATGGTCAGTTGCAATGCTATCCCAGGTGAAAAAATTAAGGGATTTTATGCATAAATTTGGCTGGTTTTTATGCAGAGAATTGGCTGGATTTTATGCAGAAAAATTTATGCCGAAACAATTTGTGCACAAAATGTGCAGAATTATGCATAATTGTACAAAACCTTTCTGCAGAATATACTTGTCAGAAGTTTTATGCAGAATTGTTCATAATTTTTCTGCATAAACCATTGGTCCGGGCAGTTGTGTCGAATTATGTCAAATTCGACATACGATTTTCACTCGGGATGCCACTTAATTGATTAATTCATAAATTTTGGCAATAACTCACCAAAATACTCTCGTGTCCGGGTTTTGAAGCATTTGATATCAGAGAAAACGAAATCTAAAAGGAATGACATCAACATCCTTGTTAAATGTACATGCACACATTAACTTGAATTTTGCATGTAATTTTGCATGAACATCAAGTGCATTCGAGTGGATAATATGCTAAATATATTACCAGTGATAATGTTTGGGTCTTCTTGATGGACAGACCTCTCATCGCTTGTGGATTCTACGGACTCCTTCACTTTGTCCCTAAGTCGGACCCTCACTCGTTTGTTGTTGTCGGACTGATGTTCGCCATCGCGGAGTCGAGATGGAGAAGACCCGACGACGTGGGAGCCAGATTCTCTCTCTCTCGACGTGGTGTGGACCCTGGCTCCCACCGGAGTTATTCGAGTTCGGACAACTGAAGGTGGATTCGACTTGAGAGGAAGCGCTTTTGAACAAAATTAAAATTATGAAAACCAATAATTGGAAATTAGGAGAATCTCCTTAGACATATTTGGAACATTCATTTTGAATTATTAAATTTTCTATGTACGTCATCATACTCACTCCATTTCAACCAAGAAGAGGAGGATGAGGAAATATAAATTGCACATGCATGATGAACTTTAAACTAGTAACAATAATTCAGTAAATCAGCTAATATTTCGTCACTTTCTCCTCATATAAATATATTTGGACTTGATGTAATTTTTCAATTGAAATTTCGACTGTATATTTCTTGCGATTTTTTAAATTGATTTATTTGAGTAGAAACTGAATTTAAAAATTCTGCTGAATTTGTTTGTTAACGTGTATTATGAATGAAATAAAATAGCATTTCACGATTACTTGACTTTTGGTAACTTAGGATAGCGTTGACGCCAGCATTGTACTTGGGAATTGTTTATTAAAGGCAGGCAAGCAACATTGCTGCCATTTATTTCCCTTAATAAATTGTTTACCTTAACGAAATATGAATTTGTTAATACGCGTCATTTACCGTTAAACAATTTCCTCCCGACACTCTCAATCTCGGGGGGTGACGGTGGGAAAATATCTTCCGGTGGGGCTGGAGGGAGCAAGTCCTCCTCTTCTCCAGTACCTCCACCGCCTCCGATTATGGGGACCACTGTGCTAATCGGGGAAATCGGCGTCGGTGGTCCAACTGGTTGAGGTGGCGGTGCGACTGGACCTGGTTCCACTGTATCTGGAAATGTAGGACCTGGCTCTGGTGGAAATATAATTGGAGGCAGAGTAGATTGTCCGGTTGGAACGTAGTAACTTGTCACTGTGGGCTTCATGTTGTAGTTGTTATTCCCTCCACCATAGTTGCCGTAATGAATTGTTGGTTTCTCAGTGTTCGGGAAAATAGGCATTGGTCCTGGACTTGGGTAGATGGGAGGAGGGGGTGGCACTGGACCATAATTGTTGTTGTAGTTCGACGAAATGACGCCTCCATTGATTAATTCCTCGTCGGAATAGTCATCGCGTCTCATATTTCCCACCCGTTTTGAAATATGGTCCACTTCTCTTGCCCTGCTCCCAGATTTCGATATGTGAGGGGACGGGTTTCTTTTTAGTATCGTTGTCGCTGTTTTTGACAAACCCTCCAAAATTTTAACACTGCCAGAAGAAGAACTCGACGTTCGATTTACAGATTTTGTATCTTCTTTCACTTCTCCAGACATCTGAAAATGTGATGAGAATCGGTTGCGAAGATTGCTACTTGATTTTATAGGCGTTGGACCAGGATTCGGGCCTCTACTCGATTTTATTACGTCTGAATCTGACATACAATCGGTAAAAAGTGCAGCACACACAACCACAAAAAAAGTTAGATAATGAATCTTCTCCATGTTTTACTAATTTAATATATACACGTTTTTATAGCGAAAATTCACTTTGGAGAATATCAAGGGATAATTGTTTCATAGCATTTACTACATATTAGTAAAGTGCTAAAATCACAGGTCGAGAACGAATAAGGAGAAATTCCACTGTAGTTGACAACCTGGTGCGCACTGAGTGGCCAAGTCCGGTTTGATGGAGTTATCTCAGAGACCGCTTAGTGACCCATTAAACGCTTGGTTTGAACGTGGTGTCCTTATAATTTTCAATACCAAGTTCTCATCAACCAACAGTCTCAACAATACTGATCGGCCATGTCCACTGCACATTATTGTGATTGGGATGAAGGGGTTGTTTGCTAGTGCCATCATTCTGTGTCATAACATGATGCATAATATCACCTCCTATTTTGTGCAGGACTGTTTGTAGGAAAGGTTTCAGGAGTATTTACAAGAGGTTTGCATGCGTAGGATGAGTAAATGGATTACGCAGGCTTGGTTGCTTTCTAAATCAGTAAAAGTGGTGCAATAAAGCTAAGTTTATTGTGCCTTGACTTCTGCGGTGCACATGATGATGAGTGAAAATGGGGATTATTGGAGCGAATTTGCGTGGGGGCTAGGATAGATATTTATGAAACAGACTTTTGGTTGAGGTATGAGAAATGACACTCAAGGGAAAAGTTGAGAACTGCCTTTTAGGACTTGCAGCTAAGAAATTCGATATTTGACTTGCAACTTGAAGGCTCCATTATATCTAATCACATAAATGACACAAGTTAGCTGCACTTTACACTTGTTTTGGTGCTAAATTTACAAGAAACAATTGTGTCGACATTCATAACAAGATACGCTGTAAAACTAAGTTCATATTGAGAATTTCTAGTTAAAATTTTAATTAAATATATTAATATGTTAATCTGATGGCCATAAAGCCATTGATAAAATAAGAACAATGTTTTTTGGACGTGGGTTCGATTTTGCTAATACATAAATGATATGTATATATTTAGGTTTTACAGATTTGTACATAACCAAGTGGTGGTTTCTATTTGGTGGGTGTATTTAATTTGAATTGTATGTAAACTATTTTTATTATAATATTCACTAATTTAATTTACAGTAAAGATTATAATTGGCATCATGATTCTTCATCCCATTTAATAGAGAAAGCTGATATTTGGTTGATAAATGGTTAAATTTTAGTGCTACTGATGACACGGTTGACCACATGCTAAACCAATGTCGGTGTGATGCCATTAACACCGTCGGGAATAGTTCACTCAATGTCTCAACTTGACAACTTCAGCAGATCATAAATTTTGGGAAGATGTTGCTACAAAGGTTGAACACGTTTTACAGCATGTTGGAATGTTAGTGAACGAAGGGTCTCCTTTCCGTATTCTTGTACATAATTGAATAGTGCATACGAACGAGTATGCATAAGTACGTACATGAAGGACCAGGTAAGAGTTGACTTCTTCACCGTCCTAACCTTAAATTAGAATTTGTCTCACATTCCTTCCCAACTCACAAGGGTGCAATTTCCATTCCTCCTTCGGTGAGAAAGTGAAACAATTAAGAAGTTGTGGAATTTGAGTAAACGAAAGCAAAAGTTGAAAGCACTGGAAGTCTTGTCCAGATTGTGTTAAATTGGGTCTCATGAGATTAAAGGAATGCATTTATCTAGATCTTTTACTCCAAGTTTACAAACTATTTTCGGCCGTTAAAGTTATGTCTAAGGTTAACAAACAGAAAGATTGTGCATTTGAGACTGATTTAGATTTCTTAAGGTCAAATTGAAATACAATGGAATATTTAAATATGCAAAGTTTTCGTAATTTTTCATAATTTTGAGGAGACGGTTTTAAATAGCTTATTGATTGGGGTCACTTGAATGAATCGGACACTGAGACCCTGATACGAACAACTAACCAATGATTGAGAAACCTTTGTTTCGAAATAACTGGGGCAAATAACATCACGAAATGTGGGGAAAGGATTACAGATTTCTGTCACTGCTCTTTCTAGTCACATCGGATAAAGGAATTACATAAATGTTGCATTAAGAGTATAGGCCGGGTCGAGCTCGTATTGGAACAAAATGCTACAGAAACAGGTTGGCTAGTAAATGTTTGTTCCCTAGAATATGGTCGACTTCAAATTCATATCAATTATCGTAAATGATGCATAAAAGTAATTACAAAAGTGCATTAGTCCAAATTAATGTACCGCTTTGTTGACAGATAGATACTCGCGTAGCGAATGTGGATTAAGTTGTAGCATCATAGCCTGCATTTGCGGTGATATACCAATTTCCACGTATTTTTCATTGAGTCATCGGAATCACAATATTTATTATTATTATCATAATAATTTATTTTATCATAATATTTATTACTTCATCTGTTAAATTTATTAAGTCATATACTTAATCAGCAAGTGAAATCGTCATATGTATGTGATTTAACGCAGCTTGTGACGGAGAAGTTTTGAGTACTGAGCTTTTCCCAGTCTTCTGCTGGTCCGTTTCTTGGAATATTTCGCCTATATTTTGTACTCCACCTCGACCTTGTGGGGGGCAGAGGGCGAAATCGGGTTCCAAAACTTCGTTCGTAACTTTGTTGGTGATTTTTTCGTATTAAAAAAATTTCGTCTAGCGGGAGCGATGTTTTCAATGCTTGAAATTTTGTATTCGGTTTGCATGTGTTTTATTCAACTACAAAACTCGTTAAAATATTTAGTACGGATTGTTTAAATTTATGGAAGCATTTCATTTTTATGATTTTCTGGGAGGCTTTATTAGTTAAAGCTTCCATATTTTGTTATCCGCAAAATAGTGGCTGTTTCATGGAACAATTGTAAACAGCCATCTGTCCTGGTAGACCTTGCAATATTTATGTACGATGTTATTTTGCTGCCTTCGTGGAATGATGGGGTTTGGAGTGGATTGGAATGGAATATAAATTGCACTGATTTTCATAATCACCACTATGGAAGCATACGTAATTAGTCAAAGTTTGTGTGTCTAACCACAAATGAGGTTCAAGTTCTACACATTAATTCTAAGAACCATGCAAAATGCACGTCAGTAGTACTGACTCAGTACCAGTTTGGTGCTTTTGTGTTTATGTAATTTTCTCGAATGTCCTCTTTGACGCATACCAACAAATATTTTCGTGGTCTTGTCACAGGTGTAATCTAAATAAATACATATCATGGAGAACAATACATATAATAACCATAGTCTGAACCAAGAGTTATTCATTAATTCATAGCAAATTAATTGCAATAATAATTAATTTACGTTATGGACCCAGAGTTACGATACGTCGAATGGATAAGAAAGTCAGTGTTCTAATCGTTACTTTATGGGCTAAATAATTGTGTGAATCAATTGTCATTCATCTCGCTAGTCAAACATTTTCATCATCAATGAGTCATTGAGCATCCGACGCTAAACAAAAATAGTTACTTTTTACTCTGACAATAGAGAAGTGCCGTTCGATGAGCTACATAAATAAAATAATATGCTCAAACTAAATAAAAGATCATGTGTCTAACAAAGTTAACAAACACACTTTTATACTAATATGCAAATATGCATGAACTACTCATAGCAAAGTTGTGTCATCGCGTTTTGTAAAAGTTGCTCTGTAGGTAGTGTGTCTGTGTTTTCTTACGAAATCTTAAACTGCAAGATTTTTTTTTCGCCAAAATGTGTGATTTGTGTTTAGGAATTTTGCTAATAATTTTAGTGCAAAGTTCAACTAGATTTTCCATATCAGCAGATCATAATCATGTCGCTGAAGCTGAGTGTGCAATTCTCAGTGTTTATGACAAACGAAACCAATCAGTAAGTCATAGTTCAAATGAAGTTGAACAGCACTGTAATCATCGCAATGTCACAATTAGCTCAAATTATCTCAGTCGAGCCGATTTTCTGTCACAAGTATTCGGAACATGTTTTATTCATGGAAATAACCTCACTATCAATGTCAAGGAGAATTGTGCACTTACAACGAACATTGGAAAGGAAGAAGTGGTATATGAAACGGGAAGCCAAAATATCGTTGCGATTTCGGTATTTTGATACTATATCAATTTAATACAAAATTCTGTAACCAAATTTAAAAGATCTAAAGCGGAAATGTTTTCAATATTGTACAAATGTTCTTGTATTATAGAACTTGTCGTCCTTTGTAATAACCTCGTGTCAATGTGCCCAGTTCAAAAATGGTTCAGAGCTGGTTGGAATAATATTCTCACCATACGATAAACATGCTGTGAAGTGCAAGGATACGGACGAAACTGAAAAATCTTGTCTATATCCGGACCGAAAGAAACATGTCAAGTGAGAATTGCATGCATCGGTTCCAAAACTATTTTTGCGGTTGAACCAATCGTCAAGTTATTACAAATTGACGTTGTATTTATGCTCGTAGTTGGTGGGACTATTCCAAAGCAGAAATAATGAGACAATTGGAACTCGTTGCAACGGAGTTCAGGACGATATCAACGTATGGAATTGGAACGGGTATTACATAATATGCAAAAACAAGCAATTGTTGTCACATTTAAATTAAGGAGGCTGAATGATATTGATCTATTTAAAATAAAAATTTATTTGGAAAAAGTTGCCAAATCTTTGGAGCCGCCAGAATTTAATCATGATTGGCGAGATGGACTCCCGATCGCTCAAGTGCCGTTTAGCGTTGCCGAAATAAATAAGGATGCAGGATACCACAAATTAAAGATCATTGTTGGAGCATTCTCTCACGAGTCGTACACCAGTGAACAGTTCCAAGCCGAGGTTGACAACGCCGTGATGGCTGCAAAAGATGCTGAAAATTCCTTTCCTGGGTCCATCTCTGGGATTTCGATTCACTTCAACGTGCTTACCATGCAAACAGAAGAACATGTGCGTCTCGTGCAAAGGAGTATGACCTCTGCTCGTGGATACACTAAAACTGGTGGGAAAGTTGGGGTCAGATTGGAAGAATGCGACCTTGCTTTCAAGGAGCTTTACAACCGGAGTGAAGAATCGTTGGTGAAATATGGTGTAAATTTATGTAGTATGGCAGTCGGGTAGACGTCTGATTTATAAATTATTACGTCTTGTATGCACGCAGGGCGAGGTTGTATTGCAAACCGTCTGACCTGAGCTGTACCGCTGATCGTCCGCTTTTACTCGAACCGATACTTGAGCCCCTCGTAAAAAATGCTCATTTCGTGATCTGTTTTACACGCCCACAACGTCAAATGTTTTCTGCTAAAAACCTCAAGTTGACAATGAGTGAAATTACGGAAAAACTTGGTCATCGATTGGAAGAGGTGAAGAAAGCATTATTGAAAGTCAATCCAAAGATTGAACTCATGGTTGAAACTGGCTGGCCAAGTAAAGGAACAAGTTCGAATGGATCCCCAAATTCAGTGAAAAATATGCACGAATATTGGGCCTACATGATCAAGTGGGCCGTAAGGCAGCGGCTAAGGATTTTTATGTTTGAGGCATTTGACGAGCCCTGGAAGTCTGATCTGACCTTGTCAGGACGAAATGTAAGCAATGGTTTGTGTGGGTCGGAGGATCACTATGGATTATGGAGAAGAAAGGACAACTCAATTCCGGCCGAGTATCAAATGAAGGGCGGCTCATTGCTGAACTTTACAGTTTATGATACAAACTACACTCATTCTATAATCGGTTTGTAATTATACTTACATAATCTTGAAAGCGATAAGATTTATGTCATAAAAGTGTATGCTAAAATGACGCGATATGTACTTAGAGCCAGGATTTCCTGAAGGATGCCAGCTTGGTAATACTTAATTGATGCATTGATAGAATAGCATCAATCAGAGTGAAAACAGCAATGATTTGCATATGCAATATTTCTTTTTAGAGGAAAATGTAGACTCACCTCGTGGAAAAGTTCTAATAATTGCGATAAGCATTACTGGAATTGTGTTTGGTTTAATGATCTTCGGGTTGGGGTATATGGCTTTCCGCTTGAAACTTATGAAAAAGGTAATTGTAAATTACTTATTGAAATTTCAGATTTTGAATGATGTTTTGAAAAAGTGAAATGATGGGTATTTTGTTATGACTTTTATTAGAATTCCCATCTACAACTCAGCCAAAAATATCTAGAAATATTCCTGCATGGAAATGAATCTGGGGGCAAAGAAAATTTGATAGAAAACGACGACTACCAGATAATTGCGCTTCAATTTCCATACGACAAGAGGAAATATGAATTGGCCAAGGGAAGTTTTAAAATAGGTACTTAACACACGTACACATTATAAACATTTTCACAAAAAAAATAAGTAAGTGCCGTGACATGATTACTTACGCAAAAATATCAAGATTTAATTTAATGTTGCAGATTTGTCTAATCCAATCGGAAAAGGCCAGTCAGGAACAGTTTATCTTGGGCAGATCGATGGATACCCGGGACCCATCGCTTTCAAGTCCTCTGATAGCTCAAACAGTATTCTAGACATTAAAAATTTTCTCTCTGAAATCAAAATTATGAGTTACATTGGGCACCATGAAAATATCGTTTGTCTAATTGGAGCTTACACTGAGAAATTGGAGAGAGGTGTGGTTTGAGATATTTTATTTTTACAATCAGAATAGGCAAAAGTTGAATTATAGGTTGATTATAGGTTCCCACATTGTGTAGATACAGCATTATTTTAAATTATAGTTCGTTCTTTTAGGTATTGTCAATTTGGCTCTCGAATATTGCGTTCTTGGAAGCTTAGATAAATTTCTACTGGGGAAGGGCCAGTACGCGTCTCATGAGTCGACCAGTATCAAAGAACAGTGTGAAAATCTCAACTACGTCACAACAGCCTGTTTAGGAAGGTATCCAATAATAACGCAATTCCATCTATGCAGTTGTAATATTTTCTCCATTTGAATATGTTTGACCGTAATAATAATTTTTGTCATATTGTTACTTTTTATTGTGAAGCCAGTCGTCGTCTTTAGCATCCTCGTCAGATCACGACGACGAAGAACAAGCCAGTAGACCAATCACTTTTGATTTAATGACCATGTTTAAATGGAGTTACCAAATTGCAAATGGGATGGAATATTTGGCAAGTAAAAAGGTAAATGAGTCAAGATAGAAAAAAAACTATAACTGACTATATGATTATGTAATGATTATATAATGATTATATAATTGATTATTGCATAGTTTACATACTTATTAATATTCTGGAAACTGTTTAGGTCGTCCATGCTGATCTCGCATGTAGAAATATTCTACTAACCAGTGATATGACCATTAAAATTACCGACTTTGGTTTATCCAGAAAGTTGTATTCTGAAATAACTCCAGCGTTGGTGTTTGAGTGCGATGTTCCCCTCCCTTGGCGATGGTACATATTTATGTTAAATATTTATATGGTTATTTCTTAGTAAAACTACTACACTAAATGAATCTCATAAATATCAGTAATTTGCTATTTAAATACTAATTTTCTCTGCATATTTTGGCGATATCTGACTAGGATGGCTCCCGAGAGTTTGCGCAAGCTAGTGTTCTCAACAGAGAGCGACGTCTTTTCCTTTGGGGTAACCATTTGGGAAATCTTCACATTGGGCGACGTGCCTTTTGCTGGTTTGACATTTTGTAATCAGTTTGTAAGCGATTTGGAGGGGGGAATGCGACTGGAGGAAGCAAAATACGCAACCGATGACTTGTACGTATTTACACAAATGCATACATATGTTCATTACATAAAAAATGAGCGTACTCATGCGAGATATAATGTAATTGAAATACAAACTTGTTGATGTCCTATTTTGCAGACTTGATCTTTTGGACGAGTGTTGGGCATTTCATCCAAATGAAAGACCTAATTTTACAAGGTTGAAGGAGGATCTGAGCCGTCTTTTGTAGTGTTATCTTTGAGACATAATATATAATGGTTTTCTACATTAGTTAGTTTTAAGTACTATAATTAAGTATACATCCTTGTACAAATATAGTGAAATATCCAGACTAGAATCAATGCATCTTTTCTATTTCTACACGTACAGCGTTAGTAATTAAGTGACACATTATCTGCATTTGAGTGTTCTGTTGGCCAATTTATTTATACATAAAAGTAGACTTCGCCATCATCTAATCTTCAATAAAATGGATGCAGATTACAGACTGATCAGACAAAATAAACATTTTTGATATTCACATTCAATAGAAATGCATCACACGACTTTACAATCTTGCACCACCATTGGCGTTTTCTTTTTCGAACCCGAACCTCCTCCACTCCAGTTCTTGGCGTTGTATTTGCAGTAAGGCTTATTCTTGGCGGCGTTATTATTATTTAGTGTAGATCCTGAAGTGGTTTCCAAGTTATTGGCATAATCGTCTAAAATATGGTCATAATGTGTATTTTCACTGATATAGTCTGCATCGTCTTCATAAGAGCCTTCGTATTCATCATATTCGTCGTCATCCTCGTAGTCATAATTTTCATCATACTCTGCATTCGGGTCAAAGGTGATGGGTTCTTGTTTATACTGATACCGAGGGAGGGCCAAGTCTTTCGCATCGAGAAACCGAGTTTCAGGACATGTTTCAAACACATCCTCACTTGTTGCACATCCTTGTTGCTGGCCAAAGGTGTGGGTGTGACTGAAATTCTTGTCATCATTGCTTAGCATGAATGACAATGGCGATTCATCGTTATCGTAATCGTCAATATCAAAATAATCATCGTCAATATACTCCTCATCTTCTAAATAATTGTCGTTCTCGTTGTGACCTGAACAAAACGAATTTGTGGAAACTTGCATGGAAGGTGATTGAATTGTGGACACTGTTGCGGAACACGACCCAATTTCAAATGTGGAGTCCATTAGCTCCTGCTTCTTGAACATCGTAGTATCGCTCGAAGCGGACCTGTTGTTGTTACCAATCTGGCTCGAGTGAGAAACGCTCGAGCTTCCAACTTGCGATGATTTATGTAAATCCATAAACTTATTTGATTCAAGTTTTGAGTAAGAGGAACTAGGGTCGTCGGCAGATGAAACAAGACGGTTGAAGGTTAGAGGGGCAATATTATTACCCTGAATTGGATCCGGATTTTGCATTGCTGTTATTTCTGGAGATTCTATTGTTAAGGGAGCTACAGAAATGACACTGTCATCGGCAGACAAAACCACGTCCCCACCAACAACGACTTGGTCCACTTGGTTATGGCTTTGTCGATAATGGAAACAGCCAAGAAGCATTTTGTCACGATGATGATGATGATGATGACGATGGTGGAGATGTTCTACTATTGTCTTTCCACCAGGTTCAGAAATGTTCTGTTGGCCACTGCATGAGTGACTTGAATTGTTTATCGGACTTGTAACCAGAGGACAAGAATCAATGTCATGTTCCATGGTTTCCGTTGAAAGAGGATCGGTACTGATCTTCGTTGTAGTTCCACAATCTGCACAGTCTACTAATCCATCCTGACGGGTTGTTTCGTTTGGGGATTCTTGAGGTCTGTAGCAGGGTATAAGCCATTTAACGAAATTCTGGAAGATTCTCCCATTTTTATGGAAGCTAAAGTGCCGACTTGGATTTAGTCGAACAATTCTATAAAAACAAGAAGAATGGCGAGAAGACGAAATGATACTCTCAGACGAAATTGTAGATTCTGACGCCACAGCCGACGGAATTTCTCCCTGTTCAAAATTTTGAATAGAATTCGCCTTTTTATTGGCTCGAAGCTTTTTTGTTTCAAGGATTGATTCAATTTTTTGTACATCGTTGGAACCGTCCTCGAGGATTTTAAATTTTGCAGCGGCGGGGGTCGTTACACAGGCTTTATTTTTATGACCAGATTTTGACTTCCTGACGATATCTTTCAAACTCATTCGAGAAAAGAACGATTTTCCAGGAATAGGAATGAGCTGCTTGGAGTACTTCCACAAGCCATAACTGTACTGCTCTTTCCATCCAATTACTACAGAGAGGTAAAATGAGACAATCTTTACCATTGTTTTATTATCACTGGAATCCTATTTTTTCTGCACAAACTTTTTCTCTCTGACGGTGTCAAATCTGGGATGAAGTAAGAAGCATGTCCGACTCTTTCCAAATCTTGAGTTCCATAATAGGAATCGATTGCTGGGACAGAAGATCCTTAAATATATAAACACAGAACTTAAATTGGAGCCAAATGCGACAAGTGACATTAATGTTTTACTATAATTTAATTATTAATCATTCAAACCTCTCTCCAAGCGAGACTTTCGTCTCACAATTCTGTGCGTTACTGGAGGATTTGCTTTTAAAATATTTTTTAGTTCGACATCAACGTCAGAAGGATCGAAGCAGTGAACAATCGTGGCGTCGCTACAGTTATGAGGCAACGGCAAGACTTGTGGTGGAGGTGGAGGTGAGCTTCCAGTCTCCTGACTTTTTAGTCTGACCAACTCTTCCTTAAATGCAGAATTAATCTTCGGATTAACAAAGATTCTAAACTTGTCCTCGTTACTTTTTGTTAAGACAATGTATTCGTAAGGTGGAGTTGTGACATGTGGAGATTTGACCAGTTCGAATGACTCCGCCGTCTCTAACAGCGTTTCCTTCGTTTCACTTGCAGTTCTTGGTTCAGAAGACGATCGGCTTTCGACATTGTCACTTTCGTTGTCTTTTGCTGAAAGTTTATAAGGATGAAGTGAATAATCTATTCTCTGCCTGAAGCTTTGTAGCAATGTTTAAATTTCATTTACGTCTCAATTGATGGCACAGGTTCTCCAAATATTCCACTTTTGACTGCGATTGTAGAAACTACTTTTCAAGCAATAATTTTGGTACGCATTAGAAATATTATCGAGTATATATAACACTCAATACTAAATGATGATAAGAGGTCATGCCTTGCATATTAATTCACATTGAGACAGTCCCCATAAACCTCTTTCACGAGGTTCGATGGAATCATCAGTCGTCAGGGGCGAATTTGGTGTGTTTCCATTAAAATTTCCACCCTCCTCCTCCCCTGTCCCCTTAAAACCTGATGACTTGTCCTCTCCACTCAGCAGCAAATTGTTGATGCCCACATTGCAAATACTTTCTGAGACTTGACTATCTGATGACTCTGGTCCCTCACCAGCTACATTTGGAAGTTGTGATGCATTCGTACCAGAAGCTGGAAATTCGTCTTGTTCTTCTGGTATCAGGGTGTCCATTTTCTTTACATCTATGCATAATATTTCACAGGATGATCACAAAAAAAGCATCCAATAAAAGTTGGATGACACACCCTAGACAACAAAGAATTTTTGGAAAAATAATGTATTGTCGACAGCTTTTCTTCATTGGGGGTGTGACAGGATGACACATGATTTACATACTTGTTTTTTATCTACCTAACCTACGCTTCATTAGCAAATAGTTATCTGTATGGTACTATGTATTATTCATATGTTAGATGAGGAACGTTGTTTAGGAAATAAAACTAGTGTCGTCCACATTTTGTATTACATTAGTAAGATAACGCTTTCTTATCATTCACTGTAATAAGCTCTTGTCCATAACTATTTCAAGAGACATAGAGTTTTGGGTTCGGAGGCAGTGGGACAGGTTGAAACGCGTGAGAAGATTTGCTCTCCATTCGCCTCTCGTTCTCGTCCTCTGTTTTTCTGCGACAAATAATTTTCGAAATACATCCAAGTTGATTGTCATCAGTCCCACCCCGCCTCAGTTTATATCGTTGATCGAGGTGGTGGCGACGGATAAATAATATGCGTAAGTAGGCCCTTTTGCACGATCGGTTTATTGCTTTATGATTGGCATATTATTTATTTTGTTTTTAATAAAAACTTTTTTTGGTTCTTTAAATTTCAGAGTCTGTTAAACTAGTCCGTGTGCTATCGAAACCTTCCAATGTACGACCAGCGTATGTGGCCGTTGCAAGATTATCGACGACTGGAACAAGGCGGAAGGACGAAAACCTGCCGGTAACTGACGGGTCAATCAACTTGGCTGGACTGAAACGAGGGACTGGAGGCCGCTCCTCCTTCAACGGAGTTGTCGCCACCGTCTTCGGTGCCAGCGGGTTCGTGGGGAAATATGTCTGCAATCGGCTGGGGAAAATAGGCACACAGGTCGGATTTTATTATTGTTTGGTATTAACACTATTAACTGACAAGTAGTAATAAAATATTAATGGTTATTTACAAAAATAGGTCATCGTTCCTTATCGCGGAGATCACTACGATGTACTTCGGCTCAAGCTTGTTGGGGATTTAGGTCAAGTGCTGTTCTTCCCGTTTCACCTCAGAGATGAGGATAGTATCCGCAAGGTGAGAAAGTTGATTCTTTCGAGTGTAATTTATTTTAGTAGTATTTTATAAAATTAGTTTGCATTTTTCCTTCTCATCAGGCTATGAAGTACTCGAACGTGGTGATTAATTTAATTGGACGGGACTGGGAGACAATGAATTTTAAGTTTCACGATGTAAATGTTACTGGTGCTCGAACCATAGCGAGGTTGGCGAAAGAGTGTGGAGTTAAACGACTTATCCACTTTTCTAGCTTGAATTGTGATCCTCATCCAAAGGTAATAGTCTTCCTCCTAAATCGAGTGCTCTTTGGTTAACATGGTTTACAATTAGAGTTTAGTCGAGCTTATTGCTATTAGCCATTTCATATTATTGATATCATTATTATGCTGCAGGGCGTTATCTTGAATGGCGGATCAGAATTCTTAAAAACCAAATATGAAGGGGAACTTGCAGTTAAAAGTGAGTTTCCAAACGCTACCATCTTTAGGCCGGCAGATATCTACGGCCAAGAAGATCGATTTATGCGATACTACGCTCATTTCTGGCGCCGAACCTTCCAATGGCTTCCGCTGTGGAACAGAGGAGAAAAAACAATTAAACAGCCAGTTTTCATCGGTGATGTAGCTGGTGCTGTCATAAATGCCTTGAGGGATCCCGACTCGGCTGGAAAGACTTATGACATCCTTGGGTTAGGAGGACATTATTTTTTGCTATCTAATACTTTATTTTTGTATGTTTCTAACTAATGTTCTATCATCATTTGAATTTGCAACAGCCCGCACCGATATCAGTTGTCTGAGCTGGCAGATTATTTCTTCAGATGTATGAGAAGAGATGAAGAATGGGGTTATCGACGTACAGACTTGAGGTGGAGTCCCCTTTTCCAACTCAGAATATCAATGACACAGAAATTCTGCATGTGAGCCATAGTTTTTTACACTAATTTAGTATACAAATATCACAGGCGGAAATCTGCACCAAGAATTTAATTTAACAAAGTAAAATCACTTAAATCGAAAAAAAATGGATGGATGGATTTATAATGGATGGTTAAAAATCAAATTTTGATGAATCTGCGGCTGAGGGAGGTCCCAAATACAATTTTTTTAAGGGTCCCCAATTAATGGATGAAACATCAACACCTTCCGGGATAGTAAACTCCAATTCTTGGCTGGTCCAAAATCCCACCAGCTTCTTCAGTCTATCCACATGACGATCCTCCCATTCGGATAAATTCTCGTACTTCTCAAAATCAATTTTGATCGGGTGATCGTCAGTCGTTCCTCCCAACATCTCGCAAAGGATTACTCCCAATTGTCCAACCCCTTCCATCTTCTTTGTCTCATTCTCTATGAAGTCAGCGTCACCTTCTATATTATTTACAGTTAATATAAATTCAAGTTAATAATAATTATTATAATAAGTCATCTTCACCTTCACACTGGAAGAGAGGGATTCCCTTATCCGTAGGAGGGTGAGTTGGGTGGATGAAGGACCCTGCATGGGTCCACCTGCTCTAGTACCCACCTTGCGTTGGGTAACCGTTCCAACGTAGATTCTTCCTGCAGTGCCAAATTTCTCATAGATCCATTTATCTCCGTCTCTCCACTTAAGGTCTGCTCTTTTCAACAAGGGGGATTCCTTCGATTCTGCATACTCTGAGGTCTCTCCTAGTTCCAGTTTGAAGCCACAGTTCTCCAAAATAGTCTTCACGACTGCCCAATTGACTTGGTTAAGGAAATTTGATCCTTGACGAATTTCACAGGATTGGCTGCATTCTTTTCGTGTGAATTGATGGTGGACATAATGGCGAGAGTAACGCTGGCGGTTTGATGGAATGTTTTGGACAAGTCCAAATCTTTCGCAATCCAAGGACGTGGCGTCACCAGCTTCCATTTAGGAGAAAGTTGTGCTTTCTTCTGCTTTTCCTCGTAATTACAAAAAGCGGCAGAATTCTTAGGACTGTTCCTCGCTGTCTGCAGAACTCCATCTAAAGTGTGGGTGAATTTTGTAGTGTGGGGATTGGTTGACAAGATGGTGTAAGTGGCTGAAGGGTTGTTTTCATCCGTCAGGAGAAAGTGGGTCACACAACAGTCGGCGTGTTCATTACATGCCCCATCGTTTGTTCGTGATTTCCAGCAATCCCCGTCTTTACATATTCCACATCCCCCTCCACCATCAGTTCTCCACGTTATTCTTCCTCCAGAAAACGTCACATCCGCACTAGTGGTCACTTCCGTCTTAGATTTAGTTTTATTAGGTGTTCTATTTCTCCTTTGTGTAGTTTGGGTTGTCACCTTCCTTGCTTCTTTTGTGATCTTCATGGTTCTTCCGGATTTCAGCAGTTCTTTCATGTCATCTGAGGTTTTCATGAGCCTGTCTTCTCCTTCATATTTCAGGTAGTTCTTCACGTGTCGGAATATAAAATCCGCCATTGAGAGTGGAGTGGGTGGAATCCATGGTTGAGCTTCTGGAGGGGAGGGGGAAGTAGCGGTTTTCCACGGAAAGCGTGTAGCCTGAGTCTCTTGGGAGTTGAAGGGTGAACACTCTAGAAACATTTTCATTAAAATTAGTGACTAAACTATACGAGAATTAATAAAGTAATTTAAACCTTACCATCAATTTCTTGGAGTTCTCCATCTACGCTTTTTACGTAGATTTGAATAGAAGAGCCAGGAGGGGGTTGATACACTGTGAAGTTTAATCGAACTTTCTTCTTCTGTATGGGACTACCTTCGAACACGCATGTTTTGACAACATTTTAACGAAAACAAACTAATTTTAATTGGTGATAATTAATTTAAAAAAAGAACAACAATGCGAGAGAAAGGGAGCGACCGAGTTGAGTGGAATTGTTGTGTGTGTGTGTGGAGGTGTGGGTTCGCAATTGAACAGGTCAACGACCGCTGATAATCCTTTTCATTATTATTATTACAGTGGTTGGCCCATCGCATACCTTGGGTGGGATAAAATTGAAAGGGTATAATATATATACAACAGGATATTATTGCTCAATTATTATGTACATTATTATGTCTCAGAATTTTCATAATTTGATATGACATTTGCGATGGCAGGATCATGTTACTGATACACCAACCCTTGGAGCACCAAACCTTCAGGACTTGGGGATAACTCCGGATGTAGTAGAGCATCATGCAGAGTGGGAACTTAAGCCATACAGAGCCGCTTCTTATTATGCAGAGACCCTTGGCGAATTTGAGAAACCCTCTCCACCTAAGCCAGTTGTGGAGTATTAAAAATCTATCTATTTTCAAATTCGTTCGACTTCGAGACAACAAGAATAATTTACTATAACTAACTGCCAACTGAAATGTTGATTCGATTTGAACTATTATCGATTGTTAATTGTCATGTACATAACAGTGAGTACATCGCTTAATTCGTATATTTAAAATGTATAAATCACAGAGTAATAAAGAGTGTAGTATGAAAACCCTTCTGTGTTCTTAGCCCAACTTTCTCATAGGCCTGCCATCCAGCTATACTTATACTTGTTCTATTTCTACATCTGCCTGTACCTTTCCAGACTTATTTTAAAATTCTAAGAAACTATTGAATGCACATTTTTGATAAGATAAGGAATTTGACATTCAATCCACAGTCAAACATAACAGTACACTATTTGAATGAATGAATGAATGTATGTGTGTCCCTTTTTGGGCCATTGACGTCATTGAAACTATTTACTACCAAAATAAGTAAACATCCCAGCCAGAGAGGATCGATCGACAACAATTGATAAGCAAAGGGCTCTATTAACGAGGAGGGCGTTAAGCATTATCTGTAGAATTGGGCTGAGACAAAATATATTACTTCACACATACAATAGATAATCTTCCAATAGATACACACACGTTTAATAATGCGTCATATTTCTGATAGAGTCTGACAAATTGCCCCTTTACTTAATTCCTATGCATCTTTTCATTTCATTTCATTCGAATGTACGTAATTTTATAGATCAACTTATGTTTACTGCCCACTCAGGTAAAAATTAGCCACAAGTGCTTGTTGCACAAAATTTTTACACTTAAGGTTTTACTACCCGACAGTCCGAGGTGGTTCAAATGCATGCAATTATGCTCTCAATGTATTATATATAAATTATAGCATAACGATTCTCAGACAAAGAACAGGTTTTATTAAGTGCATTAGTCCAGTACTTCAGAGAGAAGAACTATTATTTGACTACCACGTATTTCAATATATAGGATGACCCAAAACAGACAAATGCATAATTCTATGTGTGACAAAATAAGCCCACTAAAATCAGTCCCGAAACTGAAAGATTGACAACGAAAATTCACCATGCATTATCATGAAGCATTTCCTTAATTGGCATTTATTGTGCACTTCACACAAATGTTTTAAGAAGCAACACAGTTAACAGGTGCAAAGCATGCATATTAACTGAAATGAATTGGTTGAGCTAAAGTATTTCATGTATGCAGTAACTCTTACTTGTACTTATTGGCTGTTAATGTGGACCAGAATAAACATTATGTAAGTAACTCCTCGCAGATTGGGAATCCTTAATCGTATATTCTCACAAAAGTATTTTATCATATCATTTATAACCCTAGAACTTTTTTTAGTATTTTCTTTAGTGCACGTTGAAATACTTATTGTGCTGGCTCTTAATTTGACTTTGGGCAGAGGCCAAAACACAATGCCATTTGTCATGTATTCGTATCTGATAAAAAACGGATAACATGCAAAAAATTGTCACACCACGTTTTCAATGAATAAAAATAAAACTGGACTGGTTCAATTGCATATTCAGTGTCTATTTTCTCTACTAATTTAATGTGAGAAAAGGCCAAGATTAAGAAGAAAAAGAAGATTAGGTAATAGGTCGCCTTTCGTTTCACCAAGTTTCATTCAACCTTCCTGGAAGGGGAACGAGCACAAATACGAATAAAAAGTAACGTACGAACGAAGGGTGCTGTATGACATTATATTATCATCCATCTATCATTCGATAATGTTGACCATGTCACGATGAGAAAAAATAATAATCGCCTTTGCATTCTTAACTATCAGGATAGTCTAGGTTGAGCTAGTGAATATTCAATTCAGAGAAATTCAAGAGCGTATGCAACATTTTCAGCAATTGGAGAATAAAAGATAAAAATAGCTGTATCGCGAAAAATGGTAAATGTTCCAGGTGTTCATTAATTATTTCCATTACAAAACTTAAGTAGATGTCAATTTTACAATGCGGTTTCACTCCGTTCACGTACGTACATTGGTTCCGGGTAACGCCAACAAGGTCAAATTACGAAATTGCGGACGCAGATATGAGCTTAGTTACGTAGGTACAAATTTCATTTCTTGATGCACATAAGCCGTTCGAAACTGTCGAAAGTTCACTTGAAATTCGTCATTACATTGATTTCTTATATTAAAATAAATTATGTATTAATGAGATTCATTTTATTTGCGTAGCTGCAGATATTCCATTTTACACCGAAAAATTCAACAATGATGATTACAGTGATTACACTTTTGGCAAGCTGTTGCTTATTCATTCATTCATCCATTGCAGAGTAACAAAATGTGTACTGATTCGTCGTGCGCACACGTCTTGGTCGTGTACGTGTTATAAAATTTGTGACGGAAATGTACGGCGATTACAACAACCGGAACCCATACTTAAATTAAACATATTCAGGAATACACTTGTCGCTGCATGTTGGCAATGCAAAAGCAACCTTGGCATTGATCCCAGCAGAAGCAGTTCAGGATCAACTAATGTGATATTATTGAACCAATGAAATCTCGATCCGTTTTAACTACGTGCGTTATTGTTACTTGCGCCGATAAAATCATTTGTTACCATTTATCAATTTGTTGCGGACAGTAAAAAAATCTTGGTCCGTTTTTTGCGACATTACATCATCGTCACTCTTAGAATTCATATTCGATATTTCGATAAGATGCTCTGATTCGTATTAAGTATGTTATGTAGTTGACTAAAAAAAGTATGTATGAATTCATTGAAATCCTGAAAACCCATTAAATTCATTAATGTTCACTCTCCAGTAAACACTCATTGGCAATAATTAACTTTTTTGCACACTTTTGGGAGCATTATGAACTGGAATGCAGGTGAAATTCCCACCTTTTAATGAAACTGACCATGGTCATGCAAGCATCGGGAAAAATTACATGCATCTGTATGTATATGTAAATACATATCTGTATGTACTTACTTACTAATGCATTATTACGAAAACAAATTAATTTTATGTCTGTTTTAAGTGGTCAGAAGAATTTGTTGCACAAGGGTAAAAACTTGGAATTAGTTAACATATTTACATGGACATATTTATGTAAGGCATATAAAAGCAAAGTATACATAAAAGGGTCGCCTCACATTCTACTCATGCACTAATTGCACTCGAAAGTGCTACACAAAAACTCGAAAAGACTTTATGTCAATTCAACAATATTTAACTTATTTTTGGCTCATCTACTGACATACGTAAATACATAGTTATGTCATACAGAACTTTATCATTACGTATTGAATGAAATTAAATCTATCGTGGTTTTTAGATTTTTTGATACATCTGTACATACTTATGTACGTACATTGTGTGAAAACGGTTTCACTGGACGTTGAAACCACACTGAAACTTTAAAATCCTGTATTAAATGATGAGTAGAAGTAACCAACAGGGAGCAGAACTACTTAACACGATCTCATCAGCACTTTCAGTACAGTAACAAATGTATAACAAACAAACAGACATATTTATATACAAACCCTGACTTAATGTGGTCTTGGTTAGGGGCTGAGTTCGGTCATAATGAAATATATATAAAAGCTGACAAACGCTGATCTTAAGCTAGAACACGAGAGTGAAACAAATTTAGTCCTCATCTAAAGCTTCAAGCTCTCAGACCCCAAACCGACCACTTTTTCTGTCCATACATTTTCAGGGGTTTAATTGAGACGGTATTTATCATAAGATTTTTTAAAAATTTTACTCTCAAGTATCTCTCAGAATTCATTCATTGTGTTGAAAAAAACTGGACTCGGTTTTTTAAATCATTACCAAGAACTCCTAGCTCGACTGCTAATTATAATGGCTGCTGGACTTCCCGATGAGTTGGAGAACGGCGGAGAAGTTTCTGAGAAGCCCAATCCTACATCCACCCCCCTGAATAATGCAACAGTTAATAATACCGTCTCAATAGTTAATGACAAAGGTAGGTGCTTAATTGGGATAAGGAAATGATAACCTTCCAGGTTTTTTTGGTTTGAATTTCCCATCGAGTTATAATCTTTGACGCTAATTGTTTGTAATACCAGATGATGCTCGGTCAACAGGAACGGCGTCCAGTGGATTTGGTTCCTATGCAGATTTCCAGTCTCAAACGGAGCTGTGTCCCAGTACGATAACGAAGGACAAGGAGTCATATTACGCCCGAGAAGAGGACAGCAGAGTGGACCCAGAGAAAAGCGGTGAGAAGAATGGGGCCAAGGGCAAAGGGGGCGAGAGCAAGGAGTACACGGGGGTCAAACGATACGGGGGGATGATTCTCACAGTGACGGCCTCGGTCTTTTTCTCGCTAGTCACTCTCATGGTGAAAATGCTAAGCGCTTACGGAGCTGACCAGTATGGGTCCAGTTTTTGGAGGTACGTATTTATTTTAGATCGACGAGGGAGATGACAATTTAATGAGACAAGGGCTTGAATAATATTTTTGCTTTATTTATTTATTCTAAAGATATTTGGGAATCACAATCCCAACAATCCCAATTTTCGCGTTTTACGAGTGTGGTCCAGGGGGGAAAAGTCGAAGAGAAAAGAGCATCAAGGAAACAGGAAGTCCAGGATCACTCTTCGACACCGTTTGGCCAATCTTTAAAGATGACAACTGGAAAACCTGCATTGGACTTTTTGTGAGTCATTGTTTGCTATAATGTGTTTGGTTTATGGGGCCATTTTGAGAAAATTCTCAACTTGCCTCCTACAGTCTCATTTGTTTTATTTAATAAGTTTTAAACCATGTTTCCATTTATTTATCTAGATGCGAGGATTAATTGGGTCGAGTTCCGTGATTTTGCGCTATTATGCCCTTCAGTACCTATCTATTGGCGATACAAGCGTTATTACCTACTCGACACCCGTCCTAGTAACGGTCATGGCTCACTTTTTTTTGGGTGAACGATGTGGGGTCATTCCTGTCATTGTGTCCTTTACAACGTTGGCCGGTGTGGTTATCGTGACGAAACCGCCGCTGCTCACCGGAGCAGAGTCCTTTGACACGGACACTTTGGTAAGCCTTTGGGGATTTCCTTAGACATGATTCTATAGCCGGAAATGCTCTCATCATTGCATGTTGAGCCATTTTTTGCATGGCATCCCTAAATTATTAAATGCGAGCAGATGCATATTGTGCATATGTATTTAGGTATTTACGTACATATGCATAAACAGCTTTGTCAGTTTTTTTGCGGCATTGTCTTTGTATCTATTTTGCGTTCTGACATTGTTTTCTAGCAAGCGTACGGCCACATATAAGCATGCATTTAAAATAAAGGGGAAAACTATTTTTGTACAATTTAATTAATATTGGAAAATCCTAACTAACTACTGAATGTTTAAATGATGACAAAAGTAAGCCTGTCAGGTATGATAGACATGAAACAACTGTTCAACTTACCACAACAGGAGTTAGAGCTGAGCATTTTCCAGGCCTAATGGTGTAACACGAAAATGAGACTGGCATGATTGAATGGCATGCAGAATGATTCATTGAATCTTTGCATTGTGCAAATTTTTTGGAATTGCTGCAATTCTATTCAAGAGTACAATTTTGACAGAATCATGAACTTGTACATTAAGGTCGTCATTTTTGTCAAAATGAGCATTATTCGGCGAAATGAAATTGCAAGTCATCTCATCAAAATTACTCATCTCATTTGATGACCTTATGATATTTTAAACGAGTTTTCTTTTAATAGATTGGAACCGCACTTGCTTGTGGGTCTTTATTTTGCTCCGCCCTGATTGTCATCATCACCAGAAAAATCCGTGAAGTCCATTTCGCCCTCATGATTTGTGTATTTGGCATCATCGGAGTGGCCCAAGCCGCAATTATGGCACACACTCTGGGCCACGGTCACCTTGATGTACCAACGCAACTGGAAGACTTGCTGTTAACGGTGGGTGTTGCGACCTTCTCGTTCTTCGGGCAATCGGCAATCGTGCTGGCTCTCAAAGTGAGTACCACAATTTACTACCACAAGTTGTGGTCTCTGACATTCGAATGGCGTTTATGAATTCATTTACTATTTATTTATGTATCCATTCCCTATGTTTCTAGTTTGAGCAAGCGGGACCAGTGGCACTGCTCCGGAGTTGTGATGTAATTTTCGGATTTATTCTCCAGTTTTTAGTCCTCCACATCGTTCCTGACGAATGGAGGTATGCACAAACAAAAATGTTATCAATTTGTATTACGTGTCGGAGTCACATTACTAAATTTGTATAAAATGTTATTTAATAGTTCGCTTGGCGGCATAATCGTGCTAACTGGAGTGATAATCATTGCTTCAAGAAAATGGATCGTCACACTGGATGATGATCATTGTGCAAAGAAATGCTTTGGTTGGGTTTTATACTAGAGTTTGAGAAATTTGCTGTTTGTTCAATTATCGTAGGATTTTGTTTTAATTTTGACTGACTTCATGCACGAAATCGATCTGCGTATGTACACATGTCGAATTTTATGGTGGTTAATCAAAAGCACCAAGGAATGCATGTCGTGTTCGTGTCAATCAACAGAAATTTGTGATATTTCGTTGTGAAAATTATTGTGATTTAAATAGGTCAAACCTAATGGTTTTATCTACTTTTTTGCCACTTTTACAAACAAAAATGACTGATTTTAAGTCAAGGTATATACCTCGTATGGTTTTAATTTAAGAGAAAAACGACGACAAAACGTTGGGGATTTAAAAACTTAACGTACACAATGTATAGAGCCATGAGTAAATAAGTATGTAAATATGTTTTACTGTAAAAACTAGTTTATAAACCTCTCAATCGACGAGCAGCAAAGAATGAGAAATGAAATGAAGTGGACACCACCATTTCTCCATTTTTCTCCAGAGCTATGGAGAGTGCCCCCTTCTGACCTGTGCTGCCGAGTGCCGACCTAGCAGCGATACACTCACCACTTTTGGATGTTTTATTATGTAAACTTTGGAGTTGACTCCAATGCACACAATGCACTTTTAAAATATTTATAATAAAGTATCATGATTTGATGCATACATGTGTAAAAGTACAAGGATTTTACGTTTTGACTTTATTATTTATACCCTCAACTGGCAAAATTTTAAATGTTGTTTTAACGTCATAATAATAAATTTTCGACAGCTGATTACAATATCACAGAAAAATTAGTGCCTAAAATTGTGCATCATTCACGATTCAATATTCATTCATGTATCAATTATATCCAGATATATAGCCCTGCTTAAACTCAATTAATTTTTTTTATAAAGTATGCATCAATAGATTTCACGGGTGGTTTGCTTGGGGAGCCAGTTGTTGTACCAGGTCTACCTCTTTTCGTCCCACCCCCTCCACGCCCTCTTGGACGTTTCGAGCCTCTCTTGGCCGGACTTTGAAGAGCTATTTTGTCTCGATTAATCTTGTCCTTTTGTCTTTCCTTGTCCTCTAAAGTCTCTGGTCGCACATCAAACCCCAAAGGTGATAGCCCGTTGATTTCTCGCGACAGGTCTCTCGCAACATGAAAGTCCATATGGGTTACATATTCCCATATTGCAATTTGTTTGCCACAGCGTTCACATTCTTGGGTCAAATGGAGTTTTGGGGATGATTCAACACCAGGGCCGAGAGAGCGTGTAGATTTCGGATTTTTGTGTGGACTTGTCTCATTTGCGATAGCAGTTGAAATAAGTTCAAAAGGAGGGTCGGTTTTCTCAGGTTGTACAGCGTCTAAACTGTCATTGCTTGAACTGCAGGACGGCAACATTTTAGTTGTAGAAGCCCTGCTCTCCACGACAATATTATTCTTATTAGCGATAGTAGAGCTCCCCAAGGTTTTACTAGTCCCAGCAGTAGAAGTAACAAAAGTAGTAGAAGAAGACGGAATTTTGTTGGAGTTAATTAAAGTTGTCGAAGCTGATGATTCTGATCGGGGACAGTTTTCAAAAAAATTGCTGATCTTGGAGTATCCCGATACGCCAGCTTCGTCTTCAAATTTTGATGCAACAAGGCCTAGCATATTCACAGGAAGCACTCTATATGAATTACAATAAGATCACAATTATCAAAAATGCATTAATACAGATCATACTACACGATATAACATATGAATATGTATATATCATACCCAAGACTTTTGTACAACTTCTCCATCATCACCCACACTTCTGACCTAATTCTTTCGGAGTTAAATTGAGGGTGAAGTCGACATGATCTCGAGAGTGAGTTTTTATCCTCAAAGCTAACATGTAACGTTAATGTACGTGCTCTTCTATTATTCTGTACAGGAAACATGAAAAATGTAAGAAATTTTATAGCGTGGGAAAACAACGTGTATTAAATATACAAAATGCTTGCCATTTCAAAGTCCTTTTGGATTCTTTCAGAGACTTCTGCTGCCAACTGTTGAAGCCAATGTTTGACCTATATAAAAATATATGATGCATTACGTTGTTCTGTATTAATCACATTAATAATAATTGTACATTCATTATTTATATATTTATTTTATACTTTATCTTTAGTGACTAAAACTTCTGGTCCAAGAAAGTTTTTATTGCAACCAATGGACTTTGGAAGTTGACGTGGATTCACTGCCTCGGTATCATAACCGCGTGCTAAGTGGTAAATCCATGACCTATACATACAGTAATATATGATCAATTATAACGGTAAAAGCATTTAAAAAATAGTAATCCTAAGTAAAAATGGTTAAATCAAGCCGTACCCCGCTTTGCTTCCCAAATGATTAAGTAACTCTTTCTCCGAATACTTCAAAAGGTCGCTCATCAATTCGCATTTCAAAGTATCAACTAAAAAATCTCCCAATTTTCCTCCAAGATTTCTAACCTTCTTGATTTTGGTTTCAGCCCATAGTTGAGCAACTGAGCTATGTGGTAGTACGGTTTGCTTATTTGGTTTATTTATTCCAGCACAAAGTTTAGCCAGAACCTGCCATATTCAACAAAGGACTATTACTAACCAATTATTATTTACTATTAACTTAGTTCTCAATTTTTTAGCACGAGTCGGGGCTGATGTACCATTATGTCTCTCTGTCCGTCTGTCTGTCTTGCGTTAATTGTCGTCTTGAAATTTTGTACACATGCAGTATCGGGGCAAATGAGGAGTTAATTTTGAAGACGAGCAAAATCGGTCAAGTGGGGGGGTCACGTAGGTCTGGTGGGGTCGTTTGTACAGAATATTCAGAATGGTCATAGGAGGTTGGTATTTTGGGAAATAGGTCAGATTTACGTCCTAGGCTAAGAATATTATGTCGTTAACCAAATTATTTTTAGGAACCCAGTAGGGTGACCATCGTTGATTTTCGAAAATTGTCTTTGCCCAGATTTAAAACATGGTGTTTTAAATCTTGGGTTTAAATCTGGTGTTTTACTCGACTATTACATTGAATAGTAAAAGTGAAATTATTATCAATTCGCATACTTTATTATGTGCAATACCAGCCGAACATCGGAATCCAGTCTCTTGAAACACAGCCTCTCTCATCTTTCCAACAATCTCTGCGCCAATGGCCAATTTTACGTCATCGAGAGGCATCATCATCTCGTTATCTGTCATCATATCCATCCATGATGTCGTGGACTCGAAGCCCATAACAAAGTTAGTAGTAAAAGCTTCTTTGTCCAGCGCTTTTAATATATTGCTCTGTTCGCAGCTAGCGGTTGGGTCCCCTTGCGCTGATAAAAAGTGATTAAGCCGTTCTTCAACTGCGGTCGTCAAATCAATATATGCTTCGTCAATCGAGGCTCGCTCCACACAGTCACTGAAATCCGTCAACACTTGGATAACCTCTCTTCCAGCGTCTCTGTACCTAAAAACCAAATATGACGACTCTATTAGTACAACTTATAATTAAAATGGTGAAATTGTGAGGTTTTCTCGTACTTTTGTAGATCTGCTTTGCCTCGTGTTTCTGGAACACGGACTAGGGTAAGTTCTGGACACAACGCTTTTGCCTCGTCCCCCCGTATATTTCTTGAGACACCTTTCGCCCTCGCCTCATAATTCACTGCAATTATCCTGCAAATTTAAACATTACATTTTAATACTTGATACAAATTCATAGCGTTTGTGAAACCCTTGATCCATCACTTACGCACCACCTTTATACGCCTTGTACCTGTGAGATTACACTAATTACAATACTTGAAACTCTTTGATAAACTACTTCAAAAAGATATCTTACTGGACCACAGCGGCAGGAGTTCCCTTAATGGAAGGGTCGTCCCTCTCTTCCACCTGGACATAGAAACAGTCCATGTCCACCAGTGCAATTATTCGCGACTTTCCTGTCAATGTCTCCATTTTCTGTGACAGCAACGGGAGGGTATTAACTCGGCTAATTAATAATTTTTGTTCTTGTGACAAGAATCTTGTCGTGCACACCAAAAATTTCAAATAGAAAATCACTAGTGAGTGACCACCTCATACACAATTCTTCTTGATACCTACGAGTATGGTCAACAATTAACCACATATTACGAATAAGTTGCTAATACACTAGTGCAGAAACCTCATATATGTAAATCACGATAGGACATGTTTTGTTTTTTGCATATGTTGTTTTGTTGTGCACATGAAATACGTTAGCGCTGAGAGTTTAACATACTGCGCTTGCATTTTGTCTCTTGTTGTACAATGCAATGTCATACACCGAACTTGATCTTTAATTAATTTTATTGATATCTATGCAGTTTAATAATCTAACAATGAATTAGAATATAACGAAACGGGATAGGTAATAGATTGTATCTGTATATTTGCCTACGTAAAATTATTCCAGTCCTTTAATATGGTAGGTACAGAAAGAAACCATACGTTTCATATGTACTATGTATTTTTGAATTGCCAATATGCCTTATTATTTTATTACATCATAAAATATATGATTATTTGTAAGAGATTGAAAATGGGCATCAGTTGGACTTTCTTGTCTAAGCGATACTCATGAGGTAATATTCTATGTGAAGTAGTTAGTACACCTCATTCACAGTCCTACGTAGTTCATTAAAGCATAAAGTAATATGTGACACACAAAAATATTATGTAGCATTTTTATCATCTCTGCGATTAACGCTTTTCAACGACATCAGCATATTTTGGGGGGTCAGGATACAAGTTTTGTGAGACAGGGGCTAAACTGGGGTAGAAGCCGGATTGTTGCTGTGTAGGGTGCATTGTTAGAACCACGGTACCCGGCGCAAGAGTTTCGCCACCGGGCGCCGAGCTGTACACCACGTGCGTTCTTGGAAGTGTTGCAGCAAAATCCAACTGCTTTATAAAGTTGTGAACGATAAAAATTCCGACGATTCTGAGGATGAGTACAGCAAGTGCTTGAAGGGACATTCCTCTTCTTCCTCGAGCCATCGAACCAAGGAGGCCAAAAACCACAAAAACTATCGTCACATTTCGCCAAAATCTGGCTTTTTTTGCTGCATCTGCAAAGTCTATTCCCTGAATAAGAAGATACATATTACGTTACATATTAGATCACATATCAATTTTGACTAAAGGTCACTTTGAGTACCTACCAGTTGTGTCGAATTCAAAAGTTTAATGGCAGCGACAAGCTCAAGAATCTCCAGGACCAAGAAAATTATGAAGGAGACAACTGCCAGAGTAGCAACTAGACAGAGATATGCAGATGATGGATAACATATCACATTATGCATAATTATTATTTTAGGTCTGACCAAGGGATCTTACTGAAAATGAAGGTTTTCCTGTCATTCGCACCCTCAAAGTCTTCCTCTATGTCGTTGAAGTCCTTATTTTCTGAAGGTTTTGCTTGATTTGGTGCTGCCGTGAATATGCCAATAATGAGGAAAAATAGCATTGCTACAGCCCACAACATAACGCACGTTATTATCTGTGAATAAATCACATAATTGTCAGCAACAAGTGTAAACAAGTCAGCATATTTTATTTGTAATGTGACTTACCAAATCTACAATAGCCACGATTTTAGCTCCTCTTCTATACTTTAAGTTTTCCATTTCAGTAAGTATTACACCAAATACAAATTCCACAAGTTTTATAAATGAACTGGAAGTACTTAATATTTTTGGTAATTTTTTAAAAGTCAAATAAAGCCCATTAATCTACTTCTTATGTGCATACTAGGCCTTGGAGATCTGTGTGCAAACGAGTCGGAAACAAGGAATCGATGTAGGTATGACGTACTGAGAATTGGGTTACACAACCTCCAGTCTACAAGAATATAGGCTAACAAAACTTTACGTATGAAACGCCAGGAATGAGCAAAAAATGAAGATGAACATATGGTAAGATGTTGTTGGGCATGCAAAATGATACCCGAGCAAATGCTTTAAAATTAGGATGAATAGACTTCAATTTAGTTCAGATCTTCAGGACTGGTATAGCTCACGACGACAGAAAATTGTTATGCATTCATGTCTTGTTAAAACCGAAGCAAATGGCCACCTCAGCTTCATGAAAAGCTCCAATATTCCAAAAATCTCTAAATAGCAAGAAATGTACATATGTATATGAAAATGGGAATATATGGAATACCATCAATAATCTTGATTTACTATTATTGCATGGCAGATGATCGTCGGTTAACTATTTCCACAAAGCATACTCCGAAATTACGACGTCATTTTAGCTGATCTGGAGAATCTCATTTGCAGATCATCATCATGGGTGGATTTTGTACCATTAGTCATTTTCAGAGGAATTAGACACGAGTTTAGAATTCAGTCGTTTTCGGAATTTATGAAACTACATCAAGTACGAATATGTAGCAATTAATTGAGCAGGATTTGCAAGAAAAAAAGTTCATGCTGGTCACAAATGGGATGTGCAAAAATGACAATTGGTTGGATGACCAGTAGGCGTGCATACGCTTCACCACTTTTGGAAAGTTGGAGGAATGGTCATATAAAATGCCCATTCGATGAGAAATCAATACGGTATGCTTCGTAATTGGTAAAAACTTAGGTTTCATTATCTATTTTAATTTGAAGCCTTAATGTTCATCATAAGATAAAAAGTAGAAGCTGAATGACAGGTTCAACTTGTTTACAATAAATCTTACTAAATGAACATGTGAATTTAAAACAAGTTTCAAATACCTACAACTACTTTCACCTTTTGAGATGTAATTGTGAGAAAATTGACTGAGACATCGTAACTGCTCACGCAAACTTTAATTTTAACTGATCTTAATTCTGCGCAAATTTAATTGTAAGTTTTTTACTGAATTACAGTAGGATTCCGTACATTGCGATCCAGTGTTAATTCTAAATACATAGCTTGGATGAATACTACTGCAGTACGGAGCGGTGGTACAAATGTGTAATACATAGAACTTTCTTACTTTTGTAAAATATCGCTCCAAAATGAAGATAAGAGTAAAACTTTAAAAAAATGTGCTCTAAAATGCAAACCATTGTTAACCAATGTTGTTAAATAGTTAAATTGAAGAGGATTTAAATTTTGACAAACTCGATAAGTGGTAAAGTGTGCGGAGTTCAAGGGGTCTTATTATTATGCAAAATTATGCCTCAAGGTATTACAGGTGTCGGATTCCTTCAAATGAGGTCTCTGAGTCTTTGTGTATTTTTTCTAGTCATCTCAGTTGGAGGTTCGCTTATTTATTTCTTTATTATTTATTTATCACCATTGTGGAATTTTGTAAGAGCTCCTCTTAAATAAAACAGTTAGCAATGGCCACGACGACATTGTTGTAACAAAGGTTCAGATTCCCGTATTGAACAAAACTGGACCAACCCAACTTAATTATCGACGTTCAAGACATTTTAGCGTCATTGCATCAACCGTCAGATCCATGGGATGTCTTCCAAAATTCTTTTGTGCCATGAACGCCACAAGTCCGACTCAATCCAGCTCTACATTTAACGATCTCGCTTTTCTCATCAAATTTGCAATGACGTAAGTACAATTAAATTTTTGTTTATTTTTAATTTACCGTTATTCCGTGTGTATATAAAATCGTGTATTTATAAAGTAAATATTTTTATGCAATCTTTCCTTAAAGGGACGACGACGACAAGGAAGATGATGACGATTCTACTGCGACAGTTGTTGACAAACAACGGGAAAAGGACCAGAATGAGAAACTTGTGGATGATGCGTCTTCCGGTGAAGACATTGATCCAGAATTGCAAACTCCTTCTGAGGAGGAAAAGGAAAAACAAGGCATTGAACAAATGGCAGAAGAACTCCTCATTGACCGAGACCCAGACCTCAACAACCTAAATTTTATGCGTTTAGATGGTAAACGTAAATATAAAGGAAAAGTCGACGAAATATTGGGAAATATGGCTAGGCAGGAGACAATTTCAGCAAAAAAGGTGACACGACCTAGATCCAAGGTTAGAAGGGTAATCTCTGAAGTTAAACACATGTTTGGACTTGGACGACGACATTTAAATGATAATGCCGACATGAAAAGAGGGACAAACGATTTTTGGGAGGTAATATTTTTAGCCTCCATATACGCATATCTACGTCATGAATTGTGTTTAACATTAAATAAATATGCAATCTGGTTGTAATTACAGACCAAAGAGTTTCGACAACAAATGCTCCTCGCTGCAAAGGTGGGCGAAAGTAATCTGTCCATCGACAACAGCACGTCTGATGCCCTCTGTGCATCCACATTTGACCTGTGTCCTTACACGATGGACCAGATGAGAAGATTTGTACGGGGTGACCCTGAACCCCAAGCGCAACAAAGTAATCTCCTGATGTCACCACTTCCATTTATGGCAAATGGCTATCCATATCCTCCGAGCTATCACAACGTCATGCCCGTTGTCCCAGCTATGGCTTATCCCTTTGCTGCCCCCATGACCAACCTTTATCCTGCACCTACAGCAGTAGCAGTAGCTCATCATCCATCATACGTAACTAAACCACGACCCCCATTATTTAAGCCAACTGAAATAATCGAAAATATTCTCCCTAAGCCCCAAACAACTTCACAAGCAAATGAGAAGGGCATTATTAACCCACATAAAATTCGTCTAACGCAATCAGAAACTTATTTGAATGAGGAACAAAAACTTGGTCGAGAAATAATGAAAGTTATAAAACGACACAAACTTCGGCAAAACACAACTCGAGTGAAAAATAAGGTTGCTAATAATCAGGGACTTATTCACGTTAAAATCAATTTGCCAGGGGATAATCCCTCAGTACCACAGACAATGAATCTCGACGAAGACGAACAACAACTTGGAAAAGAACTTGTGCAAATTATAAAGAACAAATTTCTAACATCGTCAAAAACAACCAAAAGTCTACGACAAGTACACCAGAGAAAGAAAAAAGATGAGATTTCCAAACTAAATAAAATCAGACCCAAGCTGGCAAAACATAGTAGCAAACCAGCAGCTTCAAATTTTAAACGCAGACCAGCAATTACACCGGAACAGCCTGAGTATGATATTAGCACTACATCAGAACAAGATGAGGACAAAGAGAACCACAATTTTAAACCGGCACAAAGAAGGAGTTTTAAGAAGAGAAAACCTTCCCTGTTCTTTAGACTTAGCCAACCTTATCGCAAATATTTTAATGCATGGAAACAATCGAAAAAGAAACGAGATCCGCAGCATGATTCGATATCTTCCTCAGAAGAGAAGGACGACTACAACAAACCAAGTTCTGAGGAGGAGGAGGAGGGTGAGGAAGAGAGTGACGAAAAACATGTTGAACGACCAAAGATAAGAAAATCAAAACCCACACCGACATCCAAATCATCAGCATTGACCGCTGCTACTACGATTTCGCCAAAAACCACCACAATGCAGCCTCCACAGACGAAAGCGACGACAATAGTCCATCAGAGTGAAGAGGATCACAGTAGTGAATGGCAGAAAGTAGGGGACTTGCGAGAAAGTATGAAGAGTACCTTTGACAAGGAAGACACGTCAAAACTTGGGGATAAGAAGCCAGTATTGTCCCCTACAATGAAATTAATTGCTGATATTGCGAAATCTGCTAGAACTCAAAATCAGCTTCCAAAGTCTCATCATCTTATGGAGTACAGTTATGTTGCTAAAAATAACAAAGTTAACAGGCCAAAGTTATCAAAAGGTCAGAATAAGCTCAGAATAAAACAGAATATAGCCTATTCTAAGCCGCAACACAAGTCAGCGCATCTACAAAATGCAAAGTTCAACTTTTATCCTCATAGATTGGAATTGGACTATTTTCAATACTCTCAAAACCCTAACCAGAATTTTCTCCGATATGAAAACTCGAATAATTATAATCAACAATATAAGCAGCCTCAACATCCATCTTTCCCCATTCACGGTGTTTGGCCTAACCTTCCCCACCAGCCTCACATGCAACATAGCAACTTGGACAACTGGTCATTTAATCGTCAGTATCTGAACCAAGTCCAAAACGCCAATAAAAATCAACAAACTTATTACACTCCACTTTCTCCACGTGAGGATTTAAGCAGCCATTCGCATAAAACGGTTTATTACAACCAGTCGTTTTTCATCCCCACCACCCAAGTTCCTCATGGAAAGCAGTATTTCCAACAGAATAAACCAACATCTCATTCAAATCGTGCTATTCCTACTCGAATACATAATTCAATGGCAAATCTTGTTCGGACATCTGGCCGACCCCCAATTTCAAACACAATGCAACAAAAAACGGACTTTTCAAATTATAATAACATCCACTCGAATGGTCTTCTCATTGATCCCAGTCCGAGTAATGAGTTGAAAATCCAACAACAACAAATTCAAGCTATGCAACGGTTGCAGGAAATAGCAAAACATCAATTGATCCTGTCTCAACAGCTCAATGAAGAACAAAGTTCCTATTAATATTCTGTGTAAATAATTTAGGAGACCAAGATGTTCTAGCACTGAAAAACGATGTCAATTGCAACGTATGTACATACGTATGTACGAACTGTGATATGCATGTATGCATTATTTTTAGACTTTTAAATGACAAGTACAAGCTTCTAAATCGGACCAAATTTATGATATTTCAAAGTCTGGGTATCATAGGGCAGAATTAACAATAAGTTCCACTGGTACAACCTCACTACATACGTACACTATATATATTATATCAATGCTACGTTTTTTGTGTGTATCAAGTTATGATATAACTAAGCAGCTTTTATTTATAAGCCAAAGTATTGCATATTTTAGAAAATTATGACTTAAATGTCTTCAGGGGCTTCGGTCGTGGAACCTTTCTTCCCTTTTCCACCTTTCTTTCCTTTTCCCCACCCACAAATCTAGACCATAACGAATAAATTAAGCATCAGGATAAAAATTAATGAGATGAATATTTGTTTAAAATTATATTGATCTATTACTTCAGCAGTCTTCTTCAAATAACAGTGTTGGAATTTTTGGTACCCTTCACAGTTATTGTCCATGCTGAAGGAAGCTCCTTTACGTATTTATAACAATTAAAAATTTATTTGGAGCAATAATAATCATAAAAGTCAATGGAATGAGGAAAATCTTTACCATTCGTTGAAGCACATTCGTTTGACGCTTTTTTCAAATCAGCTTGGACAGCCGTAGGAAAAGAATTAGTAATAAGTTCCTCTGCCCCAGCAGTGTTATATTTTCCATCGTCGCCAAGCTAATCGCACGTAACGTAAAAAAAATGAGAATATTCTTTGCAAATCCAGGTATTTATTATGGTAGCATGGGTACTTACAACTTTCTGTTTTTTCCATACGCAGACGTGCATACACTATCACAGAAGACAAGAAGAGGAAAATTGCATAAAACAACAAAAATAGCATGGTGATTGAATATACGGAACATGTAATTACCATTTTCTTCTTCCACATCTTCTTGCCCTTTTTGCCTTTTTTGGGGGTGTCGTCGTCGCCTTCAGCGCCATCGTCCTCGACCGTGGCAGCAGTTGTGGACCCACCCTTCGCACCTCCTCCCATCTCCTTCGCACAAGCCGCCCATACCTCCTTGGTCGCCATATTTTTCACCGCCTCTCCCTTGCACGTCATGTTTCCGCCCCATCCGCCGCCGCCCCTTCCGCCCTTTCCGCCCTTGCCGCCCTTTCCGGCCTGAAAGATACAAACACGTACATAATAATGGGGGCACACGCATGCGCAGAACTTCTCTGCAATTGGTCCGGTTCAACGGACTTACCGAAACCGTGGTCAAGAGGAGAAAAATGGCTGCTGCCAATACAATGTATATTTTATTCCTGAGCTGCATTTTGAAAGTCCTATGATCCAGGTGGAGAATGAAGCTCTAAAAAATCTTAACTAACTGGAAGAATTGAATATGCATGAAATAAATATCAAATTTTAAATTTCAAAGTTTGCATGTCTCATTCATTCCATGTCCAGTACCGTTTATAAATAATACGTAAATAATACATGTCGAGCTGCACGAAAGTTTTCATAATTTTCTTTGTTTGTGGGGATAAGGAGATAAAATTGATCTGCGTCATTTTGTCCGTGCATGTGAATGGCTTTGAATATACGTTTGAGATTTAAGAAATGCACACGATACGCAAATTATTTTCATTCTTTATGCGATGCGAGATAAAGTCTGAACTAAAAAATGATGAGGCAACTACACATATTTATTTGTTCAGTGACTCATTCATGCAACTATAAAAAGAAACAAAAGATAGCATTTCGTTTTATGTGGACTTTTATTTCGGATGTGTATTGTACGAGCCTCATCTTACATGCTGCTATTATGTACCTATGTGCACACTACCCATACATTCATAAGTATGTATAATGCATAATATTTAATAATGGCATGTGATTGTGAATATTGTGATTGATATAACAGACCAAGCAATTACAATTTGCAAGCCATTTCTGTTATGTACGTATGTGTTATTGTGTTGACGTCGCATTACATATACTTTAATACTGATAATTTTGGCATCGTAAATTTCATGAAGCATACACATTTGTTTGCATTTGTTTGCAGATACTGCAGATAGTGAATTATTTAGTTACTGGTCTCCTTTGGCACACATTTCATAATCACGAGAGTCCTGCCTTTTGGGTGTAGGACGTTGTCCTTGTGCTCGGAACACGAATTGATAAATTAGACCAGCAAATACTCCTGCAAAGAGACACGAATAAATCAATTTGTGCTCAAATTGCTTGAGATCAACCACATGTATTTAATACCTCCAAGACAAGGCCCAACCCAGTACACCTATTTATCAGTGAAAAAGTAAACTATAATATGCATTAATTCATCAGATGCAAAATTAGTAAGTACGTATTGCAGAAACACGTACCCAATGCAGTGTCCATGTTGACGACAAAATAGCTGGGGCTAGGCTTCTTGCCGGGTTTAGGGAAGAACCAGTCAGCTTAATCTGCCGGAAACAGCGTCTCAGTAAATACTTATTTGCAATGCTAACTACCAAATTACATGATATTACCGCAACGAGACAACAGGCTGATGCACTGAATCCAATCGCAAGTGGGGCTGACCCCTTGACATCGTCTCGCTTTTTATCACAGACTCCAAAAATTGTAAATACCAAAACAAACGTGGCAAGAAATTCAACACCACAAGCTTGAAGTGCCGAAAGGCTAGGGTGAGGCACTGTGGCTCCAAGATTGCCCCGAACTTCTTCGGGTAACACGGACTGACCGAGATGTTTACGTACATTTACTCGTTTTATTTTTTAATTGTTTGCAAATGGGCAAGTTTGAGGAAGGTTATTATTCACTTACTTTGAGAAGAGTCGATCCAACTAAAGCACCCCCGCATTGCGCCAAGATATACAAAAATCCCAGAATTGGGTTGATTTTCTGGGTCACCATCATTGCAACGGTAACAGAGGGGTTAACGTGACCTCCGGAGACATGACCGATAGTCTAGAGTAGTATAAATTAGTTATTTAGTGTGATTGTATCTGACCACTTGTGCAAGTAGAACAGTTGGAATTTTGCGCTTACTTGTACAATGGATGCTAAGGTGAAGCCAACTGCTAACGAAATCTGGATAATGGACCCAGACCCGTCCCCCCAATTTGTTCCAGAACCACAACCAATAAAAACCAAAAGCAATGTTCCCAAAAATTCGGCAAGTAAAGCAGCGTAAGTTTTCTTATCTTTCCACATATTGCTTGACATTTTGAATTACTAATTTACAAGCACAGTGAAAAAATATAATGTACTATGTATGAATCAATGCAACGAATGGATTGACGGCAAAATGAGATGATTGAATGAGACATTTTTGACATATTTTTCACATTCCCTTTTAAATGTGGTATCGCATAGTTAATCAGAGTAAGAACTGTCGCCAATTGCTATCTCGCCACATTTTGATGGATAAGTGTGTAAACATTATCTGAAATGGTTCGGTGGTGTAAGCGGTGGGTCGTCTTGGGTGCATTTACAAATCGCAACATATTTTATTTTAGCAATCTGCATAGGACAAATTGTCCTATGCAGATTGTCCCTTCCTATTGTCCATTGTCCTGGACAATGCAAATTTTGATTTGTTTTACGAATTATTAATGTACCAGAAGTATCGCTCATTCAATAATTTAGTGCATTACTTATTAAGAAGCATTTCATAGTGTTTGTCATGCTTGTTGCATAATTGGAATGTGTCGTTGTGCATGTTGGACACACGATCACAATAATGTTTAAATGTTGTGAGATTTATCATTTTGTACGAGCATAACTTTTTATGTAAATTGTCAACCTTTATTCTGGCTTATCTTCAATGTTGTTAATATCTCACTCATAAGGTGTGTTTACACGAAGCCCACTTAAACAAAATCAAGCAACCATTAAATTCAAATTTATTGGTCACATATTGGTAATACACACACGCAGTTCCAATGTCTATGTTATGTATGCTGGATTAATCATTTAACAACAAAATGACAAATCCTGGTATTACATAAACATATTTATAGGAATACGACCAAGATAAGTTTCACTTTTAATGCTGAATGATGATGTCATTTTGAGAAAATGGTTATGCATCAAAGTGATGACGGTTGACATACATATTTTATAACAAGACAATAAATTCAAATAGACGTTGGAAATGTCTAAATACCTATGTGCATGGAGAACAATTATTTCTACTTATGCACTTAACCTAATATTGCGTGAAAATGCCCTGTTTTATTTTACGAAATTGAGATTATCACAATTCATTGTGAAGACTTAATTCCTCATCCTTCAAATTTTTCTTGTTCCGCAACTCCTTTTCTTCCTCAGGAGATAAGCAAGTAGATAATCTGATGGCCGGCCGAAGCTCCTCACTAACAAACACAGAAATGCAATTTTGAAGTTTGAATTCTGCACATTTTGATAGTACATAAAATATGTATTTAGTTACGCACGTCTCAATCTTCAAACTTGCTCGACAGATGTCCACTAAATCTTGAGTCGTACCAGAAAATTGTGACCCCAACAACTTTTTTATACAAGCACATCTGCATAAAAAATGAATAATAATTAAACAGTGTTTATTTCAATGAAGTCAAAATTGTTGGCTTTGCTAAATGAATGACCAGAAAGAAATAGGAGATTCCAATAAGAAAATAGGAGAGTCTATTCAAAGCAATTTACCCCAGATCACGCAATTCCAGTAACTCGAGCAAGTACAAAAGTACCGTCTTCCTGGGCTTTTCATCCTTGATGGGCCATAATGCTGTGGTTTCAGTTGCCATTCCCTGCCATCCTTGAAAAGAAGCATCGCCAAACTTGAGTCTTGGTCCCATAATTGGATCTTCAAATGACAATTTGTTCCAAGTAACATCCTCCCCTTTGCCGCTAGCGTCTTTTGAGGGTTTGACAACGGCATCAAAATCCACCTTGTCCAACTTCAACCTACTCGTAGTCACATTCATTTCAGAGCTTAATATCTGTTCTTCAGAAATTGGTCTCATTTTTCCATTTCTAGAGTGCACCCTTCTCAGAATAAAAACCTCGTCTTCGCAAAAACTCATGAACTCTGAGGTGTATCTGTCCCAAACATCTTGAATGTAGTCGTGCTCATGCTTTACGTTCTCTGCAAGAATGGCTACTCTCTTGGGACAAGGGACGAAGCTGTTGTTCTGGGGTGCCGTGTCAGGAAAAGGCTCTTGTAGATTTGGGCATTGGGTGCAGTACTCGCATTTGGCCCATGCTTTTTTCGGAAGATGACTGTTGCTGTAAGCGGATAGTAAAATCCCAACTGTCACAATTTTTGGATCATCTAGAGCTTGCAAAAAAGTTTCGAGCTCCTTATCTTCCTCACATTCACTCTGTGAGATGAGCACGAATAAGAGTATGGTGGTGGATAATAGAAAATGCATTGTGCAGTGGATAAAAATTGTCCAAGGATGTAGATTAGCTATTTTGTGTACACTAAAAAAATTATGCAACAAGTGCAACGTCCTGGGTTTACAGATATTTCGCAATTAAAGATCTATTGTTTGTACGTAAGATACACAGGAGGAATTTTTCTGCCTTATGTTCTACCAGAGTCGGTGTGTCAGGGCTAAGTAAACCTTTGATCAGGAAGTATATAGTAATTGCTGTTTTCTAATAACTACACATACATTTATGTACACGTACATTGAGGATACTGTAAACAACCAAAAAACCAAGAATCAATAAACTGAATATGTTTTATGTATTATACTGCAGTCTTATTTAATAATAAATTATGAATAATAAATCCAAAGTGCGACTAAATTTGTCAAAATATGTAGTAAATGATTTTTTATAGAAATTGGATTGGATGGTGTATGTAGTTTATCAAAATAAAGTAAAACATCAATGGCATATGTATATGTATTTACATGCAACACGACAAGCAATGCAATTTTATATTAACAATAAACTCACATTTTTCTGACGACGGCATTTTTTTAGTCGGGTCGGCTCGGACATAGCTTTTTCATGTATAAATATTGAGAAAAATTTTAGTTAATTAACAAACTAATGCAATTGTCTCATCAACTTCGACTCTTAGCATTGCCCTGCACCCGTTTAGCAAAATTGTATGTCGATGTCAGAAAACAATTAGGACATTAAAATTCATTCTCATGAACCACCCGTTTTATTCAATATGTACAGTAATAGGTCATTCCGACCATTTGTAAACATTTCTATGAATTTGTCAATTGCCAAATAACAATAAGTTTCACCATGGATTGATGGAAGGAAGGTGAGTTTTTCTACTGAAGTGGAAATAAGTGTCGTACATTTATGTTCTTATTACGTCATGCATAATATTTACTCAATACATCAGACTGTAACTAACTAGAGAAATCATAATCAAATTATTAGTTGCTTCATCAGGTGATCGCTGTTCGCAAAAGAGATAAGGGGACACCTTATTATGAGTTCGTCAAGTCTGATTAACGCCCGGATAATAGATAAACGCACATTACATTTCACTGCAAATATTGCATTTCACCTGTCAATCAGACATGAGTTTGTGGAGTGCTCTGGCCATGTTATGAGCGTACGAGGGGTTTTCAACAAGTCCTTAGAAAGCGTATGTAGTATTTGTATTTAGACAATTTTGTGGACCAATTCTTTTTCATTCTAAAATTAAATTAAAATTTGAACATATTTATTAGCATAGAGCCGGAAAAAATGTAGATTTTCAAATCAAAAATTAACGCATCGTCGAGTTTTTAGTGCTGTACGGTTAAATCCGTGGCGCATGTGATCTTGATCTAAGGCTTAAAATTTATTGGGAAATGAGTCTTTTAAAATTTCATATGCATATTTTGGTTAATGTTTTTAAATGTTGACAAGCTCGACTGAATGCAAAAAATGTTTCTTCTGCATAAAGTCTCAAAAAACTTGAAAACTACTAATTAAAATCCAAATTGTTTTAAGTAGCAAAGGATATGCATATTCCAATAATAACCATTTGTTTGTTGAGTTAAATATTACAATTCCCGATGCGATCAATATTATCCCGTTGGTCTCGAATTGGTTTCACATGCTGTATATACTTATAGGGGGTCAAGAGCTCTAGCGAGTAAAAAAATTAAGAAATCTCAAAGTAAATTTCTAAATTAAATTTCTGAGATTCCTGAATAATTCTCATTCAAAAACAACTTAATTTAGTAATAATATGATAAATCGTACAGCTTATGTAACAAGTTGGAATTAGCTCTGTGCTTCCAAAAGTGAAGCCAGAAAAGTTTTTTTCAACGATGGAAATCCACGAAAATCGTCACTTGTTCCTAGGACTGTTATGGCAGAGAAACGCTTCAGAGGGCGAAGCCACTCGCAAAATAGTTCAGTCCCAACCCTCAGCAATTGTTATTTGCACAAGGTCGGGAGATTTATTAGACATCACGAAAGAACATCGTAAATTCTTGAGTTTTTCGAGTTATTTTTTTGCGGATTTTCTTCGAACCCAGTTTTTGACAGATGACCCTTAAAAAATGACAATATCCTAAATGTTTCAAATTGAAAAATTGGTCCATAACACTGTCTCACCTACCTTTTGTAAGAACTTACTGAAACACCCTCGTGCATGTGTTTCAAGTATAATCGAAATTGCTGACTTGACGATACACTCACCAATGTATAAATCAAAGGTTGACACAAAAGTCACCCTACTTACACACATATATATGCATATGCACATTATGTATAATACAAATTATATTGGCAAAGACTTCTCGACACAAAATAAAAAGAAATAGTATGAGTTATTTGACCAAAGAAAAGGACCTTGATAATGGAGGCGACAGTGCAACTCCTTTCTTGGGATTAGCCCCACCTCCACTTCAACTACCCGTTGTGATTGACGGGAAAGCACTGCGATCAGCGTCTATTTGTTCCGCAACACTGCACGTTTTCATAGAAGAAGGGGGTACAGCTACAAATAGGAAATGTTCTTCTGGTTTGTCCAATTAAAATTTATGTATTTCAATTTCAAGTGATTCACTAGAATCGTGACAATTATTCTCTGCAACAGAAGAGAAATCGACTCCTGTCTCAATATGGAAACGCTACCTTGGCGTCGGCTACACTCTTTTGGCTGTGAACATGTTGGCTTTAACCAACACCATTATGAAAAAGTACTCTCATGTTCACCCCTTCAACGTGGGGATTTGGTACTCGCCAACGGCCATCATGGTCGCCGTGATCTGCATCATGTACACGGCGTGGTGGGAGAAACAACCCGTCAGCCAAGGACTCTTCCCTCTCTCCACCCACAAAAAGAACGTCCTCCTCATTCTGCTGAGGGGGGTCCTGACCTCAATCATATTCTACCTGACGGTGGCCGCATTCTATTATATTACTGCAGCAGACCTTCGTACCGTCATCAGTGCCGTGGTCATTGCAGTGTTTATTTTTGGCTGGATGTTCTTGGGGGAAAAGTGCGGAGTGGTACCCACAATCGTGAGTCTTGTTGCACTGTGTGGTATCGGGATCATGACAAGACCGCCCATCCTAACGGGGGCTGAGTCTTTTGACACTGGTACTTTGGTGAGTACTTATCATTGAATACATACGTATTATATAGCTTGTACTCTTATAATTATGTACTTAATTATGCATTCCTTGACGTAAGATTGGAATTAGCCTGGCATTTGGGATAATGGTGATCATAGCCATACATCTCGTCGTCATCCGCTACCTTAGCGAGGTTCATCATGGCGTGGGTAATTTGATCGTAATGGTGTGGGGCCTGGTTCAAGGTGTGATCCTCTCCTGGGCGTTCGGCCATCTAGAAATTCCACCGTTTGACGATATACTTGGATTAAGCATTTCGGGACTTTGTCTCGGACTAGCGATGACCTTTCTAGTTTTGGCGCTGCAGAACGAGGAAGCTGGAGTTGTTGCTCTTGTGAGGACGAGTGAGGTTATTTTCGTATTCTTTTGGCAATGGGTAATTGTGGGGACTCAGCCAGATATCATAAGGTATAGCTTCATTGACTCTCAATTTCGTGATTTAATAAACACAATTCAGAACTTATTAGTGTCCCCTTCAATTTCAGCATGGTGGGAGCAACTCTGGTGATTTCGGGTGTAATTTCTGGTGAGTGAATTGACTGAGAATTAATTATCCCTTGATTATTTATAAGGTAATATAAATAATTAATTTTCTGTGTGTTCGTGCAGTTACTCTTAGGAAATGGGTGGGCACGCTACCAAAGGATAACCCAACACGGAGAAGACTGCGATTCATTTTGATGTGATGTGATTTTTTAAATTCACTAGATAAAAATGATTTTCTAGTCATACATAATAACTTGAAGAAGGATCAAGAAGATCCGAATAAATTATTTTTTAAAAATATGTCCTTCCTAACCGTACAAAATAGGACCGGTTTATGTTATAAAGATTTGTCTATATTTGCTCCACGTGGTTTTGTTACCGGTAAAATAATACTAGTATTTCAAATCTCTTGAAAAAAAATGTTGAAGCTCTGCGATCGTAGATTTCTAACAGCATTATGATCATGAAATGTCACGGGGACCAAATGTGATATTTACCCATAACAGTTCCCTGAATAGCCGAGCTATTCAAAATTCAGTAGCCCAAAACATTTTTCATTTGAAGATCAACTAATTTGAAACTACTACTTTTCACGATACTACAACGTATTTGTATTAAGGTAATTAAATTATCGCGAAATTCTGGAGTGATGGGTGAAGCAGAACGGTAATCGTGTGCAGATTTATTTTATTTGCTCAATTTACGGAGAAAAAGTTTCATTCTTCCAAGAACTTTTGAACTATTGGAATAAATTCATCTGCGAATTTGATGTGAAGATTGTGCTTCCCTTCCGGCATTACATGGAGCCTAAAAATTAAAATTTCTCTTAATTTCAATTTATTTCAAGTGACATTAAATGTACTTACCGGGAGTCCTTAATATTATTGTGGATATACTTTGCATGTTCAAATGGCACCATAGCATCCTTCATGCCATGAAGGATAAGAGTTGGCTTCAAGATTTGTTTTATGCCTTCCTTGCACAAATCGCCCCTCTCTGTTTCAAAAATGTCGACAAAAAGTTTTGTCCATGCCGACCACGACTGGCGAAAATATTCTTCGCCATACATTTTAATCATCGGGGCTTTCATTCCAGCTGACCAATTATCGATGTTCTCAACCTCTAATATAAATTTTTTTATACGTGTAAACTCTAACACAGATACATACCTGACTAATAATTTTGTGGGTAATAATTTTAAATTGATGCATTACTTTTGTATAAGTTGACATCTTCCTGTGTGATGAATGAGTTTCCACCCCAAAGTACTAGCTTCTTAATAGCGTCCGGGTACTTAAAGCCCATAACCATTGCTAGAATAATTTTAACTTCTTTATTAAAATTGTATATCATAAAATAACTGCTACGTACATAATAGGGAATTTAAGGAAAGTTCTACCTGTATTACTTCCATCGCTCCACCCAAGTATAGAATACTTTTTATAGCCAAGAGCCTACAATTCAAGAAAAGATGAATGTCGAACACAGTAATCATGAACCATGATGAATCGTGCTTCATGAAATCGCTGTCAAGTCACCGAAAAATAATATCACCTGCATCAAGTTATTAGCCCAGTTTGCATCGCGATAAAAGAATTTTGCACCCCCAGAGAAGTCTCGATTTGGAGGACGACTTTTTCCGTAACCTGACGCAAATTATAACATCAAATAAATTACAGAGCTACAGATTAAATTAAAATATCAGATAATATGAATTGTAGTATTGTTTCTATTCTATGATTGTAGAGTATTTAATACCTGGAGGGTCCCATGTGATGATCGTAAACTTTTGGGTATCAAATTTATTAAGAATTGGTCCAAAATCAGATTCAATAAAACCTGTCAAAATTTTTTTTACGATAATAGATAAATAACAAATCAAACAGATATGGTCAGCCAATTTTCAAACGAAATATTATCTCATTACCTAAAGCACCGGGCATGCAAAGAACAGGATGAGGTCCATTCCCAAGTTTATCAAAATTTATCTGCAAACTGTCCACGAGTATTTTCGACTGGACCATTACCGGTCGTTGTAAATGGATATATCTTTTGTTACCACCAGGATTGGTCAGTATCCTATTCCTAGGACGCAAATATTTTGTGAACAAGTCATTCAGAATTTTCATGGCTGACCAAAGTGCAACCAACTGAATATGAAACGGAACTTTTAATTATGATTCTTATAACTTTCGATTTTATTTTCTATCAAGTTTTAATTTTTTGCTGTTTATAGTTCCCAGCTGACTGCATACAAACAAACTGGATCATGGAATATCTGTAATACCAGTAGTGGAAAGTGGAACAAATATGTTAACTAACTCAAATAATACTAATAAGTTAACAAATAAGTTAACTAAAAAGTTAGCTTCGTTAATTTAAAAATTTCTCATGAACTACAATCTTCTATCGTTTTTTCATATAACATATTTATTTATTTATATGTCATTGATCTTGATCTATGCTTTTACTTTGGTGCCTCCCTTATGGAGTTCATGCATGCCTACTCGATTCGGTTCAATTGATGCACTCTTATTTATTTTTTAAATGATGATGCTTTATCAAAATTCCAGACTTTGTTAGCCTCATCCTTCGATGCTATGATAATGATGAGAATATGATAGTCTATGATAGACTGTCTATCATGCAAAAATAACTTTACAACCGAAATGCACAATTTTGACATGATTTTTTCATTTCATTAACTAATTGAGTCATTCACATCTTATTATTTTTCACAAAGCTGTAAAAGATTAAAGCTTGTTATTGTAGCTTTCAAGGAAAATAATGGACGAGTTTTCGAAACAGTTGTATATATGTACGGTTAATAAATAGTTTAGGTTCTAACGAAATGACAGAAAAAATTAATGTAATCAAATTCATCGAGTCAAGTAATTTTTCAGTTTTTATTCAACTTCTTGTTCCTGTTCATCCTCAAAATCGCCATCTTCATCGGCGGTGGCCTCCTGGTACTGCTGGTACTCGGAGACCAAGTCGTTCATGTTGGACTCTGCTTCGGTGAACTCCATCTCGTCCATGCCCTCCCCAGTGTACCAATGCAAGAAAGCCTTGCGTCTAAACATGGCAGTAAACTGTTCCGAAATGCGCTTGAAGAGCTCTTGGATGGCGGTCGAGTTGCCGATGAAAGTGGCCGACATTTTGAGTCCTCGGGGAGGAATGTCGCAAACGGCCGTCTTCACGTTGTTGGGAATCCACTCCACAAAGTAAGACGAGTTCTTGTTCTGAATGTTGAGCATCTGCTCGTCCACCTCCTTCATGGACATGCGACCACGGAAGATGGCGGCCACTGTGAGATAACGCCCATGTCGAGGGTCGCAGGCAGCCATCATGTTCTTGGCGTCAAACATTTGCTGGGTGAGTTCGGGGACGGTCAGAGCGCGGTATGACTGAGAACCTCGCGACGTGAGTGGAGCAAATCCTGGCATGAAGAAATGAAGACGAGGGAAGGGTACCATGTTCACGGCCAATTTCCTCAGGTCAGCGTTTAGTTGACCTACACAAAACATGGACAATTAATTTATGTCTGTTATAATTTGTATTTAATTAGCAACTCTATTATTTTACTCATATATTTTGCTCACCAGGGAATCGGAGACAAGTCGTGACACCGGACATTGTAAGGGATACGAGATGGTTCAGATCTCCATAAGTGGGGTTGGTTAGTTTAAGAGTTCTGAAGCAAATGTCGTACAATGCCTCGTTGTCGATGCAGTAGGTTTCATCGGTATTCTCAACCAATTGGTGGACGGAGAGGGTGGCGTTATAAGGCTCGACAACCGTGTCGGACACTTTTGGAGAAGGCATTACGGAATAAGTGTTCATGATTCTGTCGGGATATTCCTCACGAATTTTGGAAATGAGGAGGGTTCCCATTCCTGTGATATTGAGAAATAAGGTTATGATTAAAATAATTTTTCTTTCATATTTGGTGTCATATTTGTAGATTTCTGCTAATTTTACCAGATCCAGTACCCCCGCCCAAAGAATGCGTCATTTGAAACCCTTGAAGGCAATCACAACCTTCTGCTTCCTTCCTAACGACATCAAGAACAGAATCGACCAGCTCAGCCCCTTCCGTGTAATGCCCCTTGGCCCAGTTGTTTCCAGCTCCAGATTGTCCAAACACAAAGTTATCGGGACGGAAGAGTTTTCCATATACCCCGGATCTAACAGCGTCCATCGTTCCTGAAATATTGTGACAATAATTACAACTAATTTATTGTCCAGTTAAATTAACATTGTGTTAGATTGGGTCTAGATAAACGTTATCTTCCCCATATAATCCAAAAATAAATTGATTCCATAAATAAGTTATTTATGTTAATAAGATTATTTTACCTGGCTCCAAGTCCAGTAGGATTGCGCGGGGGACATATTTCCCACCTTGAAAAAATCAAAGGTTTTATAAAAATTGTGATAATAGAAATTTTTCATTAATGTTTCCTCGCATAGAATTACATCATCGGGTTGGGCTTATGTAATCGTCATCTCCTTCTGTCTATCGGTCGTTTTATTAAATACATATGTACATAAAAGCGATTAGCATTTCTGTCCGGATTCTCAAGAGGTCTACTTGGTATGAAACAGTTTAGGGTGTTGTGTTGTACGATGCAATTATAGTCCCAAGAACCCAAATTAAAGTAAAAAACGATGATCATTTCCAAATTTCCATCCTTGTACTGTCAGTGTAGAGAGATTCCAGTGAAACGTCTAGCTTCGAAGACTGCAAACCATCTTTGTCTTATCCTACGATTCCTTCCTACGTATGACTATATAAAGTAAACCAAGTTGCAAGAATGGTTCGTCGACCCAACCCTAAAGTAGCACCAGTATCTGACTTTCTATATCAAGCATTAGATAAATGTAACTCAGGGTTGGTTATGCTGCATGGAGGCACGGATAAAAGTTCTTGAGCATAAAATAAATCTAGCTAGAGAAGAAATTCGCAAACCTACATTTTCAAATAGATGTATCAAGCTGTACATATTACGCTACGTGCAAAGGATATTTTCTATCCCGTCGTTATTCTACAATATGCATGAGCCTCGTACATGAAACAGGATCAACGCATGAACGCGATGGTTGTATTTGAAATGCATTGTAGTTGTTGAAAAGTTTCATAACTATTATGCATTTATATAACGTAAGCAGAACTAACTGGGGTTCAGTCTAGTGCTGAGGAATTTATGCAGCAGGCGAACAACTACAGGTAGAATCTAGAGTCATTGTATCATGAAAGAACTCTCCGCAAAAAATAAATGCATCCGATGCACTCATCCAAACGTAGTCACGATCTGCTCAAAGCACAAGCTCAAAGTAAATTGTGAAGTTCATGGACCAGAAAATACCGCAGCCGTAAAATAAGACGAGCATGATGGATGAGAACCAAGTACAGCAATGCACATTCGCTGCTGCAGCACCGAAATGCAATTCGATTCCATTCACGAATATGATAATATGTACGACGCAGGTGAATTTCAAAGGCTACGGTGCATGTTGGTGGAACAAAAAAATGAAAAAAATCCGCTAACTCAACCGACATGTACAAACAAGCTAAGAAATAAGAAGGGAGGAAAGGTCATTATTCTTCATTGTTAAGACTCTGACTGATGATGACTGCAATCGCATGTTGAACAGATTGAAGACAAGCTGCATTAATCAACGTACGTCAATTCATAAATGGTGCATACAATCCAGTTTTTGATGAAAGATTGAACCAAATCGAAGAGATGCACTTTTTTTGGGTGGCAAAAAAAACTATGAGGACCTCCACCGATTTATATAAATGCATCTTGTACACCACAAGGACCAGGGTTCGGAAAAACCCAGGGTTTTAATCAAAAAGTAACGACCCAGGGGTTTTAATGGGTTTTTTGGGTTTTAATGGGTTTTATGGGTTTTATTGGGTTTTATTAGGTTTTACATAAGTAATACATTGAACAACAATTTTCACTACTATTGCAATCCAATTTCAATTAATATGCAAATCCTACTTGTCCATGTTAGAATTTGTATCCGTTTCGAAATAGTCCTGTTTAACTGATCATAGTTTAATACTTTATGAGAATATATATTACCTTTTTCTCGCATACTTCCTCTCATCATAATGAAATCCAAGTTGTTTAAAAGTTTTTAAAATTTAATATTTCAATGCGATCTTAACGTGTATTATCAATTCTGGAAAAAATCGAGTACTTATGAACAATGAAAGTACGTATGTATTATGATCGAGAATATAATAAGTGCTTTTTACAGACACACTTCTTTTGCTCATAATAAAGTACTTCGCTGTCCATAAGTACTCGATTTTTCCAGAGGTGATAATTAAGATCGCCTTGAAACATTTTAAAAAACTTTATAAATTAAAAAATACTACAGTATTTTGTTTAATTTATTCGCTGAGATGAAAGGAAGTATTCGGGAAAAAAGTATTAATTATGACAGCAAGATGTAAATTAAATGTAATTAAATTATGTATGCTCAGTTAAACATACCTCGTTCCGAAATTATTATTTTTAAATATTTTTGTCACTTGAAACCTGTAATGGCACTCGCTGATTTATTCCTGGTTTTTAAAACTTACAGTATTAATCAAATAAACTGCTTAGCTGCCATCTGCCATGAAACAACTTCGTCTAACGTACGACAGCTGTTTTCAGCTTTTAGAATATAGTTTTAAGCTGAAACACAGTTAAAACCCATTAAAACCCGAATAAAACCCATTAAAACCCAAATAAACCCCATTTAACATGGTAAAACCCAATGGGTTTTATTCGTTAACAACCCATTAAAACCCATTAAAACCCAAAAAACCCAACCCAATAAAACCCTGGGTCGGAATACCCTGACAAGGACTTATGAAATTGTTATGTCCATCTGGAAATAGCCGTTTAACAACTTGCATATCTGATCGACTTGACACTCACTTAAATAGTATCGGTCTAAATTAGGAATCTAGTTCGAAGATGGACATGATCGGTTTGACCGCTGTGGGGAATATACAGAAGTCGGTTGGGGACCTATAGTGGTTTTTGAACCTGATATTTCTCAATGGGCTTTAATTTGGTTTGGATTAAGTATGAAGTATGCCAGATTAATTAGTTAGATTTATTGAACAGTTGGATTTATTGGACATGGGAAAGGGGTTATGAATAACGATTGATTACCTTGGGTATCATTGTAGTAAACGTTAATTCGCTCAAGTTGAAGTTCGGAAGTGCCATTATAGGACCCACTAGGATCAATTCCGTGTTCATCAGAGATGATTTCCCAGAACTACAAAAAATACATTAAGCTTTATTATTTAATTTTAAAACTGTTCGTAAAATAGTAAGAATTTGATAAGTGGGTGATTCGTTATTATGAAGCCATGATGCTAAGTTGTACATAAATACATAACTACGTAATAAATGCGAGCTACATACAAAAAATGGTCAACTATACATAAAAGATATTGTCCTTTCAATATCGGTCAACGTCATGACTATTTTATGCACCCACTTATTACGCTATTCATGTGGTGGACAATAAGAAACATTTCCAACAACGGGTGACACTATATTCACACCCACATTTCCCAACCTAGTCCTCTGCCATATTTTTCTAGCGTAGAATGAATCTGAGTTTAAATTTATTTTCCCATTTGCCAGTTTAGGTCAGGATGTGAGTGAATTAAGAGGACGTGAGCGAGCAGAGAGAATGCACTTCATAATGATACGTGACTAATTGTAATTAATTACAACTTTTCCTCTCTGGTTCACTAACTCAGGAAGATTTGGTGGAGGCTAATGATTGTAGTAAATTATTGTTCTTACAAAAATATGAAGAAGGTAAAGCCGGACAATTATACATACACATGTGTAGCATTAAACACAAGTACTAAAAGTACTAATAGGGTGTCGAAAGGTGAGGTCATTCAATATTTCAGGCAGTGACATAAGTATTTATTTAAGCTGGTTTAGTAACCCCCTGACTGCATGGACAGTCGTGGGCAAAGTCGAAGAATTTTAAAAAATCCAAATAAGGGATCGACGCTTGTTTGTGCCGATTTCATAGAATCAAGCTGCTAATGATGATAATGAGAGGAAGTGGGAGGTTGGCAGAGGTACCCGTATTTTTAGTTATTAAACCACAAAATTCTCGTCACGGTCTGACAGTCAGTGTTGCTCATACATAGATTTAAAGGCTTGTAAAGTTGAGCTGCTTAAAGTTTTTAAGCATGTGCAACATTATTTGATAACGCGGATGAAGATTATATTTCTCGTCCTAAAAATCCGCCCCTTCAATTCCACGAGTTCACCTAATACGTACAAATACTCAGTTGCTGTGAACTCATTTATCCTTGACATTGACATTTAAGGACATCTCAGAGGCAGGTTGGCGTTCCTCTTGAGACAAACAACCTCATAAATGCAGCAGGTGCTTTAGTCGATTCTATGAAACTAACTGCTGCTCTATTTTTGGTCATATTTTCAGAATTTCAATTCAAGTTCAGGTTTAACCGACCACTTACTAAATTTGTAGGAGAGAAGGCTTTTTTCTTCAAAAAAGGCTTGTGTTTGTTCTATTGGTAATTTTGAAATGAAATGATGAGACAAAAAACTTTAATTTGCTTTGAAGTTCAAAGTTTTAACACTGCCAGTATGTAGGAGAAATGTAGAACCATAAATTGCTACTTACTTATACTGGCCGAACAAATTAAGGTGCAAATTATGGACAATATTGTGTATACTTGAGTCATTCAAATTCCTGGAAACCACTTAAATGTATTTGCATGTACCAAATAAAATTATATTTGGTACATGTTTTTGTTGGTTTGAAAAGATGACGAATTAACCATACCAAGTTTGTTATTCCACCTATTATTTAAATGGTGGAAGAAAAGATGGACTTATTACAAGGCACGCTTAAGAGAGGCGATAGCGCCATGACTGAGATTGTCTAGAGCTTATCCTTTTAGTAGGGACTTATCGCTAGGTGTGCAATAAGCCATCATCAATTTCATAAAACATTGACTTATTTAGTTATAATCCTCAAAATTTCCATGCAATTTATAGCTTTATCTGACACTTTTACAAACTACAATATTGGCAACCTTAGTCAATATGCTAGAATAATCTCAGTATTAAAACGAATGCTTCTTACTTTAGCACCGATCTGGTTTCCGCATTGGCCGGCTTGAACGTGAACAATTTCCCTCATAATGCTTATTTCGACAAATTGGAAAATTGGTTTACCAGAAAAAATTTGAAAAATTGGGCGACTGTATTTTAAAGGTAATCTTCCTGAGGAGAGATGAGAGATGCGATCCTCTGAGTCGCCGGACACTGACTGAACCGACAATACTACAACTTTTGGTACCCAATCCACCAATCACTGCCAAGTTCCCATTGGATGATGATTCACTTCGACTGACATGGTCAGAAATACAGTGAATAGAATTATGCAAGTATCTGGCAGAGTTACTATTCATTAGGGTCAAACAAAATATGTGCACTTACATACATATGCAGATCATCGAGTTGAACAGCCAGACATACATATACACAAGCATTAATATTGCATTGTTTATTATAGCGTCAAAAGTGATTAGAGTAAACATAATGAATACATTAGAGTAAATTAAATAATACTGACTGAGTACTTGGCATGCCATTTGAGCATAAAATTATCGACAATTAAACGCTTAATCAGGATCTAAAAATGTGTTCAATTGACAAAATTATTATTGCAAAATTATATTCTTCGTAAATTAAATATTGTAGATTAAAGAGTCACAGGCATCTCAATAAATGCGTATTATATGTAAATGTGGTCACAAAATAAAATGACTTTAGTGCGCTTATATTCCCTTGTCCTTTGGTAAGCCGATATAATCGGATCTTGTCACTAGCATTAAAATAAGGCTAAGTTGATGCTGGGAAGAATTGGTTCATCATCTTTTTGAAGTGGCGTCTGCTTTCTAAAAATACCATTGCCTCTGAAAAGAAAGAAACGAGCAACTTTTATAAAAATCCTTTTGAAGGTGTCAATTCGTGCTTATCTTTACCTCGATATGTGTTGAAAATGAGTGGCGGTACATCTGCAGGAGCATCGTCCACTCGGAAGGTAAACTGGAAGACATTCGTGAGCTTGCATTCACCTGAGGCTGGATTTATTACCTCTGCCCTCACCGGGCAATGAATGTAGTTCTTCTCCACATAGCCAACCTGTCAATTATTTAATTAGTATACCAGATCAACCACAACAATTACTTTTAGACATCGGAATAGTCAAGATAGGTAATAGATAATTATAAAATGTGTACGTGAGAAGTATAGCGCAAAATAGATCCGATATCTACGGGTCGTCGAAAAATAATATCATCAATATTCACAAGGCGAGGACGGTGTTTCCTATAAACAAATGAAATCGTAATCACTTAAGACGACTGCAAAACTGCTTTGAAAGTTTAGTGTAAAAGTTTGTTGTAATTTTACTTACGAGTATAAGAATGTGTTGGTGAAAGCCAATTCACACGCTTGCCGCATAATAAATCCACCAAAGATTTTATTGTAACGATTTCGGTACTGTATACGAACGAAATAGCAAAAATAGATTAAGTTAAACTAATGTGTAAAATTATACTTTGTGTGCCCATGCAATTTCTTTAACCTGTGGATGACAAATGAAAACTGTCTTCAACCCAGTGGCGTCCATCCTAATTTCTCCTCCTCGAGTGGGGATGCCTTTTCCGAGGCCGAAACTTCCGCCGGCTAAAGCCTGACCCTCGCCTCCACCCTCCAATTGCTGAATGAACATGGTGTGAATCAAGTGTCGTTCTTCCTCTGTCGGAGGTTTCCTCGAAAGTGAGTCCAGTTCCTGAGCTTTGCGAACGGCTTGTCGTTCTACGCAGATTGACCCAACGCGACTTTATTAATATTTTGCCCAGTACATACACTTCAGCTGAAGTACAGGATTCCTAAGGGGATGGATTTATATGTACCTATTCCAAGGCGAAGAAACCTCTTCTCCTCATCAGTATCGCCAATGAGTGTATTGACTAATGCACCTCCCGTATTCATGGGATCTCTCGCCACCATTAGAAATACTGCGTCGAACACTTTCTGATACTCGCCGGTTTCGTCTTTCTGATCGACCACGAGACTAGTTTCAATGGAACTACGACCAGCGTACGTTACGTGACCAGAGAGGCGGATGTCCTCGTCATTCTAAGTGCAGTCAAATGCAATAAATATTTAGTACATTTTTAAAGTGTGACTAAAGATATACCCTCATTTTCCCATTTGCAACGTGTATGCTGTCAACCAACGCTGTGACTACAGAGTATGGATTTTTCTTTCCAGCAGAACGGGGATTTTGAATGTGTCGAAATGTGCAGTAAACTATACATTACAGAATATTATCGTTTTTTATATCAACACGTCACATTGAACAAAATTGATGCTTTTAGCTGACCACCCACCACTGAAAATGTCCATGTCCTCCAAAACTCTCCCAATCCGAACGTTCCCCTCCAGCGTGACGTACCTCTCCCTGATGTCCCACTGGTCTTTGAGCGGAATTACTGCTGTCACAAAACTATCCGCCATCCTTCGAGCAGGCAGCTCGTCTACGGACTGAGGCAAATATTCCATAAGCCGCTGACGTTCGCGACGCGTCTCGGCCGCACCACTCGGCGTATACTCTCTTGCTTGACCAATCTCACTGGCGAAAATGTTGACCACTGAAAGATTCCATGTTTGTATTTTCTATATTCCATGCTAAATGTTGTTGAATAGGTGTGATGATAGCGAAATGTTGTATTTACTTACGGTCCACTGTGGTAAGTCTGGGATGAGCGTGGCGATTGACATCTCCTTCTTGACCCTGATCATTCATGGGTGGGGCAATGAACAGAGTCTCGCTGTGATATCCCCGTCTCGTCGAGTCCTGATTGGGCCGGGGTGTCAGCAAGTCTGGACACTGTTTGTTTCCGAACATTTTAAAGCTGTGTACGGTACACATACTGCTCGTACAAGTATTGCTGTGACCTGGCGAGGACGCAAGTAATAGTCGTCGTATTACTGGAATCATTCTATTTTATCATAAAATTTTGTCATAAAATTTTTATGACACAAGTTTATAGGCTACACGATTTAAGTAAGGGCACAGTTAGTCACTGCGTAAGTAGACGAGATTATGGGAATATGAAAATGTACGTTATGCACATATGTATATGCTCTAATTTTATGTATATGAATTTTATAAACTGAAAAATTTCTTGAGGATTTATTACATGTTTCGCACAATGTTTGCCTCGATGTTTTAATCAAATCAAGATCAGTCAGACCCAGAAACACATGTTCATCTTCAGGTATTGTACTACACTAAAGTATATACGACATACATATTGTGTTTTCGAAGAGAAATTCGGTGTATGCAATGTTTTTCCGAAATGATGCGAAGGATCACAAGTTGTGATTCACAACGAAGCAGATATTAAATGGGTAGTAAAAAAAATGCATATTCACGCAAAAATATGTCAAAAATACATATTTATTGCTAATCAATAACAAAATATGACAACATATTCTCTGTGTACCCTCATCCACACGTTAAAATTTCGAGAGTATCATTACATGAAAATAACGAGGATTCTTCTTTATCACACAGTTATCAAATAAAACCAGAACTTTACCCCGTAAATAGTTTCAGACAGAGCGTGGGTTTACCATTACCAATCAGTGGATAAAGTTACAATTTTACAAACCCTAAGAAGAAGGTGATACCAAAGTCTAAAATCAAATGCATTTAATATTATAAATGAATAATGAAAGCATTTCTTGAATATTACATGTTTCGCACAATGATTCCTTCAATGGCGTTTTAATAAAATCAAAACCAGTCAGAACCAGAAAAACATGTTCATTAAATTTACGTAAATTATTATACTTTCGAAAAGAAAACTTTTCCAGGTATTTCCCCGAATTGACAATCTGTCTACCCCCCACCAGACGACGAACAAAGGAAAATTCACGGTTCATAGCACAAAAATTATTCATGGCTGCCTGATTAATTTTTGAATGATCTCTCTTGATAATAGTAATTGTATCATATCGGTTGGAAATTTTGTAATTTAAATGAGCAAGTGAATGTATGTACAATGATTTTTATATAAATATTTATTGGTCCAAATAGTTTTAGGATTAGTGTTAGCAACTTTGTCGTTACAATTACATTACAATTCTATAAATCTATTTCAATCTTAGTTTAATGTTCAATGTAATTGCAAAAAAAGTCCCACAAAATTACATTTTCCACAGCTTTGATGTTTATTTTGGAATTTGCACAATTACGTAATATGTCAGGACGTCTTAGCTTTTTATGAGAATTTAAACTCCAACTGATTCAAAGTGAGCAAAAATTTTGCAATTACAAAGACAACATTTTCCAAAGAGACTTCATCACCGGGTTGTCGGTGAATGCCATCCTCCGTCTAAACTGATTCCCTTTCCTCGAAAAACCGTTTGGAAATAGCTCTGAAAAGGTTGTGGAACGCGTACACAGTGACAGTGATGATGGTAAAAAAGACGAGACCTGGAAATGGAATCACATATTTATTAATAAATATGAACACATCACTTAGGATTAATATTAAAGATTACGACTATGAAGTCAAGTATTTTATGGTTTGCAAATATTTTTTCAATTGAAGACCTAATAAGGTGACCCACACTGTCACCAGAAAAAAGTGAAATTTATAGAGAAATTGATGCACAACAAAAGTTCACTTTCTCCCGAAAGGGTGACACTTTCGAAATTATGAAGAAATCTATGAAAATAAAATTCCACTTGAATTACCGAATACGGTTGACATAACGTTATTGTCCACAGTCATTGGAAAACAAGAGGCAATTCCTCCTCCATGTCGTCCCCCACTTCTCTCCCCCTCGATAACATCGACCAGACCTCGGAGTCGCTCCAACTCCTTGTACACCCTGCATAACCCACACAAGATAACCAATTATGTTATTGTATGTTAAATGGGATTGCATGCTAAAGATTAATTCACTTGTCATCCGGAATACTGCCATGGATTAAAGGGGTAATAATATCGGAGTACATGTGATAAATTTTGGGGGTTGGGTGCAAAAAATCAAATAGTTTGCATGCTATCATTGATGGAGGCTTCCCACTAACACACTTACCCAGCATCCGAGTGATCGACATCCTCCAAATCTACCCGTCTTTGTCGCACGTGGGACTCGTCGTCATAATTAGTTGAAGAGTTTATGTCGTTGTGTGAGTAATCCATGACCTTTATTTATGTGTATATGCAAATGCTCCACGATAAACGCGTTCTATGAGATGCCACTTTAAATGGAAGAACCGTTAAATATATTTCAAAAATGTACACAGATACGAGTCAAAGGTAACAGTAGATTATTTTCTGTACTGAAAGTATTGATCGGTGAGATTATTTCCTGTGAGAATAGATAGAGAATGTGGGGGATACAGAGTCTCTCTCTCTCAGACGTCTTCTTCCCAGAATCTCTGAAAATGAGGGAAAGCGCATGTAATGTATGCGCAAACCGGGAGAGAGAGAGAGAAAGTGATAGAACAAAGCTGCAAATGCTCCTTGGACAATCTCACCGAAAATAGTTTCTCTCATATGTACATACATGTTTAGGTGAGTCTTACAACAAGAAATTACTTTATGGAAGCGGATATTAAACAAAAGTATTTATTAAAGTTATAGGAATACAGCTAATATGGTTAGCATATTCGACATACACATGTAGTAAAAGTCGGTAAAGTCAGTGAAGTAGTCAATACATAAAAAGGTTAATAAACAGGAAAGTAGTAGGAGATGGATATGTCGACAATTGAGAAACTCGAGCTCGTTAACCATTAAGCGAAGTCACCAAACATCACAGAAATAACAGGTAAAAAATGAATGTATCGAAAGGTAAAGTACATTTACATATGTAAGTAACATATGTAAATAATATGTATGTAAAACTACACTCGACTTCCTTCCTGCTCATTGATGAGATGTCGAATGAGTTCCAAGTTGGGTGACACAGGAATAGTGCTCGTGAATGGGTCAGACAGAGTCAGATGATGATTCTGTTCACTCTCAGCCGTCTGTGTTGACATGTCCCGCATGGGTGCGTTCTTGTCCGATTTGGAAAATGATGAAGTCGATCCTCCACAAGATGGGCAATTGACTACACGCTGCTTCCTCTTAGTTTCGTGTGTTGATGATTGTTCAGCTTCGGCCTGAAAAATTCATCATCATCATCATGATTTTTCATAACTATCAATAAATTATTTTCATGTCATCGTTCGTCGGATGGTACCTTTATGAAAACATCAGAAGAAGACGATGTTGACGTTGATGATGACAATCTATCTTTCTTTGGGGAAATATCCTTTGCGGGTGTATCGCTAGGGGTGGCTGGAACTGCAAACATTGATGAAATTACCTTCTTTGGCGAAGATAAAGGACTCTGGTTATTTTGCTTAGCAAGCATAATACTGACTCCCATGCTAGGTAACTTATTGGTCCCACTGGTAGTTCGTGATCTTGATTTACAAAAAAATTACAAATTCATTTTCTGGTATACAGTAATTCAGTAATTACTTTGTGATACGTACATACTATATGCATTTAATAAAGTACCTGCCCATATTGTCGGGAGAAAAGGGTCTGGAGAACGAACCACCAGCACCCGGCGTTGTAGGTGATGTTAATTCACCTTCAGATTTTTTTACACTTTTGATTGTAATGCTTGATATGTTACTGCTGCTGCCCCCGCTGATATTTTTCCCGTTGGAAAATCCCTGAAATAAAGAACCTGATCCGCTACCTGACCGCAAAACAGAAAACGACGTAGATGGAGGTGTAGAATAAGGGCTTCGATAAGGAGGTGCAGTTTGAGTGAAAAATCTTTTGGGAGATGAAGAAACTTGCGTCGGGGTCGGAGCATTGAACCATTCAGACTTGACAATTTCGCTGCTTTTCTTGGGGGTTGGCTTGCTGCTACAGAAGAGCAGGAATAAATTAGCATAAATACATAATATTATGTAAGAAAAACCGTTGATAAACAAAAACGTAAAATTACAAAATAAAAACACACCCGCTAATATTTGTCACAGAATTGGATGCGGTACTCGGTGTAGTGGCCGTTGCTACAATTGAGGCTTGCACGTTAGGTGTGGAATTTCCCACCAGTCTAGCACTCCGTAATAAATTATTTTTCCTCAAGACGAAGGAGCGGTTGTGATAAATTGGAGAGTCGTTTATAGAACACGAAGAACTGCTGCCGCCCCCATTTCCACGAGTACCGTGAGTAATTAAGGAATTTCTTCTAGAATAAGCCGGCGCTACAAAAACAACAAATCAAATTCTAAAATTCGATTTCAAACAAATATTTGATGACGCAGTTAGAATATTTTTACATACAATTTCCCAATGAGATAGACCTCTTGTAAACTGGCGGAGCTGATGATCGTAGTTTCTGATACATTAAATCCTTTGGCCCAGACGATGAAGCAGGTGTGCGGAACAAAGAGTCACAAATATCCTGTTTCATTAAGTGTCTCATCCACACTTCAAACTCAGATTGGGATTCAGCCGCAAGATAGAATATTCCACAAGCTCTTACGGTACCTATTATAGACAGTCAGTATGCATTATATTACTGAAAGCAGTCATGAATGAAAAAATGAAAAAATGAGATATGCAGTTTCACAACATACCATCGGCATCTGTTCCATCAAATACTTTAGTCTTTCCTTTAATATCGATTTTGAAGGCGAATGGTCTTGAGTGCACTTCTTTAGCAAGAGAGACTTCACAAGTTGAAATATTATCTTGATTCATGTTGATACAAAGTGAGCCTTCGGGATCTGAGCCAATTTGAAGAATTTTTATTGAATTCAGAGTTGCTGGATGTCTTGTCCAACGTGGATGTGGAGAGAATCCTAATAATTTTAAATTTATGAAAAACGAACTTGCATATGTGCATGAAAAATAATTAATGAGTTACAACTCACCAGTACCAGTACCGGAATTCAATGTCGACGTCAGACTATTAGATTTTACAAGCAGGTTTGATGGAGATTGACGTAAATGTAAAATTCCTTTGAGCACGACAGTAGGTTCAGTGATTCCCAAACTTGAACTGGGCAACATTTCTGTAATTTTATCTGGTGATACTGACGCAGACAATCTCCTTGGGACTGCGGACAAAGGCTTATCAGGGCTTGGCAGTCTTCTCTGCAACGGAATTGGCTGTCCTACTGGTGAGCAAGCTTTCTCGTCGACAGTTGTCTTAAATTCTGACTGAGTTAGTTTATTTGGAATAGTTGGCGATTTGTAACGTGGAGCCGGCGTAGGATATGATGATACTGTAACCCCAGAACTAGGTAATGATGGCTTTGGTAGAGGAACTGGCCTAGGAATGTCTGCTGATTTTGATTGGTCTACTTCTTCTTGTTGTCTTTCGATTTCTGGGACAGTTTGCATTCCCGAAGTTGTCTTTATCACCGGTTCTACAACGGGTTTATTAGATGCAATTATGGAACTAATTGCAGAGAGCTTTGCTTCTGATGCATCTGCTTTGGTAATGTCCATGTCTACCGAAACTGATGGTGGCATAGTTTGTCTGTGCAAGGTTGTATTAATATGATTTTCTACATGGCCCTGTTTCCTCAACCCTACACGTATCTTCTCAGGAGCAGATTTTGAGTTGATTAGTGGAGGTCGTAATTTACTCGAGTCAGCATTATCGTCGTCAAAAAAGGTAACAGGTGGCCTTGTGCTTGTGGGAGAAGCACCAGTGACGGTAGCCCTGCGTCGGATTAAATTTCTTGGTCTAGGATACAATTTCCAAAAGCGAGAATGCGCCGAGGAACTATTAGGACTTTTTGTAGAGGTTGATCCAGAGTGGGTATCCGAGCCGGAACCGGAACCAGAATTTAGGCCACCACCAACGTTTAAACCGGGCGATTTGGCACCAATCTCGCCAGTGTCATCCGAATCTATTGTGTCCAAAGACTGTCCCGTGGTTAATTGAGGGGTAGACGAAGAATCCTCTGCCTCCGAACCAGGAATCAAATCTCCAGTAGTTTTGCTAAATAAAATAGAAGCAAATTTTTTTAGTTAGTGGCAAAGCAAAGTAATGTATACACGTATATCCGTGTTATAACCATATCTCGAATGCGAAGAAATTCCAAAATTAAATATGAACCTTAAATTAGGCGGAAGTACACTTGTTTCTTCGCCCATGTTAACATTCAATAGGACAACAGGACTATTTCCACTGCTACTTGTGGTTGACGAGGAACTATTCTCATCCTCTGGGACTGGAGATATCGGCATTGATTTTTGATGACGACGAGACGAGGGTAGAGACATTGGAGCTGGAATCAAGCCACCTCCGGGAGACACGGTTAAGTGGTTGCAAATTTTATCAGTTGAATGTCGACCGTGACGTCTCTGAGATCTGAAAAATTATATTTGGATACAAAATTTGATAAAAAATTTATGCTCGTGTGCAAGAGCGTATGTATTACCTGTTTGTGCTACCCATAAGCTTATTACTTGGTCTAAGGTACATGTGGGCCAAAATATTAGCTATAATTATCATAAATAGAAAAATGTTTTTTACACACTGTGAAATATATTTGCTTCACAAGTATATATTCATACAAGTGCATGTTAATATGACCGTATTTACTATAATTTTACCTGTAGCATGTCTGGGTCGTCTCTTAATAGTTAGTATCACTTCATTGCAATCTTCATTGAGAAGATTAATCACATTTATTTGCGGCCATCCAACTACAGTCTGATAATTGATTTGCAGAATTTCATCTCCTGTGTCGGTACATTAAAGGGTGCATTAAAATCAGAGGAAAATTAAATGTCTGATATTTTTCAAACCTTTCTCTAAATGACCCGACTGTTGTGCGGGGCTGGATAATTTTACTGCAGAAACTTGGTGCAATCCAAAATAACTAGATTCCACATGGAGTCCCTGATACGTGACAAAAAGCGACACCATTTTAGTACGCGACAAATTAACATTACATTGATCGCCCAGCAGTCGTTCTAGATTTAATGCCTCAATGAATTTTTATTTATATCGTCTCACCAGCTCTTGCTCTGTCCGCTTTCTTAATGTTATTACATCCACTGCTGCAGGCTGAATGACGAGAGAATCTCTAGAGTGAATGAGCTCTTCGCAAATTTCAATAATCTTGGTACATAGATATTGAACTTCCTGCACAGCAATCACAAAAAAACAATATTACTAATTGATTATAGCTTGTGACTTTGTTCTCCATCAATCAATTCATTACCTCGATTGCATTATCCGCAAAGGAGTCCCGTTGACTCAACATGGCTGAAACAAAGTTTTGATTCAACATTTCACCATCTTGGCCATTTTCAAATTTTGCAATAACATCCAACTCACCCAACTCGAAACAGTGTTTGGTTAGTTTGACCGTGACCACATCATACTCTGAATTTCCCAAGAAAGGGAACCTTGTGAGCCATCGTATCAAGATTTTTGAGGAATCCAACAAATGACTAGCTGACGAGAGGGAGTCTGTTGGGATGTAGTTATTTTGGGTCCCTGGGGGTCCACTTGATCCACCTCCACCCCGTGAGGTTGACAACAATGACAGTTCCCCCCGATAATTGCGACATCTCACGGCCAAGGTGGATGCCAGGGACTGCAGGGTCATTCGTGGTGTGTCCAATTCGGATCGGAGGGCTAGAAAGACGTAGAAAGTTTTTAACATGTTTTTAGGCATTCTGTTCTTGCTTAATCCATTGCATGGTAGAAGTTTACGTTCATTTACCTTGGATTGCATCTTGAAGGAGGAGTTGGTCACCAACCTTCTCGACGCCGTAACGGCTCAGGTCCCCAGCCATAAGGTTGAGTAATAGACGACCAGAAACATTTTGTTGGAGGAAACAGGCCGAGTAGAAGGCAAATCCACGTTCGGTTGGGGTTGGATTCGCATTCGTCTCCAAACCTACCACACGAAAAAATGTTATTAGCCTACTGTTATCAGGAATATTGAGCAGGATAAGTTGTAGTGTAATACAATACAACTGCTAGCACTGTGCAAACACGAGTAGAATTTGTATTTAATATTTTTATGGACACACCAGCAATCCAATACGCCACATCGAAAGGGCTCCATGACTCGGCGTTGAGAGACATATTAGTCGCAGTTCACATACTTGTGTTATCAATTTAATTAATTGATCAGTAACTAATTGGAAATTTCTTGAAAATTTCCTAAAATAAGACTGAAATGAGACATTGAATGGTTGTGCGCGTCACAACCTCGAGAGTAAACCCAGAGAATAATTTCGAGTGCCTGCCCAACTTGAGATTTTGCCATGATTGATTTTATAGAGTCTAACTCAATACTCTGTGGTGTAAACTGCAGTCACGGACATTTAATAGTTAGTTATTTAGGTTAGGTATTCCATTCAGATAAGCCATTCAAGGATTATTTTGAATTTGCATAATACCATTTATTGTCTGCATGTGGTTTACATTCAATTCAATGTGCATAATAAATGATTATTTACTAATTCAAATCATTGAAGATTGATTTGTTTAAAAAGTGTGAAAATAAACAATTTGGACGTCAGGTTATTTTTGTGTTGTGCTTTATTGCAATGCAAAATTAAAGAGAAAAGTGGTACAAAATTCAAAAAAAGAATGACATATAATCAACAAAGTGTCACTCAAAAAGCATAATCATTAAATTAAATTAACATGGGTGGCAACAAATACATATTTTTAATGCTTTGCTAGTCACATTGTACCGGATATGAGTTGAGTAGTTCCGTTGTTTAGAGAATCCATGAAATGACTTTTACAATTACAAACACTAATAATACAAATGCAAAATCAATCAATTCGCTTCAAATAAAGTCATGGTCGGTATATAGAGCGAAATTTCGTTTAAATCTAGAGTATATTATGCGAGTGAGGCAGACAGGTATTCCATAAAGGCAGACTATAAGGTGATGCAGATTGTGATATTTTCGACTTGGTTTGGTCAAGATGCTGTTGCTGAAAATTCCTGCAATAAAATTGCATGATTTAACATCATTTTCATAAGTTTCACTTTTATTCCATACAAATAAAAATTACTCACTTTGGTTAATTTTCCTCAGCATCACCCTCAGCTTCCTCATCAAAATCGCCCTCTTCATCGGCGGTGGCCTCCTGGTACTGCTGGTACTCGGAGACCAAGTCGTTCATGTTGGACTCTGCTTCGGTGAACTCCATCTCGTCCATGCCCTCCCCAGTGTACCAATGCAAGAAAGCCTTGCGTCTAAACATGGCAGTAAACTGTTCCGAAATGCGCTTGAAGAGCTCTTGGATGGCGGTCGAGTTGCCGATGAAAGTGGCCGACATTTTGAGTCCTCGGGGAGGAATGTCGCAAACGGCCGTCTTCACGTTGTTGGGAATCCACTCCACAAAGTAAGACGAGTTCTTGTTCTGAATGTTGAGCATCTGCTCGTCCACCTCCTTCATGGACATGCGACCACGGAAGATGGCGGCCACTGTGAGATAACGCCCATGTCGAGGGTCGCAGGCAGCCATCATGTTCTTGGCGTCAAACATTTGCTGGGTGAGTTCGGGGACGGTCAGAGCGCGGTATGACTGAGAACCTCGCGACGTGAGTGGAGCAAATCCTGGCATGAAGAAATGAAGACGAGGGAAGGGTACCATGTTCACGGCCAATTTCCTCAAGTCAGCGTTTAGTTGACCTACATGTAACATGGACAATTAATATATGTCTGTCATGTATTTAATTAGAAATACTATTATTTTACTCACCAGGGAATCGGAGACAAGTCGTGACACCGGACATTGTAAGGGATACGAGATGGTTCAGATCTCCATAAGTGGGTGTGGTTAGTTTAAGAGTCCTGAAACAAATGTCGTACAATGCCTCATTGTCGATGCAGTAGGTTTCATCGGTATTCTCAACCAATTGGTGGACGGAGAGGGTGGCGTTGTAAGGCTCGACAACCGTGTCAGACACTTTTGGAGAAGGCACGACCGAGTAAGTGTTCATGATTCTGTCTGGGTATTCCTCACGAATTTTGGAAATGAGAAGAGTTCCCATTCCTATTGTATATTTGAAAAATGGAACATCATGAGTAAAAACTGAATCACGCCATCCACCATAAATGTAAAGCTGTGCATTTAAAAATGAGCAATAAAATTGTCTTACCAGATCCAGTGCCTCCGCCCAACGAATGCGTCATTTGAAATCCTTGAAGGCAATCACAACCTTCTGCTTCCTTTCTAACGACATCAAGAACAGAATCGACCAGCTCAGCCCCTTCCGTGTAATGCCCCTTGGCCCAGTTGTTTCCAGCTCCAGATTGTCCAAACACAAAGTTATCGGGACGGAAGATTTGACCAAATGGTCCAGATCGGACAGAGTCCATTGTTCCTGAAATATTACAATAAATGATTGTACAATTTGTTTCCCAGCTGTTGTAGATTGGTTGATTCTGGGGTTTAGTTTAAAATTCAACTTTCAAGGATGTCAAACTTGCAAAACTAATTGCTTCCAGCAGGACAAACATCATCTACGTGGATGAGATATTGCTTATATGATTTTGAAAGAATAAATATATAAATTTCCGTACCTGGTTCGAGATCAACAAGCACAGCACGAGGAACGTACTTGCCACCACCAGCTTCATTGTAGTATACATTAATCCGCTCTAGTTGTAGATCAGAGTCGCCATGATAGGCACCGGTGGGGTCGATTCCATGTTCATCAGAGATGATTTCCCAGAACTACGTAGAACAAATCAATCAACCAAATGAATTTTTAAAATGGATACAAAAACCTCCCGTTAGTGTAATTAAAACAGGAAGTGTATGCATGCTCATTTTTTTCCCGACCACAAAAAAAAACTCTTCCTCAATCCTCTTCCTTCCACCCCACCCAATTTCTCGTAAAAATGTAAATTTCGACTTACCTTTGCTCCAATCTGATTTCCGCACTGTCCAGCCTGAATGTGTACAATTTCCCTCATATTGACACAAATGAATGTGTCTGGTTGGTGAATGTTTCTCAAAATTTCAACAAAAACTGGAAACAAAAAAGTATTTGTGCACGAGGAGTTGAATTCTGTGCTTCCACTTGGCAGGAGAGACGAAGCGAGAGTGAAGGAAGGATGGACGCCGGCGGGGGAAACGGACAAGTCCTCATTTCGCAGGGGCGACACTACGTTTACTTTTTTCTATAAATTCAACATAAAAATTCGTAATTTTGATTTTCAAATGGTCTCAACCATTGTTAAAGTTGGTTATTTAAATTGTACTGTGTGAGAGCGTGCTAAAGTTATGGCTGGTACGCCCTTTCTCATTGCTCCTGGTTGACAGAAGTTATTATAACAGGGCCGAGATAGCGTGTGAGGATGGGAAGAAATCTGAGTAGCCTATTGGAGGGCAGGCTAACGGATAAATTTATCTTGGTGAGTGAGGGAGCGAAAAATTGCACTTATTTGCATACAATAATGCCAATCTTTCAAAGATCATCTCTGCATATTATTAGATTCATCTTCCAAATTTTTGACAGTTGATTGCTGCTCATGCAATTATGCAAAAAAATCAACCTGTTTAACGGTTACTTCATCAATATAAATTGAAATGCTTAGTTCAAAACTGGATGGATGGATTAAATGGTCTAAACATATTTAATTTATTGATAATTTCAGGTTTATTTTTAGTAGTACTAAATTAAAATTACTACGCTTTATGTGGAAAACTTGATCATTTTGCATTATATTTAGTTTAGTCATTAGTGCATGGATAAATAATTGAGTAGTTAAAGTCTCCAAAAAGATTTTGCCAACGCCAAAGTTGGCTTACATTTTTGATACAAATTGTGACCGTATATGGTAGAGTACAAGCTCTTTGCACCTGTCATAATTGAAATACTGTTTAAAATCTAGAGGAACGCATGTCATTGTGACTTCAATTGTGTTCTCTAAATCTAAAGGTCTTGGTAAACATCCTGGAGAGAGGCCGAGTTGAGTGTCGAGTTGTTCTAGAAAATGGTTATGCATGGGAGCACATGAATCCATGTCGGCCAGAGTAAATACGTATCTGCGAACAAAAGATAATTAAGGACGCAATTGATGCATATATCAAATTAACGGTTGACTTATTTACAAACCTTTTTTCCAAAGCCACGTAAATATCTTTCGAGCGTTTTTCTCCAGCAGTGAGTATTTTCCTCAGTGTGCGAATAAAAGCATTGGTGATTTCCACATGATAAATTACTATAATTAGGTTAGGTAGTAGAACATACACGATTGACCAAAATTATCTCGAGTTATTTCCTTACCATCAGCTACAACAACTACATCAGAAGACGAGACGACATGTGTTAGTTCCTGTGACCAAGTCTCAGCCATGAAATCTAACGGTAGGATGGATGGAGTCTTTCCCTGGCCAATTAAATCTTTGTTGTGAGCAATGTTAGCCTTTAAAAGATTCATAATTGATGGTTCGTTAAGATCTAAGAACATGTAAACGATATACACAATATGTACTTCAATTTTATGCATTATGTTAATATTCCGCAATGATTACCGGTGAGAACAACATTCTTCGCAAACAGTGACGCCACAATTCCAACGAGTCCTGTGCCGGAACCAACTTCTAGCACATTCTTCCCTTGAAATTTGGAGGCATTGTGGATCACAAAATCCGAGAGAAGAAACGCCCCACGCCAAATTTGTAACCCTACGAGGTCGAGGCTAGTTGAATTTTCGTACTCTAAATAAATAAATAAGCAATAATTTAAAGATCTTCACTTTAAAATTTAAAACTCTGGCTTGCATCAAAAATATAACATACCTATTAGAATGTTAAGTTCCTTGTCGTTACGTTCTTCTGCATTACGGAGTAGGATCAAATCCCCGTCTTCATCTTTCAGCAGTTCATGATTATGGGTATTATCCACACGGGTATTATCCTCAGGACGATGTTCTGTTGAATCGTCAGTACAATCTTGTAAAAACCGTTTTTCTGCTGCTGGTACGTTGAATATGATTGTGGCAACGAGATCTGCATAAAAGTAATATATTTTCATTTATTAGTACGCTGTTCATTCATTGGACATAGATTCCGAATACGCTTCATAAATATACAAACTGATGAGATCACATGCAAATGTTATTGCACGCTACAATACAGTTACATCATTTACATGTATCTTGTGACTTACTTGAAGGTTTTTGTAATGGGTTAACCACATTATTATGTTTAGTCACTTGGACCAGAAAAGGGTTGACCTCCGAGACCACTTTGTCGTCCGGACTCATGAACTTGATGTTGCAAGAGGGAGTGCTTTCATCCACGGACTCAGAAGAGGACATGGTAGAATGCAGATCAATAGCGTGATCCTTATTTGAGATGCAAAAATCTCTTATATTTCAAATTCCCTTGTTTTCAATATTTATAATTTACTCGCGTTTGAAAGCAGCTGCAAAATGTATGAAACACGCGGAGACAAGTATAGATCAACTTCAATGGGAACACAACATGCGGTTTATTTTTATTTCTTTTTAGATTTGGTTGCCAGTTACAAAGGATGTCATTTATTAATGTAATCGAACGAGATAGCAGCGATACAGTTCCAAATACATGGAATAGATTAAAACATGGTCTTAAAAAAGTTAAGCAGGTACAGATGAATTGGGTAATATTTTTTAATTACATGGTATTTCCATGTATTACAAGTAGGTCTTACGTTGGTTAAATTAACAGCGATTTTAGAATGAGGTTTTCAAAACATGCATCAAATAGTGAATGAATCTATAAAGCTAACAACAAAATGGTCACAACTAATAAAGGTCAAGTGGATTCTGCACACAATATTTACTAATAAATTATAATAAATGTGAATAAGTTGCTTATCTGGTTTCAAGGATGATAAAATTATAAACTCACGAGTCATAATAAATAATAGCAATGCAATTGTGAGGGTTCAATGGCAATATACGAAGGACTAATGAGTAATGACGTGTTTGTTACATGTACTTGTATTGCATTACTTATTGGCATTGAGCTACACCCGTCTTGTTACCAAACAATATATGAGGTATAACATGATAAATTTTAAAAGTTACTAGTTACTAGAATTTCACGTTAATTAAAGTTTTCATTTATCTCCGTCACCTCCTTCAGTTTGAGTCTTCTCTTTTTCTAGTTGTTGAATATCAGGTAAAATAAACTCTCGCAGTTTTCCATATGCCTTGTCCACCTCATCGTTTACTATCACCAAATCAAAGTTTCCTGGAGTGATTCCTATATAAAAATGCAAGCAGTCTCTTAATCTGACTTTAACAGAGACTATCCTTATGAGCTGAACTTTTAGCTGTATAGTTAACTTACCATAATCAATCTCGGCCTGTGCAACGGCTAACCTTTTGGCCAAGGACTCTTCTGTCTCGGTACCCCTGTCAACTAGTCTTGCTTTCAGGGTGTTTAGACTCGGAGGATTAATAAATACGAGCCTCTGCTTAGATTGGAAATCCGGAATTTGTTTGAGTTGTTTGACCCCTTGCACGTCAATGTCCAGGATGCAAATTCTTTGAGTGTACAACACATCAGAGATAGATTTCTTGCTGAAAATACAATCATCCATCAAAAACTACTGATTATTGAGATGTATTATCATGATATAAATATTTGGGTGAAGCAATTCACCTACCTGGTGCCATAAATGTTTCCCGAAAACTCTGCAAACTCGACAAAGTCGCCATTCTTAATAGCTTGTTGCATTTCGTCACGAGTCACATAATGGTAATCGACTCCGTTCGTTTCCCCTGGTCGTGGCGATCTCGTCGTATGAGAAATGGAAAAGCCAAACTTGTTATCAAACTCGGACAACAGCTTCTTCAGCAGAGTAGACTAGAAGATCGGATAATAACTCATTAAAAAAATATACAATGAATACGACAGACAAATTTAATACTTCTATCTTGTGCAATAAGCAAATAAGTCCATTTATTTTTAAATTACACTACTTATTATTAGTTATTACTGTCATACTATATCATTTATTGTGCTTTTGCGTAACCTTAAATATTTCCATTTCAGCATTTATTCCACCCGACTTTGCATGCAATTACAGACGCAAAAGGAGTATAGCGTATAGGAGAGGAGCGTTGCGCAAACAGTTGTCAATGAAGTAAATCAGGAAAATGGGCTACAAACAAGCTACGAAATATTTTCAATTAATAAATACCAACCTTTCCACTTCCCGAAGGTCCACAAAGAACTAAAATTGGGATTTTACTCGCAGCAAGAACTCCACTTCCCAACGTTGACATCTTCAGTAATTGGTACTTCTTCAATTTCACAACAGAAGGATCAAATTTTATTAAATGTGTACAAATTGGGCCTAGCACTGCAGCAAATTGTAGTAACTCACGATAAAATATGACATCAACCCAGACGGGATTATGATAATTTGAGACTATTAATTTTGATTTGATTACTAATTTCTAATTAAATTGCTAATTTCAGTTTCAATATGTCAAACTTTGACAGTCAAAGTACAATATTTCATGGATTTTGGAAAGGAAAATCTGAGTTGGCTACCGCCACTCCTGGAGTTTGAGAAATGGGCAAACCAATTCAATAGAACGGTTTTCTCGACGTCAGACGAATGCGAAATAATTTCCATGCGATATGAAACCACCCAACTCTCGAGTTTGGTCACAATACAATTAGTGATAATTGGATAGGGGATTATTTTCGGAATCAAATTACAAGTTCTATCAAGGGCAATTTAGTTATATCCAATCACGCATGTACGTCAATTGTCTTGCAATTAGAAATAGGCTATGGCATTATTCATAATCCATCAGTCAAATCCGACTGCAGACTTTATTTTTGTGAGCCGTAATTGGATGTGCTCCGAACGAACATAAAAGTAACAAACGGTTCTGAAAGCCAATAAAATCAATTATTTAATATATACTAAACTAAATCCATGTGTATCATTTCTTCTTAATCTTAGCCACTAATTGAGGCCCTCAATTCAATTTGTACATAATAAATATGTAGTATTTACATAGCCGACAGTTGCCAGTCTCGCACACAATACTATGCTAGATTTATTTTAGGATAATGAATGTCTTCCCAAAATACAAAAACAATAATTTGATTAACTTTGCAAGCAAAAAGCTACATCACGAAGGACGCCCATGTTGCTGTCGTAGTTCACTATATCCATTACTCGTGCCCAACTCCTTGTCGCATTCTGAGCAGAAATGTACGAAATCGTCGTAATATCCTTTCATACTCCACCACAGGACCAGACATATTGATCCAATTGCAAGGAGAACAGCAACGACGAGAAGCAATGTTCCAACAGACCAACGAAATAACAGGCCAAACACAAGGACGGGAACAATGCAGCAGATAAGAAATCCGCCGAGGTACAGAAGTTGGTCGGACTCTGTGGTCGACAGCAAGTTTGTCCGCTTCTCCAGCCGTGTGGTCATCTCGCGCCTACAAAATGGGCACACGAGCTGGAGGGGGCACCGACCTTCCGCCGAGATGGCGGCAGACACGTTCAGAGCTAAGCTTATCGAGGCCTCAGTATTTCCTCCTCCTCCTGGTGGCTCATTTGTCGTCGCTGGTAGCGTTTCGGTATTTATGGGAGCAACCTCCTCCTCCAATGGTTTTGACATGTTAACCAATCTAGAAAAATCGGGGCAACAATAAATATTCATTTGTTGTATTGAAAGTTTAGCAGCATTTCTGCAATTTACCATTTTTCTAAGATACATAATTGTACTTACAAAAAAGCTCAAGTCAGTTAATGATTAGTTAATAAAACGTCTTCAACAGCTGGACCTCATCTTTCTGTAATGATTATTATTTGCGCATTATAAATATAAACTATAGCATATGTACGTTGTTTTTGCACTATAGCAGAAACCAACTTGCATGCAACTTTAGTAAAACTTGCAAAACATGCGTTATTCTGTTTTTTGCTGCTGAATGTTGATTGTTGAATCTGGCCTGGTATACACACATAATGTACATGCCTGTTGAAAATGTAATCTGAAACTTGCCATTTGGCATAAAACCATTATAAATAGTTTCGTTGAACTAATTTACTAAATTCAATCAAATTGATATACTATAGTTTTATGTACGTAAGCATGTATGTACGTATGTACGTATGTACATAACACCTTGTTTCATATCTGTCATCTGTAATTTAAAAAGTTTACGAGAAAATCATGCACGCAAGAAATAAGAACACACACCTTGCACTAATTTTGATGCAAAATCATCACTTATCTATGAATAAAAGCAAAAGCTGATTTATCGAATGGTTTTAGTGTAATTTCGATTAGAAGATGCCAAGATTTGCTTAACATCGATCGATATAAACGAAAATGTTGAAAGTTTCCAATATTTATCCCATATTATTCTCCTTGCAATTTGTATTGTTATTTTGGGGTCAATGGGTACTCCCTCAACAGGCACCTCCCTTCCTCGACAAGTTCTGCATCCTTTGCAACAATACCTGTGAAAATGGCCCCAATTTTCATCGATGGATCGTTGAAGAACAGGTGGTGGCTCCCGACAATTTTGAGCAAGTGGGCAAAGTAATTAATGGACAATTTCCTGGACCCACAATTACCATTGGTACATTTCAGCATTTGGTTGTGCTGGTGAAAACAAAATTCAATTACGCCACAGTCTTTTTTCATCAAATTCATTTTCGTGTACTTGATTTGATTCCTGTCTCAGGTAGAGAACAGACTTTCTGTACCACTAACGATCCACTGGCATGGTTTGCATCAACAAAGAACTGTCGCCGCGGATGGCGCAGGTGAAATAGATATCTCTAGATATGTATATTCTATTATATTATATCATATATCTATATTCTGTGGCAGCTCTCGTCACACAAGCCGACATACCACCCAATGGAAAGTACACGTACTGCATGTTTATTGAAGATGAGCCTGGAACTCATGTAACAATTAGATCAGAAGCTACTATTTGAATCATCGAGCTTCTAAATAGCATAAATCACTATGTAATTGTGTGCATATGTAGATGTACCACGCTCATACAAACATCGATATTATTTGGATTCACGGGGCGCTTATCGTCAAGGATAACAATCCACCAATCTGGGCAAAGACTAGAGATGCGAGCAAGTATCACTATGATGAAGAGCGGCTCCTCATTCTGGAACAACTTTTTCACGAACCTGTTGAACGTTTTTTCCAATCTCTGACCACCGCAGGACTAGCGCGGCCCGCAACGCAAAGTCTGATGATCAATGGTCAATCCTTCGGAGTGTAATGCTCATAAGAGTCATATTATTTTCCACTTGATACCTGTGACGTGCAAAGGCCTCTGCTCATAGGGTTTGAAATATGCAGGTGGCCAACCAGCAATTCTGACGCCAAAGGATACTCCGTTATCAGCGTTCAGCGAATGAAAACTTATCGATTTAGATTAATTAACTTGTCTTCCGAGTTGATGTTTAGATTTGAGATTGAGGACCATTCCTTGACCGTGATTGAAATGGACGGCATAATCTGCGTTCCAGTCAAAGTTGACCACGTGGATATTCATACTGGACAGAGATATTCTGTCCTTGTCACGATGGATCAGCCCGTAGGAAATTATCTCACCCAGATCATACAAAATCCTGGACCAGGACCGTTAAATGGGGTCGCCATCTTGCATTACGAACATGCTGCTGATCCAACGCCACTACGGAAAATGGTATATAAATTTGTACTTGATTATTTGCACACAATTTGATCATAGTGAATACTATGATATGCCTACAATTATGTTGAATTGGTTATAAATGATATGTTATCAAGTTGTATTGTACAAATTTATTATTTCTGCAATTTCCTAAAGTCAAGACCAGGTGCTTCCACTCCCATCGTTACGGATGAGTGGATCGTGTCCCAGCTATCGCCCAATCCTATTTTAAAGCAGAGCCGAGTCTATCCTGTTCCAAAAACGGTAGACAGGACAATTATGATAGATTTTCAATCACAGATCGTCGGTGGGTTGGCTACAATTCAAATCAATGGCCACCAATTCCGTAGCCCAGAAATTGCTTACTTGGATCAAATCCGGGATGGCGTAAATGTGACGGATAATTTGCAAGTGTTTGAGATTTTGCAAGGACAGCACATTCAACTTATCATGCAGGTACCTATGTGAACATGCATAATTTACAAATTAGATAAATCCTCACATCCCTAAATAAGTATGTATAAGTAAATAAGTATGGTTTGTAGAATCGAGCTACAAACCCTACCGGAAACTGCGGAACTCACCCATTTCACTTCCATGGTTCGTGGCCACCTTAGCTTTTAATATTAAAAACGAGCTCAACCACGATAAATTATGTACCTTCAGCAAGTTAAATACCAGTGCGGATTAAACACAAGTCGCTTATAATAATAAATAGGACGCTACTTTTACGTTGCCGCAACCGGTCCAGACGTGTTTGACCCAGAAAGAGACGGACCACTGATTGATGAAAATGTGAGAGCGTCAGGGGGACGGCTGCAATTTCGTGATGTTTTTGTCCAATATCCGGAACGCACGCTGGCTACAGGTGGAGGCTGTGGATGGGTGGCCATTAGACTAATCGCCAACAATCGTAAGCCATAATATTGACATAAATTAGTTGCCCTCTCCTGTTTAAAGTACACCCGAATTTTACGTTGACAGCGGGTATCTGGCTAACTCATTGCCACATAACGTCACACATGCTGGTAGGAAAAATGTTTGTGCTTTGGGAACATAGTGACCTGAATCCCATCCTCCTTGGAGAATGAATCATTCTGAATGATGCATATTCTGGTATAAAACCATGAAAATTTGTGGACAATGTGTAGCAACTTTTAACTTTATGAAGTCAAATTATAAGATCCATTTTATAAGCTATAAATAAATATTCCCAGACAATTAGTTGATACGACTGATGTTGTGAATTACCTTATTGTCATATGAAGACATCATTATTTGCAAGAACACTTATATTTTATTGAGAGAATTAATTTAGGCCTGCACATTAGGTTGACCAAATAATAACAAAATTTACGTACATACAATTATTGACAATCTTTGGATAAAATTAAACAATGCAACTTGTTGAATGAAACAAAAGTTTAGATCGTGGGTGGTTCGATGTCATTCGACTCCACCTCCACTGGGGTTGTACCGTAATGGCAATAACAGACTTTTGGATAGCACCAATACACTGGATAACCAATTGCGCCACAATTATGAGAACACTGAGCAGTAGATAGGCCACCACAAGAGCCTGCAATGTGAAAAACAAATATTTGAGTACATGTTCCGATTCCAATCTGAACTGCATAGATCGTACGCAAGTGTTTACACTTAATTATCGCAAATAAATAACTGATTGGACTTACGACCGGCAGAATTAATGTAGTAAAGTCCCAAGTCGGCTGGACCCTTGACTTTGTTTTTCAATGGAGTTGCCCCTCCAACGGTGGATTCCTCCAACGTCTTTACAATCACTGGTGGACTCTGATAACTGTAGTGAAAATCAATCCTGTCCAATTGTTTACTGTCGGCGACCATTGCGGACCCCGTAGAAACTGACGAGACCAGAATCAAGCTCAGCAAAGCAATTGCGGTCAGGGTACACACTTTCATTGTGGTTATTTTTAAAATATCCTGATATTTTGCAAACTTTTTGAAAAATTGTCGAAACGTCTCCAGTTCAAAATCAATAGTTTTTGTGAGACCTAGGAAGAATAAAACGTATGTAGAGGTCAATATGCTTATTTGTACTAATGGGCATACGTTACCTTATGCCGGTTTATAAACCCGATGACAAAAATGATAAAAGTGTACCTCAGATTATTAAATTGCTTATCAAAAGCAAGTAAACGCCGATGCAAAGACAATATTTAATTTACCTGATGGATGTACTCTCAGCTCAGCGAAATCAATACATGCACATAATCTATACGTATGCACACAAAATGTACTAAATTTTCTTCTCATAAATGGAAATGAACATGCGATAGTGAGTCATGAAAAAGTTGACCTCCTTCTTCATAAAAGAAGCACGATATTAGAAGGATGTAAGTGAGGTACATGTTATGATGTATGTATTTGTATTTTGGCTATGTACATATTTATAGTGTGCCGAGCCGAATGTACTCTTCTGGACAAACCATTATCTAAAACCTTCATAGCTTTGCATTGGTTATTTTATTTACGAATTACAAATGTATTTAATTGTGTTTAATGTTATTTATTCATGCACAACAAATTCGGTTTCTATTTTAGGTTAAGTATACATACAATGCCACGACAGGGTTCGATGGATATGGTAGATTTTGTGCATATGTAAACGGTACATAAATGTTCTTTGTTACCTTTCGCAAACAAGGCAAGTTTTTGAGTCGAAAGATAAGGGAATCTAGATCGCTTAGGATTACATAGTATGCACTGGATGCCTGAGGGAGTTAGCATGAATTTGAGCAATTTTCAACATTATCAAATAATGATATATATATTTCTTGCTGAATTTGTTCATCATCTATTTATTCTCAAGAGAGAGTACTGCTACAGTCAATGGAACAAGTATAGGCACCACCCACGCAAGCTACCTAAAATTGCCTATAACTTTGGAATGCATTATCAAATTAGCATGAAACTTTGTACACATTTAGTAAATCTAATGTTGTGTTCGATTATAATCATTTTCCCGACTGAAATTATATAACCGTAACGTTATTCTGATTTTGATACGAACACGTCAGGTTGGAACCTGCAAAAAGTATTGGTACCTTATGTCTTAATTATTTGAGCGAAATTTTTATAACGATAAACCTCTGCCTTTTGTCACGGTAAGTTAATCAGATCACAAAATATAACTTTATCTGCTTCGTAAGTCCAGATTGGTATTGTCTACAGCCAAAATTGCGACACCAAACGAGCTATTTTTGGCGGAGCGAGAAATAATCTTGCCTCCTTCTCAAACAAGCTTGGATATCAAAAACTCAGACAGGAAACATGCTCCGTGATATTTACTATTCGAAATGTAGCCAAAGAACATGAAGCAATCATTTTAGTTCCTGCTTTCTTATGATCCAGCTAAAAAAGCCGCCTAATCCTAAACTCAACGGATTAATCAAGCAAATTATCACTCGAGATCGGAATATTTCAACCTCCAAAATCATATTGAATTTGAGTACGAACTGTGGGGTCAACAGATCATGCAATGTGGTGATCAATAAAAAATCATGCGTTGGGGTTTTAGGGTCCAGTTGCCCAACAAACGCGAGGGTCCTCAAAACGAAGAAGCTCAATAAATTGGAGTGGGGTAAATATCACCCTAAATAGACTTTCATTGAGTAAAGAACGGTCTGCTACTTCGACATAGGCCAGTATTAGTCATTCGGAGCCAATTGAATGGTCCAAGTCTGGCGGATGCCATAAAAGGCTCACAAAAACGAATATGTGCATATGGCAGTTAAACACAGCGTAGGATCGATTGTGGTTTGGGGTTAAATGACTAGGTCGCGGCGTAGTTACCTGGTCATTATCGACAAAGGCATGACCAGGGAGGTCTTATCAATCACTACAAACCATAATTTGAAATCATTTGACAAAAACCTGACCTAGGAAGGAATTTCATATTCCAAAAATGCAGTGACCCCAAACATGTAGCCAAATTAACGGTGCAAGTTTTTGGAGACTGAAAATATTAAGCTTCTTTCGTTGGCCGCACAGTCTTCCGATGTGATTCTGAATGTCCGGGTTGAGAAAAGAGGGACTGATGGGAAACCACTCGTCGAAAAACGACCTTGTCAAAAGTTCGGAATAAGTTTTGGCAGCCATATAGAAAGGCGTTATAAAAAAACTTGTCGAATCAATTCAACGGCCTATTTATGCTCTTATTGCGTCGAGGGGAGGTGCCACGTAACACTAGAAGCAGTGTGACGTAATAAAATTGGCGATTCTTTGATTTATGATTTTATAAGTTATAGGGTGCCAATACTTTTTGCGGGTTAATTTAACATATTTTCCAACAAATTATTTAAAAACTGTGTTTATCCAATTTTAATCAATAAAACATGATTATAATCGAACACTACATTAGATTTGCTAAATGTGTACAAAGTTTCATGCTAATTTGATAATGCGTTCCAAAGTTATAGGCAATTTTAGGTAGCTTGCGTGGGTGGTGCCTATACTTGTTCCATTGACTGTATGTTCGTTTTTGCGTGTTTAGAGTACTGTGGGCATAAATCATACTAGTGGCTCATCTTGAATGGTCATAAAACTGCGTTATTTCATTGTATCAGGGTCAATTACTGAATTTCACCTGAATGCATTATTATATTAGTATAAAATCTGTTTTTATTTGGACTTACTTAATTATATGAAGTCATGAATTTATTTGTCACTACTATATACATAACCAGTCTCCCTGATTATGTATAGTGCAAGCAACATCAAAATATACTACATACAGCCAATCATTGTGCAATGTAATTGTAATTAATGTAATATGATTAAAGAATGCTTTAATAGCTTTGGCATAAAACGGTTTGTCCGAAAATATTTTTCAAGAACGATTAGAAAGTAAAAACAACAAATAGGCAAATATTTAAAGCAAGAAAATGAAAGTTGTTGTAATTAACAAATGACAAAGGAGTACGTATATTCATGTGGCAAGTACAGCTTGCGTGAAGATAAAAAGATAACTTTTCAAATCAATTCTTGCACCGATCTGAATTTTTGTGTGGTTCAAATATATTCAAAAGAAAGCGGTACATAGTTGATCCTTGCAGACATTGGACCCGTAAGAGCCGAAGCCAAATAAAAAAAATGTGTAGTTTTTTAATCGATCATAGTTTTTGTGATCTCTCCTGAAGGTTACTTCTGCCAACAATTTAACACTTGTATCTTTGACAGTTTGAGGCTATTGTTGAAAATTAATTCAAGTTAATTGAAGCTGATTAGAATTGAAGTTAATTTTCAGGAAAGTGAGAGTCTTATCTCCGCACACGCGTAGTATTAATAATTGTGCAAATTAATCATAATTATGAATAAGCTATCGGTGTCAACACACATGTAATAAAAATTTTATAATTTGGTTACTGCAGGAAATAATTTAAACTTTTATACACTCTCCAGCATAACGCTTCTACAAATCTAAAATGTCACTACAGATAGTTGCTCATACACAACGCCAAACTCTGCTGTCTAATTCCAACGTTTTTATTCTTATTGGTTATTACTTGTCCCTAACTAATTTGGGTTCTGCCGAAGAAGGTGGTCTGAAATTCGGATACAATGGAAAAGTTTATAGCTTCTCTACGGCCACATGCCCAGGCGGAGTATTTTTCAAAAAACCCCTGAAGCTCGATTTTCTGTGTCCAAATGGATAGTACGTGTTTGATTAACAGATATAAATTTACAATATCAACGTCATTATATCAAAGTAAGCATAAATTTTTATTTCCAGTTTTTTAAAAAGATCAAATGGATGTTCAAACAAAGCTGAGGAAATCATTAGTGCAGAAAACTTCAAGTGTTTTCGGATTAAAAAGCACGAGCTCAGGGTAGCGAGTATATTTCATTCATATTTAATGCACATGCGTATATTTAAAACCCATGAAATTTATTATTTCTTGGCTGGTATAGGTTCAATCGTTAATATCGATGACCAATCCGGATTATCCAACGGCTCACACAGTCACGCTTTATGATGACGAGGTATTTCTCAAAGGGTTCAGGAGGTACGTATACATTTCACTAGTGGATAAACACGTGTATGTAAGGTAACTCCAAAGAGGGAAAAGGTCTGACCCATTTAGTCCCATTTCATAATCAGGTACACGGTCGAGTCTGCTGTGAGAAAATCTTACATCCCAAACGAAAATGAAACTTCCGTGATAATTGTCATCAATCCTCGGCACACACAACCAATGAAGATCGGAGGGTTATGTTATAAAGGAGTCGCAAATGGCGAGGGATCAGCTTTCAAAGTGAAAATTAAGGGCTACAAAAACAAAGTTTTCGGTGAACACATTTTTTGTGCATCAAGCCAAAACCATATTTTCATCTAGTCTGGATCATTGCAATAATATCAACGACTATTACTCTGTAGATTCAAAGAACTTTTTCAAAAAGGGTTGTGGGAAATTTACAACTCCTGTCGTTCTAGAAGATGGTCAACGATTTCGTATACTAGTTGATCGAGGTTGGTTGGAAGTATTTTTCAAAACCAAGTCATATGATGAGTACTCAAAACTGACAATTTTTGACCATAGATGCATTACATGTCAACACTACAGAATTCTCTAAATTAGCATTAGAAGCACGTATGGCTAAACCTGCACGAAACATAGATTTGGATGCTGATGATGAGAGTTCATACGTGGCGTTGATGCGCGCAAAGAAGAACGACGAAAGTAATGAGCAAGTTTTTCTTGACTTGCGAAATAATGAAGATGATGATGTAGGCCAAAAAATGTTGGGAGAAAAATTGGATGACAGCAGTAATTTGGCAACTCAACAAACTAACGACGATGAGAATGTCACTGAGAATGTCGAAGCTAGAACAGACGATGGACACGAAGATTATGCCAAGGAAGATGACGACCTTGCAACAACTGACAACAATACTGGCCCAAAAGGGTTTATTGCTATCCAGAAATTTGACGATGTTGAAACTGCGACAAAAATAGATGAAGATAATGAAATTGAAAACCTTGATAGCTCCAACAGCGATAAATTCACAACTGAAACTTTTATTGAGACTACAGAAGAGGCACCAGTTGCAGAAATATACTTTCCCATAGGCTCAAATCCCGATAGTATTTCTAAACACATTTCAAATGAAGAAAGTACATCAAAAATTGATGATGGTCATAAAACTCCACATAAAACAAAGAAGAAATCAGAAATCTCAAATAATAAGAAAGTTTTGAGAAAACCAAATAAAGGGAGCAACCATTCCACGCGACACAAAGGCCCGTCGAATGCCAGGAAACGCACCAGAAACACAGAAGAAATAGTTCCTTTACAAGTCACGGACTTAAAAGACGAAGTTGTTTTAAACTATGCCAAAGCGGTAAGGAATTGTTGGTATTTTTGGGCTAGACAAACTGATTGCTGCATAAAACGTACTCTAGGACTTATCCAACTATGTAGTGGAATTGGTCCATATTGCACGACAAACTGTCTACGAGGGAATTGGAGAAGTGGACAAAAAAGGCGTCGAAATTGTTCCTCAGTCCGGTGGCGCAAATGGATCATTAGTTTCCTACTCCACCGAGTGGTTGGTGTATCATATTTACCATTCTTCTTGTGTTCTACGTGCAGTTTCTTATTGAATTTATTGTCCAACTTGTTAAGGTACAAAATGCTGAAGGGTTCCGTTGAAGTCGTCGCAAAAATTCTTCCCACCGCGTCCATTCCACCACAAATGTTTCGAGACGCGTTAAATTTGGTTGCGCTCTTGGGTAAAAATGTAGACAGGGAGATTAGCCATTCGGAATCTGAGAAAATTCTGACTGGGTTGAAGGACTGTGCAAGTTATCCAAAAATGAAGATTGAGTACGCTTACGATAAAGATGTCTGTCCGCCAAGAGTAAGTGCCGCAAGTTTGGCTTTATCATTTTAGAGGTTATACACATTTTTAAAATAGCTCAAGAATCTCACCGTGTGGGGCGTAGAATGGGATGAATCTACGTCTGCTTACAAGGAGAACGTACCCTTTGAAATAGTGGACATCAGTTCAATGGATCAATCTATATTTGGGGGAAAGGGTCCGTTCAATAATTAATAATTATAGCATTTTTGCTAATCTTAATTATCATAATTAATTGAATTATGTAGTGTTTTAATGGTATTCATAGGTTATCAAAGCACTTCCCACATGTATTTTGAACTAATTTTCATGGCTTTTGATCTTGCTTACACTGTTTGCCATCAAAACTTCAAGACGATGATGAATTCCCACGCTAAATTTGGAAAACACGTTTCCTCCATATTTCTGCAGGATGATCTCTACAAGAGATGGTAAAGGTGGCTTTCTCAAAAACTTAGCGACCTACAGGACTGAAATTAAGGATAAGTGCATTTTTTCAAAAACAGGACCGAAACTGAGAGAATATCCGATAACGTCTATTTGACGCTACTCACATCATGGAATGGACGTCGTTTTCCTGACATAACGCTGGAGTTGGATGCACTACGATATGCTATAAAAAGTAGATCCGTACCTTCAGCAAATATTGACATTCGTAAACTTTTCAAAAAAATGCAACGCGTAAGATAAATTATTCCTTATATATAAAATTATGAGCAATTCCTGAATATTTCTGGGGGAAATATATATTTTAGATGGGAAACACTGTATCAGCTCAAGGACATAAATCTGGGGCGTGCCTCTGTGGAATGGATAATATTTTGAGAAAATGCAGAAAGTGTGAACCTGTGTCAAAAGGATACCAACGAATAAAGAGAAGGTAAACATCAATAGAGGCGAAATTATTATTATCTTTGGTTAGATTAGCATGGAGGTTGAAATTAATTAAATTTTATATTGTAGCATCAATGATGTGGATGATAGGTCGGCGTTACTACAAAATCGTGAGATTTGGCGTACTGCTTAGATGTTTCATCCGTTGAGAATGCCTGGGGACAAAGTCATGGATTGGGACTGGACCCACCTCTCCACATTTTTAAAGAGGAATCATACTGTTGAGTTGACGCAGTCGACTCATTGTATGGTCATTTGGTTACAAAATTATTAAACTCGCAAATTGTGTGTGCATGTATGTAAGTCATAAAGATGAATTATTTGCCTTAGAATTCAGAACCGGCTAATTTTATATTTATTTTTCGGCCATGAATTGACCTCTAATCAATTCCCGTTTCAATAATTATCTTGTAACTCGGCATAAATAATTAATACAAACTTAATCTACTAAACTATGCATAATTATTTAAATAAATACGTACGCATAATTGTATTATTATACGTGCACAAATACCCAAGAGAATAAGAATTATTATCTATTGTTATTGACATGATTAGATGACTTGCTTTGTTTTTTATTGGACAGTAATGGAATTTGTTGTGCCATTTTTAATTGCTGTTCCGCTAATTGATGCAACTGTTGCGCAATGAATAGCTGCAAGGTTTGTTGTTGCTGCATCACGAGAGGTCGTTTGCTTTCATCGATCTCATTAATGTCAACCTCATCATTTTGCGACGTCTGAAGATTTGGATCCTTTTGAAAAGATGCTATTGCCCTATTTTGAAGCGCGCCATTTTCTGAATAGGTATTTACTTTGGTGAACCCCGGACGCCGCCGTGTTGCTGTCGTCGAAGCCCGTCTTGCAGATGAATTATGCACCAACGGTTTCGTAGTAGCTGGTCTGGCTTCAGGTTTGGGAGCCGAGTTTGTAAGCAGTGAATAGTATGAACCAAAACTTGGAACCGGCGATAGGTGAGAACGACCAAGGTTTTGTTTGGTATTGTGGGCTGAATTATACTGCTGGCTCGCAATCTGCATATTCACGTTTTGGGCTCTGTTGTACTGGAAATTGTGCATTTTGCTGTCCGAGTTTTGTGATGAAACAGGTTGTTCTTGCCTTTGGTGTATACTTGACAAAGAAGCAGGTTGTTTTTTCTGTCGCATGATCCGCGTTGCGGAGGAGTGCGCAGGCTTGTTGGGATGATAACGTTGTTGGGCATAGGTTCGAGCACGATTTAAAACTCCGGGAGCACTAGTTTGTCTAGTTGTGATGACCACTGGATGAGGCGTCACGTTGTGTATTAATGGATAATTTTTAGATAACTCTTCTTCTTCGTGATGGTGCTGTTTTGTCGGGATGATTACACCAGCTTCTTCCGAGTACCGCAAATTTGAATCCGGAGTCTCCCAACTATATTGAGATGGAGCTGGTTCGTCATAAGCGACCTCATACGATCCTGCTTGTTTCATGTGATCATTGCTTTCTCCACTGTACAATTTATCTTGCGTGTTGTAACCGTAATGATTGGCACGAAATACCATTGGTTTGATAGTAGTGGTGGTGGTGGTTGTAGTGTGATGCCACATTTGAGGTCGCCCAGGACTTTGTTGGTACAGCTTCTTTTGAGACGTAGTAGACGCACCAATGTTCGTTTTAGTTTTGGGCCTACGGTTGATATGAAATGATGTCGTTTTGGGGCCGTGAGTTTCATACTCTTTGCCCTCGACACCAACATCCCTTTTGTAATACGAAGGAAATGGTGACGCCGGATCGAGAGGGAACTGTGATGCAGGTTCTGATAACATTGGCTGGTGTGGGTATGGGCTTAAAGACGAAGAAAAATGCGGTGATTGGGCTTGTTGATAGGGAAAAGTGGATAATGGATCATTGTACGCAGCGTGTCCTGAAGATGGGAACGAGTACGGTGGTAAGCTATGCTGCGGACCTTGTCCTTGATAGTTGCTAGACATTAAAGATTGCGGTGATGAGTAGGGTTGCTGGTACAGATGGTACCCAAAGGTTGGAGATTGGTCGTAGGAACTAAGGGGAAGTTGTTGGGCGTTTGGGGAATGTCCCCCATAAGGATACGAACTTCCAGCTCCAGCCGTTTCCTGGCTGTTCCAGTAATTTTGGACAGCCCAGTCCCCTCCATTGGTGGCGGGGTTCGGAACGGGTTTCTGGGCGTCCCATTCATATTCGTTGGACGAAGGGCGAAGTCCATGTGTTTTCCAATTAATTCCCGGACGTTTCCCTCGTTTCTGATAAGAGGGCGGCTTCCAAAGGGATTCTCCACTATTGTATTGGGTATTATGCATGGCAGTGTAGTCGTACTCAGCACTGCCGCTGCCTGGAATAGCTAGACCCATATTTTGTCCTACCACATTGGTTACTTTATCCGAAGTCAATGCATGCTTAATGACGAGATGGAACGGTGAGTTGTTCTTTTTACGCTTGGTCTTTCCTGCTTTAGTTGACATGCCAAATACAGAGCCCAACAAAGACACTGGCGTGGTCGTCTCACCTTTCTGACCACCGATACTCCAACTGGGACGGTTCTTCTCCACATGCGTTAACTTTTGTCCCAAAATATTAGATTCGGAATGTAGGTCGTTAAACAAGGACTTTACGGTACTAGTGGGCGTTGGCGGAGTTGTTGGAGCAGTGGTAACATTGTTGTCTGGCCGCTGTGTTGTATTCTTTTGTTGTTTCTTTTGCGGCTTTTCACCAGCTGCATCTTCATCGTCTTCTTCGTCATCTTCTTCCGATGAATCCTTGTCGTCGTTTGGCCACTCCTCCTCGACCTCTTTAAAGGCATGATCAACCATTGGTGGTCTAGGCCGTGGTGGTTTTGGCATGGAAGATAAGGTTGGATTCGGCTTGGTCTCAAGTTCGTCACTGTCTTCTTCGGAGGACGTTCCCTGATCTTCTCTTTGATCTGCTTGCGGAGAGTTTTTGGGCTGAAATCATAATTATTGTTAGCAACATTTACACATATTTCTGCAATGAAATTATTCTAACAACTGAATATGTTTTAAATATCGTCTTACTGGAGGTGCTGGGGGAGGTACAAGTACACGTGACGGCCAATTTTCCCGGTCTTCCTCCGATGCACCGTTGTACTCCCAGCTTTCATTTTCCTCTTCGTCGTCCTCATCATCCATTTCTGTCGAAGATCTTCTACTTCTCTTTCCTTTTGATCTAACTCTGTATCTTGTCTTATTGCTCAATTTGGGTTTGAATTTCCCGATATCATCCTGCCATCTACGGGAAGCATCTTCTGATTCATCGCCATCCTTACTGACAGGTTCATGGTTATTGATATTGCTTGCCGATACTAAACCAGTTTCTACATAATTGTCAACCTGCTGAAGTGCTGGTGTGTTCGGCTCCTGGTCTGTTGATATTGCTGATCTTGATTGCGAGAGAAAGTTTTGCACAATTGAATTCTTTGTTGGTGCAGACTCACGTTGTTCCATAAAATCAAACTTATTATCTTCTGTCTTATTAGGGGCAAAAGATTTTACTATGTCCCCGGGAGAATTAGTGCTCTGAAGGGATGGTTGTACTCGAAATACATTCTGCCTATAAATATCCTGGGGTGCATTACTACTCTGAAGATTAGGATTAAATTGCTCTTTCATTGCATGATCAAATGGGGGTAGCCTTGGGTAGATAATTGGGGGCAATTTGGTTGCCATTATTGGTGTAGGTGGAATCAGTAGTGGGGGCGGTTTGTGATATTGGGCTGGTGGTGGTGGGGGCGGAGGAGGCGTGAGTGGGGGCGGTTTTGGAAACTGGTTTATAAAATCGGCCTCAAGTTTAGCTTCTTCTCTGCCTTTTTGTATCATGGTTTTCATTGCCTGCACAGTATACGGACAGAGACTAAAGGTTGAGGTACAGTGCTCCGTGTACTTGTCACTTTCTGCATCCATCTGTCGGATCTTGGCAGCCAATTTCATTTGTGCCAGGAAATTATTTTTCTATGCAGAAAAAAATTATATTAAACTCAAATCGGATTAAGAAGCAAGTTAGAATTTGTATTTTTTTTAAAAATACCATCGAAAACGCTCGAGCATCTCGATTACCAGTCTCATTCATACTTCGTCCGAATCTAAACATTTTATTTAAACCAGACAAAATATTTGATAGATTTGCATCATTGTTTAGCTTTGTATTTTCGATTGCTTGATCCAAATTGGCCAACATTTCATCAACGAGAGCTTCTTCTCGTTTGTACTTTTCTTGCTTTGTGAGATTGAGGTCTGTTGGCGATACTGTTGTCGAGCTTGACACGGATACCGGTGCTTGTTGCGCTGGCAAATTAGTATCCCCCGCTTGGATTTCGACTGCCAAATACTCGTCGTCTTCCTTGGAATCCTCTTCTGATGACGATGACGACGGAGGCTCAAAAGGTTGCAAACCTTGCATAGAAGAAAGAAAATAGTCTTCCAAGTTGTTCTCGTTATGCTCAATTTGAGGATCATCGTTTCTGTATATAATTTTTATAAAGAAATTCATGTATTCAAAGAAGAAAAATACACGTTCACTTTTTTGGCAACTTATGTACAGAGTTTGACAACTTACAACATGGCAAATTTTATTAAATGTGCAATGTCATTCCATGTTTGGTCTCTAGAATCCATGGCACAAAAGAATTTTGGAAGACATCCCATAGTTCGGAGGCTGGCAGAAATGTATCCCATTTTACGCGGGCTCCTCTGTTCTTGTTGTAGTTGGAGTCCATCTTGTTTGGACTGCAGTTTAAGTAACGACGCTGCTGCTCCAGTTTCAAGAGGAACAACCGCCCCATTTACAATTGTGTGGTATGCACTGACTGCAAATTGAATTTTAAATTACTACGAATTACATAATTTGTGTCAATCCTCTCAATTTATGTATGTTTTACCTGTTAATAAAATGACTAGACTTGAAGAATACTCAGCATTCCTATGCGTTCCGAGCAAATCAAAACTATTCACTACAACCACATTCTCCACAAGCAGCAGAAACAACCCCACGAGACAGAAAATAATTAACGAACTGTTTAATTTCGTCCGAGCTTTAAACTTTAAAAATCGTAACGTCACTTTCATTGTTGCTTTAATTCATTCTCTTCACTTTTAGAAAAAAAAGTTTTTATCCAATTTGTGTTCAAAATATTTAAGAAAGTCGTGGACAAATGTGTCACATGTACACATGTGCAGCTATGAATAATTAATTGACCGGTGGAATAAGGTGGTGAAATTGTATCTCAGTGTGAGTCACGCCTCTATTGCTTCCGACTTTATCCAATATCAAAGTGAAACTGAAATAAGCACTTTTGGTTTTGTCGTCATACAAATTCGTTAAGTTAGCAAGAAAGAAAACGAGAGGAATTACATGCAAATGTGGTGTAGGCAGATTCTTCTCAAGTTATTTCAAAACTACTTATGGACTACTGACCGACTCATAAACCAGTCTGGTCGCATCTCAAAAACCTTATTCTTTATTATTATGGCTAAGCTGGGTCCCTTATTGGCCATTCAGTGCTGGGATAATGATTTAATATTTTGGTAATAAAATGTACATTGTAAACGAACCAAGATTAATTAACGAAGTCATAAAGCAAACGTGACCTATTTATCGTACCTAAAATTTGAGATCTGTATTAATTTTATTGTACCTTTGGCATTTGAAATTAAGAATTAAGAAATCTACATATTTAATATGGGCCGAGCTAGAGTAATGTACTTTTAATGTACTTTGAATACTCAGCATTCCCCTTTCGAGACTCCCTGGCCAATATGTTAAAAAGACGGAATTGTTTTTATTCATAAGTGTAAATTTTCTATAATTTTTCCCGTAGCATACTAATTTTCAGATTTTTTCGACCAGTTTCAAAAACCAGTGTGAGTCGGCACTTCGGCAGAACGCATTCGACGATTCCAAAAACTTTGGCTCGGGCTAAAAATCAAAGTTTTTTTTTTAAAAAGCACATCGTTCAAGTACTCTGCATATGGTAAACTACCTAAATTTCAACGGTGATTTATAATTCAATATATAAAACTCGTTATTCAGCTAACCATATTTACGTTTGTATTCATTTTGATCCTGTCCGGCAATAAAAATATTCTGGTTAAACTTGATTTCTGCATAAATTGATTAAAAGAAAACCAAGCTGGTGATCATTGCAAAATTTGATCCATTTACTTATAAAAGTGAAACCTCTATTTGAGTCATTCTGCGTACGTATACTTTCATACTTCAAACGCACCATCTCTTGAGTGTCTAAGCAATTAAGACTACCCAAAGTGGTTGCCCCCGAAGAAAAGTTTATGACAACTTTGGATAGAGTAGGGTCAAAATCAGCATGACCAAGGGAACCCCACTCTAAACTATAATATCACTCTAAAGCATATTTAATTTCAAACTTGTACTCATGTTAACTAAATTATGCTGATAATTTTTTGCTTTTGGTAATCATATAGACTACTGTCCAAAAAATAGAGACGGAAGTCCTTAAATTTTTCTAAAAAGTTAAAATAAACTTTCAATGAGTTGCCACATAATCTCATAGATTTTTTTGTCTCTATTTCTTGTACAAACAGTAATTAGTGCATTTCAGGACATTGGTCGTCCCCTCATGTGGCTTGGCTTTAATTCCCTGAGTAGTATTTCCCTATTATTACAATGCCAGTGTTCTACCAAAAGTCATACCAAAAGTCAACCAATTGTGGAAGTTCCCCAAGCCACGTTGAGTCACCATGGAGCCAAGTTCCGGTGCTTCCTTCTTCCATGATTATTTGAGTTTATCTTGGTAACGAGTGCCCCATAGAGTGTCAAACAATCTTGCTTCAGAACAAGATGGAGCTGTAGATGCCTTGGTTTTACAAAAATAGTGTCCTAAACAGCCACTTTCTGGTCACAAATGCTGTATGTGCATACTTAATTAAAAATGGGAGCTGAGCAATCTTCATCTGAGGACCCAAACAACACCGACGGTCAACCTGAATCTGATCCGGTGGCTGATGCGCCTATTTCAGAAGAAGAATCTACTCCTCCTCCTCCACCTCGGGCCGACCCCATACAGACGCAAGCAGCACCACATGTCACGCCTCAACCACAACAACACCGTGAAAGTAGCTCAGTTCCGACCCACATTGGTTACGTCCTCGATGGCGGTGCTATCGGAGATAACCAAAGCCCACTTAAAAGCGAGGACAAATTTGACGAGTCCGAGATGAAAAAATGTATCTTGGGTCACTATGTGATTTTTTTCGCCCTGGTCGTAACCTCAATCGTAAGCATGCAGAGTATCGGCATTTCCTTCACTTAATTCCACATAGAATCGGATAATATAATCGTTTGATTTATTTTGACATTTCCAATCTTCAGATCCTGACCATTTTATCCATCTACTTTGAACTGCTGGCCTATATTGGCGACCGCGATTGGAACAACGTTGTGGTTGAAAAGAAACCCTTTGGCCACGGGGTGGGGCAACTCAAAGGAGAAAATTACTTTACAGGCAGAAAATTATCCGAGTGCCACGCCATTTTTCCACCATCCCTCAACAATTCCTACATCAAGTCTCATTTACAGAGAAACCAAGCTTTGGAGACTACCTTCATCTGTTTCCTGCTTATTTTCGTGATTGGAGCATCCCTTCACGTCACAGCGTGTTTAATTCTGCCAAAATTCAGACGATTTCTTGATAATGTATATAATTTTGCTGAATATGACTTAAATAATTGCGATCTGTTGATTAAGTAATAATTAAATTTCTGATTTTCGTTTGCTGATTTATGTAGTTGTACCCTTGTTACGGATTATTGGGAGTTCTGCTCTTCGGGGGTGGAATTCTTCTGACGATATCCAGCTTGGTGGTAATTCCCAATGGATATGTGCGGATTAGGAAGGATTTGGAAGAAAACCTAGGCGTGGAAGAAAGGCATCGAGGAAAAGAGTATATGCAATCAAGCTGTAACGTTAATGCAACTGTTAACCAGAATGAATTAAGTCTGCTTCTTTCGGTGAAAATAATATAAACTGAACTCTAATATGTACCAAGTTGAGCGACGTTGTGTTTGTTGTTATCCATGTAGGTGGTGAAGATGTGCGCCTACCGTTATGTGAAAATGAACTTTCGAGATCCATGCAAAAATATTTCGATTCCGTCCCATGTTCTCATCCCTAACGACATTCAAAGCCCGATGCGGAGGAGGTATGATGTGGAGAATCTTCAGACCTTGGGCATTTGTCCCAAAGACGATAAGAAAATGGCAGCAATCGTAATTTTCAATAGCTAACAAATATGATACCCAAGTCGTACATAAGGATGGATAGATACTAACAATGGAACCATTTTTTCAAGCTACACCGGGATTGTGTAGCGAGTTATATGAAAAAATAAAGCTAAAAATTAGGAATCACGTGACGCATATCTTTCCGTTGAATGGCCCCTTTGAAGAAAAATATTGGGGGCAAAGTTTACGCGCCTGTATTTGCCGTCAATATTTTTTTTCAAAGTGGCCATTCAACGGAAAGATAAGCGTCGCGTGATTCCTAAAAAAGGTTCCATTGTAAATATTTAATACATGAAATATGATTAATTCTGCATTTCATTGTTATGTAAATTCACGAATAATAGGGTTTGGTTTCAATTACTGCCATATTGTGCTGGATCATTATGGACATTGGATCACGTGTCATGAAAATGCACCTTATGGACGAAGCTCAACGTGGTATCCGCCAAAGTTTGCTCAAATATGAACCGGACCCTGTGAACGCTATCACTGGTAATCTATACCTTAAATACTACAGAAGGGTTGGGCACTTACGTGGATACGAATTCGACCTTGAATAACCCCGGAACGGTTTGTCGTAGCGGGTCAAAATTTTGAACAGAGGAGCATGTTATACTCAAATAGTTGTGTGCAAAAAACCAACTCTCTACTTTCAAAAATGCCTCCCCCACAGTCCCCAGAAGCTGAGACACCCATAAAACCTCTTTCCAAACTTAAATACTCGTACAACAGAATTGCTAAACACTCTAAAAGTGAATGGAAAACAGTTTCGAAATCTACAATCAATAGGGTATTGAAAAATATAGGTGAAAAGCGATAAATTTTGAGTAAAGGGCAACCACCACCCCCTGAAAGAAGGCAAAAAAAAGTGTTAATTTCGACCGTGCATAGGAAAATTGACCTATTGACCTTCGAAAACAATCCACTGACCCAAAAGGAAATTTCCCGTAAGGTTGGGGTGTCTAAGCGTTCAGTGAAAAGAGAAATTAACATTTTGAAGAAACGACTTCGTCGGAAAAGCCGTGTGCATCAGCTGACTGAAAAGTAGGAAAAAAATCGCGCCCGTGTTTACAAAAAAAATTATTCGAATTTTTTGTGAAGGAATATGAGTGAGTTATTGGTGACATTTGACGAGGCACTAATATCTCTACAAGTTACTAATGAGGTTCGAAGAGCTTACTACACGACAAATGTCGAAAACAATTCACTCAAGTTGGTGCTTCTTTGTAAGTAGAACTTTTTTAAACAGTTGGTGGTCGTGGGTGCAATGTCAGGTCGTGGTGTCCTCCCACTTATCAAAGTCCCCCAAAAAGTGAAGGAATCTTCGAAGTATGATGTGGACCGTGTATTGAAACCACTTTTAGAATAACATTTTCCTAAATTGCACGGTAAAAAAATAATTAAGGTGAGTTTTCATCATGACGGTGCGTCTTCCCAGACGGCAAAGTTGATCCAAGATAATGCAAAGGACCTTGAAGCTAGATTGGGGATAAAAATCATTTCGAATACTGAATTACCTGTACAATCCCCCGACATAAGTCAAATGGACTTATTTGGGGTCGGATACTTGAAAATAAAAATTTTTCTGCGGAGACCGAATTTTTTAGACGAAGTTTGGAAAGAGTAAAAATGAGTGTTTGAACTTCTGGGGGCTGTGGGGGAGGCATTTTTGAAAGTAGAAAGTTGAATTTTTGCACACAACTATCTAAGGATAACATGCTCCTCTGTTCAAAATTTTGACCCGCTACGACAAACCGTTCCGGGGTTATTCAAGGTCAAATTCGTATCCATGTACGTGCCAAACCCTGTATTCATGCGTGTTGATCGCCATTTATGATACCACCGACTTTTAAATTACTGTAGATTTGTCATCACGAAAGGAGTCTGATATTCCACGAGCTGAGCTGAGACCCCTCTCGTTTTCTCCCGTGGTGTGGGACCGTATCAAGGACTTTGCTAAGCTACATCGAAAAAGCGTCCGAGACTCTGCAGGTTTTCCATGTGCTGCAATTTGCAATCCGCTCACATCAGATAATACTTTCACCCCAATAGGAGGAAAATTTGGCAGCATTACTTCCACGTCGTTCCAACGTCCAACCGGATACGGCACCCAAATTAAAAATTCCATTATGATCCTTGCCCCGAAAATGGTTATCCGTCCTCCTGCTGTTGACGAAAAAGAAGGACGAAACTCACTTTGGTTCAACAGGACAGATTAGAAGATGATTTTATAGTGCATTTTTACAGTATGCAGTTTTATTGTGTGTATTATAAATGTGTTTCCAATTTGTCTTGTTTATACGCATAGACTACTATTCATGTATCAAATATTTGTTCGTTACAAACCAGCGATTAAGAATTATTTTAAAAGCCCCATTAATTGAAAAAATATTTCCCTTACATTAAAATAAACAATAATGTTTGGTAAAATTGCCAAAAATTACTAATTTTAGTATTGGTAGAAAGCGCAATATCTGTAAGTACGATAAACACATTATGACCTCGCGTTTACAGTCTTACAGAATTGCTTCCAAGAATGGTCACAAGTTTTACTGTTTTCTCATAACTTCAAACCATGTTAATACTATCTCAAATGTATTCAGTGGACCTGCTGATTTTCTCTCGTCTTTTAACAATGCAGTGTAATATTAATCACGCCATACTTCAATTATCAATTATTCAATAGTCTCACTTTAATAATTTTCTATTTATTATCATATTTATGTTTTCTGAAATAACTAATACTAAACACTTGTATTCACTCCCCAACTATAAAACTAAAAACCAAGCCAGTTGAACATGTATAATTTATTTAATTTTTGTAATTTGCTTAATCATAAGCAAACAAATTACATGCAAAATTTACCAGTAGCCAATTTGGCTACCCATTTGTATAAAAGCATTTCCAAGACTTTTGGTTTTATGGGGTCTGACATAATAGGCTCGCAGTTTCCTCCTACCATGAACAAATTCGTCTTTTACTTGTCGAAGGTACTCGTTACCGTCTTGATAATAATTCTGAGGCAGGTGTGGGTTGAATGCAGGTTGTGTTTTTGGAATTTCAGTCTTAATCTCCTTTTTGGACTCGGTCTTCACTTGGTCTTTGACCTCCTTGGCAGGTTTCTTGTCCTTTGAGGAGGCATTTTGTACCTTGACCACGATCTGGGAATCTTTATCTCTTGATTCCACGGCTAAACTATCACTTGACTCTACAGCAAGGCTATCCCCATCGCCGGCAAAGTCAACGCTATTTGCGATTCCACGCTTGAATTTTGCGTTTTGCAACATTTTGTACTTTTGTAGAATTGCTGCTTTTTCTTCCCGTGTGTACGTTCGAGCTGTTGGGTTAGGTTCAGGATCTGGAATGAAGTTTAACTGTTCATGATTTGCGTCCGAAATGTAATTTACACTGCTTCCAGAATCGTGGTATTTCGGGTCATAAAACGCATTCATGTAAATCACTGGATGATCATTTCGATATGGGGTGGACATTGGTCCAGGAGATGGTTGAAGTTTTGAGGATCTTGTAGTGGACACAAGACCAACGAGTACTCCGAGAAAAACCAGAACGTTGGTTTCTAGTAGCTGGTGAAAAAAAAACATTTTTACATATTTATTTTTACAAATTAAAAAAAAATATAATTAATGTGCAGCGTGTCTTTCGGATTTTATCAACCTTACTATGCAATTAACCCAAAGCTATTGGTATGTATAAGTAAATGAAAAAATGTAAACTTGTTAAGCTACACTTTTAAACTTGTTACTAAACCTGCAATAGTATAACCAGTTTGGTTTAAAATAGATTGAACTGAACTTTTCATGGCGTTTGACAATAAAAATCGTAGGTCAAGTATGAATATGAATGAAAGGGTTCAAAGACGTGTCTGGGAATCGGGAACAACTCGTATCATTTTTTTTCTCGTGTCCACCTGCTAATAAGCACTTCAATTGGCTTAGTTTATGGACACAGTCTCATTTGTTTCGTTTTTAAAGGCTTTAATATCTACGACCGTATGATGTTAATACCTAATTATGAATTTTGATTGCATACGTGCATTTAGTTGTAATCGAATGCACTAAAACATTAATGGATTATATGAATAATGATTATAAAATAAGTTCTAACGCTTATGCAATAATGCAAATTTCTTACTGTCTTACCATTTTTGCTAAATAAGTGAGACTGGTTGAAGATCTGGTATTTATTAATCGTCCCTTCAATTTGAATGCAAGGCAGAAACTATTATTTGAGAGAGAAACAATCGTGCGTCCAGAGAATCCAAACAATTCTGCCACTTGTCGGCGTTTGCTTAAAAAAGGCACGGCTTTTACTAAATATCGGTTTTGAAATCGAAATCTTATCGCCAACTCAAGTTTGGAACGAAACGTTGGAATATAGAACACAAATTGTGATGCCAACTGCCAAGAGACAAATGTCAGTAATCGAATCAACTCGATGCTGTAATTTAGTTCTGCAAGATGTAAAAAGTGCAAAAGTCAAATACCACAAGTAGGTTGGGTCAGTTTCTTGTAGTCACAACACAAGAAAGTAGTAGCTGCGTGCAATAACCATCCGATTCGAATACGTATGTTTTAACCATTCACATTTGCATGAGGAATTCTAAGTATAAAGGATGGTAAAAAGCATCGTCTACAGAGTTCCTTTAGAAAATTTCGCCAATCATGTGTTGCTTTTGCAGTTAAAATTCGCCACATAATTATCAGTGCAGTTTGTGAGGTTATTATTTAATTCTACATAAATAAGGTGTGTGGTGACTCCCCACAAATTTCACTGTAATTCACTCAGAAGATTTCAGATTTTTGGGAAATATTAGCGAAATATTAGTTGAACATGTTTACCAATATTTCTAATGGAATGAAATAGAATCATTGCACGAATTGTACATATGCAATTGTACGCAATTATATTCTGTGGGAGTATGTGAAGTGTACTTATAATAATTCTATTTCTAATCTCATCATGTTTAGCTTAACCTATTAACGTCGCTTTAGGCTGCACAATATTCTTCTTAATTACATGCTTATACCAGACAAATGTAGAATTATCTAATCTTGCAACGCAGATTTGATAATATGTATGATTTAGGATGGATGCGCATATTAAAAGTTAGTTGACTTGATGTTAACGGAAAACAGGAAGTGAACGGATTGTAAAAGTTGAGACAAAAAAATCAAGTTGAATGCCAAACCATAACAATAACGCAGATAACAATTTGTATATTTAGTTGTGGTAAAAAACTAGTGCAGCCACTTATCCATTTCACGCGTACAACGATTATTTATCAAACGAGTCAGCCAAAGCAAAAGCGTTATGAATGGATGACTTTATAAATTTGCATTCATACATATGTAAGCATAAGTAAGTATTAAGTAGGAGCATATGTCACAAAAATAATTAGGTTACATTACGACTTGGAATTCCTAATGTTTAATGTCCTGTCCTCCGTCCTCAACAACGTTTCAAGTTATTAAGAATTATAATAAATTACTTAAAATAATTTTGAATAAAATAATCAAAATTGTAAAATAAAATATGTATCGCGAAATTTTAGCATTCTTGCATTCTCGTCACTTCTTGTAGTCGGTAGTGATGCACGCAAAGGGCGTTGTATTGTCATCAGCTATGCAATACAACAAAATTTAAATTTGTGTATTGACTTTTAGTTGACTACCGCAGTACAGCATACAGTAATGGGAGTACGTACTGTACTTGCATGCGTAAATAGATGGTTATATGTATACATGACCTTTATATAAAGATCTCCTATATGTCGTAGATATGCAAAACAACGTACCAATATCCGCAGGGGATCGCTTTGACGCTTGACTATTTATCGCAATATACTGCAAAGTGAAACATGAGATGATTTCAATTTAATAAATTAACACAATCTGCAGCATGGGTGGAGTCCTACCATCCGGTTTTATTCTGCACTCTTTTTATGAGACGAACGACGTTACGAAAGCTAAGGTAGCGGAAATGAAATTGGTATGAATTTTTGGCTGTGCATTGAATGCATTTTACCACAACATAATTACATACAATTAAAAATTGAAGATTAATATAAAAACTGGATGATGGAGAAGACATGAATTAGAATATTGTATGTAGCATGATTAATTGGATTATTTAAGGAATTAGAATTCCTATTTTGCATTTATTTAATTGTTAGATTTTTTGAAGAATACAGAAACTTATAATCGACAAACTAAGTGAACGTAAGCGTCGAGTAATTTCTGAGTAGAGCCATGGATTTCTGTATGGGACCAAGGAAGTTGACATTGGAAGAGATCCCTAATTGGAACATTCTGTTCAGGATATCATCTCCGCGTTCTGAAAGATTGAATATGATACACGAATACTTATTGAAGAAAAAAATATATTGTACAATACCTTGAGCGAGAATAACAAACTCATGAACACGATCCATCATCGTATCTCGTAAATGTGCATTTTCATCCTCCAACAATTGTAAAATTGAATCCAAGTATGTTGCGCTTTTGCCTGTTAAAGATAATGTTAATAATGACAACAGGTTTTCAGTTATTTATCACAAACAATTTAACAAACCTGGGAAATACGTGGAATGTTTGAGCACCAGTGAGAATGCTAACGTTCGACAACTTTCAGACTCGGACTTCAAAAGCAGATTCAAATTTTCAGAAAACTTGTTCAGAATGCTAGGATTTCGGTTAGAACAAACGTCTAATTCCTGTAGGACTGGAATTGTTTCTATAATTCAAATGATAAAATTTGAAACAAATGAATCATTACACCAATAATTTCAGTGACTAACCCTCATCATTCGAAGCATGTAGAAGCCGATCGTGCATGGACGTGAGGATGGGAGCAAGGTAGTCCCCACTAGGAGTGACAACAGGAGATGTGTTAGTGCCTGGTGGGGGAGTGCTGCTAGACGATGATTGAGATCCTGAGCCGCTGAGGTCCAAACAGCTAATCAAATTATGAAGTGGGACAACTTCTGAATAGTATTTTAAAGTCGCAAGCTCCCTAAAAAAATGGAGTTACAAATTGATTATCATTTACGCCTCTCTTTCGATTGCTTCAATAATCAATAAAGTATACCTTAGTGTCTCGTGATGTGGGGTCAAAAACTCTTTAACTTCTGGAGAATTAAGAGATAAAAAGTTGTGCAACAGAATTGAGAATCTGCTCAAGCTTGAGCTGTAATCTTTAGTAAATCCATAATTCTGAAATCATTCAAGTTAAAATATGAAATTTCAAGTTTTACAAACGTCAGGTGTGTACGTACATTTAGTATCCAATTAATATTCAACATAATACCATTAAAACTAACCTTAAACATTTTGAAGTATAAAAGAAACGTGGCCTTTAATTGTTTGAAATGTCTAAGGATGTGAGGTTGCATCAAGTCAAACAAAGAAAGAAATACGATAAAAGGTAAATTGTGGTTTTGTTGGTGGAAAGCAGATGAGTCCAGGTGAATTCTTCCTATTAAATTACGAGTAAATTAGCAAACCAAGTTTAATTCCTACTGTATGCAACACAAACATTTAATATTAAATACATTAAAATGCAACCTTCTAAAATGGATCCCATTAGGCTGATTTGTCTGCGAAATAATAATTTTTTAAAACGCTTACATTTGAGTTTCGAATGTTTTTTATATCATAGATAATGACAAATCTCATACTCGGACTGACCTGAGAAGCAACGTAGGATGTAAGGAGGCTAATTTTCTTAAACAAATTTCATAGTCTCGTGCCTGTTTCTTGGCCCAGTCTTTACCTAAACATACAAGCAATGATTTTTAATTAGTATAGTCTAATATTTCTAATGTCGTAGTCGTAACTGGTTTAGAAATGCATGGTAACTTATTTTACCCGGTAGAGTGTTGGCTAAAGCAGTGATTAGTCCATGTGAAATGTTGTCCAATAAAGAGGATAAGTCATCCTCACTCATGCTCATCTCTTCTGGCTTCCAACGCCAATTGTCAATCAAAATCACTTCAGGAAAGTCGACATAAACTTGATGTACAAAACGTTTCACGCAAGGATTTCTCCAGCTGAATTTTATTTAAAAAAAAATTAAAATGAATTAATTGAAAATAAATTGTAGATTTTTAGTTAAACAAAAATTATATTACTTACTTTTTGTCCATTAAACTACTAATGACCGAATCAACCAAATCTTTATCTTGTTGAGCACATTGCAACCATAACCGAATTCTGAACTGGAGTCCTTGCTTGGACTTTTTTGGAGTTGCAGCAGATGTAGATTGAACAGGCCCAAGGAGATTCGAGATTGAGAATTTTGTACCTTTTACCTCCATATGTTCTTCATGAGTGAAGAGATTTCAAATAATCAATTAAATGTGACGATATAAATTAATTATTGTGATAAACTAACCATATTTAATCTCTTGAATGATGTAATCAGCCATTACCCTCAGCTGTTGAGCAAATTAGTAATTAATTAGAGATGAACTACAAGTTGACGTGGATATCATTATTTCATACATACCTGTGCAGATGTTAAGTGCATTACAGATGTATTGGGCTGGTGTTTTGGCACTAGAAAAAATAGGTCGAAAAATCATTCTCACATGAAAAACTACATGTGAATGTGGCATATAAATGAATTATTTTTGCAATAAACTAACCATATTTATCAACCCCTTGAAACAACTTTGGATTAGAATTGGTCGCTTGAATCAGATCTAATATAGCCGACGGGTCATATCTAAAAAAAATAGTGGGTAAATCAATCACACAAATTTTAAAATGAAATACATTAAAGGATTGTGCGACTTTTATGTCCAATTTCCAACAAGACAAAAAATTCATCTTACGCAGCATCAAATTCTTTAAGGAACAATGTAAGGCAACGATTAATCGTTTCCCATCCGGCCTGATGAGCTATACAAAAACCATTCAAGTGAGAGTCAAAAATAATAAGTATCAAATATGCATACAGATATAAATAAAATATTGTCAGTTATGTTGTAATTATAAGTTTGTGTATTATCAATTTAACAACTGAAAAAATTGAAATCATACCTAAGGCTGTCATGAGGAAGGAACGACATCCGGGGTTATTCTCACTCTTTCCAAACAGCAAAGGTAGCTGTCAGTAAAAAGAAACCAATTGAGTTAATAAAACATTATCATTTTACCACGTTGAATTATTAAATTATGGGATTTCAATACCTGATATTCTAAAGCATTACGAATAATGCATGGCTCCACCTGAGTGATTTCATCTACTAATTGTCCCAAATATTTTGAAGGACTTTTTTCCGACTTTGTATCTCCTTCTCCGAATCCGATTGTCCCCTTCTTTTCCAAATGAGCAGAATGTCGTCGGAGCGTTTGTCCCCCCTGCGAGTCATCTACTCCCTTTGAAGCAGGAACAGACGATCGTCTTCGATTAGATGGTGGAGACGACAAAAGGAGTAATTCTTTAGATAAATTTTCAATGCTCTTCCGTTTGTTGGATGGCGTTGGTGAGAATGCGGGCACTATAATATAATGCAATAAATAAAATTAAAAGATGGAAAATAGTATACAACATTATTTATAAATACGAGATAATTTACAACTGTCGAATGCTTACATCCAACACTAAGTGAAGTCCTTGTGCCAGTATGAATTCGAGTATGTGCGGCTGTAGTTGATTTTGTTACGACTTGTTTCCTCGCACTCGATTCTTTTACTGAACCAACATGTAACGCAGGTCGGGTGGGCGACGTTGTCGTTGGTGGTTCGAGATAATCTGAGTCCATTGGCTCAGAAACGCCACAGTGAGTTTTCAAAATGCGGAAAAACTTTTCTCCACCCACGGCACCACGTTCCCACTGAGCTTGTACCAGTTTATAGAGGAACGATGCATTTACCATACTCACACATTCTACCATTTTCTCTGGCTCTCTTTCTGTAACGGTATCCATAATGTAGAGTAGTGCCGTCATGGATTGTATTGGAACACCAAAATGCTGAATGAATAGCATCAACTGTTCCACTTCTAGATCATGCGTAGCAACTTCTAAAAGTCTTGGATTATTGGATCGAATCATTTTCAGCTTAACCCAATCAGGGAATAAAACAGCTTCTTCAGATGTATTTAGCAAGAAACCTTTGGGACTATTTTCCTTATTTTGTGGAAACCAAATCTCCAGCAATTCGGAGCATCTTATTTTTATATCCTTATTGCTCTTAGGTTTCTTGGTAGTTGTCTGCACGGAAGTTTTGCCATGTTCTTGAGTATAGGCACAGTAGGAGGACAGGAGGATTACGATTGCATGAATGATTAAAATATTCATTGTTCCTTCCAAGCGATCCACCGACCAAGTCACCAACACTCTAACAAAAAAGTTTATCTTTTAGTATTTAACCCGAGCCACTGGCAATAAGCGAAAGAATTAGCTAGTTAACCCTTTATTCATTTTTGGTAAAAAATAATAACTTACTGATCTTGTGAGTCTGACCACTTGTAGGATTCTTTGTGTGGTCCACGAATCTAAATAAATGTTGTCATTTCATTATATGTGCTTGATAATTTAAACGAAAGACGAAACAACAATATTAACAATAAGCTTACCTTTTTCATAAAAGTGAAAAAAATATCAAAAAGAGGGTCAAAGCAGGAAGCAAACTTGTTCATCATCAAGCAGACCAGTCCATTTCTCTCCACAACAAGGTTCGCAACATCTAAAGCAAGGGAATCCAAATCTTCGGATACCTGAGCCCAAGTTGACAAAAAATCCAAATAGCGGCACAATAACGCTGGGTCATTTTCACTATAAAAAATAATATACCATGGCACAAATTTCCACGAAGTGAAGCATAAAGGCAGTGTGACACTGTAACTTGATCATGAGGTTAACAACTAAATTACTTACATTAAAATTGCCTGTCTCAAAAGAACTAATACATTCTCCTGAATTTCCGTAAAGGCTGGAAGTGATGGAAGTCCGTCCAGCAGCCAGTCGTCTGAGGACGATGTTAAGATTTCATCATCTTTAATCAGTAAAAGTTTTAATGCATTCAGTGCTTGCTTCCTCTGCTGCATTTTTGGTGCCGAAAGTCTCTTTAGAAAATATTCTAACACTTTTCTTGCTTCACCATCCTCTGACGCACTATGAGCTTTTTCCTAAGGATGGATGGATGAATGAAACAATGACCACAGTTAACTTTAGAAGGACTTGCATATAAAAATATGTATTAATCGAGTACCTGCAAGTAATGCAACAATTGTAACAATTTTGCATCCTCCTTGCTTAACCCAAGCTCGGCTGCTAGATTTTGTCCTTTGTGTACTTTACGGGGACTACGACCTGCTGCAGCATCGTCATTCCTTCCAAGTACCACCGCCTTTTCCACGGCGTCCAAATGTCCCATTAGAAATTCACAGAGACTGAAAAATGAATGCACATCTCAATATTGATCGCACTAAGGAATTCTTAGCAAGAAAGCCTGTTCATTACAACGTACCACTGGTCTGGCAGTATTTCAAAAGACCCCTCCGAAACAAGATGAGCCAACCTGGAATGTTATTTCTTCTGTAGAAAGTTATAATCACATTTATTGCAGTACTTTAAAAAAACAACAGACCATGGCATGGGTTCAGAATTGCGTTGAATAATGTCCAAAAGAAAGTCGGGATTACGACTTCCACATAAAAGGTGACCCAGACTCATTTGTTCATTCCAGGTCTGTAATTGAGTTAAAATCCACGCGGGTGGAGTCCTAGGAGGGCCAAATGGATCCAAACGCATCAACTATTACATAAAGAAATATGTGGTGAGCATTTAAACTTTGCTTTAGTTTTATTCGATTTCCCTCAAAACATTTTACCTGCTTTAAAAGTAACGAAGTAGCCTCTGTGATATTGGCTTTGGATGAGGCAGCTGCCAAATGAGTTTCAAATTCCAAAATCTCCTCCTTTTCCATTGCGACAGTTTGTAGCTCACGAGAAATTATTTCTTCGCTTGACTCAGTCTCTGATGATGATGTCGTAGGAAAAATGAATGAGCTGTCAAAAAATAAAACTTATAAATCTGACAAACTCTAATTTATATGTTCAAGTGGACATATAAACACATGCGTTCAATTTTTTGATATATGCACTTACTTTGTCATACACATTTCCATAAACATTTTCAGAGTAGGATAATCTTCCCACCCAGTTTTTCCAAACACATTAGGATTAAAGGCAGAAATAATAGTTAAGAGGGCCCATGCTCGCCAGTAGAAATTTGTTACGGCCATCCTTGGTGCTGCATACCCAACAGGAAGTGAAATATTATCGGGATGACGATATTCGCAACCTGCAACGTATAAACACAATCAAATTAACGCGAAGTGACGATCACAAATCAATCCACCATTGAACTCGGATCTGTTTGGTCGGAGTGGTCTTAGACCGCTGATCTGTTCTACTAAATCCATAAACTAGTATTTACTTATTGTGGAGAATGGAAAAGCTTAACAGTTTGTCAAATGCTGACTTATTTATAAAAAGTGTAAAGTGGGTGTTAATTACATCGCAGTCAATTTCTTACAGCTTGATTGTTCGCAGTTTTAGCGATCATATATCATTTATAAGTATACCACAAACCTCGGAATAATAGCTCAATTATTTCAATTTTCTGCAAGTTGAGTCCAGTTTTGTGAGTAGCCGAACGACAAATTATTTGTTCAACAGTGTCCAATGCTTCGCCAGCACTAAGTGGGTGGTCCTTGGATACTCCCATCATTAGGACAAAAACTAGGGAGCTCTCTTGAACACCAACTTCCAGACATAGGCGACCGAATAAATTTTTTTCCGACTCTGGAAGCCATCCATCCTTAGAAGCCAAATCATTTACTGGGTCCTTGAGAAATATCTACATACATGAGCAATAAAATAACTTAGACGGTTCCATAAGCCATGGCTCGGGCTAAAAAGCATATTTAAGAAGTGAGACAGAACGAAAAAGTATAAAATGGTAATAATCCGATACATATATGTACAAACCTTGTTAAGTGATGATAAAAAATTGGCCTTAACCGGTCGATACATTTTCGGGACGACAGAGTACATCCATGTAACTGCTTGAGATTGAATTCCACTAACCAAATTTCGAAAATTCTGTTGAAATGGGGAATGGGCAAAAATTATTTACAAGGCAAGTTGTGTGCATGTCGATCGAGGCTTCTTTTATACGGGCTATTTAATTAATTTTGTATAAGTAAACTTACAATCAGTGTTGACATATCTTTTGGTTCCCCACGAACAGCAGCAACTGCAGAAGCTTCTCTTACTTGTGGAGAAACTGATAAGAACATGGAAAGTAAGATGAGGTCCGCAATAACAAAAAATGCCCTTTCGCGACAATCTCCCAACCACGTAATGTCCTGAAAAAAATAGAAAAAGTTCATTTGTTGTATCAGTGTACTTTTATACCAGTGTTTGTATTATAATATAATACAAACATAAATGCACATATTTACACATTATCATTAACGTACTCTTTGCCTGACTAGTCCTTCAACGAATTTGGAGAGGTCGCATTCAAATCGTGCTGCTCGGCAAATTTCTCTTAAGAGTGCCTTCAAAGCAACGTGAAAGTCTTCTCTCTTTTGAAGTAAATCCATAAAAATATCAGCCAAAACAGATCTTGAGTCTGAAACCCCCGATATTATTGTCCCAAGGATTTGCAGATTGTTAGGATTGCGTTGTGGAGAAAGCTCGTTGTAAATTATCAAATTGAGCACATGCCGCATGTTGCTATCATTCTCTCGAACCATTTCTCTATATAACGACAAAAGAAGAACAGGCTAAAAAAATCCCCAAAATTACTGAAAATTATGATAGACAAATTAAATACATTACTTACCTCAAAGCTAAGCAGTAAAAATGTGTCAATGGTTTTGTCTTCATCTTTAGCTTGCTGATATTAGAGATTACTTCAATATCGGATGAAGTATTACAATTGGTATTGACACAGAGATGAAGTAGCAACTCTTGAGCAACACGGCCAAGTTTCCCATTGTGAAGCCACTGCTCAAGCCTGCTTACGACCCACGAACGAACTCCGTTAAGGCCACATGCGCTACTTAACGCCCTTAAAAGATTTCTTGGTATATCTGGCGATTTTTTGTGTATAACGTCAGCGGCATATTCTAAAATGAGGCCTTCGATGTTGGTCTCCAAACCAGAATAACGATTCCTCAATGGCACGTCCTTCATTTCAACCAGATCCTGATTTTCTTTTATCAGCTGCTCAAGTTCGAATGCCAAGTGTCCACTCCCAGAAGCGTCATCAGATGATAATAGCGTTGGATTGGGTGATGATCCCCCTCCACTTCCACTCCCACCACCAACAGTTCCTTCACTCGAAAACAATGTTGTCAATGGAACCAACGTACCAAAAGAGAGGAAAATATTGTCGACAACGGGCTTAATCAAAGGCGAGTCTACCCAGGAACGATCCCCTATACATCATAGCAAATTAATAATTTTGCATATCACAAAACAATTGTGAAAAACTGCTCAATAATTCATCGATTATTAAGAAGTATTTATCATTTGCATATGATACAACAGGAATTAATATTATAATGTATTTACCTGATGCATCTTCTATCCACAGTTGAACTAGTGGGATAGGCCAATGTGATTCTTGTGAATAAACTAGATACACGACGGCCAACGCAAAAATTGCAAAGGGTGCAGAATATCCGCCCCCACTGGACATTAGCAATTTTGCTTTCACTCCTGTGACATCTTTAACCTTTGGCTGAATCAGCAAGACCAGCGACTCCAGGATCGGAATGGTTTTAAAAAAGTGTGGATACGTCTTCACAACCATCAATATATTTTGACAAATCTGCAATTGCTCTTTCTCCTTTGCATTCGAACTTTTCAACCTTTTTAATCCAGTGAGCAGCACATTCTGTAAACATTCAGTGAACCAATTAATCACAAAATGTAATGATGACAACTTAGATTATATCATACCTGGGCCAACTCTGTATTGTTGGATTTATTTGCCTTATCAATCAATGTAAAGAATTTGTCAGTTATCAAATCTGCAGAGGAAATAACTATGCCAGGAGACGGTGTAAGTTCAAGCGGATCCCTTCGAATCTTTCCAGATTTACTGCCACTACTGCTGCTAGATGAAGACGAGTGATGATGGGAAGTGGACGAAGAAGACGACGTCGATGAGGTCTTGGGGGGTGAAGTTCGTAGTTTTTTCGTAGGCGGTGGAACACTTCCTCCACTATTGTCACGTTTTAATGAAGAAGAACCTGATAATAGCCAAAGTAAAGGAACTGAATGTAATAAGTATTAAGACCTTGTTTGTCAATGCTAACTTATCATCATTTACCTGTAGATGTGGACAGGGATGACGATGTCTTGGAGGAGGACGTAGAAGAAGGAGGTCGCACCTGGCTCGATGCACTGCTCCCACCTCCACCACTACCACCTTTACTTACTCCAAGGGCGATAAGGTCACCGGGTGAGGGATGAAGGTGTGAGGACGACGACGACTTCTTTCCAGAATTCCCAACACCTCCTTTGTTAAGTTTTCCCTTGTCCATACTTGATGATTAGTGTGACAAAATCTAATTCATATTTCACTATTAATTTGCGAACAATATAAATTCTCTGCTAAAATGTTTTAATACTTTAACGGGTTTAATTTTCGTAAAGAAAGTTTCATTTTTCGTGATCTGCCGAGTAGAATTATGGCTCAAATCAAACATGAATTGTATTCACTTTACCACTTCAGCCAGACTCGAAAGAATCTCATTCTTCCCAAGTTCTCAAGTTATAAATTATAACTTATAATTCCTAAATTGTGTGATTAAAATTGATATTTATTCTGTAGTCTGCATGTATTGATGATTGGTAACTAATAACCGACGTAATATTTCCACAAATTTCCCACCTTACTACAAATTTTTATTTTAAAACACATTTCTAAATAAATATACATAAACAAAGTGATATTGAATACATACGTCCAAGTATATCATATTTTTCATGGTCACAGCTTTTTGGTAACAAGATTCAAAACAAGCATTACACAAAAAGTTTGAAATCGTTAATATGCTCTACTTTAGAGCATGTTGTGTGCTATACTCCCAGATACACAAGGCGCCAGTGACGTGAACGTTGAGCGATCTGAAATTTTATATGAAATATGAACGATTTGATTTGATTGGATAGGATCAGGATAGATTGAAAGGGTGCTTCATTTACCTAATGAAGCCAAGTTGAGGGATTTCTAAGCAATGGTCCACTAAATGCAGAATATTTGACGGAATACCGAATTTCTCATGTCTAAAGAATTTTGCAAAAGCATTCGACGCATTTATTTTTATATACCATGTAATAAATCCTTTTATAACTAAACTCAACTCACCCTAAAACAAGCAACGATTTTTTTGGAAATTTGAAATCGTTAAGACGCGTAGTTTTTTGCGCTTGCTCCACACCGAGAATGACATACCCTTTGGCTTTGTAAGTCGCAAGAAATGAAGGCAAATCTTTAGGAGTCACCTGCAGACAAATTAATGATTGAATAATACACTTACTAACTATGCATATGGCTATAGATTAATAAATGCACCTCTGTAATGTCAACCCAATTATGAGATGACACTGCTAGGTTCTGAAACTGCTGATCGTCTAAAATTTTAAGGCTTGGCATTACATATTTTGAAATTCCAAAGATTTCGCAAGACCGGCATAACCCTCCAAGGTTGGGAATTCGATCAACGAGTGACGCAACAACAATGAGCCCATCCTCCATTGCAGCTCGTTTTTTTACAGTTAATTTTTCGTTCATGCTATCCATGAGTGTTTCTGACACACAGAGAGTCTTCCAAGGGTTGATCTTTCTTTGGAAATTGGCTAACGTAGGTGTTTCAGTCGCCTCCAGTCTGATGTTTTGTAATTGTTCTCCAATTTCACGTCCACTCACTGCCATGCAAAATTAGAAACCTTATTTGGTAAATATGCTAACTACAAAAGTTTTGACCATTAGTGGGGTGTCTCAAAATTACCTAGAGTTGTCTTCATATGCCACACGGTCAGTTCATATTTCAGATACAATTCCTTCAGTTCCTTGGAAGAGGAAGGTTTCGCTGATATGCAGCATTCGTCCATCATTACATTCATTCCACTCTTTGACAGACAATTTTCAGTTGGAATTTCGTCGCTGGCTACCTCTGATATTTGTGGAAGGTGTATAAAAATCACCTGTAGTTTAAAATTTTGTTTATCGTTAAACAATAAAGTTTTGGGTATATTCATACATATACATAAATAAACATTCTTACATCTTTGGTATAATGAGTTACTGGGTTAAAAAATTGTATGTAAAAATCATTCGATATTCCTTCAAGGATTTTGGCGGAAGTACCAACGCAAAATTTCTCTGCTCCTTGAAGAGAAATGTACATTATTTCAAACTTTCTCACCAGCTCAGAAAATATTTCTAATGGCCGGACAGATTCGAAAATTCGCTGAAAGCAAACCTAATACGAGTCAAGAAATCAAACAAAAATTAGACAATAGCCAAATCAAATGGCAACTTATAGAAACATATTAAATGAAAGAGCTGTCAATCGTCATGAGACAGTACCCACCTGAGAATAAGCTCTCACTGTAACATGATGCCCAAGAACCAGTTGGGACAAATAAAATAATGCCTTTTCCAAGAAATCCTGATGTGACACGTCTACGTGATGTAAAAGCATTGAGATGGTGTGAAGGCAAATTGACGAAAAATGGGTTCCGAAGCCAATTCGTTTGGTCCAAAACTAAATATACATCCCATTATATATATGTGTGTGTGTATATATATACAAATATTAAAACATCGTAAATTATTCGTAGGTTATATGAAGCTCACTTGAATACATTTCATGAAAAAGGAATCCCATGTTGTTTTGTCCTTGGCAAGCACCCTTACAACAATCCATTCAGTGAGGTAACGAATACTAGGCTGAGGACTATCTTCCGATAATAAAGCTAATAGTCGATCAAGAATAGTAACATTCTGCTCCTAAAACATAAATAATAAAAATGTTTCTTAAAAAATTATATTTTAAATTAACTTCAATAAATAATATCACATACTCTGTTGAACAGGGGCTGTAGCATCAAGAGGATCTGTAGAAGTTTCAGTTTCTTTCTATGCTGTGCCGAATTTCTAAAATAGTGTTTCTTTGCACCTCCGTCGTTTTTGTCCAATAAGTAACATAAAACTTGTTCAAGAATTTTGGTTTTCAAAATTCCGCTTTGCAAATTTCCAAGTATTGTTTGTAAAATTTGTATAGCGGTCAATCGCACCATTGAAGATTTTGTAAAAATGCTGCAAAAAATGCACAAACACGAAGTATATTAAACCAAGAGACCAGACACATGTTAAAAAATATGTAACACCAGTTATTAATGGATTCGCAGGCGGAGTCGTCTTGGCCATTTTTCAACAAGTATCTCCACAATCCAAAAATTACCCTGCAGAAAATAAGTGCATTGAAATCAAAAACCAATAAATATCTATGTACATTAAAGCGGTAGTGAAAAATAAAACCTGTAGTTCTTCGGCAATGGTACTCCTGATAAGGATGCCTCAAGGCTAACTTTTACAATTTCTTGGAGCATAGAAGATTCAAATCTTTCTTCGTACTTCAAAATTTCCCAATAGTTGTTGGTAGAGTACAGCAAACTTTGGACGAGAGCGCATGGAAGTCCGATCAGAGTTTCACTTTCTTTGAAAATTTTGCTGGAAAACTAACAAACGAATCAGCAAATTATAGCTAAATGTTGATCAATCTATTTACTAATAATAGTATGCATTCTTTTCGGATTACCGGAGTCAGTATTCCTTGTCCAATAAAACATGGATGAGAAATTAATAATGTAAACTCATCAAATGCCGGCGAAAAAGATTCTGTTCTTTTCACCTCAAACATTAAATTCCAGGCCAAGCTGCTAAAGTTTTTGAGGAGAGAGTTGGCGCAATGGTCTTGACAAATTTTTCTGCGTGAAAACATTTTAAAGATTATTAAGATTTACTAAAGATTAGCAATGTGTATAAGATTATCTTGTGTCGATTATCAAAAAATGACACTCACATGAAAATTGCTTGATCATCATTACGCCGCAGTGTAAAATCAAGCATTGCTCGCACACACCTTACAGCACTAGTTACTCCGCCAAAACCAGCCTTTTCCATGTTATCAAATATGTACGAAATTACATTTATCAAGATACTAATATCAGAATCGTGTTGTTCTTGTGTTCTTGTTTCTTTTTTACTCTCCTTAGAATTTGTCAAGAAATCGGCAAAACTGTTAAATTTTGTTATGAAAAACCCAGTTCTTAGATCCGTATCGTTGATCACCCAATTCGTGACAGAAAGAGAAGAGTCTCTTAAAAACAGATTTATGACATGGGGGACGCAATTATTTTCCAAATCTTGGATCACGAACAAGGGTAGGACACTAATAAATTTCCATGCTAAAAACTCGTAGTAAGTTGAACTTGTGATATAGTCGGAAGAATTATGAGTCAAATCCGCAAAAAATTTGTTAGCGTGCAATGTCAATGTTTCGCACATCACCGACGATGTATAATCTGACTTGAGTAACACTTTTAAGAGTTCTAAACTATGCACTTGTCGGACGAATATTGCTTGATCATCAATAGTTGACAAGAAAGTCAAGTTGTGTAGAATTTCCTGTTCAATTTGAATGCAATGTTGAAGTTGTTTTGAATCGCCGCAGCACAAAGCCTGATATTCAGCGAGTGTTTCAGAGAGCAATATAAAATGTTGTCCAAGATCACAATTTGATTGAAGTTCTTTGCACAACACGTCAAAAATGTTATAACTCTGTAACACATTTCCATAATATTGGTAAATATGTATATATGTTTTAAATAAACAAGCTTGTATGAATGTGTGTGTTACCGTATCAGAACGTCCTGAGCCTAACCAAGCTACTCTAATGTATCCTTTTAATTGGAGTCCACTCAGTTCTTGAAATCTTAAAAAGCCATCAACCGTAGGGAGAAATTTAAGACATTTTTCATGAATCCATGACCAAACGTTGATAGAATTACTTGTGCCATGATTAATCAAAGTTTTCAAAGGTACAGCCCCACAAATTGTGAGAACATTGTACATAACTCGTGACCGAGATAATTCTAAATTTATCATTATTTTAGAATTAATTTGGTCGAACAATGCTTGAAGGATGGGAATTACGCAGCTTATCAAAGTATTTATCAGTATTCTTTCAATTTCTCGTCGAATGAATGGATCTACCGAGGTTAATCCTTGGGTAAGAGTTTTGCCCATGAGAAGGAAGATTTCCTCAAGTGCCAACCTGTAAAATTTTAAATTTTTTAATTACCCACGTGATTTAGATATTAATGTGTATATTTTTTTAACCCTTACCAGGAATTTGACATGTATTCATCATTACTGCTTAACAATAAGTCACCATCATCTCTGTCTCTTAGCCCACATCTCATTGCTTTGACCACGAACAACGCTACCGCTGGGCTTCGACATTTGCCATCTTCCATCATAAAATTGAGTATCACTAACAAAATTTGAAGCTCCGAGTTCAGTTCAACTGCTTCGTCTTCATAGTCCACCCCCGTCGACGGACAATACACGTTTCTTAAAAATAGTCCAAACTTTTTCGCAGTCTCCATATAGTCTTCAGCCTCAGGATGAACCCATCCAATATGGTCCCTGATTTTCGGAAATATTTGATCTTTCATGAAATTAAGGAGCAGGTCCTTGATATTACTTGATTTCTCCTGGAATAATTTCAATCATAGCATAATTCAGTTTAACATATTAAATCGTTGATTGCCTAAAATATTAAGAAAGTATAGGTAAATTAAAGTTACCCAGTTCTCCTCCCCCAAACTTAGGAAGCGAAGAAATCCTTCCTTCACAATATCGCGATTATCATGGTGCAGCATCTTAACCAAAATTATCAAAAACCAATTGCACAAATCAGTCAAGTCATCAGCGGTGGTGGAGGGGTCATCGTCAACAGCATCACATCCATGTGTAACTCTTAATCTATTAAAAATCTGGATTTTGTTCTGCAAAACAGGTTGCACAATGTGGCTCTGTTTCTCGTCCAAAATGTCAAAGAGCTCAAAGTAGTCGAGCCAGAATTGGGGTGTGGGGGCAATCGTGAGGTCAAGCAGGTCGGCGCAGGCTTCCGCAATGAGCTTTTTCAGTCGATGGGCAGCAGCTTTGTGAGCGACGGGGGTTGAGTTGCTGAGAAGTTCGGCTCGGAGCGAGGTCCAAACTTCCCGATCACCGCTGCAGGTCGGCCAACGCCAAGGAACTGAGGACTCCATATTGCTCACGATAATAATAATGATGGATGATGAGCTCACTTTAATATTTTAAATAGACAGACGTAATCTGATTGCATCTGCCTGCACATGTGGAGAATCGAAAGAAATGTGTACCTGCATTGCCTTTCCCACCCAGATGGACTCAAATAACGGATTGACATTTTACCCCACCAACGACGATGTCGCAAGATATCACGCATCCTTCAGAAAATGGTACCCTATAGCCAAAATTACTTTCGGTCTCCGTAGTATTATGTAGTTCTCTGAGACATCATACCCTTGTTAACGTTTACATATATGCTAATTTGACATGCAGAGTCTGCATGATGCAGACATTAAGGAGTAATACTTTTCGTACATCAAAGTTTTCGTAGTTCATGCAAAACTATTGGATAATGTGAATTATGCAATTAAATTGAAAATTGTGTCCATTATTTTATAAGAAATCATCGTCGAGTTTATTTAACCATAAAGTTATAGAATTCGATCTATAATTTTGCCAGATTTCTCGTATCATGGAAGATGCATAGAAGATCTTGCATTACTTACGCAACGTGTAGACGATCAAATATGATTGGTGTTAAAAAGTGATGGTGATGATTTATATAAAGCAAAGCTGGGTGGCTTAAAAAATATCACAATCATATTATCATCTGTTATTCTGTTACTGTATTTCTTCTGTAAAATTTGCCTTATAAATCAGGCAATTCTGCAGTATATGTGACTGTAATACATCAAAATATAAGATAATGTGCAATTGAACGTCCTGAATCCTGAATTATTTGTTGGGTAAGGCCACAATGTGTAAATGAATGTTTATCTACATTATTCAGTTTATCCATCCAAAATTAGACAATTAAACATAAACTACTTTGCTAATTTTTTTTCAGGGGGAGGTAGTACATCCATCTGAAAATCATGGATTTGGCAGGGTTGATGTCATCGTCATCATCATCAGGCCAGTCGAAACCTAAGGGAGCTGATGGGCTGTTTGGGAACGTCAAGGGTCTGACCCCATCATCCACGACAAGGCAACGACGACCCAATGCAGACGTCGTAGATGAGGGGTTCGTGGAGGAGGACGAGGAGTGGTGCAGCCCAGTGACAAAAATCCTCAAGCTCCCCTTTGACCACGAAAGTTGGCAACATGCCCACGAACTCTTGGAACCACCCTCGCCAAAGTCCAGAAAAGTTGCAGATGAGGTGAAAAAATAATTGGCACCCTCCCTCACCTGTTTTGACTACACTGCGATTTAGAGTAATAGGTTCTAATGAGTGTCATACATTCATTCATGCGTCAATATAGGCAAGAAGCATTGCGGCTCGTCATATAATTGACCGTCTGCATGAGGAGGATTTGTTGAACAAGATTCAAAAAGTTGCACCTCGCCTTCGATCTGCTGTGGAACTTCTTTCTAAACCGGACGGAGATTACGTTTATCCTAAATTTCAGTTTATTGTCAACGACCTGAGGAGAAGATATCCTGAGGTTTATACATCGGTTTTAGATAATGTAAGTTTTATGAAACGTATATATTGATACTAAAATGTTTGAAAGGATAATAAATTATAGGTGAAGCTGCAAATACCAGTGGATATGAAGCCATCCACCATACTAGTCTCACTCGCCAAGTCAACTGTAGAAAATACATTTGGACAATTGGAAATGGACTGGGGAAAATTTGCTGCATTGCTGGGACTCGCTGGTACATAATACACAATGATGAGACACCAACGACCATTAAACTATAAAGCTATTAAAGTGTACCGGTCTTAATAAATTTTGTATTTTCATGCCCAAGGAGCACTAGCAGTTGATTCTGTGAAAGCTGGATACCCGGAAGGAGTCGCAGAGGTGGTGGAAGCCTTTGGTGTCATAGTCGAACAAGTTTTGGGGGAATGGATTCTATCAGACGGTGGAGGATGGGAAGGTTTCATCGAACTCAACGTCTACACGGCCAAGCTGCCCCCAGTTCTCCGCACAATTATCATACTCTGTGCCCTCAGTATAGTCGTGTACCTACTCTTTTACCTCATCATGTCCACTGCACTTGTATTGTTGCACAGTCTGGGAGTACTGGGGGAAGACGAGGAGATGCTCTTTTTCCAAAAGTGGTACGGAATTTATCCTAAAGCTTATTGTACGGAGAAGCTTGACGCTATGGGAGGGAAGTCTTTCTCTCCAGTGGACCCTTTTCAGTATCTATTAGCTCTGCATGATGGAAAATTCTAACAATAAGTTGTAATCGACACATAATTATCAATCAATTCTTTTTGCTTGTGATAAACATGATTTACTGGAAATCATAAATTATGTGATACATTGGCTTGGGTGAGAACCAGATGTCAGAGGATCGGTTAATCCCTTGGAATGCTTGTGCTTGGAATGGACATTCGAGTCGAATGATTCAATTAGAACAAGAAAACGGTTCTCACCAAGGCGGTGAACAATTATTAAGTAGCGTCAGCTACTTATTGTGATCGTTTTGTCCGTCCGTCCGTCCGTAAGCAGGATATCTCCAGAACGAGTCAACATAATCAAACCCCGTTTTCGCCATTGTGCTTCTAATTTTTAGTTCTCGGTCGAGTTCGAAAATGGGGTCAATCGGACCACACCCCACAGCGCCAGGGGGTGTGGTCAAGATTAAATTTAACTTTAATTTTCATATGGGGTGTCATTTTAAAGGAAATTTGACCAGGAATTCAAGGACGTTAATATTTTTGACCTCATGACCTTGAGGTCAAGGTCAAAGGTCAAAAAGATACTTAATTGTCATATGGGGTGTCATTTTAAAGGAAATTTGATCGCGACTTCAAGGACGTTAAAATTTTTGACCTTATGACCTCTGGTCATATATGGAGAAATTTTAAAGGAAACTGGAATCGGTCTGACGCTACTTATTTATATTCGTTTGGAGGGTTTATTGTAGTTATGGAGAGAAGTACAAGGTATACTTCTCTCCATAACTACAATAATTGTTCACCGCCTTGGTTCTCACCTTAAGTAAGGTTTACAGGTCATAAACTTGCGCGGGATGAAATTTCCGTGAAAATTTCATCGCAACAACGAAATGAAATTTGAAAGAAATTAGCGAGAAATGAGTTAATTTCACGCAAATTCTATAACTTAGTTTACAGGTCATTCATTCAATTTGAAAATTTATATTACTTTCTCTGAACGTTGTTATATTTGTCGTTATGCCAACAATATACAATATGACCACTAATGACCCATCAGCGGACTTTTCACGTGCAACCATTTCACGGAAATTTCATCGAGCTTGAGTGAAAATTTCACTCCAGTGAAAATTACGCGTTGTTTTCACCGTTGACGTGAGAACCATTTTGTGAAATTTGAGTGAAATTTTCACGCAAAGGTGATTTCACGTGAAAAACATGACCTGTAAACCGCCCTTTACAATTTAACATTTCTATTAAAGCATAAAAATCTATATATCAATCAAATATATCAAATAATCTCATTATAAGGTGTATGTCAAAATAATAAGAATAAGAATATTTACTAATATTAAATGTTGTAAGGTGCTACATTTAGGCATAATTGCCTATGTATAATTGTACTGAACATATAGCTCACAAGTTTCTCAATGCTTAATAAGGCAAGCCAAGTAATTGTACTATAATTTAAATAAAGCTAGAAACTTACTAAAAAAACGTAATCAAGTTTTTGCAAGTTTATTCAAGTTATTATTACATAATAAGCGCATTTCACGCTTTAAGCCATCAATATTTGCTAAAGTATTCATATTGATACTTACAATAAATTCATTTTTATTCTAAAGAAATAATAATGTCTATCAAACATATTTATTATTAAACTCATAAATAAATGCATGTGGCACATGCATTGACCATTGACCATGCTAACGGCATTTGACCTATTCTTGGACTAAAATCCATTCATGCTATTATAATAGAAATTGTCGTGTATATACAATATTGAGCAGTATTGCTTTTCTATACAATTAGATATGCAAGACATATTAATTATTTAGGTTTGTTTGAAAGAATTCTATGATTTTGGACATAGGCAATTCAAAGAGATCGTTGGAAAGGTATTGTTGTTGTAAGTATTAAATTGGCTCTAAAAGATTGGCTTTTGTTCTTCTCTTGTTCACAGTCATCTTGATTAAATTGTCATATTGCACATCTGAAATGTCACAATCCTTGCATATGAAACTTCTCGTAATTTCGATTTCTTCTAAACTATTCTGTGCGTGTGACAAGAACTGTTTAACGAGGTTAAAATTATCGAGTTCCAAAATAGTATCAACTGCTTTAAATTTTTTCAACCTAGGAGTTTCCAGACTGATTGTCCAATCAAATATTTTACATTTTTCGGAATTATTGACAAAAACTGATGTCAACATTGGCATTGGCATTTCTATAACAGGTGCTTTGTTATTGTTTCTTTCATTTGGATCAGTATTGCATGACTTGTCTACGTCAACGTGCAAGTACCTAATCAAGTTAAATTCTTCGAAGATTATTGACAGGGCATCTTCACTCACAGGTCCGAGCAATTCAAGCCTTTGGATACTTTTCCTAAACGAATTTGAAATTAAGTTACGTTTACCTACAGCCGTCAAGGAGTCAACTACTAACGTTACTGTGGTCTCATCAATTTGATTAAAATCATTTAATGATGTTATGTGGACGATTTCATTTTGCCCAACACCGTCAGAGTCTCCTCGTTTCGTTTGGGGATCGTTTGGGGGATTCTTTGGGGTTTCTGATGTGGCTCCACTCCAGTATTTGAGATGGATGGACATGATGGGACCCCATGCCACAAGCAAGATAAGGATGGAAAGACCAGATAGAGCGATTAGAATTATGCAGAAGACTTCGAACGGTGTGTAGCCACCGAAATAGCTGAAAGTAAATATTTAAAGAGGGCATTATTTATTATACTAGCATTATTAAAATGGCCGTGCAAGTGCGATGATGTGAGGCGTGAGGTGGTCTTTTATCGAGAGATAAAATACTTATTTTATCTATGTCCATGTCATACATACAACGAACTGAAAGATAAATATGTGTAAATATGAGTAATTGACAAGCCCTGTGGTGATGAAATATCGTCTACTACGTTTGACTTTGAAAACTTTGGGTTTTGGGCAAATAAGATAAAATCATTTCTATGATCATATAAGCAGTTAAATTTTTAGAAGAATATGTAGTAGCGAGCAATAATAGAATGAGGAAAAAGGAGGAGACAGGAGACTCACTTTGTAGTAGTTGTTGTCGAATTGTAGGCCGGGCGTAATTATGGGAAGGGGGGGGGGAGAGATTTTTCAACTTTTGCGAAAATTTTGAAGTGTGAATTGTGGACATATGTAAATGATTTGCAAATTGTCGAATGCAGTAGTTACAGTTGATATAATTACATACTGCATTATTGACTTACGTTTTCTGGTTGCGTCCTTTGGATTGTTCCGATTCAGAATCAAAATTTACTCTGTTGCCAAATAGTGGCAGCATGGAATCCGCTTTGGAGTCACTGACCCTAAAACCAATTGAGCTAACAGTTATAACCAATTAGGTAGCTCACCAAATAAATTTATGGAATACCCATTATTTTGGTGCTTGAAGCAACCATATGAACTGCTCTTTGCTGGATCATGTGTAATTACTGCGGATAAACTGGCAGTTGACATAATATTAAATATTGAGCGATAATATTAACTTATTTGATGACAAAAATATAATTTATTAATTAATCACAAAAAATGGGGAAATTAATTATCCTACATTTTTATAATAAATCCCTAACACAAAGCGACGGCTCACCTACGAGTATATACATTAAATAAATATACAAGCAAAATGATGAATTTGGTTCATGGAAATTGATGTTGGTTTAATATTTATGTATCTGGCATAGATTAAAAAAGTTCTGCATGTGAGTTAAAAAATGGGTTTCAATTGATAATAGAACAAGTAAAAGTGATAAAGGTATCATTGTTTACTGTTTATGTAAGTATGTGCAATCATTAATAAATAATCAGTTTGACGGTTGGATTTTATGATACTTATATACTTGTATAAGTACATATAAAAATATATATTATATAGGCATCTACTTACATAGATGATGTAAGCCGTCCTATCCTATGGATTTTGTAAATGCAATACATTGTACAAAACGTTATTGTGAAAAGATTACCACAAGGGAATTATATCGCATTAAGGCTTACCCTCACGCTCGGAGGAATCGAAACGGGTTGGCGTAAAATTCCAGTTTGATCCTTCTCTCTCGCTTTGCGTAATGCCTTGTAGTGCCTATCTCGGAACTTCGCATCGACCCTGTGGGGGGGAGGAGTCGACCTCAGGGAAATGCATCCCCCGGTCTTTAGAATTTCGTTTTCTGCGTCTGATGGTATTTTTTTCAAATTTTTTGGACTGGCGCAAGGTACACTTATGCCCCTTACCATCAAGTGAGATAATCTTATGGAGACTGGTAAGGGGCATAAGTGTACCTTGCGCCAGTCCAAAAAATTTGAAAAAAATACCATCAGACGCAGAAAACGAAATTCTAAAGACCGGGGGATGCATTTCCCTGAGGTCGACTCCTCCCCCCCACAGGGTCGATGCGAAGTTCCGAGATAGGCACTACAAGGCATTACGCAAAGCGAGAGAGAAGGATCAAACTGGAATTTTACGCCAACCCGTTTCGATTCCTCCGAGCGTGAGGGTAAAGCTTAAGTACGGCTCCCTGATCAAAATGATTTTAAAAGTTCAGTTGCATGCTTCAATTAATGCTTTTTATAGTTTTTACAAATACATATTTCAATATCCGTAGTACCTAAATTCGTATGTAACAGAGGAGACACTTCTAATGTGTTTAATATGCATTATTCTTAATCATTAATCGCAATAACAAACAACTAATTGAAAGGAATATGATTGTATTTTGTCTTTTAAATTAAGTTATATTTATTTAAAGTTTGATGTGCATATGTAATTTAGTATTCATAATTAATAATTATGAATACATTATTAATACATAATTATTCATAATTAAGTAGGATTCCCTAAGTAATTAAAGTCGAACAAATACAACACATACACGGATTTTGACGACATTACCAGGAGAAAAAACTTGTGTATTTTATTTACAACGAATAGTTTGGAGAAGATCCACACCAGGCTGATAAAAATTCGCTAATATTTGCCAATTGTTCGTTGGGTTCACTCCTAGAAACTGCGACGAATCTGTTCCAGTCTTCCTTGTCCGCAAATCTGTTTGTGGTGCGAAAGGACACCTTCGTCCCTGTCACTGGATAGCCGGTTAGAACACAAGGTTCCCACTTTTCGCCTCCTGCGGAAGATACCAGCGATCCCTCAAAAATGGTTCGCTCATCCTGACGCAATTCCTATTGACACAATAACAGCAAAAATTTAGTACTACAAGTAATTTTGTTATTAGGACCAAGTACTCTAACCGGTTGGATGTTGGCGTCCATCGAGGCAGATAGCACCTGAAAATTTCAAATACATTATATTTTATGAACACAATAACATTTATCACACCAACAAGCTGCAATATCGCGCTCACCCACTCTTTGACCTCATTATGACATTCGTCAGGTACCATTGCTTGTTCAGGCAAGTCACACTCGGTGGGAATGTCAGTATTTAGAAAATCAGAGTGGTCCAATCCTCCAGTAGATTGTGTCCCCTCTTCGATTGCATCACGAACGTCGAGATATTGATTTAGGAAAACAAACGCCATGTTGTCCCACTTCACTTTCTACATTATGTGTACAATATATTGAAAATTCAAACGTGCAAAATTTCGAAAATGTAGTTTTTAACCGACCCTGCACAAAATTCCAGCTTCGTAAAATGCTCTTTCTACCGGAACAAGTCCACAGTAGCGAAGGAGAGATACTGATGCTTTAGCAGCCAACGGTTCCAGAGATGTAGATGCTTGAAAAGCGAGCTTATTGGTAAAATAGTGTGAAATCCAAAGAAAGCTGTCCATTTGGACATAAACGTTGGATCGGTGATCAGCTCCGGACGAGTTAAGTCCATTCATCTAAATATACACAATTTTCATTATTGTTGAAAGAGCATAATTGTTATTTCAACTGGGAGACAAAAAGAATGATATAGCCCAATAATTAACGTAACATTGTGGCAAATATTTTGCTCACCACAGAAAACATCATGTTTCTCATCTCCGACCACGTTTCAAAATCTTCCATGTTGATATCCGTGAGCATGAGCATGGCTAAGGCTCTGTACAGTGAAAAGTGTTCTCGGTTGCAGGGAGTGCCATAGTCCATGTACACCTTGAGTGCCTCCCGGGCTGACCTCGCCTTGATTAAGTGAGTCACATACTTGGCCATATATTTCGAAAGCGTGTCGGCATTGTGCTTGGCCCTCTCCAAACACTTTCCCCAGTGACCTTGCTCGCACATCAGCTCCAGAGCAGCGTGCGCATTTACACCTTCCAGTTGTTCCACTTGTCCAGACGCTTTGAGTGACTCGGTTTGCTTCATTTTCACGTATTCTTCCATCCTACACAAAATACCAAGGTTAATTATAACATGAATATGTGATACCTACGTGGAGGATATCGCATTCTTTAGTTCACGAGGTCCTACTTGGTATTTTTCCGTTTACTTACTTTGGTCCAACTTCCGTTGCCAGTCGTCGCGCTTCGTCCCACAAATCTCCTTCAATCAAAGCCCTGATGGCCTCCTTATACTGCCCACATTGCACGTACAGTGAAGCAGCCTCTGCAAAGCGATTAATACTGGAGAGCATGGGGGCCAAGGATTTCAAAACGTAGTCTGCATGTTCTTTTAACAAAAATTTTGCTGCCAGTTCGGCAGCTCGGGTCCAGCATTTTGCGAGCACAATGTCATTGTCCATGATTTGTGGGGTAAGCTGTAAGTAGCGCTCAATTGCTTTTCGATATTCTCCTTGGCGTTCAAATTGTTTCGCCTGTTCAAATTAAATATTTAAATAATTAATTTAAATATCGACTATATTTAAAATAAAAATAGAGAAGACACTGCACCTGTTCAATCAATTCTTCTGGCTCTTTGGCGGATTCATTCCGGGAATCGAAAACTGAAAAATCCTCTTGAAGCTGATTTGTGAGATGTGGTGCATACTGCTTGCAGACACGAAAGGCTTCAGCCCACATGTTATGCCGCTAGATTAATAGAATTGAATAATATTAACGATTATTTAATAGTCAGCTAGGAGGTTATTGAAAATAGATTGATAAATTGATGGGAAAAACCGTTACATATGTGTATGTATATCTTACCTTGTAAAGTTCTATTGCAATTTCAGGTTTTTCTGCACGAATGACAATGGTTTCAAAATTACTGAAATCCTTGTTTCCAAAAAGTTGTTCCGCGTGCATAAGAAGAACTCTTTGTAACTCTTCAGGAGCGTATTTCTCCGCTGTTTCCATTGCTTTGGGAAGGTCGTGACTCCGAAGATACCTTAAAATAAATTGCTTTTTCAAGGACCATTTTTACTAAATACATTCACTTATCTTTAGTGCTGCGCTTTTATTGTAATATTTTTTAAAATTGCCTGCCAATTAAAAATGTTCAAAGCAGAAATAACTCACATATCAACAGCTTCCTTTCCCATATTTGCGTTAACATAATGTATCTTTGCCTCTTCATACTCTCTTTTCTCTTCACAATATTGGGCCCATTGGAATTGGATGTCGACTGAGGAATATTATTCATCATTTTTTAAATAGTACTAATTTAGAAATACTCTTTTGAGCCCCGTAGTTAGTACGTTAGAAATTCAAATTACCAAGTTTGTCTCGTGCTCCCAATTCGGCGATCTCCTCCGCTACAATGAACTGTCGTGAAAACAAAACCATAGTCGTATCATACGTAACCATTTTCTATTACTGACACAATATTGTTTAAATAGTGACTAACTTACGTTTCCTTTCAAACAATGGTGATCTATACAATCGTAAATGTAGCCAAACTTGTTGAGTAATTTCACAGCAGTATCTGGTGAAAGGGCAGCAGACCATTTGAAAATCACATTTTTTGAAGCTTGAACTCCACCATGATTCCTTGCCACCTGTGCAAATGCATAATATAATCAACATTAGAATTGAGTCTGCATACGTTGTCTACGTAAACGTAGATTATATTATGCGGGTGGTATAATGAATAAATGGATATGCATGACCCTCACCCTGTATGCGTCTTCCCAAAGTCCCCTTGCGACATACATTTCCACCGCATCTGACCAAAGACCTGCTTTGACATAATGGTTTTCCGCAGTTTTATAATTTTCTTCCTGTATGCAAATCTCCGCCAAGTGCTTCAAGGTTTGACCAAGATGTTCTGTACGATGTGCTTGAATAAGACGCAAAACTTCGTCATACCTGAAAAAAATCACGGTGCAAACGGAGAGTACAAATACGGCAATATGTTATTTATTGTTAGTAATACTTTTGAGAACCAAAATAATTTGTGAATGTCTGCTTCGCTTACATTTTATTTGTCGCGTACATCTTGATAGCCATGTCCACCTCCCCAATGGCCACATACAACTTTTCTGCTTGCAAATAACGACCCTGATCTTGCATGATTTTTGCTTGGTCAATGTACTGTCGTTGAAGGTCTTGTTTGCTGATTCCGGTTGACTGAGTCGCAATTCGATGCGCATCTTCCCATCGATCTATGAAATTAGTTTGTTGCATGCAATAGTTCAATTTGAGATATCGGTGAAATATCTAATAAAACATTGCAATTCGGGAATGAGCTAGAAAATGGATAGTACCTTTTTCAGTGTACATTTCTACAGCTTTCTTTGGATTTCCACCTTTTATAAAACACCGTTCAGCTTGGCTTAGCTCGTCTATCGAATTAAAATACTCTCCAAGTTTGACCCATTGTTTGGACACTGCAGGAACGTCTTCTACCGCCTGAAAAAAATTAGCACCACTCACAAATTAACAACTAATAAAATATTTACATTGCAATACATCTAGTATATGCAGTTACAGTGAAAGTACCGCACCTCAATGATGTGCAATGCCTTTTTCCATTGTCTTGATTCCAATGCCGCGTCCAGCCCTTTGACCAAACATCCTGAAACAGAAGCACAACCAATTACATTCTTATTACATCGCCTTTTCCAACATTTATGAATCAAATTATTTTTGGAATTGATTTTTTTGCACCTGATTCAATATAGTGGTTCGTAGCAGCATCCATTTGACGACAGGAGACGAGATGATCACCCCACTCTTCTTCCAAGGAGACCACTTCATTGGGGAACGAGTGCTTTGCCAGTTTTATAGCCTTATCGTAAAAGAACCCACGACGATAACATTCCAGAGCTCGGCTTTTCTGGCCTACAGAGTCGTAAAGTTCTCCAGCTTCTTCGAGAAATTCGCCCAAAAGTAAAGAATCGCAGACTTGAGAGACAAGATCCGTGTCCTGTTGAAGTGCTCTGTGCTTCATTATCACTCTGGTATGATTAAGTGTCAAAATTGAGAGATTTTAGCATCTAAGATTAAAATGTCATAATAATGTATACCTTGCTGCTCTAGTAGGAAATCCACCATCTAAATATAGTGCGATTGATTTTTGGCTGTGTCCATGTTTTTCAAGAAATTCTGCAGCCACGTCGTACTGTCCGGAATATTTATTAGCATATTGAAATAATTATGCGTGTCCTTAATTTCTATCGAGTTATAAAATATTTTTGTGGATGCTAGTCAAATAAATAATAATTTTCTACCCTTTTAATAAAACATAAACAAAACATAGCAAATTTTATGCTATGAACTACAACTTAATCTACTGTTATTATAAATGAATGGTAAATGATTGTCAGTTAATTAATCGTGCTTTGTTGCGTGCTCATTTGAATTTAGAACAATTTAATATTAGATAAATTACCTGTCCTGAACTTATCAGACGATCCAAGAATTGGTCCATCAACTCGGTGAGGCGTGGGTGGTTCTTAATCTTGGCCAGCGTGATGGCATCATCCCACTTTTGCAAAGTTTCATACCTAACACATATGCAATGATTAGATTTTTTCATAATGGATTTAACTACAACTTTTTTTATATTTTGTGACTCAACATTTTAATTGCCCTATCGACATCTCCTTGATTCAAATAGATTGCTTCGGCGTCTTTGATTTGTCCAGCCATGAGATGCAGACGTGCTTGGACTTCATAACTTTGTTTCCAGAACCCCTTCTCATTGGGATTTACCCCTGGTTCTGTTTTGCACATTTCGATTGTATTTTGTATAAATTTGGCTCTGCGGACATAATTTAACAAAAATCAAATAACAATTAAAACAAAGGATGCTAACAAAGTCCCGATTAAAAAATGAATAAATCCGTTGAGATATTTGTTCTTCATCACTTGCATACCTTGGAACATCACCTGTAGCTGCATAAGCTTTATGAGCAATCTTTAACTCTTGTGCTTCTACGGCCACTTTTGCCAATTTTGACCACATGCCATGAACTTCTGGGCTTTGTTCACACGAATCCAGAAATGCAGCTGCTCGTGCCAAATCTCCATCGTCTATCGCTGTAGTAAATTCGATTCGACTTTGATCGAGCTCAATCTCTTGAGTGACACCTCCATCGCGAACCAGCACTACTGTTCGACCTTTCTCTTTCAAAATATCGGTGGCCACGCCTCTCAACTGCAATCAGCATTTTCATTTGGAATGCGATTTTTAACATGCTGACTAAATATAATATTCATGAAGTGAATTTTAGGGACTTTCTTCACCTCGATATCCACACTGATTTCAGGTGTGTCCAAATTGTACCAAATTCTCAGCGTTTTTCTAGACTGAGCGACCACTACGTCAGAACCTGGGACCCACGACACAAACCCGCAAGATTGGTCCAACGTGTGTTTATTCAGAGTCCCAACGTCGACGAGTACGAGACGAGTGCGACGATCTCGATACAGTAGCTTTGTTCCTGTTTCATTTAACTCGAGCCAATCCACTTTCGAGTCATGGACCACTTCAGCCAAAGGGAGATTGTATTCGAGGTCAACTTTTGATCCGTGCAATACAGTCAGAATTTAGATATTTAAAATTGAAGATTAGTTGAAGCATTTTTCATCAAGTGACATACCAACATTTATGGATTTGAGATCCAACAAATACGCCAACTTCCTGTTGGTGACGCCGCTTTCTAAATCTTTCTTTGATAGCCGCTCATTCACTCGGACGCTGATTACGTGAGGGTTTATCCATTCAGTTCTGCATAATATGTGAAAACGTGGTCCAACCATTAATTATATTCGTATACTTACATGCATAGGCATTCATTAAGCAGTTCAAAAAAGTATTAAATACCTAAAAGTTCCCAGAACATCATCTTTGCCGTACTCAATTAAGGTCATTTCTCCACCATTAAAAACCATGCAGACCGTTTGGTTCTCAAAGTAAAAGCGTTCCTTTTCTTCTACATCTGACCATGGGATTTCGCTTGTCAGCTTGCGCTCAATATCACCTAAGTACACATGTAGCATCTTATTAAGAGGGTTTTTGCAACACGTGCTAATTGAGCATCAAATAATTATCTATTTATGGTTTTTATAATAACATTTCTCACAAATAATTATGGTTTCAACTGTTCTAGCAACAGCAAATAAGTCCTTGCCCATCAGTTGAACTTCTGAAATTTCACTACCATACTTAGATCTGATATTGGCCGTCTTTCCAGATTCCACTACTTTCAGTATGACATTGCTCGGCGTGATGTAGCTCAACTCAACTTTGTCACTTTTAGATCGTCTATAATTAATACACAAAATTACAAAAGCTTGACTTAATACTTTTAAAAGGTAATATTTTAGATTGCGAACTTGTAGGCGGCTTCGAACATGTGAAAGCTCCCAACACAAGTGGCCACCGAGAGGAAAGTCCCGTCTTTTCGCCACTGAAGGGCCGTTGGGACGTAGAGATTGTCAACCTTCTTTGTCCGCCCCTCTTCCCACATCTTCTTCCGGGACTGGTACTGCAAGATCTTGAGTTTATTGAGGCAACCAAACACAACCGTTTGACCCGTGGCGGTGGCAGCAGCGCAAGTGAAGTCGCAGTTGGAGGGATCCTTCGAGAAATCAAACTGTTGGCGAACTTTCCCCAATTTTTCATAAACGAAAATCTTCATGTCCGAGCCCCCAGCAAGAATCGAGTCTGGGCAGAGGGCTAGTGCCACAGCAGGAACTGTGTGACGGATTTTGGATTTCTTAAAAAACAAAATTTCCAAAAGAGAAATTCCAAGTAATGATCATTAATTAAATAATTATGAATGTACGTCTAACCAGCGACATTTGATCAGGATTTCCAATTCCAAACAGTAATATTTGTCCATCCAAAAAGGATGCTGCGAGTTCTGTGCCAGCCGAGCTAAAACGAGATTTCTTAAAATTAGAAAATAAATGAAGGCAAGATAAATATAAATATGCTGCACAAATATCTGTGAGTATGGGAAGGCCTACTTTGTCACCATCGTCAGCACGGCAGTGTCTGGGACGTTATAAATTGTTTTAGGTTTTTGTCCTTTCCCGACCATGTTAACGTGTCTAATTTTGCCATCGCTCAGCCCACAAATAAGTTCAACGTCACTTGGCCAAGCAACGGTGGTGACTGCTGAAGTTTGCGCAAACTTGTTGATGATGGATTTTTTCATTTTGAAATCTTCTCCAATCCTGTATATGAATAGAATGCAGTCTGACTGGCCCACAGCCAGGTTAATGGAGTCTGGAGAGAACGCTAGGGATGTGACCATGTATGCCTGCGGTGACGATGTGGCCTACAGTTAAGAAAAGTAGTCCAAGAATTACACAAATCCCAATTTAATCTACGCTTTGTCAAAAACAATAAATATAAATAGTGAATAAAACATAAAACCGTCATTACTTTGACGTCCGCTCCGCGTGTTTGGAACTTGTCCCGTGGTCCACCTTTCTCATCAAAGAGCTGAATGACTTTGTCACTCCTGCACACGGCGAGCTTCTGATTATTCGGCGACCATGCCATTGCTTTCACACGTTCGCCCCCCATCTACGATAATCAAAGTTATTATCATCCAATAAACAGTGATACGAAATGAAGTTGGTGTACCTGCATCGACGCCTGAAGCGTGATGAGTGGGGTCAAATACTTTAAATTCATTTTCTATTTCCCCCTTTTTCAATCGTTTTGACACTAGCACGCATTAGCTAAATTTGTTTTAGCAAAGGTGTAAAAATTAAGCTTTGACCACGTAGCGAGCGGGTGATTTATTGCGTGGTGTTTGTAGCTGGTGACCATGGTGACGACCCGACACTCCAACTCCAAAGACATCGGGGAATGAGCAAACGCAACGCTTCCAGCACTTCATGCAATTTATATCGTACCGAAAACTGTTTTTATGTCTGATATAACTTAAATTACATCATGAAATGTAAAACAGAGTTAAAATTTATCCTTATACCGAGCTTACATAATATTGCCCGAGTATGCATTTTCTCTGAAAAATGGCATTATGCATAAAATTTTCCCATGCATTTAGCATGCATAATTTCAGCTTTTACAAACCAATTCGAAACATAGTAGTTTTATTATGCTTTCATAGAAATCGCCTATGTTCGATTTTAACTGATAATTTTACAGTTAAAATCGAACTGCACCTTCATACAAGATTACGTTAAGAATGAGATGTTCGAATATTCTGCATCAATTGTACTAGCCTCACTGGACCCGATGATGATGATTAATCAATTATTAGAGTTCCGTTGCACATAATATTTAATTAAATATTCGTTTGTCGTATGAACTAGTGATAAGTATTTAAATGAGTACATGTTACGCAATAAATAGGCACAAAATATGATTTATTTGTTTATGCATTATCCTGAGTGACTCACGTGTTTCACAATTCTATTGTATCAGCATAAAGATTGTTTTTATTTTCACTTTCTTTTTGAAAAAATCAATTGTCACTTTCCATGTTAATCCAAACACGTCAGATATATTTGGTGAGTTTTTAAATTTTTCGACTGAACATCAGTCGTGCAATATAACGGTTCTACAAAATGATGCAGCTACTAGTTTGGTTAATTTTAGGAGTCATTTTAGGAGCTGAAGGCCGCAGAAATTTTATACCCCATCAAAGTTTGAGCAGACTTTTTTTTTTACTTATACCCACCCTCTCGTTGTCAATAAAAAATGTTAATTTTTCTTTAGGAGGAAAAGTTCAACAATATGCATCTTCCGAAATCTTGCCAAATCACTCTCCTATGACTTCTGCATCTTCCTCGTCTTCCTCGTCGTCGTCGTCAGAAGAAGAGAAAATTTACTTCTCCTCCTGGGAGCTGACCATGATGTCGCAAGTGTTGGTTGACATTAGTATCAATCGATGCGAGGCTTTTGTTGATGACCAAGCAAGAGATTTTAAAAACTACGTGGAACGAGTTGTGGAAGGTGCCCCTCAACGTGGCGTCATTAGCAAAAATTTCATGGAACTGTACGATTCACTTGTGGAATGTTTGCGGTTAAGCACGGAAGCTGCAAACAGGTATGACAAGAACACTATTTTTTCATGTCATGCATAAACAAATACTATGATACAAAAACTAAATTAGGGAGCAATATGCAAAAGCAATTCAGCTTGCCAACCTCAACGAAAAGAATATTGATTTTAATTCAAACACACCTCAAATCGTGGAACAATCGCACATTGTAGCTGTCATCAGTCTTGGTAACTATCAAAGTAATGAATAATGATACTGTCAAGCTTAAAATACAGTACTAACTATTGTGGAAACAGATCATCCATCAAACTCTACCAGTTTGGATGAAATCCATTCGGGGTCTACGCCAACGCCGAGTTCAAAAACAACAATTTCTACAACTTTAAAACCTGAACCTTCTCACAAACATCGTAAGCCAAGCAAGAAGGTGAATAGCATAATGAACAGTGTGGGTCACCTCTTTACTGAACTGTATGACAATACAATATCCATATTTTCGTCGATATTCGGACGAAAAAAACGTGGGTCCAATTGGGAAACAGATCACGACGACGAAGACGACGATGTGGGAAGAGATGACAATGATGATAATGTTGCCCAAGGAGTTGCACCAGCACGACGGGTTCATTCAAATATAAGAAGTTCGCAGGAAGACAATTCAAAGGAAAGTTCCAATAGTGACGAGGTCTCTGCAAATTTGAAGCCAATCAGGAACGGGAAAGATAACAAGAAGACAAATTTTCGTCATAATAGGTTCCTTAAGCTTGGAGAGAAGCATTTTCGCAGTGTTTTGAAAAGCATGACAGCGATAGCATTGAGAAGTTGTCCTATTCAGATGGCACCTCACATGACTGAGGTTAAAACCGCTCTGAAGGAAATATTTGCCCATCTGAAACAAGCTTCGGAAGGCAAGGAGGACAAAAAGGGGTTAAGTGACTCGGAACCATTTCCACTAAATTTCCAGGTGCAGAGGAAAGTCCACCAATGCAGCAAAGAGGTTGGAGTAGCACTTGCCAAAATCTAAAATTAGACACCGTTATTGTTCGACTAAAGTGAAAGTTTGCACATTGTTTCAGAATTTTTACGTAAATCAACTAGAAATCAATGAATAATTGGTTGGTTAATTTAGTGCATATGAATGAATTGGCGAATGCGAATAAAATTAAATATTTTACCAAAGAAAAACAAATAAGACAACTTTCACTAACTTTCAGTTATTTATTTACTTAAGTGTGTATTCATTGAGGGTGGCATGAGTTAAAAACTGCCTTGCGAAACAATGTTTGAATGGCTTAATTGAGCACGTATTTTACTACATGCATGAACGTTAAATTGTACTTTAAAGTTTAATTGGGCATTTAAAGATATTGCTTATTGTCTTGTTTTCCTGGTACGCAAAAAATGCACAATGTCAATGTCAAACAATATGAAGGTACAGTGTGACGGTACTGTAACTTTACCATCTATCATTCAAGTTCAAGAATTGGTTTAGAATTGTTTTATTTTAATTTTTTTTTCAAAAATGACAACACCAGCGATTATTCTTATCGCAGTGACAGTTCTGTTGCTTGAAGCGTGTTAATGGTGGGAAGGGTAAGCAAAGTGCTTCATGCACAATTGGTTTGTTGTCTGAGCCAAATTTTGTTTGGATTTGCAGTTTCTGAAGAAGTAGAAACTATTCTTTCTCAAAAATCAGGTCGTAGTAGCAATGTCGGCGGGGTAGAGGTCATGGGACCTCTGACTTCCTATGAGCTGGCCATGTTCACCGACCTTGTTGTTCAGATTTCCATGATTCGATGTCCCAAAGTGTCCAGGCCTGGGATGCAATCATTGAAACGATTCATGTTCTCCTCATTCTCGAAAGGTAAGCAGCACAACTGCCACAATCAAATAAGAGATTACATGCATTTAGTTAATTTTATGTTATGCAAATTTACTTTTCAGCACCCCAAAGGGCTATATCACACCCACTTTTCTATTCCAACTACAGAAGTCTGGTTGAGTGCATGAACTATGCTCAGGATCGATTTCCAAAACAGTTTCGGAGCAGGAATAGGGCTGAGGGTGAGGATGAATCGGTCAGTACTAAAAACTTTCCCCATCCCTTCTTTCTTGATATTCATGATATTCACACTGGTACAATTTCTACTGATATAATTCATAATATGTAGTTCGGACGGCGGAGGAGACGTTCGACGATCTCTGAAGAGTTTAATGGTCTGATTCCCGTAGGCGAAGAGGGTCACGACAAGTTTAAAAGTGAAGACTCGTTCAAAGATCTGTTTGTTGCCCTTCAAGGCATCACTGAAATTACGTGTCCGTCCAGTTTTATGCCAAATAAAGCATTTCTTGAAGCAAGTTTGGAAGAAGCAGCTTCCTGGGTAAAATCACACGACGTGGCAAAATCAGCTCATACGAAGTATTTCAGCAAAGGTGGACTTACTCATGGGGTTAACCAGTGTTATCAAAAGTTGGCTTTTTAAGTGACCAATTTCTTATAAATACATATTTAAATAAATTATTTGTCTAATTGTAAGCTTTCTTCAGGTGCATGCATTATGACTTTATTTTGCATACATTTGAAATCGTGGATATTCAAAATTCAACAACCAAATAACAACAGCATTACAATTTAAGTGAGTTTGTTTGTTGTTTGGCCTGAAGTCTGAACGATTGATTATCATCGATTCTGTGGAATATATGTACATACTCATACACGTCGCAATCTGATTTCTGAACTAGTTTTTTCATACATGGTTCCATGAATGTCATAGACAAATTCGTTTATTCTCAAACTGTATCACAAAAATTATGAAGGAGTTATTTCTAAATTTTCTGATATTTAAGCGAATAATTTTTAAATTCGACGAAGAGGACCAAAATATAATGTGCAATATAATAGATGAATTAATACATGAACGAGTAGATGTAATCGGCTCGGCAATGGCAAATATTGCTCTGTGCTAATACATACCTAAAATAAACTGAGATGCACTTGAAAGGTTGAACTTTAGTCTGCGGTCCAACTAATCCTCAAAACTTGGACGGACTATACCGAGTCATTTCATGTAAACCACCGTAACGATGTACTTGTCCAACATTACGTAAAGCATTGCCACATTTATGATGGAATCTGTTTATTATTTGATCAAGTTATGGTTGGCGAAAGAACATGCTGAAATAATAAACTGCGGGCTCCTGAACGCCGAGTGTCGTAGCAGAGCGTCTGCATGTGTATGCATCACATCATTCCCCCTACTTAATTAATTGCAACTTACTTTTCATGTTGTTTAGCCTGGTTTGCTGCCCCACATTTGTAAGGGTGATGTGGTGGCTTTTTATTATTATGTAAATATTGCTCTTACACTTCCCATTTTCTGTTTTGCGTAAAGTACAACTCAATGCAATAATGGTTCCTCAAAATATTCGGATCCATCCGAAGGATGCATTCAGTGAATGTTTTTCGTCCTGTGCACAGTCTATCTTTTAATAATAATAAGTAAGTATTTAGTCATGGTTCCAGTCGTCTCTTTGAGTCTGTGGACAAAAAAAAGTATCGATTTCTTCGTGTGCAGAAACAGCACTGGTACGGAGCGATATACTGATAATATTTGTTAATAAAAGTAAAACTGAAGTGATGATGACGTTTATTTGCTGTGCTCACTGTCATTTTATGAGTACACGACGACACAACTCTTGATTTTGTCTTTGTGAAATGCTACAACAATGGGCACCATGCATTACTGCGGTTCGCATTATGTTTCATATTGCATGAAATGGAAGGCACGTTAAAGGCTTTTACTTTTATACGAGAAAGCACAATGTCTACAGACGAATCTTTTGATGTACGTATGCATGTGCACGAGGACACTTTAATATCGCCAGAAGTTTTATACGATTTAATAAAAATGAGAAACAAGGTCACAGCGACACCATCCATCAAAACCTTATTGGTACATTTCTTGGTACTTTTCCCCGTCTCGTTCGTCTCTCAAGTTTATCATGCACAAGGAAGAGAACGTGACTGCATTTAATTTAAGTAAGTTTGTTTTTGCAAAATAAAAACAAAAGAATTGTAAAACCTTGCACGTACCAAAAATGAAGAAATGAAAATTTCCATTTATCGTTATCCATTTATTATGCCCTTCATATCATTTTTTACACGGAACATTCGGAGTATTCTGAAATCTGTTTTCCTTTTCTTCTACTATTCACTTCCATCGTGTGATGTGGTGCATATGGTCAAGAAAATAATTTTATGAATCATTTTAACTTTATTATTCATTTCACGACTCACTCGAAGACTAGTGTGCACATCTTCGGATTATGAACATGACCTTTCCAATTTCTTCCATCCCACAGCAATCTATACGAACGGGTCATATACGGCGTATATCCTTCTACTGGTTGGTTTTGTCAGAAAGGAGAAAAGAAAGCCATTCATGGAATGACCACGCAAACTTTTGTTCACACAGGGAAAGATAGACATCGAATAGCGTATACTTATCGTGTGTCCGGTTATATGGTTCGAGTATGTGCAGAGTTTGATGGTCGTTGGACATGCAAACCAGATAAAAAGAGGACATTATCATCATCCAAGTTTATTGTTTCTTTCTAGGTTTACTTGTGAAAAGAAAACAATGTTTGTGTTAACTGCTGGATAGTCCATTCTTTGATAACTTTGATAATTTGATGAAAACCAACTGAATAACTGGGTTTCAAAATGTACAATAATGCCAAGAGAGCGGTACAAGGTGATGGAGTTTCCTTCCACTTTCCGAACTTTCTCCTTTGAAATCAAATCAAATCGACCAAACCAAGCGTATCTCTTGTGAGAGGGAAGGAAAGCCAACCCGGGTTGTGAGATCAGTGTTGGTTCGGATCTCGACAGGAGAAAACGCGTCGCGTAGTATCACATGTACGTACATGCAGTGTCATCATCGCCATATCACTTCGCCTCAAAGTTCCACTGCGGCTGCTGGCTATTGTTCATCCATAATTACATTTACGCATCAAACTTGATTTTCACAATCTGATCAAAAGAATTATTAAAATAGTTGGACTTTGATTAAATCATAAGCAATTCAATTTTTCTGGATCAGTTGACATGTCTGTTTTCGAGTCTCCTCTCCTTCTGCATGTCGACCACCCACCGTGTACCTGCGAGTAAAGGGCACAAGTGTCCATGAATAAGCCAGTGAAATGGTAAACATGGCGTTGGTGTAGTGCGAAGGAAGACTTTCAAGAAATTTCGCCATTGTAAGAAATAAGATATCACAAGCGAGTCGTAATTGCCTCCTCCCGTCCGTGGACGGACAACAGCAGCAGGTCACCAGACACCGACTTGGTCTTGATTGTGCAACTTTGCCCAACATCCTCATCCCATTCAGTCGACTAGAAAATTAGTCCGCCTCTGCACACTCGTCCTCCTCCCTTCTCATTATTATGGAGCAACAAGGACGAGGTAAACTCATCTCACGAGTCATGTAACATCAACGAAATTATCACCACCTCAAAATAACTTTGAATTTATTTGCACCATATTCGTTTTGGAGTTAATTTGGGTGAGATAATTCTGCATGGCTCGATTATTCTTTATTGCAAAAGCACGTCGTTTAGTCAGATAAGCCAATGTGGAAAGGTCGTCTCTCTTCGAGAAGAATAATAAGATTTGTCAGAGTGGAAAATGGACAAGAGATTTTGACGTGAGTGATTTTCTCTTTCGAATATCACGAGGCAAGGCAACATGACATGTAAATGAAATGCAAAACGGATGGGCTAGTTCCATGGAGCGTATCCTGTTCGAACTTTTCTCGAGGGACATGCAGAGAAGAATATGCGGAATGAATGCGAGCTCATGAATGGTTTTCCTTTGCCAATGTGCATTAGTGAAATTCAGTTAGCCGTGGGAGGACAAAGAGAGAAAGTCGAATCACTCTCACCAATTTCTATTCTTTTTAAACGACTATGAAAGTTGGTACACAATTTATTTGATTTTAGTGCTGAAATTAAATGCTCGCCAGAAGGAAGTCGTCCAGGCACGGTTCGTTACCTCCGGTCAAAGCTCTGTTAGAATAGAATCCTTAAATTGAGAGAGTTCAAAAATTATGTGAGAACAGATCCGCATTATAAATTATGAAATATTTGATCAAAGTACTGTACGCTAAATTTACGTCGTTTTTAATATGTATTCCTAAATAATTGAATTAGTATAAATATACGGGCAGAAGTTACAGGAAATGTGGAAACTTGTTCCGTAAATTTAAAATTATAGCTTTGAGATTAGAGAATCAATGACTTTTTTTTACGTTTTTACCCTTTGCAGGTTTCCTAAGGTATCATCACTGAAATCACTCTGCCATTATCATCATCATCATCATGTGTAGTCGCAATTTGTGCGTGCTTGGTTGACTGTGTATGCAATACTACAAAGTGCATACGTGTGTATACGGAATACGGATGTACGTACATACATAAATGGGACAAATACTCAGCTTGTTGGTATAAAATATTCATCAAAATCTTCCCTTTAGCGGAAGAAAGCAAGAGTTGCGTGTTGAAAAGTAAAGTTGGTTTTGAGTGGTTTGTTTTACTTTTATTTTGACTCTGAACAGTAGTGATCAAGTGTAGCTGGAACACACACAGGCAACGAAAGCTTAAGTGAAAGAGGTTCAAATCTTGTACATACATTTTAGTGTTATGATTTACCCTGCCCATGGACTTTCCTGTTGTTCATACAGAGTCGAGAATATATGTATGTACACATGTACATGCACGATTGTTGGCATAAACCCTGTTTTTAGAGTTTAGTGTAAACCTACTCTCCTGTCCAGATATTGGATAAAGTCCACAACAAGATAAAGTTCACAAATAACAGCGAATAGTAAGCTCATAAAAGCGTTTTGCGAGTGAAAGCACGGTGAAAGGTTCTTGTTGTTGATGATGAATCCTGCCCACAGCGTGTCAAGTCGCCCCGGGGAATCAACTCGTCTCCCATCTCCATGATTATTATGCTGTCTTATCTTCCTGGAAAAGCTTCTTACTTCGCAAGGTGAGTTTAGGTTATATGGTTTTATGCGCAAAAATTCGCAGAAAAACCATTACGACTATATTCTTTGGATAGAAACGGAAACATAAATTTTGCCAACTGAAATTATTCCCAAGTCAGCTTTGTATTTATTATACAAAAAATCAAGTGCTGATCTATGTATTGTACGTTCTTTGGAAAAATGTCATCATCATCATCACTCCCCATTGTTTAGCCAAAATATATGTATGCGTTTCTGGTTCGAAGCAGGAGGGAGACTTTTATCGTTGCGAAGAGGCGAGCACCTCGAAGTCGTAGTAGTGGCAAAAGCATTTGTAAGTCGTTGGCCGGAGAAAGTGCTTTCCTTGGCACTGGTCCTTCTCCTGGCTGTGTGTGCATGGTGGTGAAGTGGAGTGGATGGTGATGAATGGGTTGGACCCCTATTTCCTTCCGGCTCTTGGCTGGAAACCAAACTTTCTGGCAACTTGCTCCCATGAATTACTACCACAAGCTAAGTAGCCGGCTTTTCTGCACATATTTCTTGCAAATGGTGCAAAATTATTGGAAATGTGTTACGCCTCTAGAAAAGATGCCCATGCTGCTTGATAAACTATGCTCTTGAATCTTGTATCTATTACACCCAGAAGAGTAATTAGTGTTCAAGTTGAAAAGTGTAGCGTAAAGTAGCATTACTTGTGCATGCATATACCGAGAGTTCACCTCTTGTGCAAAAGTCAAGGATTATTACACATTTGTATTGTTTACTTTGTTGACTTATGTGTGGTCGTAAATAGCTGTGGCTTTTGATCTTCGCAGAGCTTGGCGAGAGAAAGAGTGAGGTCGGCCGTCTGTGTGGTTCCGGTGTCAAGTCATGTCCTCGTGATGTCATGTCATCTTCTGAAACGATGACAGATTTGTTTTTTATGTGGGATCGAAAAGTGCAATTTCCTGCTATTGCTCCCACACTGACCCTTGACTTTTCTCACCACCATGAGGCCGGGGCTGCTGCTGTGCACGTGTCTACAATCACACGACATGATGACTTCTTGCTGACAATATCACATAGTCACGACGGCTTATAATTATCTTCACGAGGAGATATTTTCTCCATGATGTAATACGTTGGCGTTGAATGAGCTAGACAGTTAAGGTATACATAAGTAGGTTATCGTCACCCTCCAGCTGTGTGATTTCCCAACCAGATAAACTTTTATATATATTTATCTATATTACTTTTATGTGTGTGTGTGCTCGTCGTCCTCGTCGTCCAGTCAATCTTCCCATGCATGCACTTGCTATATTCGCCTTGCAGAATTTATACGAACGACGTGCGACCACCATGGCCACTTTTCAGAAATAAATGTTTTCAGTCGTGCGTTCCAGTGTCATAAGGCGAGGAGAGAAGGAAGAAAAGTCATTAGCCATGTCCCACTAAAATTACATCACCACCATTACATTCTCATGGCAAGGGTGTGCTTGTCATCAGCGCTGCATTGTCGTCATCATCATCACGGATGACAATCAGACCAGTCAGCCAACCAGCGTCGCATCGTTCGTCTTTTCTATTTTCTGCAAGAATCGTGAATCGTCGTGTACGTACAGCCGTGTAGTTTCTCCTGAGGGAACTTTTGCTTTGTGCATTTTCAAAGACTTCTCAAAATCGGGACGACTAATTTACTTTATTTGGCGACCGCTTTATGTCACGGCATATCGTGCACGTCGTGGAACCTGGTCCAATTTTATTTGTTTGAGGAATGTGACGTGGCTTGCACTGACCCTATAATCAAACAACCAGCCGAGCGACATCCTTCCAGACGGGGAAATGATAATTTGAGACAATTTTTTCCCAAAATGATTATTATCTCGGAAATGGAGTGACTGTGTGGGCAGGCAATAGATATACGCTGCATAAGCTTCCAATCTCTTTGCTTTCACTACTTTTCCCGAGCCGAGCGCCAACCAAATCTAATCATGAAGAAGCAATTTCCTCTGAGGAAATAATTTGACGTGAAATTCGTGTCAGAATTGGCAGACTCCTATAAAATGATATGTATTTTTTAAATATATAAAGTAATTTTTTTATGTATTAAAAAATACGTAAAAACGGCATCAAGCGATTTCGTTTACTAAATTTTAAATAAATAAATATTATTTAATAAGGTGACTTTTCCTTTAGTTTCACTTATGCTACTTGCACGTCTTGCCATTACACGTACGTATGTATATATATACGTTGGTGGTTGACTTGTCGGTGCATGAGGCACGACACCAATGCGACATGTTGTTAGATAAGATGCACGATAAGCACTATCATCATTTCCCTTTGTGTCGGGATTTCAAAGAATTGATTTCCAATAATGATTTTTCTCCCGTCGAGTCCTATTTCGGTCGTTTACACATTTTAAGTTCTCATGAATGACACTGAATCACAGCACTATTTTAGCAATTTTGGTTCTACTGAAATAATCCGTGCTTTGTTTTATATTTAAACACTTGCAAAGCCTATTATGGGAGAGGCAAAAAATGCTGTTAAAAATCGATTCACTTTTCTCGTGTAATAAAGATCTATCTATCTGAGCTTCCTCGTGCGGGGTAGATGCAGTTTAGAAAGAGCTGTCACATAAAATAAAGTAAAACATGTAAAACCATGCTGAATCTGGCAGGAGAGAGAAGCAGTCGTGGCAGGCTAGGGTTTTGTGGAGAAAGTTGAGATTTTATAGAGGAGGATCGTAGAGAAAGAGAAAGTAACTATTTATTCCACAGACACAAAAAGATTTGGTTTGCTGATGCGATTTTCTGCGTTGCAATGGCTAAGTACACCCCCCGAATAGATAGTGAATATGTCTACTGATAGGACAGAGCTCGTCTTTTATTTTAAAAATAAATCTGAGCTTTTGCAAAAAATAGATGGGGTGAAAGAGAATAAATATTAGTCGATCCCACGGTCGTGCATGCATTACTTCTTCCAGTGTCACATGCATAGAGTAATTTTTTATCCGAGATCTTTGCAAAAATAAACTTGGAAAGTGTCGGCCTTGAGACGGAACCGCTCCAAGGATTTTGTACCGCCTCGTTGTTCACGAACCGTAAATTTCGTTGACCATGCAACGTTCATCAAGGTTTGAACTCTAATTCATGATTTATCCAAATAAAAAAAGTTCGCCATTTTACTCCTTTAGTTTTTGATTTAACGAGCTACGAAGTGAAAGCCTCTCTGTTTCCCATCCACGTCCACATCAAGTCACACCCGCCGATAAAGTCATCAGATTTTTCTTGTTCTCAAATTATTTAGCAATCACAGCTTTCACGCTCTGCTGTTCTTGCCCCATTCATTCATGAATAATTCATTGCCAATCCAATCAGTTTATAACTACGACAATGCAACGACTGATTTCCAACTCAATTGAGACTAGTTGGATGCATAAAAGGCGGAATTCGTGGGATAAATTGACTCTCGTTTAACCCACATTTCTTAAATTGCAGGAATTCTTAGAGCAGAGCTTAATGCGTAACTGGAATCAAATGGTCCGAAAATGACAAGCATCACAGATCCAGAAGAGATTGGCAAATGGCTTGACCAGAACCCGACCTACTTTGCGTCATATTTTATCAAAAAGGTACTCCAACAAATATTTAGCACTATTCTAACGCATTATTCGAGTCGAGTAATTTCAGGCCGACATTACGCTCATCAACCGATGGCTCACAGAACACGGCTACGTTATCTTGTGCGAGGGCAACACTGGGAGAAAGTCTCCAGTTCTGCTGGGACCACCCTCTGAGCGTCGTGGATCTCGTTCGACATGCTCCTCGCGACGCGCTTCGGGCGCTTCCTCCCTCACATCCGACACACTCTCGCCCACCAGCCCCCCCGAACGAGGGTCAGACTTCCTCTCCACCACCACGACGACAACCACCACCCTCGCCAACACCTCCGACGATGATCACAACAATGGTGAGACTTTGTAACAATTTGACATGCACCAAGAAATAGCCCTTCTACATATGTCGATGCTCAAGATTTCCTTCCTTATCTGCCTAAAAATAAATGAAAGCTTTCGCGAGGTCCGTTTGAACGACGTAAAGATCCTGCTTATCCATCGGTAGACTAACCCCGAACTACGACGATACTGATTTTATGATTACGAATAGTAGTTGGATCATCTGACTAAAAAATTTAGTAGCGGGCTCTGACCCTGACTCGGGCTGAACACATCAACACTGCACACTGTAGGTTTTATCTAAATGGGTGTGTACCACTCTTAATTTCAACTTTTTACAAAGTTTTCATAAAATTCAGTCCTTCCGTTCAGAGGTTGCAAAGTCAAGCAGATGAAGAAATTGGCCAAAGTAGTTTCTCTCTCGGTGCAAGTTCATTCAAGCTGAGAGCTGACATGATGGGGCGACACTTGGGGTATGCAAACTACAGTATGACGATTAACAAACTTGTTCTTAAGTAAATCAAGCACCGAGTGGAGCAAACTTGTCTGACGAAAGAGTTAGTTATTAGGGTTTTGACAAATTCATGCAAATTGGAACGAAAGATAAGAAAACGATGAGGATGACGCAAATGTTGATGACAAACTATTTAGAAGCTCTGCTAACTTTTCTAATGAGACATCAATTAAGAGTAATAATAATCAGAAAGAGTTCATATGATAATAAATTTATCACACATTTTTGCAGCTAGTTTTTTCAAACTAGGATATTTGAATTTTTGAATCAGATCCATAACGTTTTAAATACGGTTGAATTTTTTCCACATAGCTTGTTTGATAATGATAAGAAACTTGACAAGTTTTGTCTCCCCAAGTTTCTCGAGAGCTGGAAATGTAATAAACTTAATGAGTATAAATTGGGAGGCGAGAGTTTAAAAGTTTTAACGAGGAGGTGGAGCAGCAGCAGCAGAGGAACAAGGAGGTCGAAGGAGGATTTCCATCAAAGTCGATTAATTAGCAAAGTCGGTTGCGGTGGAGCCTGCGACGGTGGTTATTTTGTCGCCACCGATACTGAGATGTGTTCATGCAGTAAAAATGTTCAGGTTGACTTTGGAAGCTGAAATTCATGTATCTGATAGACTGCTAGATATGTATGCATAAGACCAATAAAACCTCTACGTCAATCGCTGATTAACTCCATGAGACGTAACCTTTTCGAGGACCTTGACTCGTGACAAATTTTGTCAAATTTGGAATAAGTATATATATCATAGAAAGTCTAGAAATACAAAATAATAAAAGCGTGTACAAGCTTATTTTGCTACCCACACTCAATATAAGTAGTAACTATCCAAAAACCTGCCGTCTTGGCTTAGAGGCTTGACCATCAGTGTCATGACTCAAAAAGCCGAGAGTTCGATTCCTCTTGAGTTGTATTATGCAGCAAAAATGTGGAACGAACTGGTATGGAAATACAAATTACTGTTCGGTGCCGGCAGATAATCTGCATAGGATTGTCTGGCCAAATCCTAAGATAGTTAAATATCTGCTGAATCGTCCTTGTAATCTATTGAATATCTCCTTATTTACATCCTATCCTGTTTCACCGTCCACCCCAATTTTCAATTTCAATAATTACCCCCTTTCCTCTACAGTACCTATCCTAGTAAACCTGACATGCCAGCCCTAACTATACCTTTCCTTGTAGTTGTTGATGTCAGTATCTATCCCTGTCTTGGTATTGGAAACGATGTGGCTCACATATCATATACCGCAGACGTTAAAGATTGAACAGAACAGAACAGAATTAATTAGTGTTGCTTCAAACAAGCAAAGTCTCAATATTTGTTATTTAGCGAGGGGAAGCGGACACTCGTCAAATCTTTCCCAATAATCATGTCTAACGAGGCGAGAGAGGAATCCAAATCAGCGAGATGTACAAATATATGTGGTTTGAAGTAGGATCCCAATTTGAAGCCGTAAATAGGTAACAATGCTAATAATCAGGTTATTCATATCCCCTGGCAGCCATACTCGAGCAGAAGATGATACGACGCACGTAGGAAATATAAGTGCATGGGCGTCGCGTTATGAAAGGGGCTTTCTTTTGCCAGTTAAATTACACGTAAGAAGGAATGAAAGAGAAAACATGAAACGGAGATAATAGCTCATTTGGCTTTGTTGAGTATGCAAATAGCCCGAAAAATGTGGATTTCGGTTGGAATCCTCCATTCAAAGAGATAAGAAGACATTTATTGGAATTGGATCTAGACCGATGTTCTCATTATTCCAGGGTTTACTTTACTAGGTAAATAGCCCAACTAGTCGAGGAAATAAAGGAGAGATTTGCAAATCTGAATAACTTCACAGAGACTGCAACCGCATTTTAGTTAGATAAGAGAAGGAAGCACTAGATCACCAGAATCAATAATGACAAAATGTGGCTACATATTTTTTGTCATAATCATCACATCATTGATACTTCAAGGAGGACGTTGAGATTACCTTGTCCCATTTTGTAATATATAAATTGGTGCACGCAAAATCATCGGCTTCCTTGAATATGCATGTACATAAGCACATAAGCTTCTTGAGAAGTAACTCGTACATATATTACTGCTCATTATGTATATGTCAGTAGTGCCGTTATTATCAAATATATCTTGTAATATATGAATTCACCTTTAACTATGACTGACCCCATTCCCACTTGCCTTCATTTGTCGTTGGATAGCTGGGGCGAAATTTGAAGTTGAGTGAATTCGAGTAGAATTTGTTGTCGAGATTCTCCAGGGAGTCCTACATCAGGATGACGATGACAGATATGTACAATTGTCGAGAAGCGAGGAAGGAAAGATCGAATGGAGATAATCAGATTCTTCACTTCAACAACTTGCTCAAATCAAATCATGTCCAACGTCTGAATGACTGACTTCGAACAAATTGAGCCAGTTTCAGTCTGGATCCGGTCGAACGTTTTTGTTGTCTGGATGGCAATTTTGCTGAGTGGAGGCTAAGCATGTCGCATGCGTGTCCGCTCAGACCGTAGAATCTTGACGCAACGTCACTATGATCCTTGAAAGATGAATGTTTTTGTGGTATTGCTGATTCGTTAGTAGTGATTAAAATTATGAGTGGAACGCATATTCTTTGAAGGACCTCATGTTTACGTCATTCAAATTCATGAAACCGCATAGCACTTTCTTGCAACTAATTTAGCAGCGTTATAAATAATTACTGTTTTGTATCACTACCGGACTCATCAAATTCTCCGGTAGTTCATCTTCATAAATATACATGTTTAGAAGTAGCTGGAGAGATGATAATAAAATGATGGATGTGATTAGCTGCAATAATGATGTTGATTTAGTGTACTTGGGGTTATATGCGATTTTTTGAACACTTTCGCTATCATTTTGCATATCCGCTCCGGTTTTACCAGATACGTCGTGTAGATTAGTTGGTAATCATATCCCTTGCTTATCTTTATCTTGTTCTCTTCACTCCAGCTGAAGCTCACTCCAGCACGATAATATTTAGTATATCCATATCGTCATGATTCAAACTTAAAAATGACACTGACACAATGAGGGTGCGATGATGATGGTCACCAGCCATCATCTTAATGGATAACCATCAAAGTTTGTTATGTTTATGTGTTCACTTTTAACTTGGTGAAGGGTTTCCAGAACATTGGATGATAAGCATATTTAGATGAGATTATCTACACAGCAGCAACTCGCAGCCTTCAGATAAAGCACGATCGTTATTCGTTACCCAAATGATGTTGAATTTATAGAGTCATGGCAGAATTAAGAGATCAAGTATGTATTTATATGGGTTTGCTGAATTAGACTTGCTAATCTTGACCTTTCACGATTGCGAGGAGGGAATGATCATGTCCAAATTGTATTTTATATTCCACAGGAAGCGGAAAGGCGCATCACTCAAAGAAAACTCTTCGCAATGATTTTGCACGAGCAAAAAGTCGGTCCGTGTTTCAGAATGAAGAGTCGTCTCTTGGTCATCACACCCCCGCGTCACTGGCATCCAGACGCTCTTCTTTGAAGGATATGCGCAAATATACATCCTTACCACCCAACTCAATTAACATCTTGTCCCTTCTTATTGAATCCAAGGTAAAAAAAAATTGACAAGTCGGGACGATATTTTTGGGGGGAAGCGAGATTTTAATAATTGAAAGCATGTCATGTCGGTCGATCCCAATTGCAGGTAAAACTACCACGGTACGCTTCAAAGCACTTTGAGCTGAAGAGGGAGCTGAGGAGATTCGATGATCGGGCCTTTTTTCTCGACATTGTCAAAGACATTGCAAACGACCTGGACCTTCGGAGCTTGACCAAGAAGATTATCGAGAATGTCACCATTTTGCTGGATGCCGAATCTGCGTCTTTCTTCATTCTGCAAGGGCCGAGAGGGAAACAAACCCTTGTGTCAAAGGTAAGAAGGTATTTACTATCTATGCATTCATAGCATGCATGTAAAGACGGGAGATATTTTGTAAAGTTTTCAAAAAAGTTTTGAGAGTTTACAATTTTTTATTTTTAACATGAAAGTAAACATGTTTTCAAACTAAGAGTGAAAGCATTTCCGTGTTAAAGTTGGAAGGGAAAAGATTATTGGGTGAAGATTTTTCTAGCAAAGGAATCGAACCACGCAATAATCTTGAAAAGTTGCTAGAAGCGAATTCCGAGAATCGGTCTAAAGTCTCGTGTGTGTCTGACCATGCAAATGGGTGAAAGTTCGGTTTCTGCAGCTACTACGGTTAAGTTCAACTACTTCTGGATGGTCCTCTTTTTACAACTTTTGCTACTCTGCATAAATCAATGGTCGAGGGCATATTTCAATAATAAATCCCTAAAGTTTTGTCAAATCTATTTTACTTATATCCCTAGTGCATGTAAAAAAATAAGTAGAAAATTTCAGTCTTTCTTGCGTAAAGTATAGATTCATATCATATTTTTTATTTATTTACAACACATGTAATTAATGCGACGAAGCTTGAAGGAAGGGATGCTCTTTCCAAAAAGAAATTCACTAGGGTCGAAGTACACTCATGACTTTGTAGTAAATTTTTATAGCTCTTTACTTTTATACATTCTATTATGGAATTTCCATAATTATAGCCGAGGCAGAATATTATGTACTGTGCTGGTCACCTTCCATTTTATAAAAACTTACTGTTTCGCAGGTGTGGGATGTTCCGATCGGAAGTCCGTGGACACCATCCGCCATGGAGCTGGACGGGGTGGAGGTTGGAATGGGGGCAGGGCATGGAATTCTCGGATGGGTAGCGGAGCGTGGAGGTCAGAAGAAGTCTGTCTGTATTACATAGATAATTCGAATATTGTAGTTCTGAGTTTCCAGAATAAATTACCTTTGTGGACATTGAAAAAATAAAACACAAAATTGTTGTCCTCTATTTCACAGAACCAGTGAACTTGGAGTCTCCCACAACGGTACTTCAAGACCCACGGTACAAAGTTGGTGCCCACCCACCCACTCATTCCCTCTTGGCCATGCCGGTTCGCAGCCCAGGAGACGAAGAGGTCATTGCAGTGGCGCAAGTCGTCAACAAAAATCAGTATTTTGGAACTTTCTCTCTGGACGATCAGAAGGTATAAATCTATAAATCGAGTGGTTAGACTGCTAATTTCAAATACACTTATTTTTTATAACGAGAGAATGAAGCATTTTTATACGTGTACAGCTTTTAGAGACATATCTATCTAACTAACATATCTATCTAGCTTTTAGAGACATATCTGCAATTTGTTGGAATCGCACTGACCAATGCTCAGATCATGGAGGCCACAAGAAGAGAGTACGATCGAAATCGGGTAAGCGCATTTCACAAATATGTACGTATCTTGTACCTCGTCACGTTTGTGCTCGATCACATCGGATAATTATCAAACTTAGTATTCTGCCCCTGTTCTGGGTATTATTTGGTCCAATTTGTTGTCTATTTGCAAAATATATCTATACACACCACACTACCAACACCAGAGTGCAGTGATTAAACCTTTTCGCCTTCACTGCTTGGAGAAAGTGGGAAAGCAAAGTGAGAGCCGAGTCGAATAACAATCAATAGCAGTCCATGAATTCTGTGCGCTTGATATGGCGTCGCTTTGTGTCAGTTTGTCCCATTCTATTTTCCACGTAATTTCTTCTAGAATCGTCCTTGTGCATACGCACATTACTTTTCAAATGGTTAGGCAAGCCAATTGGATATATGTAACAGGAAGGATCCCAATGTGCTCAAGAATGGGATATTTATGTATATATACAGATGTATTTATACGTATGTGGCTGAAACCTCCATCTTTTTTGATAATGAGTCAATTAAAGCCAAGCACTAAATCACGTCTCAAATTCCAATTCCAATCAGATTCCAATCTGGAGTGTCTGGAGGATGATGTTTCTACTGCAAAGTTTGACAACCACATTGCGTATAGTGTAGTACAAATTGAGAGCAGTCTAACCACATTGCACGGGATATCGCAGTCATTTTTGCAATCATTTTTGAAATTAGAGAGCTGAAATTTTACCAACTTCTGCTGACTGTGTTGTAGATGCGCATTTGAACCGCATAAATAACAATATAACAATATAAATAAATATGTTATGGAACGAGTTATTAAAGAAAACCCGTGATGGTTTTGGGTTTTTGATTTTTTATCCCACGACAATTCAATGTATGAAATTGAAATTTTTGTGATGATTTTTTTGATACAAAATTAATTGGAATCCGTCAATCCGGAGTCGAGATGATTCAAATTTCTATTAAATATGTACAACATTGTGGTTCATGTTTCATATAGATTATTTATTGCGTTGCATTGTAAATTTTTTACAGAATTTGCTGGAAGTAGTTCACGACCTGTTTGAGGAACAAACATCCTTAGAATCCGTAATTCTAAAAATAATGCAACGTGCACAACGCCTCCTGAAATGCGAGCGTGCCGCAGTCCTGCTTCTGGACGAGCATTCGAGTGAATTGTCCAAGGGTATAAAATTCTCCAAACTTTTTGAGCTCAACACGCCACTGAATGGTCACCCTACAGCAGACCTTCAAACGATGATGCAAACCACGTAAGCCTTTATAAATAAATGACATGAAAGGAGGAGGTATGTTGCCCGTGTAATTAATTAGAACCCTAATGCGAGCTTAAATAATCCATCAACTGTAGCGATGCCGGAAAAGTTCTTGATTGCCAAGCTTCAGGGAATATGATGCGCCTTGCTGAGCAAGTTGTGAGCTCTGGAGAGGTGATAAATATTGCTGAGATTGTGGAGGTGGAGCCCAGCGGCTGTGGGGACAACCTCAGGTCTCTCCTCGCTATGCCCATACGCAACAGAAATTCCGAGATTATTGGTAAAAATTTTTATATTTTCGTCCCTTCCCTTTCATGTCCTTTCAAAAGGAAAAAAATCTCATTGCACAACGAGTGTGATTTGGGCATTTATTGGCCTGATGAGATTTTATTGATGACACGCGCGTCGTGGTTCGTGGTTGTTTAGTTCAATGGAAAATTTAATCCTTATCATTACCATCTCATCTTGAAAAGTCCTTGATTGGCGAATCCTTATTATTGCTTTTTAATAACGAGACGCCATTTGATTCTTGGAAGGAATGAAAGGACTTGTTGTGCTCATATTTCTTTTACAATCTATTAAAAGCTCTGCTTGATTAAATATTTGCCAGTTATATAGCTGATAAATTCAAAGGAAAAGTAATTCCAATTTTCTTCTACCTACTCAAAAATTAGAAGTTGTCAAAAGTGGAAGGAAGAAAGTAGGCTTATGAATAAAGCAAAAAAGGAGCAGCAGCAGCCTTTCAAATGGAAAGCCAGTGACGCAGGAATGCTAAAAATGATGTTTTTTTTGGATCACAAGATTGACCCAAAACCTTTTGCAATACCTTTTGCTTATTATGTAATGAATATGTGTCGCAGTTGTATATAAAGTAACCAAAGAGCGAAACTCACTGTTTTTCTATAGGAGTCGCAACGATAGTTAATAAACTCAACGCCGTGCCCTTTGACGACCAGGACGAACAACTTTTTGAGGCGAGTTCTCAGTGTTTGTTTTCATGTCATGTTTTGAATCCATCTTTTCCTTTATCTTCCTGCTTCATGCTCAGGTCAACACGGTCGCAACAGTGGCCAAATATAGTTTCAAAACATGCAGAGGCTTGTAAATATGCATGTGTACTTACATGTGCGCAATAGAAAAAAAAATCATGCACAATCCGCAGCCGTTGTCAAGTAGTTATTAAGAAAGTGCATGTCCCCACCCAATCTCTCATTTCTTTCAAAACACGTCCGGTGGGAAAGTAGTGATATAAATAATTCCTTTTGAGGACGATTCATCCCCTCCTCATAAAAAGCTCGTTCAACTAACTCTGACCGAGATGATGCTAGCATCCACTCATCGCTTTTTTTTCCGTGGGCAGGGCAGGGAATCTGAGAAGAAGAATGTCCATATATCATCTCTTTTTCGACGAATGTTGCCAAGCTTAGCTGACCTCTTTCATGCCGGTGGCTGATGTTCATAAATATATACTTTCCATACTTATCCTAACGAATCCTAAGAGTGGCGGGATTAATGGTTATTAAATCAGAGAGCATGTAATTTCTGTAATAAGCCATGCTTGCGAAGGTAACAGCTGTGATAGGGAGATTTGTCATTATTTGTCAATTTATACGTCCGTGTGACTAATCATAAACGCCATCACAAATTTGGAATAGCTTATTTCATTAAAATTTCTTTTGAACAGTTCAGTCTACGCAATTGGACATTAGCTTAAATACTTCCTAATGAAAATGCTTACAGCATAGTGATCCATCCAGTCTGAGGAGTTTTATGCTTGTTTATACTAACTGGAGAGAATATGAGATGTACTTAGCGTTTGAGAGGGTCAAAGACATTTTAATTTGATGACTCGTTTGTTGATCCCCCTTCAAAATATTTTTATTATTCGTGTAGGCATTCACCATCTTCTGCGGACTTGGAATCTCAAACACACTCACGTATGGGGACTTGGAAATGGCGATAGCACGGCAGAAAGTAGCTATAGAGGTAAGAAATTTTGTGTTACTTAGAAAAGTTTCCACGTAGCTTGATAAAATTAGAAGGTTGACTTTAATCTTTGACCTCTGGTCTTTGGCAAGGGCCAAATTTTTAACACGGTGTGAAGTCTGTTGTTGATCAGAGTTTTAAACTCTATAGTATACATGCATACGTAGTTCAGGAAGACGGACGAACGGAATGCTCGCTCAAAGTAGCCAACCGCTAAATGAATAGAAAAGGACAAATGTGTTTGGCGTAACACGAAGGAAAAGTAATTAAGCGTAAATTTCGCAGAATAAGTATTAAATTAAGATTGAGAGTGAACTTCGTTTGCTATTTCTCATTCCTTGATTCATATTTGCATACAGAAAGTGTATCGCCTATGCGTAAATATGTAATCCTTTTGTGTACAAATTAAATGCGGGCTTAAGAGAAGCATCGCTAACTGTGTATATGTATTTCCTTGTTCCCTGTTTAGTTCTATCCACACTTAAATTGAGATTGACTCAAGATTTTCACAAACTAAATAACGAGAAGGGACAAGAACAAAATGGCTTTTCGAGTGGCAGAGGTACATTAGTTCGAGTAGAGTTGGCGTGGGTTGACGTTAGCTCATTATCATGCTGGGAAGGATTTGCCCTGTTCACATTGAAACACTTATTGTGTGCAGAGTTGGATGAAAGCGAAAATAAACAAGGAAATCATGGAATCAAATCCTTTTAAAAGTTGTTGTCTAAAACAGTTTCAAGGAGACGAATGTATGGGTACAATAATGCACAATAGAGAAACAGGGTTCAAGTAAACTTTATTTCAGTAATTTGAAAAGGTATTTATTAGAAACGACAAGCTTGTCGTAGGGTTTTAGCAATGCCAAAATAATTAATAACGCAATTTTATATCAAATTTTCACTTTGCAGGTGCTATCTTATCATGCAGCAGCGTCTATTAAAGATGTGGAACTCCTGTTGGTAAGTTGTACATAATAAATTTATCCATTGATCCAGACAAACGTCATGCATTATGCATACATGGATGTGAACTGTGTGTATAAACACAGACCTGGATGGAGTTGATAGGCTGAAGATGAGGCTGCTTTGCAGAGATGTTAAAAAACCATGAGAAAATTAAAATTTCATCCGTGTATTTATAAACATCCTCCAATGAAGATGAAACCAAGTAGGTTAGAGTTGAGGGTCGAATGCTTGACTGACTGCGCGAACTCATTACTATTATAAAGGAGCTATTATGGGTACTTAATTCCGAAATTTCTGATATGCCCATGTGGACAGAGCAAAGTAAGTAATCCAGGGAACTTTAGCAGCAGGTTGGTTCTCCCAATTCTAAAAACTTGACAAGTGTACAAACTTTTAGTTTGCGAGAAAGAGTAATTTCTGGGAATTAGTAGTTGCCACTTTTATGGGCGAGTGGAACATGTTTAGTGTCTCGAGGGGAATTAATCCCAGGCTCATTTACAACTTTATCATTCCTTTCCCTCCTCCCTCCATGGATTACAAAAATTGTTTATAAAAAATTCAAACTTGGTCTGTTTTCCACAAAAAGGATGTTAGGTTTTTGCAAGTACACATTGCATGCAGGCGATTTATTAACAATTCATATAAAATACTAAAGCGTATTGAGTTGGTTGGTTAATTGGGTTAATTATGGTTCAAAAGTTGTGCGTCTAATTTATTCTCCGCATTTGCTGTTTTATTTTGCACTCTTTAAAATTTGATAAGTTTTATGGGACCGCAAATTGCGAGGAAAGTACTACATAAGAAAGTTTAGACGTACAAATGTACAAAGAACGAATTGTACTTACTGATATTATTACATGTATTAGTCTACTTCGGAAATATGAACGCCTTATGTTTTTACATATATAACAGTTTAAGTTACATGATAAATGTTGAATAGTAGATAATATTTTAACTGGTTTGCGAATTACACCTATAATTTGTTTTTCTTCTCTTCTTTCAAGACAACAGTTTTTAGCCAATGTAAAATTGTGTTGTAATGAGTAGCCAACGTGAGCATTAGATATGTAGAAATATAGGGAAACATGTATACACAATAACTAAATCTTGTTAATGATGCGTTAAATGCAGGGTCGTGAAGTACCCGATGCGGATGAACTGGGTCTGGTGGGCTTAGATTTTGATGATTTCTCACTTGACGGGGACACCATGGTTCTAGCCGGTATGTAATGTCTTCTAGTACCCTCGTGGCTATGGGGGTGACTCACCCCCACTTCCAAATAAAAATACATTTTTACAACAGTGTACCATGCACAATTTTATAAAAAGCACATATAATTTTAAGATTGCTTTCATCCTACTTCTACAATAACCGTATTTTATTTATTTTTGATTTATGTCCAACCCAACCAAATCAAATCTGACAGCCCTTCGGATGTTCACGGATCTATCCCTTGTATCCAGGTTCAAGATGGACAATGCTGTAATTACGCTAATCCGGATGTAGTTATTTGCACTTGATTGTGCGTATTTGAAAGACATGTTATTTTTATCCAGACGTTGATACGATGGATTCTAACAATACAACGGAACTATCGAGACGTCCCTTATCATAATTGGAGGCATGCATGGAATGTGTGTCAAGTGATGTTTGCCATACTCACGGTACTGCAAAAATATGCAATATCCTGATTCGAAAAGTGCCTGAAAACTTATTTTATTTCTTCCACTCCCAGAGCTGCGAAATGAAGGACACGTTTTCAGAGTTGGAAGTTTTGGGTAAGTGTAATAAATAGTAAACGGTGTAATGCTGATGGGAATAGTAATCTTGATCTGCACAATGGAAATTTTTCACCGATACCACTTGATTTGCGAAATTGCAATTCTAGAAAATTCACAAAACTTACTCAATAATATGCGTTGTTCGGTTCATGATTATCTGTACTTATTTATTTGTAGGAATGTTTGTCGCTTGTCTTTGCCATGATTTGGATCATAGGTAAAGTATACACATCTCATATAAACTACTTATGTACTATTTATATTTTAATATATTCAACTTTCTAGAGGGACTAACAACGCGTTCCAAGCTAAGTAAGTGCATTTCGGGGGTGGAGGCCGGAAGTCATTTAAAAGTTATTATCGATCTGCCCGTTAGTTTCCGGGTTCTCCATTAAATTGTTTACGAGTAATTTGCCGTCTTCATGTAGGACTGGGTCAGCCCTGGCGTTGCTTTATGGCACTCAGAACACAATGGAGCAACATCACTATCATCATGCAGTGATGATTATAAACAGTGAGGTAGATACATACAGATATAAAAGTTTTAAGGATGTAATAAAATCAGGTGCATTTTACCATCCAACTTTTATAATTTTTATCAAAGGGTCACAACATCTTTAGTGGACTAGGTTGGCTTTGAGCATCAAATTTATTACGTCACTTCAAGTGAAACTGTTTCAAATTTCAAATTTTCTTTCAGGGCCGGAAGACTATTCTCGAGTCATGAATGTCCTACGACAGTGCATATTGGCGACTGATCTCACGACTTATTTTCAGTACTAACTGATCCTTATATTTACAAAAATCATGATACATTTCAAATTTACAACGTATCAATATGGAAATTTCTAGGCGCAGGTCGACATTTTTTTCGCTTGTATCAGAATCCAGATACAGTTGGGACGAGGAGGGGCAACGAGAAACGCTGCGTTTCATGCTAATGACCGCTTCAGACCTTGCAGCGTCGACCAAACGATGGGAAGTACAACGTCGAGTTGCCGAGTTGGTCACTGCAGAATTTTTCGCACAAGTGAGTATTTACAATTTATTTGGTTCAATAAATGCATATTTCTGCGTGCTCCAGTATAAAAAAAATCTGGCAAGTCCGTCAACCATTGTCATCCTTTAGTCAATCGCGTTAGGAATTTAAATTGGATTTGTGACCGAGGAAGAGCAAATGAAATTGGAAGTTGCAATAATAAAAATATAATACAATGGATGCATAAATAAAATAGTAGTATTTGCACTTGCGAGATTCTTGAGTTGCATTGGAGTTTAGCTGAATATGAGAATCGACGATGAACAAGGATTGTACTTTTTCTCGGTCGATTGTTCCACAAAGGAGGTCATTTTTACAACAAAAATAAAGTAAAACACTTTTTAAACTTATCCGTCGAGGTCAAGTTTCTTTAATGTCAAAACCATGATTTATTAACGTGGTCTAGATTTTGAGCGTGCTGCATTCCATTCCAGTCCATTAGGTTGGTGGCAGGAAATAGACAGTTTTCTTGAGAGTAAAAATCACCATGATTCTGGTTTCACCACAATCACAATCCTGTACTGTAGTTGAAAAGTGTGGAGCTGGATGAGCGGATTTTTCCACCCAACAAAGCTTTCATTCCGCATTTCATTTTGCTTTCTCTCTGGGGCAGGAAAGGAAGGAGAAAAGATTGAGAAAGAGTTGGTGGAGAAAGTTGGTGGATTTTCATGATGTGATGCAATGTGATTCTTGGACTTATGTCGGTACATATCTAACAGTGGGAGGGGACGAGGAGATGTACATTCAAGTACCACGAGTGCCATGGTTAGAAAGGATTTCCCTCGAGAGTTGGCTTATGATTTATGAACCTCTACTATTTTTAAACGTTGTGTGTAATTCAATTGTCTCATCATGGCCCACTTACTTGCTTTTTGCCTCCACTACGATACAATCCAAGGGGAGGTAATTCACCCGTGTTGTTGGAGCGGATGAGGCGCATTGTCCCAAAAAGAGGAAATACTTTCCTTGGATAGTTTTTTGTATGGAGGACACTTCTGGCCCGGAAGGAAAAGTCAGTTGCTCCTTCAGATAAGATGAGATTAACTTGGGCTGTCTGTCTTCGTCACATTCATCCAGCAAAACGGAGGAATGAAAGCCAGAGAGCATACGTACGTACGTATATATTTATGTACAGTTCCAGAAATTCGAGATCTCGTATTTACGATCTCGTATCTTCTCCCATAAATCTAAGCCCTATTCTGTCATTGATGTGATACGTACATTTTCCTGCACAATTTTCGTTATCATGGATCGAAGATTGAAAATGTACTCACATGCTTGAAAATAAAACGCATGAAACTGGAATTTAAATAAAAGTAGCACATCCTATTTTCATGTCGTAACTTTCTTTTATGCATTTATATACATATGTACTTAGATACCTACGGCGCTGGTCGTTTAGCTTTTTCGAAATACATACAGGGTGGTTAAAATGTCACGCTACAATGGGAAATTTTTTGATGGGAAAAACCCCTAAATCTCCATTAGTTACAAGATTTTGGATTGAGATTTTAATAATTATTATCAAAACTGATGGAGCATTGATGACGAAATTCTTAAAATGTTGAATTTTAGCGATAAAATTTCGGTAACTAATGGAAATTTACGAATTTTCCCCATCGAAAAATTTTCCATTGTAGCGTGACATTTTAACCACCCTGTATATGTAAAATGATTTCATGGATATGTGCAAAAATGCAATAAAGTGTTAAGTTGTGCGAAAGAGACCTACGAGAACGTACATATTTACAGCTCTCGCCATTGAGAATTGAGAATTTTCTAATAATATTACTAATAAATAATTTAATCAAACATTGTTGTAATTTCATTGAAAATGGAATTAGAAATGGTTATTTCTGCCGTTTTGATGAAAGAATTAAAATATCCATGCTTTCTTTCCTCCAGCATTATTATTGCTGTTAGTATTCTGTCAGTTGCAGGGCAGATTTGCCACAATATAAATAAGTACTTCTATCCATCCGCTTCATTCGTAGCAAGTCTGATTGATGTATTTGGGACTCAAATCAATGAATGCAATTTGAATAAATTCAGAGTCAGAGTACAATGTATTATTGTTAGCTTATGTTTGTGTCATACGATACACGTACTACAAAATTATATACATATGTCTACGTCTTCTCTATCCACTGCAACGACTTGCAGAATACGACACTAATAACTAAGTATTTCAGCCAATGAAACCTTTCAAATAATTACGATTATTTTGTCGTGCTGCTTTTTTGGGGCCTTAGCAAATATGGAACAATGAAAATATGCATATGAAACGATTCAAGACTTGTAAAATGAGCTGTGCACAATTTATTTTGCATGTTGGGGTTATTAATTCTGCATGCATATCATCTTTCAGGGCGACCAGGAAAGAAAGCAGTTGCAGATAACTCCTCCAGCATCAATGGATAGAGAACGAGAACATGAATTGCCTCAGCTACAAATGCGATGGATTTCTGACATTTGTCTCCCGCTTTACCAGGTTCGGTTGCATTTCGTTTTTCTCGAGGTCGTGAATTAGTTGTGCAAATCAAGTAATAAATGCTAAACGTGTAAACTTTCTCCCCATGCTACAGTCCTTGTCAGACATGAACCCAAGATTTGGCGTGATGCGGGACGGGGCGAGCGTAAATATGAAGGTGTGGGCAAAATTGGCTGGAGTTGACATTGACGACGAAGATGCTTCGAAGGCTTCAAGCTAATTTTGCAGGAGTCTCGAAAACCTGAGACTTCACTTGGAGCTTATATTCTAAGATTTGTTCTGGAAGTTGAAATTATTAATCAAACTCGAATCAATTTTATTGTGTGTAGTGAAATGATTTCACTGAAATCGGATTAACCGAACCCTTATTTTGTTCCCCACCATGCACATAAACGACAAGACTCCCGACTGATGAGATTTTCAAAGTACAACATTACAACCATTTTTATTTGTAATTATATGAGAACATTATATGATTACATTTAAGCATTAGATTTAACTTGTGGGATAATAATAAAAAACTATTAAACTCCATTTCTACATGTAAGTACGTGTGCTGATGTGTACGCATGTACATATGTAGCACAAATATGCACATAACGACTTTCATCGCACTTCTTGTAATATTGTAAGCATGAAAGTACATATACGCAATATATTACATACTTTATTAACAGGAATACGAAATTGTTGTAGCAAAAAATATTTTACTGGAATGCAATAAGTATTTTGACGTAAATATTTCCTTATAAATCTTGCTGAACATCTTAATATTGGAATTCTTCTTTAACCCTAACCTACCACACTGTTTTCCTACAATAGGGAGGAGCACAGTGGTATGCGAGGAACTTTTATTCTGAGAAACAATTCTGGCTTCTCTCACCCTGCCTCCTTTGCAAGCCTATGGAACTTATATACCAAACTCCCCTTAAATAATAACTAAAGATAAGTTCGAATTCAGCTTCCCAATGCAAAATCCCACCACATAAAGCTTCTCGTCTGCGTTTTTAAGGTAACTTCTCGTTGACACAAATAATGGGAAATATTGTAGGAGCACATTTTTTCTACGTAAAAATTTGGGATAGTTAAATGAGTTAGCAATACATATTTAGCATTTAGTCTGGGTCTTCGGTTAAGCTTAAAATTCAGTTATAGGCGTGAAACACAATTCTTCTTAATGAATCCGAGGATTGCACAGCTTGCATTCATATTTATGTAGATACTTACACAAATCTTGAATCGTGAGGGTTTTAAAAGTTATAATCGGCAATGACCTGTTGAACAACATGGTTTACTAATACGTAATCCTGCGCTAATCAGCACGATGTGATGTCATACTCATATGCATTATCGTGACAAATTTAGAAGGGATAAGCAATAATAATTACGGCATCTCCACTACTGTTATGCCCACTACGACACATTTGTACAACATGCATTCAATATGGTTTCATTCCTTATTAATTATCTTGAACTAAATAAAGGGTGACAAATATGGATGAAAATATGTCATTCATTAACTACGCGTATTCATGATAAATACGATCTATGAAATGAGAATAGTAATCCAAATTTAAACGACAAATCTAAACGACTGAACATCTTGTGACAAAATAAACACTAAATTGCATTGAGCAATCCCACACAGTTTATGTAACTACTCCGACTCGACTCTTTGTGTCGTATTATTCTTACTACTGACTTGTTTTTAAACGGCTGAGGTTGATAACCACCTCAAATGAATGAGTATTTCCATAAATTACCCAATAATTAGTCCAAGGCCCGCACACAGACATACAAACTAATACACATTCGGTCAGAATCAGAGCTATGATGGTAAACATTAGTTGTGAGTATTTGTTTTATCCAAGTGACATAACACATGCTTGAATAATTCTTTTTATACGTATCTGCTAGTCATTTCCTTAGTTTGTTTTATTGCAATTTGATACTTATTACATAACAAGATTGATACATATACACAAACGGAGAAGAAAGGAAACATATTTAGGTATTCCTTTTTCAATTTATTTTTATTGCCCGTTTTCGGTGTATTTGATTTGATTTTGTGTTTGATTTCGTAACAGCTCAAACATAGATATGCACATTTGGCAAGAAATATTGAAAAATTGACACATTTTCAATTAACCAACTAAAACACAATTACATTGGATGGACGCATGAATGAATCAAGATTGAATTATAATATGAAATCGTGAGCAAAGCGTGGAGTCCACATTATTCTTACGTCTTATGGCATGGCCCACTGTCAAACTGAAGCGACACAAGGGGCATCGCAAGTTTCAAACTCTGTCTGTGAAGTATTTACAAGCGAGCTCTTATGGCATCCAAATAGTTTAATGAACCAAAAGGGAAATTGAATAAAAACGGAAATATGACGGGTTCATATTGTTATTGTTACTCAAAATAAGACAAAGTTTGACACATGAATCACCAAGATGAAGATGGATTATGGTCCAAATCACTCACACACATCTCATAAATATTCTATTGCTTTGCAGCACAAGCCAACAAAATATTTTGCAATAAAACATACGAAAATTTTCGAATTTCAAAATCCTCTCATAAAAACGATGATAATTCAATTCAATTACCAAAAACCAATTTAAGCTTATCGACATCACTAATAATTAATATTATGCACCTGCAAGCAATCACGAGGAGCAAGTTTTCTGCGCAAAATTAATCAGTTTATTAAAAGTAGATTTACATCTGCACCATATTAAAGGGTTGCGTAAGAGCATGTTACACACGTGAAGCAGTCTTGAGATCAGTAGAACAAAAGTGAGACGATCTTGATTTTTGAGAAGGTATTGGACAACAAAGGAAAGAAAACAAGTACTCGAATCAACTTCTCAAGTGAACAAACAAACATGGTGGGTGAGCAACTTTCCTTGCGTATAATAAGTCCTTTGTCAAAATAAATAATAATGACTGCGTCGGGTCAGTTGCCGTTCTTTATGCGCGAATGATCATACACATGCATCCACTGTGTGCATGCATGTGTCGATAATTACTATTTGTTATTTTTTCGAGTACTCGAAAAAACCCAACGAGATCTTCATTGACTAATCATTCGTGAATGACAGGAAGAAAGCACAATGCGGACACGATAAACGGATGACTTGATGCGTCAATACAAAAAGTCAAAAGTCTCTGAGCAGACTCTGTTGCAATTTGCGATGACGTCGACTTCTTGATTTTACATATTACGTGTGTAGAAGAAAATTGAGTTTGAAGATTGAGTTTTAATGTTAACTGTTAATTGTGATTATTATTGAGGCATTATTGATGGTATTTCGATGGCTTGTTAGACATTGTATTTAAAAAGATTATTAATTAATCTGGAAATTAGGCAAACTTATTCCAATTTATTTACATTGTTTTTGTTACTAATATTTATTTTTTTAACCTGAAAATTTGTCTATGTATGCATACATATGTCTATGAGTCCGATATTAGAATGTGCAAAAGGACTTTCTGCTTGTTTGGAAAACGAAAATAAGTGTTGCTGCTACCATTTTAGTATGTATGCATCCACACTTGAGAAATCATAGCAAGCACTTAACCCGGTTAGGAAACCACAACTGAACAAGTGCTCCAACTTTTCACACGGAATTGTGTCAATACTTTCTTCAGTTTTGAAAGGTACGTCAACGTCAATAAATCCCAGAGGATCAAATCACATTATGCAAATAGTTTAGAGTTCGTAAAAGATGGCTATCGACGGTCGAGAGTTGCATGCATACGATATATTCGAGGCTTAGGGCGAGCACAATTTATAGCCAGGGATGAGCAGACGCAAGACAGAAGTGGCCAAATTAACTCAAGTGTTATCATGAAATAAAATCTAAAACGTGGTCACAAAATCTTTCGTAACATCGGATCAGTTTAAATTTGAAACTCTAACATTATGTAATAATTCGTATTGTTAAGTTGATTGGGAGGAATTGTACTCGAGTGTGTGAACTTCGTCCATTCGCATTCTCAACTAGATCATTGCAAAAATATGCAAATGAGATTTAAAAATAAAATCATAAAGTAAGTTGATATACGTAATGTGTGATTGGTCAGAATGCATTGCTTAATCGGCGAGATATGGCATAACTTTTTGCAAGAGTCGAAAAACAATTCTTGGTCAGTACCTGCACGGAGACTTGAAGTTATTAGCTATGTTTCAATTAACCTTCAATTATAGTGAAAAAAATAGTGTACTTGGTAATGAAAACGAGTGTTAAAACCCGTTAAATGCCACCGGAATTAGGCCACGGCCAAACCAAGCGTACAAGCAACTGCAAACTTGAAATGGTGACACCAGAACTAAAACAGGATTGATGATGTCGTTCCTGCTCCTGAATAATGTTTCCGGCTATTTGCACCAGCTCTATGCATAATTATTGCATTCACTGATAATGCATACGAACTTGTAGCAACAATTTATGTACAATCTGAGTAGCATTTCTATTATTTAACAGACTTGTGATAAAATGAATCAGTTTAATCTGTTTGATGATGTTTTCATTCTGGAAAGGTTGAATTTATAAATACTGCAAGAAATAAGAACCTTACAGATACCTACAAGTACAATAATTACGACGAAAAAATCGTGATGAACTTGACTGATTTAAAATGAAAATCTGGAAAAGTCTATAATTATATTATTAACATAATTTGAGATAACGGGTAAAAAGTATAGTTGAATTTTTCTTTGAAAGAACCACTATTATGAAGTCTCCTAAAACTCTAAGATTACACGACGCCGGAGAAGGTCATTTCAACATACAATCATTTTGCAACCAGGAATATGACAGAAACGTCAAATGTTATAATGCATGCACATGTTCCAAAATTGGGCCAATTTGTGCTTTAGCATGTGTGAAGAAGCACATGTAATCATGAAGCAGTATTATTTATAACGTGATGAGGAAGATGTCCGCCTTGTCGTGCTATTATTTTATTATAAAGGGTGCAACAAAGTCAAGTAAAAAGTCAAGTTTATCACGATTAGCAAACAGCAATAAAAGTAATTGTGGGAATGTCATGTTTTCCATTGACCACTGCCCACACGCTTAAAAGTACTTACACTATGGCTTTATTTTATTATTCAAGTTGTGTTGCTGTTTTGTTCTTTGACCGTTTTACACTGTTTTTACTACTTCAATTGCCAATCGTTATTCATTTTTCTGTGCTTGTTTGTTAAATTCAAAGTGCATGGACAATTGTGACATATCGTGTTTATTATTTTATTTTCATGACTTTTACATCACAGCATTGCCACCTTACTTGCTCCTTGCATTATCATTCCTTGGTTGTTGGATTACACGCTCGTAAATGAGTTTGACATCGTAATCGCACCACAATGACGACTATGACGGTGGTCATTATTATTAATTATGGCGTAGCGTTGTGGTTTAAGGGACAGTGGGCAAATTGGGCGAATAATCACGAAGCATCTGACAGGTCGCATTCATAATAACAATAATAGCAATGCATCAGCAAGTTGAATCACTTAAGGACGAGGAAGCTCCCTCGACGACGACGACGACGACGACGACGGGGTGAACTCCCCAAATGAACCAAGTATTTAAACCTGAGACCACTTTGAAATCATGCTCCACTCGCTTATTAGAAGGCAACGCTATATGTGTACTAGTCGTGTCGTGTTGTATATGCATTTTTTAAGACGAGGGTGCCACCTTCACTCGATTGTACATCTTGTTGTCGTCGTCGTCGTCGTTTTCGAAACCTAGTTGAATACAACAAACTTGAATATTCCAAAGTTCAGGAGTGATTTTTAAATATAATTTTTGGACCTTGCTTTGACCTCGTGAGAAAAATTATTGTGACAAAAACGACCACAGGAAAGCTGTCAAAATGTGGAAGGGAATGAGGGTAAGTTTCTGTTTTGTTGTTTATGCTATTTTTACACATTCAAGAAAAAACGAATTTTACTTAAATGTGAGACAATTTATATGAATTAAAATAAAAACATATTTAAATACAGAGGATTCTACATGAATTTTTAAATGTCAACTGTTGTTGTTTTTGGTACACACAGAGTGCTAAAAATACAATTCAATTATAATTTTTCTTTGGCACACAAAAATTAGCACTCAATTGTGTTTTTATACGTATATCTGCCGTTGCTCAGTAGTGCGACTCAGAAATGGTGAGATAAAAGAACATGAAAGTCAGCATTTGTACTTTTATTTGTCATTTGCCATCAAAGGAAAAATGAGTGTTTAATTACTCGTCTATTTTAACAAATGAGAGAATGATGACGCGAAAGAGAATTTTGTTCTGTGTTTGGACGCGTGGGTGTTCATCTCTTCACGTCCGTCAGGCAGTCTTGTTTGGTTTTTTGTTTGTTTTAATAATAGTAATAAACTAATGAATTTAGAAATAAATTAAAATCTAAACCCAAAAAATGACCATTGTACGAAACATTAGTACATGTCGGTAGGTACATAAAATCAGTAATTTTTTGGGGAAATATGAAATGAAATTCGAAAAAGACAAATTTTGAAATTATGCGTCAACGAAGAAAAATACGATACGACTTATCATGATAATATTAGTGTTTGATCACAATTATTTTACCTGAGTTGAGTCGAAGTTGATGACCACATTGCAATTGTGTGAAAACCGAATCTAACTTTTCTCTCACTTTTGCAATTCTCTTCGACAGCGCGTGAGACAATGGGCAATTTCTATTAGCAAAATGATTAAAGAAGCAACTGTTGTTTCATACAATTTTGTATTGTCATTTGCTTGACATTGGAACATTTGAATCTGCCTAAAATACCAAATACTTAATTTGTAGATAAATATACAACGACATTTGTAATTGTGAGCAACATTATGTATCTTTTCCGAAATGCAGTTTCAAAACTCCCAGTTTTGTTAAATATTAAACTATGATATTATTTCAATTTGGCAAGACATTGCACTTATCAAATTGTGCATTCAGTCGGAAAAGTATGAATTTCTGACAAGTAAATGAAGAGGAAACACGGATCTCACAGTCATCAGAGCTTTAAGCCTACAAGTAACAATAATCAAATATACGGAATTATGTTTTTTTACAGTAAACTACACATTGCATTTACATTACCATTCATTCCAAGTCATATTTCATGTAACAAAGGTTTACAATAAATGGAGAAAAAGGAAACATTTTTCATTTCACAGACAAGACACAAAAGCCAAAAGTTGGGAAGGGAGGTTTAATAAATTGCGTCAAAGTTTAAGCAACCGACGACGTATTTACGTGTTACGAAACAAAATGTGTATGCAAATACATGTATTTTTGCATGTATGTATTTTGCAGAAAGTATGCATGTATGTATTTTGCAGAAAGTATGCATGTACGTATGTAACTGTAAACAACTGCAGCAGTGTTTCTATTCCAAGCCAATAATCGAACTTTTTTTTATTTTACTGTCAGTAATGCAGTCGACTTGTGGACAGTTGATATGCTTCCCTATTTTGATTTCAATCAACTGTGGCTTATTACTCATTTGGTGTTGAAGTCAAAATGAAAGAAAGGCGAGAAATGAATGTCGTCAATCGTCATGTAACAAAACACAACAAAATAGCGTCTATGTCATCACACAACACTGCAATTGAAATAATGGGGGACCTCAGACACACGAAAAAATCGTCGCTTAGAATTTCGCTTCATTTTTCGCTTATCGATAACATGGCCAAAATTATGAAAATTTCAAAATTTTGTTCCGATTGTAGCTAACCGACCTTAACCCAACCTCTGAGTTGAGTTTCTGTTCGCTTGCCCCAGAGCTCGCTTATCAGGAGGTAAGCGAAAAACGAAGCGAAATTTTAAGCGACGATTTTTTCGTGTGTCTGAGGTCCCCCAATATACATACGATACAAATACAACAGCCATCTCGCCAATTTATTTCTCGTCTCTAATTTTCCCTTCAAAATATGCACAGCTCAAATTCCGTACTCGATCGAGCTGATAAACAAGACTACATTGTTGTTTTTTTCTAATTGAAATTCCGTGTTAACAGGGAAAGTGGGCCGCTATGTTTGTAATCATAAGTTGGATGCATGTCGTTGTGGCCTTGTCCAGTTCAGCCGGAGGATCTTCTCCGTCTCAATATTCTCGGCGGATAAATGTGCGGTCAAAGTCCCCTGCAAATCTGCACCTTCAAACGCTCCGAAGTTCTAGGCAAACTCCCGACCTTCCAGCCCTGTACTCTGCCCCCAAGGAGCGAGAGGCCAAGGAGGCGGAGGGCGAGGCGCAGGCGCAAGCACCGCCTCCAGCAGCAGTGTATGGCCCACCTGCGGATTTGAACGACGACTCCTCAGCCGCCACGACGGAGATGGCGACGGAGGAAAACTTGGAAGGCGCGTCCACCTCGGCCCCCTCGGAGGCTGCGGATGAGGATGGTGGTGAAGTCGTAGAGTCGGAGGTTACTGAGAGGACGGAATATCTCCCTCCATCCAGCACACCCACCAAAAGACGGAGATTGAAGGACCAGAAGATGGTAGAAAGCAGCCCCATCCATCAAATCCAGATCCACGTCGTACCACCCCATCTGAGTCAAGTGAGAAAACCTATCATTTTTGTTTTGGCTGATTGATTACGAGAACCAAGTGATGCACAAAAAGTTCCAAGCCAATGGTTTTTTAGAAATATTAGATTTTGTCACTAATGAAAATACAAATCAAGAACTTGACGTAGTGATGATAAGATTGGGATATTAGCACTATTGCATGAAACATAATGGAATGATGATGAATGTGCATGAAACTGCATGTTTAATCCTTTTATAGCCATTTTCAGCCAACCAAACTTTCTTGCAAATACGTGAATAGAGTCGCTCTCATCTTAAATGTTGTGTTGTAGTAATCATAATTCAATGTACGCAATTACTTGTGAACCATGTGCATATATACTGCACAGTAGTCCTGAAATTGTGTTTGTTTATTGCTTGGCTGCATTTCCTTCAAAAAATATTTAATACTGCAACGTACAAGTGTGCAATCGTTTGTTAAATACATATTCACAGGACTCTTCTTCATAATTCTTAAATCTTGGCCATTTAGAAGTTGCGAAGCCAAAAGTTCGTCAAGTTGTACAACAAACTCATGAAAATTTCAGATAATTATTGATTTAAAGTAGTTCCAAGCTGTGACACACTTACACTGAAGTCAATAATTGGAGTTGCATCTGCATTCGAAATTGCATTCTCTAATCCTTAAAATCAAATAAGTGCATTATTAGGTCAGAAGAAATAAGAAAATTAGTAGTCATATTCATATTTTGATTTATTTTCTCCATTAGTATTTATTCTTCATAATATATTGTGCACATTCCTATATTTGTAGTTACCCACCATACATAAAAGTATGTTGTCTGCTTGTTAGTAGGCAGATATGTACGTACGTGTCTACATATTTATCCACTCTTATGCAGAATAGAAGTGAATTGATTGAAAATTAGCGATCGATTGATTCATTTTACTTTAGGAGAGAAAGAGAGATGACATGATAAATGGTCCATTGTGCACATGCTGCCTGCCAGCGTGTATCTGGTGTTGTGGTTGATGGACAAAGGACTATATAATTTATACAAGATTGATGATGCATCTAGAGTTCACTGGTTGCGTCGATTATGAATATGACATTTAAGACATTTGCATAAATATGTAGAACGAGCCGAGAAGGGGACTTGTACACTAGTAGAAAACCACATTTTTAGTATTTTATGCGAAACTAGTTCGTAATATTGAACTTATTTTCATAAAACCTAGAGTCCGTTTATCTATGGGCAAATGCATATGCAGCATTCAAAAGGACGAAATAAATCTCACGACATGTCACTCACTCTTCATTTCCTTTCCCTTTCCACTCATTGTTGCGACTGTGTGGAGACAGCAAAAGAGTTTCGCTCATTTTCAGATGTTTTCTTTAGTCCATACAAACTGATACGTGTAAATAGCTTTGTTGTCTGACTCTCATTTCTTTGTGAGTTGATGTTAATCCATGAGTTGTAAGGAAGATTATGCTCGTAGCCGTGTTGTTAGTTTGTTAGTGTGTGTGTGTAAGGTGCGCGTCATCAGCATGGCATAGGATGCGATTCGTGAAGAAGAAGCCTATCTATCTAGGTTCTTCAATAAACAGCTAATTGATGTCATTTGTCCTCTCATGATGAAGAGTGACATTAAATGCAAAAGTGAAGCAAAATGCATTTTGATGATCTTTGTCGTATAGACCACATTGTTGGTGGAAATTATTTTACAGAGATTGCTCATGTACCTACGTACCTATTTACGTACATATGTATACGCTCGAAGCAGGATCCAATTCTAGAATTGTGTATCAAGTTCTGTGTATATTATTTTAGGGCGATCACAATGGCGAAATCCTTGGGAGCAGTTATGGTGTTCCTGAAATGATGATGATGTCCCACCCAGAGTACATTCGAGGTCAATATTTGCCACCACAACAAGGACAGCAAGTTGACGGAGCAGCCAAGCAGGAGGAGCAGAAAGGATCAAGTTACGGTGGTTCTCAAGCTAGGGACGAAGGATCAGATTCTCGTCAACAACAACAACTTCCATCGACGGAATATGAAACGCCACGTCGAGACGAGGAACCTGTCATCACCGGACAACCCAAAAAGTCTTCGAATCCTCAGATTTATCATGTCCCCACAACTTATCAAGCACCTTCAACTAATCAACTAGGTTACTCGACAAGAAGCAGAAGTAAACCTCAAGCTCAACAGTATCGTCAACAGGATGTCCCAAATCAACAACAGCAAAATAATTACCCCACCCACCAAACACAATACAATAACCTGTTTCCTTCTACCCAAGGATACCAAACCCCAACTCAACAACAGGGACAACAACAAAGTTTTTCCAGGAACCAGCCAGAAGGTTATCAGGGAGGTTATTCCCAGAATGGGAAACAAGGTTATCAACAGGGGAATCAAATAGTGAAAGCTTATCCATCCAATTTTAACCCCAATCAAGACACTGTGGCAGATTACCAAACCAGCTCGGCTATTGACCAAGGGGGTTATCCACAACGATCTTATCAAGGGAACTACTCACCAACCCCAGCAGCTCAACAACAATATTCCCTAAATCAAGTCACTAATGAAGAAGAACAACAAGATGATGCAGTTGTAATTCAGGGCTTTCCTTCATCTCAACAAAATCAACCTGACCAACAGTTTCAACAAGATTATCAAACCTTCAATCACAATTATGTCCCACAGACCCCGACAAATCCTCAGTCTCAAGAAACTCTGGCTCAGACTCAATCACCGGCCGAGTATGGACCGCCCCAATCGTTTTTTGAGCCTCAAACGTATTCCTTGCCAAGTTCTACTTCATCGTTTTCTGGAGTTTCAGGAGGATATCCACAGCAGCAGGTAAAAAACCACTACCAACCTCAACCCCAAGCTTACGATCAGCAACCACTGACCTCCAATTCGAACTTGAGACAACCCCAACAACACCAAGCTCCTCCTTCGCAGACAACCTTTCAAAATACTCCATTAAGCCAGTATGACTCCCGAGGTTATCCAGAATCTCGGTCCCAACCCCAGCGAAATAACCCTTCGTCCCATTCTCAACCTATTCCACCATCAACACAACCTCAACAAACGGTGACCAATCCACAAGCTCAATACTTTCAAGGGAATTTTTTGTCTCAACCAGCTCAACCCCAATTCCGTTCAAACTCATTAGATTTTGAATCCCAACAAGATGAAGAACTTGAGGGATTAAATGGTCGTATCGTTGACGAGGCGCTTCTTGCTCGAGTACAACAAATCATCGAGGAACACGAGAGACAGCAAAAATCCCTTTTGGCAAATTTTAACAGCAACGCTCCTCCTAGTTCTCCATCCTCTTCTGAGTACTCGTCCGGGGTTCAATTTAATCCTCAACAGCAACAACTTCAGCAACAAGGAGGAGGTGGTCAGCCATCTCCAATCGTAGAAAACTATAAATTGTCGCAACCACAAGGAGGACTTGAGCAAAGGCGAGGAGAGTCCCAGGAAGGGTATGGGTCCTATAATCCAGATGGCATCCAGTACCAGAAGGCTATTTTATCACAACAATTTACGGAAACAAGTCCAATTCCAACAACACAGCAACAACAGCAAGACTCGTACGCCCCACCTCCTCCTCAGCAACCTCTAAAAGGTCAAGCCGAGGATGTTGGTAGATCAAAATCGGATGGATTGAGGTTAGTTCCTGCTCCACAGCTGGGCAGATCACAAGATCAAGTCGGGGAAAGCAATGTACATGACGATGTCCCAAAACCAGTGTACGGCGTCCCACTTGCTCCCGTCATCGGCCTCGACTCGAATGAAAATTTCAAAGTCGTGGACGAGCCTCAGCAGAATAGTTTAGTAACCTCTGCTGCATCTCCAGTATCAAATAATTACTTCCAACCAGCACCACAACAGGTTTATGGAAGGAATCGTCGGAGAGTAGCAGGAAGAGTTATCAAACTTAACAATGCCAGTCCCAGAATCAGTATTCCTTACGTAAATTAGTTTCCTTGAACCTTCCTTATATAGTGTGTATCTCTTAAGTAGGCCTGTCTAACGATGTATGATTTTATAACAAAGTGTGATTCGCAATCGCAACAAATAGATTTTATTCTGGGTTTATGTTTGTCCTAGATTCTTGTAATAACTTTTTCATTTCATGATCTTGACTTGTTGATTGTATAATTGCACTAATGTTCTTACCTATTAGTTATATTTTGTACATGGATTTTATGATATAACAAGCGAAAATAAATCACTTTTTTAACAAAATTTTTAAATATGAATTGACAAAATTATAAATTATCTGATAAAATATAATTTGTTGAAATTGAAATTGGGAGCGAAATGCATTAATTAAAATTGCTTACTAATTCCGGTGGTAATGATTGAGCTAACAAATAAAAGGCAAATAAAAGTCTTAAAAAATTTTAATGGTTCAATTTTGATAGTTTTACTTTTCAAATTATTTATCATAAATATGTGATGCCATATGAGTGACGCATGCCTATACGTATGCACATTGCACATACGCACATTTTGCCAGATTGCGTGAGGATTTCTCTACATACTGTACGCTATCAAGTATATGGGTAATAAATATTAATTCAAAATATGTCCACGTTTATTAATTGAGTTTGAATGGAAAAATAATCTTGTTGGTTTCAGAATTTAGACATGTGGTCTTCCATCAATAGGCACGAACAATTTAGAGTTTGAATGGGGCAAGGGAAAGCGGTGAAATGACCTATCCGTCTGTAGCGAGCGTGACCTTGTCTTGACCTTCGATCCCTGCAATGACCGATTGACTGTGCCGTTCCAGCCAGGCGTGACCTTCAACTGGACCCTCGCCTATACAGATGGGAACCTCCAACTCGGCATTCTCACTCATGCCCTGAATTTCCACGAGGAACCGGAAGTAGTAGTTGGCGAACTCGATGGCATTCGAAAATGGGAGACTTGCTATAATATATCGTAGAAATTATTGTGGGCTAAATACGAATTTGTAAATTATTTCATGAATATGTATCAGCTTATTTATTAAATTTACTAACCGGATTCAGGAGCCATCTTTGGCACTGTCAACTTGCCCGTCCAAGCCACAATTCCTTTCACCTAAATATTTGCGAACAAATGAGTTTGCACCAATTGTTGATACAGTCATATACATGTAAGTCAACCAACCGGCATCGGGCCATAGACCAACTCATCCCAAACCATGAGAAGTTCATCTTCAAATTGATAACCATGTGTCGAATCGACAAGATCAACTACACTGACGAGAGAAGCCGCAACCTATATTACATGCATGAAAGCTTATCCATCCAATTATAACCCCAATCAACCCCCAATCAATGTGGTACATAAGTTTAGAGTAAACTGGACACTTTAATACGGGACTAAATAATGTAAAATATACCTTTAAAACTGGACGCCTGGTTTCATTGAAAATCTCAACAGTGAAGTCAATGTCTTCACCAATGATGAAATTTGACTTTTTCAACTCCAGAGCGAAACCATAAGGGCCAACTTTGTACGGAATGCACCCGAGATAATTTGCAAGAAAAAGTTTTTCAGTGAAAACGGTATGTTCCAAGGGAAAAGGTGAGGTAGCAACTTGAGATGGGAGAACAATGAACGGAAGGTTTATAGTGAAGTTTGGGGAACCGTCATTCTGGGGAAGAGAAAAACACAGAAATATATTTATAAATAACTATTCAAAAGTCATAATAATCTTAATAATGATGCGTAATGGTGCATAATTACATAAGAACTAATTTTTTAAATGTTTCACACGTACCATGTTCAAGGTGGCAGTAATGCAGTACGAAATTGAAGCCTTGGTTCCCTCGCCACAAGAAAAGGTAGGTGGAGCATTTGTGGGAAGAGTAGTTTGGAACATATCGGACGTGACCACGGTATAATTAAACACGGTTTCGACCCCTTTTCTCGGTATTCCACTTTTGCAACATCGACTCTGTGTCCAACTTACTTCTCCAACTCCGACTATGTCAATTGTGGCGGACGGGGGATGATCCTTGCTAAAAGTGAGCCTGCCCTTGATCTCTTTTCCAGGAGTAAAAATGCGACTCTCAGCGTCCAACTGAACGCGAACTGTGACTCCACCCACCACGACTTCTTCATAGGGGGGCAAATCTTCAATATTTGCCACAGTTTCAGGATGCACCTAATAATAATTTATATAGATAATACGAGAATAATATACATAATATGTCGTGTCTGATAACGTGTAGTTGTAGTATATGTAATTTAATTCTAACTGAAATTCTAACCTTCTTCTTGGAGCAGAAAATTACCATGCAGAGAGTGAGAATGGATTCGAACAGGACAACATATAGATGATGGAACACAGAGATATTGTACACGTCCCCAAAGACGTCAGCAATTGTAAAGGCCCCTCCGTTCGGTGGTTCTGGTGTTTTGTCATGTATTCCTTTCTATAGACATAAATAACCAAAATAAATAACACTCTAAAATTTTGCGTGTCCTTATAAACGATATCACAGTCAGATAAACTGATCTTACAAAACCCAAGTAGTAGATAAAGTTTTTCTGGACGACTGCGATGTAGGCAATTGAGGGCACCACCTGTAATTGTGGATTATAAGTACTTCGATATTGGTGACATCGGTTTGACGGTATTATTATTTTCTCGATTTTATTTATTCAACATACATCCATAAGTACACACAATATTTACATGAACCTATAAGGCATTATACTCACGTGAAGGAGACCAATTGTCACTTTTCCATACCAAGGCCCATCTTCCAAGAGTCGAAAACCATACTCAATCATGAGGAAAATGATGATGAAGTTGGAAGTGACCTGGGCCGCTACAAGAATGGGTGCGTCCACGGTCTTGTAGGGAGCGTGCTGGTAAGACTGGTAGGAGTTGTAGGTGACTGAAGCCGCAATGACCAAACCGAGAGCCACAATGTCATGAATCGTGAGGAGCAGCATGGCCACAATGTCCCATTTGAATTGCTGTCAAGTAATAAATTAATGTACTAATTACTTCAACAGTCGCTTGATCAACTATCGTACCAAACGCTTTGGCTTGTTCTTCCGGAAGACAACTGGACAGCATTTGTACCAGCAGACCATTTTTGTAAACTTGGCAAGCACAAAAAACTATTGTTCAGATTGGGTTAATGTCACGAGTCTACAGAACAAAAATTATGTACAGTTTCCTGCAATAAACCCTGGCGTGGATCTGTCTCCAGGCAAACCTTGAAGTGTCATTACCATGACTACGTAATTGACTACATACGTCAAATTGTAGTAGTTAGTGGCTTTCTCAATAATCAGGATAGGTCAGTAGGGCTCTCTACTACAAATGGTGTTACATATATGATGCATGCATACGTAAATGCCAATTAATGCCGTAAATCATTTACGGTAAATGTCTATGCGAAATTTTTGTGATGAAATTAAAAATTTCTCATTCACCCTCAAAGCTGTTTATAATTTTTGTAATTAGTAATTATTATCGAAAAGAAATTTTAAGGGTAGAATATTATAGAGACACCATCGTCAACCTGGTCAAACAAATGATTGTTTGGGCTTTGCTACATGTTGTTTATGAAATCGACTGAATTTGGGTACTTTGGCTTGTGGGCAACTCGTTTAATAATTTTAAAACTTAAGATTGGTTTTAAATATCACTCGTTATAATTTAATACATTTAATTATGTAATTAATTGATTAATATAAAGTTACATACAAACGTGATTTTTACATGTGTCACACGGTAATATTTAAGCGTTTCACAACAAGAGACAATTTACGCATAATATGACTCCAATATGCACATATGCATATAGCGTGCACGATCTCCAAAACAAAATGTTGTAATGACTTGATATTATATAATTGATAATATTTGATAACATGAATGCATTATTTTCTAAATCAATTATCCCTGTTTTCCAATCTCCAATTTTTTTAGCACATTTGCTGACTTGTATATTGTAGAGTCTATAATACCGGCCACGGTAAAAATTCCACCAACTATCGCGAACAACCCTGTTGCAAAATGTGCAAAAGACTTTGCATGTTCGGAATATTTGATCATTATTGGGGATATTTCATAGGAGAAGAAAACGCCAGGCATTCCTATATTTACCATTGATATGTATTTATTTATTCCAGGAAGTTTTATCGTATTATAATGAAATAGAATAATAAACATACCGCTTTCGCCGGACATTGAGCTTACGACCTATTTATAATGATGGCATTAAGTAATGTTTTTTCATATTTTGTTCATATCACACTATATTTAATCAAAATAGCATGCGCAATTGGATACTTTTACTTGTGCATATACCTTCTGATGTCTCGTTGTGGAAAATTGATTAGAAAAGATAAGCCCATCCGGTTTGTCATAGGTGAATGGAACAATCTTTAAGTAATACTGGAACATTGTCGACTCCTCCGTAGCCAATCCTTGAAAAATTAGTTTCACGTGTAATAATAAATAAATGCAGTAATGTGAATGCAGTATATGCTACCTTGAATTCCGTCCACAGGGTTCGTTTTTCCTACTATTTCTTCTCCAAAACTTAAACTTTGTATAGTATGTGTCATATTAAACTGAGATGACGAGAATGGCTGCACATCATGAACGTGGACATGATTGAGTGTGAAACTATTGAATTATAAAATACTCAGAATTGTCTCACTATGTGTAATAATGTCGAACTTATACCTTTTTCCTGGTGCGACGTGAAAACTCCCAGAGCATCGGTTGACTTCCATATATCTGTTTAAATTAATGAAAGTCCGATAAGTCACTTAATACACGTTCTACATCTCGAAAAATAAGTACCCGTATAAACGACACCCCTCATTAAAAATTGCCTTCATATCTTCGACCATGCCCTTGCACTGCTCTATTTTCACTGGGTCCGACAGAGCCCAACCTTTAAGACGATAGGCTTCTCGAACCTCTTCACATGTATTACAACATTTGAAGAGTGTCGATTCTGCTCCGTAACAACTGCCACACTCTGATTTTATTGCAAGACCTAAACAACAGACAAATGGACATACCCATTTTACCCATTAATTATTATTTTTAACTATAAAACAAACAATTTCATCTGCTAAGTTATGTCAACACTATTCAACGCCAAACCTGTCTCGTTGCTTGGCTCTTTAGAGACATCATCCTTTTGAGGGTGAAGACTATCGCCAGGTTTTTTTCCGATGCTGCTGTCACCAAAGACATCCGTTTTTTGGGGGGTTTCATTCTGAATAGGGGCTCCCCCAGTATCAAGCCTCTGCTTGAAAATGGAGTGCTCAATCCCACTTTGTTGTTCTCCGCTGCTGTCCATGGCGTCGATTGTAAGGTAAGAACACGCCACACGTGGGAAAACAATGTCTAAGTTTATCCTTAACTTAGATATTGATCTTGTAGTATCCACATAAACCTCTTCTGTGATTTGGGGAGTGAGATAGTCGCGTAGTTCGAAAATAAATAAAAGCAGCATAATTATTGTTGACGTAATTGTAACAGCTCCACCCCCGAAGGTTTTTATTCTGAAGTCTTCTAGAGGTTTTGGATATGCATCTAGATCCCTATAATATACACAAACAAACATAGATTACTAACAATTAAGAAGCAATTATTTTATCATCGTTTCATTAATCTTAACCTAACCTTAATTTGTCCCAAAGCGATGCCATACTGACAGAATGACCAATTTAACCAGGTGAGAGTGGGAATAATCTGAAATTAACGAAAATAAATTATTATGAAGTATCCTACCAAGATCAAGTCCACCACACAGTTCACAATTGTTCAATTAATCACAGTTCTAGTTTTTGTATTATATTTTCCCTTATGAATAAGTATTAGTATTTATAACTTACGTATTATGAATTGGTTGGAGATCGAAATGACATAAAAATTGGACTGAGAGTGTCAGTCTGAGATCGATATGACAATAGGAAAACGAACATCAAACTCAATAAATATAGTAATTTCGGTCTGTTTGTGTTGTTGGCCAGTCAGCCGATGTCGTGTCAAAAACTTTCTAGTTCGCGCCTCTAATTTCCAATGTCTCGGACAGTCAAATTCCTCTTACTAAATTCAATGTTTTAATAATAATGCATTGTTGTGCATTTGGGAATATTTATTGAAGCAAGTTTAACCATATTATAATGAAATAGAAATGGTAAATAGCACAGTACATATTAATAGACATTGAAAAATTATGTAGCCAATAAATAAAAATATTTTTATGGGGTGCATCTTCCCAAAAACCGAGGGTACAGGCACGCTTCACGAATGTGGTATCTGTTAAGGAGCCAACAGAGGAAACGCTCCAAGCCTAATCCATACCCACCATGAGGGGTTGTTCCAAATTTTCTCTAAAAAAACAGAAGGGAATTATTATCGTGATTTTGAAAGGTCAAGGTGGAAGAATTGTCTAATGTTAGACTTATGATAAATGGAAGTATGCGGTTTTGTTGAATACCTGATCAGTGTACCAGTAATACGGACTGGGGTCGATTCCTTGTGTTTTATATGCAGCAATCAATTCATCGTAATCACTAATACGCATGGACCCGCCCACGATTTCACCAACATTAGGAAGCAATACATCCACCTACAGAAACATTAAATGGATTTATATTAATTCATAATTAATTATAGTAATAGGAATTAGTAAATCCATACAGATTCTGTCAAGTCTCGGTCTTCTGGACATCGTGACATGTAGAAAGCCTTAATATGTGCTGGAAAACGGCAAAATAAGACTGGCTCATTGATGGAGTCTGTCATTTTCCGTTCAGGCATCTCAGGGATGTCCTACACCAAAATAATTTACGTTGATTATAAAATCTATTTTACAATGGCATTCACTATGAGTCAAAAATCAAAATAAATACACACCTCTCCAAATTCATAAAAGGTTCCATCCTCTTTCTTCACGTCGTGCTCTTTCAACCATTTCACTCCATCGCTATAGTTCATCCTCTTAAATGGGCGTGTCGGCCGTTTGAATCCCTGTCATTAAAAATTAACTTATAATACAATAATTGTCACATGTGGTCTCGTTTCAAAACCCAGATAAGGAAGTAGTAAACTTTTAACATGTTTTGAAGTTTATAACAAGAAAGTGATACATAAAATAAAAGTTTCAAATAATTCTACTTCAAATTTGCTATTTCTCCATTTGTTACTCGACTGTAGATTGAGACAAAGCAGTCAAGCCTTTGAAAGGAGATTATTAGAAATAAGTCATTTCTAATGCTTAAAATAAAACAACCTACAGGGTTAAGTTCCGCAATAAGATCTCCACATTTTTCAAAGACACGATCCACCACCTACAAAATACAAAGTACATTTTGATTAACATGTCCCACGACGCAAGATTATCATACAACCTTTAGCTCACCATTTACTAACCCTGAATGAATACTATTTAGTGAATATTAAATATATACAAAATTTTCTTACATCAACAATCAAGTCTTCCAAGCGATCCAACAAATCTTCAAAGGTGATGAAAGGACATTCTGCTTCAATATGAGTGTACTCTGAAATTCAACAGGATGCGTTACTAGTGAACATTGTGATAGTCATTAATAATTTTATATAAATGAATGACCAAATTCTAATTAATTAACCTGCCAAATGACGCCTGGTTCTACTCTGCTCGGCTCGATAACTTTGAGCCACGCAAAAGACATCACCTAATGATGGAATGCAGGTTTCCAAATATAGTTGGGAACTTTGAGTGAGATACGCTTCTTCATTGAAGAAATCCATTTTGAACAAGGTGGACCCCCCTTCACATTGAGTTTGAACCAGAGTGGGAGGAGTTACTTCACAATATCCGCGGGCGAGATAGTGATCCCGAAATGCTTGAAGCAAGGCAGAACGAACTCGCAAAACTTTACAAGTCTAAATATGTAAATATATTTAGAATATTTATAACAGTGTGCATTTTTTTTTGTAAAAACGTAAAAGTGTAGCAATGCGTAAAACATACATTTTCTCCTCGTAACATAATATGTCGTTGGTCCAGCTGGACATCTGGATGGGATTCTTCGTTGAGAATAGCATCCGCACCCCCTTTTGGAGTGTGAAGACCAGATATTAGTTAAAGAATAAAATTATGTACTGATTGAATTGGTAGAAGTTGATTACCAGGAGGTGAGAGACCGATGAGCTGCCAAAAATCGACTTTCAGTTCTACCCCACCGGGTGCCTAAGCCGAAGATTATTAAAATAAATATGTTTTGTTACACCAACACATTTTACTTTATTATTTACGCTAAATATTATTTAAATTTTAAAAGCTGGCTTACAGAATGTCCTTCAGGAACAGCAGCCAAAGTGCCAAAAAGTACGACCGAGGATTCTGTGCTTAACATAAGTCCATCGTAACTTTGACATAATTTATCCGTAAGAACGCATTGCAGAAATCCTGACCCATCCCTTAATGTGGTGAACATGAGCGACTTTCCTACACACCACGATTAAAGAAAATCATAATTGTATAATTGCATATCAATTTTAAAATTTGTAAGCCTTTTAAGATTTATTAAAATCATGAAAATAATATCGATTAAACAAAGGACACTTAAAAATGACCTGAGAATGTGAACTGTGCGCGCTTCAAGTAAAGTTTCTACAAAAAATACTTTCTTGGCCCCACCATTGGAGACTAAAATTTGTAGTAGAATCAATAAAGCTATCTTAAAAGGCCCTATGAACTTGCAAGTCTTTAAACTTTACAAGTTTATTATTAATCTTAATTTAAACCTTGTCTCCTCAGCCGGTGCACCCATCCATAGACTTTCACCCTTTTCTCCTTGTTGAAAGAAGCGTCCCTAATTTTAATGCGGAGTGCTTCTGGGAGAGATTTATCTTCTTCCAGGACAATTTTTTTTGCATCCTCCAAGTTTTTTAATCTTGCCTCGGCTTCTTCTTTGTCTTTGACTGCAAGAGATGCGCTCTTATGTTGATCTCTGAGGAAAAACTTCATTATCTTTTTGAGCTGTGATTTAGCAATGAGCTCATATCCTTCTTGGTTTGGTTGGCCTTCAGCTTTTTCTTTGGGGTCCACAAATATTTGGGGCCATGGCTCTTTCTCAGCCTGTTTCAGAGCAGCAAGGACCGACTTGAAGGGTTTGGCCTCGCTCCCGTCCCCAGTTTCGTCACTCCCTCTCTTCTCCGACGTGTACACTTTCTTTTCACCTGATGAAATGCAGGACATTTTTCAAAATTTTTTTAGGCAGGAACTAGGAACTTATTTAAAGGGAATACACTTACTCATCGTGAGTCCGGCATTTTCCTTATCTCCGCCGTCCATGGTTTGTCTTGAAAATTCAAGTTTCAATTCAGCCAGAATTTAACAAACAATACTCGTTAGATATGCACTAGCTAAAAAAATGCATAATAATGAAACTTGAGAACTTTTGAGCAGATTTCACTTTCAGCGACTGAATAAATGTGTCGATGTGCGAGCGAGGAGAAATGAGTTGGCTGATGCAACGAGAGTAACCGATTGAGGGAGCCGCTTGCTTACGTCGTTATGGGCAAATTGGGACCATGAATGTAATTATTACATGAAATTAGTAGGGCTAACCTAATTATTACCTCATCCATTATCACTTCACGGCCAAACAAATCGTAAAGCAAATACAAGCATGAATACGGATGTCATTGGGAGTTTGGGACGGATGTGCAGCTTCGTTGATTTACATATGCCATATATTAATGGCTTCGAAAGGAGTGACGCATGATGACGCATCACTAGAGCCATCAATCATCAGTATGGAATGTAATAAAGTTTCGAATAACGTCATTTTCTTTGTAAAAACTATATTGAGTTAGTCCGGTGTAGAACAATTGGCTCAATGTTTTTTTAGCATATGACGTTTAAAATTGGTGGGGACCTTGTTGAGGCTCTTCTCTACATTTGAAGACATCGGTTTACCGTTCCCAGTAGGAGTTGGACGCTTATTTTCTGCAGCGGGGGCTTGGGGGGAACCAACATTGGTAGCTTTTTCTGTTTTTGGAGAAGGTGAAACTCCTTGCAAAGGTCCAGCAGCAGGGCTTTTATTGTTCTCTACCGTTGTGACTGGAGGTTGTTGGCGTTGTGGTGGCGTCTTATTCGATTGTTCTGTAGTTTGTGGTGTCGCAATGGTAGGTTTCAAAGGTGGAGGAATATTCCAGAATGGAGGTTTGGAAGGTGGTGGTCCTCCTTCATCTACTGATGATTTATTATTAGGCTTTCCTGGCGTTGCTCCAGCAGCGCATTCGCCACAAGTGGAGTCGCCTTGTTGTTGGCCTCCATCATCTGGTGTGATAACGGCCGCAGCCCTTGAGGCAAGTGCTGCAGCTGCTTCGGCGTTTTTCTGCGCCAAATGGGCTTCACGTTCCCTTTCAACAGCCAGTTGCTGGGCTGGAAAAATAAATGGCCAAATTAGTCCCAAATAATTGGATCAATTCCTCAAATGCGCCAAGAATATGCTATAAGAACTTCTGTATCAAATTTAATAGTCTTGGAACTTATTTATTGACGGTAAAATTGCAGTTCATTTCATCTTTTCCTATCATTTCATTACGTAGCATACGTAACGACAGTTTTTAATAAATCTATACATAATGAGTGAGTAACATTGCAAAACGACCAATAAATATATATTATTAATCGTCATATATTACGCTAATACACGTACCAATAACGACGATATGTCACATGTAGTAGATTTACATTTCTTCGTTCTGTATATAATCTATTTATAATAATAACAATAATAACAAAGCAGCAGCATACATATTTCAGGTTTGAAATTAGTATTATCCAATTCCATGTTACCCATAATCGATTTTTATGTTTGACAAAAATAGCTGCTTATTGGATGGTTTATATTATTTTGTGGATAATATAATAACAATCATCAAAACCTAATACAATTCACTACTTGCATACGAAGAAAATTACAATTTTTTGTATTAATGCGGTTTGTCTTCATCAGGTAAGTAAATTGTAAACATAGAGTTGTTTGCGTTAAGTTTTTTTTAAATATCAGTATCAGATTCAAGTCATTCATATATATGTATATTACATAGTGTATTGTATATATTGCGTCTATCTATGCGTCACAATTTGAAATATAGGTACACAATATAAGTCGACCAAATCTTAAAATTATTAATTACTATACCCCAGTTGCTAAAGACTATGAAACTATGAAACTATTTTACAACATATAATTAACTAGATATGAAAACTTTGAATGTGAAATTCTTAACTTTTGACTCAAACGGCTTGACTAAAGTAGAGTTTCGAGACTATAAAACTCAAAAAAATGTAATGTATGTAATACGACACTTGGCAATATCTATGTACTATTAACTAGATATTTTAAACTTTATAACATTTTTATCTGAAGCTGACTATATATATGTATATACATAAAATGCGTATTTATAACATTAATCAGACCAATAACCATGCACTAGTTTTAGAACCAATTACGAGAACCTGTAACAAAATAAATGAGAGAAACTATTGCAGATCAAATACTTTCACGTTAATCGCATGGATTGCTTATTGCATACGCATACATGATTTTAGACTATAGATTTTGTTTCATAAATACAACATTTTCAATCAATGACAAAAAAACTAACTAAGATTTCTAAGAATGGGCTATGATTTGAGACAATATGCTACTCTCTGTGATGCCTTGCTTGATTGATTGAGATATTTCTTGTGTAGCGTCATTGTTAGCAAAAAACGGAATCCTATTTGTAATGTTTAATATGTATTTTGTGATGACAACCTCATGTGGGCAAATAACTCGACCCTACTTACATTTACTACATATGAGTAGAGTGTAGACCTCTTTGTGCTACCCGCATTAATTGATTTTTAATATCCACGTCAATTCAATGAATATTAATAGCCAAGTTTATCAATAATGGCCCAAGTGCCATGTTAATAATATGAAACCTGGGCCTTACCAGGCTAAGGTTAATATGTTATTTTGTGTTGTATACCTTTGAAATAAGCAAGTTTGTTCATATAATGACAATATTGTTTGCGTCGAGTAAGTCAGTCCTACTAGGACATACATACATAAATAGATCATCAAAAATCGAATTTTCAAAAGTCAGAAGATAAGGTCAGAAGTTTCGGTTTGCTTGTTTGTTTGTAGGAAGACCATTATTATAGTATGTCGTAAGGGTCATGTAAACTAGAACTAGCCAATGTAAGTATATGTAGACGCTACGTATATATGTCTGTTTGCGTTTAAAGAGAACTTATTACCGGGAGAAATTTAAAAATGTGTAAAAATATTGAAACCATAAATGGATGCAATCAAGCTACAACACTAACTCAATTAATTATTGACTCTAATTAATAACAAGAACGATCAAAGTAATGATTTCTTGAAATTTGTAGAGGTGATGATAATTTGATGGTCTTTGCCCACACATATATAAAACTTGAATGTTTCAACAGAACTAATTGACTGACTTATAACTTGACGGAACGGAAAAACCTGACTAGAAACGAATGGTCACTCCTCCTGAGTAAAAAGGAGTTAATTATAGAGAGAATAATGTTACTAATACATAGAGGGTGGGATTTTCAGGGCTACTAGAACAACAACCACCATAGTCATTCAGAATCAGAGTCACCTTCAGCCAACAGGTCGGGCAGCCCTTCTACTTGATCGTGGGTTATAAGGGTGTTGGACAAAGCGTATTCAATCATGGCAGCTAAATCAAAATCATTAATATATTAATTTCATCACGATTAATAACATTCAGGTTAACTCCAAGGTAGATGAATCCTTACCATGACAGAATAAATACTGTTCTGGAACTTGAATGCTGTAAGACCTCCTATGTAAATCAAATTAAACAAATGTTAATTGGCTAAAGTAATATTAATTTCGATGGTTCAAGGATCGTGCGATGTAGCTTCATACATTATAACATTTCATAGCACAAAAACCAGAAAAGATTGTCGATTCCTCCCACTAATTAGTTCTCGAACCAATTCTCATTCACCAAATTAAAATAGTTGTGACTATTATTATTCGTGGGACTCAATTGCTGTATAGAATTGTTATTATTATTGGAAAATGGATGTAGTAGCTTACTGGCTTCTGATCCTTTCCACTGTTCCCATCACGTCTATTGTTCCCTGATCTACAAGTCGTTTAATGCAGATGTCCATAGTGCAAAGAGTACCTGCAGAACACCAAACAATTCAAGTATTTATAGTGTTATAAAGCGTTCATAATCATCTCCAAAATAAATAACGTGTATGGATGTATTTAAATTAAACAAATGACAGAGATTACATAAAATGTGTATCAAACAAACCTGTACGACCAATCCCTGCAGAACAATGAACAACCTAAAGAAACCAAATCGTGTATTAGTTTGTGTTTGATAAGAACATCAAGGCATCAACAAGATGCCTTGTTGAGCACGAAGATTAAGAATACCAAAATCTTAATTACATTATTATATACTTACAATTGGAGGTCCATGTGGATGTCCATCCCATTTATCACCGAGCTGCACAACTCGAGATGATTGTTCATTCCTGGAATCAGTCAACAAAATAAATAATGTAAACAGATATTTAGATGCATTTGAATATAATTCAACGTGTTTAACAAACCTCATTGTCTGAATGAATTTAAGCGTAGCAGCTGCACTGGAGGGAACGCCTGTAACAAAATTTCAAATATTGGATTTAATACATATATATAAATATATATCCACACTTTATCGATTAATCAATAATAATAAATTTGAAATTGTACCATAGTCTGGCCAAGATAAAAACTGAAGGTGGCTAACTTCGCGAGTTTCATTTGTCTGGAATAACATAAATTAAATATGCATAACATAATATTGAATCCAATTCACTATATATGATAAATGAGAAACTTGATTTTTTAAAGTAATCTACCCTCTAACCTTTAGATGGGTTATTTGTAGCCGAGTAACTGGAAAACAGAGATTGATTAGTGTCATTCGAGTAATTTAATATATATATGTATATCAAATATAATATGATCATATTATTATTGTACCGGCAAAATCAGGTCGCGTGTCCACTTCTAAATTTTTCAGTTTAAAACCCTCGTGTACCACAGTAGAGTCTGCATCAGGGGGCCAATACTGTCCACTGTGTGTCATTATTAAAATGAGCATATTACGTTTATCAGTATGCAGTAGTTTTTCGGATAACGAATGATATAGTTATACGTTAAGTTTGACGTGCTTACCACTTTGTTCTTCCTCTCTCAACACAGCGAGTAGTCATCACTATCAACACAACGGTTTGCTGCAAATTTCATATTCGGTATTAATACGAGTTTCGTAATTATTAATAAATTGTTCATATATTCATGTTCATTTGAAATCTTTAAAGTGAAGAACTTTATCTGTAAAGATTGCAAATTAAAATCAAAATTTCCATCATCACCTCCCACACCATTTTCCAAAAGTCACTGAACGTGCGAGGTAAAGGTCCCTGTGTTGATATAAACGCGTTCCTGGAATGGAAATCAAATCAGATTAATATCATTAACCTCACCTCACCTTGTTCGACAGACAACCAAGTTAAAGAAAGGTGAGTTAAAAGTTAGTTCAATAATTATAAATGATGTTTTAAAATGGTTTGCTCATTATTTTAGGCAAATCATCAGGACTATCTTAGCATGGCCAATTAATTATTAACGCCAGTTGGGAACTAACCTTTGTTTGTACCCGTCTACATAGTTGGCATTTATATAATCCGACGTGTCAGGCTCAGCGGGATCAGTGGAGAGGATAACGCGTGTATGATCGAAGCAAAGAACGTCACTGTAGCGATTTTTGTTAACATTACCCCGTAACCTATAATCCCAAAATAGATTTAGACACAATTACAATCGTTAGCTTATTCATACAGCTTACAGCCATAATTTGCAAAAATACTACACAAATAATACCTGGAAGCGTTGAATAACCCTTCTGGAGATTTTGATACAATTTCAGCGTATTCGTCTAACAGTCCTCGACGTCCCTTCTGTCGTACATGTTCCACAAATTCTGGGAGCGTAAGACCTGCTTTCTCTTCAAATGGCAGACTGTCATCATCAGAAAAGCCGCTGCTACCAGAAGAATTGGGAGTTGGAGATGGTGTGGACTGACCTGAATTAAGTTGGGGTAGAATAGTAATACTTTAAGTTTGAATTTGGAGAGTAACATAAAAATAATAAGGAATATGCATAAGTGCCAGAAAAAATGAAGGGTGCAGAGGTGTTATTACTTGTGCTTGTACCATTTCTCCTCATTTTCTTTATCCCGTTTGACACACCGTCGGATCCGATATCTTTACTATTTTCTTCTATTGAGGTATCATTGCTATCCTAAATATACAAAAATAGCAAAATATGCATTTAACTTAATGTGTTCTTTAATAAATAAAAACTACAGTGTAGCCTCACATAGCCCGAGTTAACAGTCATGCTTTACTTGCTTCGTCTTTTTCTTAATTTCGAAAGCCAGGAGTGCATTTGAAACCCCGGTTCGCATAAATTTCCCGTGTATCCCCAAAAAACGAAAAAAAATCGCGTTTCTACAACCATTTATAAGAATTGGTGTTGTTTACCCACCCAGCGCACTTTAGTATCTGACCTTCACTAGAGTCAACCACTGGACCAATGCGGGTCTTCTTGGAACGCATCTAAAGCCTTAATGAGATGCTTATTTTAAGACCAAGTCGGTTAAAAACGGTTCAGTGGTTGTGTCAAAGACGGACAGATGATCGTACTATAACTCGAGCTAAAAATGAGCTGTATTTCTATGAGATATTGTTCTACTTGTAATTGCATACCGAAAATTGGTCAAAGGGTATTGTGTCATCTGTAAAACTTCCCCACAGGTCAGTCGAGCTAAGGATTTGATGACATTGCGCTAACCAAGCCGAGTGATTTGAGTCTAGCTGCCCTCCTAAAGTTCTTGGTAACGCGTTGTTAGGGATGTGAGCCCCCAACTGGAAATATAAAAAAATTACTGGTAACAAAATACTGAGGGGGGGTGGGTCATATAATAACCTCATTTCATCATCATTACAACAGATTGCTTTTGCTATTGACCCTGACCGTTCATTAATGACTTTTACCTGTGGTACACTGACGGTGAAAACACGGTCTCTAAGTTTCTCTCTAACAAAAAGTCTAAGAATTCGGAATGGAGCTCGGAACCACAAAGGTGCAGTCACTATCAAAACCTTTTTCAGTCTAGCCGGATAGCCCCCCTAAAGAAAAATGAATTAGATAGTTGCTGTAGAGAGTGCATTATGTTAAATACTGTATTGAGAAATATAAGAATAAGAACCTTTAACAGGGAAAGAATTTTGATACTCAAATCATAATCAAAGTTTGAATATTTCGAGTCTGACATATCATAGATGAATATCAATCCACACCGCTGCGTCTGTGGGTCTTCTAGGGCTGCGTCCAGTTGATAAACCACTCCCTGCAACGAAAACCGATTCATTTTTTTTTTACAAAATCTATACAACACAAGATAATTAATTACTTGAATTATTTAGCATTTTATTACTTTCAAAGTGCTCTCATGTGGCGAATTTGAAGGTTGATGGCACTTTGCAGTAAAAACTGCAATGGCTGCGCCTCCCAAGTCTCTTGCCGGCTTTAATTATAATTTGATTGAAACAATAACAATTTAAAATTTGAATTACATGTATAAGAATGTAATCTGCTGGGTTACAGCAATCATTTTCTTACTAGAACGGTAAATTTTCCCGACAGTAATTCGGATCTGAGTGGTTCCGACTCTGGGTCAAAGTTGAACAAGCCTTCGTCGTGTCTTGAGACTTGGTGTTGATTATACAGCTCTAATGATCTTCGTACATTAAACTTCCTGGCCACTGAAAGGAATTGAAAATTAATTGTTGTAAACTTTTTCACTGTTTATTAGTATCCAATAAGTAGTTTGGAAGACTTACTGAGAAATTTGACTCCAGCATTCCAAGATAAGGGACTCACACCCTTGGACACTCTAGCACCATTCACAATTTCCAGGAACTCTTTCGTGCACTAAGGATGAAATAATTATATGATTAATTTCCTTCATGACTATACTATGTAGCGCACATGAATGTTAGCAACAGACGTCGGATATGAATGACCGATAAAACCTTAAAATATGAATGAAAAATGACCGTAAAAATCCCCAAAATATGACCATAAAAATGACTTTATTTTAAAAATTTTTGGCTTAATTTTTCGATATATTTTCTGGTAATGCTCATTTTTTATCAAATAAACAAGTTCTGGGGTGATTTAATGCATTCCCAATGAATTAAATCACATGAGGCGAAAGTGAACGTAAATTTCTGAAAGTTTCTCACGATGAATCATTGTGAGAAAACTGATTTTTTTGTAATTTTCTGTCGATTTGGTTGCCAAATCTTAGAATTTGGCCAAAAATGATAAAATGAACGAAAAAACCCCGAAATATGATCGGGAATATGAATATGTCCCAAAACCCGAAAATATGACAAATATGAGAAAATATGCTTTGACCTACGTGACCTACTAGTGACCATAAACATTCTCAGAAAGTTTGGCGACTGTAGGTCAATAAATGGAAAAAGTCATTTTTCATTCATATCCGACGTATGGTTAGCAATGATGATTGACTAAAAATTGATACCTCTTCTTCGTGGGTGGATAGCACCGGGCCCTTTGCTCTCAATGCGGCTGCAGCAGCGACGCTACAATCCACGAAAACAATGTCGCTGCTAATACTCCCGTTGTTGGATCGTGCCACCACCTCACCGGTGGCCTCGTAGTCGCCGGTCAACCCCACACAATGAGCACCAGCACCTTCGAGGTCCAAACTGGTTGGTGGCGAAATTGTAAGACTCACGCCTGTTTTGGAATTTCTTTCGGCGACACCCACGACCACGCCTGCTGCTGGAGAAACGGTTCGTTTAATGGGACTGTCACCTCCATTAACTAACGAACTACTGTCGCCCGCACCAGATGTCGACGAGGAGGTGGGTGTTGAAGAAATGTCATCAAGTCCACCAGCCTCTTGTGCCATTTCTTTTAAATTTACACAAAGTTTACCAATACTCTTGAAACCTCCCACCACCAACAACCGAATGATTTGAGGTTTATGTCGTATTAGGAGGCTAATTAGCAATGAAACCTCTTTGTATGTCCCTTCTTGGGATTTGTGATATGTATGTGATGATGATAAAATGAGAACTGACTGGATTCCTATTCACAATTTATAAGTTCACAGTTTTTAACTCCCAGCACAGAAAACACAATATTTAAATTGTTTAACAGATCAGACTACTAACTAACTATCAACCATGACCGAAACCAAGTTTGAAGTTGAATAGTACGAGGTCGTGTCGTAGCTTTGGTCGGACTCGGATCTGTGACGGAGAGCTGTTCGTAATTAATTAAACCTACTTCTGGATTGCTAGTCGGTTGAATTAGTATTAAGCGGAACACGCTGTAATAGTTCAATGTCAACTTGTTTAAGCATAAATACTGCTAACCTAAGAGGACTACCAAAAGTCAGAAATTTAGATAATGTCTGCTGGTGACTAGCTAGAGGAAGTGCTTCTTCTGCTGAAGAAACCAGGCAGGCAGACTAGGTTGTTCACCACCACTCTTTACAGCACACTACCACCACTACTAATCCTAAATGGAATTGAATAGGTGATTATTATCCTGTTCTTCTTCTTCTTATGAATGAATGAATGGAGTGTTTGGTTGTATTTGTATGGTTCAGTTCATCGTCGCATATTGGTGAGGAGGACAGGCCACCAATAACAACAGCTATTATTACAACCACGGAGGGGCAAACAGCATGTCATGTCATATTGATCCCTGTGATGTCAGAGCCTCAGAAAATTTCCATTGCCTTTTGAGGTGAAAGTTTACGAGAAAGTGGGCAGCATGCTCCACGGAATGTCTGGATATTCCTCCTTTCCTGCGAACCAGGGAATGGCAATGACCATCATGAATGAGACCCGTAACGCAGTATTCACAAGCATATATATTGCAGTGAATGAGTACATAAAACCAACATACAGACTTCTGTTTGCCCGAGTCAAGAGCAGTCCTCTTTTAAACTTTTGTAGATTGATGACAAAACTGTTAAAGTATTAACTACTAACTAAGTAATTGTGGTCCAAAATTCAACAACGCCGGTTTTACATTTCTAGGCACAAGTGGCATACACACGAGCAGTATTCATGAATTGTCTCTCAAGATATTAGCAACTTCGCTGCATACCGAATTTCAGATTTTCAAAGTTTCAATTTGAACTCAATCACTTCAGCTCATTTGGCTCTTCTATCCTGTCTGGGAAGACATGGCGGTTCCATAAGTCTTTACTCGGGCTAAAAAGTACCATGCAGTTCTTCATGCTGCGGAACCTCGGGGACATTGTAGGAGAATAACATTTGAGATTGGAAGGGAAAGAGTTGAATAGAGCCAATATTTCTGTGGGGACGTTGTCCCTACGGTTCCGCAGCTCCTGCAGTTCTGGGAAGGAAAGGCACTTGAAATGAAAGCAACATGCTCCATTTTATTATGATTGTCCTTTCTGAAGGGACTTCCTGCCTAGTAGGTTGACGAAGAAAGAGTAAAGTGCATTTCCTGACTTTTGGCTAAAATTCTTGGGCATCACAATTGATGAAATGCGACATGCATGTATCATGTGTGTGTGTGTATAACGAACGTTGGTGGTACAATGGCTCGGTTGTTGTTGGCTTTCATGAAAATTATAAAGCGTTACACTCTGGGGACAAATAAAAACATTGTAATAATGAGTGAGACAGTAATTATTAACTGTTAGATAGCTTTATTTCAAACGTAACAGTAGTATTTATTTAGAATGCTGAATTTGGCCATGGTTTTTTGCTTGGTTTTAAATTGCTTCGACTGCAGCATATGCGTCAATTCTACCGTGACCGACGTGGTTGTTTGGAAATTGATTATCTGGAATATTCCCACAAGTTTCCCCATTGGTCACAACGCTTGTCGTGGCAGTGCTTTCCAAGAGCGACTTGACCTAAGAGAAAGATTGAAATTAATCAGAACACGTATGCATTTAAGTGCATTATAGCTTTTCTGAGGGTTTTGTTAATGGGAACATGTTCTGAAATTCTGATTTGATTTACTCTGTCGTATGTGATGGCTCTGTCCTTTCCCACCATGAGGGCAATGACGCCAGCTGAGTTAGGACAACTCATACTGGTTCCAGAGAACACGGAATAGAGAGAGTCTCCGTTACAGTCGCAAGAACGGATGGACATCCCAGGTGCTGAAATGTCGGGTTTCAAGACACCGTACCGTGAAGGACCTCGGCTCGAAAAGGAAGCCAACTCGTCATTCCTGCCTGTGGCACCAACTCCCATCGTCTGCACAGCAGAAAATTGGTCGATTAAGAAGCTATTCACTTTCTTTCTATTTTATTTTTTACCTTAGCACTGTCTGCAGGGGCTAACATGTCGCCACAGGGGGTGGGGCCTTCATTCCCGTTCGAAAATACCGAAATAATCCCGGAAGACCGCCACACGTCTAAAATGTCCTCAAAGTAAGTTGTCCCAGGCCATACTCCCCAGGACTTTTTAAAAAATATAATGCATATTAATAACGTCAGGGTTTACGTCTTCAAATAGTTATTGCAATAAAGAGTTATGTATGTACGTTGCTGGTGACGTGGGGGGTTTTAGTACAGTCGGGATTTTGACCGGATGAATCCGTAGGACAAACCATAAATTGGCCACACTCTGTAAAGGCACTCAATTCTGCCCCACCGTTATCTTGATACCCTTTGCATGCAATCCATTTTGCCTCAGGAGCAGAACCAATACCAAACCTACATATGTATGCAATTTTTTTTAGATGACAGTCAAGAACATATTTCAGAATAGTGAATCATAATAATTGTTAGTTTTACGAAAAAAAGAGGTATGGAAGAGTTTATATTTATTAAAGCGTACTTTCCAACCACGCTGCCGACCGTGTGCGTGCCGTGATTGTAGATGTCTGTGGGGACGGAATATTGATTGTACGGGTCACGCCAGGCGCGACCATCGTTCATGTACTGGTCGCGAATGGCTTCGTGGGTTCCCCGAACTCCAGTATCGATGAAGCCAACGACAACTCCTGTGCCGTTATTTCCCCAAGGTGCGTCCCACACGAGGTTTGACCTCATCTTATTTGTAAACGTTACAAAAGTGATGCATTTTGTGTCGTAAACTTGGTTCTGAAATAATTATCAGAGTTCTAATAATTACCTTTTCGATGTTCCATTCCGCCAGAATTCCAGGTTCACGGGGACTAGCAGCACTTTCGATGATGGGGCGTTGCAGATAGGTCACAATCTCCTGCTCAATGGATGTTACCGAGGGTAGGAGAGCAAGAGCTTCGATAATGGCTTTATCTGCACCCTTCGGAGATGAAAATGAAAAATGTTTGATTATGCAATTAATGATTTATGGTATGATTGATTACATGCTTATTATTTATTGATTGTCTAATAATATCCAATTCATCATGTGTTATGTATTATGTATTATGTATGTACATAATACTCCTATTTCAACAAACCGAGTAATGAATACATGATTTATCGATTACCTTGATGAAGATATGATTGTTTATCCAGAAACTTTTAATTTTCCCTTGGGAAATTCCGAAGGATTCTAGGAGTGCCCTTGCCTCGACCTGACTTTCGTGTGCATGTGCTGTCAGTGCGTTGAAAAGCATTGTATTTCGAACACCTCGATTCGCGATATTGGCCGTGGTCAAACGTACGGCGGCCAAGACCTTCTGGATTCCGCTGAATTCGATAAAAATATTTTGGCTCGTTTCTGGATTGTCAGACAAAGCTCGAGAAAGATTCGGCCCTATTTTCGAAGACAATTTTGACGGTGCGGGGGACCCGACAACTGCCAGGACAAGCAGGGCCAAAGTCAGCAGCACAGTTTCTAATGCCTTCATTTTTCTCAGAATAATAGCGTGTAGAAATAAACAAGAAGCAGGTCAGGGGTCGTCCGTTGTCCAATCTCAACTGAAACTGGAATGGCCATCCAGGGCGACAAGATGATGATATAATTCAATAATATCAATAGCATGTAATGCAGATAGCATAATGTTACAATGATAAGTTATCTCAAAATAATTGTCATAATTTAATTAATAACAAATTTAATCTTGTTGCAGTTGGCAAAAATTATTGAATCATTATATGTACATATATTTTAATGAATCAATAATTATCAGTGTCCAATTACTCTCTCATTTTAAAGTAAGTTTATATGATTTATTAAAAATCGTAAGTTTTGTTATAAATTATAAATTAAAACAAAAGTAAGTATACACAACACTTGAATGAAATGATTATGAAAATACCTGCTGCTTCGGAGCAACAGGAATTTGAAATTAATAAGATTGGATTCGAGTGCTAATATGCATTATTGCCCAACTGTGCAAGATATTTTGATCCAATCAAATATGCTAAGCAAATTATGGTCTCAATTTAAAATCTCATTCGCTTGACAAAGAATCTGATCAATCACTCTGAACATGATTCATTACTGTGACAGATTTGATTGTCGGTCAACATTACATACAAAGTATTCAACCACACGCGTATGCATGCATGTGTAGACACCAATGCACAACAATTGGAGACACAACAAACAACTTACCATTGCACATGCAACGGCACGTACGTATATTTGCTTTGATTGTATTTAGAGGCAATGACTTAATTGTACCCCACCCGCACCCACAATGCTCATCATTAGTCGTCGGACTTGCAACTTGTGTCTGAGACTGTGAGGAATAAATAAAGTAGAGCAATTAATGAAATGCAGATCACATATTCTTTGATGGGCTTGGTCACTTGGTTTATTATGCACACGCATTCCTGATAATAAATTAGGCAAGATACAAATCTTTAAGACCAACAACTCCACTAATTAATATCCTTTCATTTATGTCACCCACCACCAGACACTTATGCACATGTACTTATGCACATGTCAACATATGTACGACATAAATAGATGGATTAGATAAAGTTATGCAATACGGGAACTAAAGCTAAATTTGTATCATCATTTTACATATTTCAATGTGTAATATGCATTGGGTTAAACAGATTCTTAAGGTAAAAAAGTTATAAATGTATTACTTTTCACTGCGAGGGTCTCAGTGTTTTATTCATGTCCACATCGTCAGCATACATAAAGCATTATCGACCTTTGGATTAAACATGGCAAGTTTTTTTTTGTTATACATAATTATTTTTTACCCCTTAAGCCTTAAACTAAAATCCTTTTAAATACATAGAAGCTGAAATTATTGCTCTGCTTGTGGAGTACCATTGTTACTTTCCTACAAGTTGGTGGCGTGGATCCATCAAATTCATCCCAACAACCCATTTTATCAACAAAAACAAAACCAAATATTACAAAAAAATTAACGGGCGATCCCAAAATTTTTTCTATACGTCGAGCTAAAGTAGAAACACTTAGTAATGCAAAAGAGGCGATCAAAGAAGAAGGAATACTTCGATCACGGGAAGCCAATTATGGGGACAAAAAACCCACACTCGTTAAAATCACAACATACACTGCTGAATCTGAAGAACCTGAACGGCATAATGTGGATGGGCTTAAGAAACCTATTCGGTTTTCAAAACTGATTTCTAGTAAATCCACAATTGCGGATAAGAAACCAGTAAGAGTTACAATTTCCCTTTTTGAGGAAAATAATAAGAATAGGGCACCTTCGGCGTCTCTCAGACTTCAAGAATTTGTTCCACACCACGTGGATCTGAATGTGGAGAATCAAGTTGACGTCACTCATAGCACGATGCAGTTTGAACCCATGCGTATGGTTGAAATTCAGGAGAAAGTTTTGCATGGACCGGAAGTGCTCCCTCCAACACCGACTGTACAATACTTTCCGACCAATCCAATTCTAAATTATCAGTATTTCACCCAAGCACAGCCACAATTTCAGAGTTATTATCAGCAGCAACATCATGCTTCTCTCGTCTTGAACCCCCAGAATATTGACGTTCGACCATCTGTAGCCAAAAGTGACGAAAGCGTAGACGTTGTTACACCATCGAGTCTGAAACCTCCGTCGCCACTTTCACTCCCCCAATACAACTTTGCGTATCGAGTTCATGACTCGATATCTGGGACAAATCATGGTCATACAGAATTCAGAAATGGGAATGTGGTGCATGGCAGATACGCTTTAATGGACCCGGATGGATTGCTGAGAACAGTTTCATACACGAGTGATCCAGGTAATACAAATACACGTATTCAAATACGCATGCAAGTGTGGCTTATTTATTTACATATTTATTGTATAAAACGTATAACCTTATAAAGTTATTACATCGACATAATTTCAGTTTATGGGTTTAACGCGGTGGTGGACAGACAATTTCCAAGCCATACAGCAGACACAAATACCCAACTAAACAATGGAGGTATTTCGTATGGATATCACCACCACGGCCATGGGAATCCTGGATTTTTCGCATACGCATTATGATGATGCATATTTAGTCGAATCCGCAATCAATTCTGGGAGCTGTTCCTGATTCACGAGGCGCGGATTGAAAGAAATCAATTTTCAAATTATGTTCAAAAACTTTGTTAGGTGCCGAATGGTGATCTCGAAACGCTATTCGGATCAAGTAGATGTTTTCTCAACATCGGAATTTTCTTCTACTCCCCAAGCCAAGTGTTTATTTTGTTATTAATATGTTGTTTTACTATATCAGTAGGTGTATCTTATAATAAAATACGTCTACCGTGTGTACAATGTAGGGAATAATTCTCAATAGTAAACTAATGTATGAATGATGCTACTTTCCTATACAAAAATCTCTGAAAATTATATCAAGAATTTGTTCAGTTCCTACATGCCCGGTGATTCTACCCACAGCGTTGATGCTTTGTTTTAAATATTGTGTCCTAAGCGCAAGGTCGGATTCTTTAAACTCCAAAAATTCTATAAGATTTTGGAGGCAGTGATTCAACTCAACTCTATACCTTTCCTGAGTCACGTGAGGTGGATCTGTATTTGGGTCACCACATCTGAAAATAATAGGAAATTGTAGTGCAAATAATTATATTATGTAAACTTGTCAATGTCTCATTTCTACATTTCCATAATCCTTTTCCGAATGAGTTGGTGCATTTGGTCAACTCCATTATCTGTTTTGCATGAAATTTGGCAGTCGGCATTCGCAAAGGGTTGGTTATTTATTTTCTCCGAGGATTGAATGAGGTCAATCTTGTTGACAATGAGAATTGTCTTTGGTACCAACAGTTCCAAGCGTACATTTTTGGGATCTTCACTGGTGAAACTGGGTGAGAGTAAATCGTGTAATAATTGTTCTTTGAGGGAACAACTTTGAAGATTCAATTGCAGTTGAGAATTGGATGTGTCGGTTAAGAGGAGGATTAGATCCGCCGTTTCAATTTCCTTTAATGAGCGTTTCATCTAAGATGCACATACATAAGTTAATTGGTACAATAACGGGATAATATAATGTGTATTACCCCTTCGTTCTCAATGGAATCGGTTGTAGAATGACGAATCCCGGCTGTGTCAGCAAATATTACAGGAAAACCGTGAATATTCATGCAAGTCTCTATTACATCTCGAGTAGTTCCAGGAATATTGGAGACAATTGCAGCATCACGCCCACCTTTTAATGTAAAATACTTTGTACACTTTGAAGTTTGATGCCTCAAAGGATAAGAGTAATTTTTAATCGTCTTGTGTATGACGCGATACATAAATCCAATCTCACTCACATAATTTGTTGAGCAATGTGCTCTTTCCAACGTTAGGTCGACCTGGAATTCAAAACCATGGGTCATCCAATCAATTTTATAAAGTCTAGTTTATACTTGGTAATTAACAAAAGGCATGTATTTGTCCTTTTAGCGAAAGTAAAATAAGTCGCTAACCTATAATAGCTACACGCGCTCCATCACGCAAGCGCTGTCCCTTTTTTTGATCTTGAAGATGATTAGAAATTTCTTGGACTAGTAACGTCACTTCCTTAGCTACATTTTGGAGCACGTCCGACTCAATGTTTTCATCTTCTCCAAAATCAATGAAAGCTTCCGAATTTGCGAGACACTAAAATATTAATCAGCAATTTACTCATAATATGCAGTAGAAACTGATGCATGGCGTAAAAATCACAAATCTTTAAAAAGAACACGTACGTACCTTGGCTAGTCGATCTCTCCAATTGTGATACATTCGACTCAGTCCTCCACCCATCTGCTTTAATGCTTGGACTCGTTGGAATTCTGTTTCGGCCGCTATGAGATCCGCTAATCCGTCCACTTCCGTTAAATCTAACTTGCCGTTGAGGAATGCGCGTTTAGTGAACTCTCCAGCTTCGGCTGGATGACAACCAGCAATAGATCCGATAGCCTTCAGTACTCCGGTAATTACTAATTAAGGGTCAAAACTTTATCCAATGAAAATTTAATTTCTAACCACTGGGTAAACTTGACTTTGTGTATTACCTGAGACAGACCCGTGAATGTGGAATTCGCAACAATCTTCCCCTGTGTAACTGTGGGGCCCTGCAAAAATTACAAATTTAGAAAAATACATTGTGCACATGCAGCAGGTTTTCATATTAATAATACCCGGAAACCACAACAAGATTCCATGATCCAAAAGTGATCCAGTATTTGGATCGTATAGTTTTCTCAAGGTGGCAAATCTTGGTTTTGGGAACTTGTGTGTGTCACGACCTGAATAGCGCCCAAGGTTCTTAACAACTAGAGATGAGTTTGGTCCAGAAACCCGAATGACGCTTAAAGCACTGCGAACACCTCCTGTGCAAATACATATTCATTATCATCATCTTTCGTCGTAGAAGCATGATATATTCAAGAATTTGTTTCTAATATGTATGCAACCTGTCGCCACGGCATAAATAGTCGCATTACATTCTTCATGAAAGCCAGCAGAAGTGGGCATGTGCTTGCAATACAGTCGGCGACACAAGTTGATTAGGGGTCTCATGACTACTTAGTTCGTTTTATCAACTTTCATATTAGTTAATGATTTAGTTGCTATGAGGGTACCTGTAAGGAAAATACAAATTCATGAGTCATAATAATTCGCTAATAGACACACACTGTAAAACTGCAATAACTTTTGTACATCTTTATATTTTTGCATGAAATTCAATACAACAACATAAAAGAAGCCATATTTATCCAAGACATATTTTAAGACGACATAGAAATCATTTATTTCAAGTTTTGATCATTCTATCCTACACAATTTTATTCTATCGTACTGGTCAGTCGTCATAGGGGAACAGGCACGGGGGAGGGTAGCACACAAGCAACCTACTGTATTAAACTAAAGAATGGTACTACTTGGAAAGGGTAAATCCTCCAGATGGACAGCAATTATGAACCAAATAGCATATATTGCAGTGGAATAAAATGCTAAATATTTGTGACATACAGGGAAAGTATCACAGCAAGACAAGGGACCCATTGCAGGACGAAATGTGTCAGTGACGCAAACCAAACGCATCCTGCGAAAGGAAGAAACAGAGACAGAGTCGTCCGAAAGTGAGACGAGTAACGAGGAAACGTCGTCCTCCTTCTCTTCCACTGGGGACAACGACGAGGAGGACGAGGGCGACTCTACTTCCGAGGAGGACACCACAGATTCTTCCTCCGAAAGCAGCACCTCGTCAAATTCAGACTCTGACGAAGATGGTACGTTTTCATGTATCGCAGTTGATATAATAATAAACCTTAGTATTTAGTAGTTCCTTGTTAGTGCTAAAATAGGTTATTTAATTACTATCAAGGAACGGATGACGATGAGTCTTCACGGGCAGAACTGGCAGCTCCACAACCAACAACCACCAAGGGAAAATCGCCCCAAATAACAACCACTATCTCTGGAAAATCAACTGGCAGAGTGTCCGGTGATCATCAAGCTTCCAATAAGAAGATATTCATTCGGGATAAGAATAACAATAAATTAGGAAAAAGCGTTGGCGGTGGAGATCAGGGGAATGATAAAGATGAGAAACCTCACGGTCATGGGAAAAAGAGGAGAAAAAAGAGACCTCTTACTATTTGTTTAACACACTGTCGGTACGCATTTGAAATTATTGAATTGAAATTGCATGAAATGGTACATAAGCGTTGCAAAGTTCCACACTTTATTAGGTATGAGTTGGTCAAGTCCATGAGCAAACGGTACGAGTTGGTGGAAGTTCCAGAAGACACTGCTTGGAACGTGTATTGGACTGGTAATGGACAAGTGGCTATCTATTTTCCATAATACATTATGTCTCATTCCTTGTTGTTCATTTGGCTGGTACGCACAGACTACAGCGTGTCCCTTGAACGTGCGGTAGAAATGAGGAGATTTCAAATCGTCAACCATTTTCCTGGAATGAATGAAATTTGTCGTAAAGACCTCCTCGCTCGAAATCTAAACAGAATGAAACGAGTGTTTCCAGAAGGTATTTGCTTGTCATACGTTTAACCAACCATGATAATCTGTGGCACCTAACCTCAATCCAAATCCAATTATTTGTATGTCACATAGAGTACAACATTTATCCCATGACTTGGTGCCTCCCTGCCGAGTAAGAAGTCCTCCGTCAAAATATTTGCATGTAATAATAATAATGGAATACAATTTTTAGTAATAATGAGCTCCAAGCATACTCATCATCGCGGCGTGGAAAGACGTACATTTGCAAGCCCGACATGGGATGTCAAGGTCGAGGTATATTTCTCGTCAAGAATATCAAAGATGTGAATCCCTTGGGCAGAATCGTTTGTCAAATTTATATTCAAAAGGTTCATCACAACCAATGATTCACGTCATAATTTACATTTTAAAAATTATTATATTTAATTCTGTGCAGCCATTTTTAATTGATCATCTCAAGTTTGATTTGCGAATCTACGTTCTCATTACATCATGCGATCCTTTACGAATTTGGGTATTTGAAGAGGGTAAGCAAGCAAAGTATGTCTACATGGAATTTTTGCACAGCAAGATGGTTAAATTGAATGCAATAATTTCATAGGCCTAGCCCGTTTTGCCACTGCGAAATATCGACTCCCAACTCACAACAACACAGAAAACTCTTATATGCACCTCACCAACTATGCTGTCAACAAGTTTAGCAGAGATTTTGTCGTTGATGAGGACACGGGGACAAAAAGAAAATTAACCAACGTAATGAATTGGCTGGCTCAACGTGGCTATGATGTGGAAACTCTGGAGAAGGAAATCAACGACGTTATAATAAAAACTATATTGTCTGCACAACCCACTCTCAAACATCACTACCGAACTTGCTTCCCCCATCATGACATTTGCAGTGCTTGTTTTGAAATCCTCGGCTTTGATGTTCTGATTGACCATAAACTGAAGCCTTTCGTTATTGAGGTGAACAATACCGAAACAAATCAATTGCAAATATGTACCATTAACTAATTTACTATGTACACATCTTTGTAGGTAAACCACTCGCCCAGCTTCCACACGGATACAGCTCTGGATAGGGAAATAAAAGAGTCGTTGCTCAAGGACACATTCGCTATGCTCAACTTTAAAGTTCTTGACCGTGGGATGATTGAACGGGAAGACAGACGCCGAGTACAACAGAGAATAACCAACATGTTAAGCGAAGCAAAGTGCATATATAATATATATTTTTTGAAAATATTTCTACTATGGTTGGATTATTTAACTAGGTATCTTTTCTCATAGTGCCGGTACAAAGAAGGAAGTTGTCAAGAAAGAGGTGACCAAGAAGGGTGGTAACAATAGCAGCACCACTACCGCGACGCCAACTTCTACCCGATTTCCTCATCCAGGACGAGGAGGAAAGAAGGACGAATCCTCCGAACAAACTGCGAAGGACAAGAAGGAACGGAGAAAGGAGGACTACGATGAACTTGCATTTCAATGGGAATTGGATAACTGTGGCCGCTACAGGCTTGTCTATCCTACGGACGACTCAGCTAAATATGATAAATTTTTGGCCCAGAATCAAGTCTCACTGTATCAAGACACTGCAGGTACACATTTGGGATGATATAAGTTATTTAAGCTAAATATTTTATACAATTTAATCCTTAAATGCGATGTAATTCCCTCCCTTATCTTCTCCTATCGATGTTTTCAAAATACTTATGATCAAATTCCAGCCTCACAAGCCAGAGCTTCTTTAACCAAACAGAAAATTGAGGAATATAACGTATGTATGCCTTAATACTTAATAATAATTCATTATTGTGGATATACATAGTGTAAAAGGCCCACTTGTTCGTTCTCTTTAGGTGAAAAAACAGATAGAAGAACAAAAACGAGTCGGAAGTATTGGAAGCAACGTCACAACAATAACGTCGTCCTCGGCTGGCATAATTGTTAACCAGGTCAAAGAGAGTCATTCCAAGGAGAAAGTTCGACCAGAGTCGTCAGGGAAAAGTGGTGGATACGAGCCTATGAAAAAGTCGAACAGCAACACTAAACCAGTATGTCTAAAATTATTCTGGTATTTAATGTCATTTATATTATTTAAAAAATTGCTGCGTGTGAAATCATTAAGCAAATGCGTTTACTATCTATGAGCTGAGTAACGATATTGCGCAACTATTATAAATTATTGTGAAATTAATTAATTTAGGTGCACAGCTCATTTTTGCCTACAAACCCCTCCAACGGGTCGTCCCATCGTGGGTTTACCCTGTCTCACATTGTCTCCAAGGATGAGTGTGACCGTGTGCGGGGACTAATTCAGCGTGGATTACTCATCCGTAGTTTGGGGATTGAATTACAAGTTAGAAGTTACTTATTTTATTTCGATTTCATCACACTCTATAATGAAATCTGTTCTTGCAACTGAGCAGGCATATCAATTACTATGCAAAGTGGGCGGCCTTAAGAAGATGGAGCATGATGAATTCCGTAGAAAGCATGGATTTGTCCTACCCAACACTGGGGGTCTCGTCACCGGGTTTAATAACTCATCCAGTCGACCTCATTCTAATTCCACAATTCCTCCAAAATTTTACATGAAACTTAACCAATTTTCTGTGGATACCTCAGGATCTTCAAATCTGAATGACAACAGTCATTCGAATAACTTTACTGCAAGAACTCAAGGAAATACTCAAGCCATGGCTCACAATTTTGGAAATTTTATTAGACGGGAGAGAGCTACGACAAGCCATTCATATAGACTTTGATAGATACTCTAGTATGACGTGACAATTGACGGATAACAAAGATGAATTTGTCCAAATTCTAAATTATTATGTTAAAAGTGTATCTGAGGTCACATTGTGCACTGATACTTAAATCCGATATTTAAACTGGGTGCATTCAGTGGTGAAATATAAATTGCAATAATGATCTTGACATTGGCTGATAATACATTTTTTTAAATAACATAATGAATTTTTAGATGACGATTAATATTATACGAAGTAAAATTTTTTGGTTTATTACATACAACAGAAATAATAAATAATTAGATTTAACATTCAGGTTAGTCTGTCTGTACATACTTTAATTAAATGAATATCTTAGTTAGATGATCCGATCTGAGGTTAGTTTTTCCGTAATTAGAATACTACACTAGTGAAATACGCTTTCCCATAGTTCTGTATGCAAATTCACTATACACATGTTTCAAATGTACACTTATATACCAGATTTTACAGGCTGCATACAACAGCAGACTTTTAAATATATCCAAATAAAAAATGATGAACTTTAAAATCCTATTTAGTGTTAGTATAAATATCTTGCAACGTATGTAAAATAAGATCCTCACCACTAAGTAAGAACGCCGGATATCCCACTTGTTTGGTTAAAGATGGCTCAAAAACAAGGTTGAATTAAAATGATGATTGAAAGTAACAATGTTAAGGAAGACACAAAAGTACTAAAATCTTCGATCTAACATAAAGTCTTAAGTATCTAATTGCAGTTTTGTTTTGGTTAATTTAGATTTGAAAATGAGACACTTCGGTTGTTTTGCAACCATAAAATTGAAATATAGTTGAAACTTGTCGTTGTGAGCTTAAAATTGTCGCAGTATTTAGTCGCTTGAGGAGATAATTTCGAAATAAATTCGATAAACTTTCAATCTTCATATTGCGTGTACTTCTGGCTAGTAACGGAAGTACTATGGCTTGAATTTGACGAGGGGAATGTTCTTGTTTGATAGGCCTGCGTATATAAAGATCAGTGAGCAAGATTCTTAGCGACAAAACTTTGTATAAGTAATTTACGATAGAGTATGATAACGTACAGGTATCACAAACCCATTCGGCGTAAACCTCGTGGTTTAGATAATAAAATGCTGCTTCGGTGAGACCCGTACAAACTCTATAAATCAAAATTATCAATGTAAATTGACTTTCATGAAATCTGTCAAGTACAAACTTTGTATGAAACGAACCTATGATACCAAAAGTGGCATCCACTTTCACACGGTATTGCTTGATCATTGTCATGGACTTCTCGATGACATAATCCGCACGGCTAAAATGCAATTTAAAACATAATTAATTTCCAGGTTAGAAAAATAAAACGCCTCATCCCTTACATAGATCGGAGGAGCATTCGGATTCTGCGGATTAAAAATCATGGGTTGGTCTGGAGGGTACATCTGAATAAGAATATGCATTATTGAAAAATACGTTAGAAAAATTAATCATAGTCAAATTCATTTAGATTTTTAATGGTCTGCTATAATTCGTAGAAAGCAAATTGTCCCATATATATCACACAGAACAAAACAAACGAGTCCTTACTAAATCAAACATCCTTACTTTTCCACTCTGAATGGGTGGTTTCGAGGGCCCATTCCAATTTGGAGGCATTTGTCCCCCTGGTCCCATATTTGGTGGCCCCCCTTGACCAGGTGGACAGCTCATTCTCATCATTCCTTGAGGTCCTCCCATTCCCGGTGGTCCTGATCCCATTCCACCCGGTCCAGGTCCCATTCCACCACCACCCTGAGGACCTCCTTGAGGACCGTGTTGCATTGGTGGGCCACCAGGATGAAATCCTCCTGGAGGAGGACCTCGAGGTCCCATTCCCATTGGCGGTCCCCCCGAAGGATGTGATTGTGATGGCATGTCATCAAATGGGTTTGAGGCGATGATGGTGTCCCCATATCCCAAGGGCGCTGGTGGAATCATTTCTGGCATTGGAGAAGACTGCATGGCAGGGTTACATGGCAAGGTCGAGGGTGCGGTTGACGTTCGGCGCTTTTTCTTGGCGGTGGGACTATCAGGTGCTGGGGACTTGAAGTCGCCATTCCCACCTCTTGATTTCATCTTCATTTGGATATCTAGGAAGAAAAGAAGGGCATTAATCAACAACTTTTAGTTTCATTTTTTTCAGGCTTTGAACATAAATTTTGGCTTTGAATAGCTCGTTTTCATCTTACCTTTTTTCGGTGCAATTGCAACCACTTATTGTACCAAATCCTAACCAAAAATGTGTACAACTAACAACTGTTAGTTCAACCCAATCTTCTACTATTGAATAGTAATAAATAATGGGAGAAGGTTCTAATTCTCAAATTGAAAATTGAATCAAAAATACATAATATTGAATAGGAACTGCTGCAATAAAGGTTTGTTTATTTTGCTGTTGCCTATGTTAGCCCGAAGCGAAGAGAAGGCTTGAGTGTACCCACTTCTGATTTGTCTCGAAATCTCAATCTGCCCACATACCAAACCGAAACACCAATGTTTATGTAAATTACGACGTTGGAAAATAGTCTCAGTCTCAAGTTGAGACTCTCAACCACAAGAGAATCACATTATCATCTAATCTAGACCATCACATCACCCGAAAAGTACCAACGAACGTCCATTATAAGTATCAAATTCCAGGCCCATTAATTTATTTCTCAAAGTCTGCACGTACACTATAATCTTCAAAATTATGGAGTGGTTTGTTATTAGGTTACACTTAAGAAACATGAATTCGATGCTTCGAATGTCTTTCGTCGAAGCGATGAAAGGCATTGCATCGATTCGATGCGAAATCGAGTTATGCATGTATGCATGTACGTACGTAAATAATATTCATGGATGTGCGTACACCACTAATTATTACTACTTTCTACTTACCACACAACTACTCTGGACCAGCCTGATAAAATCTCATCGTAGTGCTGAATGCAAAGCTGTAGTGCATTGGTTCATTTTGCATTTGAAGAAGACCAAACAAGTGTGATTATTAGTTAACATTATTTATTATTGCGTTATGGCGAAATATGTAAAATCTGAGGCACAAATTATTTTATGTTTACAGAACGATTAACTAAACTCAGCTTTGGATTACTCATCGACATCATCTGCTTTTGTTTCAAGATTTTATCAGATAAGCTTTTTGTTAATGCAAAATGTTTGACTATGTATTCATATCCATGCTGAATTCGTTTACTCTTTATTACCCATAACATGGCCATCAGTAATAATTCTTGTCACCCAGAGTCTCCCTTTCGTGGGAATGCAAATGTTTTCATGATAATTGTTATTAAGCATCAAAGCCACAACAACAGTGCACTCAAATGGTGCTCGTAAAAAAGATAAGTCATTTTATAGTGTGGTAGTTGGTTCGTTCGTTGGTATATGGACCCCGTCTCAAATTCGTCTTAATATTTCCCCTGATCTCATTGATTCATGATAAATAATCACAATGCAGGTGTCGAGTTATATAGAAATTTGAGAAGTACTAAGAAGTGGGCAAAAGAATGCTAGTCATAACTAAACTGAGCTGGATTTCGACGCAGAAGAGTTTCTAAAGTTGAAAACTGTTAATATATAAACTAGTGAATTATTTTATATATAGCCAAGAGTTAATGAATAAATGCCAACAGACAGACTTTTACCCTGAGTCGAAATGAGCATTATTCTATTCCCCTCCCACTTCGACGACGGTTGTAACGCCGTCTCCTATTTTAGCTGACAAGACTTGATTAGTTTACTTGGAAAAAGCCACAATAAGAAGCATGACGAACTTACACAAATTATCGCGAAAACGGCAACTGTCATCGCTGCTATCATGGAATTTAGTTGTGCTGGTAGTGTCTCCAGTTTCCATAATCTGGGGAGCAAACGCTGCTGCATTCACCAAGAGGGGAGATGATGGACGGGCATTTGGAATTCAGGACACAAGGGGTCAGGAAACATCTTATTCTAATGATGACAAGGGTCAAGTGCATTCCGAGAAGACTGGGATGGTCTTGGAAGTGGAAAAAATCATGGTGCATTTGTCTGAGACAACGATTTCAAAAATTTCGAAAACGGGGACATCGAATGACATGGCCACCGCTAGCATTCATGGTTTCAGAGTTGAGGATTCTTCGAAACCTGTGACGTACGACAATGGTGCATCAGTGATACTGGCAGACAAACCTGCGCTTATCCGTTTTTTTGGAGCCGGTTTTACTAAAAACACAATAATTAGATTTGTAACAGAGATGCGCCCCAAGGGTTCTGACTGTGGTAATACACGCTGCATATTTGGATAATTATCTAATTTTACACTTTTCTTTCCCTTATGCGTTATTTACTATTCAAATAAATAACAAGTTTTATTTGCCAACTATTTTCAGACGATCTTCCATCTACAAAAAGTTTTGGTGTAAGACGTTTTTTTCTTGTGACACTTGAAATAATAGTCATAATTTTTCTAATGGTTTGTTATAATTTCTTTTACAGCTAACAGAATCCAGTGAAAACTCTGCCTATGCCTACATTCAATTGCCACCATTTGATGTGGGAGAATCAGAATATTATGTCTGCACGAAAGAACAGGATTACGGTAAAAATTCCATGTGGCATTTATAAAGTACTTATTTAGCTGTAGAATACAAATCTATGTCGATTTGTATGCATATTCAGATATGCCGTGGGTCCATCAAGGCAACGACAAGTGGATCACTTTCATGTCATATGAAAAGTGGCTGCCCCTTTGGGCACACATTTGTCTCCTCGTGATTCTTCTTGCTCTATCGGGAATCTTTTCTGGACTAAATTTAGGTATATAAAATTGAATTCTTTGTTTGAATACATATGCATTGCAAATTACTTTAATATTTTGGTGATGGCTGTGACGTGTTATTTATTAGTGCGTAATTTTATTTTTGACTATTTATGTAAAGGTCTCATGGCATTGGATAGGACTGATCTCAAAATCATTCAAAATACGGGTATGAAAGTACATATGCATGTAAATGCTTATGCATACTAAAGTCCAAAGGATGCGTTCGAAAAATGGATAGCATTTATATCCTGCTTGCTACTTTAGGAACTGAAAAGGAGAAACGTTACGCCAAGAAAATCCAACCACTTCGAAAAATGGGAAACTACTTATTATGCTCACTTCTGCTTGGAAATGTTATAGTAAACAATTCTCTTACCATTTTATTAGACGACTTAACCTCTGGATTAATCGGTTAGCACTTAATGCGTTATTGAATCCAAATATTGAAGTTGATTTCAGTATTATCCATCACATCTAATTAATATTTAGCTGTTATTGGTGCAACTCTGGCTATCGTTATATTTGGGGAGATTATACCTCAGGTGACATTCCCGAAAATGTTTCAAGCTTAAGTTTGGGCATTACTTTCTTATTTCATAACCTTAAAATTATTCAGGCAATTTGTGCCCGCTTTGGATTAGCTGTGGGGGCATACACGATTTGGCTGACAAAAATTACCATGGTCATCACCTCACCCTTATCTTATCCAGTGAGCTTCATACTCAACAAAATTTTGGGAAAAGAGATTGGAAACGTCTACAATCGGGAGAGATTGAGAGAGTTGATTCGGGTGAAAGCTCTATAAATATATTTTTATCTATAATCATTGCATTACGTAACAACATTTGCCAGGTTTACAATTGTGAAGACAGTATTATTTTAAATTGTGCATACATATTTATGTACATAAATGCATGACATAGGTCACAGAGCACTACAACGACTTGAAATCGGACGAAGTAAATGTGATTGAAGGCGTCTTAAAGTTGCACAAATGCAGTTGCGCTGATGCAATGACAAAGCTCGAAAAGGTTTTCATGCTTCCCCTGAACGCAATTTTGGATTTCGAAACGATTGATGAGATCATTAAGAGTGGTTAGTATATTGTTAATGACGGATGGCATCATTAAGTATTTATTTACGACCGGATTCGCCGTAATTACGGTGTGTCACTTTTAAAGGGTTCTCTCGAATTCCTGTCTACGACGGTGAAAGGAACAATGTGGTCTCCATTTTGTACACTAAGGATTTAGTTTTTGTTGATTCGGATGACAGAATGCCCATAAAATCTTTGTGCGAATTTTATCAATATCAATGTAACTTTGTGGATGAAAAGAAACCTCTTGATGCACAATTCAAGGAATTTAAAGAAGGTTTAAATTTAAGCTTATCTGTCTTTCCTAATTGCATTATTAAAGTTGGGCCTAAATATATTCTCATTTTCACAACAGGGGACAAGGGTCACATGGCTTTTGTTAGAAAAATGCATGAAGGTGAGGACTCGGACCCATTCTATGAAATTATTGGAGTTATCACTCTCGAGGACGTGATTGAAGAGCTGATTCAAGCAGAAATTAATGATGAGACGGATATTAAAAGTGGTGAGATTTTCCTTCTTCGTTCATTATCTTGCATAATGTTTGCATAAGGAATACTTCAACATCGCAATACATAAATAATTGCATAATTAATTTTAACTCAATTCATAAATATGTGATTTGTGTAATTCCCCCTTAAGCAATACACCGAAATCGACATAGATCTCGAACACTGAACGAGACATCAACATTTGTGGGAGGAAAAGGCGATGCTCATCAAACAATTGTTTCTCCTCAGCTAACGTTGGCGACCTTCCAGTTTTTGAGCACCTGTACGTGACTCATTCCATGAGAATTACTTGGTTGACAAATCACTGCTCAGCTCACAAGTATTTGTAATAAATTTCCTGATTTACAGCAATTTCATCTTTTCACGAGCAGTTGATTTCAACAAATATCCTTCGACGACTTTTATCTTGTGATGTCTTTTTCAAAATAAAACTGAAATGTCGGGATGGGACGCTTTCGAATGAGTCAGTTTTCATTTATGAGAAGGTGAAATTTTTATTTACAGATAAATTCAAATTCTACATACATATTTACTAATATTGGGGAAATACTAAATTAATCTTGTATAAATGTATAAAATATTATAATGCAGGGGGTGCCGGCGGACTACTTTGTCCTTATTTTGGAAGGTAGAGTTCAAGCGTCCTTTGGCCAGGAAAACTTGGTGTTCGAAGGTGGACCATTTACGTACTTTGGGACACAGAGCCTAAACCCAACTCATGGTAAGAAAATTTGTAAGTCCTTTTCCGCCTAAGCGAAACTCTATTAATTTATTGTTAGTAGAAATGCCAAGCGCCCCACCAACGGGTGGACGAACAATGACATTAAGTACGGTTGCTATTTTGCATGCTATCCCAGTCCCAGACTATACAGTTCAGGCTACGAGTGACGTAACTTATCTCAAAATATCTCAAGCCATGTACTTGGCTGCGACACAGGCGACACAGGCATTTGTAGGCTCTGAGGACTGCTCAAAACCCACGGAGGACGTGGTGCATAAATTTGAGTAATACAAAAATTATTAAAAAATTTAAATCTCCTAAACTTTAATTAGTCATAGTCAGAACTCGCTTTTTAATTGTATTTATTCTATTCCAGCGAACAAATCGGATTGGTATAATACGATTATTTTCTTAGATTTTAATGCGTCTTTACGTATATAATTGAGGTAATGTGATGTGCGTTCTGGCTGTAAATTATTTGCAGTTGATTCGTGGAAATAAAAGTATCACGGCTAAAGATGAGGAGTTGCCTCCATTATCGGAAGTACAATCAACATGCTTGAAAATTTTAGACTCGAAATTATTTCATAATCTGACCAATATTTTATTATTCAAGGACAACAAGGATGAGACTCCACCACTAATTCAGCAAAATCGTCACAATAATCAAGTAACAAATGCTGCTAATAACTTATCCACTGATGATGGTGACAATTTGCACGGAAACCATAATTCCAGTGGGAAAGAATCTGACACAAGATTGTAGTTGCAGCTTATTAGCTTGTAAGTAATTATATCAAATGACACATTTCTTGTTTTTTAAATAACAAATAATTATTTACATGAATGCTGTACCCAATTTTTAACTAATAATTTTTTTAACTAATATAAAAAGTACGTATCGAAATGAGATTGTTTGAGTATATAATTTTTACTCGTAGTGTATGCTGTATTAAAATAAAGTGTATCGTGCTTTGAAATTCGATCCCTTGTTTGCATTAGTCTGCATCACTTGTTCATAGCCAAACAAATATTTTTTAAAGCAGTATGAGCACTCTTCTATCAGTAAATACCGGATTGAAGAGAATCCCAAAAAGGTTGTGAATGAAGCAGCATTTTCTCTTTTTTGTGTGTGAACGAGAATCAATCATCCGGCAGATGAGATGAGAGGAAAAGTGGATTCGGAGAGAGAAAGTCGGCCAAAAAGTTGTGAATGGGTAGTGTTTTCAATGGTGAATTGTTTTCGGTGTTTTTGGTCTGGGTATCATCATCGTCTCGCAAAAATGTTGGTTGGTTCAGTTGGTATGTACGAAGGACAAATATCGATCAAAATTCTCGTCCATGCGCACCCACCCCCACTCGACATCCGTGTGGATATGTCCATTCATTCCGTCGAATCCGCGTACATAAATATGTAGGACTTTTGCCTACAAATGTGCATGTGTGCTCTCTTTGTCCTTTCACTCTTCACGCTATAAATATGCTCTTTAATAAACGCTCAACCATTTCGCAGTCCTACAAAAACTAACACCAAACCGGATAATGTTTATGATCATGATAAATATTATGGTAACGTACTGGGCAACGGATATACATATTCAGAGACGAACTCTCTGTAATTCCCTCGAACTCTAGGAAGTTGGATTTGAAGAATTTCCCGACTTGGGAGATTCCTCAGCTTATCAGAGTGGACATGGCCAGCCAACGAACCAAAGACTTGTTGAACAGTGTATGTAGTGGAGTCCTTTATTTCTGCTCGTTATTTGTATCGAGAGAAAGTTGTGGGGCAAACGTACGTCAAAAAGTAGTAGTAATATTTAGCTCCCTCAAACACATTGGTCAATTTGCCATGTAATACATACTAACAGTACTTCACCCTATGAATAGATTGGACTTGTAAAAGTTCACTCCCTTCGGAATATAAATGGTGACACGACATAAGGAACAATGAGGAATAATATAATAATCTCAAAATTCTTTCCCATCAACTTCATTTACATGTCCGCGTGGAACGATTAACTGTTTTCAAGATGTAGGTCTAATTCACAGAATTATTGCGCTATCCAAAATTTTAACAACCATGTCGAGTAAGACTTCAGAAAATTTGTAGCGTGATTAGTACAGTGATTTATTGTAAGACCACTTATACTGTGAAATAATTTGGCATGATTGTTGAATTAATGACTTATTTATAAACATAATTCATATTGTGTTTGTGCTTATTTTTGATATTGAGAGTGTGAGAATAGAGATCTGCGTGTGTTTGGGCAGTGTCATGCCTTGTCTGCTGGAGGTGTGGCTCTCGCACGTGTTCCATTCAGAGCAAGTCATCTGTCGACGGGGCAGAAATAGTTTGTCGTCATTTTCCTCACCACTTCCACCCAAAACGAGATTAGAGATTTCCTTATCATGGGGTTACCATCAAGTATTTTTGGCATTGTTGACAACTGCTAAAAAAGTAGAAATCGCCAAAGTCTTCACCACGAACATAACTCTACGAGGAGAAAATTGGAAGAAATGCAAGCATTTAATAATAAGCCCACTTCCGCTCTTTCCCACGGCCCTTTTTAAGGGATACTCTCTCCCCTCGTGAGTCACCCAATGTACTTATCCTCATAGTTTTCATATTACGAATGTGGGTCCATTCTGGCTGTTGCTTATGTGGACGTGTGCGTAGGTGTGTACATGTGGAGGCGAGAAAGCATTGGAGCTGTTAGTGTCGTAGTAGGGGAAGTGGGCGTGTCCAGCACCACCAGCGCCCATCACCCCACTGACGCCAACACCCAGTGGAATCGCCACCACCACCACCATCATCACCATCCCATCCCCCGACGCTTCGACTCCACCGAGTTGGCTGACTCACCGGTACGCCACGAGGCTGTCAAGGTATGTTATGTCTTCTATCCATCCTCGCATATTAAATTACCAACGTTTCGCACCTCGGAAATTTATTTGAGACACAAAATAATTTTTAATTCGTTTTTTAAGTTGGTGCGTGAGCTCAACAGAGCTGTGGCTGGTCATGTAGCGTTGGCATCTCTTTTGGGTGGGAGTGGGGACGGTCCACACCTCCGAGATGAACTACGCCGAGCTCGAAGAACTGCTCAGGAAGCCGCCGCCGCCGCCAAGTCCACATTACTTCCATTCCTCCTGGAGTAAGTTGCACACTTTCCCCCGCATTCGGTCCCCAAAAATAATCTCTAATTTGATACCTTACACGAATTTCATGCACATTTTCCTCGACTTTTAATTTTTCCTATATTACTACTACATACATATTTATAGAGGGTGAGAATAAAGATGTCAAAGCCTTTCAAATGCGATGTATATGTAAGAACGTAAACGTAAGCTCTCACCAGTAAGAGTCTCATTGTTTCGTGGCAAATATAATAGTCTACAAATACAAGGATCCGTAAACCAGAAGTATTTACGTCAAATGGTTGAAAAATGAGGCAATTCAATTCGGAGCAACTCGTAAAATTACTTTATCAACATTACGAAAAAAGGCTTTTCCTAAATCGCAAAAAGTACTCGTAACTTTCAAAATCAATTTATCGGGTAAAGAAAATTTGGGAATTAAAAAATCAATTTGTTGACCTTTCCGAAATTTTTTGAATTAGTGCTTGGTAAGAATTCTTGAAATTAAGGATCATATTTCAGGAAGTATACTGAACTCAGATCATTAAAGTGATGAAAAGCAAAGGCCTGTGCTAACATGAAAAATATCCGAGACCAGTAAACATTCAAATCAAATTAAAATTTCCATCAAAGTACCTGCTTTGTGGGGAAAGTACATGAAGCTCCAAATGGGCATCAAATTCGCCCAATTGAACGGTCTTTCGCAATATTTCAGAAGAAATATTAAAAACAACAAAATTCAGCAAAAGTTTAAATTCATTTTGCCCAATGTTGATGTACAAAACAAAAAAACGAGCCCGATAGAGGCTCGCCGTGTTACGACTTGCTCCACATTTTGTGCTTTCATGTATGAACCATTTGGAGTAGCGACTTCTAGTTTTCGGATTCTTGTAGCCATTGGGCAGGAAGCTGTGTTACTCTTAATGGTGGAGATTTTTCATTTTCACATACATATCTGCATTTGAAAATCTTCATTGGTCACCCTTTACGACGATGAGAGGGAAGCAGAGTTCATATTCCTATAAGTATTTATTAAATATCTACGTTGCACTACTGGAGTGAAAGTCAAGCAGAACTTTGGCAACCAAAGTTTTCGAGTATGTAATAAGTAGTTGAACAAACTCGAGCACTTTCCATTATCCAACTCAATTAATTACAGAGAATGCGAACGATTATGAATGTGAACGATTTTTGACGGGAGAAAGTGATTTGCTCTCAAAAGATGAAAGAGAATGGAACATCGTGTAAGGCAAAGTTAGTAATGAAAGATTGATGAAGAGCAAAATGTCAAGTAGAATTACAACAACGATAATGAGTATGAGGCAGATATGTACCTGCACATTCACATATGTAGTTCCTCATAGTTTGTAAATACAAGGGCGATAATATTTCAGAGATTTTTAGCATGGTGAACTGAACTAAAGCAGACTCCGTAACTTCATCCGCCTATTACACAAAAATTTGCCAAAGTTTAGCCATTAGAAGACCAGTCATTTTTGTAGATTGCCACGAAATTGCGAAATTGAGTGGAAGAGGAAGCTGACTGGTTTGCATTTGTTACATGTAGATATATAAGTATAAGTATGTACATGTACGTAGGAGTACCTCAGTATAGACGCAGTGAAAGGCATTCATACTTACACAAAGTAAGCCGCATATCTACATAAATGGCATTTATACTATGACAATAAGGAGAAGATCTACAATATTATAGTTAACATGACACGAACTGAATAGCGCGGAGCCCTGGAAGAAGTGATGAAGGAGAAAATAGTGGTTGGCGAAGTGAGTTAATTGGATTTGCTAATTAGTGCGACTTATGTATTCCTTCCTGCCTTCCTTTCTTCCTTCCTTTCGTCTCCCTATAATTAACACTCGTTTGCAGTGGAAAGTTTTCGGAACTCTTTAGATACGTAATGGTATGATGTGTAGCAGCATCATGTAAACATAATTATATGCCTAGGGTGCAATCACGGGGTGCATGCTTGGAAGGAAAAACAATGGACGCAGCCCATTTTCACTCTTTTCATATTACATTTTTTAACACTAACAAGAGGTGATTTATGTCAGGTCAGCGGTAGTTATGTATCTTAGTCGTGGTAATTATAAAACTAGTGATAGCCGAAGTAACATTGATGGAAGGGGAGGGGCACGAAATATCGAATTCTGAGTGACGTTTATGCATGTGTCCACAGGAGCGGATTTGAAAAGGAGAGGATGGAATTGGTGGTTGGGATGGAACGCCTTTGGTATTTGGTCCTATGTTGTCTCGACGCCTTAGGTAAGAACAAAATGCTATGAGAAGATCCAACAACACGGATCCTTAATTGCCATCAAAGTACTTTCACCGCAACACGTCATCCTTTAGTAATGCTTCCTTCTCTGATATGCAGACATGTCTATGCAACGTTGCCTAGCTCTCCTACGAGAGTTTTCACTCGCAGATGGGGGGAACAATGTAGTAATCCACACGGGAATAGAATGCCCTAATCACCTGGTCACACGGTCAGCCACCAATACTCAAGAGAAAGCAGAGATGAATGTGGACGTCAAATGTAGGGATAGGATTTCGCTGGAAGGGGTGGAGGCGTCGCAGTTGTGCAAGTAATGAAAATATGCCAAACATTAAAGAACAGCACATCCTCATGCATTCCAAGCCTCTTATTGTTTCTTGTTCTTGTCGTAGAGAATTGTTCGAGTTGCGGGCTCAACTGACCGAGCTGAAGACAACGGTGGAGCTGCGATCCCTCTCAGTTCCCGATTTTGACGACATGAATGATTCCTCAAAGGCTGGACCCAGGCGAACCGACACTCTCATAAGCATCAACGGTACGGATGGGATGGGTGCGAGTGGGGGCATGGGCTCACCATCATGCTCCATCCCATCCGACGACAAGGAATCCTTGGAGTCAGATGCTTCCCAAGTATTTATTGCATTGCCATTTTGTATGCAGTGTGACCATTATTAATCAATGCTTGACTTTCTAATTAAAGGGGACGGGAATAACAAATGCTCAACGCAGATGTGTGTGTTGGATATTAGGGGTGATGGTAATGATTATTAATATTAAGTAACGGTAAAGCGCGAGCGTTCTGTTCGCCCGTAAGCAAGATCACTCTTGAAAGGCAAAACGTGTTAAAGTCCAGAGAGCGTGACCCTGAGGGCGTACTCAAATGCCAATTATTGAATTTCAGCAAACTTACAAAATAAAAATTAAACTTCTTTGAAAACATTTAAATTCTAATTCAATAGTATCTATATGTCAAACGTTCTTTGGACAGCACTACCGCTACTTTTTTGCGTTTGCTTTAAATCATTCAGTTTTAATAATCTATTCTATTTTCTATATCATAGGTGGCCATGTTTTTCCTGGCCATGATTCTAGGTGTGTTCATCGCCTTGTTTTCGGTAAGTTTCTAGTGTCAAATTTGTCATATATTACAATGAAAGTTAGTCCGACACATTTTTTCTTAAAAACCTGACCTGTATGTTTTCTAAATTTTCCTAGTGATTAGAGGCCCCCGTAGGAAAACCCATTTCAGAGTCTAGTCGCATCAAGCCATCAGGATCGAGCAACAGAGTCTTGTCGTCAGGTAGAAACAATTCCAACAACGTATTCTCGTCACCTCCCGCACCCTATTACCCAGTGTACCCCCCACCCGGGGGCAGCAGCAACCCTGCTTCCGACTACCACCGCCCACACCCTGCCGACCTTAATTTCAAAGTCTCCTTCGGACCTTGGATGAAGAAACACCATCACAAGCAGCAGCAGAACAAGGGCAAGCACAACATTAACTCCACCACCACCAATTCAAAGAAACACAATTCTTCAGTTCTTCTCAGTTTTAGTGAGCAGCTCAGAAAAATACCCAAGCCGAATTTTGTCACAACCGATATTAATCAATCCAAGCAAACCTCAAATTTTAAGAATATCTCGTCGCCAAGTATTCGGCCTACAGAAGAAAATGATGGAACAATGAGTAATAATAACCCACATTCCATGAACGTCTTTAATAATGCTCAAAAACTGTTTCCTAGAGGAGAGACTGGTCCCATACACACCAATCCAGAAAACGACGACAAAGACTCTGACGACGACGATGCCAGTGCGAGAAATGAAAGGGATTCCTACGGGGGTGAATTGGACCTCAGCAACAGTAGTCGTACTACTTTATACAAACTAAATAGTGATGATCACGTTCTTACTTCTACTTCTATTCCTCTTGATAGTACTGTTGAGTCTAGGTCTCTTTTTGCAAGTAGTGACAATAGTAATTTCAATGGTATTATTCCTCATGAAGATGGCCGTATGGGAAAAAATAAGGACCATTTCAAGGCAGATAGGCCTCAATTTCGGCATCATCATCATCGTCATATTCACAATAATATTGACAAGTTTATGGTCAAATCAGACAGGAAAAGACGTCATCAGGCGCATAGAACTATTGTAGGATTTTCTCTTTAATAATAAGGTTACAATAATAATTAATAATAAAAAACATTTCACCTTAATCAACCAAAACTTGTAAAAAATGTTGCCAATTTAAAATATCTATTTGGATTTTGGATTGCAACATTTGTGATTTATCTACGGAAGCTACTTAAATATTAGATAATGCGCTAAAACTACATTATTATTATAAACGCCACAGTTGTATTCTGGTCTGATCTAAGCGTACTAAATCTTCACTTTAAAAACTCATCAAATTCAATCTACTCAAATACTAAATTGACATAAATATCTGATGATGGTGGTACATACTTACATATTGCTGATGCCTGGCAGAATAATTGAATAATATTTAATTGGTTAGTCGTTGTTGAAGTTAACTAAATACTTAATATGTGATACATGAAGGGAAATGATGAAAACAGAGGGCTGACAAATGGGTGCATGAGACATGGAAGTAAATAAGATGTGTGCATTCAATTTGTGTAAACTATGTTAGCTCAACGTGTATGTTGAAATATATTATGTTACGTTGTTATAATAAATCAAAATGAGATAACTTTGATTGTGTGTTTCATATTTTATTAAACAAGAATTTTGGCAATTTTGATCAGGTCTTTTTGCTATATTTGAAATTACATTTGAAGGTTTGTTGAAATCCGAGAGAAGCCCATATAGAATTTATGTCTGCAAATCGCTTCATATTTAATTTAACAATAAAATCACTATATAATTTCGTTCTCTATGAAAATAGTTTAAACTTTAATTACTTGATTTAATGTATTGTCACTATTCTAATCATATTCGTTTGGTTAATTAGTTGCAATTTAAATAATGTTGGGAAATCCTACAGCTTGATGTTGTATATTTACCTGTGATCATTGATTGACCATCACTTTTAGTGTCCACGTGTGGGTTATATTTTTCTTCAAAAATGTCTTTTTTTCATAAAATTATTAGAGTGTGGACATTTTTGTGGGATATATTATATCTGATATGGAAAATCTATAAACATTATGTAACCCTACGCAAAAAGGGGAGCAGTCTTAACTTGGCTAAAACTAACAACAATGATACTCGATAGTTGGTTAATTCTTTCTACTTCACAAAAGTTTAAGACAAGTTTAAGGCAAGTTTAGGACACATATTTCTCAACAATTGAGTACAACTTTTCCATTCCATAAACAATGTTAGTCCATATGAAAGACAGTGCGTCTTTGGTCAACTTACGAAGATTTTCTGGAGAGAGAGGTCCACTGTAATTTATAGAATGTAGATAAGAAGGTGTCAAAGAAACCCACCACTTATTAAATCAGTCTTATATATTTTCTCATTATGGACACTTACACAAAAACGTTGGTTTGTAAGAACTCGACGAATTTGGTCGCCGCACTCGTCACAAAGTTTGCAATAATTTTAATGTATTCACTTAACTGCGGAATGTATTCTTGTATCTACGTTAATTTGCAATGAAACACACTTACTATAATCCTCATACTTTTTAATTTAGTTATTTTTTAACTGACCTTCGCCGCTAACCCTTGCAGCATTGGTTGTAATCCTTCGTAGATGCTTCGAAAAAGCACTGTCATATATTCTTGTATGTATCTGAAAAGAAATATTATTTTTTGTTAGTAAAAGTCAAGTAGTGAGTTTCAGTATGTATTTAGAAAGTCACAAAATGAGCTAACTTGAGCATTCCAGTAACAGAATTCCACACCACCACTGCTTCGTGTAGTACTCCATATTTATCCAAAAAATTTCCCGTGTTACTTTCTAAAAAATTTACAATGATACATAGAATTTGATAACGAGTATATGTGACCAATACTTGGAACTTACTTTCAAAGGAACCCTTCCCATTTTCCGTTACGTCCAGCCAGAACAGAACACCAATTAAGATAAAAATAACAAATATTGCCAATTTCCAGGAAAATAATTTTCTCTTGGACAGTGCCACACGCTCAAGGCCAGCTTGTACTTTCTAAAATATAAGAATATGCATGCAATATATTTATTTAACCATATAACTCATGATATCTATATGCATACATATATATCTATTTTACCTTTGCACAACGTAGGAGCTCAGGATTCTTAACTGCAGAAACCGCAAACTCATCGGACTGGATTAGTTTAGTTTCCAAACGACTGCCACATTTCATCGTTTCTGGGACCCTTGCTAAAATATTGAAATAAAATATTTACAATTTATAATAATATGAAATTAATTGTGTTCGTCTCTTTGTATCATCAGTATTGTTTATCTTACATAAATACGACAAAAATGCAGCACTTTCTTTAGGGTATTTTGCGAGATTTTCACGCCAGGTATCAATACATGCCGGGTCATTCTCGATGCAGCCAAGTAGGATTTTGAAAACTTCAGTACCATAAGCAGATAGAGGCATGAAATCTTTGTCGCTCGCTTTTTCAAGAAATTTCAAGAAAATTGAACATCCTTGCCCTTTCAACCCCTTAAAAACAAGTTCCTATATACAGAAAATGGGAAAGATGTTATGATTCAGTTATGATTAATGACGAAAATTACATGGATGCTGGTGACTTGGTTAATAATAACTAAACAGTGAACAAATAAATAATAAACCTACCTTCACACGTGGATATATCTTTTCCAGATCACGTTTCTTTTTGGGGTCAAAGGCAGCCTCAAAAAATTCTTCAAATTCATCCCCCTCGATGAGGTACTCCACAGCCATGGTGGAGCAAGAGCTGAGAGTAGACAGAGCCGCCAAGACAAACTGCTTATAATGCTTAAACCCATAGTACGGAAGGAGATAGTTGGACACTATTTTTAGCAGATATGGGGAATCCACTCCTGCTTGAGCAATAGTCCACAAAATGCTTAATCCTATGTCTTTTCGATTCCCATAACTTTCCATTAGTTCGGCGACACTTTTTCCGCGACGCACAGGAAGAGAAGGGTCAACACGGCACATTTCCCGGAGAAACAGTAAGTAACCCCAACCAGCGTCGCCTGCGTTGAAAGAAATTAATCACTGAGTTTGTGTGTACTAATGTAGATTATTCTACATATGTAAATGCATATACATGTATGTGTACATACATAGTACAATGTATATGTATACAAGCGACAAAGCACGTATTTATTGTGTCACCAAGAACTAACCTCGTTGTGCAAGGGTAGGAATGCTTGCCAACAAGGATGAGAAAGAAATGTCCAAAACATCCTCCCTCTTTTGAACAGTCTCTGAAATAATCGTGCCTATCACTTCTCGCAATGGCTCGGGAAGTCGTGGGTAATTGAGATCGTTAGGCCACTGCGACACGTCTGGAGGGAGTGCCTGATTCAGTTTTGTGTTCAGGGCATCTGAAATTCACAGAAAAAAATACCCAACCACCCATGATTATTATTTCGTTGTATTAATAATAATAATAATATATGTTTTGAGAAGTTATGCCGAAAAATTGACAGCATAAGTAATAAATATGTTGCAAAAGGATTAATAAATTCACACCGGCAGAGTATTTTATCCACGAGAGGTAAACATCTGCCGCGGATCCGGCATTTTGCAGCTCCCGATAGAAAGAAAGTAAGTCCGATGTTGGCAACTAATAATTTAAAATCAATGAATGTAAAATAATTGCAACCATGATAAGTAAATTTTTCTGTTACGTGATCAAGGGTGCCCTGCAAATCTCTACGTTTCTCTTTGGGTTTCCCATCTGTACTTGACTTTTTAGATTTTTGAGTTGCTGGTGGCTTTTTAGCGGCCTGCTGAGAGCCCTTTTTGTCACTACTTGTGGTGTCTGGAACTGAAAATATTACAGTAATATTACGTATGTATAGACTTTTAAAATATCGTCCATGCTTCACCCACAAAGTAGTCTAGCAAGTATTTCAGACTTACCGATGGTCTCCTCCTCATCATAATTGGTAAGTGGGAAGGATGCCGGTGTTTTAGCGGAATGTTTTTTGGGTTTTGGACCTTTACCCCCCTTGGTAGTCGTCGTTAAGCCCACAATGTTGCTCCCGTTTGTCATGGGATATTGATCCTGGCCTACAACCGGAGTGGGTGGCTTGGGCTTTTTTGGCTTCTTGAGTGGTCCCACAGTCTCCCATTTGTCAGACATTCTCTGAAAGCCACCAATTGTAATTAATTTTCTGCGAGACACATTTACAAAATGGCTTTACTAATAAGTAGGTAAGTGAAATTCAAGCTGAGTAGTGTAGTGTTAACATATGTAATAATAAGTTGATGATACATTTACTTTACCTCGTACGAAAAACAAACAAAAATTTCCAAAATTATCAGTTGTATAATAAAACTGTGAGCTGCGTAAATCTGAGGTTTAACAATAAGTAGGTATTTGCATTTGAGATGGTGAATGTGTCAGTTTGTTGTTGGCACTTGTTGGCACCGGGTTTAGAGACGTGTCTGTCTCTCTCTTGCCTTTGAAAATCCACCACCACCACCACAAACTCTATGCCTCGACACCACCCTAACTTTCTCCATGCCATCCTCCTAGAAATACGGGTCAAATGGTGTTGATTTTATGGTAAAATAAAATAAGAAATACAATAATTATTGTTTATATTTATATTTATATTTTATTTTAATTTAATTTTGAAAACTAATTCACACTCGAAAGCTCGGTAAATATGTAAAGCGAAAAACTTGCCTTTGAAATTCCACTAAACCTCTGTGTATTATAATTATTAGATTTTATTCTAGAATGAAAATTAATCTAGTTATCCTCTGCATGGCTATCAATTCATAATGCAGGGCAATGCAAGCTTGACTTTTGTTAATATTGGGGCAGACTTGAGATTTTTCATTTTGCAATTAAATACTTGTGGAAAGCTGAGGCAGTAAGAGACGGAATTCGTCTAACTCAACTGCAGATTTGTTTCGTATTTTTCTTGGTTGTTACTTGGCGGCTATACACACGCAACGGCTGCAAAGGGAAATTATGTAAGGGATTCCTGGAAAAATGTTTCTACATAATAATAATGTTCATAAGTTGACGAGTGTATGCGTATGACTGGCATTTCTGCTTTGGCAACTCTCTGGGCCTTTTCCTATACAGAGTACATTTTCTGAGTACATTTCCGGATTTCATCATCGCCTATTTGCAAAAGGGCAGGGGACTCCACTTACTTTTGCGAAACCCTCAGAACGCTCAACCAGAAGAAAAATGGCAAACGGTGATGAAAACACTTCTTGGAAGGAGTAGATCCATCCAACAACGTGGACAAAGAAACTAAAGATTGATGCTAAAAGCGCACATAGGACTCCTGTCAGTATACTTGGAAAGGAAAAACCATAAAACTTTAGCCATTTTAATCTTATGGTGACTTTTGTGAACGACTGACTTTGAAACGGAGGGAAAATAACCGTATCGTCAGAGTTTTTTGCTCGTTTGCGGGTTGCGTTTTGCAAACTTGGTTCAAACCCTTATTTCCATATATTATTATCCTTGTGTAGATATACACTCAATACATAATATAAAGATCCACATACCTACATACATCTGAATGAGTCGACGACGGTTGCAAATGATGAGTAACTGCAAAATTCCAGTCAAGGAATAAAATCTGTTGGGAACAAACGCAGCAGAACGCACGGAGAGGCCGTAAAAATCAGCGACAGAAGTAATAAAATGATGAAAAGGGGCAGATCGTAAATCAAGAGAGTTGTTTCCTTTAAAAAATGTTCAGTAGTGCAGCAAGTACTACAGCGAAAGCCATCTTTGATGATCCGTTGGATGAATGTTTATACGTACATGTGTACACACTTTTCTGTTCCGGTTAGAGCTCAGAATGCGTTTGTTATTCAGCCAGTAAGACTTACTGGGTAAGTGTGGTTTTCTACTGATAACAGAATATTGCATGTGGACAGGCGTGTTTATAATGGCCAAACATGTCATGCACATTTAGTTACTGACTGGTGAAATTTTGAGTATTTCCTAAAATAATTACTTTTATATTAATGATCCTCTCTCACCTATTTGTGTAGTCATCGACCAAATGATATCAATCCAGTTACATGAATGTGTGGAACTGGTATTAACGAGTGGAACAAATTAATGCATGAAGAAGAACATTATTTTCTAGTACTTGTGATGGAACGATGCGATGTTTGTGGCGTCGTTGCAAAAATCTTTCACCGGTTCTACCACTTTATGTGTAACATGTGCAGAATGTAACCCTTGACTTGGATATGCTTTAAAATAGTGCAATAATTCGAAAGATGAATATCATGACAAATTAACTTTATTCGCTACATGAAATACTGGGGAGTTACTTGTTTATCGTCGACTCACCGGTTTCAGTTATTTCATTTTATCGTCTTTTTTACGCCCGTAATGAAATAATAATTTGATTTTATGCAAAGATATCATAGACTCATGGCTGTAACTTTTTGAAATTGTGCACAAGCCGGAAAAAAGTAGTCAATTTGTCACCGACAAATGTTGGATCTGTAAAATGAGACACACAAAGTGAGGCGAACCTTGACTGACGTGGTTGAGCTGAGAGATCACTGGTCTCAGATCAGATGACATTTTATTTGTCACTACTTCAGTTACTTCCTTTTCTATTGTGTGCGGATGAGCAGTGTCAATCAAGTCACATTTTCAAAAAGCACTTTGTCATCATATCCGCAATGAACTGATGTTATTACATTATTAACTCGTTGCTACTAGTTGATACCAGAATTGCAGGCTTTGTTGCAAATTCAAGATTTGTTTCGGTTGCAAACGTGAGAGATATAAGAGTGACATTATCGTTGATATATACGTACGTACATACGTCCACACGCCCTACAGCGATTTTTGATCATCCATGTTAAATTTAAACACGTGTAAAATACTGGCCTATTTAACAGCGTCAGAAATGTGGAAAACTTATGCAGATGCAAAGTCGAGAAAATTCTAGCCTTATGACGATGAGTCGTACTCCAAAAGTTTAATTCGAGATGTTTTTGTGCAGTTTTGCAATGCGTGCACTCTTAGCTCTCCTCCCATACTTGCACTTTTTGTCATGTTTAAAATTAGATCGAATAACTGGGTTAAATGTATCTCGAACGAGGCTGTTTTCGAATAGGAAACATGCAACCCGTACATACGTGCATACGTGTAGAATCTGCAAAGTGTCGTAATGATTAGAATTTGCATCGTCAAATACATGTTATTGCATCTGGCTATTGATTCTGGGGCTTTAATTAAATTCTGCTCTAGCAACAATGAAAATGGCACAATTGAAAAGATTGAACAAGCACCACTGCTGTGCACTTGTAACAAGTTTGAATTGCCAAAGTTTTATTTTGGTGTGTTGTGGTGTATTAAATAATCAATGGAAAAATGAAATTCCGCGTTACACACATATCCACATTGACAAGTTCAATAATGCACTTACGTAAATACCAATTAAATAACTGATTATAAGATAATACTACTACGCGGTTCTCGGTAAAGTGTGCAAACAATCCAATGGGGAAAGTGTCATATGCATATACTTGGATTTGTTCTGTATGTACATAGATATGTATGTACACACATGCTACTTGACACAAACATAAATAAGTTACGTGTGTACGACAATGTACGCACTTATCAATATGCATTCAGTTTCGTAAAATTATTTAACTGTGAAATTGCATTGTACATGTTAATGTTTAATGTTGTATGATGGACTCAAATAGCACATCCACTTGTCCCACATTTTAACCTTAAGTTCTGTAAATCTGGAAGAGACTAAATATGTATATATAAGAATATAAACATGATGGAATCTTCTCAACACTCATTTTCAAGGGAATTTCAGCAAGTTTGGCAAAAGCATGTTCACAAAATAAGTATGCACATATACTGTATGCATCAGTACGCACTTTATAGTGCATGATCGATTTTATACTTGAGCACTAAAATGCTGCGCTGCTGCTGTTGCTTCGTATACATATTTACTCTCAGTCGCACATTCGCACATGTTTTAGTATTAGTAGTTGTAACCAGCGAAAAGTGTGCCATTTGGAGAGCCTTGCGATTGCGATGCAACGCTATATACACGACGTGGTTAGGAAAAAGAGGCGCTCTGATAGCGCCGCTATTATTATGTACAATTGCATGTATTAACAAGAGCAAGACATGTTCTGCCCACACCAAGTGGCGTTAAAGTGCTGCGTTTGGCAGTGTGCATTTTTTGTCAGGTTTCTGTAACCTCGTCTTCCTTCCTTCCGGGTTCTTGAAGCTGGTCAACACTAATACGGCGTTAATTTGTGTAACATTTACATTGGCCAAATTTATGAACTACATAGATTAAAACATATCTATGATTTGTCATGAAGATTACACATCTATCTAATCAATAATCAATCATCCATGTACATAGCTAAACTACAAAGAATAGACCACATCTAGCAAGTTATGCTTTTATGTATGTCCTGCGAACTTCAAGAAATCACGACTTTTGAGACTCATAATTTCACCCTTAATTGAACTGTGCTTAGATTTAAGTCGATTCTGTTGTTCCTTCACTATGCGCACATTGCATCGTACAGTACAGTTTACAAAGTATATTTGTAAGACAAACGCGTATATGTTCTGACCATAAATGATAACGACTCAGGGACGACTGACTTACAAGTAGATATATATAAATTATTATAATATTCATTCAGTATATATTCTCGCTAAGTGGATATATATTTGTCTGTACTACTTACTATAATTTTTCTCATGCACAAATCTATCTGAGCTGAGAATTCTTTGACTATAATGATGTTCCGATATATCTTATCAAAATATGCCAATGTCAAGAATGGGAAAATGAAGGTTAGCTGAGATCTTTTTACTCCAACTTTGTAGGCGCAATCACATGCATATGCATGTACAATGTGATGCTGCAGGGAGAGTAGTGATGCAAAAATGTATACACAGTGTGTTTAGCTCTATTGTTGCAAAACAAAAGGAGGAAGGACGGTGCATTTTATGCGTTACGCGTTTTTTACAAAGTTGATGTATTTGTATAGTCTGTCCCACTCTGAGAGATTCCTCTTCATGTTCCCTGAGCACGTTTGGATTGGACCAATTAAAAGTCAGTCTGTATTAATAAAACTAAGAATATTTCTTGATTTTACATTAAATTGTCATCAAACGAGGTAGGTAGGCATGAATCAGACATACAATTAATAAACTGATATCATTTGCTGAGCTTGTTGCAAGATTTACTAAGATTTTGCAAAGAAATGTTTGGATGTTCCTCGTCCACACCCACACCTCTCCTTCTCCATCCGACAACAAGAGCTCTACGACAACTAGGAAGCAAGGAAGTGCAACAAGGGTTGGATTTTGCCATATATGAGCGATCTTGTAAGGATTGCTATTCCATGGGATTTTGCAGGGGAGAGCCTATTTCTCATTGAGAGACTTTGGTGGCGTGGGCCGGGCACGGGCGGTGGGACTTTCTCTCAACAGCCTAACTTTCTCTCTCCGCCAATCCGATTCTGCTACAAGGTTACACAGCACCCGGTGCACAAGCAGCAGTATAACTGGTGTCATATAGTTGCACAGTTTACTATTATGAGGGTACGTCATCCCGTGCAATATACGTATATTTATATATATATCCTGATGTTATTGCTTATAGACTGTGGGAACCTCGCCGTCAGGTTCTAACTGTGGGTTCCTTGGCTTAGATAAGTAGCTCACTCCGCGCCACGTACATTTCCAAACAACTTTTGCCTTGACTGGATGCCTTGTGCCTGTAGCAAGCAGGAAAATGCTGCGATGAATGCAACTGCGCTGAAGCTGAATCAAGTTTATGGGATCCACTTTATGCTTTGGTCCCAATTCAATAATTTTCTTCTCCACCCAATGCCAAGTTGCGTAGATGGAGTGTCCATAAATTGTTTTGACACTGTTTTAACTTAGAACTTCAAAAATATTTTGTAACCCTCGTTTTTAAACGGTTAATATATATAGAACTACAGGAGGAAGAGTTCATGCTGTTTGAGTTTTTGTACTAGTAACAAGTTTTGAAATTGCATAGTTTCGTAACTGTTCATAAGTTTGTTTCTGGTATGTTCAGAGTCGAGAAATTGAAACAAAAATGCATATGTACATGCTCCATTGCATTGCGAACCATGTACGGAAAGGAGAACGCATCTCGTAGGTACTGCGACTGGCCGAGATAAGAGCGATGGTTGTGTAATCTGTGGCGTGGCATGTGTCCCCTCTGCATAATGTATGTACCACATCCAGAGAATGTTATTTCATTTTGCTCTCTGCCAAGTCAAGACCAAGGTAGAAGTCGTCGAAAACCTATGAACGCCATCCAGCATAATCCTCGCATTGCAAAAGAAAGAAAGAAGCAGCACAAAGCTAAACCTTTTCTGCCAATTTATTCACATCCTGCCATATGCACTCCAACAAAAGAGCAGGGGCGACAGGTTTAATTTTCCGACATGATTTTAGCAGCAGACGCAGTGGCAGAAGCAGATAATGCGATGGCAGAATTAGAATTGCATACTGGTACTAAAAATAACATATTTCTGTTTCCTCTCGCGTTTGCAGGCAAAGTTACGCCACTGGCTGGGATTCTGCCTGAACCACTCGCTACTATGCAGTTTAAGTGCTTGAAGTCATATAAACGACATAATAAGAAAAAAATATTATGGGATCTCGATATCGGCAGGATTATTTGCACATCTCCCTCCATCCACAATGCAGTCCTATCGCTTTTGCTGGTACACATAGTACCACCACCATCATCGCGTTCTTCCAATAACGATACCGTGCGATCTGAGTTGAAGAAAAGGCTTGGAGGATAATAATATTGCCACGCTGAAACTGCTGCTGGTGGTGGTTGAGGAGGGAGTGCAGCATGTTGCACATTAGAAAATATGGCTGAAAATTTGGCCAACCCTATTGCAAACTTGACAGCTTAAAAAATAAGCAAAATATAAAGACTATATTTCAGAAAATCATTTAAGAGAAACTTAACGGCAAAACTTTCGAGGTTTTCTTAGGTGCGGCAAAAAAATAAAATTTGAGGAAATTTGATAGGTAAAAAGAAATTGATATTACATCTATAGACAAAGCTTCATTAGAGATGTAAAGCAAATTCAAGATTTGGAGGATAATTTCTCCTAATTTTATTTTTCTATCCATACATAAGAAATTCTTGAAAGCTGTGACCTTTAATTTTTCGGTTTGAAGCAGCTGGATGGTAATGATGGCAGTATACTTTAGAATAGGGGCGGATTGATAATATTTCGGGCATGAGTTATGTTATTCAGTTCGACCAGAACAAGAATATACAACCACGTATAGTAGATCTAATTCAATAATTGAAAAATTGGTTAACAAGTTATAAAAGGAGCTTCTTCTAACCCCCATTTGTTAATGCACAGTTTGACTTTTCAGAGAGTTATAATACTCTCATGACGCAAAGTCTTAAACTCCTTTGAGGATTTATAACTTTTTCGCGTGAAATGGTTTGTCCAACTTTGCGGGGCAGATTTTCTACAGTGTGTTGGGGGAATCCTTGCAAATACTGGTAGGTGTGGGTGCAGCGTGGGGGCTCCATTCTCTCGCTCGCACTGGAGTGCAAACTGTTTTTGCCAGATCACTTTCATTCAGTGCAGTGCAGTTACGTACAACTCGAGGACGAGAAGCACACTACTACTACGCTAGTAGGCTACCTATTATAAACCTATCTACCTACCATCCAGCATCATACACACACGGCTCTCCGCTACCACGTCTCATTACTTTACTGCATATTATTTTATCAACCAACTCATTTTCTTATTATTCTGCTGTCATTTGCTCCGACTTCAAAATTATCTCCTGAACAATACTTCAATTTCGACCCTTTCTGGAAAGTTATCTTCCGTAGCTGGAGCATAGTTCAATCTCCGCACCGAAAGGGGGACTCGATCCTTCAAGAGTGAGGACTGTTCAAGTAGTGTAACCCTTCTAGTACAAAAACGCAAGAGTTAATTGTTACATAATTTTTACGACTACATAAAGAATTAACATTATATTGGTTCATCTATGTTACATTGTATTTTTAATTGTGAATTCGCTTGAGCCTTATTATTCGGCCCGCTCACAACCAGAAACAATTTTCTTCTGGGCTAAAACTCGGAAAAGTACAAGACGTGTAAAAATAAGAAAAGACATTAAAAGTTCAAATCCTGGTGGTAAATGGTGTATTAAAGGTGGATGTGCTCGTTCGTGCTATCAATTTTTTTTGGCAAATTTTGTATTTGCACGTGCTAGAAACATTCAAATAGGTATATACAAAAAAGCATATAAATATGTAAGTACATGAATTTATGTTTTACATGATTTGGATTTTCTTACAGATTTATGGGTATTGGTTTTCATGCAATATCCTTGATTTATAATTGATGCTGGTCATCGCATCCATATTTCATGTGCTCGGGACAGACACATGAAATCACAAATTTTATTCAACTCTGCTGTTGTGACAAAAACATTTCCGAAAATAATTTCTGCAAGAAAAGTGCTATTACAAACTGTGCCCCTTTATTAGCGTACAATTAATCATCGAAGAAAGTACAAAAGTGTGAGTTTTATTCTACTCCAACATGACGTTGGAGGGGTTATGTACATGTGGAGTGGGTGCTACCACGAGGTGCAGGCAAGCTTTGGCTAGTGACTTGATTTTATGCAGCTTTGGCTGTGGGAAAGTCAGGAGATAAGGCAAAGAGCTGGACTCGTTCGTACGAAGAGATAGAGAAAAAAACGACGGCTTTTTGATTCGGGAAGAAACTTTCTCAGTGGATTTTACTTTAAACAAGTGGGTTTCAAGTTCCCAGCTAAATGACACCGGAGCATCGGTTCCTTAGAAGGTAATTAATTTTGCATGCCTTTTTTCACATTTTTGACCGAGAGAAACGCATGGAATTCTAAATTCTTCCGGAACATGAACCCAGTTGTGCATGATAAGTGGTCAGTTTCTGGTTTTGAGAGCCACCAGCCACAATGATAGGAATAATAGGAGGAATAATCTGAAAAGTAAAAATAGCAGCATTCATAGAAGTAGGTAAGCTATGTAGCTACCTGTCTGGAGCAGTTCATGGGAGTACATGCATGTTTACTTAGGTAATTGGAGTCTCTTCTTCTGCAACACGGAGGAGTTCTGGTGGGTTTGAGTGAGCATAGTAAAAGTGGGGTCTTTCTCTCTTCGTACTTCCGTGCTTTCCTTACTTACTACGCTCGCCACCCGCCCGCCCGCCCGACCGCATATGTGTATACCCTCGCAGTGCAGTTGATAGGTACTTATCCACCAACATTGTGTGGAGAAGTGCGCATTACTCGGTGGTATGGAGTGGAGCAGAATTTATTTACAATTTGCGTCACTCCTACTTTCTCTGCTTTCACCACCAGCAAGTTAAAATGCACCCAGATATGAGTTTCGTCCGCCCGTGTGAGTTGGGTAAACAGGGAACCGACCCAGTCCGACTTTCTCCCAGCTTTCTCTCCGAACCTCGAATAAAACTGCGTATTGCACTGCACTCAACTTCAACTCAGCTCCGATAATCAGCCAAAAGTCTTTGTTCGAGTTGAAGTGGGGGTGGTGGCGATAAAATTATGGGATGCTCCACGCCCCATGTCAATCTCTTCCTGCCACCAAATTTCCGCCATTCCCAAATGACGGTAGAATCCGAGATTTCCACATTCTTCTCTGCATACTGCATGGACTGTATCCGCTGTAATTCATATAGCTATTTAACTATACGATGGATGCATAACTCATGGCGACGGGACGACAACGACGGCCCTGCAACATGCCTCGTGCCGATGCGAAGTTGTGTTGTGCTCGAAGAAGGTACGTACGTATTATTGTACGTTCTGTGAATGTGTCTGTGTCCCGGATAAATTTCCAGGGTTTGGTTCACTGCAGAGCGCAAGCTGAGTATTTGGTGGAGTTGCATGGCTTAGTGATTGATTACGAACGGAGAAAGGAGCGGTGCGATGCGATTCTGTGGGTGCACGTGCCATCAGGTCAGAGCAGTATCGATTGACCACCCAACTCCCAACCACGACAAAGGCCGTATGACATCCCCACCACCATCCCTCCCAAAACAAAAATCAACATTGGTACCTACTTGTATACTTACTTAACTTACGGCCTATACCCAACAAAACAAAACTACCTGCACATGGGTGTGTGCGTGAATGTCAAATCCGCTAAGGCTGGATTATTATTGTGGTGGGCTTATCTCATTGCGAAATTTCAATAATTATCTCAGTTATTATTATGATGTTTGCACGCAGAGAGATAAATTTGGGTGAAGCAGGAATGTCTGCTATTTCTATCTCTTACATACTTTAAATTGATGCATTTATCCATGCAGCATGTGTTTCGCGTACATAACTACGAAAGTAATTTTGATGATTGTTCGGCAGTGTAAATTTTTCAGCTTGTGTACATATGTATGTAAACCGTGGGCCAGCTATGCACCTATACATAGATACATACATACGTGCATTCATTAATTAAAAGGAAAATAATGCCATGCATAATGTGTGTGTGTGTGTCAATTCCATTATACTCGAGGATTGTTTTACAATGGCAATTGCCATTCTAAGAAACGGGCAAGTTTGTTATTATTATTTGCCATATTCGCATTTCCTGTAACAACGTAAGAAGTGCAAACAAGAAGGGGCGTGAGTTAGTATAGCGAATAGCGATCGAATCATATCCATATTGAGTGCAGAAAATGTACTTGATAAAATAGTAAAATATTGAATTTTCTTGGGAATAACAATCCAATGGAAAACATGGCGTGGAAATATTAATTGTTTGAGAAAGCCACGCTCTGCAAGTATTTGAATCAAGGCGGTAATGTTAATTAATTTTCTAACTCTAGAAAATTTCGGGAAAATGGAAAACAATTATTCGAATTATATACTTTACCTAACTTAAATAAGTATGTATGTGCATCTATCTACTTCTTGTTATGTTTTGATCTATCTCTTATGGACTTGTGTCATTGTGTGCCATTTACACATCGGTCTGTACAAATCCATACTTTATTTATTTATCTGTCAATCGTCTGCATTTTTCCAAAAAAGGTCCAAGTGGACGGCAGACTGTTCTTCGTACAACAGCCCTGCATTATCACATTGTGTGGAATAGTTAAACACAACCACGAATTGACGCTGAATTGTTGTCCTGCTCTTCTTTGATACGTAACTCGCAGTTAAATAAACAAATACTTCACAATGCTCTGCTGCATAATGGATTGCATACGATATATTAACGATTAACGATATGGCATATGCATAGTACGTATAGTGCACATTATAGCTATATTGCACGCAGATGGCAGTATTAGTATTTAAACTCAAAATAAATTAAATTCGTACTCGAAATATCTATTACCTAAGCATACTACGTGCATGGATAAAATAGTAAAATACACATAATCGGGATGTGTTTCACACTAAAGGAAATATGCACACATGATCTAGAGCACATTTTGCACATGTGCAGTACATATTGCACAATAAGCGAAATGCACCTCAACAAGACTATACTTTTCTTAAATAGTACATACACTACACATACATTTAATTTCCCATTCTCTAAATTGCCTGCATGTACGTAGGAGGAATAAGAAAATAACCCCCACACACACACGCCGCTTAAATGCTGTTTAACATGACCTTCATTCTCTCTCTACTGTAATTTAATTTACATTGCAGTGCACTGTGGTTAAGCTACCTCAAAAGTAATTTTTGGCAAATGGCAAATCCTCATTGTTACGATTTCTCATGCAGCCATACATACACATGCAGCTATGTATAAATGTACTTGCATTAGTACACGCTCATTTATTCCGATTCTCTCATTATTATTCTGGTAGAACGCAGTTTGTTGCTTGCTTGCACTGTCATGACGGGAACGAAATGCACTACATGCATATACACAGTCAACGCTCTATGGTTTTTGTTAAATAATCGCGACTTGAGTGCGAATATTAATGGCACATTAACGAGCATGCATACATATTTGCTCCGCCAACGCTCAACTTATGCCGTGCTAGCGACTAAATAATGTAACATGTAGTAGTGATTGTAGGTACAGAATCTGCAAATTCAATACGAGCAGATGCATGCCAATAAGACCTTTACATAATAATACGAACGTTGCATCAGCAGATCCTGTTTTTTGTTAGGGCGAATAAAATGCAATAAATCAAAGGTGTACTCTTGTGCACATATTGCGCCAACCTAGTAATTTACATATGAATTTGAACTCGAGCATCTGCACATTTATGTGTAGTGACATTAATATATTTTTCAACGCAGGATTGGTTCTCGTGATGATGGTCGTCGTACAATTGGTACATATTATGCATGCAACTACACAATTTTCATTCCTCGGAAAAGTCATACGGCCCTGAGCAGCAGAAGAGCAGAAGAGATTGAAACATGGCAAATATTTTTTTCCATTCAAGTGCTGCTTACATAAAGCTGAATGTACCAGAACTGCATGTTTGTGCATTTATTTAGAAGAGTGGATGGATGGATGGATGGGCAGAATGGAGGCTATTACACACACACTCCAAGTTTTGGTCCTCGCTTGGATGAGTTTGAGTCTCAAGAAGAGAGAGATGTGTGAATTCAGTGATGTGCCGAGTGAGATGAGATGAGATAAAGACGATGCGACTGAATCTGGTGATGATGGTTGTTGTTCTGATAATAATGCAACCACATTTTAAGAGAGCATGCAAAAAAATACACTTAAAACTAAATTCAGCAACAACAACATGCAGCTCGAATGAACGTTGGCGATTGCATTCTTTGAACCGTTGAATTTGTCCAAGTTTGTCAACATCATTATGTAGGGTTTATTATGACAATATGTAGAATATATAATAAGCATATAATAATATGCTGTATGCTCTGCAATGGTTAGGCTTGGAGACCTGCTTACGGAACGGTTTTGATAGGAAAGCTATAGGTAAATAGAATTAGATTGGGTGCGGTACGACTGATACCTCGGCGTTTGTGCTCCCTCCTAAAAAAGTACAAACTACGCATATTTTTTGCACGAGTGAGCTTTGCAACAAACAAAAGTAGTTTATGTTGAGAGACTTTGGTTTTATTACTGACTCGGCTCATATTCTGGTACGACGAGCAATGTTCTGCTACCACACATATTCCATTCCTTTATTGCATCCCCTGTTTTTTCTAGTCCAGTAAAAGCTCACGTCACGTACATGCATGCATCAGCCTTTCTCACAAAAATTTGCTACACCATGAACGAAATGTGATGAGGGAGGGATTGCTCAATAGCAGAGATGGATGGAAGAAAATGAAGCTTGTTTTTCTCGTCTTCTTGGATGCGTGCATCACCAAGGACCAAATATTTCGCAATCCCACAACCATGGAATTATATGCGCTATATGTTCTATCCGTACACAACTCGTACGTACATTTACCCACCCACACAAAGAGAAAGACGGAGAAAAACCGCAGCGGTGGATGAAAAAATTGTCAATTTAAATATTACACACTCAAAAAATGGATTCCAACTTGTGCGTTTCGTCTCAACTTGCATGCATATTCCCCATTTATTCACACACAGCGTAACAACATGTGCACGTCTATCCATAGGTAGAACTAGCAACATTTTAGTTAGACTTTCACGTCATGGAGCAGGATGACTCTTCCGATTTTCTTGCTTGGCTGAGTTCATTTTGTGCAAAGAAGAAATGCTGACAAGACTCGTGTAGTTCTCAAAAGTAATAAATGGAAAGGAAATACTGCAGTCGCAGCAGTGAATTCATTCGCATCGCAGCAAAAAAACATGGCATCAGTATTCCCAGCCCAAACC